CTCGTCTTTCATCTCACAACATGAAGGGATGTCTGAATCCCCTGTGGAGACCTTAGAGAAAGCCCTAGGTCCCTGCCTCATTTTGACGGAATGCCTCACATCCCGCTGACACCTCGAGAGGCACGCGGAGTTCATTGCTTCAAAAGGTGACGATGCCTGACTCCTCTTGAATACTGATAGGAATCCCAAAATCCCTGTGGCTACTGGAAAGGGTCCTTGGGTGCCCTGCCTCACCTCGAGAAGCGTCCCTTTGGCCCTGCCAAGCCTCGAAGAGATTCCTGAGGTGTCCCTCGTTACTAGACAGGAGTCCTGACGTCACTGAAGAAACTCGTGTTTTGAAGGGCCATCCCCGCCGTAAGTCGAGAACATACCCCAGGTCCCCGCCGCAACTCGAGAAAAACCATGAGACTTCCCCCTAGAGGCGAGATGAGGCCCCATTCCCCTGCAGTGCATGCAGAGCTATTCCGTGATCCCATTCAAACAAGTCAGGAGCTTCGACTTGCTTAATGGATCTCGAGACAGTCCCCAAGAACACTGTCCCCAGTCTAGACGGACCCTGAGGTCACCCCAGCAACGCAAAGCCGCTCCATGTGCCCCAAATCAACTCGAGATGAGGCCCGATTCCCCTGCATTGACTCCAGAGCCATTCCCCGTTCCCCATTCAACACGACCGGTGGCTCGACTTCCTTCAGGCAACTCCAGAGATGCCCCGAGAACACTGTCCCAAGTCTAGAGGAACACCAACTTCAGCACAGCAACTCGAGGAATGCTCCGTCTACCCCAAATCGTCTCGAGATGCGAGCTGATTCCCTGGCTTAGGCTCAAGACGTATGCCAACTTCCCAGAAGCACCTCAGGAGGAGGCTTCTCTCAGCAATAGGTATGTGGGAGGGACCCCGAGTTTGCTGCCTCAAGGGGAATATACAGCGAGAAGCCCTAACTTGAAAGGAGGCCGGATTTCCTTGCAGTGGCTTGAATACAGGCTCGTCTTTCATCTCACAACATGAAGGGATGTCTGAATCCCCTGTGGAGACCTTAGAGAAAGCCCTAGGTCCCTGCCTCATTTTGACGGAATGCCTCACATCCCGCTGACACCTCGAGAGGCACGCGGAGTTCATTGCTTCAAAAGGTGACGATGCCTGACTCCTCTTGAATACTGATAGGAATCCCAAAATCCCTGTGGCTACTGGAAAGGGTCCTTGGGTGCCCTGCCTCACCTCGAGAAGCGTCCCTTTGGCCCTGCCAAGCCTCGAAGAGATTCCTGAGGTGTCCCTCGTTACTAGACAGGAGTCCTGACGTCACTGAAGAAACTCGTGTTTTGAAGGGCCATCCCCGCCGTAAGTCGAGAACATACCCCAGGTCCCCGCCGCAACTCGAGAAAAACCATGAGACTTCCCCCTAGAGGCGAGATGAGGCCCCATTCCCCTGCAGTGCATGCAGAGCTATTCCGTGATCCCATTCAAACAAGTCAGGAGCTTCGACTTGCTTAATGGATCTCGAGACAGTCCCCAAGAACACTGTCACCAGTCTAGACGGACCCTGAGGTCAACCCAGCAACGCAAAGCAGCTCCATGTGCCCCAAATCAACTCGAGATGAGGCCCGATTCCCCTGCATTGACTCCAGAGCCATTCCCCGTTCCCCATTCAACACGACCGGTGGCTCGACTTCCTTCAGGCAACTCCAGAGATGCCCCGAGAACACTGTCCCAAGTCTAGAGGAACACCAACTTCAGCACAGCAACTCGAGGAATGCTCCGTCTACCCCAAATCGTCTCGAGATGCGAGCTGATTCCCTGGCTTAGGCTCAAGACGTATGCCAACTTCCCAGAAGCACCTCAGGAGGAGGCTTCTCTCAGCAATAGGTATGTGGGAGGGACCCCGAGTTTGCTGCCTCAAGGGGAATATACAGCGAGAAGCCCTAACTTGAAAGGAGGCCGGATTTCCTTGCAGTGGCTTGAATACAGGCTCGTCTTTCATCTCACAACATGAAGGGATGTCTGAATCCCCTGTGGAGACCTTAGAGAAAGCCCTAGGTCCCTGCCTCATTTTGACGGAATGCCTCACATCCCGCTGACACCTCGAGAGGCACGCGGAGTTCATTGCTTCAAAAGGTGACGATGCCTGACTCCTCTTGAATACTGATAGGAATCCCAAAATCCCTGTGGCTACTGGAAAGGGTCCTTGGGTGCCCTGCCTCACCTCGAGAAGCGTCCCTTTGGCCCTGCCAAGCCTCGAAGAGATTCCTGAGGTGTCCCTCGTTACTAGACAGGAGTCCTGACGTCACTGAAGAAACTCGTGTTTTGAAGGGCCATCCCCGCCGTAAGTCGAGAACATACCCCAGGTCCCCGCCGCAACTCGAGAAAAACCATGAGACTTCCCCCTAGAGGCGAGATGAGGCCCCATTCCCCTGCAGTGCATGCAGAGCTATTCCGTGATCCCATTCAAACAAGTCAGGAGCTTCGACTTGCTTAATGGATCTCGAGACAGTCCCCAAGAACACTGTCACCAGTCTAGACGGACCCTGAGGTCACCCCAGCAACGCAAAGCAGCTCCATGTGCCCCAAATCAACTCGAGATGAGGCCCGATTCCCCTGCATTGACTCCAGAGCCATTCCCCGTTCCCCATTCAACACGACCGGTGGCTCGACTTCCTTCAGGCAACTCCAGAGATGCCCCGAGAACACTGTCCCAAGTCTAGAGGAACACCAACTTCAGCACAGCAACTCGAGGAATGCTCCGTCTACCCCAAATCGTCTCGAGATGCGAGCTGATTCCCTGGCTTAGGCTCAAGACGTATGCCAACTTCCCAGAAGCACCTCAGGAGGAGGCTTCTCTCAGCAATAGGTATGTGGGAGGGACCCCGAGTTTGCTGCCTCAAGGGGAATATACAGCGAGAAGCCCTAACTTGAAAGGAGGCCGGATTTCCTTGCAGTGGCTTGAATACAGGCTCGTCTTTCATCTCACAACATGAAGGGATGTCTGAATCCCCTGTGGAGACCTTAGAGAAAGCCCTAGGTCCCTGCCTCATTTTGACGGAATGCCTCACATCCCGCTGACACCTCGAGAGGCACGCGGAGTTCATTGCTTCAAAAGGTGACGATGCCTGACTCCTCTTGAATACTGATAGGAATCCCAAAATCCCTGTGGCTACTGGAAAGGGTCCTTGGGTGCCCTGCCTCACCTCGAGAAGCGTCCCTTTGGCCCTGCCAAGCCTCGAAGAGATTCCTGAGGTGTCCCTCGTTACTAGACAGGAGTCCTGACGTCACTGAAGAAACTCGTGTTTTGAAGGGCCATCCCCGCCGTAAGTCGAGAACATACCCCAGGTCCCCGCCGCAACTCGAGAAAAACCATGAGACTTCCCCCTAGAGGCGAGATGAGGCCCCATTCCCCTGCAGTGCATGCAGAGCTATTCCGTGATCCCATTCAAACAAGTCAGGAGCTTCGACTTGCTTAATGGATCTCGAGACAGTCCCCAAGAACACTGTCACCAGTCTAGACGGACCCTGAGGTCACCCCAGCAACGCAAAGCCGCTCCATGTGCCCCAAATCAACTCGAGATGAGGCCCGATTCCCCTGCATTGACTCCAGAGCCATTCCCCGTTCCCCATTCAACACGACCGGTGGCTCGACTTCCTTCAGGCAACTCCAGAGATGCCCCGAGAACACTGTCCCAAGTCTAGAGGAACACCAACTTCAGCACAGCAACTCGAGGAATGCTCCGTGTACCCCAAATCGTCTCGAGATGCGAGCTGATTCCCTGGCTTAGGCTCAAGACGTATGCCAACTTCCCAGAAGCACCTCAGGAGGAGGCTTCTCTCAGCAATAGGTATGTGGGAGGGACCCCGAGTTTGCTGCCTCAAGGGGAATATACAGCGAGAAGCCCTAACTTGAAAGGAGGCCGGATTTCCTTGCAGTGGCTTGAATACAGGCTCGTCTTTCATCTCACAACATGAAGGGATGTCTGAATCCCCTGTGGAGACCTTAGAGAAAGCCCTAGGTCCCTGCCTCATTTTGACGGAATGCCTCACATCCCGCTGACACCTTGAGAGGCACGCGGAGTTCATTGCTTCAAAAGGTGACGATGCCTGACTCCTCTTGAATACTGATAGGAATCCCAAAATCCCTGTGGCTACTGGAAAGGGTCCTTGGGTGCCCTGCCTCACCTCGAGAAGCGTCCCTTTGGCCCTGCCAAGCCTCGAAGAGATTCCTGAGGTGTCCCTCGTTACTAGACAGGAGTCCTGACGTCACTGAAGAAACTCGTGTTTTGAAGGGCCATCCCCGCCGTAAGTCGAGAACATACCCCAGGTCCCCGCCGCAACTCGAGAAAAACCATGAGACTTCCCCCTAGAGGCGAGATGAGGCCCCATTCCCCTGCAGTGCATGCAGAGCTATTCCGTGATCCCATTCAAACAAGTCAGGAGCTTCGACTTGCTTAATGGATCTCGAGACAGTCCCCAAGAACACTGTCACCAGTCTAGACGGACCCTGAGGTCACCCCAGCAACGCAAAGCAGCTCCATGTGCCCCAAATCAACTCGAGATGAGGCCCGATTCCCCTGCATTGACTCCAGAGCCATTCCCCGTTCCCCATTCAACACGACCGGTGGCTCGACTTCCTTCAGGCAACTCCAGAGATGCCCCGAGAACACTGTCCCAAGTCTAGAGGAACACCAACTTCAGCACAGCAACTCGAGGAATGCTCCGTCTACCCCAAATCGTCTCGAGATGCGAGCTGATTCCCTGGCTTAGGCTCAAGACGTATGCCAACTTCCCAGAAGCACCTCAGGAGGAGGCTTCTCTCAGCAATAGGTATGTGGGAGGGACCCCGAGTTTGCTGCCTCAAGGGGAATATACAGCGAGAAGCCCTAACTTGAAAGGAGGCCGGATTTCCTTGCAGTGGCTTGAATACAGGCTCGTCTTTCATCTCACAACATGAAGGGATGTCTGAATCCCCTGTGGAGACCTTAGAGAAAGCCCTAGGTCCCTGCCTCATTTTGACGGAATGCCTCACATCCCGCTGACACCTCGAGAGGCACGCGGAGTTCATTGCTTCAAAAGGTGACGATGCCTGACTCCTCTTGAATACTGATAGGAATCCCAAAATCCCTGTGGCTACTGGAAAGGGTCCTTGGGTGCCCTGCCTCACCTCGAGAAGCGTCCCTTTGGCCCTGCCAAGCCTCGAAGAGATTCCTGAGGTGTCCCTCGTTACTAGACAGGAGTCCTGACGTCACTGAAGAAACTCGTGTTTTGAAGGGCCATCCCCGCCGTAAGTCGAGAACATACCCCAGGTCCCCGCCGCAACTCGAGAAAAACCATGAGACTTCCCCCTAGAGGCGAGATGAGGCCCCATTCCCCTGCAGTGCATGCAGAGCTATTCCGTGATCCCATTCAAACAAGTCAGGAGCTTCGACTTGCTTAATGGATCTCGAGACAGTCCCCAAGAACACTGTCACCAGTCTAGACGGACCCTGAGGTCACCCCAGCAACGCAAAGCCGCTCCATGTGCCCCAAATCAACTCGAGATGAGGCCCGATTCCCCTGCATTGACTCCAGAGCCATTCCCCGTTCCCCATTCAACACGACCGGTGGCTCGACTTCCTTCAGGCAACTCCAGAGATGCCCCGAGAACACTGTCCCAAGTCTAGAGGAACACCAACTTCAGCACAGCAACTCGAGGAATGCTCCGTGTACCCCAAATCGTCTCGAGATGCGAGCTGATTCCCTGGCTTAGGCTCAAGACGTATGCCAACTTCCCAGAAGCACCTCAGGAGGAGGCTTCTCTCAGCAATAGGTATGTGGGAGGGACCCCGAGTTTGCTGCCTCAAGGGGAATATACAGCGAGAATCCCTAACTTGAAAGGAGGCCGGATTTCCTTGCAGTGGCTTGAATACAGGCTCGTCTTTCATCTCACAACATGAAGGGATGTCTGAATCCCCTGTGGAGACCTTAGAGAAAGCCCTAGGTCCCTGCCTCATTTTGACGGAATGCCTCACATCCCGCTGACACCTCGAGAGGCACGCGGAGTTCATTGCTTCAAAAGGTGACGATGCCTGACTCCTCTTGAATACTGATAGGAATCCCAAAATCCCTGTGGCTACTGGAAAGGGTCCTTGGGTGCCCTGCCTCACCTCGAGAAGCGTCCCTTTGGCCCTGCCAAGCCTCGAAGAGATTCCTGAGGTGTCCCTCGTTACTAGACAGGAGTCCTGACGTCACTGAAGAAACTCGTGTTTTGAAGGGCCATCCCCGCCGTAAGTCGAGAACATACCCCAGGTCCCCGCCGCAACTCGAGAAAAACCATGAGACTTCCCCCTAGAGGCGAGATGAGGCCCCATTCCCCTGCAGTGCATGCAGAGCTATTCCGTGATCCCATTCAAACAAGTCAGGAGCTTCGACTTGCTTAATGGATCTCGAGACAGTCCCCAAGAACACTGTCACCAGTCTAGACGGACCCTGAGGTCACCCCAGCAACGCAAAGCAGCTCCATGTGCCCCAAATCAACTCGAGATGAGGCCCGATTCCCCTGCATTGACTCCAGAGCCATTCCCCGTTCCCCATTCAACACGACCGGTGGCTCGACTTCCTTCAGGCAACTCCAGAGATGCCCCGAGAACACTGTCCCAAGTCTAGAGGAACACCAACTTCAGCACAGCAACTCGAGGAATGCTCCGTCTACCCCAAATCGTCTCGAGATGCGAGCTGATTCCCTGGCTTAGGCTCAAGACGTATGCCAACTTCCCAGAAGCACCTCAGGAGGAGGCTTCTCTCAGCAATAGGTATGTGGGAGGGACCCCGAGTTTGCTGCCTCAAGGGGAATATACAGCGAGAAGCCCTAACTTGAAAGGAGGCCGGATTTCCTTGCAGTGGCTTGAATACAGGCTCGTCTTTCATCTCACAACATGAAGGGATGTCTGAATCCCCTGTGGAGACCTTAGAGAAAGACCTAGGTCCCTGCCTCATTTTGACGGAATGCCTCACATCCCGCTGACACCTCGAGAGGCACGCGGAGTTCATTGCTTCAAAAGGTGACGATGCCTGACTCCTCTTGAATACTGATAGGAATCCCAAAATCCCTGTGGCTACTGGAAAGGGTCCTTGGGTGCCCTGCCTCACCTCGAGAAGCGTCCCTTTGGCCCTGCCAAGCCTCGAAGTGATTCCTGAGGTGTCCCTCGTTACTAGACAGGAGTCCTGACGTCACTGAAGAAACTCGTGTTTTGAAGGGCCATCCCCGCCGTAAGTCGAGAACATACCCCAGGTCCCCGCCGCAACTCGAGAAAAACCATGAGACTTCCCCCTAGAGGCGAGATGAGGCCCCATTCCCCTGCAGTGCATGCAGAGCTATTCCGTGACCCCATTCAAACAAGTCAGGAGCTTCGACTTGCTTAATGGATCTCGAGACAGTCCCCAAGAACACTGTCACCAGTCTAGACGGACCCTGAGGTCACCCCGGCAACGCAAAGCAGCTCCATGTGCCCCAAATCAACTCGAGATGAGGCCCGATTCCCCTGCATTGACTCCAGAGCCATTCCCCGTTCCCCATTCAACACGACCGGTGGCTCGACTTCCTTCAGGCAACTCCAGAGATGCCCCGAGAACACTGTCCCAAGTCTAGAGGAACACCAACTTCAGCACAGCAACTCGAGGAATGCTCCGTGTACCCCAAATCGTCTCGAGATGCGAGCTGATTCCCTGGCTTAGGCTCAAGACATATGCCAACTTCCCAGAAGCACCTCAGGAGGAGGCTTCTCTCAGCAATAGGTATGTGGGAGGGACCCCGAGTTTGCTGCCTCAAGGGGAATATACAGCGAGAAGCCCTAACTTGAAAGGAGGCCGGATTTCCTTGCAGTGGCTTGAATACAGGCTCGTCTTTCATCTCACAACATGAAGGGATGTCTGAATCCCCTGTGGAGACCTTAGAGAAAGCCCTAGGTCCCTGCCTCATTTTGACGGAATGCCTCACATCCCGCTGACACCTCAAGAGGCACGCGGAGTTCATTGCTTCAAAAGGTGACGATGCCTGACTCCTCTTGAATACTGATAGGAATCCCAAAATCCCTGTGGCTACTGGAAAGGGTCCTTGGGTGCCCTGCCTCACCTCGAGAAGCGTCCCTTTGGCCCTGCCAAGCCTCGAAGAGATTCCTGAGGTGTCCCTCGTTACTAGACAGGAGTCCTGACGTCACTGAAGAAACTCGTGTTTTGAAGGGCCATCCCCGCCGTAAGTCGAGAACATACCCCAGGTCCCCGCCGCAACTCGAGAAAAACCATGAGACTTCCCCCTAGAGGCGAGATGAGGCCCCATTCCCCTGCAGTGCATGCAGAGCTATTCCGTGACCCCATTCAAACAAGTCAGGAGCTTCGACTTGCTTAATGGATCTCGAGACAGTCCCCAAGAACACTGTCACCAGTCTAGACGGACCCTGAGGTCACCCCAGCAACGCAAAGCAGCTCCATGTGCCCCAAATCAACTCGAGATGAGGCCCGATTCCCCTGCATTGACTCCAGAGCCATTCCCCGTTCCCCATTCAACACGACCGGTGGCTCGACTTCCTTCAGGCAACTCCAGAGATGCCCCGAGAACACTGTCCCAAGTCTAGAGGAACACCAACTTCAGCACAGCAACTCGAGGAATGCTCCGTGTACCCCAAATCGTCTCGAGATGCGAGCTGATTCCCTGGCTTAGGCTCAAGACGTATGCCAACTTCCCAGAAGCACCTCAGGAGGAGGCTTCTCTCAGCAATAGGTATGTGGGAGGGACCCCGAGTTTGCTGCCTCAAGGGGAATATACAGCGAGAAGCCCTAACTTGAAAGGAGGCCGGATTTCCTTGCAGTGGCTTGAATACAGGCTCGTCTTTCATCTCACAACATGAAGGGATGTCTGAATCCCCTGTGGAGACCTTAGAGAAAGCCCTAGGTCCCTGCCTCATTTTGACGGAATGCCTCACATCCCGCTGACACCTCGAGAGGCACGCGGAGTTCATTGCTTCAAAAGGTGACGATGCCTGACTCCTCTTGAATACTGATAGGAATCCCAAAATCCCTGTGGCTACTGGAAAGGGTCCTTGGGTGCACTGCCTCACCTCGAGAAGCGTCCCTTTGGCCCTGCCAAGCCTCGTAGAGATTCCTGAGGTGTCCCTCGTTACTAGACAGGAGTCCTGACGTCACTGAAGAAACTCGTGTTTTGAAGGGCCATCCCCGCCGTAAGTCGAGAACATACCCCAGGTCCCCGCCGCAACTTGAGAAAAACCATGAGACTTCCCCCTAGAGGCGAGATGAGGCCCCATTCCCCTGCAGTGCATGCAGAGCTATTCCGTGATCCCATTCAAACAAGTCAGGAGCTTCGACTTGCTTAATGGATCTCGAGACAGTCCCCAAGAACACTGTCACCAGTCTAGACGGACCCTTAGGTCACCCCAGCAACGCAAAGCAGCTCCATGTGCCCCAAATCAACTCGAGATGAGGCCCGATTCCCCTGCATTGACTCCAGAGCCATTCCCCGTTCCCCATTCAACACGACCGGTGGCTCGACTTCCTTCAGGCAACTCCAGAGATGCCCCGAGAACACTGTCCCAAGTCTAGAGGAACACCAACTTCAGCACAGCAACTCGAGGAATGCTCCGTGTACCCCAAATCGTCTCGAGATGCGAGCTGATTCCCTGGCTTAGGCTCAAGACGTATGCCAACTTCCCAGAAGCACCTCAGGAGGAGGCTTCTCTCAGCAATAGGTATGTGGGAGGGACCCCGAGTTTGCTGCCTCAAGGGGAATATACAGCGAGAAGCCCTAACTTGAAAGGAGGCCGGATTTCCTTGCAGTGGCTTGAATACAGGCTCGTCTTTCATCTCACAACATGAAGGGATGTCTGAATCCCCTGTGGAGACCTTAGAGAAAGCCCTAGGTCCCTGCCTCATTTTGACGGAATGCCTCACATCCCGCTGACACCTCGAGAGGCACGCGGAGTTCATTGCTTCAAAAGGTGACGATGCCTGACTCCTCTTGAATACTGATAGGAATCCCAAAATCCCTGTGGCTACTGGAAAGGGTCCTTGGGTGCCCTGCCTCACCTCGAGAAGCGTCCCTTTGGCCCTGCCAAGCCTCGAAGAGATTCCTGAGGTGTCCCTCGTTACTAGACAGGAGTCCTGACGTCACTGAAGAAACTCGTGTTTTGAAGGGCCATCCCCGCCGTAAGTCGAGAACATACCCCAGGTCCCCGCCGCAACTCGAGAAAAACCATGAGACTTCCCCCTAGAGGCGAGATGAGGCCCCATTCCCCTGCAGTGCATGCAGAGCTATTCCGTGATCCCATTCAAACAAGTCAGGAGCTTCGACTTGCTTAATGGATCTCGAGACAGTCCCCAAGAACACTGTCACCAGTCTAGACGGACCCTGAGGTCACCCCAGCAACGCAAAGCAGCTCCATGTGCCCCAAATCAACTCGAGATGAGGCCCGATTCCCCTGCATTGACTCCAGAGCCATTCCCCGTTCCCCATTCAACACGACCGGTGGCTCGACTTCCTTCAGGCAACTCCAGAGATGCCCCGAGAACACTGTCCCAAGTCTAGAGGAACACCAACTTCAGCACAGCAACTCGAGGAATGCTCCGTGTACCCCAAATCGTCTCGAGATGCGAGCTGATTCCCTGGCTTAGGCTCAAGACGTATGCCAACTTCCCAGAAGCACCTCAGGAGGAGGCTTCTCTCAGCAATAGGTATGTGGGAGGGACCCCGAGTTTGCTGCCTCAAGGGGAATATACAGCGAGAAGCCCTAACTTGAAAGGAGGCCGGATTTCCTTGCAGTGGCTTGAATACAGGCTCGTCTTTCATCTCACAACATGAAGGGATGTCTGAATCCCCTGTGGAGACCTTAGAGAAAGCCCTAGGTCCCTGCCTCATTTTGACGGAATGCCTCACATCCCGCTGACACCTCAAGAGGCACGCGGAGTTCATTGCTTCAAAAGGTGACGATGCCTGACTCCTCTTGAATACTGATAGGAATCCCAAAATCCCTGTGGCTACTGGAAAGGGTCCTTGGGTGCCCTGCCTCACCTCGAGAAGCGTCCCTTTGGCCCTGCCAAGCCTCGAAGAGATTCCTGAGGTGTCCCTCGTTACTAGACAGGAGTCCTGACGTCACTGAAGAAACTCGTGTTTTGAAGGGCCATCCCCGCCGTAAGTCGAGAACATACCCCAGGTCCCCGCCGCAACTCGAGAAAAACCATGAGACTTCCCCCTAGAGGCGAGATGAGGCCCCATTCCCCTGCAGTGCATGCAGAGCTATTCCGTGACCCCATTCAAACAAGTCAGGAGCTTCGACTTGCTTAATGGATCTCGAGACAGTCCCCAAGAACACTGTCACCAGTCTAGACGGACCCTGAGGTCACCCCAGCAACGCAAAGCAGCTCCATGTGCCCCAAATCAACTCGAGATGAGGCCCGATTCCCCTGCATTGACTCCAGAGCCATTCCCCGTTCCCCATTCAACACGACCGGTGGCTCGACTTCCTTCAGGCAACTCCAGAGATGCCCCGAGAACACTGTCCCAAGTCTAGAGGAACACCAACTTCAGCACAGCAACTCGAGGAATGCTCCGTCTACCCCAAATCGTCTCGAGATGCGAGCTGATTCCCTGGCTTAGGCTCAAGACGTATGCCAACTTCCCAGAAGCACCTCAGGAGGAGGCTTCTCTCAGCAATAGGTATGTGGGAGGGACCCCGAGTTTGCTGCCTCAAGGGGAATATACAGCGAGAAGCCCTAACTTGAAAGGAGGCCGGATTTCCTTGCAGTGGCTTGAATACAGGCTCGTCTTTCATCTCACAACATGAAGGGATGTCTGAATCCCCTGTGGAGACCTTAGAGAAAGCCCTAGGTCCCTGCCTCATTTTGACGGAATGCCTCACATCCCGCTGACACCTCGAGAGGCACGCGGAGTTCATTGCTTCAAAAGGTGACGATGCCTGACTCCTCTTGAATACTGATAGGAATCCCAAAATCCCTGTGGCTACTGGAAAGGGTCCTTGGGTGCCCTGCCTCACCTCGAGAAGCGTCCCTTTGGCCCTGCCAAGCCTCGTAGAGATTCCTGAGGTGTCCCTCGTTACTAGACAGGAGTCCTGACGTCACTGAAGAAACTCGTGTTTTGAAGGGCCATCCCCGCCGTAAGTCGAGAACATACCCCAGGTCCCCGCCGCAACTCGAGAAAAACCATGAGACTTCCCCCTAGAGGCGAGATGAGGCCCCATTCCCCTGCAGTGCATGCAGAGCTATTCCGTGATCCCATTCAAACAAGTCAGGAGCTTCGACTTGCTTAATGGATCTCGAGACAGTCCCCAAGAACACTGTCACCAGTCTAGACGGACCCTGAGGTCACCCCAGCAACGCAAAGCCGCTCCATGTGCCCCAAATCAACTCGAGATGAGGCCCGATTCCCCTGCATTGACTCCAGAGCCATTCCCCGTTCCCCATTCAACACGACCGGTGGCTCGACTTCCTTCAGGCAACTCCAGAGATGCCCCGAGAACACTGTCCCAAGTCTAGAGGAACACCAACTTCAGCACAGCAACTCGAGGAATGCTCCGTGTACCCCAAATCGTCTCGAGATGCGAGCTGATTCCCTGGCTTAGGCTCAAGACGTATGCCAACTTCCCAGAAGCACCTCAGGAGGAGGCTTCTCTCAGCAATAGGTATGTGGGAGGGACCCCGAGTTTGCTGCCTCAAGGGGAATATACAGCGAGAAGCCCTAACTTGAAAGGAGGCCGGATTTCCTTGCAGTGGCTTGAATACAGGCTCGTCTTTCATCTCACAACATGAAGGGATGTCTGAATCCCCTGTGGAGACCTTAGAGAAAGCCCTAGGTCCCTGCCTCATTTTGACGGAATGCCTCACATCCCGCTGACACCTCGAGAGGCACGCGGAGTTCATTGCTTCAAAAGGTGACGATGCCTGACTCCTCTTGAATACTGATAGGAATCCCAAAATCCCTGTGGCTACTGGAAAGGGTCCTTGGGTGCCCTGCCTCACCTCGAGAAGCGTCCCTTTGGCCCTGCCAAGCCTCGAAGAGATTCCTGAGGTGTCCCTCGTTACTAGACAGGAGTCCTGACGTCACTGAAGAAACTCGTGTTTTGAAGGGCCATCCCCGCCGTAAGTCGAGAACATACCCCAGGTCCCCGCCGCAACTCGAGAAAAACCATGAGACTTCCCCCTAGAGGCGAGATGAGGCCCCATTCCCCTGCAGTGCATGCAGAGCTATTCCGTGATCCCATTCAAACAAGTCAGGAGCTTCGACTTGCTTAATGGATCTCGAGACAGTCCCCAAGAACACTGTCACCAGTCTAGACGGACCCTGAGGTCACCCCAGCAACGCAAAGCAGCTCCATGTGCCCCAAATCAACTCGAGATGAGGCCCGATTCCCCTGCATTGACTCCAGAGCCATTCCCCGTTCCCCATTCAACACGACCGGTGGCTCGACTTCCTTCAGGCAACTCCAGAGATGCCCCGAGAACACTGTCCCAAGTCTAGAGGAACACCAACTTCAGCACAGCAACTCGAGGAATGCTCCGTCTACCCCAAATCGTCTCGAGATGCGAGCTGATTCCCTGGCTTAGGCTCAAGACGTATGCCAACTTCCCAGAAGCACCTCAGGAGGAGGCTTCTCTCAGCAATAGGTATGTGGGAGGGACCCCGAGTTTGCTGCCTCAAGGGGAATATACAGCGAGAAGCCCTAACTTGAAAGGAGGCCGGATTTCCTTGCAGTGGCTTGAATACAGGCTCGTCTTTCATCTCACAACATGAAGGGATGTCTGAATCCCCTGTGGAGACCTTAGAGAAAGCCCTAGGTCCCTGCCTCATTTTGACGGAATGCCTCACATCCCGCTGACACCTCGAGAGGCACGCGGAGTTCATTGCTTCAAAAGGTGACGATGCCTGACTCCTCTTGAATACTGATAGGAATCCCAAAATCCCTGTGGCTACTGGAAAGGGTCCTTGGGTGCCCTGCCTCACCTCGAGAAGCGTCCCTTTGGCCCTGCCAAGCCTCGAAGAGATTCCTGAGGTGTCCCTCGTTACTAGACAGGAGTCCTGACGTCACTGAAGAAACTCGTGTTTTGAAGGGCCATCCCCGCCGTAAGTCGAGAACATACCCCAGGTCCCCGCCGCAACTCGAGAAAAACCATGAGACTTCCCCCTAGAGGCGAGATGAGGCCCCATTCCCCTGCAGTGCATGCAGAGCTATTCCGTGACCCCATTCAAACAAGTCAGGAGCTTCGACTTGCTTAATGGATCTCGAGACAGTCCCCAAGAACACTGTCACCAGTCTAGACGGACCCTGAGGTCACCCCGGCAACGCAAAGCAGCTCCATGTGCCCCAAATCAACTCGAGATGAGGCCCGATTCCCCTGCATTGACTCCAGAGCCATTCCCCGTTCCCCATTCAACACGACCGGTGGCTCGACTTCCTTCAGGCAACTCCAGAGATGCCCCGAGAACACTGTCCCAAGTCTAGAGGAACACCAACTTCAGCACAGCAACTCGAGGAATGCTCCGTGTACCCCAAATCGTCTCGAGATGCGAGCTGATTCCCTGGCTTAGGCTCAAGACATATGCCAACTTCCCAGAAGCACCTCAGGAGGAGGCTTCTCTCAGCAATAGGTATGTGGGAGGGACCCCGAGTTTGCTGCCTCAAGGGGAATATACAGCGAGAAGCCCTAACTTGAAAGGAGGCCGGATTTCCTTGCAGTGGCTTGAATACAGGCTCGTCTTTCATCTCACAACATGAAGGGATGTCTGAATCCCCTGTGGAGACCTTAGAGAAAGCCCTAGGTCCCTGCCTCATTTTGACGGAATGCCTCACATCCCGCTGACACCTCAAGAGGCACGCGGAGTTCATTGCTTCAAAAGGTGACGATGCCTGACTCCTCTTGAATACTGATAGGAATCCCAAAATCCCTGTGGCTACTGGAAAGGGTCCTTGGGTGCCCTGCCTCACCTCGAGAAGCGTCCCTTTGGCCCTGCCAAGCCTCGAAGAGATTCCTGAGGTGTCCCTCGTTACTAGACAGGAGTCCTGACGTCACTGAAGAAACTCGTGTTTTGAAGGGCCATCCCCGCCGTAAGTCGAGAACATACCCCAGGTCCCCGCCGCAACTCGAGAAAAACCATGAGACTTCCCCCTAGAGGCGAGATGAGGCCCCATTCCCCTGCAGTGCATGCAGAGCTATTCCGTGACCCCATTCAAACAAGTCAGGAGCTTCGACTTGCTTAATGGATCTCGAGACAGTCCCCAAGAACACTGTCACCAGTCTAGACGGACCCTGAGGTCACCCCAGCAACGCAAAGCAGCTCCATGTGCCCCAAATCAACTCGAGATGAGGCCCGATTCCCCTGCATTGACTCCAGAGCCATTCCCCGTTCCCCATTCAACACGACCGGTGGCTCGACTTCCTTCAGGCAACTCCAGAGATGCCCCGAGAACACTGTCCCAAGTCTAGAGGAACACCAACTTCAGCACAGCAACTCGAGGAATGCTCCGTCTACCCCAAATCGTCTCGAGATGCGAGCTGATTCCCTGGCTTAGGCTCAAGACGTATGCCAACTTCCCAGAAGCACCTCAGGAGGAGGCTTCTCTCAGCAATAGGTATGTGGGAGGGACCCCGAGTTTGCTGCCTCAAGGGGAATATACAGCGAGAAGCCCTAACTTGAAAGGAGGCCGGATTTCCTTGCAGTGGCTTGAATACAGGCTCGTCTTTCATCTCACAACATGAAGGGATGTCTGAATCCCCTGTGGAGACCTTAGAGAAAGCCCTAGGTCCCTGCCTCATTTTGACGGAATGCCTCACATCCCGCTGACACCTCGAGAGGCACGCGGAGTTCATTGCTTCAAAAGGTGACGATGCCTGACTCCTCTTGAATACTGATAGGAATCCCAAAATCCCTGTGGCTACTGGAAAGGGTCCTTGGGTGCACTGCCTCACCTCGAGAAGCGTCCCTTTGGCCCTGCCAAGCCTCGTAGATATTCCTGAGGTGTCCCTCGTTACTAGACAGGAGTCCTGACGTCACTGAAGAAACTCGTGTTTTGAAGGGCCATCCCCGCCGTAAGTCGAGAACATACCCCAGGTCCCCGCCGCAACTCGAGAAAAACCATGAGACTTCCCCCTAGAGGCGAGATGAGGCCCCATTCCCCTGCAGTGCATGCAGAGCTATTCCGTGATCCCATTCAAACAAGTCAGGAGCTTCGACTTGCTTAATGGATCTCGAGACAGTCCCCAAGAACACTGTCACCAGTCTAGACGGACCCTGAGGTCACCCCAGCAACGCAAAGCAGCTCCATGTGCCCCAAATCAACTCGAGATGAGGCCCGATTCCCCTGCATTGACTCCAGAGCCATTCCCCGTTCCCCATTCAACACGACCGGTGGCTCGACTTCCTTCAGGCAACTCCAGAGATGCCCCGAGAACACTGTCCCAAGTCTAGAGGAACACCAACTTCAGCACAGCAACTCGAGGAATGCTCCGTGTACCCCAAATCGTCTCGAGATGCGAGCTGATTCCCTGGCTTAGGCTCAAGACGTATGCCAACTTCCCAGAAGCACCTCAGGAGGAGGCTTCTCTCAGCAATAGGTATGTGGGAGGGACCCCGAGTTTGCTGCCTCAAGGGGAATATACAGCGAGAAGCCCTAACTTGAAAGGAGGCCGGATTTCCTTGCAGTGGCTTGAATACAGGCTCGTCTTTCATCTCACAACATGAAGGGATGTCTGAATCCCCTGTGGAGACCTTAGAGAAAGCCCTAGGTCCCTGCCTCATTTTGACGGAATGCCTCACATCCCGCTGACACCTCGAGAGGCACGCGGAGTTCATTGCTTCAAAAGGTGACGATGCCTGACTCCTCTTGAATACTGATAGGAATCCCAAAATCCCTGTGGCTACTGGAAAGGGTCCTTGGGTGCCCTGCCTCACCTCGAGAAGCGTCCCTTTGGCCCTGCCAAGCCTCGAAGAGATTCCTGAGGTGTCCCTCGTTACTAGACAGGAGTCCTGACGTCACTGAAGAAACTCGTGTTTTGAAGGGCCATCCCCGCCGTAAGTCGAGAACATACCCCAGGTCCCCGCCGCAACTCGAGAAAAACCATGAGACTTCCCCCTAGAGGCGAGATGAGGCCCCATTCCCCTGCAGTGCATGCAGAGCTATTCCGTGATCCCATTCAAACAAGTCAGGAACTTCGACTTGCTTAATGGATCTCGAGACAGTCCCCAAGAACACTGTCACCAGTCTAGACGGACCCTGAGGTCACCCCGGCAACGCAAAGCAGCTCCATGTGCCCCAAATCAACTCGAGATGAGGCCCGATTCCCCTGCATTGACTCCAGAGCCATTCCCCGTTCCCCATTCAACACGACCGGTGGCTCGACTTCCTTCAGGCAACTCCAGAGATGCCCCGAGAACACTGTCCCAAGTCTAGAGGAACACCAACTTCAGCACAGCAACTCGAGGAATGCTCCGTCTACCCCAAATCGTCTCTTGATGCGAGCTGATTCCCTGGCTTAGGCTCAAGACATATGCCAACTTCCCAGAAGCACCTCAGGAGGAGGCTTCTCTCAGCAATAGGTATGTGGGAGGGACCCCGAGTTTGCTGCCTCAAGGGGAATATACAGCGAGAAGCCCTAACTTGAAAGGAGGCCGGATTTCCTTGCAGTGGCTTGAATACAGGCTCGTCTTTCATCTCACAACATGAAGGGATGTCTGAATCCCCTGTGGAGACCTTAGAGAAAGCCCTAGGTCCCTGCCTCATTTTGACGGAATGCCTCACATCCCGCTGACACCTCAAGAGGCACGCGGAGTTCATTGCTTCAAAAGGTGACGATGCCTGACTCCTCTTGAATACTGATAGGAATCCCAAAATCCCTGTGGCTACTGGAAAGGGTCCTTGGGTGCCCTGCCTCACCTCGAGAAGCGTCCCTTTGGCCCTGCCAAGCCTCGAAGAGATTCCTGAGGTGTCCCTCGTTACTAGACAGGAGTCCTGACGTCACTGAAGAAACTCGTGTTTTGAAGGGCCATCCCCGCCGTAAGTCGAGAACATACCCCAGGTCCCCGCCGCAACTCGAGAAAAACCATGAGACTTCCCCCTAGAGGCGAGATGAGGCCCCATTCCCCTGCAGTGCATGCAGAGCTATTCCGTGACCCCATTCAAACAAGTCAGGAGCTTCGACTTGCTTAATGGATCTCGAGACAGTCCCCAAGAACACTGTCACCAGTCTAGACGGACCCTGAGGTCACCCCAGCAACGCAAAGCAGCTCCATGTGCCCCAAATCAACTCGAGATGAGGCCCGATTCCCCTGCATTGACTCCAGAGCCATTCCCCGTTCCCCATTCAACACGACCGGTGGCTCGACTTCCTTCAGGCAACTCCAGAGATGCCCCGAGAACACTGTCCCAAGTCTAGAGGAACACCAACTTCAGCACAGCAACTCGAGGAATGCTCCGTCTACCCCAAATCGTCTCGAGATGCGAGCTGATTCCCTGGCTTAGGCTCAAGACGTATGCCAACTTCCCAGAAGCACCTCAGGAGGAGGCTTCTCTCAGCAATAGGTATGTGGGAGGGACCCCGAGTTTGCTGCCTCAAGGGGAATATACAGCGAGAAGCCCTAACTTGAAAGGAGGCCGGATTTCCTTGCAGTGGCTTGAATACAGGCTCGTCTTTCATCTCACAACATGAAGGGATGTCTGAATCCCCTGTGGAGACCTTAGAGAAAGCCCTAGGTCCCTGCCTCATTTTGACGGAATGCCTCACATCCCGCTGACACCTCGAGAGGCACGCGGAGTTCATTGCTTCAAAAGGTGACGATGCCTGACTCCTCTTGAATACTGATAGGAATCCCAAAATCCCTGTGGCTACTGGAAAGGGTCCTTGGGTGCCCTGCCTCACCTCGAGAAGCGTCCCTTTGGCCCTGCCAAGCCTCGTAGAGATTCCTGAGGTGTCCCTCGTTACTAGACAGGAGTCCTGACGTCACTGAAGAAACTCGTGTTTTGAAGGGCCATCCCCGCCGTAAGTCGAGAACATACCCCAGGTCCCCGCCGCAACTCGAGAAAAACCATGAGACTTCCCCCTAGAGGCGAGATGAGGCCCCATTCCCCTGCAGTGCATGCAGAGCTATTCCGTGATCCCATTCAAACAAGTCAGGAGCTTCGACTTGCTTAATGGATCTCGAGACAGTCCCCAAGAACACTGTCACCAGTCTAGACGGACCCTGAGGTCACCCCAGCAACGCAAAGCAGCTCCATGTGCCCCAAATCAACTCGAGATGAGGCCCGATTCCCCTGCATTGACTCCAGAGCCATTCCCCGTTCCCCATTCAACACGACCGGTGGCTCGACTTCCTTCAGGCAACTCCAGAGATGCCCCGAGAACACTGTCCCAAGTCTAGAGGAACACCAACTTCAGCACAGCAACTCGAGGAATGCTCCGTGTACCCCAAATCGTCTCGAGATGCGAGCTGATTCCCTGGCTTAGGCTCAAGACGTATGCCAACTTCCCAGAAGCACCTCAGGAGGAGGCTTCTCTCAGCAATAGGTATGTGGGAGGGACCCCGAGTTTGCTGCCTCAAGGGGAATATACAGCGAGAAGCCCTAACTTGAAAGGAGGCCGGATTTCCTTGCAGTGGCTTGAATACAGGCTCGTCTTTCATCTCACAACATGAAGGGATGTCTGAATCCCCTGTGGAGACCTTAGAGAAAGCCCTAGGTCCCTGCCTCATTTTGACGGAATGCCTCACATCCCGCTGACACCTCGAGAGGCACGCGGAGTTCATTGCTTCAAAAGGTGACGATGCCTGACTCCTCTTGAATACTGATAGGAATCCCAAAATCCCTGTGGCTACTGGAAAGGGTCCTTGGGTGCCCTGCCTCACCTCGAGAAGCGTCCCTTTGGCCCTGCCAAGCCTCGAAGAGATTCCTGAGGTGTCCCTCGTTACTAGACAGGAGTCCTGACGTCACTGAAGAAACTCGTGTTTTGAAGGGCCATCCCCGCCGTAAGTCGAGAACATACCCCAGGTCCCCGCCGCAACTCGAGAAAAACCATGAGACTTCCCCCTAGAGGCGAGATGAGGCCCCATTCCCCTGCAGTGCATGCAGAGCTATTCCGTGATCCCATTCAAACAAGTCAGGAACTTCGACTTGCTTAATGGATCTCGAGACAGTCCCCAAGAACACTGTCACCAGTCTAGACGGACCCTGAGGTCACCCCGGCAACGCAAAGCAGCTCCATGTGCCCGAAATCAACTCGAGATGAGGCCCGATTCCCCTGCATTGACTCCAGAGCCATTCCCCGTTCCCCATTCAACACGACCGGTGGCTCGACTTCCTTCAGGCAACTCCAGAGATGCCCCGAGAACACTGTCCCAAGTCTAGAGGAACACCAACTTCAGCACAGCAACTCGAGGAATGCTCCGTCTACCCCAAATCGTCTCTTGATGCGAGCTGATTCCCTGGCTTAGGCTCAAGACATATGCCAACTTCCCAGAAGCACCTCAGGAGGAGGCTTCTCTCAGCAATAGGTATGTGGGAGGGACCCCGAGTTTGCTGCCTCAAGGGTAATATACAGCGAGAAGCCCTAACTTGAAAGGAGGCCGGATTTCCTTGCAGTGGCTTGAATACAGGCTCGTCTTTCATCTCACAACATGAAGGGATGTCTGAATCCCCTGTGGAGACCTTAGAGAAAGCCCTAGGTCCCTGCCTCATTTTGACGGAATGCCTCACATCCCGCTGACACCTCGAGAGGCACGCGGAGTTCATTGCTTCAAAAGGTGACGATGCCTGACTCCTCTTGAATACTGATAGGAATCCCAAAATCCCTGTGGCTACTGGAAAGGGTCCTTGGGTGCCCTGCCTCACCTCGAGAAGCGTCCCTTTGGCCCTGCCAAGCCTCGAAGAGATTCCTGAGGTGTCCCTCGTTACTAGACAGGAGTCCTGACGTCACTGAAGAAACTCGTGTTTTGAAGGGCCATCCCCGCCGTAAGTCGAGAACATACCCCAGGTCCCCGCCGCAACTCGAGAAAAACCATGAGACTTCCCCCTAGAGGCGAGATGAGGCCCCATTCCCCTGCAGTGCATGCAGAGCTATTCCGTGATCCCATTCAAACAAGTCAGGAGCTTCGACTTGCTTAATGGATCTCGAGACAGTCCCCAAGAACACTGTCACCAGTCTAGACGGACCCTGAGGTCACCCCAGCAACGCAAAGCAGCTCCATGTGCCCCAAATCAACTCGAGATGAGGCCCGATTCCCCTGCATTGACTCCAGAGCCATTCCCCGTTCCCCATTCAACACGACCGGTGGCTCGACTTCCTTCAGGCAACTCCAGAGATGCCCCGAGAACACTGTCCCAAGTCTAGAGGAACACCAACTTCAGCACAGCAACTCGAGGAATGCTCCGTGTACCCCAAATCGTCTCGAGATGCGAGCTGATTCCCTGGCTTAGGCTCAAGACGTATGCCAACTTCCCAGAAGCACCTCAGGAGGAGGCTTCTCTCAGCAATAGGTATGTGGGAGGGACCCCGAGTTTGCTGCCTCAAGGGGAATATACAGCGAGAAGCCCTAACTTGAAAGGAGGCCGGATTTCCTTGCAGTGGCTTGAATACAGGCTCGTCTTTCATCTCACAACATGAAGGGATGTCTGAATCCCCTGTGGAGACCTTAGAGAAAGCCCTAGGTCCCTGCCTCATTTTGACGGAATGCCTCACATCCCGCTGACACCTCAAGAGGCACGCGGAGTTCATTGCTTCAAAAGGTGACGATGCCTGACTCCTCTTGAATACTGATAGGAATCCCAAAATCCCTGTGGCTACTGGAAAGGGTCCTTGGGTGCCCTGCCTCACCTCGAGAAGCGTCCCTTTGGCCCTGCCAAGCCTCGAAGAGATTCCTGAGGTGTCCCTCGTTACTAGACAGGAGTCCTGACGTCACTGAAGAAACTCGTGTTTTGAAGGGCCATCCCCGCCGTAAGTCGAGAACATACCCCAGGTCCCCGCCGCAACTCGAGAAAAACCATGAGACTTCCCCCTAGAGGCGAGATGAGGCCCCATTCCCCTGCAGTGCATGCAGAGCTATTCCGTGACCCCATTCAAACAAGTCAGGAGCTTCGACTTGCTTAATGGATCTCGAGACAGTCCCCAAGAACACTGTCACCAGTCTAGACGGACCCTGAGGTCACCCCAGCAACGCAAAGCAGCTCCATGTGCCCCAAATCAACTCGAGATGAGGCCCGATTCCCCTGCATTGACTCCAGAGCCATTCCCCGTTCCCCATTCAACACGACCGGTGGCTCGACTTCCTTCAGGCAACTCCAGAGATGCCCCGAGAACACTGTCCCAAGTCTAGAGGAACACCAACTTCAGCACAGCAACTCGAGGAATGCTCCGTCTACCCCAAATCGTCTCGAGATGCGAGCTGATTCCCTGGCTTAGGCTCAAGACGTATGCCAACTTCCCAGAAGCACCTCAGGAGGAGGCTTCTCTCAGCAATAGGTATGTGGGAGGGACCCCGAGTTTGCTGCCTCAAGGGGAATATACAGCGAGAAGCCCTAACTTGAAAGGAGGCCGGATTTCCTTGCAGTGGCTTGAATACAGGCTCGTCTTTCATCTCACAACATGAAGGGATGTCTGAATCCCCTGTGGAGACCTTAGAGAAAGCCCTAGGTCCCTGCCTCATTTTGACGGAATGCCTCACATCCCGCTGACACCTCGAGAGGCACGCGGAGTTCATTGCTTCAAAAGGTGACGATGCCTGACTCCTCTTGAATACTGATAGGAATCCCAAAATCCCTGTGGCTACTGGAAAGGGTCCTTGGGTGCCCTGCCTCACCTCGAGAAGCGTCCCTTTGGCCCTGCCAAGCCTCGTAGAGATTCCTGAGGTGTCCCTCGTTACTAGACAGGAGTCCTGACGTCACTGAAGAAACTCGTGTTTTGAAGGGCCATCCCCGCCGTAAGTCGAGAACATACCCCAGGTCCCCGCCGCAACTCGAGAAAAACCATGAGACTTCCCCCTAGAGGCGAGATGAGGCCCCATTCCCCTGCAGTGCATGCAGAGCTATTCCGTGATCCCATTCAAACAAGTCAGGAGCTTCGACTTGCTTAATGGATCTCGAGACAGTCCCCAAGAACACTGTCACCAGTCTAGACGGACCCTGAGGTCACCCCAGCAACGCAAAGCAGCTCCATGTGCCCCAAATCAACTCGAGATGAGGCCCGATTCCCCTGCATTGACTCCAGAGCCATTCCCCGTTCCCCATTCAACACGACCGGTGGCTCGACTTCCTTCAGGCAACTCCAGAGATGCCCCGAGAACACTGTCCCAAGTCTAGAGGAACACCAACTTCAGCACAGCAACTCGAGGAATGCTCCGTGTACCCCAAATCGTCTCGAGATGCGAGCTGATTCCCTGGCTTAGGCTCAAGACGTATGCCAACTTCCCAGAAGCACCTCAGGAGGAGGCTTCTCTCAGCAATAGGTATGTGGGAGGGACCCCGAGTTTGCTGCCTCAAGGGGAATATACAGCGAGAAGCCCTAACTTGAAAGGAGGCCGGATTTCCTTGCAGTGGCTTGAATACAGGCTCGTCTTTGATCTGACAACATGAAGGGATGTCTGAATCCCCTGTGGAGACCTTAGAGAAAGCCCTAGGTCCCTGCCTCATTTTGACGGAATGCCTCACATCCCGCTGACACCTCGAGAGGCACGCGGAGTTCATTGCTTCAAAAGGTGACGATGCCTGACTCCTCTTGAATACTGATAGGAATCCCAAAATCCCTGTGGCTACTGGAAAGGGTCCTTGGGTGCCCTGCCTCACCTCGAGAAGCGTCCCTTTTGCCCTGCCAAGCCTCGAAGAGATTCCTGAGGTGTCCCTCGTTACTAGACAGGAGTCCTGACGTCACTGAAGAAACTCGTGTTTTGAAGGGCCATCCCCGCCGTAAGTCGAGAACATACCCCAGGTCCCCGCCGCAACTCGAGAAAAACCATGAGACTTCCCCCTAGAGGCGAGATGAGGCCCCATTCCCCTGCAGTGCATGCAGAGCTATTCCGTGATCCCATTCAAACAAGTCAGGAGCTTCGACTTGCTTAATGGATCTCGAGACAGTCCCCAAGAACACTGTCACCAGTCTAGACGGACCCTGAGGTCACCCCAGCAACGCAAAGCAGCTCCATGTGCCCCAAATCAACTCGAGATGAGGCCCGATTCCCCTGCATTGACTCCAGAGCCATTCCCCGTTCCCCATTCAACACGACCGGTGGCTCGACTTCCTTCAGGCAACTCCAGAGATGCCCCGAGAACACTGTCCCAAGTCTAGAGGAACACCAACTTCAGCACAGCAACTCGAGGAATCCTCCGTGTACCCCAAATCGTCTCGAGATGCGAGCTGATTCCCTGGCTTAGGCTCAAGACGTATGCCAACTTCCCAGAAGCACCTCAGGAGGAGGCTTCTCTCAGCAATAGGTATGTGGGAGGGACCCCGAGTTTGCTGCCTCAAGGGGAATATACAGCGAGAAGCCCTAACTTGAAAGGAGGCCGGATTTCCTTGCAGTGGCTTGAATACAGGCTCGTCTTTCATCTCACAACATGAAGGGATGTCTGAATCCCCTGTGGAGACCTTAGAGAAAGCCCTAGGTCCCTGCCTCATTTTGACGGAATGCCTCACATCCCGCTGACACCTCGAGAGGCACGCGGAGTTCATTGCTTCAAAAGGTGACGATGCCTGACTCCTCTTGAATACTGATAGGAATCCCAAAATCCCTGTGGCTACTGGAAAGGGTCCTTGGGTGCCCTGCCTCACCTCGAGAAGCGTCCCTTTGGCCCTGCCAAGCCTCGTAGAGATTCCTGAGGTGTCCCTCGTTACTAGACAGGAGTCCTGACGTCACTGAAGAAACTCGTGTTTTGAAGGGCCATCCCCGCCGTAAGTCGAGAACATACCCCAGGTCCCCGCCGCAACTCGAGAAAAACCATGAGACTTCCCCCTAGAGGCGAGATGAGGCCCCATTCCCCTGCAGTGCATGCAGAGCTATTCCGTGATCCCATTCAAACAAGTCAGGAGCTTCGACTTGCTTAATGGATCTCGAGACAGTCCCCAAGAACACTGTCACCAGTCTAGACGGACCCTGAGGTCACCCCAGCAACGCAAAGCAGCTCCATGTGCCCCAAATCAACTCGAGATGAGGCCCGATTCCCCTGCATTGACTCCAGAGCCATTCCCCGTTCCCCATTCAACACGACCGGTGGCTCGACTTCCTTCAGGCAACTCCAGAGATGCCCCGAGAACACTGTCCCAAGTCTAGAGGAACACCAACTTCAGCACAGCAACTCGAGGAATGCTCCGTGTACCCCAAATCGTCTCGAGATGCGAGCTGATTCCCTGGCTTAGGCTCAAGACGTATGCCAACTTCCCAGAAGCACCTCAGGAGGAGGCTTCTCTCAGCAATAGGTATGTGGGAGGGACCCCGAGTTTGCTGCCTCAAGGGGAATATACAGCGAGAAGCCCTAACTTGAAAGGAGGCCGGATTTCCTTGCAGTGGCTTGAATACAGGCTCATCTTTCATCTCACAACATGAAGGGATGTCTGAATCCCCTGTGGAGACCTTAGAGAAAGCCCTAGGTCCCTGCCTCATTTTGACGGAATGCCTCACATCCCGCTGACACCTCGAGAGGCACGCGGAGTTCATTGCTTCAAAAGGTGACGATGCCTGACTCCTCTTGAATACTGATAGGAATCCCAAAATCCCTGTGGCTACTGGAAAGGGTCCTTGGGTGCCCTGCCTCACCTCGAGAAGCGTCCCTTTGGCCCTGCCAAGCCTCGAAGAGATTCCTGAGGTGTCCCTCGTTACTAGACAGGAGTCCTGACGTCACTGAAGAAACTCGTGTTTTGAAGGGCCATCCCCGCCGTAAGTCGAGAACATACCCCAGGTCCCCGCCGCAACTCGAGAAAAACCATGAGACTTCCCCCTAGAGGCGAGATGAGGCCCCATTCCCCTGCAGTGCATGCAGAGCTATTCCGTGATCCCATTCAAACAAGTCAGGAGCTTCGACTTGCTTAATGGATCTCGAGACAGTCCCCAAGAACACTGTCACCAGTCTAGACGGACCCTGAGGTCACCCCAGCAACGCAAAGCAGCTCCATGTGCCCCAAATCAACTCGAGATGAGGCCCGATTCCCCTGCATTGACTCCAGAGCCATTCCCCGTTCCCCATTCAACACGACCGGTGGCTCGACTTCCTTCAGGCAACTCCAGAGATGCCCCGAGAACACTGTCCCAAGTCTAGAGGAACACCAACTTCAGCACAGCAACTCGAGGAATCCTCCGTGTACCCCAAATCGTCTCGAGATGCGAGCTGATTCCCTGGCTTAGGCTCAAGACGTATGCCAACTTCCCAGAAGCACCTCAGGAGGAGGCTTCTCTCAGCAATAGGTATGTGGGAGGGACCCCGAGTTTGCTGCCTCAAGGGGAATATACAGCGAGAAGCCCTAACTTGAAAGGAGGCCGGATTTCCTTGCAGTGGCTTGAATACAGGCTCGTCTTTCATCTCACAACATGAAGGGATGTCTGAATCCCCTGTGGAGACCTTAGAGAAAGCCCTAGGTCCCTGCCTCATTTTGACGGAATGCCTCACATCCCGCTGACACCTCGAGAGGCACGCGGAGTTCATTGCTTCAAAAGGTGACGATGCCTGACTCCTCTTGAATACTGATAGGAATCCCAAAATCCCTGTGGCTACTGGAAAGGGTCCTTGGGTGCCCTGCCTCACCTCGAGAAGCGTCCCTTTGGCCTTGCCAAGCCTCGAAGAGATTCCTGAGGTGTCCCTCGTTACTAGACAGGAGTCCTGACGTCACTGAAGAAACTCGTGTTTTGAAGGGCCATCCCCGCCGTAAGTCGAGAACATACCCCAGGTCCCCGCCGCAACTCGAGAAAAACCATGAGACTTCCCCCTAGAGGCGAGATGAGGCCCCATTCCCCTGCAGTGCATGCAGAGCTATTCCGTGATCCCATTCAAACAAGTCAGGGGCTTCGACTTGCTTAATGGATCTCGAGACAGTCCCCAAGAACACTGTCACCAGTCTAGACGGACCCTGAGGTCACCCCGGCAATGCAAAGCAGCTCCATGTGCCCCAAATCAACTCGAGATGAGGCCCGATTTCCCTGCATTGACTCCAGAGCCATTCCCCGTTCCCCATTCAACACGACCGGTGGCTCGACTTCCTTCAGGCAACTCCAGAGATGCCCCGAGAACACTGTCCCAAGTCTAGAGGAACACCAACTTCAGCACAGCAACTCGAGGAATGCTCCGTCTACCCCAAATCGTCTCGAGATGAGAGCTGATTCCCTGGCTTAGGCTCAAGACGTATGCCAACTTCCCAGAAGCACCTCAGGAGGAGGCTTCTCTCAGCAATAGGTATGTGGGAGGGACCCCGAGTTTGCTGCCTCAAGGGGAATATACAGCGAGAAGCCCTAACTTGAAAGGAGGCCGGATTTCCTTGCAGTGCCTTGAATACAGGCTCGTCTTTCATCTCACAACATGAAGGGATGTCTGAATCCCCTGTGGAGACCTTATAGAAAGCCCTAGGTCCCTGCCTCATTTTGACGGAATGCCTCACATCCCGCTGACACCTCGAGAGGCACGCGGAGTTCATTGCTTCAAAAGGTGACGATGCCTGACTCCTCTTGAATACTGATAGGAATCCCAAAATCCCTGTGGCTACTGGAAAGGGTCCTTGGGTGCCCTGCCTCACCTCGAGAAGCGTCCCTTTGGCCCTGCCAAGCCTCGAAGAGATTCCTGAGGTGTCCCTCGTTACTAGACAGGAGTCCTGACGTCACTGAAGAAACTCGTGTTTTGAAGGGCCATCCCCGCCGTAAGTCGAGAACATACCCCAGGTCCCCGCCGCAACTCGAGAAAAACCATGAGACTTCCCCCTAGAGGCGAGATGAGGCCCCATTCCCCTGCAGTGCATGCAGAGCTATTCCGTGATCCCATTCAAACAAGTCAGGAGCTTCGACTTGCTTAATGGATCTCGAGACAGTCCCCAAGAACACTGTCACCAGTCTAGACGGACCCTGAGGTCACCCCAGCAACGCAAAGCAGCTCCATGTGCCCCAAATCAACTCGAGATGAGGCCCGATTCCCCTGCATTGACTCCAGAGCCATTCCCCGTTCCCCATTCAACACGACCGGTGGCTCGACTTCCTTCAGGCAACTCCAGAGATGCCCCGAGAACACTGTCCCAAGTCTAGAGGAACACCAACTTCAGCACAGCAACTCGAGGAATGCTCCGTGTACCCCAAATCGTCTCGAGATGCGAGCTGATTCCCTGGCTTAGGCTCAAGACGTATGCCAACTTCCCAGAAGCACCTCAGGAGGAGGCTTCTCTCAGCAATAGGTATGTGGGAGGGACCCCGAGTTTGCTGCCTCAAGGGGAATATACAGCGAGAAGCCCTAACTTGAAAGGAGGCCGGATTTCCTTGCAGTGGCTTGAATACAGGCTCGTCTTTCATCTCACAACATGAAGGGATGTCTGAATCCCCTGTGGAGACCTTAGAGAAAGCCCTAGGTCCCTGCCTCATTTTGACGGAATGCCTCACATCCCGCTGACACCTCGAGAGGCACGCGGAGTTCATTGCTTCAAAAGGTGACGATGCCTGACTCCTCTTGAATACTGATAGGAATCCCAAAATCCCTGTGGCTACTGGAAAGGGTCCTTGGGTGCCCTGCCTCACCTCGAGAAGCGTCCCTTTGGCCCTGCCAAGCCTCGAAGAGATTCCTGAGGTGTCCCTCGTTACTAGACAGGAGTCCTGACGTCACTGAAGAAACTCGTGTTTTGAAGGGCCATCCCCGCCGTAAGTCGAGAACATACCCCAGGTCCCCGCCGCAACTCGAGAAAAACCATGAGACTTCCCCCTAGAGGCGAGATGAGGCCCCATTCCCCTGCAGTGCATGCAGAGCTATTCCGTGACCCCATTCAAACAAGTCAGGAGCTTCGACTTGCTTAATGGATCTCGAGACAGTCCCCAAGAACACTGTCACCAGTCTAGACGGACCCTGAGGTCACCCCGGCAACGCAAAGCAGCTCCATGTGCCCCAAATCAACTCGAGATGAGGCCCGATTCCCCTGCATTGACTCCAGAGCCATTCCCCGTTCCCCATTCAACACGACCGGTGGCTCGACTTCCTTCAGGCAACTCCAGAGATGCCCCGAGAACACTGTCCCAAGTCTAGAGGAACACCAACTTCAGCACAGCAACTCGAGGAATGCTCCGTCTACCCCAAATCGTCTCGAGATGCGAGCTGATTCCCTGGCTTAGGCTCAAGACGTATGCCAACTTCCCAGAAGCACCTCAGGAGGAGGCTTCTCTCAGCAATAGGTATGTGGGAGGGACCCCGAGTTTGCTGCCTCAAGGGGAATATACAGCGAGAAGCCCTAACTTGAAAGGAGGCCGGATTTCCTTGCAGTGGCTTGAATACAGGCTCGTCTTTCATCTCACAACATGAAGGGATGTCTGAATCCCCTGTGGAGACCTTAGAGAAAGCCCTAGGTCCCTGCCTCATTTTGACGGAATGCCTCACATCCCGCTGACACCTCGAGAGGCACGCGGAGTTCATTGCTTCAAAAGGTGACGATGCCTGACTCCTCTTGAATACTGATAGGAATCCCAAAATCCCTGTGGCTACTGGAAAGGGTCCTTGGGTGCCCTGCCTCACCTCGAGAAGCGTCCCTTTGGCCCTGCCAAGCCTCGTAGAGATTCCTGAGGTGTCCCTCGTTACTAGACAGGAGTCCTGACGTCACTGAAGAAACTCGTGTTTTGAAGGGCCATCCCCGCCGTAAGTCGAGAACATACCCCAGGTCCCCGCCGCAACTCGAGAAAAACCATGAGACTTCCCCCTAGAGGCGAGATGAGGCCCCATTCCCCTGCAGTGCATGCAGAGCTATTCCGTGATTCCATTCAAACAAGTCAGGAGCTTCGACTTGCTTAATGGATCTCGAGACAGTCCCCAAGAACACTGTCACCAGTCTAGACGGACCCTGAGGTCACCCCAGCAACGCAAAGCAGCTCCATGTGCCCCAAATCAACTCGAGATGAGGCCCGATTCCCCTGCATTGACTCCAGAGCCATTCCCCGTTCCCCATTCAACACGACCGGTGGCTCGACTTCCTTCAGGCAACTCCAGAGATGCCCCGAGAACACTGTCCCAAGTCTAGAGGAACACCAACTTCAGCACAGCAACTCGAGGAATGCTCCGTGTACCCCAAATCGTCTCGAGATGCGAGCTGATTCCCTGGCTTAGGCTCAAGACGTATGCCAACTTCCCAGAAGCACCTCAGGAGGAGGCTTCTCTCAGCAATAGGTATGTGGGAGGGACCCCGAGTTTGCTGCCTCAAGGGGAATATACAGCGAGAAGCCCTAACTTGAAAGGAGGCCGGATTTCCTTGCAGTGGCTTGAATACAGGCTCGTCTTTCATCTCACAACATGAAGGGATGTCTGAATCCCCTGTGGAGACCTTAGAGAAAGCCCTAGGTCCCTGCCTCATTTTGACGGAATGCCTCACATCCCGCTGACACCTCGAGAGGCACGCGGAGTTCATTGCTTCAAAAGGTGACGATGCCTGACTCCTCTTGAATACTGATAGGAATCCCAAAATCCCTGTGGCTACTGGAAAGGGTCCTTGGGTGCCCTGCCTCACGTCGAGAAGCGTCCCTTTGGCCCTGCCAAGCCTCGAAGAGATTCCTGAGGTGTCCCTCGTTACTAGACAGGAGTCCTGACGTCACTGAAGAAACTCGTGTTTTGAAGGGCCATCCCCGCCGTAAGTCAAGAACATACCCCAGGTCCCCGCCGCAACTCGAGAAAAACCATGAGACTTCCCCCTAGAGGCGAGATGAGGCCCCATTCCCCTGCAGTGCATGCAGAGCTATTCCGTGATCCCATTCAAACAAGTCAGGAGCTTCGACTTGCTTAATGGATCTCGAGACAGTCCCCAAGAACACTGTCACCAGTCTAGACGGACCCTGAGGTCACCCCAGCAACGCAAAGCAGCTCCATGTGCCCCAAATCAACTCGAGATGAGGCCCGATTCCCCTGCATTGACTCCAGAGCCATTCCCCGTTCCCCATTCAACACGACCGGTGGCTCGACTTCCTTCAGGCAACTCCAGAGATGCCCCGAGAACACTGTCCCAAGTCTAGAGGAACACCAACTTCAGCACAGCAACTCGAGGAATGCTCCGTCTACCCCAAATCGTCTCGAGATGCAAGCTGATTCCCTGGCTTAGGCTCAAGACGTATGCCAACTTCCCAGAAGCACCTCAGGAGGAGGCTTCTCTCAGCAATAGGTATGTGGGAGGGACCCCGAGTTTGCTGCCTCAAGGGGAATATACAGCGAGAAGCCCTAACTTGAAAGGAGGCCGGATTTCCTTGCAGTGGCTTGAATACAGGCTCGTCTTTCATCTCACAACATGAAGGGATGTCTGAATCCCCTGTGGAGACCTTAGAGAAAGCCCTAGGTCCCTGCCTCATTTTGACGGAATGCCTCACATCCCGCTGACACCTCGAGAGGCACGCGGAGTTCATTGCTTCAAAAGGTGACGATGCCTGACTCCTCTTGAATACTGATAGGAATCCCAAAATCCCTGTGGCTACTGGAAAGGGTCCTTGGGTGCCCTGCCTCACCTCGAGAAGCGTCCCTTTGGCCCTGCCAAGCCTCGAAGAGATTCCTGAGGTGTCCCTCGTTACTAGACAGGAGTCCTGACGTCACTGAAGAAACTCGTGTTTTGAAGGGCCATCCCCGCCGTAAGTCGAGAACATACCCCAGGTCCCCGCCGCAACTCGAGAAAAACCATGAGACTTCCCCCTAGAGGCGAGATGAGGCCCCATTCCCCTGCAGTGCATGCAGAGCTATTCCGTGATCCCATTCAAACAAGTCAGGAGCTTCGACTTGCTTAATGGATCTCGAGACAGTCCCCAAGAACACTGTCACCAGTCTAGACGGACCCTGAGGTCACCCCAGCAGCGCAAAGCAGCTCCATGTGCCCCAAATCAACTCGAGATGAGGCCCGATTCCCCTGCATTGACTCCAGAGCCATTCCCCGTTCCCCATTCAACACGACCGGTGGCTCGACTTCCTTCAGGCAACTCCAGAGATGCCGCGAGAACACTGTCCCAAGTCTAGAGGAACACCAACTTCAGCACAGCAACTCGAGGAATCCTCCGTGTACCCCAAATCGTCTCGAGATGCGAGCTGATTCCCTGGCTTAGGCTCAAGACGTATGCCAACTTCCCAGAAGCACCTCAGGAGGAGGCTTCTCTCAGCAATAGGTATGTGGGAGGGACCCCGAGTTTGCTGCCTCAAGGGGAATATACAGCGAGAAGCCCTAACTTGAAAGGAGGCCGGATTTCCTTGCAGTGGCTTGAATACAGGCTCGTCTTTCATCTCACAACATGAAGGGATGTCTGAATCCCCTGTGGAGACCTTAGAGAAAGCCCTAGGTCCCTGCCTCATTTTGACGGAATGCCTCACATCCCGCTGACACCTCGAGAGGCACGCGGAGTTCATTGCTTCAAAAGGTGACGATGCCTGACTCCTCTTGAATACTGATAGGAATCCCAAAATCCCTGTGGCTACTGGAAAGGGTCCTTGGGTGCCCTGCCTCACCTCGAGAAGCGTCCCTTTGGCCTTGCCAAGCCTCGAAGAGATTCCTGAGGTGTCCCTCGTTACTAGACAGGAGTCCTGACGTCACTGAAGAAACTCGTGTTTTGAAGGGCCATCCCCGCCGTAAGTCGAGAACATACCCCAGGTCCCCGCCGCAACTCGAGAAAAACCATGAGACTTCCCCCTAGAGGCGAGATGAGGCCCCATTCCCCTGCAGTGCATGCAGAGCTATTCCGTGATCCCATTCAAACAAGTCAGGGGCTTCGACTTGCTTAATGGATCTCGAGACAGTCCCCAAGAACACTGTCACCAGTCTAGACGGACCCTGAGGTCACCCCGGCAACGCAAAGCAGCTCCATGTGCCCCAAATCAACTCGAGATGAGGCCCGATTTCCCTGCATTGACTCCAGAGCCATTCCCCGTTCCCCATTCAACACGACCGGTGGCTCGACTTCCTTCAGGCAACTCCAGAGATGCCCCGAGAACACTGTCCCAAGTCTAGAGGAACACCAACTTCAGCACAGCAACTCGAGGAATGCTCCGTCTACCCCAAATCGTCTCGAGATGAGAGCTGATTCCCTGGCTTAGGCTCAAGACGTATGCCAACTTCCCAGAAGCACCTCAGGAGGAGGCTTCTCTCAGCAATAGGTATGTGGGAGGGACCCCGAGTTTGCTGCCTCAAGGGGAATATACAGCGAGAAGCCCTAACTTGAAAGGAGGCCGGATTTCCTTGCAGTGCCTTGAATACAGGCTCGTCTTTCATCTCACAACATGAAGGGATGTCTGAATCCCCTGTGGAGACCTTAGAGAAAGCCCTAGGTCCCTGCCTCATTTTGACGGAATGCCTCACATCCCGCTGACACCTCGAGAGGCACGCGGAGTTCATTGCTTCAAAAGGTGACGATGCCTGACTCCTCTTGAATACTGATAGGAATCCCAAAATCCCTGTGGCTACTGGAAAGGGTCCTTGGGTGCCCTGCCTCACCTCGAGAAGCGTCCCTTTGGCCCTGCCAAGCCTCGAAGAGATTCCTGAGGTGTCCCTCGTTACTAGACAGGAGTCCTGACGTCACTGAAGAAACTCGTGTTTTGAAGGGCCATCCCCGCCGTAAGTCGAGAACATACCCCAGGTCCCCGCCGCAACTCGAGAAAAACCATGAGACTTCCCCCTAGAGGCGAGATGAGGCCCCATTCCCCTGCAGTGCATGCAGAGCTATTCCGTGATCCCATTCAAACAAGTCAGGAGCTTCGACTTGCTTAATGGATCTCGAGACAGTCCCCAAGAACACTGTCACCAGTCTAGACGGACCCTGAGGTCACCCCAGCAACGCAAAGCAGCTCCATGTGCCCCAAATCAACTCGAGATGAGGCCCGATTCCCCTGCATTGACTCCAGAGCCATTCCCCGTTCCCCATTCAACACGACCGGTGGCTCGACTTCCTTCAGGCAACTCCAGAGATGCCCCGAGAACACTGTCCCAAGTCTAGAGGAACACCAACTTCAGCACAGCAACTCGAGGAATGCTCCGTCTACCCCAAATCGTCTCGAGATGCGAGCTGATTCCCTGGCTTAGGCTCAAGACGTATGCCAACTTCCCAGAAGCACCTCAGGAGGAGGCTTCTCTCAGCAATAGGTATGTGGGAGGGACCCCGAGTTTGCTGCCTCAAGGGGAATATACAGCGAGAAGCCCTAACTTGAAAGGAGGCCGGATTTCCTTGCAGTGGCTTGAATACAGGCTCGTCTTTCATCTCACAACATGAAGGGATGTCTGAATCCCCTGTGGAGACCTTAGAGAAAGCCCTAGGTCCCTGCCTCATTTTGACGGAATGCCTCACATCCCGCTGACACCTCGAGAGGCACGCGGAGTTCATTGCTTCAAAAGGTGACGATGCCTGACTCCTCTTGAATACTGATAGGAATCCCAAAATCCCTGTGGCTACTGGAAAGGGTCCTTGGGTGCCCTGCCTCACCTCGAGAAGCGTCCCTTTGGCCCTGCCAAGCCTCGAAGAGATTCCTGAGGTGTCCCTCGTTACTAGACAGGAGTCCTGACGTCACTGAAGAAACTCGTGTTTTGAAGGGCCATCCCCGCCGTAAGTCGAGAACATACCCCAGGTCCCCGCCGCAACTCGAGAAAAACCATGAGACTTCCCCCTAGAGGCGAGATGAGGCCCCATTCCCCTGCAGTGCATGCAGAGCTATTCCGTGATCCCATTCAAACAAGTCAGGAGCTTCGACTTGCTTAATGGCTCTCGAGACAGTCCCCAAGAACACTGTCACCAGTCTAGACGGACCCTGAGGTCACCCCAGCAACGCAAAGCAGCTCCATGTGCCCCAAATCAACTCGAGATGAGGCCCGATTCCCCTGCATTGACTCCAGAGCCATTCCCCGTTCCCCATTCAACACGACCGGTGGCTCGACTTCCTTCAGGCAACTCCAGAGATGCCCCGAGAACAGTGTCCCAAGTCTAGAGGAACACCAACTTCAGCACAGCAACTCGAGGAATGCTCCGTCTACCCCAAATCGTCTCGAGATGCGAGCTGATTCCCTGGCTTAGGCTCAAGACGTATGCCAACTTCCCAGAAGCACCTCAGGAGGAGGCTTCTCTCAGCAATAGGTATGTGGGAGGGACCCCGAGTTTGCTGCCTCAAGGGGAATATACAGCGAGAAGCCCTAACTTGAAAGGAGGCCGGATTTCCTTGCAGTGGCTTGAATACAGGCTCGTCTTTCATCTCACAACATGAAGGGATGTCTGAATCCCCTGTGGAGACCTTAGAGAAAGCCCTAGGTCCCTGCCTCATTTTGACGGAATGCCTCACATCCCGCTGACACCTCGAGAGGCACGCGGAGTTCATTGCTTCAAAAGGTGACGATGCCTGACTCCTCTTGAATACTGATAGGAATCCCAAAATCCCTGTGGCTACTGGAAAGGGTCCTTGGGTGCCCTGCCTCACCTCGAGAAGCGTCCCTTTGGCCCTGCCAAGCCTCGAAGAGATTCCTGAGGTGTCCCTCGTTACTAGACAGGAGTCCTGACGTCACTGAAGAAACTCGTGTTTTGAAGGGCCATCCCCGCCGTAAGTCGAGAACATACCCCAGGTCCCCGCCGCAACTCGAGAAAAACCATGAGACTTCCCCCTAGAGGCGAGATGAGGCCCCATTCCCCTGCAGTGCATGCAGAGTTTTCCGTGATCCCATTCAAACAAGTCAGGAGCTTCGACTTGCTTAATGGATCTCGAGACAGTCCCCAAGAACACTGTCACCAGTCTAGACGGACCCTGAGGTCACCCCAGCAACGCAAAGCAGCTCCATGTGCCCCAAATCAACTCGAGATGAGGCCCGATTCCCCTGCATTGACTCCAGAGCCATTCCCCGTTCCCCATTCAACACGACCGGTGGCTCGACTTCCTTCAGGCAACTCCAGAGATGCCCCGAGAACACTGTCCCAAGTCTAGAGGAACACCAACTTCAGCACAGCAACTCGAGGAATGCTCCGTCTACCCCAAATCGTCTCGAGATGCGAGCTGATTCCCTGGCTTAGGCTCAAGACGTATGCCAACTTCCCAGAAGCACCTCAGGAGGAGGCTTCTCTCAGCAATAGGTATGTGGGAGGGACCCCGAGTTTGCTGCCTCAAGGGGAATATACAGCGAGAAGCCCTAACTTGAAAGGAGGCCGGATTTCCTTGCAGTGGCTTGAATACAGGCTCGTCTTTCATCTCACAACATGAAGGGATGTCTGAATCCCCTGTGGAGACCTTAGAGAAAGCCCTAGGTCCCTGCCTCATTTTGACGGAATGCCTCACATCCCGCTGACACCTCGAGAGGCACGCGGAGTTCATTGCTTCAAAAGGTGACGATGCCTGACTCCTCTTGAATACTGATAGGAATCCCAAAATCCCTGTGGCTACTGGAAAGGGTCCTTGGGTGCCCTGCCTCACCTCGAGAAGCGTCCCTTTGGCCCTGCCAAGCCTCGAAGAGATTCCTGAGGTGTCCCTCGTTACTAGACAGGAGTCCTGACGTCACTGAAGAAACTCGTGTTTTGAAGGGCCATCCCCGCCGTAAGTCGAGAACATACCCCAGGTCCCCGCCGCAACTCGAGAAAAACCATGAGACTTCCCCCTAGAGGCGAGATGAGGCCCCATTCCCCTGCAGTGCATGCAGAGCTATTCCGTGATCCCATTCAAACAAGTCAGGAGCTTCGACTTGCTTAATGGCTCTCGAGACAGTCCCCAAGAACACTGTCACCAGTCTAGACGGACCCTGAGGTCACCCCAGCAACGCAAAGCAGCTCCATGTGCCCCAAATCAACTCGAGATGAGGCCCGATTCCCCTGCATTGACTCCAGAGCCATTCCCCGTTCCCCATTCAACACGACCGGTGGCTCGACTTCCTTCAGGCAACTCCAGAGATGCCCCGAGAACAGTGTCCCAAGTCTAGAGGAACACCAACTTCAGCACAGCAACTCGAGGAATGCTCCGTCTACCCCAAATCGTCTCGAGATGCGAGCTGATTCCCTGGCTTAGGCTCAAGACGTATGCCAACTTCCCAGAAGCACCTCAGGAGGAGGCTTCTCTCAGCAATAGGTATGTGGGAGGGACCCCGAGTTTGCTGCCTCAAGGGGAATATACAGCGAGAAGCCCTAACTTGAAAGGAGGCCGGATTTCCTTGCAGTGGCTTGAATACAGGCTCGTCTTTCATCTCACAACATGAAGGGATGTCTGAATCCCCTGTGGAGACCTTAGAGAAAGCCCTAGGTCCCTGCCTCATTTTGACGGAATGCCTCACATCCCGCTGACACCTCGAGAGGCACGCGGAGTTCATTGCTTCAAAAGGTGACGATGCCTGACTCCTCTTGAATACTGATAGGAATCCCAAAATCCCTGTGGCTACTGGAAAGGGTCCTTGGGTGCCCTGCCTCACCTCGAGAAGCGTCCCTTTGGCCCTGCCAAGCCTCGAAGAGATTCCTGAGGTGTCCCTCGTTACTAGACAGGAGTCCTGACGTCACTGAAGAAACTCGTGTTTTGAAGGGCCATCCCCGCCGTAAGTCGAGAACATACCCCAGGTCCCCGCCGCAACTCGAAGAAAACCATGAGACTTCCCCCTAGAGGCGAGATGAGGCCCCATTCCCCTGCAGTGCATGCAGAGCTATTCCGTGATCCCATTCAAACAAGTCAGGAGCTTCGACTTGCTTAATGGATCTCGAGACAGTCCCCAAGAACACTGTCACCAGTCTAGACGGACCCTGAGGTCACCCCAGCAACGCAAAGCAGCTCCATGTGCCCCAAATCAACTCGAGATGAGGCCCGATTCCCCTGCATTGACTCCAGAGCCATTCCTCGTTCCCCATTCAACACGACCGGTGGCTCGACTTCCTTCAGGCAACTCCAGAGATGCCCCGAGAACACTGTCCCAAGTCTAGAGGAACACCAACTTCAGCACAGCAACTCGAGGAATGCTCCGTGTACCCCAAATCGTCTCGAGATGCGAGCTGATTCCCTGGCTTAGGCTCAAGACGTATGCCAACTTCCCAGAAGCACCTCAGGAGGAGGCTTCTCTCAGCAATAGGTATGTGGGAGGGACCCCGAGTTTGCTGCCTCAAGGGGAATATACAGCGAGAAGCCCTAACTTGAAAGGAGGCCGGATTTCCTTGCAGTGGCTTGAATACAGGCTCGTCTTTCATCTCACAACATGAAGGGATGTCTGAATCCCCTGTGGAGACCTTAGAGAAAGCCCTAGGTCCCTGCCTCATTTTGAAGGAATGCCTCACATCCCGCTGACACCTCGAGAGGCACGCGGAGTTCATTGCTTCAAAAGGTGACGATGCCTGACTCCTCTTGAATACTGATAGGAATCCCAAAATCCCTGTGGCTACTGGAAAGGGTCCTTGGGTGCCCTGCCTCAGCTCGAGAAGCGTCCCTTTGGCCCTGCCAAGCCTCGAAGAGATTCCTGAGGTGTCCCTCGTTACTAGACAGGAGTCCTGACGTCACTGAAGAAACTCGTGTTTTGAAGGGCCATCCCCGCCGTAAGTCGAGAACATACCCCAGGTCCCCGCCGCAACTCGAGAAAAACCATGAGACTTCCCCCTAGAGGCGAGATGAGGCCCCATTCCCCTGCAGTGCATGCAGAGCTATTCCGTGATCCCATTCAAACAAGTCAGGGGCTTCGACTTGCTTAATGGATCTCGAGACAGTCCCCAAGAACACTGTCACCGGTCTAGACGGACCCTGAGGTCACCCCGGCAACGCAAAGCAGCTCCATGTGCCCCAAATCAACTCGAGATGAGGCCCGATTCCCCTGCATTGACTCCAGAGCCATTCCCCGTTCCCCATTCAACACGACCGGTGGCTCGACTTCCTTCAGGCAACTCCAGAGATGCCCCGAGAACACTGTCCCAAGTCTAGAGGAACACCAACTTCAGCACAGCAACTCGAGGAATGCTCCGTGTACCCCAAATCGTCTCGAGATGCGAGCTGATTCCCTGGCTTAGGCTCAAGACGTATGCCAACTTCCCAGAAGCACCTCAGGAGGAGGCTTCTCTCAGCAATAGGTATGTGGGAGGGACCCCGAGTTTGCTGCCTCAAGGGGAATATACAGCGAGAAGCCCTAACTTGAAAGGAGGCCGGATTTCCTTGCAGTGGCTTGAATACAGGCTCGTCTTTCATCTCACAACATGAAGGGATGTCTGAATCCCCTGTGGAGACCTTAGAGAAAGCCCTAGGTCCCTGCCTCATTTTGACGGAATGCCTCACATCCCGCTGACACCTCGAGAGGCACGCGGAGTTCATTGCTTCAAAAGGTGACGATGCCTGACTCCTCTTGAATACTGATAGGAATCCCAAAATCCCTGTGGCTACTGGAAAGGGTCCTTGGGTGCCCTGCCTCAGCTCGAGAAGCGTCCCTTTGGCCCTGCCAAGCCTCGAAGAGATTCCTGAGGTGTCCCTCGTTACTAGACAGGAGTCCTGACGTCACTGAAGAAACTCGTGTTTTGAAGGGCCATCCCCGCCGTAAGTCGAGAACATACCCCAGGTCCCCGCCGCAACTCGAGAAAAACCAAGAGACTTCCCCCTAGAGGCGAGATGAGGCCCCATTCCCCTGCAGTGCATGCAGAGCTATTCCGTGATCCCATTCAAACAAGTCAGGGGCTTCGACTTGCTTAATGGATCTCGAGACAGTCCCCAAGAACACTGTCACCGGTCTAGACGGACCCTGAGGTCACCCCGGCAACGCAAAGCAGCTCCATGTGCCCCAAATCAACTCGAGATGAGGCCCGATTCCCCTGCATTGACTCCAGAGCCATTCCCCGTTCCCCATTCAACACGACCGGTGGCTCGACTTCCTTCAGGCAACTCCAGAGATGCCCCGAGAACACTGTCCCAAGTCTAGAGGAACACCAACTTCAGCACAGCAACTCGAGGAATGCTCCGTCTACCCCAAATCGTCTCGAGATGCGAGCTGATTCCCTGGCTTAGGCTCAAGACGTATGCCAACTTCCCAGAAGCACCTCAGGAGGAGGCTTCTCTCAGCAATAGGTATGTGGGAGGGACCCCGAGTTTGCTGCCTCAAGGGGAATATACAGCGAGAAGCCCTAACTTGAAAGGAGGCCGGATTTCCTTGCAGTGGCTTGAATACAGGCTCGTCTTTCATCTCACAACATGAAGGGATGTCTGAATCCCCTGTGGAGACCTTAGAGAAAGCCCTAGGTCCCTGCCTCATTTTGACGGAATGCCTCACATCCCGCTGACACCTCGAGAGGCACGCGGAGTTCATTGCTTCAAAAGGTGACGATGCCTGACTCCTCTTGAATACTGATAGGAATCCCAAAATCCCTGTGGCTACTGGAAAGGGTCCTTGGGTGCCCTGCCTCACCTCGAGAAGCGTCCCTTTGGCCCTGCCAAGCCTCGAAGAGATTCCTGAGGTGTCCCTCGTTACTAGACAGGAGTCCTGACGTCACTGAAGAAACTCGTGTTTTGAAGGGCCATCCCCGCCGTAAGTCGAGAACATACCCCAGGTCCCCGCCGCAACTCGAGAAAAACCATGAGACTTCCCCCTAGAGGCGAGATGAGGCCCCATTCCCCTGCAGTGCATGCAGAGCTATTCCGTGATCCCATTCAAACAAGTCAGGAGCTTCGACTTGCTTAATGGATCTCGAGACAGTCCCCAAGAACACTGTCACCAGTCTAGACGGACCCTGAGGTCACCCCAGCAACGCAAAGCAGCTCCATGTGCCCCAAATCAACTCGAGATGAGGCCCGATTCCCCTGCATTGACTCCAGAGCCATTCCCCGTTCCCCATTCAACACGACCGGTGGCTCGACTTCCTTCAGGCAACTCCAGAGATGCCCCGAGAACACTGTCCCAAGTCTAGAGGAACACCAACTTCAGCACAGCAACTCGAGGAATGCTCCGTGTACCCCAAATCGTCTCGAGATGCGAGCTGATTCCCTGGCTTAGGCTCAAGACGTATGCCAACTTCCCAGAAGCACCTCAGGAGGAGGCTTCTCTCAGCAATAGGTATGTGGGAGGGACCCCGAGTTTGCTGCCTCAAGGGGAATATACAGCGAGAAGCCCTAACTTGAAAGGAGGCCGGATTTCCTTGCAGTGGCTTGAATACAGGCTCGTCTTTCATCTCACAACATGAAGGGATGTCTGAATCCCCTGTGGAGACCTTAGAGAAAGCCCTAGGTCCCTGCCTCATTTTGACGGAATGCCTCACATCCCGCTGACACCTCAAGAGGCACGCGGAGTTCATTGCTTCAAAAGGTGACGATGCCTGACTCCTCTTGAATACTGATAGGAATCCCAAAATCCCTGTGGCTACTGGAAAGGGTCCTTGGGTGCCCTGCCTCACCTCGAGAAGCGTCCCTTTGGCCCTGCCAAGCCTCGAAGAGATTCCTGAGGTGTCCCTCGTTACTAGACAGGAGTCCTGACGTCACTGAAGAAACTCGTGTTTTGAAGGGCCATCCCCGCCGTAAGTCGAGAACATACCCCAGGTCCCCGCCGCAACTCGAGAAAAACCATGAGACTTCCCCCTAGAGGCGAGATGAGGCCCCATTCCCCTGCAGTGCATGCAGAGCTATTCCGTGACCCCATTCAAACAAGTCAGGAGCTTCGACTTGCTTAATGGATCTCGAGACAGTCCCCAAGAACACTGTCACCAGTCTAGACGGACCCTGAGGTCACCCCGGCAACGCAAAGCAGCTCCATGTGCCCCAAATCAACTCGAGATGAGGCCCGATTCCCCTGCATTGACTCCAGAGCCATTCCCCGTTCCCCATTCAACACGACCGGTGGCTCGACTTCCTTCAGGCAACTCCAGAGATGCCCCGAGAACACTGTCCCAAGTCTAGAGGAACACCAACTTCAGCACAGCAACTCGAGGAATGCTCCGTCTACCCCAAATCGTCTCGAGATGCGAGCTGATTCCCTGGCTTAGGCTCAAGACGTATGCCAACTTCCCAGAAGCACCTCAGGAGGAGGCTTCTCTCAGCAATAGGTATGTGGGAGGGACCCCGAGTTTGCTGCCTCAAGGGGAATATACAGTGAGAAGCCCTAACTAGAAAGGAGGCCGGATTTCCTTGCAGTGGCTTGAATACAGGCTCGTCTTTCATCTCACAACATGAAGGGATGTCTGAATCCCCTGTGGAGACCTTAGAGAAAGCCCTAGGTCCCTGCCTCATTTTGACGGAATGCCTCACATCCCGCTGACACCTCGAGAGGCACGCGGAGTTCATTGCTTCAAAAGGTGACGATGCCTGACTCCTCTTGAATACTGATAGGAATCCCAAAATCCCTGTGGCTACTGGAAAGGGTCCTTGGGTGCCCTGCCTCATCTCGAGAAGCGTCCCTTTGGCCCTGCCAAGCCTCGTAGAGATTCCTGAGGTGTCCCTCGTTACTAGACAGGAGTCCTGACGTCACTGAAGAAACTCGTGTTTTGAAGGGCCATCCCCGCCGTAAGTCGAGAACATACCCCAGGTCCCCGCCGCAACTCGAGAAAAACCATGAGACTTCCCCCTAGAGGCGAGATGATGCCCCATTCCCCTGCAGTGCATGCAGAGCTATTCCGTGATCCCATTCAAACAAGTCAGGAGCTTCGACTTGCTTAATGGATCTCGAGACAGTCCCCAAGAACACTGTCACCAGTCTAGACGGACCCTGAGGTCACCCCAGCAACGCAAAGCAGCTCCATGTGCCCCAAATCAACTCGAGATGAGGCCCGATTCCCCTGCATTGACTCCAGAGCCATTCCCCGTTCCCCATTCAACACGACCGGTGGCTCGACTTCCTTCAGGCAACTCCAGAGATGCCCCGAGAACACTGTCCCAAGTCTAGAGGAACACCAACTTCAGCACAGCAACTCGAGGAATGCTCCGTCTACCCCAAATCGTCTCGAGATGCGAGCTGATTCCCTGGCTTAGGCTCAAGACGTATGCCAACTTCCCAGAAGCACCTCAGGAGGAGGCTTCTCTCAGCAATAGGTATGTGGGAGGGACCCCGAGTTTGCTGCCTCAAGGGGAATATACAGCGAGAAGCCCTAACTTGAAAGGAGGCCGGATTTCCTTGCAGTGGCTTGAATACAGGCTCGTCTTTCATCTCACAACATGAAGGGATGTCTGAATCCCCTGTGGAGACCTTAGAGAAAGCCCTAGGTCCCTGCCTCATTTTGACGGAATGCCTCACATCCCGCTGACACCTCGAGAGGCACGCGGAGTTCACTGCTTCAAAAGGTGACGATGCCTGACTCCTCTTGAATACTGATAGGAATCCCAAAATCCCTGTGGCTACTGGAAAGGGTCCTTGGGTGCCCTGCCTCACCTCGAGAAGCGTCCCTTTTTCCCTGCCAAGCCTCGAAGAGATTCCTGAGGTGTCCCTCGTTACTAGACAGGAGTCCTGACGTCACTGAAGAAACTCGTGTTTTGAAGGGCCATCCCCGCCGTAAGTCAAGAACATACCCCAGGTCCCCGCCGCAACTCGAGAAAAACCATGAGACTTCCCCCTAGAGGCGAGATGAGGCCCCATTCCCCTGCAGTGCATGCAGAGCTATTCCGTGATCCCATTCAAACAAGTCAGGAGCTTCGACTTGCTTAATGGATCTCGAGACAGTCCCCAAGAACACTGTCACCAGTCTAGACGGACCCTGAGGTCACCCCGGCAACGCAAAGCAGCTCCATGTGCCCCAAATCAACTCGAGATGAGGCCCGATTCCCCTGCATTGACTCCAGAGCCATTCCCCGTTCCCCATTCAACACGACCGGTGGCTCGACTTCCTTCAGGCAACTCCAGAGATGCCCCGAGAACACTGTCCCAAGTCTAGAGGAACACCAACTTCAGCACAGCAACTCGAGGAATGCTCCGTCTACCCCAAATCGTCTCGAGATGCAAGCTGATTCCCTGGCTTAGGCTCAAGACGTATGCCAACTTCCCAGAAGCACCTCAGGAGGAGGCTTCTCTCAGCAATAGGTATGTGGGAGGGACCCCGAGTTTGCTGCCTCAAGGGGAATATACAGCGAGAAGCCCTAACTTGAAAGGAGGCCGGATTTCCTTGCAGTGGCTTGAATACAGGCTCGTCTTTCATCTCACAACATGAAGGGATGTCTGAATCCCCTGTGGAGACCTTAGAGAAAGCCCTAGGTCCCTGCCTCATTTTGACGGAATGCCTCACATCCCGCTGACACCTCGAGAGGCACGCGGAGTTAATTGCTTCAAAAGGTGACGATGCCTGACTCCTCTTGAATACTGATAGGAATCCCAAAATCCCTGTGGCTACTGGAAAGGGTCCTTGGGTGCCCTGCCTCACCTCGAGAAGCGTCCCTTTGGCCCTGCCAAGCCTCGAAGAGATTCCTGAGGTGTCCCTCGTTACTAGACAGGAGTCCTGACGTCACTGAAGAAACTCGTGTTTTGAAGGGCCATCCCCGCCGTAAGTCGAGAACATACCCCAGGTCCCCGCCGCAACTCGAGAAAAACCATGAGACTTCCCCCTAGAGGCGAGATGAGGCCCCATTCCCCTGCAGTGCATGCAGAGCTATTCCGTGATCCCATTCAAACAAGTCAGGAGCTTCGACTTGCTTAATGGATCTCGAGACAGTCCCCAAGAACACTGTCACCAGTCTAGACGGACCCTGAGGTCACCCCAGCAACGCAAAGCAGCTCCATGTGCCCCAAATCAACTCGAGATGAGGCCCGATTCCCCTGCATTGACTCCAGAGCCATTCCCCGTTCCCCATTCAACACGACCGGTGGCTCGACTTCCTTCAGGCAACTCCAGAGATGCCCCGAGAACACTGTCCCAAGTCTAGAGGAACACCAACTTCAGCACAGCAACTCGAGGAATGCTCCGTCTACCCCAAATCGTCTCGAGATGCGAGCTGATTCCCTGGCTTAGGCTCAAGACGTATGCCAACTTCCCAGAAGCACCTCAGGAGGAGGCTTCTCTCAGCAATAGGTATGTGGGAGGGACCCCGAGTTTGCTGCCTCAAGGGGAATATACAGCGAGAAGCCCTAACTTGAAAGGAGGCCGGATTTCCTTGCAGTGGCTTGAATACAGGCTCGTCTTTCATCTCACAACATGAAGGGATGTCTGAATCCCCTGTGGAGACCTTAGAGAAAGCCCTAGGTCCCTGCCTCATTTTGACGGAATGCCTCACATCCCGCTGACACCTCGAGAGGCACGCGGAGTTCATTGCTTCAAAAGGTGACGATGCCTGACTCCTCTTGAATACTGATAGGAATCCCAAAATCCCTTTGGCTACTGGAAAGGGTCCTTGGGTGCCCTGCCTCACCTCGAGAAGCGTCCCTTTGGCCCTGCCAAGCCTCGAAGAGATTCCTGAGGTGTCCCTCGTTACTAGACAGGAGTCCTGACGTCACTGAAGAAACTCGTGTTTTGAAGGGCCATCCCCGCCGTAAGTCGAGAACATACCCCAGGTCCCCGCCGCAACTCGAGAAAAACCATGAGACTTCCCCCTAGAGGCGAGATGAGGCCCCATTCCCCTGCAGTGCATGCAGAGCTATTCCGTGATCCCATTCAAACAAGTCAGGAGCTTCGACTTGCTTAATGGCTCTCGAGACAGTCCCCAAGAACACTGTCACCAGTCTAGACGGACCCTGAGGTCACCCCAGCAACGCAAAGCAGCTCCATGTGCCCCAAATCAACTCGAGATGAGGCCCGATTCCCCTGCATTGACTCCAGAGCCATTCCCCGTTCCCCATTCAACACGACCGGTGGCTCGACTTCCTTCAGGCAACTCCAGAGATGCCCCGAGAACAGTGTCCCAAGTCTAGAGGAACACCAACTTCAGCACAGCAACTCGAGGAATGCTCCGTCTACCCCAAATCGTCTCGAGATGCGAGCTGATTCCCTGGCTTAGGCTCAAGACGTATGCCAACTTCCCAGAAGCACCTCAGGAGGAGGCTTCTCTCAGCAATAGGTATGTGGGAGGGACCCCGAGTTTGCTGCCTCAAGGGGAATATACAGCGAGAAGCCCTAACTTGAAAGGAGGCCGGATTTCCTTGCAGTGGCTTGAATACAGGCTCGTCTTTCATCTCACAACATGAAGGGATGTCTGAATCCCCTGTGGAGACCTTAGAGAAAGCCCTAGGTCCCTGCCTCATTTTGACGGAATGCCTCACATCCCGCTGACACCTCGAGAGGCACGCGGAGTTCATTGCTTCAAAAGGTGACGATGCCTGACTCCTCTTGAATACTGATAGGAATCCCAAAATCCCTGTGGCTACTGGAAAGGGTCCTTGGGTGCCCTGCCTCACCTCGAGAAGCGTCCCTTTGGCCCTGCCAAGCCTCGAAGAGATTCCTGAGGTGTCCCTCGTTACTAGACAGGAGTCCTGACGTCACTGAAGAAACTTGTGTTTTGAAGGGCCATCCCCGCCGTAAGTCGAGAACATACCCCAGGTCCCCGCCGCAACTCGAGAAAAACCATGAGACTTCCCCCTAGAGGCGAGATGAGGCCCCATTCCCCTGCAGTGCATGCAGAGCTATTCCGTGATCCCATTCAAACAAGTCAGGAGCTTCGACTTGCTTAATGGCTCTCGAGACAGTCCCCAAGAACACTGTCACCAGTCTAGACGGACCCTGAGGTCACCCCGGCAACGCAAAGCAGCTCCATGTGCCCCAAATCAACTCGAGATGAGGCCCGATTCCCCTGCATTGACTCCAGAGCCATTTCCCGTTCCCCATTCAACACGACCGGTGGCTCGACTTCCTTCAGGCAACTCCAGAGATGCCCCGAGAACACTGTCCCAAGTCTAGAGGAACACCAACTTCAGCACAGCAACTCGAGGAATGCTCCGTCTACCCCAAATCGTCTCGAGATGCGAGCTGATTCCCTGGCTTAGGCTCAAGACGTATGCCAACTTCCCAGAAGCACCTCAGGAGGAGGCTTCTCTCAGCAATAGGTATGTGGGAGGGACCCCGAGTTTGCTGCCTCAAGGGGAATATACAGCGAGAAGCCCTAACTTGAAAGGAGGCCGGATTTCCTTGCAGTGGCTTGAATACAGGCTCGTCTTTCATCTCACAACATGAAGGGATGTCTGAATCCCCTGTGGAGACCTTAGAGAAAGCCCTAGGTCCCTGCCTCATTTTGACGGAATGCCTCACATCCCGCTGACACCTCGAGAGGCACGCGGAGTTAATTGCTTCAAAAGGTGACGATGCCTGACTCCTCTTGAATACTGATAGGAATCCCAAAATCCCTGTGGCTACTGGAAAGGGTCCTTGGGTGCCCTGCCTCACCTCGAGAAGCGTCCCTTTGGCCCTGCCAAGCCTCGAAGAGATTCCTGAGGTGTCCCTCGTTACTAGACAGGAGTCCTGACGTCACTGAAGAAACTCGTGTTTTGAAGGGCCATCCCCGCCGTAAGTCGAGAACATACCCCAGGTCCCCGCCGCAACTCGAGAAAAACCATGAGACTTCCCCCTAGAGGCGAGATGAGGCCCCATTCCCCTGCAGTGCATGCAGAGCTATTCCGTGATCCCATTCAAACAAGTCAGGAGCTTCGACTTGCTTAATGGATCTCGAGACAGTCCCCAAGAACACTGTCACCAGTCTAGACGGACCCTGAGGTCACCCCAGCAACGCAAAGCAGCTCCATGTGCCCCAAATCAACTCGAGATGAGGCCCGATTCCCCTGCATTGACTCCAGAGCCATTCCCCGTTCCCCATTCAACACGACCGGTGGCTCGACTTCCTTCAGGCAACTCCAGAGATGCCCCGAGAACACTGTCCCAAGTCTAGAGGAACACCAACTTCAGCACAGCAACTCGAGGAATGCTCCGTCTACCCCAAATCGTCTCGAGATGCGAGCTGATTCCCTGGCTTAGGCTCAAGACGTATGCCAACTTCCCAGAAGCACCTCAGGAGGAGGCTTCTCTCAGCAATAGGTATGTGGGAGGGACCCCGAGTTTGCTGCCTCAAGGGGAATATACAGCGAGAAGCCCTAACTTGAAAGGAGGCCGGATTTCCTTGCAGTGGCTTGAATACAGGCTCGTCTTTCATCTCACAACATGAAGGGATGTCTGAATCCCCTGTGGAGACCTTAGAGAAAGCCCTAGGTCCCTGCCTCATTTTGACGGAATGCCTCACATCCCGCTGACACCTCGAGAGGCACGCGGAGTTCATTGCTTCAAAAGGTGACGATGCCTGACTCCTCTTGAATACTGATAGGAATCCCAAAATCCCTGTGGCTACTGGAAAGGGTCCTTGGGTGCCCTGCCTCACCTCGAGAAGCGTCCCTTTGGCCCTGCCAAGCCTCGAAGAGATTCCTGAGGTGTCCCTCGTTACTAGACAGGAGTCCTGACGTCACTGAAGAAACTCGTGTTTTGAAGGGCCATCCCCGCCGTAAGTCGAGAACATACCCCAGGTCCCCGCCGCAACTCGAGAAAAACCATGAGACTTCCCCCTAGAGGCGAGATGAGGCCCCATTCCCCTGCAGTGCATGCAGAGCTATTCCGTGATCCCATTCAAACAAGTCAGGAGCTTCGACTTGCTTAATGGCTCTCGAGACAGTCCCCAAGAACACTGTCACCAGTCTAGACGGACCCTGAGGTCACCCCAGCAACGCAAAGCAGCTCCATGTGCCCCAAATCAACTCGAGATGAGGCCCGATTCCCCTGCATTGACTCCAGAGCCATTCCCCGTTCCCCATTCAACACGACCGGTGGCTCGACTTCCTTCAGGCAACTCCAGAGATGCCCCGAGAACACTGTCCCAAGTCTAGAGGAACACCAACTTCAGCACAGCAACTCGAGGAATGCTCCGTCTACCCCAAATCGTCTCGAGATGCGAGCTGATTCCCTGGCTTAGGCTCAAGACGTATGCCAACTTCCCAGAAGCACCTCAGGAGGAGGCTTCTCTCAGCAATAGGTATGTGGGAGGGACCCCGAGTTTGCTGCCTCAAGGGGAATATACAGCGAGAAGCCCTAACTTGAAAGGAGGCCGGATTTCCTTGCAGTGGCTTGAATACAGGCTCGTCTTTCATCTCACAACATGAAGGGATGTCTGAATCCCCTGTGGAGACCTTAGAGAAAGCCCTAGGTCCCTGCCTCATTTTGACGGAATGCCTCACATCCCGCTGACACCTCGAGAGGCACGCGGAGTTCATTGCTTCAAAAGGTGACGATGCCTGACTCCTCTTGAATACTGATAGGAATCCCAAAATCCCTGTGGCTACTGGAAAGGGTCCTTGGGTGCCCTGCCTCACCTCGAGAAGCGTCCCTTTGGCCCTGCCAAGCCTCGAAGAGATTCCTGAGGTGTCCCTCGTTACTAGACAGGAGTCCTGACGTCACTGAAGAAACTCGTGTTTTGAAGGGCCATCCCCGCCGTAAGTCGAGAACATACCCCAGGTCCCCGCCGCAACTCGAGAAAAACCATGAGACTTCCCCCTAGAGGCGAGATGAGGCCCCATTCCCCTGCAGTGCATGCAGAGCTATTCCGTGATCCCATTCAAACAAGTCAGGAGCTTCGACTTGCTTAATGGATCTCGAGACAGTCCCCAAGAACACTGTCACCAGTCTAGACGGACCCTGAGGTCACCCCAGCAACGCAAAGCAGCTCCATGTGCCCCAAATCAACTCGAGATGAGGCCCGATTCCCCTGCATTGACTCCAGAGCCATTCCCCGTTCCCCATTCAACACGACCGGTGGCTCGACTTCCTTCAGGCAACTCCAGAGATGCCCCGAGAACACTGTCCCAAGTCTAGAGGAACACCAACTTCAGCACAGCAACTCGAGGAATGCTCCGTCTACCCCAAATCGTCTCGAGATGCGAGCTGATTCCCTGGCTTAGGCTCAAGACGTATGCCAACTTCCCAGAAGCACCTCAGGAGGAGGCTTCTCTCAGCAATAGGTATGTGGGAGGGACCCCGAGTTTGCTGCCTCAAGGGGAATATACAGCGAGAAGCCCTAACTTGAAAGGAGGCCGGATTTCCTTGCAGTGGCTTGAATACAGGCTCGTCTTTCATCTCACAACATGAAGGGATGTCTGAATCCCCTGTGGAGACCTTAGAGAAAGCCCTAGGTCCCTGCCTCATTTTGACGGAATGCCTCACATCCCGCTGACACCTCGAGAGGCACGCGGAGTTCATTGCTTCAAAAGGTGACGATGCCTGACTCCTCTTGAATACTGATAGGAATCCCAAAATCCCTGTGGCTACTGGAAAGGGTCCTTGGGTGCCCTGCCTCACCTCGAGAAGCGTCCCTTTGGCCCTGCCAAGCCTCGAAGAGATTCCTGAGGTGTCCCTCGTTACTAGACAGGAGTCCTGACGTCACTGAAGAAACTCGTGTTTTGAAGGGCCATCCCCGCCGTAAGTCGAGAACATACCCCAGGTCCCCGCCGCAACTCGAGAAAAACCATGAGACTTCCCCCTAGAGGCGAGATGAGGCCCCATTCCCCTGCAGTGCATGCAGAGCTATTCCGTGATCCCATTCAAACAAGTCAGGAGCTTCGACTTGCTTAATGGCTCTCGAGACAGTCCCCAAGAACACTGTCACCAGTCTAGACGGACCCTGAGGTCACCCCAGCAACGCAAAGCAGCTCCATGTGCCCCAAATCAACTCGAGATGAGGCCCGATTCCCCTGCATTGACTCCAGAGCCATTCCCCGTTCCCCATTCAACACGACCGGTGGCTCGACTTCCTTCAGGCAACTCCAGAGATGCCCCGAGAACAGTGTCCCAAGTCTAGAGGAACACCAACTTCAGCACAGCAACTCGAGGAATGCTCCGTCTACCCCAAATCGTCTCGAGATGCGAGCTGATTCCCTGGCTTAGGCTCAAGACGTATGCCAACTTCCCAGAAGCACCTCAGGAGGAGGCTTCTCTCAGCAATAGGTATGTGGGAGGGACCCCGAGTTTGCTGCCTCAAGGGGAATATACAGCGAGAAGCCCTAACTTGAAAGGAGGCCGGATTTCCTTGCAGTGGCTTGAATACAGGCTCGTCTTTCATCTCACAACATGAAGGGATGTCTGAATCCCCTGTGGAGACCTTAGAGAAAGCCCTAGGTCCCTGCCTCATTTTGACGGAATGCCTCACATCCCGCTGACACCTCGAGAGGCACGCGGAGTTCATTGCTTCAAAAGGTGACGATGCCTGACTCCTCTTGAATACTGATAGGAATCCCAAAATCCCTGTGGCTACTGGAAAGGGTCCTTGGGTGCCCTGCCTCACCTCGAGAAGCGTCCCTTTGGCCCTGCCAAGCCTCGAAGAGATTCCTGAGGTGTCCCTCGTTACTAGACAGGAGTCCTGACGTCACTGAAGAAACTCGTGTTTTGAAGGGCCATCCCCGCCGTAAGTCGAGAACATACCCCAGGTCCCCGCCGCAACTCGAGAAAAACCATGAGACTTCCCCCTAGAGGCGAGATGAGGCCCCATTCCCCTGCAGTGCATGCAGAGCTATTCCGTGATCCCATTCAAACAAGTCAGGAGCTTCGACTTGCTTAATGGCTCTCGAGACAGTCCCCAAGAACACTGTCACCAGTCTAGACGGACCCTGAGGTCACCCCGGCAACGCAAAGCAGCTCCATGTGCCCCAAATCAACTCGAGATGAGGCCCGATTCCCCTGCATTGACTCCAGAGCCATTCCCCGTTCCCTATTCAACACGACCGGTGGCTCGACTTCCTTCAGGCAACTCCAGAGATGCCCCGAGAACAGTGTCCCAAGTCTAGAGGAACACCAACTTCAGCACAGCAACTCGAGGAATGCTCCGTCTACCCCAAATCGTCTCGAGATGCGAGCTGATTCCCTGGCTTAGGCTCAAGACGTATGCCAACTTCCCAGAAGCACCTCAGGAGGAGGCTTCTCTCAGCAATAGGTATGTGGGAGGGACCCCGAGTTTGCTGCCTCAAGGGGAATATACAGCGAGAAGCCCTAACTTGAAAGGAGGCCGGATTTCCTTGCAGTGGCTTGAATACAGGCTCGTCTTTCATCTCACAACATGAAGGGATGTCTGAATCCCCTGTGGAGACCTTAGAGAAAGCCCTAGGTCCCTGCCTCATTTTGACGGAATGCCTCACATCCCGCTGACACCTCGAGAGGCACGCGGAGTTCATTGCTTCAAAAGGTGACGATGCCTGACTCCTCTTGAATACTGATAGGAATCCCAAAATCCCTGTGGCTACTGGAAAGGGTCCTTGGGTGCCCTGCCTCACCTCGAGAAGCGTCCCTTTGGCCCTGCCAAGCCTCGAAGAGATTCCTGAGGTGTCCCTCGTTACTAGACAGGAGTCCTGACGTCACTGAAGAAACTCGTGTTTTGAAGGGCCATCCCCGCCGTAAGTCGAGAACATACCCCAGGTCCCCGCCGCAACTCGAGAAAAACCATGAGACTTCCCCCTAGAGGCGAGATGAGGCCCCATTCCCCTGCAGTGCATGCAGAGCTATTCCGTGATCCCATTCAAACAAGTCAGGAGCTTCGACTTGCTTAATGGCTCTCGAGACAGTCCCCAAGAACACTGTCACCAGTCTAGACGGACCCTGAGGTCACCCCAGCAACGCAAAGCAGCTCCATGTGCCCCAAATCAACTCGAGATGAGGCCCGATTCCCCTGCATTGACTCCAGAGCCATTCCCCGTTCCCCATTCAACACGACCGGTGGCTCGACTTCCTTCAGGCAACTCCAGAGATGCCCCGAGAACAGTGTCCCAAGTCTAGAGGAACACCAACTTCAGCACAGCAACTCGAGGAATGCTCCGTCTACCCCAAATCGTCTCGAGATGCGAGCTGATTCCCTGGCTTAGGCTCAAGACGTATGCCAACTTCCCAGAAGCACCTCAGGAGGAGGCTTCTCTCAGCAATAGGTATGTGGGAGGGACCCCGAGTTTGCTGCCTCAAGGGGAATATACAGCGAGAAGCCCTAACTTGAAAGGAGGCCGGATTTCCTTGCAGTGGCTTGAATACAGGCTCGTCTTTCATCTCACAACATGAAGGGATGTCTGAATCCCCTGTGGAGACCTTAGAGAAAGCCCTAGGTCCCTGCCTCATTTTGACGGAATGCCTCACATCCCGCTGACACCTCGAGAGGCACGCGGAGTTCATTGCTTCAAAAGGTGACGATGCCTGACTCCTCTTGAATACTGATAGGAATCCCAAAATCCCTGTGGCTACTGGAAAGGGTCCTTGGGTGCCCTGCCTCACCTCGAGAAGCGTCCCTTTGGCCCTGCCAAGCCTCGAAGAGATTCCTGAGGTGTCCCTCGTTACTAGACAGGAGTCCTGACGTCACTGAAGAAACTTGTGTTTTGAAGGGCCATCCCCGCCGTAAGTCGAGAACATACCCCAGGTCCCCGCCGCAACTCGAGAAAAACCATGAGACTTCCCCCTAGAGGCGAGATGAGGCCCCATTCCCCTGCAGTGCATGCAGAGCTATTCCGTGATCCCATTCAAACAAGTCAGGAGCTTCGACTTGCTTAATGGCTCTCGAGACAGTCCCCAAGAACACTGTCACCAGTCTAGACGGACCCTGAGGTCACCCCGGCAACGCAAAGCAGCTCCATGTGCCCCAAATCAACTCGAGATGAGGCCCGATTCCCCTGCATTGACTCCAGAGCCATTCCCCGTTCCCCATTCAACACGACCGGTGGCTCGACTTCCTTCAGGCAACTCCAGAGATGCCCCGAGAACAGTGTCCCAAGTCTAGAGGAACACCAACTTCAGCACAGCAACTCGAGGAATGCTCCGTCTACCCCAAATCGTCTCGAGATGCGAGCTGATTCCCTGGCTTAGGCTCAAGACGTATGCCAACTTCCCAGAAGCACCTCAGGAGGAGGCTTCTCTCAGCAATAGGTATGTGGGAGGGACCCCGAGTTTGCTGCCTCAAGGGGAATATACAGCGAGAAGCCCTAACTTGAAAGGAGGCCGGATTTCCTTGCAGTGGCTTGAATACAGGCTCGTCTTTCATCTCACAACATGAAGGGATGTCTGAATCCCCTGTGGAGACCTTAGAGAAAGCCCTAGGTCCCTGCCTCATTTTGACGGAATGCCTCACATCCCGCTGACACCTCGAGAGGCACGCGGAGTTCATTGCTTCAAAAGGTGACGATGCCTGACTCCTCTTGAATACTGATAGGAATCCCAAAATCCCTGTGGCTACTGGAAAGGGTCCTTGGGTGCCCTGCCTCACCTCGAGAAGCGTCCCTTTGGCCCTGCCAAGCCTCGAAGAGATTCCTGAGGTGTCCCTCGTTACTAGACAGGAGTCCTGACGTCACTGAAGAAACTCGTGTTTTGAAGGGCCATCCCCGCCGTAAGTCGAGAACATACCCCAGGTCCCCGCCGCAACTCGAGAAAAACCATGAGACTTCCCCCTAGAGGCGAGATGAGGCCCCATTCCCCTGCAGTGCATGCAGAGCTATTCCGTGATCCCATTCAAACAAGTCAGGAGCTTCGACTTGCTTAATGGATCTCGAGACAGTCCCCAAGAACACTGTCACCAGTCTAGACGGACCCTGAGGTCACCCCAGCAACGGAAAGCAGCTCCATGTGCCCCAAATCAACTCGAGATGAGGCCCGATTCCCCTGCATTGACTCCAGAGCCATTCCCCGTTCCCCATTCAACACGACCGGTGGCTCGACTTCCTTCAGGCAACTCCAGAGATGCCCCGAGAACACTGTCCCAAGTCTAGAGGAACACCAACTTCAGCACAGCAACTCGAGGAATGCTCCGTCTACCCCAAATCGTCTCGAGATGCGAGCTGATTCCCTGGCTTAGGCTCAAGACGTATGCCAACTTCCCAGAAGCACCTCAGGAGGAGGCTTCTCTCAGCAATAGGTATGTGGGAGGGACCCCGAGTTTGCTGCCTCAAGGGGAATATACAGCGAGAAGCCCTAACTTGAAAGGAGGCCGGATTTCCTTGCAGTGGCTTGAATACAGGCTCGTCTTTCATCTCACAACATGAAGGGATGTCTGAATCCCCTGTGGAGACCTTAGAGAAAGCCCTAGGTCCCTGCCTCATTTTGACGGAATGCCTCACATCCCGCTGACACCTCGAGAGGCACGCGGAGTTCATTGCTTCAAAAGGTGACGATGCCTGACTCCTCTTGAATACTGATAGGAATCCCAAAATCCCTGTGGCTACTGGAAAGGGTCCTTGGGTGCCCTGCCTCACCTCGAGAAGCGTCCCTTTGGCCCTGCCAAGCCTCGAAGAGATTCCTGAGGTGTCCCTCGTTACTAGACAGGAGTCCTGACGTCACTGAAGAAACTCGTGTTTTGAAGGGCCATCCCCGCCGTAAGTCGAGAACATACCCCAGGTCCCCGCCGCAACTCGAGAAAAACCATGAGACTTCCCCCTAGAGGCGAGATGAGGCCCCATTCCCCTGCAGTGCATGCAGAGCTATTCCGTGATCCCATTCAAACAAGTCAGGAGCTTCGACTTGCTTAATGGATCTCGAGACAGTCCCCAAGAACACTGTCACCAGTCTAGACGGACCCTGAGGTCACCCCAGCAACGCAAAGCAGCTCCATGTGCCCCAAATCAACTCGAGATGAGGCCCGATTCCCCTGCATTGACTCCAGAGCCATTCCCCGTTCCCCATTCAACACGACCGGTGGCTCGACTTCCTTCAGGCAACTCCAGAGATGCCCCGAGAACACTGTCCCAAGTCTAGAGGAACACCAACTTCAGCACAGCAACTCGAGGAATGCTCCGTGTACCCCAAATCGTCTCGAGATGCGAGCTGATTCCCTGGCTTAGGCTCAAGACGTATGCCAACTTCCCAGAAGCACCTCAGGAGGAGGCTTCTCTCAGCAATAGGTATGTGGGAGGGACCCCGAGTTTGCTGCCTCAAGGGGAATATACAGCGAGAAGCCCTAACTTGAAAGGAGGCCGGATTTCCTTGCAGTGGCTTGAATACAGGCTCGTCTTTCATCTCACAACATGAAGGGATGTCTGAATCCCCTGTGGAGACCTTAGAGAAAGCCCTAGGTCCCTGCCTCATTTTGACGGAATGCCTCACATCCCGCTGACACCTCGAGAGGCACGCGGAGTTCATTGCTTCAAAAGGTGACGATGCCTGACTCCTCTTGAATACTGATAGGAATCCCAAAATCCCTGTGGCTACTGGAAAGGGTCCTTGGGTGCCCTGCCTCACCTCGAGAAGCGTCCCTTTGGCCCTGCCAAGCCTCGAAGAGATTCCTGAGGTGTCCCTCGTTACTAGACAGGAGTCCTGACGTCACTGAAGAAACTCGTGTTTTGAAGGGCCATCCCCGCCGTAAGTCGAGAACATACCCCAGGTCCCCGCCGCAACTCGAGAAAAACCATGAGACTTCCCCCTAGAGGCGAGATGAGGCCCCATTCCCCTGCAGTGCATGCAGAGCTATTCCGTGATCCCATTCAAACAAGTCAGGAGCTTCGACTTGCTTAATGGATCTCGAGACAGTCCTCAAGAACACTGTCACCAGTCTAGACGGACCCTGAGGTCACCCCGGCAACGCAAAGCAGCTCCATGTGCCCCAAATGAACTCGAGATGAGGCCCGATTCCCCTGCATTGACTCCAGAGCCATTCCCCGTTCCCCATTCAACACGACCGGTGGCTCGACTTCCTTCAGGCAACTCCAGAGATGCCCCGAGAACACTGTCCCAAGTCTAGAGGAACACCAACTTCAGCACAGCAACTCGAGGAATGCTCCGTCTACCCCAAATCGTCTCGAGATGCGAGCTGATTCCCTGGCTTAGGCTCAAGATGTATGCCAACTTCCCAGAAGCACCTCAGGAGGAGGCTTCTCTCAGCAATAGGTATGTGGGAGGGACCCCGAGTTTGCTGCCTCAAGGGGAATATACAGCGAGAAGCCCTAACTAGAAAGGAGGCCGGATTTCCTTGCAGTGGCTTGAATACAGGCTCGTCTTTCATCTCACAACATGAAGGGATGTCTGAATCCCCTGTGGAGACCTTAGAGAAAGCCCTAGGTCCCTGCCTCATTTTGACGGAATGCCTCACATCCCGCTGACACCTCGAGAGGCACGCGGAGTTCATTGCTTCAAAAGGTGACGATGCCTGACTCCTCTTGAATACTGATAGGAATCCCAAAATCCCTGTGGCTACTGGAAAGGGTCCTTGGGTGCCCTGCCTCACCTCGAGAAGCGTCCCTTTGGCCCTGCCAAGCCTCGAAGAGATTCCTGAGGTGTCCCTCGTTACTAGACAGGAGTCCTGACGTCACTGAAGAAACTCGTGTTTTGAAGGGCCATCCCCGCCGTAAGTCGAGAACATACCCCAGGTCCCCGCCGCAACTCGAGAAAAACCATGAGACTTCCCCCTAGAGGCGAGATGAGGCCCCATTCCCCTGCAGTGCATGCAGAGCTATTCCGTGATCCCATTCAAACAAGTCAGGAGCTTCGACTTGCTTAATGGCTCTCGAGACAGTCCCCAAGAACACTGTCACCAGTCTAGACGGACCCTGAGGTCACCCCGGCAACGCAAAGCAGCTCCATGTGCCCCAAATCAACTCGAGATGAGGCCCGATTCCCCTGCATTGACTCCAGAGCCATTCCCCGTTCCCCATTCAACACGACCGGTGGCTCGACTTCCTTCAGGCAACTCCAGAGATGCCCCGAGAACACTGTCCCAAGTCTAGAGGAACACCAACTTCAGCACAGCAACTCGAGGAATGCTCCGTGTACCCCAAATCGTCTCGAGATGCGAGCTGATTCCCTGGCTTAGGCTCAAGACGTATGCCAACTTCCCAGAAGCACCTCAGGAGGAGGCTTCTCTCAGCAATAGGTATGTGGGAGGGACCCCGAGTTTGCTGCCTCAAGGGGAATATACAGCGAGAAGCCCTAACTTGAAAGGAGGCCGGATTTCCTTGCAGTGGCTTGAATACAGGCTCGGCTTTCATCTCACAACATGAAGGGATGTCTGAATCCCCTGTGGAGACCTTAGAGAAAGCCCTAGGTCCCTGCCTCATTTTGACGGAATGCCTCACATCCCGCTGACACCTCGAGAGGCACGCGGAGTTCATTGCTTCAAAAGGTGACGATGCCTGACTCCTCTTGAATACTGATAGGAATCCCAAAATCCCTGTGGCTACTGGAAAGGGTCCTTGGGTGCCCTGGCTCACCTCGAGAAGCGTCCCTTTGGCCCTGCCAAGCCTCGAAGAGATTCCTGAGGTGTCCCTCGTTACTAGGCAGGAGTCCTGACGTCACTGGAGAAACTCGAGTTTTGAAGGTCCATCCCCGCCGTAAGTCGAGAACATACCCCAGGGCCCCGCCGCAACTCGAGAAAAATCGTGAGACTTCCCCCTAGAGGCGAGATGAGGCCCCATTCCCCTGCAGTGCATGCAGAGCTATTCCGTGATCCCATTCAAACAAGTCAGGAGCTTCGACTTGCTTAATGGATCTCGAGACAGTCCCCAAGAACACTGTCACCAGTCTAGACGGACCCTGAGGTCACCCAGCAATGCAAAGCAGCTCCATGTGCCCCAAATCAACTCGAGATGAGGCCGGATTCCCCTGCATTGACTCCAGAGCCATTCCTTGTTCCCCATTCAACACGACCGGTGGCTCGACTTCCTTCAGGCAACTCCAGAGATGCCCCGAGAACACTGTCCCAAGACTAGAGGACCACCAACTTCAGCACAGCAACTCGAGGAATGCTCCGTGTACCCCAAATCGTCTCGAGATGAGAGCTGATTCTCTGGCTTAGGCTCAAGTCGTATGCCAACTTTCCAGAAGCACCTCAGGAGGAAGCTTCTCTCAGCAATAAGTATGTGGGAGCGACCCCGAGTTTGCTGCCTCAAGGGGAATACACAGGGAGAAGCCCTAACGTGAACGGAGGCCAGATTTCCTTGCAGTGGGTTGAATAAAGGCTCGTCTTCGATCTGAAAACATGAAGGGATGTCTGAATTCCCTGTGGAGACCTTAGAGGAAGCCCTAGGTCCCTGCCTCATTTTGACGGAATACCTCACATCCCCCTGACACCTCGAGAGGCACAGAGAGTTCATTGCTTCAAAAGGTGACGATGCCTGACTCCTCTTGAATACTTATAGGAATCCCAAAATCCCTGTTGCTACTGGAAAGGGTCCTTGGGTGCCCTGGCTCACCTCGAGAAGCGTCCCTTTTGCCCTGCCAAGCCTCGAAGAAATTGCTGAGGTGTCCCTCGTTACTAGACAGGAGTCCTGACGTCATGGAAGAAACTCGTGTTTTGAAGGGCCATCCCCACCGTAAGTCGAGAACATACCCCAGGTCCCCGCCGCAACTCGAGAAAAACCATGAGACTTCCCCCTAGAGGCGAGATGAGGCCCCATTCCCCTGCAGTGCATGCAGAGCTATTCCGTGATCCCATTCAAACAAGTCAGGAGCTTCGACTTGCTTAATGGATCTCGAGACAGTCCCCAAGAACACTGTCACCAGTCTAGACGGACCCTGAGGTCACCCAGCAATGCAAAGCAGCTCCATGTGCCCCAAATCAACTCGAGATGAGGCCGGATTCCCCTGCATTGACTCCAGAGCCATTCCTTGTTCCCCATTCAACACGACCGGTGGCTCGACTTCTTTCAGGCAACTCCAGAGATGCCCCGAGAACACTGTCCCAAGTCTAGAGGACCACCAACTTCAGCACAGCAACTCGAGAAATGCTCTGTGTACCCCAAATCGTCTCGAGATGAGAGCTGATTCCCTGGCTTAGGCTCAAGACGTATGCCACCTTTCCAGAAGCACCTCAGGAGGAGGCTTCTCTCAGCAATAGGTATGTGGGAGGGACCCCGAGTTTGCTGCCTCAAGGGGAATATACAGCGAGAAGCCCTAACTTGAAAGGAGGCTGGATTTCCTTGCAGTGGCTTGAATACAGGTTCGTCTTTCATCTCACAACATGAAGGGATGTCTGAATCCCCTGTGGAGACCTTAGAGAAAGCCCTAGGTCCCTGCCTCATTTTGACGGAATCCTCATATCCCGCTGACACCTCGAGAGGCACGCGGAGTTCATTGCTTCAAAAGGTGACGATGCCTGACTCCTCTTGAATACTTATAGGCATCCCAAAATCCCTGTGGCTACTGGAAAGGGTCCTTGGGTGCCCTGGCTCACCTCGAGAAGCGTCCCTTTTGCCCTGCCAAGCCTCGAAGAGATTGCTGAGGTGTCCGTCGTTACTAGACAGGAGTCCTGACATCACGGAAGAAACTCGTGTTTTGAAGGGCCATCCCCGCCGTAAGTCGAGAACATACCCCAGGTCCCCGCCGCAACTCGAGAAAAACCATGAGACTTCCCCCTAGAGGCGAGATGAGGCCCCATTCCCCTGCAGTGCATGCAGAGCTATTCCGTGATCCCATTCAAACAAGTCAGGAGCTTCGACTTGCTTAATGGATCTCGAGACAGTCCCCAAGAACACTGTCACCAGTCTAGACGGACCCTGAGGTCACCCAGCAATGCAAAGCAGCTCCATGTGCCCCAAATCAACTCGAGATGAGGCCGGATTAACCTGCATTGACACCAGAGCCATTCCTTGTTCCCCATTCAACACGACCGGTGGCTCGACTTCCTTCAGGCAACTCCAGAGATGCCCCGAGAACACTGTCCCAAGTCTAGAGGAACACCAACTTCAGCACAGCAACTCGAGGAATGCTCTGTGTACCCCAAATCGTCTCGAGATGAGAGCTGATTCCCTGGCTTAGGCTCAAGACGTATGCCACCTTTCCAGAAACACCTCAGGAGGAGGCTTCTCTCAGTAATAGGTATGTGGGAGGGACCCCGAGTTTGCTGCCTCAAGGGGAATATACAGCGAGAAGTCCTAACTTGAAAGGAGGCCGGATTTCCTTGCAGTGGCTTGAATACCGGCTCGTCTTTCATCTCACAACATGAAGGGATGTCTGAATCCCCTGTGGAGACCTTAGAGAAAGCCCTAGGTCCCTGCCTCATTTTGACGGAATCCTCACATCCCGCTGACACCTCGAGAGGCACGCGGAGTTCATTGCTTCAAAAGGTGACGATGCCTGACTCCTCTTGAATACTTATAGGAATCCCAAAATCCCTGTGGCTACTGGAAAGGGTACTTGGGTGCCCTGGCTCACCTCGAGAAGCGTCCCTTTTGCCCTGCCAAGCCTCGAAGAGATTGCTGAGGTGTCCCTCGTTACTAGACAGGAGTCCTGACGTCACTGAAGAAACTCGTGTTTTGAAGGGCCATCCCCGCCGTAAGTCGAGAACATACCCCAGGTCCCCGCCGCAACTCGAGAAAAACCATGAGACTTCCCCCTAGAGGCGAGATGAGGCCCCATTCCCCTGCAGTGCATGCAGAGCTATTCCGTGATCCCATTCAAACAAGTCAGGAGCTTCGACTTGCTTAATGGATCTCGAGACAGTCCCCAAGAACACTGTCACCAGTCTAGACGGACCCTGAGGTCACCCCAGCAATGCAAAGCAGCTCCATGTGCCCCAAATCAACTCGAGATGAGGCCCCATTCCCCTGCATTGACTCCAGAGCCATTCCCCGTTCCCCATTCAACACGACTGGTGGCTCGCTTTCCTTCAGGCAACTCCAGAGATGGCCCGAGAACACTGTCCCAAGTCTAGAGGAACACCAACTTCAGCACAGCAACTCGAGGAATGCTCTGTGTACCCCAAATCGTCTCGAGATGAGAGCTGATTCCCTGGCTTAGGCTCAAGACGTATGCCAACTTTCCAGAAGCACCTCAGGAGGAGGCTTCTCAGCAATAGGTATGTGGGAGGGACTCCGAGTTTGCTGCCTCAAGGGAAATATACAGCGAGAAGCCCTAACTTGAAAGGAGGCCGGATTTCCTTGCAGTAGCTTGAATACAGGCTTGTCTTTCATCTCACAACATGAAGGGATGTCTGAATCCCCTGTGAAGACCTTAGAGAAAGCCCTAGGACCCTGCCTCATTTTGACGGAATGCCTCACATCCCGCTGACAACTCGAGAGGCACGCGGAGTTCATTGCTTCAAAAGGTGACGATGCCTGACTCCTCTTGAATACTGATAGGAATCCCAAAATCCCTGTGGCTACTGGAAAGGGTCCTTGGGTGCCCTGCCTCACCTCGAGAAGCGTCCCTTTTGAGCTGCCAAGCCTCGAAGAGATTCCTGAGGTGTCCCTCGTTACTAGACAGGAGTCCTGACGTCACTGAAGAAACTCGTGTTTTGAAGGGCCATCCCCGCCGTAAGTCGAGAACATACCCCAGGTCCCCGCCGCAACTCGAGAAAAACCATGAGACTTCCCCCTAGAGGCGAGATGAGGCCCCATTCCCCTGCAGTGCATGCAGAGCTATTCCGTGATCCCATTCAAAGAAGTCAGGAGCTTCGACTTGCTTAATGGATCTCGAGACAGTCCCCAAGAACACTGTCACCAGTCTAGACGGACCCTGAGGTCACCCCAGCAACGCAAAGCTGCTCCATGTGCCCCAAATCAACTCGAGATGAGGCCCGATTCCCCTGCATTGACTCCAGAGCCATTCCCCGTTCCCCATTCAACACGACCGGTGGCTCGACTTCCTTCAGGCAACTGCAGAGATGCCCCGAGAACACTGTCCCAAGTCTAGAGGAACACCAACTTCAGCACAGCAACTCGAGGAATGCTCCGTGTACCCCAAATCATCTCGAGATGAGAGCTGATTCTCTGGCTTAGGCTCAAGACGTATGCCACCTTTCCAGAAGCACCTCAGGAGGAGGCTTCTCTCAGCAATAGGTATGTGGGAGCGACCCCGAGTTTGCTGCCTCAAGGGGAATACACAGGGAGAAGCCCTAACTTGAACGGAGGCCAGATTTCCTTGCAGTGGGTTGAATAAAGGCTCGTCTTCGATCTGAAAACATGAAGGGATGTCTGAATTCCCTGTGGAGACCTTAGAGGAAGCCCTAGGTCCCTGCCTCATTTTGACGGAATACCTCACATCCCCCTGACACCTCGAGAGGCACGCAGAGTTCATTGCTTCAAAAGGTGACGATGCCTGACTCCTCTTGAATACTTATAGGAATCCCAAAATCCCTGTTGCTACTGGAAAGGGTCCTTGGGTGCCCTGGCTCACCTCGAGAAGCGTCCCTTTTGCCCTGCCAAGCCTCGAAGAAATTGCTGAGGTGTCCCTCGTTACTAGACAGGAGTCCTGACGTCACGGAAGAAACTCGTGTTTTGAAGGGCCATCCCCGCCGTAAGTCGAGAACATACCCCAGGTCCCCGCCGCAACTCGAGAAAAACCATGAGACTTCCCCCTAGAGGCGAGATGAGGCCCCATTCCCCTGCAGTGCATGCAGAGCTATTCCGTGATCCCATTCAAACAAGTCAGGAGCTTCGACTTGCTTAATGGATCTCGAGACAGTCCCCAAGAACACTGTCACCAGTCTAGACGGACCCTGAGGTCACCACAGCAACGCAAAGCAGCTCCATGTGCCCCAAATCAACTCGAGATGAGGCCCGATTCCCCTGCATTGACTCCAGAGCCATTCCCCGTTCCCCGTTCAACACGAACGGAGGCTCGCCTTCCTTCAGGCAACTCCAGAGATGCCCCGAGAACACTGTCCCAAGTCTAGAGGAACACCAACTTCAGCACAGCAACTCGAGGAATGCTCTGTGTACCCCAAATCGTCTCGAGATGAGAGCTGATTCCCTGGCTTAGGCTCAAGACGTATGCCAACTTTCCAGAAGCACCTCAGGAGGAGGCTTCTCAGCAATAGGTATGTGGGAGGGACTCCGAGTTTGCTGCCTCAAGGGGAATATACAGCGAGAAGCCCTAACTTGAAAGGAGGCCGGATTTCCTTGCAGTGGTTTGAATACCGGCTCGTCTTTCATCTCACAACATGAAGGGATGTCTGAATCCCCTGTGGAGACCTTAGAGAAAGCCCTAGGTCCCTGCCTCATTTTGACGGAATGCCTCACATCCCGCTGACACCTCGAGAGGCACGCGGAGTTCATTTCTTCAAAAGGTGACGATGCCTGACTCCTCTTGAATACTGATAGGAATCCCAAAATCCCTGTGGCTACTGGAAAGGGTCCTTGGGTGCCCTGCCTCACCTCGAGAAGCGTCCCTTTTGCCCTGCCAAGCCTCGAAGAGATTGCTGAGGTGTCCCTCGTTACTAGACAGGAGTCCTGACGTCACGGAAGAAACTCGTGTTTTGAAGGGCCATCCCCGCCGTAAGTTGAGAACATACCCCAGGTCCCCGCCGCAACTCGAGAAAAACCATGAGACTTCCCCCTAGAGGCGAGATGAGGCCCCATTCCCCTGCAGTGCATGCAGAGCTATTCCGTGATCCCATTCAAACAAGTCAGGAGCTTCGACTTGCTTAATGGATCTCGAGACAGTCCCCAAGAACACTGTCACCAGTCTAGACGGACCCTGAGGTCACCCAGCAATGCAAAGCAGCTCCATGTGCCCCAAATCAACTCGAGATGAGGCCGGATTAACCTGCATTGACACCAGAGCCATTCCTTGTTCCCCATTCAACACGACCGGTGGCTCGACTTCCTTCAGGCAACTCCAGAGATGCCCCGAGAACACTGTCCCAAGTCTAGAGGAACACCAACTTCAGCACAGCAACTCGAGGAATGCTCTGTGTACCCCAAATCGTCTCGAGATGAGAGCTGATTCCCTGGCTTAGGCTCAAGACGTATGCCACCTTTCCAGAAACACCTCAGGAGGAGGCTTCTCTCAGTAATAGGTATGTGGGAGGGACCCCGAGTTTGCTGCCTCAAGGGGAATATACAGCGAGAAGTCCTAACTTGAAAGGAGGCCGGATTTCCTTGCAGTGGCTTGAATACCGGCTCGTCTTTCATCTCACAACATGAAGGGATGTCTGAATCCCCTGTGGAGACCTTAGAGAAAGCCCTAGGTCCCTGCCTCATTTTGACGGAATCCTCACATCCCGCTGACACCTCGAGAGGCACGCGGAGTTCATTGCTTCAAAAGGTGACGATGCCTGACTCCTCTTGAATACTTATAGGAATCCCAAAATCCCTGTGGCTACTGGAAAGGGTACTTGGGTGCCCTGGCTCACCTCGAGAAGCGTCCCTTTTGCCCTGCCAAGCCTCGAAGAGATTGCTGAGGTGTCCCTCGTTACTAGACAGGAGTCCTGACGTCACTGAAGAAACTCGTGTTTTGAAGGGCCATCCCCGCCGTAAGTCGAGAACATACCCCAGGTCCCCGCCGCAACTCGAGAAAAACCATGAGACTTCCCCCTAGAGGCGAGATGAGGCCCCATTCCCCTGCAGTGCATGCAGAGCTATTCCGTGATCCCATTCAAACAAGTCAGGAGCTTCGACTTGCTTAATGGATCTCGAGACAGTCCCCAAGAACACTGTCACCAGTCTAGACGGACCCTGAGGTCACCCCAGCAATGCAAAGCAGCTCCATGTGCCCCAAATCAACTCGAGATGAGGCCCCATTCCCCTGCATTGACTCCAGAGCCATTCCCCGTTCCCCATTCAACACGACTGGTGGCTCGCTTTCCTTCAGGCAACTCCAGAGATGGCCCGAGAACACTGTCCCAAGTCTAGAGGAACACCAACTTCAGCACAGCAACTCGAGGAATGCTCTGTGTACCCCAAATCGTCTCGAGATGAGAGCTGATTCCCTGGCTTAGGCTCAAGACGTATGCCAACTTTCCAGAAGCACCTCAGGAGGAGGCTTCTCAGCAATAGGTATGTGGGAGGGACTCCGAGTTTGCTGCCTCAAGGGAAATATACAGCGAGAAGCCCTAACTTGAAAGGAGGCCGGATTTCCTTGCAGTAGCTTGAATACAGGCTTGTCTTTCATCTCACAACATGAAGGGATGTCTGAATCCCCTGTGAAGACCTTAGAGAAAGCCCTAGGACCCTGCCTCATTTTGACGGAATGCCTCACATCCCGCTGACAACTCGAGAGGCACGCGGAGTTCATTGCTTCAAAAGGTGACGATGCCTGACTCCTCTTGAATACTGATAGGAATCCCAAAATCCCTGCGGCTACTGGAAAGGTTCCTTGGGTGCCCTGGCTCACCTCGAGAAGCGTCCCTTTTGAGCTGCCAAGCCTCGAAGAGATTCCTGAGGTGTCCCTCGTTACTAGACAGGAGTCCTGACGTCACTGAAGAAACTCGTGTTTTGAAGGGCCATCCCCGCCGTAAGTCGAGAACATACCCCAGGTCCCCGCCGCAACTCGAGAAAAACCATGAGACTTCCCCCTAGAGGCGAGATGAGGCCCCATTCCCCTGCAGTGCATGCAGAGCTATTCCGTGATCCCATTCAAACAAGTCAGGAGCTTCGACTTGCTTAATGGATCTCGAGACAGTCCCCAAGAACACTGTCACCAGTCTAGACGGACCCTGAGGTCACCCCAGCAACGCAAAGCTGCTCCATGTGCCCCAAATCAACTCGAGATGAGGCCCGATTCCCCTGCATTGACTCCAGAGCCATTCCCCGTTCCCCATTCAACACGACCGGTGGCTCGACTTCCTTCAGGCAACTGCAGAGATGCCCCGAGAACACTGTCCCAAGTCTAGAGGAACACCAACTTCAGCACAGCAACTCGAGGAATGCTCCGTGTACCCCAAATCATCTCGAGATGAGAGCTGATTCTCTGGCTTAGGCTCAAGACGTATGCCAACTTTCCAGAAGCACCTCAGGAGGAGGCTTCTCTCAGCAATAGGTATGTGGGAGCGACCCCGAGTTTGCTGCCTCAAGGGGAATACACAGGGAGAAGCCCTAACTTGAACGGAGGCCAGATTTCCTTGCAGTGGGTTGAATAAAGGCTCGTCTTCGATCTGAAAACATGAAGGGATGTCTGAATTCCCTGTGGAGACCTTAGAGGAAGCCCTAGGTCCCTGCCTCATTTTGACGGAATACCTCACATCCCCCTGACACCTCGAGAGGCACGCAGAGTTCATTGCTTCAAAAGGTGACGATGCCTGACTCCTCTTGAATACTTATAGGAATCCCAAAATCCCTGTTGCTACTGGAAAGGATCCTTGGGTGCCCTGGCTCACCTCGAGAAGCGTCCCTTTTGCCCTGCCAAGCCTCGAAGAAATTGCTGAGGTGTCCCTCGTTACTAGACAGGAGTCCTGACGTCACGGAAGAAACTCGTGTTTTGAAGGGCCATCCCCGCCGTAAGTCGAGAACATACCCCAGGTCCCCGCCGCAACTCGAGAAAAACCATGAGACTTCCCCCTAGAGGCGAGATGAGGCCCCATTCCCCTGCAGTGCATGCAGAGCTATTCCGTGATCCCATTCAAACAAGTCAGGAGCTTCGACTTGCTTAATGGATCTCGAGACAGTCCCCAAGAACACTGTCACCAGTCTAGACGGACCCTGAGGTCACCACAGCAACGCAAAGCAGCTCCATGTGCCCCAAATCAACTCGAGATGAGGCCCGATTCCCCTGCATTGACTCCAGAGCCATTCCCCGTTCCCCGTTCAACACGAACGGAGGCTCGCCTTCCTTCAGGCAACTCCAGAGATGCCCCGAGAACACTGTCCCAAGTCTAGAGGAACACCAACTTCAGCACAGCAACTCGAGGAATGCTCTGTGTACCCCAAATCGTCTCGAGATGAGAGCTGATTCCCTGGCTTAGGCTCAAGACGTATGCCAACTTTCCAGAAGCACCTCAGGAGGAGGCTTCTCAGCAATAGGTATGTGGGAGGGACTCCGAGTTTGCTGCCTCAAGGGGAATATACAGCGAGAAGTCCTAACTTGAAAGGAGGCCGGATTTCCTTGCAGTGGTTTGAATACAGGCTCGTCTTTCATCTCACAACATGAAGGGATGTCTGAATCCCCTGTGGAGACCTTAGAGAAAGCCCTAGGTCCCTGCCTCATTTTGACGGAATGCCTCACATCCCGCTGACACCTCGAGAGGCACGCGGAGTTCATTGCTTCAAAAGGTGACGATGCCTGACTCCTCTTGAATACTGATAGGAATCCCAAAATCCCTGTGGCTACTGGAAAGGGTCCTTGGGTGCCCTGCGTCACCTCGAGAAGCGTCCCTTTTGCCCTGCCAAGCCTCGAAGAGATTGCTGAGGTGTCCCTCGTTACTAGACAGGAGTCCTGACGTCACGGAAGAAACTCGTGTTTTGAAGGGCCATCCCCGCCGTAAGTCGAGAACATACCCCAGGTCCCCGCCGCAACTCCAGAAAAACCATGAGACTTCCCCCTAGAGGCGAGATGAGGCCCCATTCCCCTGCAGTGCATGCAGAGCTATTCCGTGATCCCATTCAAACACGTCAGGAGCTTCGACTTGCTTAATGGATCTCGAGACAGTCCCCAAGAACACTGTCACCAGTCTAGACGGACCCTGAGGTCACCCCAGCAACGCAAAGCAGCTCCATGTGCCCCAAATCAACTCGAGATGAGGCCCGATTCCCCTGCATTGACTCCAGAGCCATTCCCCGTTCCCCATTCAACACGACTGGTGGCTCGCTTTCCTTCAGGCAACTCCAGAGATGCCCCGAGAACACTGTCCCAAGTCTAGAGGAACACCAACTTCAGCACAGCAACTCGAGGAATGCTCTGTGTACCCCAAATCGTCTCGAGATGAGAGCTGATTCCCTGGCTTAGGCTCAAGACGTATGCCAACTTTCCAGAAGCACCTCAGGAGGAGGCTTCTCAGCAATAGGTATGTGGGAGGGACTCCGAGTTTGCTGCCTCAAGGGGAATATACAGCGAGAAGCCCTAACTTGAAAGGAGGCCGGATTTCCTTGCAGTAGCTTGAATACAGGCTTGTCTTTCATCTCACAACATGAAGGGATGTCTGAATCCCCTGTGAAGACCTTAGAGAAAGCCCTAGGACCCTGCCTCATTTTGACGGAATGCCTCACATCCCGCTGACAACTCGAGAGGCACGCGGAGTTCATTGCTTCAAAAGGTGACGATGCCTGACTCCTCTTGAATACTGATAGGAATCCCAAAATCCCTGTGGCTACTGGAAAGGTTCCTTGGGTGCCCTGGCTCACCTCGAGAAGCGTCCCTTTTGCCCTGCCAAGCCTCGAAGAGATTCCTGAGGTGTCCCTCGTTACTAGACAGTAGTCCTGACGTCACTGAAGAAACTCGTGTTTTGAAGGGCCATCCCCGCCGTAAGTCGAGAACATACCCCAGGTCCCCGCCGCAACTCGAGAAAAACCATGAGACTTCCCCCTAGAGGCGAGATGAGGCCCCATTCCCCTGCAGTGCATGCAGAGCTATTCCGTGATCCCATTCAAACAAGTCAGGAGCTTCGACTTGCTTAATGGATCTCGAGACAGTCCCCAAGAACACTGTCACCAGTCTAGACGGACCCTGAGGTCACCCCAGCAACGCAAAGCTGCTCCATGTGCCCCAAATCAACTCGAGATGAGGCCCGATTCCCCTGCATTGACTCCAGAGCCATTCCCCGTTCCCCATTCAACACGACCGGTGGCTCGACTTCCTTCAGGCAACTGCAGAGATGCCCCGAGAACACTGCCCCAAGTCTAGAGGAACACCAACTTCAGCACAGCAACTCGAGGAATGCTCTGTGTACCCCAAATCGTCTCGAGATGAGAGCTGATTCCCTGGCTTAGGCTCAAGACGTATGCCAACTTTCCAGAAGCACCTCAGGAGGAGGCTTCTCTGCAATAGGTATGTGGGAGGGACTCCGAGTTTGCTGCCTCAAGGGGAATATACAGCGAGAAGCCCTAACTTGAAAGGAGGCCGGATTTCCTTGCAGTGGTTTGAATACAGGCTGTTCTTTCATCTCACAACATGAAGGGATGTCTGAATCCCCTGTGGAGACCTTAGAGAAAGCCCTAGGTCCCTGCCTCATTTTGACGGAATGCCTCACATCCCGCTGACACCTCGAGAGGCACGCGGAGTTCATTGCTTCAAAAGGTGACGATGCCTGACTCCTCTTGAATACTGATAGGAATCCCAAAATCCCTGTGGCTACTGGAAAGGGTCCTTGGGTGCCCTGCCTCACCTCGAGAAGCGTCCCTTTTGCCCTGCCAAGCCTCGAAGAGATTGCTGAGGTGTCCCTCGTTACTAGACAGGAGTCCTGACGTCACGGAAGAAACTCGTGTTTTGAAGGGCCATCCCCGCCGTAAGTCGAGAACATACCCCAGGTCCCCGCCGCAACTCGAGAAAAACCATGAGACTTCCCCCTAGAGGCGAGATGAGGCCCCATTCCCCTGCAGTGCATGCAGAGCTATTCCGTGATCCCATTCAAACAAGTCAGGAGCTTCGACTTGCTTAACGGATATCGAGACAGTCCCCAAGAACCCTGTCACCAGTCTAGACGGACCCTGAGGTCACCCAGCAATGCAAAGCAGCTCCATGTGCCCCAAATCAACTCGAGATGAGGCCGGATTCCCCTGCATTGACTCCAGAGCCATTCCTTGTTCCCCATTCAACACGACCGGTGGCTCGACTTCCTTCAGGCAACTACAGAGATGCCCCGAGAACACTGTCCCAAGTCTAGAGGAACACCAACTTCAGCACAGCAACTCGAGGAATGCTCTGTGTACCCCAAATCGTCTCGAGATGAGAGCTGATTCCCTGGCTTAGGCTCAAGACGTATGCCACCTTTCCAGAAACACCTCAGGAGGAGGCTTCTCTCAGCAATAGGTATGTGGGAGGGACCCCGAGTTTGCTGCCTCAAGGGGAATATACAGCGAGAAGCCCTAACTTGAAAGGAGGCCGGATTTCCTTGCAGTGGCTTGAATACCGGCTCGTCTTTCATCTCACAACATGAAGGGATGTCTGAATCAACTGTGGAGACCTTAGAGAAAGCCCTAGGTCCCTGCCTCATTTTGACGGAATCCTCACATCCCGCTGACACCTCGAGAGGCACGCGGAGTTCATTGCTTCAAAAGGTGACGATGCCTGACTCCTCTTGAATACTTATAGGAATCCCAAAATCCCTGTGGCTACTGGAAAGGTTCCTTCGGTGCCCTGGCTCACCTCGAGAAGCGTCCCTTTTGCCCTGCCAAGCTTCGAAGAGATTCCTGAGGTGTCCCTCGTTACTAGACAGGAGTCCTGACGTCACTGAAGAAACTCGTGTTTTGAAGGGCCATCCCCGCCGTAAGTCGAGAACATACCCCAGGTCCCCGCCGCAACTCGAGAAAAACCATGAGACTTCCCCCTAGAGGCAAGATGAGGCCCCATTCCCCTGCAGTGCATGCAGAGCTATTCCGTGATCCCATTCAAACAAGTCAGGAGCTTCGACTTGCTTAATGGATCTCGAGACAGTCCCCAAGAACACTGTCACCAGTCTAGACGGACCCTGAGGTCACCCCAGCAACGCAAAGCTGCTCCATGTGCCCCAAATCAACTCGAGATGAGGCCCGATTCCCCTGCATTGACTCCAGAGCCATTCCCCGTTCCCCATTCAACACGACCGGTGGCTCGACTTCCTTCAGGCAACTGCAGAGATGCCCCGAGAACACTGCCCCAAGTCTAGAGGAACACCAACTTCAGCACAGCAACTCGAGGAATGCTCCGTGTACCCCAAATCATCTTGAGATGAGAGCTGATTCTCTGGCTTAGGCTCAAGACGTATGCCAACTTTCGAGAAGCACCTCAGGAGGAGGCTTCTCTCAGCAATAGGTATGTGGGAGCGACCCCGAGTTTGCTGCCTCAAGGGGAATACACAGGGAGAAGCCCTAACGTGAACGGAGGCCAGATTTCCTTGCAGTGGGTTGAATAAAGGCTCGTCTTCGATCTGAAAACATGAAGGGATGTCTGAATTCCCTGTGGAGACCTTAGAGGAAGCCCTAGGTCCCTGCCTCATTTTGACGGAATACCTCACATCCCCCTGACACCTCGAGAGGCACGCAGAGTTCATTGCTTCAAAAGGTGACGATGCCTGACTCCTCTTGAATACTTATAGGAATCCCAAAATCCCTGTTGCTACTGGAAAGGGTCCTTGGGTGCCCTGGCTCACCTCGAGAAGCGTCCCTTTTGCCCTGCCAAGCCTCGAAGAAATTGCTGAGGTGTCCCTCGTTACTAGACAGGAGTCCTGACGTCACGGAAGAAACTCGTGTTTTGAAGGGCCATCCCCGCCGTAAGTCGAGAACATACCCCAGGTCCCCGCCGCAACTCGAGAAAAACCATGAGACTTCCCCCTAGAGGCGAGATGAGGCCCCATTCCCCTGCAGTGCATGCAGAGCTATTCCGTGATCCCATTCAAACAAGTCAGGAGCTTCGACTTGCTTAATGGATCTCGAGACAGTCCCCAAGAACACTGTCACCAGTCTAGACGGACCCTGAGGTCACCCAGCAATGCAAAGCAGCTCCATGTGCCCCAAATCAACTCGAGATGAGGCCGGATTCCCCTGCATTGACTCCAGAGCCATTCCTTGTTCCCCATTCAACACGACCGGTGGCTCGACTTCTTTCAGGCAACTCCAGAGATGCCCCGAGAACACTGTCCCAAGCCTAGAGGACCACCAACTTCAGCACAGCAACTCGAGAAATGCTCTGTGTACCCCAAATCGTCTCGAGATGAGAGCTGATTCCCTGGCTTAGGCTCAAGACGTATGCCACCTTTCCAGAAGCACCTCAGGAGGAGGCTTCTCTCAGCAATAGGTATGTGGGAGGGACCCCGAGTTTGCTGCCTCAAGGGGAATATACAGCGAGAAGCCCTAACTTAAAAGGAGGCCGGATTTCCTTGCAGTGGCTTGAATACAGGCTCGTCTTTCATCTCACAACATGAAGGGATGTCTGAATCCCCTGTGGAGACCTTAGAGAAAGCCCTAGGTCCCTGCCTCATTTTGACGGAATCCTCACATCCCGCTGACACCTCGAGAGGCACGCGGAGTTCATTGCTTCAAAAGGTGACGATGCCTGACTCCTCTTGAATACTTATAGGAATCCCAAAATCCCTGTGGCTACTGGAAAGGGTACTTGGGTGCCCTGGCTCACCTCGAGAAGCGTCCCTTTTGCCCTGCCAAGCCTCGAAGAGATTGCTGAGGTGTCCCTCGTTACTAGACAGGAGTCCTGACGTCACTGAAGAAACTCGTGTTTTGAAGTTCCATCCCCGCCGTAAGTCGAGAACATACCCCAGGTCCCCGACGCAACTCGAGAAAAACCATGAGACTTCCCCCTAGAGGCGAGATGAGGCCCCATTCCCCTGCAGTGCATGCAGAGCTATTCCGTGATCCCATTCAAACAAGTCAGGAGCTTCGACTTGCTTAATGGATCTCGAGACAGTCCCCAAGAAAACTGTAACCAGTCTAGACGGACCCTGAGGTCACCCCAGCAACGCAAAGCAGCTCCATGTGCCCCAAATCAACTCGAGATGAGGCCCCATTCCCCTGCATTGACTCCAGAGCCATTCCCCGTTCCCCATTAAACACGACTGGTGGCTCGCTTTCCTTCAGGCAACTCCAGAGATGCCCCGAGAACACTGTCCCAAGTCTAGAGGAACACCAACTTCAGCACAGCAACTCGAGGAATGCTCTGTGTACCCCAAATCGTCTCGAGATGAGAGCTGATTCCCTGGCTTAGGCTCAAGACGTATGCCAACTTTCCAGAAGCACCTCAGGAGGAGGCTTCTCAGCAATAGGTATGTGGGAGGGACTCCGAGTTTGCTGCCTCAAGGGGAATATACAGCGAGAAGCCCTAACTTGAAAGGAGGCCGGATTTCCTTGCAGTGGCTTGAATACAGGCTCGTCTTTCATCTCACAACATGAAGGGATGTCTGAATCCCCTGTGAAGACCTTAGAGAAAGCCCTAGGACCCTGCCTCATTTTGACGGAATGCCTCACATCCCGCTGACAACTCGAGAGGCACGCGGAGTTCATTGCTTCAAAAGGTGACGATGCCTGACTCCTCTTGAATACTGATAGGAATCCCAAAATCCCTGTGGCTACTGGAAAGGTTCCTTGGGTGCCCTGGCTCACCTCGAGAAGCGTCCCTTTTGCCCTGCCAAGCCTTGAAGAGATTGCTGAGGTGTCCCTCGTTACTAGACAGGAGTCCTGACGTCACTGAAGAAACTCGTGTTTTGAAGGGCCATCCCCGCCGTAAGTCGAGAACATATCCCAGGTCCCCGCCGCAACTCGAGAAAAACCATGAGACTTCCCCCTAGAGGCGAGATGAGGCCCCATTCCCCTGCAGTGCATGCAGAGCTATTCCGTGATCCCATTCAAACAAGTCAGGAGCTTCGACTTGCTTAATGGATCTCGAGACAGTCCCCAAGAACACTGTCACCAATCTAGACGGACCCTGAGGTCACCCCAGCAACGCAAAGCTGCTCCATGTGCGCCAAATCAACTCGAGATGAGGCCCGATTCCCCTGCATTGACTCCAGAGCCATTCCCCGTTCCCCATTCAACACGACAGGTGGCTCGACTTCCTTCAGGCAACTGCAGAGATGCCCCGAGAACACTGCCCCAAGTCTAGAGGAACACCAACTTCAGCAGAGCAACTCGAGGAATGCTCCATGTACCCCAAATCATCTCGAGATGAGAGCTGATTCTCTGGCTTAGGCTCAAGACGTATGCCAACTTTCCAGAAGCACCTCAGGAGGAGGCTTCTCTCAGCAATAGGTATGTGGGAGCGACCCCGAGTTTGCTGCCTCAAGGGGAATACACGGGGAGAAGCCCTAACGTGAACGGAGGCCAGATTTCCTTGCAGTGGGTTGAATAAAGGCTCGTCTTCGATCTGAAAACATGAAGGGATGTCTGAATTCCCTGTGGAGACCTTAGAGGAAGCCCTAGATCCCTGCCTCATTTTGACGGAATACCTCACATCCCCCTGACACCTCGAGAGGCACGCAGAGTTCATTGCTTCAAAAGGTGACGATGCCTGACTCCTCTTGAATACTGATAGGAATCCCAAAATCCCTGTGGCTACTGGAAAGGGTCCTTGGGTGCCCTGGCTCACCTCGAGAAGCGTCCCTTCTGCCCTGCCAAGCCTCGAAGAGATTCCTGAGGTGTCCCTCGTTACTAGGCAGGAGTCCTGACGTCACTGGAGAAACTCGTGTTTTGAAGGGCCATCCCCGCCGTAAGTCGAGAACATACCCCAGGGCCCCGCCGCAACTCGAGAAAAACCATGAGACTTCCCCCTAGAGGCGAGATGAGGCCCCATTCCCCTGCAGTGCATGCAGAGCTATTCCGTGATCCCATTCAAACAAGTCAGGAGCTTCGACTTGCTTAATGGATCTCGAGACAGTCCCCAAGAACACTGTCACCAGTCTAGACGGACCCTGAGGTCACCCAGCAATGCAAAGCAGCTCCATGTGCCCCAAATCAACTCGAGATGAGGCCGGATTCCCCTGCATTGACTCCAGAGCCATTTCTTGTTCCCCATTCAACACGACCGGTGGCTCGACTTCCTTCAGGCAACTCCAGAGATGCCTCGAGAGCACTATCCCAAGTCTAGAGGAACACCAACTTCAGCAGAGCAACTCGAGGAATGCTCTGTGTACCCCAAATCGTCTCGAGATGAGAGCTGATTCCCTGGCTTAGGCTCAAGACGTATGCCACCTTTCCAGAAGCACCTCAGGAGGAGGCTTCTCTCAGCAATAGGTATGTGGGAGGGACCCCGAGTTTGCTGCCTCAAGGGGAATATACAGCGAGAAGCCCTAACTTGAAAGGAGGCCGGATTTCCTTGCAGTGGCTTGAATACAGGCTCGTCTTTCATCTCACAACATGAAGGGATGTCTGAATCCCCTGTGGAGACCTTAGAGAAAGCCCTAGGTCCCTGCCTCATTTTGACGGAATCCTCACATCCCGCTGACACCTCGAGAGGCACGCGGAGTTCATTGCTTTAAAAGGTGACGATGCCTGACTCCTCTTGAATAGTTATAGGAATCCCAAAATCCCTGTGGCTACTGGAAAGGTTCCTTGGGTGCCCTGGCTCACCTCGAGAAGCGTCCCTTTTGCCCTGCCAAGCCTCGAAGAGATTGCTGACGTGTCCCTCGTTACTAGACAGGCGTCCTGACGTCACCGAAGAAACTCGTGTTTTGAAGGGCCATCCCCGCCGTAAGTCGAGAACATACCCCAGGTCCCCGCCGCAACTCGAGAAAAACCATGAGACTTCCCCCTAGAGGCGAGATGAGGCCCCATTCCCCTGCAGTGCATGCAGAGCTATTCCGTGATCCCATTCAAACAAGTCAGGAGCTTCGACTTGCTTAATGGATCTCGAGACAGTCCCCAAGAACACTGTCACCAGTCTAGACGGACCCTGAGGTCACCCCAGCAACGCAAAGCTGCTCCATGTGCCCCAAATCAACTCGAGATGAGGCCCGATTCCCCTGCATTGACTCCAGAGCCATTCCCCGTTCCCCATTCAACACGACCGGTGGCTCGACTTCCTTCAGGCAACTGCAGAGATGCCCCGAGAACACTGCCCCAAGTCTAGAGGAACACCAACTTCAGCACAGCAACTCGAGGAATGCTCCGTGTACCCCAAATCATCTCGAGATGAGAGTTGATTCTCTGGCTTAGGCTCAAGACGTATGCCAACTTTCCAGAAGCACCTCAGGAGGAGGCTTCTCTCAGCAATAGGTATGTGGGAGCGACCCCGAGTTTGCTGCCTCAAGGGGAATACACAGGGAGAAGCCCTAACGTGAACGGAGGCCAGATTTCCTTGCAGTGGGTTGAATAAAGGCTCGTCTTCGATCTGAAAACATGAAGGGATGTCTGAATTCCCTGTGGAGACCTTAGAGGAAGCCCTAGGTCCCTGCCTCATTTTGACGGAATACCTCACATCCCCCTGACACCTCGAGAGGCACGCAGAGTTCATTGCTTCAAAAGGTGACGATGCCTGACTCCTCTTGAATACTTATAGGAATCCCAAAATCCCTGTTGCTACTGGAAAGGGTCCTTGGGTGCCCTGGCTCACCTCGAGAAGCGTCCCTTTTGCCCTGCCAAGCCTCGAAGAAATTGCTGAGGTGTCCCTCGTTACTAGACAGGAGTCCTGACGTCACGGAAGAAACTCGTGTTTTGAAGGGCCATCCCCGCCGTAAGTCGAGAACATAACCCAGGTCCCCGCCGCAACTCGAGAAAAACCATGAGACTTCCCCCTAGAGGCGAGATGAGGCCCCATTCCCCTGCAGTGCATGCAGAGCTATTCCGTGATCCCATTCAAACAAGTCAGGAGCTTCAACTTGCTTAATGGATCTCGAGGCAGTCCCCAAGAACACTGTCACCAGTCTAGACGGACCCTGAGGTCACCCAGCAATGCAAAGCAGCTCCATGTGCCCCAAATCAACTCGAGATGAGGCCGGATTCCCCTGCATTGACTCCAGAGCCATTCCTTGTTCCCCATTCAGCACGACCGGTGGCTCGACTTCTTTCAGGCAATTCCAGAGATGCCCCGAGAACACTGTCCCAAGTCTAGAGGACCACCAACTTCAGCACAGCAACTCGAGAAATGCTCTGTGTACCACAAATCGTCTCGAGATGAGAGCTGATTCCCTGGCTTAGGCTCAAGACGTATGCCACCTTTCCAGAAGCACCTCAGGAGGAGGCTTCTCTCAGCAATAGGTATGTGGGAGGGACCCCGAGGTTGCTGCCTCAAGGGGAATATACAGCGAGAAGCCCTAACTTGAAAGGAGGCCGGATTTCCTTGCAGTGGCTTGAATACAGGCTCGTCTTTCATCTCACAACATGAAGGGATGTCTGAATCCCCTGTCGAGACCTTAGAGAAAGCCCTAGGTCCCTGCCTCATTTTGACGGAATCCTCATATCCCGCTGACACCTCGAGAGGCACGCGGAGTTCATTGCTTCAAAAGGTGACGATGCCTGACTCCTCTTGAATACTTATAGGAATCCCAAAATCCCTGTGGCTACTGGAAAGGGTCCTTGGGTGCCCTGGCTCACCTCGAGAAGCGTCCCTTTTGCCCTGCCAAGCCTCGAAGAGATTGCTGAGGTGTCCCTCGTTACTAGACAGGAGTCCTGACGTCACGGAAGAAACTCGTGTTTTGAAGGGCCATCCCCGCCGTAAGTCGAGAACATACCCCAGGTCCCCGCCGCAACTCGAGAAAAACCATGAGACTTCCCCCTAGAGGCGAGATGAGGCACCATTCCCCTGCAGTGCATGCAGAGCTATTCCGTGATCCCATTCAAACAAGTCAGGAGCTTCGACTTGCTTAATGGATCTCGAGACAGTCCCCAAGAACACTGTCACCAGTCTAGACGGACCCTGAGGTCACCCAGCAATGCAAAGCAGCTCCATGTGCCCCAAATCAACTCGAGATGAGGCCCGATTCCCCTGCATTGACTCCAGAGCCATTCCCCGTTCCCCATTCAACACGACCGGTGGCTCGACTTCCTTCAGGCAATTCCAGGGATGCCCCGAGAACACTGTCCGAAGTCTAGAGGAACACCAACTTCAGCACAGCAACTCGAGGAATGCTCTGTGTACCCCAAATCGTCTCGAGATGAGAGCTGATTCCCTGGCTTAGGCTCAAGACGTATGCCACCTTTCCAGAAGCACCTCAGGAGGAGGCTTCTCTCAGCAATAGGTATGTGGGAGGGACCCCGAGTTTGCTGCCTCAAGGGGAATATACATCGAGAAGCCCTAACTTGAAAGGAGGCCGGATTTCCTTGCAGTGGCTTGAATACAGGCTCGTCTTTGATCTGACAACATGAAGGGATGTCTGAATCCCCTGTGGAGACCTTAGAGAAAGCCCTAGGTCCCTGCCTCATTTTGACGGAATGCCTCACATCCCGCTGACACCTCGAGAGGCACGCGGAGTTCATTGCTTCAAAAGGTGACGATGCCTGACTCCTCTTGAATACTGATAGGAATCCCAAAATCCCTGTGGCTACTGGAAAGGGTCCTTGGGTGCCCTGGCTCACCTCGAGAAGCGTCCCTTTTGCCCTGCCAAGCCTCGAAGAGATTCCTGAGGTGTCCCTCGTTACTAGGCAGGAGTCCTGACGTCACTGGAGAAACTCGTGTTTTGAAGGGCCATCCCCGCCGTAAGTCGAGAACATACCCCAGGTCCCCGCCGCAACTAGAGAAAAACCATGAGACTTCCCCCTAGAGGCGAGATGAGGCCCCATTCCCCTGCAGTGCATGCAGATCTATTCCGTGATCCCATTCAAACAAGTCAGGAGCTTCGACTTGCTTAATGGATCTCGAGACAGTCCCCAAGAACACTGTCACCAGTCTAGACGGACCCTGAGGTCACCCCAGCAACGCAAAGCAGCTCCATGTGCCCCAAATCAACTAGAGATGAGGCCCCATTCCCCTGCATTGACTCCAGAGCCATTCCCCGTTCCCAATTCAACACGACCGGTGGCTCGACTTCCTTCAGGCAACTCCAGAGATGCCCCGAGAACACTGTCCCAAGTCTAGAGGAACACCAACTTCAGCACAGCAACTCGAGGAATGCTCTGTGTACCCCAAATCGTCTCGAGATGAGAGCTGATTCCCTGGCTTAGGCTCAAGACGTATGCCACCTTTCCAGAAACACCTCAGGAGGAGGCTTCTCTCAGTAATAGGTATGTGGGAGGGACCCCGAGTTTGCTGCCTCAAGGGGAATATACAGCGAGAAGTCCTAACTTGAAAGGAGGCCGGATTTCCTTGCAGTGGCTTGAATACCGGCTCGTCTTTCATCTCACAACATGAAGGGATGTCTGAATCCCCTGTGGAGACCTTAGAGAAAGCCCTAGGTCCCTGCCTCATTTTGACGGAATCCTCACATCCCGCTGACACCTCGAGAGGCACGCGGAGTTCATTGCTTCAAAAGGTGACGATGCCTGACTCCTCTTGAATACTTATAGGAATCCCAAAATCCCTGTGGCTACTGGAAAGGGTACTTGGGTGCCCTGGCTCACCTCGAGAAGCGTCCCTTTTGCCCTGCCAAGCCTCGAAGAGATTGCTGAGGTGTCCCTCGTTACTAGACAGGAGTCCTGACGTCACTGAAGAAACTCGTGTTTTGAAGGGCCATCCCCGCCGTAAGTCGAGAACATACCCAGGTCCCCGCCGCAACTCGAGAAAAACCATGAGACTTCCCCCAGAGGCGAGATGAGGCCCCATTCCCCTGCAGTGCATGCAGAGCTATTCCGTGATCCCATTCAAACAAGTCAGGAGCTTCGACTTGCTTAATGGATCTCGAGACAGTCCCCAAGAACACTGTCACCAGTCTAGACGGACCCTGAGGTCACCCCAGCAATGCAAAGCAGCTCCATGTGCCCCAAATCAACTCGAGATGAGGCCCCATTCCCCTGCATTGACTCCAGAGCCATTCCCCGTTCCCCATTCAACACGACTGGTGGCTCGCTTTCCTTCAGGCAACTCCAGAGATGGCCGGAGAACACTGTCCCAAGTCTAGAGGAACACCAACTTCAGCACAGCAACTCGAGGAATGCTCTGTGTACCCCAAATCGTCTCGAGATGAGAGCTGATTCCCTGGCTTAGGCTCAAGACGTATGCCAACTTTCCAGAAGCACCTCAGGAGGAGGCTTCTCAGCAATAGGTATGTGGGAGGGACTCCGAGTTTGCTGCCTCAAGGGAAATATACAGCGAGAAGCCCTAACTTGAAAGGAGGCCGGATTTCCTTGCAGTAGCTTGAATACAGGCTTGTCTTTCATCTCACAACATGAAGGGATGTCTGAATCCCCTGTGAAGACCTTAGAGAAAGCCCTAGGACCCTGCCTCATTTTGACGGAATGCCTCACATCCCGCTGACAACTCGAGAGGCACGCGGAGTTCATTGCTTCAAAAGGTGACGATGCCTGACTCCTCTTGAATACTGATAGGAATCCCAAAATCCCTGTGGCTACTGGAAAGGTTCCTTGGGTGCCCTGGCTCACCTCGAGAAGCGTCCCTTTTGAGCTGCCAAGCCTCGAAGAGATTCCTGAGGTGTCCCTCGTTACTAGACAGGAGTCCTGACGTCACTGAAGAAACTCGTGTTTTGAAGGGCCATCCCCGCCGTAAGTCGAGAACATACCCCAGGTCCCCGCCGCAACTCGAGAAAAACCATGAGACTTCCCCCTAGAGGCGAGATGAGGCCCCATTCCCCTGCAGTGCATGCAGAGCTATTCCGTGATCCCATTCAAACAAGTCAGGAGCTTCGACTTGCTTAATGGATCTCGAGACAGTCCCCAAGAACACTGTCACCAGTCTAGACGGACCCTGAGGTCACCCCAGCAACGCAAAGCTGCTCCATGTGCCCCAAATCAACTCGAGATGAGGCCCGATTCCCCTGCATTGACTCCAGAGCCATTCCCCGTTCCCCATTCAACACGACCGGTGGCTCGACTTCCTTCAGGCAACTGCAGAGATGCCCCGAGAACACTGCCCCAAGTCTAGAGGAACACCAACTTCAGCACAGCAACTCGAGGAATGCTCCGTGTACCCCAAATCATCTCGAGATGAGAGCTGATTCTCTGGCTTAGGCTCAAGACGTATGCCAACTTTCCAGAAGCACCTCAGGAGGAGGCTTCTCTCAGCAATAGGTATGTGGGAGCGACCCCGAGTTTGCTGCCTCAAGGGGAATACACAGGGAGAAGCCCTAACTTGAACGGAGGCCAGATTTCCTTGCAGTGGGTTGAATAAAGGCTCGTCTTCGATCTGAAAACATGAAGGGATGTCTGAATTCCCTGTGGAGACCTTAGAGGAAGCCCTAGGTCCCTGCCTCATTTTGACGGAATACCTCACATCCCCCTGACACCTCGAGAGGCACGCAGAGTTCATTGCTTCAAAAGGTGACGATGCCTGACTCCTCTTGAATACTTATAGGAATCCCAAAATCCCTGTTGCTACTGGAAAGGGTCCTTGGGTGCCCTGGCTCACCTCGAGAAGCGTCCCTTTTGCCCTGCCAAGCCTCGAAGAAATTGCTGAGGTGTCCCTCGTTACTAGACAGGAGTCCTGACGTCACGGAAGAAACTCGTGTTTTGAAGGGCCATCCCCGCCGTAAGTCGAGAACATACCCCAGGTCCCCGCCGCAACTCGAGAAAAACCATGAGACTTCCCCCTAGAGGCGAGATGAGGCCCCATTCCCCTGCAGTGCATGCAGAGCTATTCCGTGATCCCATTCAAACAAGTCAGGAGCTTCGACTTGCTTAATGGATCTCGAGACAGTCCCCAAGAACACTGTCACCAGTCTAGACGGACCCTGAGGTCACCACAGCAACGCAAAGCAGCTCCATGTGCCCCAAATCAACTCGAGATGAGGCCCGATTCCCCTGCATTGACTCCAGAGCCATTCCCCGTTCCCCGTTCAACACGAACGGAGGCTCGCCTTCCTTCAGGCAACTCCAGAGATGCCCCGAGAACACTGTCCCAAGTCTAGAGGAACACCAACTTCAGCACAGCAACTCGAGGAATGCTCTGTGTACCCCAAATCGTCTCGAGATGAGAGCTGATTCCCTGGCTTAGGCTCAAGACGTATGCCAACTTTCCAGAAGCACCTCAGGAGGAGGCTTCTCAGCAATAGGTATGTGGGAGGGACTCCGAGTTTGCTGCCTCAAGGGGAATATACAGCGAGAAGCCCTAACTTGAAAGGAGGCCGGATTTCCTTGCAGTGGTTTGAATACAGGCTCGTCTTTCATCTCACAACATGAAGGGATGTCTGAATCCCCTGTGGAGACCTTAGAGAAAGCCCTAGGTCCCTGCCTCATTTTGACGGAATGCCTCACATCCCGCTGACACCTCGAGAGGCACGCGGAGTTCATTGCTTCAAAAGGTGACGATGCCTGACTCCTCTTGAATACTGATAGGAATCCCAAAATCCCTGTGGCTACTGGAAAGGGTCCTTGGGTGCCCTGCCTCACCTCGAGAAGCGTCCCTTTTGCCCTGCCAAGATTCGAAGAGATTCCTGAGGTGTCACTCGTTACTAGGCAGGAGTCCTGACCTCACTGAAGAAAGTCGTGTTTTGAAGGGCCATCCCTGCCGTAAGTCGAGAACATACCCCAGGTCCCCGCCGCAACTCGAGAAAAACCATGAGACTTCCCCCTAGAGGCGAGATGAGGCCCCATTCCCCTGCAGTGCATGCAGAGCTATTCCGGGATCCCATTCAAACAAGTCAGGAGCTTCGACTTGCTTAATGGATCTCGAGACAGTCCCCAAGAACACTGTCACCAGTCTAGACGGACCCTTAGGTCACCCAGCAATGCAAAGCAGCTCCATGTGCCCCAAATCAACTCGAGATGAGGCCCGATTCCCCTGCATTGACTCCAGAGCCATTCCCTGTTCCCCATTCAACACGACCGGTGGCTCGACTTCCTTCAGGCAACTCCAGGGATGCCCCGAGAACACTGTCCCAAGTCTAGAGGAACACCAACTTCAGCACAGCAACTCGAGGAATGCTCTGTGTACCCCAAATCGTCTCGAGATGAGAGCTGATTCCCTGGCTTAGGCTCAAGACGTATGCCAACTTTCCAGAAGCACCTCAGGAGGAGGCTTCTCAGCAATAGGTATGTGGGAGGGACTCCGAGTTTGCTGCCTCAAGGGGAATATACAGCGAGAAGCCCTAACTTGAAAGGAGGCCGGATTTCCTTGCAGTGGCTTGAATACAGGCTCGTCTTTCATCTCACAACATGAAGGGATGTCTGAATCCCCTGTGAAGACCTTAGAGAAAGCCCTAGGACCCTGCCTCATTTTGACGGAATGCCTCACATCCCGCTGACACCTCGAGAGGCACGCGGAGTTCATTGCTTCAAAAGGTGACGATGCCTGACTCCTCTTGAATACTGATAGGAATCCCAAAATCCCTGTGGCTACTGGAAAGGTTCCTTGGGTGCCCTGGCTTACCTCGAGAAGCGTCCCTTTTGAGCTGCCAAGCCTCGAAGAGATTCCTGAGGTGTCCCTCGTTACTAGACAGGAGTCCTGACGTCACTGAAGAAACTCGTGTTTTGAAGGGCCATCCCCGCCTTAAGTCAAGAACATACCCCAGGTCCCCGCCGCAACTCGAGAAAAACCATGAGACTTCCCCCTAGAGGCGAGATGAGGCCCCATTCCCCTGCAGTGCATGCAGAGCTATTCCGTGATCCCATTCAAACAAGTCAGGAGCTTCGACTTGCTTAATGGATCTCGAGACAGTCCCCAAGAACACTGTCACCAGTCTAGACGGACCCTGAGGTCACCCCAGCAACGCAAAGCTGCTCCATGTGCCCCAAATCAACTCGAGATGAGGCCCGATTCCCCTGCATTGACTCCAGAGCCATTCCCCGTTCCCCATTCAACACGACCGGTGGCTCGACTTCCTTCAGGCAACTCCAGAGATGCCCCGAGAACACTGCCCCAAGTCTAGAGGAACACCAACTTCAGCACAGCAACTCGAGGAATGCTCCGTGTACCACAAATCATCTCGAGATGAGAGCTGATTCTCTGGCTTAGGCTCAAGACGTATGCCAACTTTCCAGAAGCACCTCAGGAGGAGGCTTCTCTCAGCAATAGGTATGTGGGAGCGACCCCGAGTTTGCTGCCTCAAGGGGAATACACAGGGAGAAGCCCTAACTTGAACGGAGGCCAGATTTCCTTGCAGTGGGTTGAATAAAGGCTCGTCTTCGATCTGAAAACATGAAGGGATGTCTGAATTCCCTGTGGAGACCTTAGAGGAAGCCCTAGGTCCCTGCCTCATTTTGACGGAATGCCTCACATCCCGCTGACAACTCGAGAGGCACGCGGAGTTCATTGCTTCAAAAGGTGACGATGCCTGACTCCTCTTGAATACTGATAGGAATCCCAAAATCCCTGTGGCTACTGGAAAGGTTCCTTGGGTGCCCTGGCTTACCTCGAGAAGCGTCCCTTTTGAGCTGCCAAGCCTCGAAGAGATTCCTGAGGTGTCCCTCGTTACTAGACAGGAGTCCTGACGTCACTGAAGAAACTCGTGTTTTGAAGGGCCATCCCCGCCGTAAGTCGAGAACATACCCCAGGTCCCCGCCGCAACTCGAGAAAAACCATGAGACTTCCCCCTAGAGGCGAGATGAGGCCCCATTCCCCTGCAGTGCATGCAGAGCTATTCCGTGATCCCATTCAAACAAGTCAGGAGCTTCGACTTGCTTAATGGATCTCGAGACAGTCCCCAAGAACACTGTCACCAGTCTAGACGGACCCTGAGGTCACCCCAGCAACGCAAAGCTGCTCCATGAGCCCCAAATCAACTCGAGATGAGGCCCGATTCCCCTGCATTGACTCCAGAGCCATTCCCCGTTCCCCATTCAACACGACCGGTGGCTCGACTTCCTTCAGGCAACTGCAGAGATGCCCCGAGAACACTGCCCCAAGTCTAGAGGAACACCAACTTCAGCACAGCAACTCGAGGAATGCTCCGTGTACCACAAATCATCTCGAGATGAGAGCTGATTCTCTGGCTTAGGCTCAAGACGTATGCCAACTTTCCAGAAGCACCTCAGGAGGAGGCTTCTCTCAGCAATAGGTATGTGGGAGCGACCCCGAGTTTGCTGCCTCAAGGGGAATACACAGGGAGAAGCCCTAACTTGAACGGAGGCCAGATTTCCTTGCAGTGGGTTGAATAAAGGCTCGTCTTCGATCTGAAAACATGAAGGGATGTCTGAATTCCCTGTGGAGACCTTAGAGGAAGCCCTAGGTCCCTGCCTCATTTTGACGGAATACCTCACATCCCCCTGACACCTCGAGAGGCACGCAGAGTTCATTGCTTCAAAAGGTGACGATGCCTGACTCCTCTTGAATACTTATAGGAATCCCAAAATCCCTGTTGCTACTGGAAAGGGTCCTTGGGTGCCCTGGCTCACCTCGAGAAGCGTCCCTTTTGCCCTGCCAAGCCTCGAAGAAATTGCTGAGGTGTCCCTCGTTACTAGACAGGAGTCCTGACGTCACGGAAGAAACTCGTGTTTTGAAGGGCCATCCCCGCCGTAAGTCGAGAACATACCCCAGGTCCCCGCCGCAACTCGAGAAAAACCATGAGACTTCCCCCTAGAGGCGAGATGAGGCCCCATTCCCCTGCAGTGCATGCAGAGCTATTCCGTGATCCCATTCAAACAAGTCAGGAGCTTCGACTTGCTTAATGGATCTCGAGACAGTCCCCAAGAACACTGTCACCAGTCTAGACGGACCCTGAGGTCACCACAGCAACGCAAAGCAGCTCCATGTGCCCCAAATCAACTCGAGATGAGGCCCGATTCCCCTGCATTGACTCCAGAGCCATTCCCCGTTCCCCGTTCAACACGAACGGAGGCTCGCCTTCCTTCAGGCAACTCCAGAGATGCCCCGAGAACACTGTCCCAAGTCTAGAGGAACACCAACTTCAGCACAGCAACTCGAGGAATGCTCTGTGTACCCCAAATCGTCTCGAGATGAGAGCTGATTCCCTGGCTTAGGCTCAAGACGTATGCCAACTTTCCAGAAGCACCTCAGGAGGAGGCTTCTCAGCAATAGGTATGTGGGAGGGACTCCGAGTTTGCTGCCTCAAGGGGAATATACAGCGAGAAGCCCTAACTTGAAAGGAGGCCGGATTTCCTTGCAGTGGTTTGAATACAGGCTCGTCTTTCATCTCACAACATGAAGGGATGTCTGAATCCCCTGTGGAGACCTTAGAGAAAGCCCTAGGTCCCTGCCTCATTTTGACGGAATGCCTCACATCCCGCTGACACCTCGAGAGGCACGCGGAGTTCATTGCTTCAAAAGGTGACGATGCCTGACTCCTCTTGAATACTGATAGGAATCCCAAAATCCCTGTGGCTACTGGAAAGGGTCCTTGGGTGCCCTGCCTCACCTCGAGAAGCGTCCCTTTTGCCCTGCCAAGACTCGAAGAGATTCCTGAGGTGTCACTCGTTACTAGGCAGGAGTCCTGACCTCACTGAAGAAAGTCGTGTTTTGAAGGGCCATCCCTGCCGTAAGTCGAGAACATACCCCAGGTCCCCGCCGCAACTCGAGAAAAACCATGAGACTTCCCCCTAGAGGCGAGATGAGGCCCCATTCCCCTGCAGTGCATGCAGAGCTATTCCGTGATCCCATTCAAACAAGTCAGGAGCTTCGACTTGCTTAATGGATCTCGAGACAGTCCCCAAGAACACTGTCACCAGTCTAGACGGACCCTGAGGTCACCCCAGCAACGCAAAGCTGCTCCATGTGCCCCAAATCAACTCGAGATGAGGCCCGATTCCCCTGCATTGACTCCAGAGCCATTCCCCGTTCCCCATTCAACACGACCGGTGGCTCGACTTCCTTCAGGCAATTCCAGGGATGCCCCGAGAACACTGTCCGAAGTCTAGAGGAACACCAACTTCAGCACAGCAACTCGAGGAATGCTCTGTGTACCCCAAATCGTCTCGAGATGAGAGCTGATTCCCTGGCTTAGGCTCAAGACGTATGCCACCTTTCCAGAAGCACCTCAGGAGGAGGCTTCTCTCAGCAATAGGTATGTGGGAGGGACCCCGAGTTTGCTGCCTCAAGGGGAATATACATCGAGAAGCCCTAACTTGAAAGGAGGCCGGATTTCCTTGCAGTGGCTTGAATACAGGCTCGTCTTTGATCTGACAACATGAAGGGATGTCTGAATCCCCTGTGGAGACCTTAGAGAAAGCCCTAGGTCCCTGCCTCATTTTGACGGAATGCCTCACATCCCGCTGACACCTCGAGAGGCACGCGGAGTTCATTGCTTCAAAAGGTGACGATGCCTGACTCCTCTTGAATACTGATAGGAATCCCAAAATCCCTGTGGCTACTGGAAAGGGTCCTTGGGTGCCCTGGCTCACCTCGAGAAGCGTCCCTTTTGCCCTGCCAAGCCTCGAAGAGATTCCTGAGGTGTCCCTCGTTACTAGGCAGGAGTCCTGACGTCACTGGAGAAACTCGTGTTTTGAAGGGCCATCCCCGCCGTAAGTCGAGAACATACCCCAGGGCCCCGCCGCAACTCGAGAAAAATCGTGAGACTTCCCCCTAGAGGCGAGATGAGGCCCCATTCCCCTGCAGTGCATGCAGAGCTATTCCGTGATCCCATTCAAACAAGTCAGGAGCTTCGACTTGCTTAATGGATCTCGAGACAGTCCCCAAGAACACTGTCACCAGTCTAGACGGACCCTGAGGTCACCCAGCAATGCAAAGCAGCTCCATGTGCCCCAAATCAACTCGAGATGAGGCCGGATTCCCCTGCATTGACTCCAGAGCCATTCCTTGTTCCCCATTCAACACGACCGGTGGCTCGACTTCCTTCAGGCAACTCCAGAGATGCCTCGAGAGCACTATCCCAAGTCTAGAGGAACACCAACTTCAGCACAGCAACTCGAGGAATGCTCCGTGTACCCCAAATCGTCTCGAGATGAGAGCTGATTCTCTGGCTTAGGCTCAAGACGTATGCCAACTTTCCAGAAGCACCTCAGGAGGAAGCTTCTCTCAGCAATAAGTATGTGGGAGCGACCCCGAGTTTGCTGCCTCAAGGGGAATACACAGGGAGAAGCCCTAACGTGAACGGAGGCCAGATTTCCTTGCAGTGGGTTGAATAAAGGCTCGTCTTCGATCTGAAAACATGAAGGGATGTCTGAATTCCCTGTGGAGACCTTAGAGGAAGCCCTAGGTCCCTGCCTCATTTTGACGGAATACCTCACATCCCCCTGACACCTCGAGAGGCACAGAGAGTTCATTGCTTCAAAAGGTGACGATGCCTGACTCCTCTTGAATACTTATAGGAATCCCAAAATCCCTGTTGCTACTGGAAAGGGTCCTTGGGTGCCCTGGCTCACCTCGAGAAGCGTCCCTTTTGCCCTGCCAAGCCTCGAAGAAATTGCTGAGGTGTCCCTCGTTACTAGACAGGAGTCCTGACGTCATGGAAGAAACTCGTGTTTTGAAGGGCCATCCCCACCGTAAGTCGAGAACATACCCCAGGTCCCCGCCGCAACTCGAGAAAAACCATGAGACTTCCCCCTAGAGGCGAGATGAGGCCCCATTCCCCTGCAGTGCATGCAGAGCTATTCCGTGATCCCATTCAAACAAGTCAGGAGCTTCGACTTGCTTAATGGATCTCGAGACAGTCCCCAAGAACACTGTCACCAGTCTAGACGGACCCTGAGGTCACCCAGCAATGCAAAGCAGCTCCATGTGCCCCAAATCAACTCGAGATGAGGCCGGATTCCCCTGCATTGACTCCAGAGCCATTCCTTGTTCCCCATTCAACACGACCGGTGGCTCGACTTCTTTCAGGCAACTCCAGAGATGCCCCGAGAACACTCTCCCAAGTCTAGAGGACCACCAACTTCAGCACAGCAACTCGAGAAATGCTCTGTGTACCCCAAATCGTCTCGAGATGAGAGCTGATTCCCTGGCTTAGGCTCAAGACGTATGCCACCTTTCCAGAAGCACCTCAGGAGGAGGCTTCTCTCAGCAATAGGTATGTGGGAGGGACCCCGAGTTTGCTGCCTCAAGGGGAATATACAGCGAGAAGCCCTAACTTGAAAGGAGGCTGGATTTCCTTGCAGTGGCTTGAATACAGGCTCGTCTTTCATCTCACAACATGAAGGGATGTCTGAATCCCCTGTGGAGACCTTAGAGAAAGCCCTAGGTCCCTGCCTCATTTTGACGGAATCCTCATATCCCGCTGACACCTCGAGAGGCACGCGGAGTTCATTGCTTCAAAAGGTGACGATGCCTGACTCCTCTTGAATACTTATAGGCATCCCAAAATCCCTGTGGCTACTGGAAAGGGTCCTTGGGTGCCCTGGCTCACCTCGAGAAGCGTCCCTTTTGCCCTGCCAAGCCTCGAAGAGATTGCTGAGGTGTCCGTCGTTACTAGACAGGAGTCCTGACGTCACGGAAGAAACTCGTGTTTTGAAGGGCCATCCCCGCCGTAAGTCGAGAACATACCCCAGGTCCCCGCCGCAACTCGAGAAAAACCATGAGACTTCCCCCTAGAGGCGAGATGAGGCCCCATTCCCCTGCAGTGCATGCAGAGCTATTCCGTGATCCCATTCAAACAAGTCAGGAGCTTCGACTTGCTTAATGGATCTCGAGACAGTCCCCAAGAACACTGTCACCAGTCTAGACGGACCCTGAGGTCACCCAGCAATGCAAAGCAGCTCCATGTGCCCCAAATCAACTCGAGATGAGGCCCCATTCCCCTGCATTGTCTCCAGAGCCATTCCCCGTTCCCCATTCAACACGACTGGTGGCTCGCTTTCCTTCAGGCAACTCCAGAGATGGCCCGAGAACACTGTCCCAAGTCTAGAGGAACACCAACTTCAGCACAGCAACTCGAGGAATGCTCTGTGTACCCCAAATCGTCTCGAGATGAGAGCTGATTCCCTGGCTTAGGCTCAAGACGTATGCCAACTTTCCAGAAGCACCTCAGGAGGAGGCTTCTCAGCAATAGGTATGTGGGAGGGACTCCGAGTTTGCTGCCTCAAGGGAAATATACAGCGAGAAGCCCTAACTTGAAAGGAGGCCGGATTTCCTTGCAGTAGCTTGAATACAGGCTTGTCTTTCATCTCACAACATGAAGGGATGTCTGAATCCCCTGTGAAGACCTTAGAGAAAGCCCTAGGACCCTGCCTCATTTTGACGGAATGCCTCACATCCCGCTGACACCTAGAGAGGCACGCGGAGTTCATTGCTTCAAAAGGTGACGATGCCTGACTCCTCTTGAATACTGATAGGAATCCCAAAATCCCTGTGGCTACTGGAAAGGTTCCTTGGGTGCCCTGGCTCACCTCGAGAAGCGTCCCTTTTGAGCTGCCAAGCCTCGAAGAGATTCCTGAGGTGTCCCTCGTTACTAGACAGGAGTCCTGACGTCACTGAAGAAACTCGTGTTTTGAAGGGCCATCCCCGCCGTAAGTCGAGAACATACCCCAGGTCCCCGCCGCAACTCGAGAAAAACCATGAGACTTCCCCCTAGAGGCGAGATGAGGCCCCATTCCCCTGCAGTGCATGCAGAGCTATTCCGTGATCCCATTCAAACAAGTCAGGAGCTTCGACTTGCTTAATGGATCTCGAGACAGTCCCCAAGAACACTGTCACCAGTCTAGACGGACCCTGAGGTCACCCCAGCAACGCAAAGCTGCTCCATGTGCCCCAAATCAACTCGAGATGAGGCCCGATTCCCCTGCATTGACTCCAGAGCCATTCCCCGTTCCCCATTCAACACGACCGGTGGCTCGACTTCCTTCAGGCAACTGCAGAGATGCCCCGAGAACACTGCCCCAAGTCTAGAGGAACACCAACTTCAGCACAGCAACTCGAGGAATGCTCCGTGTACCCCAAATCATCTCGAGATGAGAGCTGATTCTCTGGCTTAGGCTCAAGACGTATGCCAACTTTCCAGAAGCACCTCAGGAGGAGGCTTCTCTCAGCAATAGGTATGTGGGAGCGACCCCGAGTTTGCTGCCTCAAGGGGAATACACAGGGAGAAGCCCTAACTTGAACGGAGGCCAGATTTCCTTGCAGTGGGTTGAATAAAGGCTCGTCTTCGATCTGAAAACATGAAGGGATGTCTGAATTCCCTGTGGAGACCTTAGAGGAAGCCCTAGGTCCCTGCCTCATTTTGACGGAATACCTCACATCCCCCTGACACCTCGAGAGGCACGCAGAGTTCATTGCTTCAAAAGGTGACGATGCCTGACTCCTCTTGAATACTTATAGGAATCCCAAAATCCCTGTTGCTACTGGAAAGGGTCCTTGGGTGCCCTGGCTCACCTCGAGAAGCGTCCCTTTTGCCCTGCCAAGCCTCGAAGAAATTGCTGAGGTGTCCCTCGTTACTAGACAGGAGTCCTGACGTCACGGAAGAAACTCGTGTTTTGAAGGGCCATCCCCGCCGTAAGTCGAGAACATACCCCAGGTCCCCGCCGCAACTCGAGAAAAACCATGAGACTTCCCCCTAGAGGCGAGATGAGGCCCCATTCCCCTGCAGTGCATGCAGAGCTATTCCGTGATCCCATTCAAACAAGTCAGGAGCTTCGACTTGCTTAATGGATCTCGAGACAGTCCCCAAGAACACTGTCACCAGTCTAGACGGACCCTGAGGTCACCACAGCAACGCAAAGCAGCTCCATGTGCCCCAAATCAACTCGAGATGAGGCCCGATTCCCCTGCATTGACTCCAGAGCCATTCCCCGTTCCCCGTTCAACACGAACGGAGGCTCGCCTTCCTTCAGGCAACTCCAGAGATGCCCCGAGAACACTGTCCCAAGTCTAGAGGAACACCAACTTCAGCACAGCAACTCGAGGAATGCTCTGTGTACCCCAAATCGTCTCGAGATGAGAGCTGATTCCCTGGCTTAGGCTCAAGACGTATGCCAACTTTCCAGAAGCACCTCAGGAGGAGGCTTCTCAGCAATAGGTATGTGGGAGGGACTCCGAGTTTGCTGCCTCAAGGGGAATATACAGCGAGAAGCCCTAACTTGAAAGGAGGCCGGATTTCCTTGCAGTGGCTTGAATACAGGCTCGTCTTTCATCTCACAACATGAAGGGATGTCTGAATCCCCTGTGGAGACCTTAGAGAAAGCCCTAGGTCCCTGCCTCATTTTGACGGAATGCCTCACATCCCGCTGACACCTCGAGAGGCACGCGGAGTTCATTGCTTCAAAAGGTGACGATGCCTGACTCCTCTTGAATACTGATAGGAATCCCAAAATCCCTGTGGCTACTGGAAAGGGTCCTTGGGTGCCCTGCCTCACCTCGAGAAGCGTCCCTTTTGCCCTGCCAAGACTCGAAGAGATTCCTGAGGTGTCACTCGTTACTAGGCAGGAGTCCTGACCTCACTGAAGAAAGTCGTGTTTTGAAGGGCCATCCCTGCCGTAAGTCGAGAACATACCCCAGGTCCCCGCCGCAACTCGAGAAAAACCATGAGACTTCCCCCTAGAGGCGAGATGAGGCCCCATTCCCCTGCAGTGCATGCAGAGCTATTCCGGGATCCCATTCAAACAAGTCAGGAGCTTCGACTTGCTTAATGGATCTCGAGACAGTCCCCAAGAACACTGTCACCAGTCTAGACGGACCCTGAGGTCACCCAGCAATGCAAAGCAGCTCCATGTGCCCCAAATCAACTCGAGATGAGGCCCGATTCCCCTGCATTGACTCCAGAGCCATTCCCTGTTCCCCATTCAACACGACCGGTGGCTCGACTTCCTTCAGGCAACTCCAGGGATGCCCCGAGAACACTGTCCCAAGTCTAGAGGAACACCAACTTCAGCACAGCAACTCGAGGAATGCTCTGTGTACCCCAAATCGTCTCGAGATGAGAGCTGATTCCCTGGCTTAGGCTCAAGACGTATGCCAACTTTCCAGAAGCACCTCAGGAGGAGGCTTCTCAGCAATAGGTATGTGGGAGGGACTCCGAGTTTGCTGCCTCAAGGGGAATATACAGCGAGAAGCCCTAACTTGAAAGGAGGCCGGATTTCCTTGCAGTGGCTTGAATACAGGCTCGTCTTTCATCTCACAACATGAAGGGATGTCTGAATCCCCTGTGGAGACCTTAGAGAAAGCCCTAGGTCCCTGCCTCATTTTGACGGAATGCCTCACATCCCGCTGACACCTCGAGAGGCACGCGGAGTTCATTGCTTCAAAAGGTGACGATGCCTGACTCCTCTTGAATACTGATAGGAATCCCAAAACCCCTGTGGCTACTGGAAAGGGTCCTTGGGTGCCCTGCCTCACCTCGAGAAGCGTCCCTTTTGCCCTGCCAAGACTCGAAGAGATTCCTGAGGTGTCACTCGTTACTAGGCAGGAGTCCTGACCTCACTGAAGAAAGTCGTGTTTTGAAGGGCCATCCCTGCCGTAAGTCGAGAACATACCCCAGGTCCCCGCCGCAACTCGAGAAAAACCATGAGACTTCCCCCTAGAGGCGAGATGAGGCCCCATTCCCCTGCAGTGCATGCAGAGCTATTCCGGGATCCCATTCAAACAAGTCAGGAGCTTCGACTTGCTTAATGGATCTCGAGACAGTCCCCAAGAACACTGTCACCAGTCTAGACGGACCCTGAGGTCACCCAGCAATGCAAAGCAGCTCCATGTGCCCCAAATCAACTCGAGATGAGGCCCGATTCCCCTGCATTGACTCCAGAGCCATTCCCTGTTCCCCATTCAACACGACCGGTGGCTCGACTTCCTTCAGGCAACTCCAGGGATGCCCCGAGAACACTGTCCCAAGTCTAGAGGAACACCAACTTCAGCACAGCAACTCGAGGAATGCTCTGTGTACCCCAAATCGTCTCGAGATGAGAGCTGATTCCCTGGCTTAGGCTCAAGACGTATGCCAACTTTCCAGAAGCACCTCAGGAGGAGGCTTCTCAGCAATAGGTATGTGGGAGGGACTCCGAGTTTGCTGCCTCAAGGGGAATATACAGCGAGAAGCCCTAACTTGAAAGGAGGCCGGATTTCCTTGCAGTAGCTTGAATACAGGCTTGTCTTTCATCTCACAACATGAAGGGATGTCTGAATCCCCTGTGAAGACCTTAGAGAAAGCCCTAGGACCCTGCCTCATTTTGACGGAATGCCTCACATCCCGCTGACAACTCGAGAGGCACGCGGAGTTCATTGCTTCAAAAGGTGTCGATGCCTGACTCCTCTTGAATACTGATAGGAATCCCAAAATCCCTGTGGCTACTGGAAAGGGTCCTTGGGTGCCCTGCCTCACCTCGAGAAGCGTCCCTTTTGCCCTGCCAAGCCTCGAAGAGATTCCTGAGGTGTCCCTCGTTACTAGACAGGAGTCCTGACGTCACTGAAGAAACTCGTGTTTTGAAGGGCCATCCCCGCCGTAAGTCGAGAACATACCCCAGGTCCCCGCCGCAACTCGAGAAAAACCATGAGACTTCCCCCTAGAGGCGAGATGAGGCCCCATTCCCCTGCAGTGCATGCAGAGCTATTCCGTGATCCCATTCAAACAAGTCAGGAGCTTCGACTTGCTTAATGGATCTCGAGACAGTCCCCAAGAACACTGTCACCAGTCTAGACGGACCCTGAGGTCACCCCAGCAACGCAAAGCTGCTCCATGTGCCCCAAATCAACTCGAGATGAGGCCCGATTCCCCTGCATTGACTCCAGAGCCATTCCCCGTTCCCCATTCAACACGACCGGTGGCTCGACTTCCTTCAGGCAACTGCAGAGATGCCCCGAGAACACTGCCCCAAGTCTAGAGGAACACCAACTTCAGCACAGCAACTCGAGGAATGCTCCGTGTACCCCAAATCATCTCGAGATGAGAGCTGATTCTCTGGCTTAGGCTCAAGACGTATGCCAACTTTCCAGAAGCACCTCAGGAGGAGGCTTCTCTCAGCAATAGGTATGTGGGAGCGACCCCGAGTTTGCTGCCTCAAGGGGAATACACAGGGAGAAGCCCTAACTTGAACGGAGGCCAGATTTCCTTGCAGTGGGTTGAATAAAGGCTCGTCTTCGATCTGAAAACATGAAGGGATGTCTGAATTCCCTGTGGAGACCTTAGAGGAAGCCCTAGGTCCCTGCCTCATTTTGACGGAATACCTCACATCCCCCTGACACCTCGAGAGGCACGCAGAGTTCATTGCTTCAAAAGGTGACGATGCCTGACTCCTCTTGAATACTTATAGGAATCCCAAAATCCCTGTTGCTACTGGAAAGGGTCCTTGGGTGCCCTGGCTCACCTCGAGAAGCGTCCCTTTTGCCCTGCCAAGCCTCGAAGAAATTGCTGAGGTGTCCCTCGTTACTAGACAGGAGTCCTGACGTCACGGAAGAAACTCGTGTTTTGAAGGGCCATCCCCGCCGTAAGTCGAGAACATACCCCAGGTCCCCGCCGCAACTCGAGAAAAACCATGAGACTTCCCCCTAGAGGCGAGATGAGGCCCCATTCCCCTGCAGTGCATGCAGAGCTATTCCGTGATCCCATTCAAACAAGTCAGGAGCTTCGACTTGCTTAATGGATCTCGAGACAGTCCCCAAGAACACTGTCACCAGTCTAGACGGACCCTGAGGTCACCACAGCAACGCAAAGCAGCTCCATGTGCCCCAAATCAACTCGAGATGAGGCCCGATTCCCCTGCATTGACTCCAGAGCCATTCCCCGTTCCCCGTTCAACACGAACGGAGGCTCGCCTTCCTTCAGGCAACTCCAGAGATGCCCCGAGAACACTGTCCCAAGTCTAGAGGAACACCAACTTCAGCACAGCAACTCGAGGAATGCTCTGTGTACCCCAAATCGTCTCGAGATGAGAGCTGATTCCCTGGCTTAGGCTCAAGACGTATGCCAACTTTCCAGAAGCACCTCAGGAGGAGGCTTCTCAGCAATAGGTATGTGGGAGGGACTCCGAGTTTGCTGCCTCAAGGGGAATATACAGCGAGAAGCCCTAACTTGAAAGGAGGCCGGATTTCCTTGCAGTGGCTTGAATACAGGCTCGTCTTTCATCTCACAACATGAAGGGATGTCTGAATCCCCTGTGGAGACCTTAGAGAAAGCCCTAGGTCCCTGCCTCATTTTGACGGAATGCCTCACATCCCGCTGACACCTCGAGAGGCACGCGGAGTTCATTGCTTCAAAAGGTGACGATGCCTGACTCCTCTTGAATACTGATAGGAATCCCAAAATCCCTGTGGCTACTGGAAAGGGTCCTTGGGTGCCCTGCCTCACCTCGAGAAGCGTCCCTTTTGCCCTGCCAAGACTCGAAGAGATTCCTGAGGTGTCACTCGTTACTAGGCAGGAGTCCTGACCTCACTGAAGAAAGTCGTGTTTTGAAGGGCCATCCCTGCCGTAAGTCGAGAACATACCCCAGGTCCCCGCCGCAACTCGAGAAAAACCATGAGACTTCCCCCTAGAGGCGAGATGAGGCCCCATTCCCCTGCAGTGCATGCAGAGCTATTCCGGGATCCCATTCAAACAAGTCAGGAGCTTCGACTTGCTTAATGGATCTCGAGACAGTCCCCAAGAACACTGTCACCAGTCTAGACGGACCCTGAGGTCACCCAGCAATGCAAAGCAGCTCCATGTGCCCCAAATCAACTCGAGATGAGGCCCGATTCCCCTGCATTGACTCCAGAGCCATTCCCTGTTCCCCATTCAACACGACCGGTGGCTCGACTTCCTTCAGGCAACTCCAGGGATGCCCCGAGAACACTGTCCCAAGTCTAGAGGAACACCAACTTCAGCACAGCAACTCGAGGAATGCTCTGTGTACCCCAAATCGTCTCGAGATGAGAGCTGATTCCCTGGCTTAGGCTCAAGACGTATGCCAACTTTCCAGAAGCACCTCAGGAGGAGGCTTCTCAGCAATAGGTATGTGGGAGGGACTCCGAGTTTGCTGCCTCAAGGGGAATATACAGCGAGAAGCCCTAACTTGAAAGGAGGCCGGATTTCCTTGCAGTGGCTTGAATACAGGCTCGTCTTTCATCTCACAACATGAAGGGATGTCTGAATCCCCTGTGGAGACCTTAGAGAAAGCCCTAGGTCCCTGCCTCATTTTGACGGAATGCCTCACATCCCGCTGACACCTCGAGAGGCACGCGGAGTTCATTGCTTCAAAAGGTGACGATGCCTGACTCCTCTTGAATACTGATAGGAATCCCAAAACCCCTGTGGCTACTGGAAAGGGTCCTTGGGTGCCCTGCCTCACCTCGAGAAGCGTCCCTTTTGCCCTGCCAAGACTCGAAGAGATTCCTGAGGTGTCACTCGTTACTAGGCAGGAGTCCTGACCTCACTGAAGAAAGTCGTGTTTTGAAGGGCCATCCCTGCCGTAAGTCGAGAACATACCCCAGGTCCCCGCCGCAACTCGAGAAAAACCATGAGATTTCCCCCTAGAGGCGAGATGAGGCCCCATTCCCCTGCAGTGCATGCAGAGCTATTCCGGGATCCCATTCAAACAAGTCAGGAGCTTCGACTTGCTTAATGGATCTCGAGACAGTCCCCAAGAACACTGTCACCAGTCTAGACGGACCCTGAGGTCACCCAGCAATGCAAAGCAGTTCCATGTGCCCCAAATCAACTCGAGATGAGGCCCGATTCCCCTGCATTGACTCCAGAGCCATTCCCTGTTCCCCATTCAACACGACCGGTGGCTCGACTTCCTTCAGGCAACTCCAGGGATGCCCCGAGAACACTGTCCCAAGTCTAGAGGAACACCAACTTCAGCACAGCAACTCGAGGAATGCTCTGTGTACCCCAAATCGTCTCGAGATGAGAGCTGATTCCCTGGCTTAGGCTCAAGACGTATGCCAACTTTCCAGAAGCACCTCAGGAGGAGGCTTCTCAGCAATAGGTATGTGGGAGGGACTCCGAGTTTGCTGCCTCAAGGGGAATATACAGCGAGAAGCCCTAACTTGAAAGGAGGCCGGATTTCCTTGCAGTAGCTTGAATACAGGCTTGTCTTTCATCTCACAACATGAAGGGATGTCTGAATCCCCTGTGAAGACCTTAGAGAAAGCCCTAGGACCCTGCCTCATTTTGACGGAATGCCTCACATCCCGCTGACAACTCGAGAGGCACGCGGAGTTCATTGCTTCAAAAGGTGTCGATGCCTGACTCCTCTTGAATACTGATAGGAATCCCAAAATCCCTGTGGCTACTGGAAAGGGTCCTTGGGTGCCCTGCCTCACCTCGAGAAGCGTCCCTTTTGCCCTGCCAAGCCTCGAAGAGATTCCTGAGGTGTCCCTCGTTACTAGACAGGAGTCCTGACGTCACTGAAGAAACTCGTGTTTTGAAGGGCCATCCCCGCCGTAAGTCGAGAACATACCCCAGGTCCCCGCCGCAACTCGAGAAAAACCATGAGACTTCCCCCTAGAGGCGAGATGAGGCCCCATTCCCCTGCAGTGCATGCAGAGCTATTCCGTGATCCCATTCAAACAAGTCAGGAGCTTCGACTTGCTTAATGGATCTCGAGACAGTCCCCAAGAACACTGTCACCAGTCTAGACGGACCCTGAGGTCACCCCAGCAACGCAAAGCTGCTCCATGTGCCCCAAATCAACTCGAGATGAGGCCCGATTCCCCTGCATTGACTCCAGAGCCATTCCCCGTTCCCCATTCAACACGACCGGTGGCTCGACTTCCTTCAGGCAACTGCAGAGATGCCCCGAGAACACTGCCCCAAGTCTAGAGGAACACCAACTTCAGCACAGCAACTCGAGGAATGCTCCGTGTACCCCAAATCATCTCGAGATGAGAGCTGATTCTCTGGCTTAGGCTCAAGACGTATGCCAACTTTCCAGAAGCACCTCAGGAGGAGGCTTCTCTCAGCAATAGGTATGTGGGAGCGACCCCGAGTTTGCTGCCTCAAGGGGAATACACAGGGAGAAGCCCTAACTTGAACGGAGGCCAGATTTCCTTGCAGTGGGTTGAATAAAGGCTCGTCTTCGATCTGAAAACATGAAGGGATGTCTGAATTCCCTGTGGAGACCTTAGAGGAAGCCCTAGGTCCCTGCCTCATTTTGACGGAATACCTCACATCCCCCTGACACCTCGAGAGGCACGCAGAGTTCATTGCTTCAAAAGGTGACGATGCCTGACTCCTCTTGAATACTTATAGGAATCCCAAAATCCCTGTTGCTACTGGAAAGGGTCCTTGGGTGCCCTGGCTCACCTCGAGAAGCGTCCCTTTTGCCCTGCCAAGCCTCGAAGAAATTGCTGAGGTGTCCCTCGTTACTAGACAGGAGTCCTGACGTCACGGAAGAAACTCGTGTTTTGAAGGGCCATCCCCGCCGTAAGTCGAGAACATACCCCAGGTCCCCGCCGCAACTCGAGAAAAACCATGAGACTTCCCCCTAGAGGCGAGATGAGCCCCCATTCCCCTGCAGTGCATGCAGAGCTATTCCGTGATCCCATTCAAACAAGTCAGGAGCTTCGACTTGCTTAATGGATCTCGAGACAGTCCCCAAGAACACTGTCACCAGTCTAGACGGACCCTGAGGTCACCACAGCAACGCAAAGCAGCTCCATGTGCCCCAAATCAACTCGAGATGAGGCCCGATTCCCCTGCATTGACTCCAGAGCCATTCCCCGTTCCCCGTTCAACACGAACGGAGGCTCGCCTTCCTTCAGGCAACTCCAGAGATGCCCCGAGAACACTGTCCCAAGTCTAGAGGAACACCAACTTCAGCACAGCAACTCGAGGAATGCTCTGTGTACCCCAAATCGTCTCGAGATGAGAGCTGATTCCCTGGCTTAGGCTCAAGACGTATGCCAACTTTCCAGAAGCACCTCAGGAGGAGGCTTCTCAGCAATAGGTATGTGGGAGGGACTCCGAGTTTGCTGCCTCAAGGGGAATATACAGCGAGAAGCCCTAACTTGAAAGGAGGCCGGATTTCCTTGCAGTGGCTTGAATACAGGCTCGTCTTTCATCTCACAACATGAAGGGATGTCTGAATCCCCTGTGGAGACCTTAGAGAAAGCCCTAGGTCCCTGCCTCATTTTGACGGAATGCCTCACATCCCGCTGACACCTCGAGAGGCACGCGGAGTTCATTGCTTCAAAAGGTGACGATGCCTGACTCCTCTTGAATACTGATAGGAATCCCAAAATCCCTGTGGCTACTGGAAAGGGTCCTTGGGTGCCCTGCCTCACCTCGAGAAGCGTCCCTTTCGCCCTGCCAAGACTCGAAGAGATTCCTGAGGTGTCACTCGTTACTAGGCAGGAGTCCTGACCTCACTGAAGAAAGTCGTGTTTTGAAGGGCCATCCCTGCCGTAAGTCGAGAACATACCCCAGGTCCCCGCCGCAACTCGAGAAAAACCATGAGACTTCCCCCTAGAGGCGAGATGAGGCCCCATTCCCCTGCAGTGCATGCAGAGCTATTCCGGGATCCCATTCAAACAAGTCAGGAGCTTCGACTTGCTTAATGGATCTCGAGACAGTCCCCAAGAACACTGTCACCAGTCTAGACGGACCCTGAGGTCACCCAGCAATGCAAAGCAGCTCCATGTGCCCCAAATCAACTCGAGATGAGGCCCGATTCCCCTGCATTGACTCCAGAGCCATTCCCTGTTCCCCATTCAACACGACCGGTGGCTCGACTTCCTTCAGGCAACTCCAGGGATGCCCCGAGAACACTGTCCCAAGTCTAGAGGAACACCAACTTCAGCACAGCAACTCGAGGAATGCTCTGTGTACCCCAAATCGTCTCGAGATGAGAGCTGATTCCCTGGCTTAGGCTCAAGACGTATGCCAACTTTCCAGAAGCACCTCAGGAGGAGGCTTCTCAGCAATAGGTATGTGGGAGGGACTCCGAGTTTGCTGCCTCAAGGGGAATATACAGCAAGAAGCCCTAACTTGAAAGGAGGCAGGATTTCCTTGCAGTAGCTTGAATACAGGCTTGTCTTTCATCTCACAACATGAAGGGATGTCTGAATCCCCTGTGAAGACCTTAGAGAAAGCCCTAGGACCCTGCCTCATTTTGACGGAATGCCTCACATCCCGCTGACAACTCGAGAGGCACGCGGAGTTCATTGCTTCAAAAGGTGTCGATGCCTGACTCCTCTTGAATACTGATAGGAATCCCAAAATCCCTGTGGCTACTGGAAAGGGTCCTTGGGTGCCCTGCCTCACCTCGAGAAGCGTCCCTTTTGCCCTGCCAAGCCTCGAAGAGATTCCTGAGGTGTCCCTCGTTACTAGACAGGAGTCCTGACGTCACTGAAGAAACTCGTGTTTTGAAGGGCCATCCCCGCCGTAAGTCGAGAACATACCCCAGGTCCCCGCCGCAACTCGAGAAAAACCATGAGACTTCCCCCTAGAGGCGAGATGAGGCCCCATTCCCCTGCAGTGCATGCAGAGCTATTCCGTGATCCCATTCAAACAAGTCAGGAGCTTCGACTTGCTTAATGGATCTCGAGACAGTCCCCAAGAACACTGTCACCAGTCTAGACGGACCCTGAGGTCACCCCAGCAACGCAAAGCTGCTCCATGTGCCCCAAATCAACTCGAGATGAGGCCCGATTCCCCTGCATTGACTCCAGAGCCATTCCCCGTTCCCCATTCAACACGACCGGTGGCTCGACTTCCTTCAGGCAACTGCAGAGATGCCCCGAGAACACTGCCCCAAGTCTAGAGGAACACCAACTTCAGCACAGCAACTCGAGGAATGCTCCGTGTACCCCAAATCATCTCGAGATGAGAGCTGATTCTCTGGCTTAGGCTCAAGACGTATGCCAACTTTCCAGAAGCACCTCAGGAGGAGGCTTCTCTCAGCAATAGGTATGTGGGAGCGACCCCGAGTTTGCTGCCTCAAGGGGAATACACAGGGAGAAGCCCTAACTTGAACGGAGGCCAGATTTCCTTGCAGTGGGTTGAATAAAGGCTCGTCTTCGATCTGAAAACATGAAGGGATGTCTGAATTCCCTGTGGAGACCTTAGAGGAAGCCCTAGGTCCCTGCCTCATTTTGACGGAATACCTCACATCCCCCTGACACCTCGAGAGGCACGCAGAGTTCATTGCTTCAAAAGGTGACGATGCCTGACTCCTCTTGAATACTTATAGGAATCCCAAAATCCCTGTTGCTACTGGAAAGGGTCCTTGGGTGCCCTGGCTCACCTCGAGAAGCGTCCCTTTTGCCCTGCCAAGCCTCGAAGAAATTGCTGAGGTGTCCCTCGTTACTAGACAGGAGTCCTGACGTCACGGAAGAAACTCGTGTTTTGAAGGGCCATCCCCGCCGTAAGTCGAGAACATACCCCAGGTCCCCGCCGCAACTCGAGAAAAACCATGAGACTTCCCCCTAGAGGCGAGATGAGGCCCCATTCCCCTGCAGTGCATGCAGAGCTATTCCGTGATCCCATTCAAACAAGTCAGGAGCTTCGACTTGCTTAATGGATCTCGAGACAGTCCCCAAGAACACTGTCACCAGTCTAGACGGACCCTGAGGTCACCACAGCAACGCAAAGCAGCTCCATGTGCCCCAAATCAACTCGAGATGAGGCCCGATTCCCCTGCATTGACTCCAGAGCCATTCCCCGTTCCCCGTTCAACACGAACGGAGGCTCGCCTTCCTTCAGGCAACTCCAGAGATGCCCCGAGAACACTGTCCCAAGTCTAGAGGAACACCAACTTCAGCACAGCAACTCGAGGAATGCTCTGTGTACCCCAAATCGTCTCGAGATGAGAGCTGATTCCGTGGCTTAGGCTCAAGACGTATGCCAACTTTCCAGAAGCACCTCAGGAGGAGGCTTCTCAGCAATAGGTATGTGGGAGGGACTCCGAGTTTGCTGCCTCAAGGGGAATATACAGCGAGAAGCCCTAACTTGAAAGGAGGCCGGATTTCCTTGCAGTGGCTTGAATACAGGCTCGTCTTTCATCTCACAACATGAAGGGATGTCTGAATCCCCTGTGGAGACCTTAGAGAAAGCCCTAGGTCCCTGCCTCATTTTGACGGAATGCCTCACATCCCCCTGACACCTCGAGAGGCACGCGGAGTTCATTGCTTCAAAAGGTGACGATGCCTGACTCCTCTTGAATACTGATAGGAATCCCAAAATCCCTGTGGCTACTGGAAAGGGTCCTTGGGTGCCCTGCCTCACCTCGAGAAGCGTCCCTTTTGCCCTGCCAAGACTCGAAGAGATTCCTGAGGTGTCACTCGTTACTAGGCAGGAGTCCTGACCTCACTGAAGAAAGTCGTGTTTTGAAGGGCCATCCCTGCCGTAAGTCGAGAACATACCCCAGGTCCCCGCCGCAACTCGAGAAAAACCATGAGACTTCCCCCTAGAGGCGAGATGAGGCCCCATTCCCCTGCAGTGCATGCAGAGCTATTCCGGGATCCCATTCAAACAAGTCAGGAGCTTCGACTTGCTTAATGGATCTCGAGACAGTCCCCAAGAACACTGTCACCAGTCTAGACGGACCCTGAGGTCACCCAGCAATGCAAAGCAGCTCCATGTGCCCCAAATCAACTCGAGATGAGGCCCGATTCCCCTGCATTGACTCCAGAGCCATTCCCTGTTCCCCATTCAACATGACCGGTGGCTCGACTTCCTTCAGGCAACTCCAGGGATGCCCCGAGAACACTGTCCCAAGTCTAGAGGAACACCAACTTCAGCACAGCAACTCGAGGAATGCTCTGTGTACCCCAAATCGTCTCGAGATGAGAGCTGATTCCCTGGCTTAGGCTCAAGACGTATGCCAACTTTCCAGAAGCACCTCAGGAGGAGGCTTCTCAGCAATAGGTATGTGGGAGGGACTCCGAGTTTGCTGCCTCAAGGGGAATATACAGCGAGAAGCCCTAACTTGAAAGGAGGCCGGATTTCCTTGCAGTATCTTGAATACAGGCTTGTCTTTCATCTCACAACATGAAGGGATGTCTGAATCCCCTGTGAAGACCTTAGAGAAAGCCCTAGGACCCTGCCTCATTTTGACGGAATGCCTCACATCCCGCTGACAACTCGAGAGGCACGCGGAGTTCATTGCTTCAAAAGGTGACGATGCCTGACTCCTCTTGAATACTGATAGGAATCCCAAAATCCCTGTGGCTACTGGAAAGGTTACTTGGGTGCCCTGGCTCACCTCGAGAAGCGTCCCTTTTGAGCTGCCAAGCCTCGAAGAGATTCCTGAGGTGTCCCTCGTTACTAGACAGGAGTCCTGACGTCACTGAAGAAACTCGTGTTTTGAAGGGCCATCCCCGCCGTAAGTCGAGAACATACCCCAGGTCCCCGCCGCAACTCGAGAAAAACCATGAGACTTCCCCCTAGAGGCGAGATGAGGCCCCATTCCCCTGCAGTGCATGCAGAGCTATTCCGTGATCCCATTCAAACAAGTCAGGAGCTTCGACTTGCTTAATGGATCTCGAGACAGTCCCCAAGAACACTGTCACCAGTCTAGACGGACCCTGAGGTCACCCCAGCAACGCAAAGCTGCTCCATGTGCCCCAAATCAACTCGAGATGAGGCCCGATTCCCCTGCATTGACTCCAGAGCCATTCCCCGTTCCCCATTCAACACGACCGGTGGCTCGACTTCCTTCAGGCAACTGCAGAGATGCCCCGAGAACACTGCCCCAAGTCTAGAGGAACACCAACTTCAGCACAGCAACTCGAGGAATGCTCCGTGTACCCCAAATCATCTCGAGATGAGAGCTGATTCTCTGGCTTAGGCTCAAGACGTATGCCAACTTTCCAGAAGCACCTCAGGAGCAGGCTTCTCTCAGCAATAGGTATGTGGGAGCGACCCCGAGTTTGCTGCCTCAAGGGGAATACACAGGGAGAAGCCCTAACTTGAACGGAGGCCAGATTTCCTTGCAGTGGGTTGAATAAAGGCTCGTCTTCGATCTGAAAACATGAAGGGATGTCTGAATTCCCTGTGGAGACCTTAGAGGAAGCCCTAGGTCCCTGCCTCATTTTGACGGAATACCTCACATCCCCCTGACACCTCGAGAGGCACGCAGAGTTCATTGCTTCAAAAGGTGACGATGCCTGACTCCTCTTGAATACTTATAGGAATCCCAAAATCCCTGTTGCTACTGGAAAGGGTCCTTGGGTGCCCTGGCTCACCTCGAGAAGCGTCCCTTTTGCCCTGCCAAGCCTCGAAGAAATTGCTGAGGTGTCCCTCGTTACTAGACAGGAGTCCTGACGTCACGGAAGAAACTCGTGTTTTGAAGGGCCATCCCCGCCGTAAGTCGAGAACATACCCCAGGTCCCCGCCGCAACTCGAGAAAAACCATGAGACTTCCCCCTAGAGGCGAGATGAGGCCCCATTCCCCTGCAGTGCATGCAGAGCTATTCCGTGATCCCATTCAAACAAGTCAGGAGCTTCGACTTGCTTAATGGATCTCGAGACAGTCCCCAAGAACACTGTCACCAGTCTAGACGGACCCTGAGGTCACCACAGCAACGCAAAGCAGCTCCATGTGCCCCAAATCAACTCGAGATGAGGCCCGATTCCCCTGCATTGACTCCAGAGCCATTCCCCGTTCCCCGTTCAACAGGAACGGAGGCTCGCCTTCCTTCAGGCAACTCCAGAGATGCCCCGAGAACACTGTCCCAAGTCTAGAGGAACACCAACTTCAGCACAGCAACTCGAGGAATGCTCTGTGTACCCCAAATCGTCTCGAGATGAGAGCTGATTCCCTGGCTTAGGCTCAAGACGGATGCCAACTTTCCAGAAGCACCTCAGGAGGAGGCTTCTCAGCAATAGGTATGTGGGAGCGACTCCGAGTTTGCTGCCTCAAGGGGAATATACAGCGAGAAGCCCTAACTTGAAAGGAGGCCGGATTTCCTTGCAGTGGTTTGAATACAGGCTCGTCTTTCATCTCACAACATGAAGGGATGTCTGAATCCCCTGTGGAGACCTTAGAGAAAGCCCTAGGTCCCTGCCTCATTTTGACGGAATGCCTCACATCCCGCTGACACCTCGAGAGGCACGCGGAGTTCATTGCTTCAAAAGGTGACGATGCCTGACTCCTCTTGAATACTGATAGGAATCCCAAAATCCCTGTGGCTACTGGAAAGGGTCCTTGGGTGCCCTGCCTCACCTCGAGAAGCGTCCCTTTTGCCCTGCCAAGACTCGAAGAGATTCCTGAGGTGTCACTCGTTACTAGGCAGGAGTCCTGACCTCACTGAAGAAAGTCGTGTTTTGAAGGGCCATCCCTGCCGTAAGTCGAGAACATACCCCAGGTCCCCGCCGCAACTCGAGAAAAACCATGAGACTTCCCCCTAGAGGCGAGATGAGGCCCCATTCCCCTGCAGTGCATGCAGAGCTATTCCGGGATCCCATTCAAACAAGTCAGGAGCTTCGACTTGCTTAATGGATCTCGAGACAGTCCCCAAGAACACTGTCACCAGTCTAGACGGACCCTGAGGTCACCCAGCAATGCAAAGCAGCTCCATGTGCCCCAAATCAACTCGAGATGAGGCCCGATTCCCCTGCATTGACTCCAGAGCCATTCCCTGTTCCCCATTCAACACGACCGGTGGCTCGACTTCCTTCAGGCAACTCCAGGGATGCCCCGAGAACACTGTCCCAAATCTAGAGGAACACCAACTTCAGCACAGCAACTCGAGGAATGCTCTGTGTACCCCAAATCGTCTCGAGATGAGAGCTGATTCCCTGGCTTAGGCTCAAGACGTATGCCAACTTTCCAGAAGCACCTCAGGAGGAGGCTTCTCAGCAATAGGTATGTGGGAGGGACTCCGAGTTTGCTGCCTCAAGGGGAATATACAGCGAGAAGCCCTAACTTGAAAGGAGGCCGGATTTCCTTGCAGTAGCTTGAATACAGGCTTGTCTTTCATCTCACAACATGAAGGGATGTCTGAATCCCCTGTGAAGACCTTAGAGAAAGCCCTAGGACCCTGCCTCATTTTGACGGAATGCCTCACATCCCGCTGACAACTCGAGAGGCACGCGGAGTTCATTGCTTCAAAAGGTGACGATGCCTGACTCCTCTTGAATACTTATAGGAATCCCAAAATCCCTGTTGCTACTGGAAAGGGTCCTTGGGTGCCCTGGCTCACCTCGAGAAGCGTCCCTTTTGCCCTGCCAAGCCTCGAAGAAATTGCTGAGGTGTCCCTCGTTACTAGACAGGAGTCCTGACGTCACGGAAGAAACTCGTGTTTTGAAGGGCCATCCCCGCCGTAAGTCGAGAACATACCCCAGGTCCCCGCCGCAACTCGAGAAAAACCATGAGACTTCCCCCTAGAGGCGAGATGAGGCCCCATTCCCCTGCAGTGCATGCAGAGCTATTCCGTGATCCCATTCAAACAAGTCAGGAGCTTCGACTTGCTTAATGGATCTCGAGACAGTCCCCAAGAACACTGTCACCAGTCTAGACGGACCCTGAGGTCACCACAGCAACGCAAAGCAGCTCCATGTGCCCCAAATCAACTCGAGATGAGGCCCGATTCCCCTGCATTGACTCCAGAGCCATTCCCCGTTCCCCGTTCAACACGAACGGAGGCTCGCCTTCCTTCAGGCAACTCCAGAGATGCCCCGAGAACACTGTCCCAAGTCTAGAGGAACACCAACTTCAGCACAGCAACTCGAGGAATGCTCTGTGTACCCCAAATCGTCTCGAGATGAGAGCTGATTCCCTGGCTTAGGCTCAAGACGTATGCCAACTTTCCAGAAGCACCTCAGGAGGAGGCTTCTCAGCAATAGGTATGTGGGAGGGACTCCGAGTTTGCTGCCTCAAGGGGAATATACAGCGAGAAGCCCTAACTTGAAAGGAGGCCAGATTTCCTTGCAGTGGTTTGAATACAGGCTCGTCTTTCATCTCACAACATGAAGGGATGTCTGAATCCCCTGTGGAGACCTTAGAGAAAGCCCTAGGTCCCTGCCTCATTTTGACGGAATGCCTCACATCCCGCTGACACCTCGAGAGGCACGCGGAGTTCATTGCTTCAAAAGGTGACGATGCCTGACTCCTCTTGAATACTGATAGGAATCCCAAAATCCCTGTGGCTACTGGAAAGGGTCCTTGGGTGCCCTGCCTCACCTCGAGAAGCGTCCCTTTTGCCCTGCCAAGACTCGAAGAGATTCCTGAGGTGTCACTCGTTACTAGGCAGGAGTCCTGACCTCACTGAAGAAAGTCGTGTTTTGAAGGGCCATCCCTGCCGTAAGTCGAGAACATACCCCAGGTCCCCGCCGCAACTCGAGAAAAACCATGAGACTTCCCCCTAGAGGCGAGATGAGGCCCCATTCCCCTGCAGTGCATGCAGAGCTATTCCGGGATCCCATTCAAACAAGTCAGGAGCTTCGACTTGCTTAATGGATCTCGAGACAGTCCCCAAGAACACTGTCACCAGTCTAGACGGACCCTGAGGTCACCCAGCAATGCAAAGCAGCTCCATGTGCCCCAAATCAACTCGAGATGAGGCCCGATTCCCCTGCATTGACTCCAGAGTCATTCCCTGTTCCCCATTCAACACGACCGGTGGCTCGACTTCCTTCAGGCAACTCCAGGGATGCCCCGAGAACACTGTCCCAAGTCTAGAGGAACACCAACTTCAGCACAGCAACTCGAGGAATGCTCTGTGTACCCCAAATCGTCTCGAGATGAGAGCTGATTCCCTGGCTTAGGCTCAAGACGTATGCCAACTTTCCAGAAGCACCTCAGGAGGAGGCTTCTCAGCAATAGGTATGTGGGAGGGACTCCGAGTTTGCTGCCTCAAGGGGAATATACAGCGAGAAGCCCTAACTTGAAAGGAGGCCGGATTTCCTTGCAGTAGCTTGAATACAGGCTTGTCTTTCATCTCACAACATGAAGGGATGTCTGAATCCCCTGTGAAGACCTTAGAGAAAGCCCTAGGACCCTGCCTCATTTTGACGGAATGCCTCACATCCCGCTGACAACTCGAGAGGCACGCGGAGTTCATTGCTTCAAAAGGTGACGATGCCTGACTCCTCTTGAATACTGATAGGAATCCCAAAATCCCTGTGGCTACTGGAAAGGTTCCTTGGGTGCCCTGGCTCACCTCGAGAAGCGTCCCTTTTGAGCTGCCAAGCCTCGAAGAGATTCCTGAGGTGTCCCTCGTTACTAGACAGGAGTCCTGACGTCACTGAAGAAACTCGTGTTTTGAAGGGCCATCCCCGCCGTAAGTCGAGAACATACCCCAGGTCCCCGCCGCAACTCGAGAAAAACCATGAGACTTCCCCCTAGAGGCGAGATGAGGCCCCATTCCCCTGCAGTGCATGCAGAGCTATTCCGTGATCCCATTCAAACAAGTCAGGAGCTTCGACTTGCTTAATGGATCTCGAGACAGTCCCCAAGAACACTGTCACCAGTCTAGACGGACCCTGAGGTCACCCCAGCAACGCAAAGCTGCTCCATGTGCCCCAAATCAACTCAAGATGAGGCCCGATTCCCCTGCATTGACTCCAGAGCCATTCCCCGTTCCCCATTCAACACGACCGGTGGCTCGACTTCCTTCAGGCAACTGCAGAGATGCCCCGAGAACACTGCCCCAAGTCTAGAGGAACACCAACTTCAGCACAGCAACTTGAGGAATGCTCTGTGTACCCCAAATCATCTCGAGATGAGAGCTGATTCTCTGGCTTAGGCTCAAGACGTATGCCAACTTTCCAGAAGCACCTCAGGAGGAGGCTTCTCTCAGCAATAGGTATGTGGGAGCGACCCCGAGTTTGCTGCCTCAAGGGGAATACACAGGGAGAAGCCCTAACTTGAACGGAGGCCAGATTTCCTTGCAGTGGGTTGAATAAAGGCTCGTCTTCGATCTGAAAACATGAAGGGATGTCTGAATTCCCTGTGGTGACCTTAGAGGAAGCCCTAGGTCCCTGCCTCATTTTGACGGAATACCTCACATCCCCCTGACACCTCGAGAGGCACGCAGAGTTCATTGCTTCAAAAGGTGACGATGCCTGACTCCTCTTGAATACTTATAGGAATCCCAAAATCCCTGTTGCTACTGGAAAGGGTCCTTGGGTGCCCTGGCTCACCTCGAGAAGCGTCCCTTTTGCCCTGCCAAGCCTCGAAGAAATTGCTGAGGTGTCCCTCGTTACTAGACAGGAGTCCTGACGTCACGGAAGAAACTCGTGTTTTGAAGGGCCATCCCCGCCGTAAGTCGAGAACATACCCCAGGTCCCCGCCGCAACTCGAGAAAAACCATGAGACTTCCCCCTAGAGGCGAGATGAGGCCCCATTCCCCTGCAGTGCATGCAGAGCTATTCCGTGATCCCATTCAAACAAGTCAGGAGCTTCGACTTGCTTAATGGATCTCGAGACAGTCCCCAAGAACACTGTCACCAGTCTAGACGGACCCTGAGGTCACCACAGCAACGCAAAGCAGCTCCATGTGCCCCAAATCAACTCGAGATGAGGCCCGATTCCCCTGCATTGACTCCAGAGCCATTCCCCGTTCCCCGTTCAACACGAACGGAGGCTCGCCTTCCTTCAGGCAACTCCAGAGATGCCCCGAGAACACTGTCCCAAGTCTAGAGGAACACCAACTTCAGCACAGCAACTCGAGGAATGCTCTGTGTACCCCAAATCGTCTCGAGATGAGAGCTGATTCCCTGGCTTAGGCTCAAGACGTATGCCAACTTTCCAGAAGCACCTCAGGAGGAGGCTTCTCAGCAATAGGTATGTGGGAGGGACTCCGAGTTTGCTGCCTCAAGGGGAATATACAGCGAGAAGCCCTAACTTGCAAGGAGGCCGGATTTCCTTGCAGTGGTTTGAATACAGGCTCGTCTTTCATCTCACAACATGAAGGGATGTCTGAATCCCCTGTGGAGACCTTAGAGAAAGCCCTAGGTCCCTGCCTCATTTTGACGGAATGCCTCACATCCCGCTCACACCTCGAGAGGCACGCGGAGTTCATTGCTTCAAAAGGTGACGATGCCTGACTCCTCTTGAATACTGATAGGAATCCCAAAATCCCTGTGGCTACTGGAAAGGGTCCTTGGGTGCCCTGCCTCACCTCGAGAAGCGTCCCTTTTGCCCTGCCAAGACTCGAAGAGATTCCTGAGGTGTCACTCGTTACTAGGCAGGAGTCCTGACGTCACTGAAGAAACTCGTGTTTTGAAGGGCCATCCCCGCCGTAAGTCGAGAACATACCCCAGGTCCCCGCCGCAACTCGAGAAAAACCATGAGACTTCCCCCTAGAGGCGAGATGAGGCCCCATTCCCCTGCAGTGCATGCAGAGCTATTCCGTGATCCCATTCAAACAAGTCAGGAGCTTCGACTTGCTTAATGGATCTCGAGACAGTCCCCAAGAACACTGTCACCAGTCTAGACGGACCCTGAGGTCACCCCAGCAACGCAAAGCTGCTCCATGTGCCCCAAATCAACTCGAGATGAGGCCCGATTCCCCTGCATTGACTCCAGAGCCATTCCCCGTTCCCCATTCAACACGACCGGTGGCTCGACTTCCTTCAGGCAACTGCAGAGATGCCCCGAGAACACTGCCCCAAGCCTAGAGGAACACCAACTTCAGCACAGCAACTCGAGGAATGCTCCGTGTACCCCAAATCATCTCGAGATGAGAGCTGATTCTCTGGCTTAGGCTCAAGACGTATGCCAACTTTCCAGAAGCACCTCAGGAGGAGGCTTCTCTCAGCAATAGGTATGTGGGAGCGACCCCGAGTTTGCTGCCTCAAGGGGAATACACAGGGAGAAGCCCTAACTTGAACGGAGGCCAGATTTCCTTGCAGTGGGTTGAATAAAGGCTCGTCTTCGATCTGAAAACATGAAGGGATGTCTGAATTCCCTGTGGAGACCTTAGAGGAAGCCCTAGGTCCCTGCCTCATTTTGACGGAATACCTCACATCCCCCTGACACCTCGAGAGGCACGCAGAGTTCATTGCTTCAAAAGGTGACGATGCCTGACTCCTCTTGAATACTTATAGGAATCCCAAAATCCCTGTTGCTACTGGAAAGGGTCCTTGGGTGCCCTGGCTCACCTCGAGAAGCGTCCCTTTTGCCCTGCCAAGCCTCGAAGAAATTGCTGAGGTGTCCCTCGTTACTAGACAGGAGTCCTGACGTCACGGAAGAAACTCGTGTTTTGAAGGGCCATCCCCGCCGTAAGTCGAGAACATACCCCAGGTCCCCGCCGCAACTCGAGAAAAACCATGAGACTTCCCCCTAGAGGCGAGATGAGGCCCCATTCCCCTGCAGTGCATGCAGAGCTATTCCGTGATCCCATTCAAACAAGTCAGGAGCTTCGACTTGCTTAATGGATCTCGAGACAGTCCCCAAGAACACTGTCACCAGTCTAGACGGACCCTGAGGTCACCACAGCAACGCAAAGCAGCTCCATGTGCCCCAAATCAACTCGAGATGAGGCCCGATTCCCCTGCATTGACTCCAGAGCCATTCCCCGTTCCCCGTTCAACACGAACGGAGGCTCGCCTTCCTTCAGGCAACTCCAGAGATGCCCCGAGAACACTGTCCCAAGTCTAGAGGAACACCAACTTCAGCACAGCAACTCGAGGAATGCTCTGTGTACCCCAAATCGTCTCGAGATGAGAGCTGATTCCGTGGCTTAGGCTCAAGACGTATGCCAACTTTCCAGAAGCACCTCAGGAGGAGGCTTCTCAGCAATAGGTATGTGGGAGGGACTCCGAGTTTGCTGCCTCAAGGGGAATATACAGCGAGAAGCCCTAACTTGAAAGGAGGCCGGATTTCCTTGCAGTGGCTTGAATACAGGCTCGTCTTTCATCTCACAACATGAAGGGATGTCTGAATCCCCTGTGGAGACCTTAGAGAAAGCCCTAGGTCCCTGCCTCATTTTGACGGAATGCCTCACATCCCCCTGACACCTCGAGAGGCACGCGGAGTTCATTGCTTCAAAAGGTGACGATGCCTGACTCCTCTTGAATACTGATAGGAATCCCAAAATCCCTGTGGCTACTGGAAAGGGTCCTTGGGTGCCCTGCCTCACCTCGAGAAGCGTCCCTTTTGCCCTGCCAAGACTCGAAGAGATTCCTGAGGTGTCACTCGTTACTAGGCAGGAGTCCTGACCTCACTGAAGAAAGTCGTGTTTTGAAGGGCCATCCCTGCCGTAAGTCGAGAACATACCCCAGGTCCCCGCCGCAACTCGAGAAAAACCATGAGACTTCCCCCTAGAGGCGAGATGAGGCCCCATTCCCCTGCAGTGCATGCAGAGCTATTCCGGGATCCCATTCAAACAAGTCAGGAGCTTCGACTTGCTTAATGGATCTCGAGACAGTCCCCAAGAACACTGTCACCAGTCTAGACGGACCCTGAGGTCACCCAGCAATGCAAAGCAGCTCCATGTGCCCCAAATCAACTCGAGATGAGGCCCGATTCCCCTGCATTGACTCCAGAGCCATTCCCTGTTCCCCATTCAACACGACCGGTGGCTCGACTTCCTTCAGGCAACTCCAGGGATGCCCCGAGAACACTGTCCCAAGTCTAGAGGAACACCAACTTCAGCACAGCAACTCGAGGAATGCTCTGTGTACCCCAAATCGTCTCGAGATGAGAGCTGATTCCCTGGCTTAGGCTCAAGACGTATGCCAACTTTCCAGAAGCACCTCAGGAGGAGGCTTCTCAGCAATAGGTATGTGGGAGGGACTCCGAGTTTGCTGCCTCAAGGGGAATATACAGCGAGAAGCCCTAACTTGAAAGGAGGCCGGATTTCCTTGCAGTAGCTTGAATACAGGCTTGTCTTTCATCTCACAACATGAAGGGATGTCTGAATCCCCTGTGAAGACCTTAGAGAAAGCCCTAGGACCCTGCCTCATTTTGACGGAATGCCTCACATCCCGCTGACAACTCGAGAGGCACGCGGAGTTCATTGCTTCAAAAGGTGACGATGCCTGACTCCTCTTGAATACTGATAGGAATCCCAAAATCCCTGTGGCTACTGGAAAGGTTCCTTGGGTGCCCTGGCTCACCTCGAGAAGCGTCCCTTTTGAGCTGCCAAGCCTCGAAGAGATTCCTGAGGTGTCCCTCGTTACTAGACAGGAGTCCTGACGTCACTGAAGAAACTCGTGTTTTGAAGGGCCATCCCCGCCGTAAGTCGAGAACATACCCCAGGTCCCCGCCGCAACTCGAGAAAAACCATGAGACTTCCCCCTAGAGGCGAGATGAGGCCCCATTCCCCTGCAGTGCATGCAGAGCTATTCCGTGATCCCATTCAAACAAGTCAGGAGCTTCGACTTGCTTAATGGATCTCGAGACAGTCCCCAAGAACACTGTCACCAGTCTAGACGGACCCTGAGGTCACCCCAGCAACGCAAAGCTGCTCCATGTGCCCCAAATCAACTCGAGATGAGGCCCGATTCCCCTGCATTGACTCCAGAGCCATTCCCCGTTCCCCATTCAACACGACCGGTGGCTCGACTTCCTTCAGGCAACTGCAGAGATGCCCCGAGAACACTGCCCCAAGTCTAGAGGAACACCAACTTCAGCACAGCAACTCGAGGAATGCTCCGTGTACCCCAAATCATCTCGAGATGAGAGCTGATTCTCTGGCTTAGGCTCAAGACGTATGCCAACTTTCCAGAAGCACCTCAGGAGGAGGCTTCTCTCAGCAATAGGTATGTGGGAGCGACCCCGAGTTTGCTGCCTCAAGGGGAATACACAGGGAGAAGCCCTAACTTGAACGGAGGCCAGATTTCCTTGCAGTGGGTTGAATAAAGGCTCGTCTTCGATCTGAAAACATGAAGGGATGTCTGAATTCCCTGTGGAGACCTTAGAGGAAGCCCTAGGTCCCTGCCTCATTTTGACGGAATACCTCACATCCCCCTGACACCTCGAGAGGCACGCAGAGTTCATTGCTTCAAAAGGTGACGATGCCTGACTCCTCTTGAATACTTATAGGAATCCCAAAATCCCTGTTGCTACTGGAAAGGGTCCTTGGGTGCCCTGGCTCACCTCGAGAAGCGTCCCTTTTGCCCTGCCAAGCCTCGAAGAAATTGCTGAGGTGTCCCTCGTTACTAGACAGGAGTCCTGACGTCACGGAAGAAACTCGTGTTTTGAAGGGCCATCCCCGCCGTAAGTCGAGAACATACCCCAGGTCCCCGCCGCAACTCGAGAAAAACCATGAGACTTCCCCCTAGAGGCGAGATGAGGCCCCATTCCCCTGCAGTGCATGCAGAGCTATTCCGTGATCCCATTCAAACAAGTCAGGAGCTTCGACTTGCTTAATGGATCTCGAGACAGTCCCCAAGAACACTGTCACCAGTCTAGACGGACCCTGAGGTCACCACAGCAACGCAAAGCAGCTCCATGTGCCCCAAATCAACTCGAGATGAGGCCCGATTCCCCTGCATTGACTCCAGAGCCATTCCCCGTTCCCCGTTCAACAGGAACGGAGGCTCGCCTTCCTTCAGGCAACTCCAGAGATGCCCCGAGAACACTGTCCCAAGTCTAGAGGAACACCAACTTCAGCACAGCAACTCGAGGAATGCTCTGTGTACCCCAAATCGTCTCGAGATGAGAGCTGATTCCCTGGCTTAGGCTCAAGACGTATGCCAACTTTCCAGAAGCACCTCAGGAGGAGGCTTCTCAGCAATAGGTATGTGGGAGGGACTCCGAGTTTGCTGCCTCAAGGGGAATATACAGCGAGAAGCCCTAACTTGAAAGGAGGCCGGATTTCCTTGCAGTGGTTTGAATACAGGCTCGTCTTTCATCTCACAACATGAAGGGATGTCTGAATCCCCTGTGGAGACCTTAGAGAAAGCCCTAGGTCCCTGCCTCAATTTGACGGAATGCCTCACATCCCGCTGACACCTCGAGAGGCACGCGGAGTTCATTGCTTCAAAAGGTGACGATGCCTGACTCCTCTTGAATACTGATAGGAATCCCAAAATCCCTGTGGCTACTGGAAAGGGTCCTTGGGTGCCCTGCCTCACCTCGAGAAGCGTCCCTTTTGCCCTGCCAAGACTCGAAGAGATTCCTGAGGTGTCACTCGTTACTAGGCAGGAGTCCTGACCTCACTGAAGAAAGTCGTGTTTTGAAGGGCCATCCCTGCCGTAAGTCGAGAACATACCCCAGGTCCCCGCCGCAACTCGAGAAAAACCATGAGACTTCCCCCTAGAGGCGAGATGAGGCCCCATTCCCCTGCAGTGCATGCAGAGCTATTCCGGGATCCCATTCAAACAAGTCAGGAGCTTCGACTTGCTTAATGGATCTCGAGACAGTCCCCAAGAACACTGTCACCAGTCTAGACGGACCCTGAGGTCACCCAGCAATGCAAAGCAGCTCCATGTGCCCCAAATCAACTCGAGATGAGGCCCGATTCCCCTGCATTGACTCCAGAGCCATTCCCTGTTCCCCATTCAACACGACCGGTGGCTCGACTTCCTTCAGGCAACTCCAGGGATGCCCCGAGAACACTGTCCCAAATCTAGAGGAACACCAACTTCAGCACAGCAACTCGAGGAATGCTCTGTGTACCCCAAATCGTCTCGAGATGAGAGCTGATTCCCTGGCTTAGGCTCAAGACGTATGCCAACTTTCCAGAAGCACCTCAGGAGGAGGCTTCTCAGCAATAGGTATGTGGGAGGGACTCCGAGTTTGCTGCCTCAAGGGGAATATACAGCGAGAAGCCCTAACTTGAAAGGAGGCCGGATTTCCTTGCAGTAGCTTGAATACAGGCTTGTCTTTCATCTCACAACATGAAGGGATGTCTGAATCCCCTGTGAAGACCTTAGAGAAAGCCCTAGGACCCTGCCTCATTTTGACGGAATGCCTCACATCCCGCTGACCACTCGAGAGGCACGCGGAGTTCATTGCTTCAAAAGGTGACGATGCCTGACTCCTCTTGAATACTGATAGGAATCCCAAAATCCCTGTGGCTACTGGAAAGGTTCCTTGGGTGCCCTGGCTCACCTCGAGAAGCGTCCCTTTTGAGCTGCCAAGCCTCGAAGAGATTCCTGAGGTGTCCCTCGTTACTAGACAGGAGTCCTGACGTCACTGAAGAAACTCGTGTTTTGAAGGGCCATCCCCGCCGTAATTCGAGAACATACCCCAGGTCCCCGCCGAAACTCGAGAAAAACCATGAGACTTCCCCCTAGAGGCGAGATGAGGCCCCATTCCCCTGCAGTGCATGCAGAGCTATTCCGTGATCCCATTCAAACAAGTCAGGATCTTCGACTTGCTTAATGGATCTCGAGACAGTCCCCAAGAACACTGTCACCAGTCTAGACGGACCCTGAGGTCACCCCAGCAACGCAAAGCTGCTCCATGTGCCCCAAATCAACTCGAGATGAGGCCCGATTCCCCTGCATTGACTCCAGAGCCATTCCCTGTTCCCCATTCAACACGACCGGTGGCTCGACTTCCTTCAGGCAACTGCAGAGATGCCCCGAGAACACTGCCCCAAGTCTAGAGGAACACCAACTTCAGCACAGCAACTCGAGGAATGCTCCGTGTACCCCAAATCATCTCGAGATGAGAGCTGATTCTCTGGCTTAGGCTCAAGACGTATGCCAACTTTCCAGAAGCACCTCAGGAGGAGGCTTCTCTCAGCAATAGGTATGTGGGAGCGACCCCGAGTTTGCTGCCTCAAGGGGAATACACAGGGAGAAGCCCTAACTTGAACGGAGGCCAGATTTCCTTGCAGTGGGTTGAATAAAGGCTCGTCTTCGATCTGAAAACATGAAGGGATGTCTGAATTCCCTGTGGAGACCTTAGAGGAAGCCCTAGGTCCCTGCCTCATTTTGACGGAATACCTCACATCCCCCTGACACCTCGAGAGGCACGCAGAGTTCATTGCTTCAAAAGGTGACGATGCCTGACTCCTCTTGAATACTTATAGGAATCCCAAAATCCCTGTTGCTACTGGAAAGGGTCCTTGGGTGCCCTGGCTCACCTCGAGAAGCGTCCCTTTTGCCCTGCCAAGCCTCGAAGAAATTGCTGAGGTGTCCCTCGTTACTAGACAGGAGTCCTGACGTCACGGAAGAAACTCGTGTTTTGAAGGGCCATCCCCGCCGTAAGTCGAGAACATACCCCAGGTCCCCGCCGCAACTCGAGAAAAACCATGAGACTTCCCCCTAGAGGCGAGATGAGGCCCCATTCCCCTGCAGTGCATGCAGAGCTATTCCGTGATCCCATTCAAACAAGTCAGGAGCTTCGACTTGCTTAATGGATCTCGAGACAGTCCCCAAGAACACTGTCACCAGTCTAGACGGACCCTGAGGTCACCACAGCAACGCAAAGCAGCTCCATGTGCCCCAAATCAACTCGAGATGAGGCCCGATTCCCCTGCATTGACTCCAGAGCCATTCCCCGTTCCCCGTTCAACACGAACGGAGGCTCGCCTTCCTTCAGGCAACTCCAGAGATGCCCCGAGAACACTGTCCCAAGTCTAGAGGAACACCAACTTCAGCACAGCAACTCGAGGAATGCTCTGTGTACCCCAAATCGTCTCGAGATGAGAGCTGATTCCCTGGCTTAGGCTCAAGACGTATGCCAACTTTCCAGAAGCACCTCAGGAGGAGGCTTCTCAGCAATAGGTATGTGGGAGGGACTCCGAGTTTGCTGCCTCAAGGGGAATATACAGCGAGAAGCCCTAACTTGAAAGGAGGCCGGATTTCCTTGCAGTGGTTTGAATACAGGCTCGTCTTTCATCTCACAACATGAAGGGATGTCTGAATCCCCTGTGGAGACCTTAGAGAAAGCCCTAGGTCCCTGCCTCATTTTGACGGAATGCCTCACATCCCGCTGACACCTCGAGAGGCACGCGGAGTTCATTGCTTCAAAAGGTGACGATGCCTGACTCCTCTTGAATACTGATAGGAATCCCAAAATCCCTGTGGCTACTGGAAAGGGTCCTTGGGTGCCCTGCCTCACCTCGAGAAGCGTCCCTTTTGCCCTGCCAAGACTCGAAGAGATTCCTGAGGTGTCACTCGTTACTAGGCAGGAGTCCTGACCTCACTGAAGAAAGTCGTGTTTTGAAGGGCCATCCCTGCCGTAAGTCGAGAACATACCCCAGGTCCCCGCCGCAACTCGAGAAAAACCATGAGACTTCCCCCTAGAGGCGAGATGAGGCCCCATTCCCCTGCAGTGCATGCAGAGCTATTCCGGGATCCCATTCAAACAAGTCAGGAGCTTCGACTTGCTTAATGGATCTCGAGACAGTCCCCAAGAACACTGTCACCAGTCTAGACGGACCCTGAGGTCACCCAGCAATGCAAAGCAGCTCCATGTGCCCCAAATCAACTCGAGATGAGGCCCGATTCCCCTGCATTGACTCCAGAGTCATTCCCTGTTCCCCATTCAACACGACCGGTGGCTCGACTTCCTTCAGGCAACTCCAGGGATGCCCCGAGAACACTGTCCCAAGTCTAGAGGAACACCAACTTCAGCACAGCAACTCGAGGAATGCTCTGTGTACCCCAAATCGTCTCGAGATGAGAGCTGATTCCCTGGCTTAGGCTCAAGACGTATGCCAACTTTCCAGAAGCACCTCAGGAGGAGGCTTCTCAGCAATAGGTATGTGGGAGGGACTCCGAGTTTGCTGCCTCAAGGGGAATATACAGCGAGAAGCCCTAACTTGAAAGGAGGCCGGATTTCCTTGCAGTAGCTTGAATACAGGCTTGTCTTTCATCTCACAACATGAAGGGATGTCTGAATCCCCTGTGAAGACCTTAGAGAAAGCCCTAGGACCCTGCCTCATTTTGACGGAATGCCTCACATCCCGCTGACAACTCGAGAGGCACGCGGAGTTCATTGCTTCAAAAGGTGACGATGCCTGACTCCTCTTGAATACTGATAGGAATCCCAAAATCCCTGTGGCTACTGGAAAGGTTCCTTGGGTGCCCTGGCTCACCTCGAGAAGCGTCCCTTTTGAGCTGCCAAGCCTCGAAGAGATTCCTGAGGTGTCCCTCGTTACTAGACAGGAGTCCTGACGTCACTGAAGAAACTCGTGTTTTGAAGGGCCATCCCTGCCGTAAGTCGAGAACATACCCCAGGTCCCCGCCGCAACTCGAGAAAAACCATGAGACTTCCCCCTAGAGGCGAGATGAGGCCCCATTCCCCTGCAGTGCATGCAGAGCTATTCCGGGATCCCATTCAAACAAGTCAGGAGCTTCGACTTGCTTAATGGATCTCGAGACAGTCCCCAAGAACACTGTCACCAGTCTAGACGGACCCTGAGGTCACCCCAGCAACGCAAAGCTGCTCCATGTGCCCCAAATCAACTCAAGATGAGGCCCGATTCCCCTGCATTGACTCCAGAGCCATTCCCCGTTCCCCATTCAACACGACCGGTGGCTCGACTTCCTTCAGGCAACTGCAGAGATGCCCCGAGAACACTGCCCCAAGTCTAGAGGAACACCAACTTCAGCACAGCAACTTGAGGAATGCTCTGTGTACCCCAAATCATCTCGAGATGAGAGCTGATTCTCTGGCTTAGGCTCAAGACGTATGCCAACTTTCCAGAAGCACCTCAGGAGGAGGCTTCTCTCAGCAATAGGTATGTGGGAGCGACCCCGAGTTTGCTGCCTCAAGGGGAATACACAGGGAGAAGCCCTAACTTGAACGGAGGCCAGATTTCCTTGCAGTGGGTTGAATAAAGGCTCGTCTTCGATCTGAAAACATGAAGGGATGTCTGAATTCCCTGTGGTGACCTTAGAGGAAGCCCTAGGTCCCTGCCTCATTTTGACGGAATACCTCACATCCCCCTGACACCTCGAGAGGCACGCAGAGTTCATTGCTTCAAAAGGTGACGATGCCTGACTCCTCTTGAATACTTATAGGAATCCCAAAATCCCTGTTGCTACTGGAAAGGGTCCTTGGGTGCCCTGGCTCACCTCGAGAAGCGTCCCTTTTGCCCTGCCAAGCCTCGAAGAAATTGCTGAGGTGTCCCTCGTTACTAGACAGGAGTCCTGACGTCACGGAAGAAACTCGTGTTTTGAAGGGCCATCCCCGCCGTAAGTCGAGAACATACCCCAGGTCCCCGCCGCAACTCGAGAAAAACCATGAGACTTCCCCCTAGAGGCGAGATGAGGCCCCATTCCCCTGCAGTGCATGCAGAGCTATTCCGTGATCCCATTCAAACAAGTCAGGAGCTTCGACTTGCTTAATGGATCTCGAGACAGTCCCCAAGAACACTGTCACCAGTCTAGACGGACCCTGAGGTCACCACAGCAACGCAAAGCAGCTCCATGTGCCCCAAATCAACTCGAGATGAGGCCCGATTCCCCTGCATTGACTCCAGAGCCATTCCCCGTTCCCCGTTCAACACGAACGGAGGCTCGCCTTCCTTCAGGCAACTCCAGAGATGCCCCGAGAACACTGTCCCAAGTCTAGAGGAACACCAACTTCAGCACAGCAACTCGAGGAATGCTCTGTGTACCCCAAATCGTCTCGAGATGAGAGCTGATTCCCTGGCTTAGGCTCAAGACGTATGCCAACTTTCCAGAAGCACCTCAGGAGGAGGCTTCTCAGCAATAGGTATGTGGGAGGGACTCCGAGTTTGCTGCCTCAAGGGGAATATACAGCGAGAAGCCCTAACTTGAAAGGAGGCCGGATTTCCTTGCAGTGGTTTGAATACAGGCTCGTCTTTCATCTCACAACATGAAGGGATGTCTGAATCCCCTGTGGAGACCTTAGAGAAAGCCCTAGGTCCCTGCCTCATTTTGACGGAATGCCTCACATCCCGCTGACACCTCGAGAGGCACGCGGAGTTCATTGCTTCAAAAGGTGACGATGCCTGACTCCTCTTGAATACTGATAGGAATCCCAAAATCCCTGTGGCTACTGGAAAGGGTCCTTGGGTGCCCTGCCTCACCTCGAGAAGCGTCCCTTTTGCCCTGCCAAGACTCGAAGAGATTCCTGAGGTGTCACTCGTTACTAGGCAGGAGTCCTGACGTCACTGAAGAAACTCGTGTTTTGAAGGGCCATCCCCGCCGTAAGTCGAGAACATACCCCAGGTCCCCGCCGCAACTCGAGAAAAACCATGAGACTTCCCCCTAGAGGCGAGATGAGGCCCCATTCCCCTGCAGTGCATGCAGAGCTATTCCGTGATCCCATTCAAACAAGTCAGGAGCTTCGACTTGCTTAATGGATCTCGAGACAGTCCCCAAGAACACTGTCACCAGTCTAGACGGACCCTGAGGTCACCCCAGCAACGCAAAGCTGCTCCATGTGCCCCAAATCAACTCGAGATGAGGCCCGATTCCCCTGCATTGACTCCAGAGCCATTCCCCGTTCCCCATTCAACACGACCGGTGGCTCGACTTTCTTCAGGCAACTGCAGAGATGCCCCGAGAACACTGCCCCAAGTCTAGAGGAACACCAACTTCAGCACAGCAACTCGAGGAATGCTCCGTGTACCCCAAATCATCTCGAGATGAGAGCTGATTCTCTGGCTTAGGCTCAAGACGTATGCCAACTTTCCAGAAGCACCTCAGGAGGAGGCTTCTCTCAGCAATAGGTATGTGGGAGCGACCCCGAGTTTGCTGCCTCAAGGGGAATACACAGGGAGAAGCCCTAACTTGAACGGAGGCCAGATTTCCTTGCAGTGGGTTGAATAAAGGCTCGTCTTCGATCTGAAAACATGAAGGGATGTCTGAATTCCCTGTGGAGACCTTAGAGGAAGCCCTAGGTCCCCGCCTCATTTTGACGGAATACCTCACATCCCCCTGACACCTCGAGAGGCACGCAGAGTTCATTGCTTCAAAAGGTGACGATGCCTGACTCCTCTTGAATACTTATAGGAATCCCAAAATCCCTGTTGCTACTGGAAAGGGTCCTTGGGTGCCCTGGCTCACCTCGAGAAGCGTCCCTTTTGCCCTGCCAAGCCTCGAAGAAATTGCTGAGGTGTCCCTCGTTACTAGACAGGAGTCCTGACGTCACGGAAGAAACTCGTGTTTTGAAGGGCCATCCCCGCCGTAAGTCGAGAACATACCCCAGGTCCCCGCCGCAACTCGAGAAAAACCATGAGACTTCCCCCTAGAGGCGAGATGAGGCCCCATTCCCCTGCAGTGCATGCAGAGCTATTCCGTGATCCCATTCAAACAAGTCAGGAGCTTCGACTTGCTTAATGGATCTCGAGACAGTCCCCAAGAACACTGTCACCAGTCTAGACGGACCCTGAGGTCACCACAGCAACGCAAAGCAGCTCCATGTGCCCCAAATCAACTCGAGATGAGGCCCGATTCCCCTGCATTGACTCCAGAGCCATTCCCCGTTCCCCGTTCAACACGAACGGAGGCTCGCCTTCCTTCAGGCAACTCCAGAGATGCCCCGAGAACACTGTCCCAAGTCTAGAGGAACACCAACTTCAGCACAGCAACTCGAGGAATGCTCTGTGTACCCCAAATCGTCTCGAGATGAGAGCTGATTCCCTGGCTTAGGCTCAAGACGTATGCCAACTTTCCAGAAGCACCTCAGGAGGAGGCTTCTCAGCAATAGGTATGTGGGAGGGACTCCGAGTTTGCTGCCTCAAGGGGAATATACAGCGAGAAGCCCTAACTTGAAAGGAGGCCGGATTTCCTTGCAGTGGTTTGAATACAGGCTCGTCTTTCATCTCACAACATGAAGGGATGTCTGAATCCCCTGTGGAGACCTTAGAGAAAGCCCTAGGTCCCTGCCTCATTTTGACGGAATGCCTCACATCCCGCTGACACCTCGAGAGGCACGCGAAGTTCATTGCTTCAAAAGGTGACGCTGCCTGACTCCTCTTGAATACTGATAGGAATCCCAAAATCCCTTTGGCTACTGGAAAGGGTCCTTGGGTGCCCTGCCTCACCTCGAGAAGCGTCCCTTTTGCCCTGCCAAGACTCGAAGAGATTCCTGAGGTGTCACTCGTTACTAGGCAGGAGTCCTGACCTCACTGAAGAAATTCGTGTTTTGAAGGGCCATCCCTGCCGTAAGTCGAGAACATACCCCAGGTCCCCGCCGCAACTCGAGAAAAACCATGAGACTTCCCCCTAGAGGCGAGATGAGGCCCCATTCCCCTGCAGTGCATGCAGAGCTATTCCGGGATCCCATTCAAACAAGTCAGGAGCTTCGACTTGCTTAATGGATCTCGAGACAGTCCCCAAGAACACTGTCACCAGTCTAGACGGACCCTGAGGTCACCCAGCAATGCAAAGCAGCTCCATGTGCCCCAAATCAACTCGAGATGAGGCCCGATTCCCCTGCATTGACTCCAGAGCCATTCCCTGTTCCCCATTCAACACGACCGGTGGCTCGACTTCCTTCAGGCAACTCCAGGGATGCCCCGAGAACACTGTCCCAAGTCTAGAGGAACACCAACTTCAGCACAGCAACTCGAGGAATGCTCTGTGTACCCCAAATCGTCTCGAGATGAGAGCTGATTCCCTGGCTTAGGCTCAAGACGTATGCCAACTTTCCAGAAGCACCTCAGGAGGAGGCTTCTCAGCAATAGGTATGTGGGAGGGACTCCGAGTTTGCTGCCTCAAGGGGAATATACAGCGAGAAGCCCTAACTTGAAAGGTGGCCGGATTTCCTTGCAGTAGCTTGAATACAGGCTTGTCTTTCATCTCACAACATGAAGGGATGTCTGAATCCCCTGTGAAGACCTTAGAGAAAGCCCTAGGACCCTGCCTCATTTTGACGGAATGCCTCACATCCCGCTGACAACTCGAGAGGCACGCGGAGTTCATTGCTTCAAAAGGTGACGATGCCTGACTCCTCTTGAATACTGATAGGAATCCCAAAATCCCTGTGGCTACTGGAAAGGTTCCTTGGGTGCCCTGGCTCACCTCGAGAAGCGTCCCTTTTGAGCTGCCAAGCCTCGAAGAGATTCCTGAGGTGTCCCTCGTTACTAGACAGGAGTCCTGACGTCACTGAAGAAACTCGTGTTTTGAAGGGCCATCCCCGCCGTAAGTCGAGAACATACCCCAGGTCCCCGCCGCAACTCGAGAAAAACCATGAGACTTCCCCCTAGAGGCGAGATGAGGCCCCATTCCCCTGCAGTGCATGCAGAGCTATTCCGTGATCCCATTCAAACAAGTCAGGAGCTTCGACTTGCTTAATGGATCTCGAGACAGTCCCCAAGAACACTGTCACCAGTCTAGACGGACCCTGAGGTCACCCCAGCAACGCAAAGCTGCTCCATGTGCCCCAAATCAACTCGAGATGAGGCCCGATTCCCCTGCATTGACTCCAGAGCCATTCCCCGTTCCCCATTCAACACGACCGGTGGCTCGACTTCCTTCAGGCAACTGCAGAGATGCCCCGAGAACACTGCCCCAAGTCTAGAGGAACACCAACTTCAGCACAGCAACTCGAGGAATGCTCCGTGTACCACAAATCATCTCGAGATGAGAGCTGATTCTCTGGCTTAGGCTCAAGACGTATGCCAACTTTCCAGAAGCACCTCAGGAGGAGGCTTCTCTCAGCAATAGGTATGTGGGAGCGACCCCGAGTTTGCTGCCTCAAGGGGAATACACAGGGAGAAGCCCTAACTTGAACGGAGGCCAGATTTCCTTGCAGTGGGTTGAATAAAGGCTCGTCTTCGATCTGAAAACATGAAGGGATGTCTGAATTCTCTGTGGAGACCTTAGAGGAAGCCCTAGTTCCCCGCCTCATTTTGACGGAATACCTCACATCCCCCTGACACCTCGAGAGGCACGCAGAGTTCATTGCTTCAAAAGGTGACGATGCCTGACTCCTCTTGAATACTTATAGGAATCCCAAAATCCCTGTTGCTACTGGAAAGGGTCCTTGGGTGCCCTGGCTCACCTCGAGAAGCGTCCCTTTTGCCCTGCCAAGCCTCGAAGAAATTGCTGAGGTGTCCCTCGTTACTAGACAGGAGTCCTGACGTCACGGAAGAAACTCGTGTTTTGAAGGGCCATCCCCGCCGTAAGTCGAGAACATACCCCAGGTCCCCGCCGCAACTCGAGAAAAACCATGAGACTTCCCCCTAGAGGCGAGATGAGGCCCCATTCCCCTGCAGTGCATGCAGAGCTATTCCGTGATCCCATTCAAACAAGTCAGGAGCTTCGACTTGCTTAATGGATCTCGAGACAGTCCCCAAGAACACTGTCACCAGTCTAGACGGACCCTGAGGTCACCACAGCAACGCAAAGCAGCTCCATGTGCCCCAAATCAACTCGAGATGAGGCCCGATTCCCCTGCATTGACTCCAGAGCCATTCCCCGTTCCCCGTTCAACACGAACGGAGGCTCGCCTTCCTTCAGGCAACTCCAGCGATGCCCCGAGAACACTGTCCCAAGTCTAGAGGAACACCAACTTCAGCACAGCAACTCGAGGAATGCTCTGTGTACCCCAAATCGTCTCGAGATGAGAGCTGATTCCCTGGCTTAGGCTCAAGACGGATGCCAACTTTCCAGAAGCACCTCAGGAGGAGGCTTCTCAGCAATAGGTATGTGGGAGGGACTCCGAGTTTGCTGCCTCAAGGGGAATATACAGCGAGAAGCCCTAACTTGAAAGGAGGCCGGATTTCCTTGCAGTGGTTTGAATACAGGCTCGTCTTTCATCTCACAACATGAAGGGATGTCTGAATCCCCTGTGGAGACCTTAGAGAAAGCCCTAGGTCCCTGCCTCATTTTGACGGAATGCCTCACATCCCGCTGACACCTCGAGAGGCACGCGGAGTTCATTGCTTCAAAAGGTGACGATGCCTGACTCCTCTTGAATACTGATAGGAATCCCAAAATCCCTGTGGCTACTGGAAAGGGTCCTTGGGTGCCCTGCCTCACCTCGAGAAGCGTCCCTTTTGCCCTGCCAAGACTCGAAGAGATTCCTGAGGTGTCACTCGTTACTAGGCAGGAGTCCTGACCTCACTGAAGAAAGTCGTGTTTTGAAGGGCCATCCCTGCCGTAAGTCGAGAACATACCCCAGGTCCCCGCCGCAACTCGAGAAAAACCATGAGACTTCCCCTAGAGGCGAGATGAGGCCCCATTCCCCTGCAGTGCATGCAGAGCTATTCCGGGATCCCATTCAAACAAGTCAGGAGCTTCGACTTGCTTAATGGATCTCGAGACAGTCCCCAAGAACACTGTCACCAGTCTAGACGGACCCTGAGGTCACCCAGCAATGCAAAGCAGCTCCATGTGCCCCAAATCAACTCGAGATGAGGCCCTATTCCCCTGCATTGACTCCAGAGCCATTCCCTGTTCCCCATTCAACACGACCGGTGGCTCGACTTCCTTCAGGCAACTCCAGGGATGCCCCGAGAACACTGTCCCAAGTCTAGAGGAACACCAACTTCAGCACAGCAACTCGAGGAATGCTCTGTGTACCCCAAATCGTCTCGAGATGAGAGCTGATTCCCTGGCTTAGGCTCAAGACGTATGCCAACTTTCCAGAAGCACCTCAGGAGGAGGCTTCTCAGCAATAGGTATGTGGGAGGGACTCCGAGTTTGCTGCCTCAAGGGGAATATACAGCGAGAAGCCCTAACTTGAAAGGAGGCCGGATTTCCTTGCAGTAGCTTGAATACAGGCTTGTCTTTCATCTCACAACATGAAGGGATATCTGAATCCCCTGTGGAGACCTTAGAGAAAGCCCTAGGACCCTGCCTCATTTTGACGGAATGCCTCACATCCCGCTGACAACTCGAGAGGCACGCGGAGTTCATTGCTTCAAAAGGTGACGATGCCTGACTCCTCTTGAATACTGATAGGAATCCCAAAATCCCTGTGGCTACTGGAAAGGTTCCTTGGGTGCCCTGGCTCACCTCGAGAAGCGTCCCTTTTGAGCTGCCAAGCCTCGAAGAGATTCCTGAGGTGTCCCTCGTTACTAGACAGGAGTCCTGACGTCACTGAAGAAACTCGTGTTTTGAAGGGCCATCCCCGCCGTAAGTCGAGAACATACCCCAGGTCCCCGCCGCAACTCGAGAAAAACCATGAGACTTCCCCCTAGAGGCGAGATGAGGCCCCATTCCCCTGCAGTGCATGCAGAGCTATTCCGTGATCCCATTCAAACAAGTCAGGAGCTTCGACTTGCTTAATGGATCTCGAGACAGTCCCCAAGAACACTGTCACCAGTCTAGACGGACCCTGAGGTCACCCCAGCAACGCAAAGCTGCTCCATGTGCCCCAAATCAACTCGAGATGAGGCCCGATTCCCCTGCATTGACTCCAGAGCCATTCCCCGTTCCCCATTCAACACGACCGGTGGCTCGACTTCCTTCAGGCAACTGCAGAGATGCCCCGAGAACACTGCCCCAAGTCTAGAGGAACACCAACTTCAGCACAGCAACTCGAGGAATGCTCCGTGTACCCCAAATCATCTCGAGATGAGAGCTGATTCTCTGGCTTAGGCTCAAGACGTATGCCAACTTTCCAGAAGCACCTCAGGAGGAGTATTCTCTCAGCAATAGGTATGTGGGAGCGACCCCGAGTTTGCTGCCTCAAGGGGAATACACAGGGAGAAGCCCTAACTTGAACGGAGGCCAGATTTCCTTGCAGTGGGTTGAATAAAGGCTCGTCTTCGATCTGAAAACATGAAGGGATGTCTGAATTCCCTGTGGAGACGTTAGAGGAAGCCCTAGGTCCCTGCCTCATTTTGACGGAATACCTCACATCCCCCTGACACCTCGAGAGGCACGCAGAGTTCATTGCTTCAAAAGGTGACGATGCCTGACTCCTCTTGAATACTTATAGGAATCCCAAAATCCCTGTTGCTACTGGAAAGGGTCCTTGGGTGCCCTGGCTCACCTCGAGAAGCGTCCCTTTTGCCCTGCCAAGCCTCGAAGAAATTGCTGAGGTGTCCCTCGTTACTAGACAGGAGTCCTGACGTCACTGAAGAAACTCGTGTTTTGAAGGGCCATCCCCGCCGTAAGTCGAGAACATACCCCAGGTCCCCGCCGCAACTCGAGAAAAACCATGAGACTTCCCCCTAGAGGCGAGATGAGGCCCCATTCCCCTGCAGTGCATGCAGAGCTATTCCGTGATCCCATTCAAACAAGTCAGGAGCTTCGACTTGCTTAATGGATCTCGAGACAGTCCCCAAGAACACTGTCACCAGTCTAGACGGACCCTGAGGTCACCACAGCAACGCAAAGCAGCTCCATGTGCCCCAAATCAACTCGAGATGAGGCCCGATTCCCCTGCATTGACTCCAGAGCCATTCCCCGTTCCCCGTTCAACACGAACGGAGGCTCGCCTTCCTTCAGGCAACTCCAGAGATGCCCTGAGAACACTGTCCCAAGTCTAGAGGAACACCAACTTCAGCACAGCAACTCGAGGAATGCTCTGTGTACCCCAAATCGTCTCGAGATGAGAGCTGATTCCGTGGCTTAGGCTCAAGACGTATGCCAACTTTCCAGAAGCACCTCAGGAGGAGGCTTCTCAGCAATAGGTATGTGGGAGGGACTCCGAGTTTGCTGCCTCAAGGGGAATATACAGCGAGAAGCCCTAACTTGAAAGGAGGCCGGATTTCCTTGCAGTGGTATGAATACAGGCTCGTCTTTCATCTCACAACATGAAGGGATGTCTGAATCCCCTGTGGAGACCTTAGAGAAAGCCCTAGGTCCCTGCCTCATTTTGACGGAATGCCTCACATCCCGCTGACACCTCGAGAGGCACGCGGAGTTCATTGCTTCAAAAGGTGACGATGCCTGACTCCTCTTGAATACTGATAGGAATCCCAAAATCCCTGTGGCTACTGGAAAGGGTCCTTGGGTGCCCTGCCTCACCTCGAGAAGCGTCCCTTTTGCCCTGCCAAGACTCGAAGAGATTCCTGAGGTGTCACTCGTTACTAGGCAGGAGTCCTGACCTCACTGAAGAAAGTCGTGTTTTGAAGGGCCATCCCTGCCGTAAGTCGAGAACATACCCCAGGTCCCCGCCGCAACTCGAGAAAAACCATGAGACTTCCCCCTAGAGGCGAGATGAGGCCCCATTCCCCTGCAGTGCATGCAGAGCTATTCCGGGATCCCATTCAAACAAGTCAGGAGCTTCGACTTGCTTAATGGATCTCGAGACAGTCCCCAAGAACACTGTCACCAGTCTAGACGGACCCTGAGGTCACCCAGCAATGCAAAGCAGCCCAATGTGCCCCAAATCAACTCGAGATGAGGCCCGATTCCCCTGCATTGACTCCAGAGCCATTCCCTGTTCCCCATTCAACACGACCGGTGGCTCGACTTCCTTCAGGCAACTCCAGGAATGCCCCGAGAACACTGTCCCAAGTCTAGAGGAACACCAACTTCAGCACAGCAACTCGAGGAATGCTCTGTGTACCCCAAATCGTCTCGAGATGAGAGCTGATTCCCTGGCTTAGGCTCAAGACGTATGCCAACTTTCCAGAAGCACCTCAGGAGGAGGCTTCTCAGCAATAGGTATGTGGGAGGGACTCCGAGTTTGCTGCCTCAAGGGGAATATACAGCGAGAAGCCCTAACTTGAAAGGAGGCCGGATTTCCTTGCAGTAGCTTGAATACAGGCTTGTCTTTCATCTCACAACATGAAGGGATGTCTGAATCCCCTGTGAAGACCTTAGAGAAAGCCCTAGGACCCTGCCTCATTTTGACGGAATGCCTCACATCCCGCTGACAACTCGAGAGGCACGCGGAGTTCATTGCTTCAAAAGGTGACGATGCCTGACTCCTCTTGAATACTGATAGGAATCCCAAAATCCCTGTGGCTACTGGAAAGGTTCCTTGGGTGCCCTGGCTCACCTCGAGAAGCGTCCCTTTTGAGCTGCCAAGCCTCGAAGAGATTCCTGAGGTGTCCCTCGTTACTAGACAGGAGTCCTGACGTCACTGAAGAAACTCGTGTTTTGAAGGGCCATCCCCGCCGTAAGTCGAGAACATACCCCAGGTCCCCGCCGCAACTCGAGAAAAACCATGAGACTTCCCCCTAGAGGCGAGATGAGGCCCCATTCCCCTGCAGTGCATGCAGAGCTATTCCGTGATCCCATTCAAACAAGTCAGGAGCTTCGACTTGCTTAATGGATCTCGAGACAGTCCCCAAGAACACTGTCACCAGTCTAGACGGACCCTGAGGTCACCCCAGCAACGCAAAGCTGCTCCATGTGCCCCAAATCAACTCGAGATGAGGCCCGATTCCCCTGCATTGACTCCAGAGCCATTCCCCGTTCCCCATTCAACACGACCGGTGGCTCGACTTCCTTCAGGCAACTGCAGAGATGCCCCGAGAACACTGCCCCAAGTCTAGAGGAACACCAACTTCAGCACAGCAACTCGAGGAATGCTCCGTGTACCCCAAATCATCTCGAGATGAGAGCTGATTCTCTGGCTTAGGCTCAAGACGTATGCCAACTTTCCAGAAGCACCTCAGGAGGAGGCTTCTCTCAGCAATAGGTATGTGGGAGCGACCCCGAGTTTGCTGCCTCAAGGGGAATACACAGGGAGAAGCCCTAACTTGAAAGGAGGCCAGATTTCCTTGCAGTGGGTTGAATAAAGGCTCGTCTTCGATCTGAAAACATGAAGGGATGTCTGAATTCCCTGTGGAGACCTTAGAGGAAGCCCTAGGTCCCTGCCTCATTTTGACGGAATACCTCACATCCCCCTGACACCTCGAGAGGCACGCAGAGTTCATTGCTTCAAAAGGTGACGATGCCTGACTCCTCTTGAATACTTATAGGAATCCCAAAATCCCTGTTGCTACTGGAAAGGGTCCTTGGGTGCCCTGGCTCACCTCGAGAAGCGTCCCTTTTGCCCTGCCAAGCCTCGAAGAAATTGCTGAGGTGTCCCTCGTTACTAGACAGGAGTCCTGACGTCACGGAAGAAACTCGTGTTTTGAAGGGCCATCCCCGCCGTAAGTCGAGAACATACCCCAGGTCCCCGCCGCAACTCGAGAAAAACCATGAGACTTCCCCCTAGAGGCGAGATGAGGCCCCATTCCCCTGCAGTGCATGCAGAGCTATTCCGTGATCCCATTCAAACAAGTCAGGAGCTTCGACTTGCTTAATGGATCTCGAGACAGTCCCCAAGAACACTGTCACCAGTCTAGACGGACCCTGAGGTCACCACAGCAACGCAAAGCAGCTCCATGTGCCCCAAATCAACTCGAGATGAGGCCCGATTCCCCTGCATTGACTCCAGAGCCATTCCCCGTTCCCCGTTCAACACGAACGGAGGCTCGCCTTCCTTCAGGCAACTCCAGAGATGCCCCGAGAACACTGTCCCAAGTCTAGAGGAACACCAACTTCAGCACAGCAACTCGAGGAATGCTCTGTGTACCCCAAATCGTCTCGAGATGAGAGCTGATTCCCTGGCTTAGGCTCAAGACGGATGCCAACTTTCCAGAAGCACCTCAGGAGGAGGCTTCTCAGCAATAGGTATGTGGGAGGGACTCCGAGTTTGCTGCCTCAAGGGGAATATACAGCGAGAAGCCCTAACTTGAAAGGAGGCCGGATTTCCTTGCAGTGGTTTGAATACAGGCTCGTCTTTCATCTCACAACATGAAGGGATGTCTGAATCCCCTGTGGAGACCTTAGAGAAAGCCCTAGGTCCCTGCCTCATTTTGACGGAATGCCTCACATCCCGCTGACACCTCGAGAGGCACGCGGAGTTCATTGCTTCAAAAGGTGACGATGCCTGACTCCTCTTGAATACTGATAGGAATCCCAAAATCCCTGTGGCTACTGGAAAGGGTCCTTGGGTGCCCTGCCTCACCTCGAGAAGCGTCCCTTTTGCCCTGCCAAGACTCGAAGAGATTCCTGAGGTGTCACTCGTTACTAGGCAGGAGTCCTGACCTCACTGAAGAAAGTCGTGTTTTGAAGGGCCATCCCTGCCGTAAGTCGAGAACATACCCCAGGTCCCCGCCGCAACTCGAGAAAAACCATGAGACTTCCCCCTAGAGGCGAGATGAGGCCCCATTCCCCTGCAGTGCATGCAGAGCTATTCCGGGATCCCATTCAAACAAGTCAGGAGCTTCGACTTGCTTAATGGATCTCGAGACAGTCCCAAAGAACACTGTCACCAGTCTAGACGGACCCTGAGGTCACCCAGCAATGCAAAGCAGCTCCATGTGCCCCAAATCAACTCGAGATGAGGCCCGATTCCCCTGCATTGACTCCAGAGCCATTCCCTGTTCCCCATTCAACATGACCGGTGGCTCGACTTCCTTCAGGCAACTCCAGGGATGCCCCGAGAACACTGTCCCAAGTCTAGAGGAACACCAACTTCAGCACAGCAACTCGAGGAATGCTCTGTGTACCCCAAATCGTCTCGAGATGAGAGCTGATTCCCTGGCTTAGGCTCAAGACGTATGCCAACTTTCCAGAAGCACCTCAGGAGGAGGCTTCTCAGCAATAGGTATGTGGGAGGGACTCCGAGTTTGCTGCCTCAAGGGGAATATACAGCGAGAAGCCCTAACTTGAAAGGAGGCCGGATTTCCTTGCAGTAGCTTGAATACAGGCTTGTCTTTCATCTCACAACATGAAGGGATGTCTGAATCCCCTGTGAAGACCTTAGAGAAAGCCCTAGGACCCTGCCTCATTTTGACGGAATGCCTCACATCCCGCTGACAACTCGAGAGGCACGCGGAGTTCATTGCTTCAAAAGGTGACGATGCCTGACTCCTCTTGAATACTGATAGGAATCCCAAAATCCCTGTGGCTACTGGAAAGGTTCCTTGGGTGCCCTGGCTCACCTCGAGAAGCGTCCCTTTTGAGCTGCCAAGCCTCGAAGAGATTCCTGAGGTGTCCCTCGTTACTAGACAGGAGTCCTGACGTCACTGAAGAAACTCGTGTTTTGAAGGGCCATCCCCGCCGTAAGTCGAGAACATACCCCAGGTCCCCGCCGCAACTCGAGAAAAACCATGAGACTTCCCCCTAGAGGCGAGATGAGGCCCCATTCCCCTGCAGTGCATGCAGAGCTATTCCGTGATCCCATTCAAACAAGTCAGGAGCTTCGACTTGCTTAATGGATCTCGAGACAGTCCCCAAGAACACTGTCACCAGTCTAGACGGACCCTGAGGTCACCCCAGCAACGCAAAGCTGCTCCATGTGCCCCAAATCAACTCGAGATGAGGCCCGATTCCCCTGCATTGACTCCAGAGCCATTCCCCGTTCCCCATTCAACACGACCGGTGGCTCGACTTCCTTCAGGCATCTCCAGAGATGCCCCGAGAACACTGCCCCAAGTCTAGAGGAACACCAACTTCAGCACAGCAACTCGAGGAATGCTCCGTGTACCCCAAATCATCTCGAGATGAGAGCTGATTCTCTGGCTTAGGCTCAAGACGTATGCCAACTTTCCAGAAGCACCTCGGGAGGAGGCTTCTCTCAGCAATAGGTATGTGGGAGCGACCCCGAGTTTGCTGCCTCAAGGGGAATACACAGGGAGAAGCCCTAACTTGAACGGAGGCCAGATTTCCTTGCAGTGGGTTGAATAAAGGCTCGTCTTCGATCTGAAAACATGAAGGGATGTCTGAATTCCCTGTGGAGACCTTAGAGGAAGCCCTAGGTCCCCGCCTCATTTTGACGGAATACCTCACATCCCCCTGACACCTCGAGAGGCACGCAGAGTTCATTGCTTCAAAAGGTGACGATGCCTGACTCCTCTTGAATACTTATAGGAATCCCAAAATCCCTGTTGCTACTGGAAAGGGTCCTTGGGTGCCCTGGCTCACCTCGAGAAGCGTCCCTTTTGCCCTGCCAAGCCTCGAAGAAATTGCTGTGGTGTCCCTCGTTACTAGACAGGAGTCCTGACGTCACGGAAGAAACTCGTGTTTTGAAGGGCCATCCCCGCCGAAAGTCGAGAACATACCCCAGGTCCCCGCCGCAACTCGAGAAAAACCATGAGACTTCCCCCTAGAGGCGAGATGAGGCCCCATTCCCCTGCAGTGCATGCAGAGCTATTCCGTGATCCCATTCAAACAAGTCAGGAGCTTCGACTTGCTTAATGGATCTCGAGACAGTCCCCAAGAACACTGTCACCAGTCTAGACGGACCCTGAGGTCACCCCAGCAACGCAAAGCAGCTCCATGTGCCCCAAATCAACTCGAGATGAGGCCCGATTCCCCTGCATTGACTCCAGAGCCATTCCCCGTTCCCCGTTCAACACGAACGGAGGCTCGCCTTCCTTCAGGCAACTCCAGAGATGCCCCGAGAACACTGTCCCAAGTCTAGAGGAACATCAACTTCAGCACAGCAACTCGAGGAATGCTCTGTGTACCCCAAATCGTCTCGAGATGAGAGCTGATTCCCTGGCTTAGGCTCAAGACGTATGCCAACTTTCCAGAAGCACCTCAGGAGGAGGCTTCTCAGCAATAGGTATGTGGGAGGGACTCCGAGTTTGCTGCCTCAAGGGGAATATACAGCGAGAAGCCCTAACTTGAAAGGAGGCCGGATTTCCTTGCAGTGGTTTGAATACAGGCTCGTCTTTCATCTCACAACATGAAGGGATGTCTGAATCCCCTGTGGAGACCTTAGAGAAAGCCCTAGGTCCCTGCCTCATTTTGACGGAATGCCTCACATCCCGCTGACACCTCGAGAGGCACGCGGAGTTCATTGCTTCAAAAGGTGACGATGCCTGACTCCTCTTGAATACTGATAGGAATCCCAAAATCCCTGTGGCTACTGGAAAGGGTCCTTGGGTGCCCTGCCTCACCTCGAGAAGCGTCCCTTTTGCCCTGCCAAGACTCGAAGAGATTCCTGAGGTGTCACTCGTTACTAGGCAGGAGTCCTGACCTCACTGAAGAAAGTCGTGTTTTGAAGGGCCATCCCTGCCGTAAGTCGAGAACATACCCCAGGTCCCCGCCGCAACTCGAGAAAAACCATGAGACTTCCCCCTAGAGGCGAGATGAGGCCCCATTCCCCTGCAGTGCATGCAGAGCTATTCCGGGATCCCATTCAAACAAGTCAGGAGCTTCGACTTGCTTAATGGATCTCGAGACAGTCCCCAAGAACACTGTCACCAGTCTAGACGGACCCTGAGGTCACCCAGCAATGCAAAGCAGCTCCATGTGCCCCAAATCAACTCGAGATGAGGCCCGATTCCCCTGCATTGACTCCAGAGCCATTCCCTGTTCCCCATTCAACACGACCGGTGGCTCGACTTCCTTCAGGCAACTCCAGGGATGCCCCGAGAACACTGTCCCAAGTCTAGAGGAACACCAACTTCAGCACAGCAACTCGAGGAATGCTCTGTGTACCCCAAATCGTCTCGAGATGAGAGCTGATTCCCTGGCTTAGGCTCAAGACGTATGCCAACTTTCCAGAAGCACCTCAGGAGGAGGCTTCTCAGCAATAGGTATGTGGGAGGGACTCCGAGTTTGCTGCCTCAAGGGGAATATACAGCGAGAAGCCCTAACTTGAAAGGAGGCCGGATTTCCTTGCAGTAGCTTGAATACAGGCTTGTCTTTCATCTCACAACATGAAGGGATGTCTGAATCCCCTGTGAAGACCTTAGAGAAAGCCCTAGGACCCTGCCTCATTTTGACGGAATGCCTCACATCCCGCTGACAACTCGAGAGGCACGCGGAGTTCATTGCTTCAAAAGGTGACGATGCCTGACTCCTCTTGAATACTGATAGGAATCCCAAAATCCCTGTGGCTACTGGAAAGGTTCCTTGGGTGCCCTGGCTCACCTCGAGAAGCGTCCCTTTTGAGCTGCCAAGCCTCGAAGAGATTCCTGAGGTGTCCCTCGTTACTAGACAGGAGTCCTGACGTCACTGAAGAAACTCGTGTTTTGAAGGGCCATCCCCGCCGTAAGTCGAGAACATACCCCAGGTCCCCGCCGCAACTCGAGAAAAACCATGAGACTTCCCCCTAGAGGCGAGATGAGGCCCCATTCCCCTGCAGTGCATGCAGAGCTATTCCGTGATCCCATTCAAACAAGTCAGGAGCTTCGACTTGCTTAATGGATCTCGAGACAGTCCCCAAGAACACTGTCACCAGTCTAGACGGACCCTGAGGTCACCCCAGCAACGCAAAGCTGCTCCATGTGCCCCAAATCAACTCGAGATGAGGCCCGATTCCCCTGCATTGACTCCAGAGCCATTCCCCGTTCCCCATTCAACACGACCGGTGGCTCGACTTTCTTCAGGCAACTGCAGAGATGCCCCGAGAACACTGCCCCAAGTCTAGAGGAACACCAACTTCAGCACAGCAACTCGAGGAATGCTCCGTGTACCCCAAATCATCTCGAGATGAGAGCTGATTCTCTGGCTTAGGCTCAAGACGTATGCCAACTTTCCAGAAGCACCTCAGGAGGAGGCTTCTCTCAGCAATAGGTATGTGGGAGCGACCCCGAGTTTGCTGCCTCAAGGGGAATACACAGGGAGAAGCCCTAACTTGAACGGAGGCCAGATTTCCTTGCAGTGGGTTGAATAAAGGCTCGTCTTCGATCTGAAAACATGAAGGGATGTCTGAATTCCCTGTGGAGACCTTAGAGGAAGCCCTAGGTCCCCGCCTCATTTTGACGGAATACCTCACATCCCCCTGACACCTCGAGAGGCACGCAGAGTTCATTGCTTCAAAAGGTGACGATGCCTGACTCCTCTTGAATACTTATAGGAATCCCAAAATCCCTGTTGCTACTGGAAAGGGTCCTTGGGTGCCCTGGCTCACCTCGAGAAGCGTCCCTTTTGCCCTGCCAAGCCTCGAAGAAATTGCTGAGGTGTCCCTCGTTACTAGACAGGAGTCCTGACGTCACGGAAGAAACTCGTGTTTTGAAGGGCCATCCCCGCCGTAAGTCGAGAACATACCCCAGGTCCCCGCCGCAACTCGAGAAAAACCATGAGACTTCCCCCTAGAGGCGAGATGAGGCCCCATTCCCCTGCAGTGCATGCAGAGCTATTCCGTGATCCCATTCAAACAAGTCAGGAGCTTCGACTTGCTTAATGGATCTCGAGACAGTCCCCAAGAACACTGTCACCAGTCTAGACGGACCCTGAGGTCACCACAGCAACGCAAAGCAGCTCCATGTGCCCCAAATCAACTCGAGATGAGGCCCGATTCCCCTGCATTGACTCCAGAGCCATTCCCCGTTCCCCGTTCAACACGAACGGAGGCTCGCCTTCCTTCAGGCAACTCCAGAGATGCCCCGAGAACACTGTCCCAAGTCTAGAGGAACACCAACTTCAGCACAGCAACTCGAGGAATGCTCTGTGTACCCCAAATCGTCTCGAGATGAGAGCTGATTCCCTGGCTTAGGCTCAAGACGTATGCCAACTTTCCAGAAGCACCTCAGGAGGAGGCTTCTCAGCAATAGGTATGTGGGAGGGACTCCGAGTTTGCTGCCTCAAGGGGAATATACAGCGAGAAGCCCTAACTTGAAAGGAGGCCGGATTTCCTTGCAGTGGTTTGAATACAGGCTCGTCTTTCATCTCACAACATGAAGGGATGTCTGAATCCCCTGTGGAGACCTTAGAGAAAGCCCTAGGTCCCTGCCTCATTTTGACGGAATGCCTCACATCCCGCTGACACCTCGAGAGGCACGCGAAGTTCATTGCTTCAAAAGGTGACGCTGCCTGACTCCTCTTGAATACTGATAGGAATCCCAAAATCCCTTTGGCTACTGGAAAGGGTCCTTGGGTGCCCTGCCTCACCTCGAGAAGCGTCCCTTTTGCCCTGCCAAGACTCGAAGAGATTCCTGAGGTGTCACTCGTTACTAGGCAGGAGTCCTGACCTCACTGAAGAAATTCGTGTTTTGAAGGGCCATCCCTGCCGTAAGTCGAGAACATACCCCAGGTCCCCGCCACAACTCGAGAAAAACCATGAGACTTCCCCCTAGAGGCGAGATGAGGCCCCATTCCCCTGCAGTGCATGCAGAGCTATTCCGGGATCCCATTCAAACAAGTCAGGAGCTTCGACTTGCTTAATGGATCTCGAGACAGTCCCCAAGAACACTGTCACCAGTCTAGACGGACCCTGAGGTCACCCAGCAATGCAAAGCAGCTCCATGTGCCCCAAATCAACTCGAGATGAGGCCCGATTCCCCTGCATTGACTCCAGAGCCATTCCCTGTTCCCCATTCAACACGACCGGTGGCTCGACTTCCTTCAGGCAACTCCAGGGATGCCCCGAGAACACTGTCCCAAGTCTAGAGGAACACCAACTTCAGCACAGCAACTCGAGGAATGCTCTGTGTACCCCAAATCGTCTCGAGATGAGAGCTGATTCCCTGGCTTAGGCTCAAGACGTATGCCAACTTTCCAGAAGCACCTTAGGAGGAGGCTTCTCAGCAATAGGTATGTGGGAGGGACTCCGAGTTTGCTGCCTCAAGGGGAATATACAGCGAGAAGCCCTAACTTGAAAGGTGGCCGGATTTCCTTGCAGTAGCTTGAATACAGGCTTGTCTTTCATCTCACAACATGAAGGGATGTCTGAATCCCCTGTGAAGACCTTAGAGAAAGCCCTAGGACCCTGCCTCATTTTGACGGAATGCCTCACATCCCGCTGACAACTCGAGAGGCACGCGGAGTTCATTGCTTCAAAAGGTGACGATGCCTGACTCATCTTGAATACTGATAGGAATCCCAAAATCCCTGTGGCTACTGGAAAGGTTCCTTGGGTGCCCTGGCTCACCTCGAGAAGCGTCCCTTTTGAGCTGCCAAGCCTCAAAGAGATTCCTGAGGTGTCCCTCGTTACTAGACAGGAGTCCTGACGTCACTGAAGAAACTCGTGTTTTGAAGGGCCATCCCCGCCGTAAGTCGAGAACATACCCCAGGTCCCCGCCGCAACTCGAGAAAAACCATGAGACTTCCCCCTAGAGGCGAGATGAGGCCCCATTCCCCTGCAGTGCATGCAGAGCTATTCCGTGATCCCATTCAAACAAGTCAGGAGCTTCGACTTGCTTAATGGATCTCGAGACAGTCCCCAAGAACACTGTCACCAGTCTAGACGGACCCTGAGGTCACCCCAGCAACGCAAAGCTGCTCCATGTGCCCCAAATCAACTCGAGATGAGGCCCGATTCCCCTGCATTGACTCCAGAGCCATTCCCCGTTCCCCATTCAACACGACCGGTGGCTCGACTTCCTTCAGGCAACTGCAGAGATGCCCCGAGAACACTGCCCCAAGTCTAGAGGAACACCAACTTCAGCACAGCAACTCGAGGAATGCTCCGTGTACCACAAATCATCTCGAGATGAGAGCTGATTCTCTGGCTTAGGCTCAAGACGTATGCCAACTTTCCAGAAGCACCTCAGGAGGAGGCTTCTCTCAGCAATAGGTATGTGGGAGCGACCCCGAGTTTGCTGCCTCAAGGGGAATACACAGGGAGAAGCCCTAACTTGAACGGAGGCCAGATTTCCTTGCAGTGGGTTGAATAAAGGCTCGTCTTCGATCTGAAAACATGAAGGGATGTCTGAATTCTCTGTGGAGACCTTAGAGGAAGCCCTAGTTCCCCGCCTCATTTTGACGGAATACCTCACATCCCCCTGACACCTCGAGAGGCACGCAGAGTTCATTGCTTCAAAAGGTGACGATGCCTGACTCCTCTTGAATACTTATAGGAATCCCAAAATCCCTGTTGCTACTGGAAAGGGTCCTTGGGTGCCCTGGCTCACCTCGAGAAGCGTCCCTTTTGCCCTGCCAAGCCTCGAAGAAATTGCTGAGGTGTCCCTCGTTACTAGACAGGAGTCCTGACGTCACGGAAGAAACTCGTGTTTTGAAGGGCCATCCCCGCCGTAAGTCGAGAACATACCCCAGGTCCCCGCCGCAACTCGAGAAAAACCATGAGACTTCCCCCTAGAGGCGAGATGAGGCCCCATTCCCCTGCAGTGCATGCAGAGCTATTCCGTGATCCCATTCAAACAAGTCAGGAGCTTCGACTTGCTTAATGGATCTCGAGACAGTCCCCAAGAACACTGTCACCAGTCTAGACGGACCCTGAGGTCACCACAGCAACGCAAAGCAGCTCCATGTGCCCCAAATCAACTCGAGATGAGGCCCGATTCCCCTGCATTGACTCCAGAGCCATTCCCCGTTCCCCGTTCAACACGAACGGAGGCTCGCCTTCCTTCAGGCAACTCCAGCGATGCCCCGAGAACACTGTCCCAAGTCTAGAGGAACACCAACTTCAGCACAGCAACTCGAGGAATGCTCTGTGTACCCCAAATCGTCTCGAGATGAGAGCTGATTCCCTGGCTTAGGCTCAAGACGGATGCCAACTTTCCAGAAGCACCTCAGGAGGAGGCTTCTCAGCAATAGGTATGTGGGAGGGACTCCGAGTTTGCTGCCTCAAGGGGAATATACAGCGAGAAGCCCTAACTTGAAAGGAGGCCGGATTTCCTTGCAGTGGTTTGAATACAGGCTCGTCTTTCATCTCACAACATGAAGGGATGTCTGAATCCCCTGTGGAGACCTTAGAGAAAGCCCTAGGTCCCTGCCTCATTTTGACGGAATGCCTCACATCCCGCTGACACCTCGAGAGGCACGCGGAGTTCATTGCTTCAAAAGGTGACGATGCCTGACTCCTCTTGAATACTGATAGGAATCCCAAAATCCCGGTGGCTACTGGAAAGGGTCCTTGGGTGCCCTGCCTCACCTCGAGAAGCGTCCCTTTTGCCCTGCCAAGACTCGAAGAGATTCCTGAGGTGTCACTCGTTACTAGGCAGGAGTCCTGACCTCACTGAAGAAAGTCGTGTTTTGAAGGGCCATCCCTGCCGTAAGTCGAGAACATACCCCAGGTCCCCGCCGCAACTCGAGAAAAACCATGAGACTTCCCCTAGAGGCGAGATGAGGCCCCATTCCCCTGCAGTGCATGCAGAGCTATTCCGGGATCCCATTCAAACAAGTCAGGAGCTTCGACTTGCTTAATGGATCTCGAGACAGTCCCCAAGAACACTGTCACCAGTCTAGACGGACCCTGAGGTCACCCAGCAATGCAAAGCAGCTCCATGTGCCCCAAATCAACTCGAGATGAGGCCCTATTCCCCTGCATTGACTCCAGAGCCATTCCCTGTTCCCCATTCAACACGACCGGTGGCTCGACTTCCTTCAGGCAACTCCAGGGATGCCCCGAGAACACTGTCCCAAGTCTAGAGGAACACCAACTTCAGCACAGCAACTCGAGGAATGCTCTGTGTACCCCAAATCGTCTCGAGATGAGAGCTGATTCCCTGGCTTAGGCTCAAGACGTATGCCAACTTTCCAGAAGCACCTCAGGAGGAGGCTTCTCAGCAATAGGTATGTGGGAGGGACTCCGAGTTTGCTGCCTCAAGGGGAATATACAGCGAGAAGCCCTAACTTGAAAGGAGGCCGGATTTCCTTGCAGTAGCTTGAATACAGGCTTGTCTTTCATCTCACAACATGAAGGGATATCTGAATCCCCTGTGGAGACCTTAGAGAAAGCCCTAGGACCCTGCCTCATTTTGACGGAATGCCTCACATCCCGCTGACAACTCGAGAGGCACGCGGAGTTCATTGCTTCAAAAGGTGACGATGCCTGACTCCTCTTGAATACTGATAGGAATCCCAAAATCCCTGTGGCTACTGGAAAGGTTCCTTGGGTGCCCTGGCTCACCTCGAGAAGCGTCCCTTTTGAGCTGCCAAGCCTCGAAGAGATTCCTGAGGTGTCCCTCGTTACTAGACAGGAGTCCTGACGTCACTGAAGAAACTCGTGTTTTGAAGGGCCATCCCCGCCGTAAGTCGAGAACATACCCCAGGTCCCCGCCGCAACTCGAGAAAAACCATGAGACTTCCCCCTAGAGGCGAGATGAGGCCCCATTCCCCTGCAGTGCATGCAGAGCTATTCCGTGATCCCATTCAAACAAGTCAGGAGCTTCGACTTGCTTAATGGATCTCGAGACAGTCCCCAAGAACACTGTCACCAGTCTAGACGGACCCTGAGGTCACCCCAGCAACGCAAAGCTGCTCCATGTGCCCCAAATCAACTCGAGATGAGGCCCGATTCCCCTGCATTGACTCCAGAGCCATTCCCCGTTCCCCATTCAACACGACCGGTGGCTCGACTTCCTTCAGGCAACTGCAGAGATGCCCCGAGAACACTGCCCCAAGTCTAGAGGAACACCAACTTCAGCACAGCAACTCGAGGAATGCTCCGTGTACCCCAAATCATCTCGAGATGAGAGCTGATTCTCTGGCTTAGGCTCAAGACGTATGCCAACTTTCCAGAAGCACCTCAGGAGGAGTATTCTCTCAGCAATAGGTATGTGGGAGCGACCCCGAGTTTGCTGCCTCAAGGGGAATACACAGGGAGAAGCCCTAACTTGAACGGAGGCCAGATTTCCTTGCAGTGGGTTGAATAAAGGCTCGTCTTCGATCTGAAAACATGAAGGGATGTCTGAATTCCCTGTGGAGACGTTAGAGGAAGCCCTAGGTCCCTGCCTCATTTTGACGGAATACCTCACATCCCCCTGACACCTCGAGAGGCACGCAGAGTTCATTGCTTCAAAAGGTGACGATGCCTGACTCCTCTTGAATACTTATAGGAATCCCAAAATCCCTGTTGCTACTGGAAAGGGTCCTTGGGTGCCCTGGCTCACCTCGAGAAGCGTCCCTTTTGCCCTGCCAAGCCTCGAAGAAATTGCTGAGGTGTCCCTCGTTACTAGACAGGAGTCCTGACGTCACTGAAGAAACTCGTGTTTTGAAGGGCCATCCCCGCCGTAAGTCGAGAACATACCCCAGGTCCCCGCCGCAACTCGAGAAAAACCATGAGACTTCCCCCTAGAGGCGAGATGAGGCCCCATTCCCCTGCAGTGCATGCAGAGCTATTCCGTGATCCCATTCAAACAAGTCAGGAGCTTCGACTTGCTTAATGGATCTCGAGACAGTCCCCAAGAACACTGTCACCAGTCTAGACGGACCCTGAGGTCACCACAGCAACGCAAAGCAGCTCCATGTGCCCCAAATCAACTCGAGATGAGGCCCGATTCCCCTGCATTGACTCCAGAGCCATTCCCCGTTCCCCGTTCAACACGAACGGAGGCTCGCCTTCCTTCAGGCAACTCCAGAGATGCCCTGAGAACACTGTCCCAAGTCTAGAGGAACACCAACTTCAGCACAGCAACTCGAGGAATGCTCTGTGTACCCCAAATCGTCTCGAGATGAGAGCTGATTCCGTGGCTTAGGCTCAAGACGTATGCCAACTTTCCAGAAGCACCTCAGGAGGAGGCTTCTCAGCAATAGGTATGTGGGAGGGACTCCGAGTTTGCTGCCTCAAGGGGAATATACAGCGAGAAGCCCTAACTTGAAAGGAGGCCGGATTTCCTTGCAGTGGTATGAATACAGGCTCGTCTTTCATCTCACAACATGAAGGGATGTCTGAATCCCCTGTGGAGACCTTAGAGAAAGCCCTAGGTCCCTGCCTCATTTTGACGGAATGCCTCACATCCCGCTGACACCTCGAGAGGCACGCGGAGTTCATTGCTTCAAAAGGTGACGATGCCTGACTCCTCTTGAATACTGATAGGAATCCCAAAATCCCTGTGGCTACTGGAAAGGGTCCTTGGGTGCCCTGCCTCACCTCGAGAAGCGTCCCTTTTGCCCTGCCAAGACTCGAAGAGATTCCTGAGGTGTCACTCGTTACTAGGCAGGAGTCCTGACCTCACTGAAGAAAGTCGTGTTTTGAAGGGCCATCCCTGCCGTAAGTCGAGAACATACCCCAGGTCCCCGCCGCAACTCGAGAAAAACCATGAGACTTCCCCCTAGAGGCGAGATGAGGCCCCATTCCCCTGCAGTGCATGCAGAGCTATTCCGGGATCCCATTCAAACAAGTCAGGAGCTTCGACTTGCTTAATGGATCTCGAGACAGTCCCCAAGAACACTGTCACCAGTCTAGACGGACCCTGAGGTCACCCAGCAATGCAAAGCAGCCCAATGTGCCCCAAATCAACTCGAGATGAGGCCCGATTCCCCTGCATTGACTCCAGAGCCATTCCCTGTTCCCCATTCAACACGACCGGTGGCTCGACTTCCTTCAGGCAACTCCAGGAATGCCCCGAGAACACTGTCCCAAGTCTAGAGGAACACCAACTTCAGCACAGCAACTCGAGGAATGCTCTGTGTACCCCAAATCGTCTCGAGATGAGAGCTGATTCCCTGGCTTAGGCTCAAGACGTATGCCAACTTTCCAGAAGCACCTCAGGAGGAGGCTTCTCAGCAATAGGTATGTGGGAGGGACTCCGAGTTTGCTGCCTCAAGGGGAATATACAGCGAGAAGCCCTAACTTGAAAGGAGGCCGGATTTCCTTGCAGTAGCTTGAATACAGGCTTGTCTTTCATCTCACAACATGAAGGGATGTCTGAATCCCCTGTGAAGACCTTAGAGAAAGCCCTAGGACCCTGCCTCATTTTGACGGAATGCCTCACATCCCGCTGACAACTCGAGAGGCACGCGGAGTTCATTGCTTCAAAAGGTGACGATGCCTGACTCCTCTTGAATACTGATAGGAATCCCAAAATCCCTGTGGCTACTGGAAAGGTTCCTTGGGTGCCCTGGCTCACCTCGAGAAGCGTCCCTTTTGAGCTGCCAAGCCTCGAAGAGATTCCTGAGGTGTCCCTCGTTACTAGACAGGAGTCCTGACGTCACTGAAGAAACTCGTGTTTTGAAGGGCCATCCCCGCCGTAAGTCGAGAACATACCCCAGGTCCCCGCCGCAACTCGAGAAAAACCATGAGACTTCCCCCTAGAGGCGAGATGAGGCCCCATTCCCCTGCAGTGCATGCAGAGCTATTCCGTGATCCCATTCAAACAAGTCAGGAGCTTCGACTTGCTTAATGGATCTCGAGACAGTCCCCAAGAACACTGTCACCAGTCTAGACGGACCCTGAGGTCACCCCAGCAACGCAAAGCTGCTCCATGTGCCCCAAATCAACTCGAGATGAGGCCCGATTCCCCTGCATTGACTCCAGAGCCATTCCCCGTTCCCCATTCAACACGACCGGTGGCTCGACTTCCTTCAGGCATCTCCAGAGATGCCCCGAGAACACTGCCCCAAGTCTAGAGGAACACCAACTTCAGCACAGCAACTCGAGGAATGCTCCGTGTACCCCAAATCATCTCGAGATGAGAGCTGATTCTCTGGCTTAGGCTCAAGACGTATGCCAACTTTCCAGAAGCACCTCGGGAGGAGGCTTCTCTCAGCAATAGGTATGTGGGAGCGACCCCGAGTTTGCTGCCTCAAGGGGAATACACAGGGAGAAGCCCTAACTTGAACGGAGGCCAGATTTCCTTGCAGTGGGTTGAATAAAGGCTCGTCTTCGATCTGAAAACATGAAGGGATGTCTGAATTCCCTGTGGAGACCTTAGAGGAAGCCCTAGGTCCCCGCCTCATTTTGACGGAATACCTCACATCCCCCTGACACCTCGAGAGGCACGCAGAGTTCATTGCTTCAAAAGGTGACGATGCCTGACTCCTCTTGAATACTTATAGGAATCCCAAAATCCCTGTTGCTACTGGAAAGGGTCCTTGGGTGCCCTGGCTCACCTCGAGAAGCGTCCCTTTTGCCCTGCCAAGCCTCGAAGAAATTGCTGTGGTGTCCCTCGTTACTAGACAGGAGTCCTGACGTCACGGAAGAAACTCGTGTTTTGAAGGGCCATCCCCGCCGAAAGTCGAGAACATACCCCAGGTCCCCGCCGCAACTCGAGAAAAACCATGAGACTTCCCCCTAGAGGCGAGATGAGGCCCCATTCCCCTGCAGTGCATGCAGAGCTATTCCGTGATCCCATTCAAACAAGTCAGGAGCTTCGACTTGCTTAATGGATCTCGAGACAGTCCCCAAGAACACTGTCACCAGTCTAGACGGACCCTGAGGTCACCCCAGCAACGCAAAGCAGCTCCATGTGCCCCAAATCAACTCGAGATGAGGCCCGATTCCCCTGCATTGACTCCAGAGCCATTCCCCGTTCCCCGTTCAACACGAACGGAGGCTCGCCTTCCTTCAGGCAACTCCAGAGATGCCCCGAGAACACTGTCCCAAGTCTAGAGGAACATCAACTTCAGCACAGCAACTCGAGGAATGCTCTGTGTACCCCAAATCGTCTCGAGATGAGAGCTGATTCCCTGGCTTAGGCTCAAGACGTATGCCAACTTTCCAGAAGCACCTCAGGAGGAGGCTTCTCAGCAATAGGTATGTGGGAGGGACTCCGAGTTTGCTGCCTCAAGGGGAATATACAGCGAGAAGCCCTAACTTGAAAGGAGGCCGGATTTCCTTGCAGTGGTTTGAATACAGGCTCGTCTTTCATCTCACAACATGAAGGGATGTCTGAATCCCCTGTGGAGACCTTAGAGAAAGCCCTAGGTCCCTGCCTCATTTTGACGGAATGCCTCACATCCCGCTGACACCTCGAGAGGCACGCGGAGTTCATTGCTTCAAAAGGTGACGATGCCTGACTCCTCTTGAATACTGATAGGAATCCCAAAATCCCTGTGGCTACTGGAAAGGGTCCTTGGGTGCCCTGCCTCACCTCGAGAAGCGTCCCTTTTGCCCTGCCAAGACTCGAAGAGATTCCTGAGGTGTCACTCGTTACTAGGCAGGAGTCCTGACCTCACTGAAGAAAGTCGTGTTTTGAAGGGCCATCCCTGCCGTAAGTCGAGAACATACCCCAGGTCCCCGCCGCAACTCGAGAAAAACCATGAGACTTCCCCCTAGAGGCGAGATGAGGCCCCATTCCCCTGCAGTGCATGCAGAGCTATTCCGGGATCCCATTCAAACAAGTCAGGAGCTTCGACTTGCTTAATGGATCTCGAGACAGTCCCCAAGAACACTGTCACCAGTCTAGACGGACCCTGAGGTCACCCAGCAATGCAAAGCAGCTCCATGTGCCCCAAATCAACTCGAGATGAGGCCCGATTCCCCTGCATTGACTCCAGAGCCATTCCCTGTTCCCCATTCAACACGACCGGTGGCTCGACTTCCTTCAGGCAACTCCAGGGATGCCCCGAGAACACTGTCCCAAGTCTAGAGGAACACCAACTTCAGCACAGCAACTCGAGGAATGCTCTGTGTACCCCAAATCGTCTCGAGATGAGAGCTGATTCCCTGGCTTAGGCTCAAGACGTATGCCAACTTTCCAGAAGCACCTCAGGAGGAGGCTTCTCAGCAATAGGTATGTGGGAGGGACTCCGAGTTTGCTGCCTCAAGGGGAATATACAGCGAGAAGCCCTAACTTGAAAGGAGGCCGGATTTCCTTGCAGTAGCTTGAATACAGGCTTGTCTTTCATCTCACAACATGAAGGGATGTCTGAATCCCCTGTGAAGACCTTAGAGAAAGCCCTAGGACCCTGCCTCATTTTGACGGAATGCCTCACATCCCGCTGACAACTCGAGAGGCACGCGGAGTTCATTGCTTCAAAAGGTGACGATGCCTGACTCCTCTTGAATACTGATAGGAATCCCAAAATCCCTGTGGCTACTGGAAAGGTTCCTTGGGTGCCCTGGCTCACCTCGAGAAGCGTCCCTTTTGAGCTGCCAAGCCTCGAAGAGATTCCTGAGGTGTCCCTCGTTACTAGACAGGAGTCCTGACGTCACTGAAGAAACTCGTGTTTTGAAGGGCCATCCCCGCCGTAAGTCGAGAACATACCCCAGGTCCCCGCCGCAACTCGAGAAAAACCATGAGACTTCCCCCTAGAGGCGAGATGAGGCCCCATTCCCCTGCAGTGCATGCAGAGCTATTCCGTGATCCCATTCAAACAAGTCAGGAGCTTCGACTTGCTTAATGGATCTCGAGACAGTCCCCAAGAACACTGTCACCAGTCTAGACGGACCCTGAGGTCACCCCAGCAACGCAAAGCTGCTCCATGTGCCCCAAATCAACTCGAGATGAGGCCCGATTCCCCTGCATTGACTCCAGAGCCATTCCCCGTTCCCCATTCAACACGACCGGTGGCTCGACTTCCTTCAGGCAACTGCAGAGATGCCCCGAGAACACTGCCCCAAGTCTAGAGGAACACCAACTTCAGCACAGCAACTCGAGGAATGCTCCGTGTACCCCAAATCATCTCGAGATGAGAGCTGATTCTCTGGCTTAGGCTCAAGACGTATGCCAACTTTCCAGAAGCACCTCAGGAGGAGGCTTCTCTCAGCAATAGGTATGTGGGAGCGACCCCGAGTTTGCTGCCTCAAGGGGAATACACAGGGAGAAGCCCTAACTTGAACGGAGGCCAGATTTCCTTGCAGTGGGTTGAATAAAGGCTCGTCTTCGATCTGAAAACATGAAGGGATGTCTGAATTCCCTGTGGAGACCTTAGAGGAAGCCCTAGGTCCCTGCCTCATTTTGACGGAATACCTCACATCCCCCTGACACCTCGAGAGGCACGCAGAGTTCATTGCTTCAAAAGGTGACGATGCCTGACTCCTCTTGAATACTTATAGGAATCCCAAAATCCCTGTTGCTACTGGAAAGGGTCCTTGGGTGCCCTGGCTCACCTCGAGAAGCGTCCCTTTTGCCCTGCCAAGCCTCGAAGAAATTGCTGAGGTGTCCCTCGTTACTAGACAGGAGTCCTGACGTCACGGAAGAAACTCGTGTTTTGAAGGGCCATCCCCGCCGTAAGTCGAGAACATACCCCAGGTCCCCGCCGCAACTCGAGAAAAACCATGAGACTTCCCCCTAGAGGCGAGATGAGGCCCCATTCCCCTGCAGTGCATGCAGAGCTATTCCGTGATCCCATTCAAACAAGTCAGGAGCTTCGACTTGCTTAATGGATCTCGAGACAGTCCCCAAGAACACTGTCACCAGTCTAGACGGACCCTGAGGTCACCACAGCAACGCAAAGCAGCTCCATGTGCCCCAAATCAACTCGAGATGAGGCCCGATTCCCCTGCATTGACTCCAGAGCCATTCCCCGTTCCCCGTTCAACACGAACGGAGGCTCGCCTTCCTTCAGGCAACTCCAGCGATGCCCCGAGAACACTGTCCCAAGTCTAGAGGAACACCAACTTCAGCACAGCAACTCGAGGAATGCTCTGTGTACCCCAAATCGTCTCGAGATGAGAGCTGATTCCCTGGCTTAGGCTCAAGACGGATGCCAACTTTCCAGAAGCACCTCAGGAGGAGGCTTCTCAGCAATAGGTATGTGGGAGGGACTCCGAGTTTGCTGCCTCAAGGGGAATATACAGCGAGAAGCCCTAACTTGAAAGGAGGCCGGATTTCCTTGCAGTGGTTTGAATACAGGCTCGTCTTTCATCTCACAACATGAAGGGATGTCTGAATCCCCTGTGGAGACCTTAGAGAAAGCCCTAGGTCCCTGCCTCATTTTGACGGAATGCCTCACATCCCGCTGACACCTCGAGAGGCACGCGGAGTTCATTGCTTCAAAAGGTGACGATGCCTGACTCCTCTTGAATACTGATAGGAATCCCAAAATCCCTGTGGCTACTGGAAAGGGTCCTTGGGTGCCCTGCCTCACCTCGAGAAGCGTCCCTTTTGCCCTGCCAAGACTCGAAGAGATTCCTGAGGTGTCACTCGTTACTAGGCAGGAGTCCTGACCTCACTGAAGAAAGTCGTGTTTTGAAGGGCCATCCCTGCCGTAAGTCGAGAACATACCCCAGGTCCCCGCCGCAACTCGAGAAAAACCATGAGACTTCCCCTAGAGGCGAGATGAGGCCCCATTCCCCTGCAGTGCATGCAGAGCTATTCCGGGATCCCATTCAAACAAGTCAGGAGCTTCGACTTGCTTAATGGATCTCGAGACAGTCCCCAAGAACACTGTCACCAGTCTAGACGGACCCTGAGGTCACCCAGCAATGCAAAGCAGCTCCATGTGCCCCAAATCAACTCGAGATGAGGCCCTATTCCCCTGCATTGACTCCAGAGCCATTCCCTGTTCCCCATTCAACACGACCGGTGGCTCGACTTCCTTCAGGCAACTCCAGGGATGCCCCGAGAACACTGTCCCAAGTCTAGAGGAACACCAACTTCAGCACAGCAACTCGAGGAATGCTCTGTGTACCCCAAATCGTCTCGAGATGAGAGCTGATTCCCTGGCTTAGGCTCAAGACGTATGCCAACTTTCCAGAAGCACCTCAGGAGGAGGCTTCTCAGCAATAGGTATGTGGGAGGGACTCCGAGTTTGCTGCCTCAAGGGGAATATACAGCGAGAAGCCCTAACTTGAAAGGAGGCCGGATTTCCTTGCAGTAGCTTGAATACAGGCTTGTCTTTCATCTCACAACATGAAGGGATGTCTGAATCCCCTGTGGAGACCTTAGAGAAAGCCCTAGGACCCTGCCTCATTTTGACGGAATGCCTCACATCCCGCTGACAACTCGAGAGGCACGCGGAGTTCATTGCTTCAAAAGGTGACGATGCCTGACTCCTCTTGAATACTGATAGGAATCCCAAAATCCCTGTGGCTACTGGAAAGGTTCCTTGGGTGCCCTGGCTCACCTCGAGAAGCGTCCCTTTTGAGCTGCCAAGCCTCGAAGAGATTCCTGAGGTGTCCCTCGTTACTAGACAGGAGTCCTGACGTCACTGAAGAAACTCGTGTTTTGAAGGGCCATCCCCGCCGTAAGTCGAGAACATACCCCAGGTCCCCGCCGCAACTCGAGAAAAACCATGAGACTTCCCCCTAGAGGCGAGATGAGGCCCCATTCCCCTGCAGTGCATGCAGAGCTATTCCGTGATCCCATTCAAACAAGTCAGGAGCTTCGACTTGCTTAATGGATCTCGAGACAGTCCCCAAGAACACTGTCACCAGTCTAGACGGACCCTGAGGTCACCCCAGCAACGCAAAGCTGCTCCATGTGCCCCAAATCAACTCGAGATGAGGCCCGATTCCCCTGCATTGACTCCAGAGCCATTCCCCGTTCCCCATTCAACACGACCGGTGGCTCGACTTCCTTCAGGCAACTGCAGAGATGCCCCGAGAACACTGCCCCAAGTCTAGAGGAACACCAACTTCAGCACAGCAACTCGAGGAATGCTCCGTGTACCCCAAATCATCTCGAGATGAGAGCTGATTCTCTGGCTTAGGCTCAAGACGTATGCCAACTTTCCAGAAGCACCTCAGGAGGAGTATTCTCTCAGCAATAGGTATGTGGGAGCGACCCCGAGTTTGCTGCCTCAAGGGGAATACACAGGGAGAAGCCCTAACTTGAACGGAGGCCAGATTTCCTTGCAGTGGGTTGAATAAAGGCTCGTCTTCGATCTGAAAACATGAAGGGATGTCTGAATTCCCTGTGGAGACGTTAGAGGAAGCCCTAGGTCCCTGCCTCATTTTGACGGAATACCTCACATCCCCCTGACACCTCGAGAGGCACGCAGAGTTCATTGCTTCAAAAGGTGACGATGCCTGACTCCTCTTGAATACTTATAGGAATCCCAAAATCCCTGTTGCTACTGGAAAGGGTCCTTGGGTGCCCTGGCTCACCTCGAGAAGCGTCCCTTTTGCCCTGCCAAGCCTCGAAGAAATTGCTGAGGTGTCCCTCGTTACTAGACAGGAGTCCTGACGTCACTGAAGAAACTCGTGTTTTGAAGGGCCATCCCCGCCGTAAGTCGAGAACATACCCCAGGTCCCCGCCGCAACTCGAGAAAAACCATGAGACTTCCCCCTAGAGGCGAGATGAGGCCCCATTCCCCTGCAGTGCATGCAGAGCTATTCCGTGATCCCATTCAAACAAGTCAGGAGCTTCGACTTGCTTAATGGATCTCGAGACAGTCCCCAAGAACACTGTCACCAGTCTAGACGGACCCTGAGGTCACCACAGCAACGCAAAGCAGCTCCATGTGCCCCAAATCAACTCGAGATGAGGCCCGATTCCCCTGCATTGACTCCAGAGCCATTCCCCGTTCCCCGTTCAACACGAACGGAGGCTCGCCTTCCTTCAGGCAACTCCAGAGATGCCCTGAGAACACTGTCCCAAGTCTAGAGGAACACCAACTTCAGCACAGCAACTCGAGGAATGCTCTGTGTACCCCAAATCGTCTCGAGATGAGAGCTGATTCCGTGGCTTAGGCTCAAGACGTATGCCAACTTTCCAGAAGCACCTCAGGAGGAGGCTTCTCAGCAATAGGTATGTGGGAGGGACTCCGAGTTTGCTGCCTCAAGGGGAATATACAGCGAGAAGCCCTAACTTGAAAGGAGGCCGGATTTCCTTGCAGTGGTATGAATACAGGCTCGTCTTTCATCTCACAACATGAAGGGATGTCTGAATCCCCTGTGGAGAACTTAGAGAAAGCCCTAGGTCCCTGCCTCATTTTGACGGAATGCCTCACATCCCGCTGACACCTCGAGAGGCACGCGGAGTTCATTGCTTCAAAAGGTGACGATGCCTGACTCCTCTTGAATACTGATAGGAATCCCAAAATCCCTGTGGCTACTGGAAAGGGTCCTTGGGTGCCCTGCCTCACCTCGAGAAGCGTCCCTTTTGCCCTGCCAAGACTCGAAGAGATTCCTGAGGTGTCACTCGTTACTAGGCAGGAGTCCTGACCTCACTGAAGAAAGTCGTGTTTTGAAGGGCCATCCCTGCCGTAAGTCGAGAACATACCCCAGGTCCCCGCCGCAACTCGAGAAAAACCATGAGACTTCCCCCTAGAGGCGAGATGAGGCCCCATTCCCCTGCAGTGCATGCAGAGCTATTCCGGGATCCCATTCAAACAAGTCAGGAGCTTCGACTTGCTTAATGGATCTCGAGACAGTCCCCAAGAACACTGTCACCAGTCTAGACGGACCCTGAGGTCACCCAGCAATGCAAAGCAGCCCAATGTGCCCCAAATCAACTCGAGATGAGGCCCGATTCCCCTGCATTGACTCCAGAGCCATTCCCTGTTCCCCATTCAACACGACCGGTGGCTCGACTTCCTTCAGGCAACTCCAGGGATGCCCCGAGAACACTGTCCCAAGTCTAGAGGAACACCAACTTCAGCACAGCAACTCGAGGAATGCTCTGTGTACCCCAAATCGTCTCGAGATGAGAGCTGATTCCCTGGCTTAGGCTCAAGACGTATGCCAACTTTCCAGAAGCACCTCAGGAGGAGGCTTCTCAGCAATAGGTATGTGGGAGGGACTCCGAGTTTGCTGCCTCAAGGGGAATATACAGCGAGAAGCCCTAACTTGAAAGGAGGCCGGATTTCCTTGCAGTAGCTTGAATACAGGCTTGTCTTTCATCTCACAACATGAAGGGATGTCTGAATCCCCTGTGAAGACCTTAGAGAAAGCCTTAGGACCCTGCCTCATTTTGACGGAATGCCTCACATCCCGCTGACAACTCGAGAGGCACGCGGAGTTCATTGCTTCAAAAGGTGACGATGCCTGACTCCTCTTGAATACTGATAGGAATCCCAAAATCCCTGTGGCTACTGGAAAGGTACCTTGGGTGCCCTGGCTCACCTCGAGAAGCGTCCCTTTTGAGCTGCCAAGCCTCGAAGAGATTCCTGAGGTGTCCCTCGTTACTAGACAGGAGTCCTGACGTCACTGAAGAAACTCGTGTTTTGAAGGGCCATCCCCGCCGTAAGTCGAGAACATACCCCAGGTCCCCGCCGCAACTCGAGAAAAACCATGAGACTTCCCCCTAGAGGCGAGATGAGGCCCCATTCCCCTGCAGTGCATGCAGAGCTATTCCGTGATCCCATTCAAACAAGTCAGGAGCTTCGACTTGCTTAATGGATCTCGAGACAGTCCCCAAGAACACTGTCACCAGTCTAGACGGACCCTGAGGTCACCCCAGCAACGCAAAGCTGCTCCATGTGCCCCAAATCAACTCGAGATGAGGCCCGATTCCCCTGCATTGACTCCAGAGCCATTCCCCGTTCCCCATTCAACACGACCGGTGGCTCGACTTCCTTCAGGCAACTGCAGAGATGCCCCGAGAACACTGCCCCAAGGCTAGAGGAACACCAACTTCAGCACAGCAACTCGAGGAATGCTCCGTGTACCCCAAATCATCTCGAGATGAGAGCTGATTCTCTGGCTTAGGCTCAAGACGTATGCCAACTTTCCAGAAGCACCTCAGGAGGAGGCTTCTCTCAGCAATAGGTATGTGGGAGCGACCCCGAGTTTGCTGCCTCAAGGGGAATACACAGGGAGAAGCCCTAACTTGAACGGAGGCCAGATTTCCTTGCAGTGGGTTGAATAAAGGCTCGTCTTCGATCTGAAAACATGAAGGGATGTCTGAATTCCCTGTGGAGACCTTAGAGGAAGCCCTAGGTCCCTGCCTCATTTTGACGGAATACCTCACATCCCCCTGACACCTCGAGAGGCACGCAGAGTTCATTGCTTCAAAAGGTGACGATGCCTGACTCCTCTTGAATACTTATAGGAATCCCAAAATCCCTGTTGCTACTGGAAAGGGTCCTTGGGTGCCCTGGCTCACCTCGAGAAGCGTCCCTTTTGCCCTGCCAAGCCTCGAAGAAATTGCTGAGGTGTCCCTCGTTACTAGACAGGAGTCCTGACGTCACGGAAGAAACTCGTGTTTTGAAGGGCCATCCCCGCCGTAAGTCGAGAACATACCCCAGGTCCCCGCCGCAACTCGAGAAAAACCATGAGACTTCCCCCTAGAGGCGAGATGAGGCCCCATTCCCCTGCAGTGCATGCAGAGCTATTCCGTGATCCCATTCAAACAAGTCAGGAGCTTCGACTTGCTTAATGGATCTCGAGACAGTCCCCAAGAACACTGTCACCAGTCTAGACGGACCCTGAGGTCACCACAGCAACGCAAAGCAGCTCCATGTGCCCCAAATCAACTCGAGATGAGGCCCGATTCCCCTGCATTGACTCCAGAGCCATTCCCCGTTCCCCGTTCAACACGAACGGAGGCTCGCCTTCCTTCAGGCAACTCCAGAGATGCCCCGAGAACACTGTCCCAAGTCTAGAGGAACACCAACTTCAGCACAGCAACTCGAGGAATGCTCTGTGTACCCCAAATCGTCTCGAGATGAGAGCTGATTCCCTGGCTTAGGCTCAAGACGGATGCCAACTTTCCAGAAGCACCTCAGGAGGAGGCTTCTCAGCAATAGGTATGTGGGAGGGACTCCGAGTTTGCTGCCTCAAGGGGAATATACAGCGAGAAGCCCTAACTTGAAAGGAGGCCGGATTTCCTTGCAGTGGTTTGAATACAGGCTCGTCTTTCATCTCACAACATGAAGGGATGTCTGAATCCCCTGTGGAGACCTTAGAGAAAGCCCTAGGTCCCTGCCTCATTTTGACGGAATGCCTCACATCCCGCTGACACCTCGAGAGGCACGCGGAGTTCATTGCTTCAAAAGGTGACGATGCCTGACTCCTCTTGAATACTGATAGGAATCCCAAAATCCCTGTGGCTACTGGAAAGGGTCCTTGGGTGCCCTGCCTCACCTCGAGAAGCGTCCCTTTTGCCCTGCCAAGACTCGAAGAGATTCCTGAGGTGTCACTCGTTACTAGGCAGGAGTCCTGACCTCACTGAAGAAAGTCGTGTTTTGAAGGGCCATCCCTGCCGTAAGTCGAGAACATACCCCAGGTCCCCGCCGCAACTCGAGAAAAACCATGAGACTTCCCCCTAGAGGCGAGATGAGGCCCCATTCCCCTGCAGTGCATGCAGAGCTATTCCGGGATCCCATTCAAACAAGTCAGGAGCTTCGACTTGCTTAATGGATCTCGAGACAGTCCCCAAGAACACTGTCACCAGTCTAGACGGACCCTGAGGTCACCCAGCAATGCAAAGCAGCTCCATGTGCCCCAAATCAACTCGAGATGAGGCCCGATTCCCCTGCATTGACTCCAGAGCCATTCCCTGTTCCCCATTCAACACGACCGGTGGCTCGACTTCCTTCAGGCAACTCCAGGGATGCCCCGAGAACACTGTCCCAAGTCTAGAGGAACACCAACTTCAGCACAGCAACTCGAGGAATGCTCTGTGTACCCCAAATCGTCTCGAGATGAGAGCTGATTCCCTGGCTTAGGCTCAAGACGTATGCCAACTTTCCAGAAGCACCTCAGGAGGAGGCTTCTCAGCAATAGGTATGTGGGAGGGACTCCGAGTTTGCTGCCTCAAGGGGAATATACAGCGAGAAGCCCTAACTTGAAAGGAGGCCGGATTTCCTTGCAGTAGCTTGAATACAGGCTTGTCTTTCATCTCACAACATGAAGGGATGTCTGAATCCCCTGTGAAGACCTTAGAGAAAGCCCTAGGACCCTGCCTCATTTTGACGGAATGCCTCACATCCCGCTGACAACTCGAGAGGCACGCGGAGTTCATTGCTTCAAAAGGTGACGATGCCTGACTCCTCTTGAATACTGATAGGAATCCCAAAATCCCTGTGGCTACTGGAAAGGTTCCTTGGGTGCCCTGGCTCACCTCGAGAAGCGTCCCTTTTGAGCTGCCAAGCCTCGAAGAGATTCCTGAGGTGTCCCTCGTTACTAGACAGGAGTCCTGACGTCACTGAAGAAACTCGTGTTTTGAAGGGCCATCCCCGCCGTAAGTCGAGAACATACCCCAGGTCCCCGCCGCAACTCGAGAAAAACCATGAGACTTCCCCCTAGAGGCGAGATGAGGCCCCATTCCCCTGCAGTGCATGCAGAGCTATTCCGTGATCCCATTCAAACAAGTCAGGAGCTTCGACTTGCTTAATGGATCTCGAGACAGTCCCCAAGAACACTGTCACCAGTCTAGACGGACCCTGAGGTCACCCCAGCAACGCAAAGCTGCTCCATGTGCCCCAAATCAACTCGAGATGAGGCCCGATTCCCCTGCATTGACTCCAGAGCCATTCCCCGTTCCCCATTCAACACGACCGGTGGCTCGACTTCCTTCAGGCAACTGCAGAGATGCCCCGAGAACACTGCCCCAAGTCTAGAGGAACACCAACTTCAGCACAGCAACTCGAGGAATGCTCCGTGTACCCCAAATCATCTCGAGATGAGAGCTGATTCTCTGGCTTAGGCTCAAGACGTATGCCAACTTTCCAGAAGCAGGTCGGGAGGAGGCTTCTCTCAGCAATAGGTATGTGGGAGCGACCCCGAGTTTGCTGCCTCAAGGGGAATACACAGGGAGAAGCCCTAACTTGAACGGAGGCCAGATTTCCTTGCAGTGGGTTGAATAAAGGCTCGTCTTCGATCTGAAAACATGAAGGGATGTCTGAATTCCCTGTGGAGACCTTAGAGGAAGCCCTAGGTCCCTGCCTCATTTTGACGGAATACCTCACATCCCCCTGACACCTCGAGAGGCACGCAGAGTTCATTGCTTCAAAAGGTGACGATGCCTGACTCCTCTTGAATACTTATAGGAATCCCAAAATCCCTGTTGCTACTGGAAAGGGTCCTTGGGTGCCCTGGCTCACCTCGAGAAGCGTCCCTTTTGCCCTGCCAAGCCTCGAAGAAATTGCTGAGGTGTCCCTCGTTACTAGACAGGAGTCCTGACGTCACGGAAGAAACTCGTGTTTTGAAGGGCCATCCCCGCCGTAAGTCGAGAACATACCCCAGGTCCCCGCCGCAACTCGAGAAAAACCATGAGACTTCCCCCTAGAGGCGAGATGAGGCCCCATTCCCCTGCAGTGCATGCAGAGCTATTCCGTGATCCCATTCAAACAAGTCAGGAGCTTCGACTTGCTTAATGGATCTCGAGACAGTCCCCAAGAACACTGTCACCAGTCTAGACGGACCCTGAGGTCACCCCAGCAACGCAAAGCAGCTCCATGTGCCCCAAATCAACTCGAGATGAGGCCCGATTCCCCTGCATTGACTCCAGAGCCATTCCCCGTTCCCCGTTCAACACGAACGGAGGCTCGCCTTCCTTCAGGCAACTCCAGAGATGCCCCGAGAACACTGTCCCAAGTCTAGAGGAACACCAACTTCAGCACAGCAACTCGAGGAATGCTCTGTGTACCCCAAATCGTCTCGAGATGAGAGCTGATTCCCTGGCTTAGGCTCAAGACGTATGCCAAATTTCCAGAAGCACCTCAGGAGGAGGCTTCTCAGCAATAGGTATGTGGGAGGGACTCCGAGTTTGCTGCCTCAAGGGGAATATACAGCGAGAAGCCCTAACTTGAAAGGAGGCCGGATTTCCTTGCAGTGGTTTGAATACAGGCTCGTCTTTCATCTCACAACATGAAGGGATGTCTGAATCCCCTGTGGAGACCTTAGAGAAAGCCCTAGGTCCCTGCCTCATTTTGACGGAATGCCTCACATCCTGCTGACACCTCGAGAGGCACGCGGAGTTCATTGCTTCAAAAGGTGACGATGCCTGACTCCTCTTGAATACTGATAGGAATCCCAAAATCCCTGTGGCTACTGGAAAGGGTCCTTGGGTGCCCTGCCTCACCTCGAGAAGCGTCCCTTTTGCCCTGCCAAGACTCGAAGAGATTCCTGAGGTGTCACTCGTTACTAGGCAGGAGTCCTGACCTCACTGAAGAAAGTCGTGTTTTGAAGGGCCATCCCTGCCGTAAGTCGAGAACATACCCCAGGTCCCCGCCGCAACTCGAGAAAAACCATGAGACTTCCCCCTAGAGGCGAGATGAGGCCCCATTCCCCTGCAGTGCATGCAGAGCTATTCCGGGATCCCATTCAAACAAGTCAGGAGCTTCGACTTGCTTAATGGATCTCGAGACAGTCCCCAAGAACACTGTCACCAGTCTAGACGGACCCTGAGGTCACCCAGCAATGCAAAGCAGCTCCATGTGCCCCAAATCAACTCGAGATGAGGCCCGATTCCCCTGCATTGACTCCAGAGCCATTCCCTGTTCCCCATTCAACACGACCGGTGGCTCGACTTCCTTCAGGCAACACCAGGGATGCCCCGAGAACACTGTCCCAAGTCTAGAGGAACACCAACTTCAGCACAGCAACTCGAGGAATGCTCTGTGTACCCCAAATCGTCTCGAGATGAGAGATGATTCCCTGGCTTAGGCTCAAGACGTATGCCAACTTTCCAGAAGCACCTCAGGAGGAGGCTTCTCAGCAATAGGTATGTGGGAGGGACTCCGAGTTTGCTGCCTCAAGGGGAATATACAGCGAGAAGCCCTAACTTGAAAGGAGGCCGGATTTCCTTGCAGTAGCTTGAATACAGGCTTGTCTTTCATCTCACAACATGAAGGGATGTCTGAATCCCCTGTGAAGACCTTAGAGAAAGCCCTAGGACCCTGCCTCATTTTGACGGAATGCCTCACATCCCGCTGACAACTCGAGAGGCACGCGGAGTTCATTGCTTCAAAAGGTGACGATGCCTGACTCCTCTTGAATACTGATAGGAATCCCAAAATCCCTGTGGCTACTGGAAAGGTTCCTTGGGTGCCCTGGCTCACCTCGAGAAGCGTCCCTTTTGTGCTGCCAAGCCTCGAAGAGATTCCTGAGGTGTCCCTCGTTACTAGACAGGAGTCCTGACGTCACTGAAGAAACTCGTGTTTTGAAGGGCCATCCCTGCCGTAAGTCGAGAACATACCCCAGGTCCCCGCCGCAACTCGAGAAAAACCATGAGACTTCCCCCTAGAGGCGAGATGAGGCCCCATTCCCCTGCAGTGCATGCAGAGCTATTCCGGGATCCCATTCAAACAAGTCAGGAGCTTCGACTTGCTTAATGGATCTCGAGACAGTCCCCAAGAACACTGTCACCAGTCTAGACGGACCCTGAGGTCACCCAGCAATGCAAAGCAGCTCCATGTGCCCCAAATCAACTCGAGATGAGGCCCGATTCCCCTGCATTGACTCCAGAGCCATTCCCTGTTCCCCATTCAACACGACCGGTGGCTCGACTTCCTTCAGGCAACTGCAGAGATGCCCCGAGAACACTGCCCCAAGTCTAGAGGAACACCAACTTCAGCACAGCAACTCGAGGAATGCTCCGTGTACCCCAAATCATCTCGAGATGAGAGCTGATTCTCTGGCTTAGGCTCAAGACGTATGCCAACTTTCCAGAAGCACCTCAGGAGGAGGCTTCTCTCAGCAATAGGTATGTGGGAGCGACCCCGAGTTTGCTGCCTCAAGGGGAATACACAGGGAGAAGCCCTAACTTGAACGGAGGCCAGATTTCCTTGCAGTGGGTTGAATAAAGGCTCGTCTTCGATCTGAAAACATGAAGGGATGTCTGAATTCCCTGTGGAGACCTTAGGGGAAGCCCTAGGTCCCTGCCTCATTTTGACGGAATACCTCACATCCCCCTGACACCTCGAGAGGCACGCAGAGTTCATTGCTTCAAAAGGTGACGATGCCTGACTCCTCTTGAATACTTATAGGAATCCCAAAATCCCTGTTGCTACTGGAAAGGGTCCTTGGGTGCCCTGGCTCACCTCGAGAAGCGTCCCTTTTGCCCTGCCAAGCCTCGAAGAAATTGCTGAGGTGTCCCTCGTTACTAGACAGGAGTCCTGACGTCACGGAAGAAACTCGTGTTTTGAAGGGCCATCCCCGCCGTAAGTCGAGAACATACCCCAGGTCCCCGCCGCAACTCGAGAAAAACCATGAGACTTCCCCCTAGAGGCGAGATGAGGCCCCATTCCCCTGCAGTGCATGCAGAGCTATTCCGTGATCCCATTCAAACAAGTCAGGAGCTTCGACTTGCTTAATGGATCTCGAGACAGTCCCCAAGAACACTGTCACCAGTCTAGACGGACCCTGAGGTCACCACAGCAACGCAAAGCTGCTCCATGTGCCCCAAATCAACTCGAGATGAGGCCCGATTCCCCTGCATTGACTCCAGAGCCATTCCCCGTTCCCCGTTCAACACGAACGGAGGCTCGCCTTCCTTCAGGCAACTCCAGAGATGCCCCGAGAACACTGTCCCAAGTCTAGAGGAACACCAACTTCAGCACAGCAACTCGAGGAATGCTCTGTGTACCCCAAATCGTCTCGAGATGAGAGCTGATTCCCTGGCTTAGGCTCAAGACGTATGCCAACTTTCCAGAAGCACCTCAGGAGGAGGCTTCTCAGCAATAGGTATGTGGGAGGGACTCCGAGTTTGCTGCCTCAAGGGGAATATACAGCGAGAAGCCCTAACTTGAAAGGAGGCCGGATTTCCTTGCAGTGGCTTGAATACAGGCTCGTCTTTCATCTCACAACATGAAGGGATGTCTGAATCCCCTGTGGAGACCTTAGAGAAAGCCCTAGGTCCCTGCCTCATTTTGACGGAATGCCTCACATCCCGCTGACACCTCGAGAGGCACGCGGAGTTCATTGCTTCAAAAGGTGACGATGCCTGACTCCTCTTGAATACTGATAGGAATCCCAAAATCCCTGTGGCTACTGGAAAGGGTCCTTGGGTGCCCTGCCTCACCTCGAGAAGCGTCCCTTTTGCCCTGCCAAGACTCGAAGACATTCCTGAGGTGTCACTCGTTACTAGGCAGGAGTCCTGACCTCACTGAAGAAAGTCGTGTTTTGAAGGGCCATCCCTGCCGTAAGTCGAGAACATACCCCAGGTCCCCGCCGCAACTCGAGAAAAACCATGAGACTTCCCCCTAGAGGCGAGATGAGGCCCCATTCCCCTGCAGTGCATGCAGAGCTATTCCGGGATCCCATTCAAACAAGTCAGGAGCTTCGACTTGCTTAATGGATCTCGAGACAGTCCCCAAGAACACTGTCACCAGTCTAGACGGACCCTGAGGTCACCCAGCAATGCAAAGCAGCTCCATGTGCCCCAAATCAACTCGAGATGAGGCCCGATTCCCCTGCATTGACTCCAGAGCCATTCCCTGTTCCCCATTCAACACGACCGGTGGCTCGACTTCCTTCAGGCAACTCCAGGGATTCCCCGAGAACACTGTCCCAAGTCTAGAGGAACACCAACTTCAGCACAGCAACTCGAGGAATGCTCTGTACCCCAAATCGTCTCGAGATGAGAGCTGATTCCCTGGCTTAGGCTCAAGACGTATGCCACCTTTCCAGAAGCACCTCAGGAGGAGGCTTCTCTCAGCAATAGGTATGTGGGAGGGACCCCGAGTTTGCTGCCTCAAGGGGAATATACAGCGAGAAGCCCTAACTTGAAAGGAGGCCGGATTTCCTTGCAGTGGCTTGAATACAGGCTCGTCTTTGATCTGACAACATGAAGGGATGTCTGAATCCCCTGTGGAGACCTTAGAGAAAGCCCTAGGTCCCTGCCTCATTTCGACGGAATGCCTCACATCCCGCTGACACCTCGAGAGGCACGCGGAGTTCATTGCTTCAAAAGGTGACGATGCCTGACTCCTCTTGAATACTGATCGGAATCCCAAAATCCCTGCGGCTACTGGAAAGGGTCCTTGGGTGCCCTGCCTCACCTCGAGAAGCGTCCCTTTTGCCCTGCCAAGCCTCGAAGAGATTCCTGAGGTGTCCCTCGTTACTAGGCAGGAGTCCTGACGTCACTGGAGAAACTCTTGTTTTGAAGGGCCATCCCCGCCGTAAGTCGAGAACATACCCCAGGGCCCCGCCGCAACTCGAGAAAAACCATGAGACTTCCCCCTAGAGGCGAGATGAGGCCCCATTCCCCTGCAGTGCATGCAGAGCTATTCCGTGATCCCATTCAAACAAGTCAGGAGCTTCGACTTGCTTAATGGATCTCGAGACAGTCCCCAAGAACACTGTCACCAGTCTAGACGGACCCTGAGGTCACCCAGCAATGCAAAGCAGCTCCATGTGCCCAAAATCAACTCGAGATGAGGCCGGATTCCCCTGCATTGACTCCAGAGCCATTCCTTGTTCCCCATTCAACACGACCGGTGGCTCGACTTCCTTCAGGCAACTCCAGAGATGCCTCGAGAGCACTATCCCAAGTCTAGAGGACCACCAACTTCAGCAGAGCAACTCGAGGAATGCTCTGTGTACCCCAAATCGTCTCGAGATGAGAGCTGATTCCCTGGCTTAGGCTCAAGACGTATGCCACCTTTCCAGAAGCACCTCAGGAGGAGGCTTCTCTCAGCAATAGGTATGTGGGAGGGACCCCGAGTTTGCTGCCTCAAGGGGAATATACAGCGAGAAGCCCTAACTTGAAAGGAGGCCGGATTTCCTTGCAGTGGCTTGAATACAGGCTCGTCTTTGATCTGACAACATGAAGGGATGTCTGAATCCCCTGTGGAGACCTTAGAGAAAGCCCTAGGTCCCTGCCTCATTTTGACGGAATGCCTCACATCCCGCTGACACCTCGAGAGGCACGCGGAGTTCATTGCTTCAAAAGGTGACGATGCCTGACTCCTCTTGAATACTGATAGGAATCCCAAAATCCCTGTGGCTACTGGAAAGGGTCCTTGGGTGCCCTGCCTCACCTCGAGAAGCGTCCCTTTTGCCCTGCCAAGCCTCGAAGAGATTACTGAGGTGTCCCTCGTTACTAGACAGGAGTCCTGACGTCACTGGAGAAACTCGTGTTTTGAAGGGCCATCCCCGCCGTAAGTCGAGAACATACCCCAGGTCCCCGCCGCAACTCGAGAAAAACCATGAGACTTCCCCCTAGAGGCGAGATGAGGCCCCATTCCCCTGCAGTGCATGCATAGCTATTCCGTGACCCCATTCAAACAAGTCAGGAGCTTCGACTTGCTTAATGGATCTCGAGACAGTCCCCAAGAACACTGTCACCAGTCTAGACGGACCCTGAGGTCACCCCAGCAACGCAAAGCTGCTCCATGTGCCCCAAATCAACTCGAGATGAGGCCCGATTCCCCTGCATTGACTCCAGAGCCATTCCCCGTTCCCCATTCAACACGACCGGTGGCTCGACTTCCTTCAGGCAACTGCAGAGATGCCCCGAGAACACTGCCCCAAGTCTAGAGGAACACCAACTTCAGCACAGCAACTCGAGGAATGCTCCGTGTACCCCAAATCATCTCGAGATGAGAGCTGATTCTCTGGCTTAGGCTCAAGACGTATGCCAACTTTCCAGAAGCACCTCAGGAGGAGGCTTCTCTCAGCAATAGGTATGTGGGAGCGACCCCGAGTTTGCTGCCTCAAGGGGAATACACAGGGAGAAGCCCTAACGTGAACGGAGGCCAGATTTCCTTGCAGTGGGTTGAATAAAGGCTCGTCTTCGATCTGAAAACATGAAGGGATGTCTGAATTCCCTGTGGAGACCTTAGAGGAAGCCCTAGGTCCCTGCCTCATTTTGACGGAATACCTCACATCCCCCTGACACCTCGAGAGGCACGCAGAGTTCATTGCTTCAAAAGGTGACGATGCCTGACTCCTCTTGAATACTTATAGGAATCCCAAAATCCCTGTTGCTACTGGAAAGGGTCCTTGGGTGCCCTGGCTCACCTGGAGAAGCGTCCCTTTTGCCCTGCCAAGCCTCGAAGAAATTGCTGAGGTGTCCCTCGTTACTAGACAGGAGTCCTGACGTCACGGAAGAAACTCGTGTTTTGAAGGGCCATCCCCGCCGTAAGTCGAGAACATACGCCAGGTCCCCGCCGCAACTCGAGAAAAACCATGAGACTTCCCCCTAGAGGCGAGATGAGGCCCCATTCCCCTGCAGTGCATGCAGAGCTATTCCGTGATCCCATTCAAACAAGTCAGGAGCTTCGACTTGCTTAATGGATCTCGAGGTAGTCCCCAAGAACACTGTCACCAGTCTAGACGGACCCTGAGGTCACCCAGCAATGCAAAGCAGCTCCATGTGCCCCAAATCAACTCGAGATGAGGCCGGATTCCCCTGCATTGACTCCAGAGCCATTCCTTGTTCCCCATTCAACGCGACCGGTGGCTCGACTTCTTTCAGGCAATTCCAGAGATGCCCCGAGAACACTGTCCCAAGTCTAGAGGACCACCAACTTCAGCACAGCAACTCGAGAAATGCTCTGTGTACCCCAAATCGTCTCGAGATGAGAGCTGATTCCCTGGCTTAGGCTCAAGACGTATGCCACCTTTCCTGAAGCACCTCAGGAGGAGGCTTCTCTCAGCAATAGGTATGTGGGAGGGACCCCGAGTTTGCTGCCTCAAGGGGAATATACAGCGAGAAGCCCTAACTTGAAAGGAGGCCGGATTTCCTTGCAGTGGCTTGAATACAGGCTCGTCTTTCATCTCACAACATGAAGGGATGTCTGAATCCCCTGTGGAGACCTTAGAGAAAGCCCTAGGTCCCTGCCTCATTTTGACGGAATCCTCATATCCCGCTGACACCTCGAGAGGCACGCGGAGTTCATTGCTTCAAAAGGTGACGATGCCTGACTCCTCTTGAATACTTATAGGAATCCCAAAATCCCTGTTGCTACTGGAAAGGGTCCTTGGGTGCCCTGGCTCACCTGGAGAAGCGTCCCTTTTGCCCTGCCAAGCCTCGAAGAAATTGCTGAGGTGTCCCTCGTTACTAGACAGGAGTCCTGACGTCACGGAAGAAACTCGTGTTTTGAAGGGCCATCCCCGCCGTAAGTCGAGAACATACGCCAGGTCCCCGCCGCAACTCGAGAAAAACCATGAGACTTCCCCCTAGAGGCGAGATGAGGCCCCATTCCCCTGCAGTGCATGCAGAGCTATTCCGTGATCCCATTCAAACAAGTCAGGAGCTTCGACTTGCTTAATGGATCTCGAGGTAGTCCCCAAGAACACTGTCACCAGTCTAGACGGACCCTGAGGTCACCCAGCAATGCAAAGCAGCTCCATGTGCCCCAAATCAACTCGAGATGAGGCCGGATTCCCCTGCATTGACTCCAGAGCCATTCCTTGTTCCCCATTCAACGCGACCGGTGGCTCGACTTCTTTCAGGCAATTCCAGAGATGCCCCGAGAACACTGTCCCAAGTCTAGAGGACCACCAACTTCAGCACAGCAACTCGAGAAATGCTCTGTGTACCCCAAATCGTCTCGAGATGAGAGCTGATTCCCTGGCTTAGGCTCAAGACGTATGCCACCTTTCCTGAAGCACCTCAGGAGGAGGCTTCTCTCAGCAATAGGTATGTGGGAGGGACCCCGAGTTTGCTGCCTCAAGGGGAATATACAGCGAGAAGCCCTAACTTGAAAGGAGGCCGGATTTCCTTGCAGTGGCTTGAATACAGGCTCGTCTTTCATCTCACAACATGAAGGGATGTCTGAATCCCCTGTGGAGACCTTAGAGAAAGCCCTAGGTCCCTGCCTCATTTTGACGGAATCCTCATATCCCGCTGACACCTCGAGAGGCACGCGGAGTTCATTGCTTCAAAAGGTGACGATGCCTGACTCCTCTTGAATACTGATAGGAATCCCAAAATCCCTGTGGCTACTGGAAAGGTTCCTTGGGTGCCCTGGCTCACTTCGAAAAGCGTCCCTTTTGCCCTGCCAAGCCTCGAAGAGATTCCTGAGGTGTCCCTCGTTACTAGACAGGAGTCCTGACGTCACTGAAGAAACTCGTGTTTTGAAGGGCCATCCCCGCCGTAAGTCGAGAACATACCCCAGGTCCCCGCCGCAACTCGAGAAAAACCATGAGACTTCCCCCTAGAGGCGAGATGAGGCCCCATTCCCCTGCAGTGCATGCAGAGCTATTCCGTGATCCCATTCAAACAAGTCAGGAGCTTCGACTTGCTTAATGGATCTCGAGACAGTCCCCAAGAACACTGTCACCAGTCTAGACGGACCCTGAGGTCACCCCAGCAACGCAAAGCTGCTCCATGTGCCCCAAATCAACTCGAGATGAGGCCCGATTCCCCTGCATTGACTCCAGAGCCATTCCCCGTTCCCCATTCAACACGACCGGTGGCTCGACTTCCTTCAGGCAACTGCAGAGATGCCCCGAGAACACTGCCCCAAGTCTAGAGGAACACCAACTTCAGCACAGCAACTCGAGGAATGCTCCGTGTACCCCAAATCATCTCAAGATGAGAGCTGATTCTCTGGCTTAGGCTCAAGACGTATGCCAACTTTCCAGAAGCACCTCAGGAGGAGGCTTCTCTCAGCAATAGGTATGTGGGAGCGACCCCGAGTTTGCTGCCTCAAGGGGAATACACAGGGAGAAGCCCTAACGTGAACGGAGGCCAGATTTCCTTGCAGTGGGTTGAATAAAGGCTCGTCTTCGATCTGAAAACATGAAGGGATGTCTGAATTCCCTGTGGAGACCTTAGAGGAAGCCCTAGGTCCCTGCCTCATTTTGACGGAATACCTCACATCCCCCTGACACCTCGAGAGGCACGCAGAGTTCATTGCTTCAAAAGGTGACGATGCCTGACTCCTCTTGAATACTTATAGGAATCCCAAAATCCCTGTTGCTACTGGAAAGGGTCCTTGGGTGCCCTGGCTCACCTCGAGAAGCGTCCCTTTTGCCCTGCCAAGCCTCGAAGAGATTCCTGAGGTGTCCCTCGTTACTAGGCAGGAGTCCTGACGTCACTGGAGAAACTCGTGTTTTGAAGGGCCATCCCCGCCGTAAGTCGAGAACATACCCCAGGGCCCCGCCGCAACTCGAGAAAAACCGTGAGACTTCCCCCTAGAGGCGAGATGAGGCCCCATTCCCCTGCAGTGCATGCAGAGCTATTCCGTGATCCCATTCAAACAAGTCAGGAGCTTCGACTTGCTTAATGGATCTCGAGACAGTCCCCAAGAACACTGTCACCAGTCTAGACGGACCCTGAGGTCACCCAGCAATGCAAAGCAGCTCCATGTGCCCCAAATCAACTCGAGATGAGGCCGGATTCCCCTTCATTGACTCCAGAGCCATTCCTTGTTCCCCATTCAACACGACCGGTGGCTCGACTTCTTTCAGGCAACTCCAGAGATGCCCCGAGAACACTGTCCCAAGTCTAGAGGACCACCAACTTCAGCACAGCAACTCGAGAAATGCTCTGTGTACCCCAAATCGTCTCGAGATGAGAGCTGATTCCCTGGCTTAGGCTCAAGACGTATGCCACCTTTCCAGAAGCACCTCAGGAGGAGGCTTCTCTCAGCAATAGGTATGTGGGAGGGACCCCGAGTTTGCTGCCTCAAGGGGAATATACAGCGAGAAGCCCTAACTTGAAAGGAGGCCGGATTTCCTTGCAGTGGCTTGAATACAGGCTCGTCTTTCATCTCACAACATGAAGGGATGTCTGAATCCCCTGTGGAGACCTTAGAGAAAGCCCTAGGTCCCTGCCTCATTTGGACGGAATCCTCACATCCCGCTGACACCTCGAGAGGCACACGGAGTTCATTGCTTCAAAAGGTGACGATGCCTGACTCCTCTTGAATACTTATAGGAATACCAAAATCCCTGTGGCTACTGGAAAGGGTCCTTGGGTGCCCTGGCTCACCTCGAGAAGCATCCCTTTTGCCCTGCCAAGCCTCGAAGACATTGCTGATGTGTCCCTCGTTACTAGACAGGAGTCCTGACGTCACTGAAGGAACTCGTGTTTTGAAGGGCCATCCCCGCCGTAAGTCGAGAACATACCCCAGGTCCCCGCCGCAACTCGAGAAAAACCATGAGACTTCCCCCTAGAGGCGAGATGAGGCCCGATTCCCCTGCAGTGCATGCAGAGCTATTCCGTGATCCCATTCAAACAAGTCAGGAGCTTCGACTTGCTTAATGGATCTCGAGGCAGTCCCCAAGAACACTGTCACCAGTCTAGACGGACCCTGAGGTCACCCAGCAATGCAAAGCAGCTCCATGTGCCCCAAATCAACTCGAGATGAGGCCGGATTCCCCTGCATTGACTCCAGAGCCATTCCTTGTTCCCCATTCAACATGACCGGTGGCTAGACTTCTTTCAGGCAACTCCAGAGATGCCCCGAGAACACTGTCCCAAGTCTAGAGGACCACCAACTTCAGCACAGCAACTCGAGAAATGCTCTGTGTACCCCAAATCGTCTCGAGATGAGAGCTGATTCCCTGGCTTAGGCTCAAGACGTATGCCACCTTTCAAGAAGCACCTCAGGAGGAGGCTTCTCTCAGCAATAGGTATGTGGGAGGGACCCCGAGTTTGCTGCCTCAAGGGGAATATACAGCGAGAAGCCCTAACTTGAAAGGAGGCCGGATTTCCTTGCAGTGGCTTGAATACAGGCTCGTCTTTCATCTCACAACATGTAGGGATGTCTGAATCCCCTGTGGAGACCTTAGAGAAAGCCCTAGGTCCCTGCCTCATTTTGACGGAATCCTCACATCCCGCTGACACCTCGAGAGGAACGCGGAGTTCATTGCTTCAAAAGGTGACGATGCCTGACTCCTCTTGAATACTTATAGGAATCCCAAAATCACTGTGGCTACTGGAAAGGGTACTTGGGTTCCCTGGCTCACCTCGAGAAGCGTCCCTTTTGCCCTGCCAAGCCTCGAAGAGACTGCTGAGGTGTCCCTCGTTACTAGACAGGAGTCCTGACGTCAGTGAAGAAACTCGTGTTTTGAAGGGCCATCCCCGCCGTAAGTCGAGAACATACCCCAGGTCCCCGCCGCAACTCGAGAAAAACCATGAGACTTCCCCCTAGAGGCGAGATGAGGCCCCATTCCCCTGCAGTGCATGCAGAGCTATTCCGTGATCCCATTCAAACAAGTCAGGAGCTTCGACTTGCTTAATGGATCTCGAGACAGTCCCCAAGAACACTGTCACCAGTCTAGACGGACCCTGAGGTCACCCCAGCAACGCAAAGCAGCTCCATGTGCCCCAAATCAACTCGAGATGAGGCCCCATTCCCCTGCATTGACTCCAGAGCCATTCCCCGTTCCCCATTCAACACGACTGGTGGCTCGCTTTCCTTCAGGCAACTCCAGAGATGCCCCGAGAACACTGTCCCAAGTCTAGAGGAACACCAACTTCAGCACAGCAACTCGAGGAATGCTCTGTGTACCCCAAATCGTCTCGAGATGAGAGCTGATTCCCTGGCTTAGGCTCAAGACGTATGCCAACTTTCCAGAAGCACCTCAGGAGGAGGCTTCTCAGCAATAGGTATGTGGGAGGGACTCCGAGTTTGCTGCCTCAAGGGGAATATACAGCGAGAAGCCCTAACTTGAAAGGAGGCCGGATTTCCTTGCAGTAGCTTGTATACAGGCTTGTCTTTCATCTCACAACATGAAGGGATGTCTGAATCCCCTGTGAAGACCTTAGAGAAAGCCCTAGGACCCTGCCTCATTTTGACGGAATGCCTCACATCCCGCTGACACCTCGAGAGGCACGCGGAGTTCATTGCTTCAAAAGGTGACGATGCCTGACTCTTCTTGAATACTGATAGGAATCCCAAAATCCCTGTGGCTACTGGAAAGGTTCCTTGGGTGCCCTGGCTCACCTCGAGAAGCGTCCCTTTTGCCCTGCCAAGCCTCGAAGAGATTCCTGAGGTGTCCCTCGTTACTAGACAGGAGTCCTGACGTCACTGAAGAAACTCGTGTTTTGAAGGGCCATCCCCGCCGTAAGTCGAGAACATACCCCAGGTCCCGGCCGCAACTCGAGAAAAACCATGAGACTTCCCCCTAGAGGCGAGATGAGGCCCCATTCCACTGCAGTGCCTGCAGAGCTATTCCGTGATCCCATTCAAACAAGTCAGGAGCTTCGACTTGCTTAATGGATCTCGAGACAGTCCCCAAGAACACTGTCACCAGTCTAGACGGACCCTGAGGTCACCCCAGCAACGCAAAGCTGCTCCATGTGCCCCAAATCAACTCGAGATGAGGCCCGATTCCCCTGCATTGACTCTAGAGCCATTCCCCTTTCCCCATTCAACACGACCGGTGGCTCGACTTCCTTCAGGCAACTGCAGAGATGCCCCGAGAACACTGCCCCAAGTCTAGAGGAACACCAACTTCAGCACAGCAACTCGAGGAATGCTCCGTGTACCCCAAATCATCTCGAGATGAGAGCTGATTCTCTGGCTTAGGCTCAAGACGTATGCCAACTTTCCAGAAGCACCTCAGGAGGAGGCTTCTCTCAGCAATAGGTATGTGGGAGCGACCCCGAGTTTGCTGCCTCAAGGGGAATACACAGGGAGAAGCCCTAACGTGAACGGAGGCCAGATTTCCTTGCAGTGGGTTGAATAAAGGCTCGTCTTCGATCTGAAAACATGAAGGGATGTCTGAATTCCCTGTGGAGACCTTAGAGGAAGCCCTAGGTCCCTGCCTCATTTTGACGGAATACCTCACATCCCCCTGACACCTCGAGAGGCACGCAGAGTTCATTTCTTCAAAAGGTGACGATGCCTGACTCCTCTTGAATACTTATAGGAATCCCAAAATCCCTGTTGCTACTGGAAAGGGTCCTTGGGTGCCCTGGCTCACCTCGAGAAGCGTCCCTTTTGCCCTGCCAAGCCTCGAAGAAATTGCTGAGGTGTCCCTCGTTACTAGACAGGAGTCCTGACGTCACGGAAGAAACTCGTGTTTTGAAGGGCCATCCCCGCCGTAAGTCGAGAACATACCCAAGGTCCCCGCCGCAACTCGAGAAAAACCATGAGACTTCCCCCTAGAGGCGAGATGAGGCCCCATTCCCCTTCAGTGCATGCAGAGCTATTCCGTGATCCCATTCAAACAAGTCAGGAGCTTCGACTTGCTTAATGGATCTCGAGGCAGTCCCCAAGAACACTGTCACCAGTCTAGACGGACCCTGAGGTCACCCAGCAATGCAAAGCAGCTCCATGTGCCCCAAATGAACTCGAGATGAGGCCGGATTCCCCTGCATTGACTCCAGAGCCATTCCTTGTTCCCCATTCAACACGACCGGTGGCTCGACTTCTTTCAGGCAACTCCAGAGATGCCCCGAGAACACTGTCCCAAGTCTAGAGGACCACCAACTTCAGCACAGCAACTCGAGAAATGCTCTGTGTACCCCAAATCGTCTCGAGATGAGAGCTGATTCCCTGGCTTAGGCTCAAGACGTATGCCACCTTTCCAGAAGCACCTCAGGAGGAGGCTTCTCTCAGCAATAGGTATGTGGGAAGGACCCCGAGTTTGCTGCCTCAAGGGGAATATACAGCGAGAAGCCCTAACTTGAAAGGAGGCCGGATTTCCTTGCAGTGGCTTGAATACAGGCTCGTCTTTCATCTCACAACATGAAGGGATGTCTGAATCCCCTGTGGAGACCTTAGAGAAAGCCCTAGGTCCCTGCCTCATTTTGACGGAATCCTCATATCCCGCTGACACCTCGAGAGGCACGCGGAGTTCATTGCTTCAAAAGGTGACGATGCCTGACTCCTCTTGAATACTTATAGGAATCCCAAAATCCCTGTGGCTACTGGAAAGGGTCCTTGGGTGCCCTGGCTCACCTCGAGAAGCGTCCCTTTTGCCCTGCCAAGCCTCGAAGAGATTGCTGAGGTGTCCCTCGTTACTAGACAGGAGTCCTGACGTCACTGAAGAAACTCGTGTTTTGAAGGGCCATCCCCGCCGTAAGTCGAGAACATACCCCAGGTCCCCGCCGCAACTCGAGAAAAACCATGAGACTTCCCCCTAGAGGCGAGATGAGGCCCCATTCCCCTGCAGTGCATGCAGAGCTATTCCGTGATCCCATTCAAACAAGTCAGGAGCTTCGACTTGCTTAATGGATCTCGAGACAGTCCCCAAGAACACTGTCACCAGTCTAGAGGGACCCTGAGGTCACCCAGCAATGCAAAGCAGCTCCATGTGCCCCAAATCAACTCGAGATGAGGCCGGATTCCCCTGCATTGACTCCAGAGCCATTCCTTGTTCCCCATTCAACACGACCGGTGGCTCGACTTCCTTCAGGCAACTCCAGAGATGCCCCGAGAACACTGTCCCAAGTCTAGAGGAACACCAACTTCAGCACAGCAACTCGAGGAATGCTCTGTGTACCCCAAATCGTCTCGAGATGAGAGCTGATTCCCTGGCTTAGGCTCAAGACGTATGCCACCTTTCCAGAAACACCTCAGGAGGAGGCTTCTCTCAGCAATAGGTATGTGGGAGGGACCCCGAGTTTGCTGCCTCAAGGGGAATATACAGCGAGAAGTCCTAACTTGAAAGGAGGCCGGATTTCCTTGCAGTGGCTTGAATACCGGCTCGTCTTTCATCTCACAACATGAAGGGATGTCTGAATCCCCTGTGGAGACCTTAGAGAAAGCCCTAGGTCCCTGCCTCATTTTGACGGAATCCTCACATCCCGCTGACACCTCGAGAGGCACGCGGAGTTCATTGCTTCAAAAGGTGACGATGCCTGACTCCTCTTGAATACTGATAGGAATCCCAAAATCCCTGTGGCTACTGGAAAGGTTCCTTGGGTGCCCTGGCTCACCTCGAGAAGCGTCCCTTTTGCCCTGCCAAGCCTCGAAGAGATTCCTGAGGTGTCCCTCGTTACTAGACAGGAGTCCTGACGTCACTGAAGAAATTCGTGTTTTGAAGGGCCATCCCCGCCGTAAGTCGAGAACATACCCCAGGTCCCCGCCGCAACTCGAGAAAATCCATGAGACTTCCCCCTAGAGGCGAGATGAGGCCCCATTCCCCTGCAGTGCATGCAGAGCTATTCCGTGATCCCATTCAAACAAGTCAGGAGCTTCGACTTGCTTAATGGATCTCGAGACAGTCCCCAAGAACACTGTCACCAGTCTAGACGGACCCTGAGGTCACCCCAGCAACGCAAAGCTGCTCCATGTGCCCCAAATCAACTCGAGATGAGGCCCGATTCCCCTGCATTGACTCCAGAGCCATTCCCCGTTCCCCATTCAACACGACCGGTGGCTCGACTTCCTTCAGGCAACTGCAGAGATGCCCCGAGAACACTGCCCCAAGTCTAGAGGAACACCAACTTCAGCACAGCAACTCGAGGAATGCTCCGTGTACCCCAAATCATCTCGAGATGAGAGCTGATTCTCTGGCTTAGGCTCAAGACGTATGCCAACTTTCCAGAAGCACCTCAGGAGGAGGCTTCTCTCAGCAATAGGTATGTGGGAGCGACCCCGAGTTTGCTGCCTCAAGGGGAATACACAGGGAGAAGCCCTAACGTGAACGGAGGCCAGATTTCCTTGCAGTGGGTTGAATAAAGGCTCGTCTTCGATCTGAAAACATGAAGGGATGTCTGAATTCCCTGTGGAGACCTTAGAGGAAGCCCTAGGTCCCTGCCTCATTTTGACGGAATACCTCACATCCCCCTGACACCTCGAGAGGCACGCAGAGTTCATTGCTTCAAAAGGTGACGATGCCTGACTCCTCTTGAATACTTATAGGAATCCCAAAATCACTGTTGCTACTGGAAAGGGTCCTTGGGTGCCCTGGCTCACCTCGAGAAGCGTCCCTTTTGCCCTGCCAAGCCTCGAAGAAATTGCTGAGGTGTCCCTCGTTACTAGACAGGAGTCCTGACGTCACGGAAGAAACTCGTGTTTTGAAGGGCCATCCCCGCCGTAAGTCGAGAACATACCCCAGGTCCCCGCCGCAACTCGAGAAAAACCATGAGACTTCCCCCTAGAGGCGAGATGAGGCCCCATTCCCCTGCAGTGCATGCAGAGCTATTCCGTGATCCCATTCAAACAAGTCAGGAGCTTCGACTTGCTTAATGGATCTCGAGGCAGTCCCCAAGAACACTGTCACCAGTCTAGACGGACCCTGAGGTCACCCAGCAATGCAAAGCAGCTCCATGTGCCCCAAATCAACTCGAGATGAGGCCGGATTCCCCTGCATTGACTCCAGAGCCATTCCTTGTTCCCCATTCAACACGACCGGTGGCTCGACTTCTTTCAGGCAACTCCAGAGATGCCCCGAGAACACTGTCCCAAGTCTAGAGGACCACCAACTTCAGCACAGCAACTCGAGAAATGCTCTGTGTACCCCAAATCGTCTCGAGATGAGAGCTGATTCCCTGGCTTAGGCTCAAGACGTATGCCACCTTTCCAGAAGCACCTCAGGAGGAGGCTTCTCTCAGCAATAGGTATGTGGGAAGGACCCCGAGTTTGCTGCCTCAAGGGGAATATACAGCGAGAAGCCCTAACTTGAAAGGAGGCCGGATTTCCTTGCAGTGGCTTGAATACAGGCTCGTCTTTCATCTCACAACATGAAGGGATGTCTGAATCCCCTGTGGAGACCTTAGAGAAAGCCCTAGGTCCCTGCCTCATTTTGACGGAATCCTCATATCCCGCTGACACCTCGAGAGGCACGCGGAGTTCATTGCTTCAAAAGGTGACGATGCCTGACTCCTCTTGAATACTTATAGGAATCCCAAAATCCCTGTGGCTACTGGAAAGGGTCCTTGGGTGCCCTGGCTCACCTCGAGAAGCGTCCCTTTTGCCCTGCCAAGCCTCGAAGAGATTGCTGAGGTGTCCCTCGTTACTAGACAGGAGTCCTGACGTCACTGAAGAAACTCGTGTTTTGAAGGGCCATCCCCGCCGTAAGTCGAGAACATACCCCAGGTCCCCGCCGCAACTCGAGAAAAACCATGAGACTTCCCCCTAGAGGCGAGATGAGGCCCCATTCCCCTGCAGTGCATGCAGAGCTATTCCGTGATCCCATTCAAACAAGTCAGGAGCTTCGACTTGCTTAATGGATCTCGAGACAGTCCCCAAGAACACTGTCACCAGTCTAGACGGACCCTGAGGTCACCCAGCAATGCAAAGCAGCTCCATGTGCCCCAAATCAACTCGAGATGAGGCCGGATTCCCCTGCATTGACTCCAGAGCCATTCCTTGTTCCCCATTCAACACGACCGGTGGCTCGACTTCCTTCAGGCAACTCCAGAGATGCCCCGAGAACACTGTCCCAAGTCTAGAGGAACACCAACTTCAGCACAGCAACTCGAGGAATGCTCTGTGTACCCCAAATCGTCTCGAGATGAGAGCTGATTCCCTGGCTTAGGCTCAAGACGTATGCCACCTTTCCAGAAACACCTCAGGAGGAGGCTTCTCTCAGCAATAGGTATGTGGGAGGGACCCCGAGTTTGCTGCCTCAAGGGGAATATACAGCGAGAAGTCCTAACTTGAAAGGAGGCCGGATTTCCTTGCAGTGGCTTGAATACCGGCTCGTCTTTCATCTCACAACATGAAGGGATGTCTGAATCCCCTGTGGAGACCTTAGAGAAAGCCCTAGGTCCCTGCCTCATTTTGACGGAATCCTCACATCCCGCTGACACCTCGAGAGGCACGCGGAGTTCATTGCTTCAAAAGGTGACGATGCCTGACTCCTCTTGAATACTGATAGGAATCCCAAAATCCCTGTGGCTACTGGAAAGGTTCCTTGGGTGCCCTGGCTCACCTCGAGAAGCGTCCCTTTTGCCCTGCCAAGCCTCGAAGAGATTCCTGAGGTGTCCCTCGTTACTAGACAGGAGTCCTGACGTCACTGAAGAAATTCGTGTTTTGAAGGGCCATCCCCGCCGTAAGTCGAGAACATACCCCAGGTCCCCGCCGCAACTCGAGAAAATCCATGAGACTTCCCCCTAGAGGCGAGATGAGGCCCCATTCCCCTGCAGTGCATGCAGAGCTATTCCGTGATCCCATTCAAACAAGTCAGGAGCTTCGACTTGCTTAATGGATCTCGAGACAGTCCCCAAGAACACTGTCACCAGTCTAGACGGACCCTGAGGTCACCCCAGCAACGCAAAGCTGCTCCATGTGCCCCAAATCAACTCGAGATGAGGCCCGATTCCCCTGCATTGACTCCAGAGCCATTCCCCGTTCCCCATTCAACACGACCGGTGGCTCGACTTCCTTCAGGCAACTGCAGAGATGCCCCGAGAACACTGCCCCAAGTCTAGAGGAACACCAACTTCAGCACAGCAACTCGAGGAATGCTCCGTGTACCCCAAATCATCTCGAGATGAGAGCTGATTCTCTGGCTTAGGCTCAAGACGTATGCCAACTTTCCAGAAGCACCTCAGGAGGAGGCTTCTCTCAGCAATAGGTATGTGGGAGCGACCCCGAGTTTGCTGCCTCAAGGGGAATACACAGGGAGAAGCCCTAACGTGAACGGAGGCCAGATTTCCTTGCAGTGGATTGAATAAAGGCTCGTCTTCGATCTGAAAACATGAAGGGATGTCTGAATTCCCTGTGGAGACCTTAGAGGAAGCCCTAGGTCCCTGCCTCATTTTGACGGAATACCTCACATCCCCCTGACACCTCGAGAGGCACGCAGAGTTCATTGCTTCAAAAGGTGACGATGCCTGACTCCTCTTGAATACTTATAGGAATCCCAAAATCACTGTTGCTACTGGAAAGGGTCCTTGGGTGCCCTGGCTCACCTCGAGAAGCGTCCCTTTTGCCCTGCCAAGCCTCGAAGAAATTGCTGAGGTGTCCCTCGTTACTAGACAGGAGTCCTGACGTCACGGAAGAAACTCGTGTTTTGAAGGGCCATCCCCGCCGTAAGTCGAGAACATACCCCAGGTCCCCGCCGCAACTCGAGAAAAACCATGAGACTTCCCCCTAGAGGCGAGATGAGGCCCCATTCCCCTGCAGTGCATGCAGAGCTATTCCGTGATCCCATTCAAACAAGTCAGGAGCTTCGACTTGCTTAATGGATCTCGAGGCAGTCCCCAAGAACACTGTCACCAGTCTAGACGGACCCTGAGGTCACCCAGCAATGCAAAGCAGCTCCATGTGCCCCAAATCAACTCGAGATGAGGCCGGATTCCCCTTCATTGACTCCAGAGCCATTCCTTGTTCCCCATTCAACACGACCGGTGGCTCGACTTCTTTCAGGCAACTCCAGAGATGCCCCGAGAACACTGTCCCAAGTCTAGAGGACCACCAACTTCAGCACAGCAACTCGAGAAATGCTCTGTGTACCCCAAATCGTCTCGAGATGAGAGCTGATTCCCTGGCTTAGGCTCAAGACGTATGCCACCTTTCCAGAAGCACCTCAGGAGGAGGCTTCTCTCAGCAATAGGTATGTGGCAGGGACCCCGAGTTTGATGCCTCAAGGGGAATATACAGCGAGAAGCCCTAACTTGAAAGGAGGCCGGATTTCCTTGCAGTGGCTTGAATACAGGCTCGTCTTTCATCTCACAACATGAAGGGATGTCTGAATCCCCTGTGGAGACCTTAGAGAAAGCCCTAGGTCCCTGCCTCATTTTGACGGAATCCTCATATCCCGCTGACACCTCGAGAGGCACGCGGAGTTCATTGCTTCAAAAGGTGACGATGCCTGACTCCTCTTGAATACTTATAGGAATCCCAAAATCCCTGTGGCTACTGGAAAGGGTCCTTGGGTGCCCTGGCTCACCTCGAGAAGCGTCCCTTTTGCCCTGCCAAGCCTCGAAGAGACTGCTGAGGTGTCCCTCGTTACTAGACAGGAGTCCTGACGTCACGGAAGAAACTCGTGTTTTGAAGGGCCATCCCCGCCGTAAGTCGAGAACATACCCCAGGTCCCCGCCGCAACTCGAGAAAAACCATGAGACTTCCCCCTAGAGGCGAGATGAGGCCCCATTCCCCTGCAGTGCATGCAGAGCTATTCCGTGATCCCATTCAAACAAGTCAGGAGCTTCGACTTGCTTAATGGATCTCGAGACAGTCCCCAAGAACACTGTCACCAGTCTAGACGGACCCTGAGGTCACCCCAGCAACGCAAAGCTGCTCCATGTGCCCCAAATCAACTCGAGATGAGGCCCGATTCCCCTGCATTGACTCCAGAGCCATTCCCCGTTCCCCATTCAACACGACCGGTGGCTCGACTTCCTTCAGGCAACTGCAGAGATGCCCCGAGAACACTGCCCCAAGTCTAGAGGAACACCAACTTCAGCACAGCAACTCGAGGAATGCTCCGTGTACCCCAAATCATCTCGAGATGAGAGCTGATTCTCTGGCTTAGGCTCAAGACGTATGCCAACTTTCCAGAAGCACCTCAGGAGGAGGCTTCTCTCAGCAATAGGTATGTGGGAGCGACCCCGAGTTTGCTGCCTCAAGGGGAATACACAGGGAGAAGCCCTAACGTGAACGGAGGCCAGATTTCCTTGCAGTGGGTTGAATAAAGGCTCGTCTTTGATCTGAAAACATGAAGGGATGTCTGAATTCCCTGTGGAGACCTTAGAGGAAGCCCTAGGTCCCTGCCTCATTTTGACGGAATACCTCACATCCCCCTGACACCTCGAGAGGCACGCAGAGTTCATTGCTTCAAAAGGTGACGATGCCTGACTCCTCTTGAATACTTATAGGAATCCCAAAATCCCTGTTGCTACTGGAAAGGGTCCTTGGGTGCCCTGGCTCACCTCGAGAAGCGTCCCTTTTGCCCTGCCAAGCCTCGAAGAAATTGCTGAGGTGTCCCTCGTTACTAGACAGGAGTCCTGACGTCACGGAAGAAACTCGTGTTTTGAAGGGCCATCCCCGCCGTAAGTCGAGAACATACCCCAGGTCCCCGCCGCAACTCGAGAAAAACCATGAGACTTCCCCCTAGAGGCGAGATGAGGCCCCATTCCCCTGCAGTGCATGCAGAGCTATTCCGTGATCCCATTCAAACAAGTCAGGAGCTTCGACTTGCTTAATGGATCTCGAGACAGTCCCCAAGAACACTGTCACCAGTCTAGACGGACCCTGAGGTCACCCCAGCAACGCAAAGCTGCTCCATGTGCCCCAAATCAACTCGAGATGAGGCCCGATTCCCCTGCATTGACTCCAGAGCCATTCCCCGTTCCCCATTCAACACGACCGGTGGCTCGACTTCCTTCAGGCAACTCCAGGGATGCCCCGAGAACACTGTCCCAAGTCTAGAGGAACACCAACTTCAGCACAGCAACTCGAGGAATGATCTGTGTACCCCAAATCGTCTCGAGATGAGAGCTGATTCCCTGGCTTAGGCTCAAGACGTATGCCAACTTTCCAGAAGCACCTCAGGAGGAGGCTTCTCAGCAATAGGTATGTGGGAGGGACTCCGAGTTTGCTGCCTCAAGGGGAATATACAGCGAGAAGCCCTAACTTGAAAGGAGGCCGGATTTCCTTGCAGTAGCTTGTATACAGGCTTGTCTTTCATCTCACAACATGAAGGGATGTCTGAATCCCCTGTGAAGACCTTAGAGAAAGCCCTAGGACCCTGCCTCATTTTGACGGAATGCCTCACATCCCGCTGACACCTCGAGAGGCACGCGGAGTTCATTGCTTCAAAAGGTGACGATGCCTGACTCCTCTTGAATACTGATAGGAATCCCAAAATCCCTGTGGCTACTGGAAAGGTTCCTTGGGTGCCCTGGCTCACCTCGAGAAGCGTCCCTTTTGCCCTGCCAAGCCTCGAAGAGATTCCTGAGGTGTCCCTCGTTACTAGACAGGAGTCCTGACGTCACTGAAGAAACTCGTGTTTTGAAGGGCCATCCCCGCCGTAAGTCGAGAACATACCCCAGGTCCCCGCCGCAACTCGAGAAAAACCATGAGACTTCCCCCTAGAGGCGAGATGAGGCCCCATTCCCCTGCAGTGCATGCAGAGCTATTCCGTGATCCCATTCAAACAAGTCAGGAGCTTCGACTTGCTTAATGGATCTCGAGACAGTCCCCAAGAACACTGTCACCAGTCTAGACGGACCCTGAGGTCACCCCAGCAACGCAAAGCTGCTCCATGTGCCCCAAATCAACTCGAGATGAGGCCCGATTCCCCTGCATTGACTCCAGAGCCATTCCCCGTTCCCCATTCAACACGACCGGTGGCTCGACTTCCTTCAGGCAACTGCAGAGATGCCCCGAGAACACTGCCCCAAGTCTAGAGGAACACCAACTTCAGCACAGCAACTCGAGGAATGCTCCGTGTACCCCAAATCATCTCGAGATGAGAGCTGATTCTCTGGCTTAGGCTCAAGACGTATGCCAACTTTCCAGAAGCACCTCAGGAGGAGGCTTCTCTCAGCAATAGGTATGTGGGAGCGACCCCGAGTTTGCTGCCTCAAGGGGAATACACAGGGAGAAGCCCTAACGTGAACGGAGGCCAGATTTCCTTGCAGTGGGTTGAATAAAGGCTCTTCTTCGATCTGAAAACATGAAGGGATGTCTGAATTCCCTGTGGAGACCTTAGAGGAAGCCCTAAGTCCCTGCCTCATTTTGACGGAATACCTCACATCCCCCTGACACCTCGAGAGGCACGCAGAGTTCATTGCTTCAAAAGGTGACGATGCCTGACTCCTCTTGAATACTTATAGGAATCCCAAAATCACTGTTGCTACTGGAAAGGGTCCTTGGGTGCCCTGGCTCACCTCGAGAAGCGTCCCTTTTGCCCTGCCAAGCCTCGAAGAAATTGCTGAGGTGTCCCTCGTTACTAGACAGGAGTCCTGACGTCACGGAAGAAACTCGTGTTTTGAAGGGCCATCCCCGCCGTAAGTCGAGAACATACCCCAGGTCCCCGCCGCAACTCGAGAAAAACCATGAGACTTCCCCCTAGAGGCGAGATGAGGCCCCATTCCCCTGCAGTGCATGCAGAGCTATTCCGTGATCCCATTCAAACAAGTCAGGAGTTTCGACTTGCTTAATGGATCTCGAGGCAGTCCCCAAGAACACTGTCACCAGTCTAGACGGACCCTGAAGTCACCCAGCAATGCAAAGCAGCTCCATGTGCCCCAAATCAACTCGAGATGAGGCCGGATTCCCCTGCATTGACTCCAGAGCCATTCCTTGTTCCCCATTCAACACGACCGGTGGCTCGACTTCTTTCAGGCAACTCCAGAGATGCCCCGAGAACACTGTCCCAAGTCTAGAGGACCACCAACTTCAGCACAGCAACTCGAGAAATGCTCTGTGTACCCCAAATCGTCTCGAGATGAGAGCTGATTCCCTGGCTTAGGCTCAAGACGTATGCCACCTTTCCAGAAGCACCTCAGGAGGAGGCTTCTCTCAGCAATAGGTATGTGGGAGGGACCCCGAGTTTGCTGCCTCAAGGGGAATATACAGCGAGAAGCCCTAACTTGAAAGGAGGCCGGATTTCCTTGCAGTGGCTTGAATACAGGCTCGTCTTTCATCTCACAACATGAAGGGATGTCTGAATCCCCTGTGGAGACCTTAGAGAAAGCCCTAGGTCCCTGCCTCATTTTGACGGAATCCTCATATCCCGCTGACACCTCGAGAGGCACGCGGAGTTCATTGCTTCAAAAGGTGACGATGCCTGACTCCTCTTGAATACTTATAGGAATCCCAAAATCCCTGTGGCTACTGGAAAGGGTCCTTGGGTGCCCTGGCTCACCTCGAGAAGCGTCCCTTTTGCCCTGCCAAGCCTCGAAGAGACTGCTGAGGTGTCCCTCGTTACTAGACAGGAGTCCTGACGTCACGGAAGAAACTCGTGTTTTGAAGGGCCATCCCCGCCGTAAGTCGAGAACATACCCCAGGTCCCCGCCGCAACTCGAGAAAAACCATGAGACTTCCCCCTAGAGGCGAGATGAGGCCCCATTCCCCTGCAGTGCATGCAGAGCTATTCCGTGATCCCATTCAAACAAGTCAGGAGCTTCGACTTGCTTAATGGATCTCGAGACAGTCCCCAAGAACACTGTCACCAGTCTAGACGGACCCTGAGGTCACCCCAGCAACGCAAAGCTGCTCCATGTGCCCCAAATCAACTCGAGATGAGGCCCGATTCCCCTGCATTGACTCCAGAGCCATTCCCCGTTCCCCATTCAACACGACCGGTGGCTCGACTTCCTTCAGGCAACTGCAGAGATGCCCCGAGAACACTGCCCCAAGTCTAGAGGAACACCAACTTCAGCACAGCAACTCGAGGAATGCTCCGTGTACCCCAAATCATCTCGAGATGAGAGCTGATTCTCTGGCTTAGGCTCAAGACGTATGCCAACTTTCCAGAAGCACCTCAGGAGGAGGCTTCTCTCAGCAATAGGTATGTGGGAGCGACCCCGAGTTTGCTGCCTCAAGGGGAATACACAGGGAGAAGCCCTAACGTGAACGGAGGCCAGATTTCCTTGCAGTGGGTTGAATAAAGGCTCGTCTTTGATCTGAAAACATGAAGGGATGTCTGAATTCCCTGTGGAGACCTTAGAGGAAGCCCTAGGTCCCTGCCTCATTTTGACGGAATACCTCACATCCCCCTGACACCTCGAGAGGCACGCAGAGTTCATTGCTTCAAAAGGTGACGATGCCTGACTCCTCTTGAATACTTATAGGAATCCCAAAATCCCTGTTGCTACTGGAAAGGGTCCTTGGGTGCCCTGGCTCACCTCGAGAAGCGTCCCTTTTGCCCTGCCAAGCCTCGAAGAAATTGCTGAGGTGTCCCTCGTTACTAGACAGGAGTCCTGACGTCACGGAAGAAACTCGTGTTTTGAAGGGCCATCCCCGCCGTAAGTCGAGAACATACCCCAGGTCCCCGCCGCAACTCGAGAAAAACCATGAGACTTCCCCCTAGAGGCGAGATGAGGCCCCATTCCCCTGCAGTGCATGCAGAGCTATTCCGTGATCCCATTCAAACAAGTCAGGAGCTTCGACTTGCTTAATGGATCTCGAGACAGTCCCCAAGAACACTGTCACCAGTCTAGACGGACCCTGAGGTCACCCCAGCAACGCAAAGCTGCTCCATGTGCCCCAAATCAACTCGAGATGAGGCCCGATTCCCCTGCATTGACTCCAGAGCCATTCCCCGTTCCCCATTCAACACGACCGGTGGCTCGACTTCCTTCAGGCAACTCCAGGGATGCCCCGAGAACACTGTCCCAAGTCTAGAGGAACACCAACTTCAGCACAGCAACTCGAGGAATGATCTGTGTACCCCAAATCGTCTCGAGATGAGAGCTGATTCCCTGGCTTAGGCTCAAGACGTATGCCAACTTTCCAGAAGCACCTCAGGAGGAGGCTTCTCAGCAATAGGTATGTGGGAGGGACTCCGAGTTTGCTGCCTCAAGGGGAATATACAGCGAGAAGCCCTAACTTGAAAGGAGGCCGGATTTCCTTGCAGTAGCTTGTATACAGGCTTGTCTTTCATCTCACAACATGAAGGGATGTCTGAATCCCCTGTGAAGACCTTAGAGAAAGCCCTAGGACCCTGCCTCATTTTGACGGAATGCCTCACATCCCGCTGACACCTCGAGAGGCACGCGGAGTTCATTGCTTCAAAAGGTGACGATGCCTGACTCCTCTTGAATACTGATAGGAATCCCAAAATCCCTGTGGCTACTGGAAAGGTTCCTTGGGTGCCCTGGCTCACCTCGAGAAGCGTCCCTTTTGCCCTGCCAAGCCTCGAAGAGATTCCTGAGGTGTCCCTCGTTACTAGACAGGAGTCCTGACGTCACTGAAGAAACTCGTGTTTTGAAGGGCCATCCCCGCCGTAAGTCGAGAACATACCCCAGGTCCCCGCCGCAACTCGAGAAAAACCATGAGACTTCCCCCTAGAGGCGAGATGAGGCCCCATTCCCCTGCAGTGCATGCAGAGCTATTCCGTGATCCCATTCAAACAAGTCAGGAGCTTCGACTTGCTTAATGGATCTCGAGACAGTCCCCAAGAACACTGTCACCAGTCTAGACGGACCCTGAGGTCACCCCAGCAACGCAAAGCTGCTCCATGTGCCCCAAATCAACTCGAGATGAGGCCCGATTCCCCTGCATTGACTCCAGAGCCATTCCCCGTTCCCCATTCAACACGACCGGTGGCTCGACTTCCTTCAGGCAACTGCAGAGATGCCCCGAGAACACTGCCCCAAGTCTAGAGGAACACCAACTTCAGCACAGCAACTCGAGGAATGCTCCGTGTACCCCAAATCATCTCGAGATGAGAGCTGATTCTCTGGCTTAGGCTCAAGACGTATGCCAACTTTCCAGAAGCACCTCAGGAGGAGGCTTCTCTCAGCAATAGGTATGTGGGAGCGACCCCGAGTTTGCTGCCTCAAGGGGAATACACAGGGAGAAGCCCTAACGTGAACAGAGGCCAGATTTCCTTGCAGTGGGTTGAATAAAGGCTCTTCTTCGATCTGAAAACATGAAGGGATGTCTGAATTCCCTGTGGAGACCTTAGAGGAAGCCCTAAGTCCCTGCCTCATTTTGACGGAATACCTCACATCCCCCTGACACCTCGAGAGGCACGCAGAGTTCATTGCTTCAAAAGGTGACGATGCCTGACTCCTCTTGAATACTTATAGGAATCCCAAAATCACTGTTGCTACTGGAAAGGGTCCTTGGGTGCCCTGGCTCACCTCGAGAAGCGTCCCTTTTGCCCTGCCAAGCCTCGAAGAAATTGCTGAGGTGTCCCTCGTTACTAGACAGGAGTCCTGACGTCACGGAAGAAACTCGTGTTTTGAAGGGCCATCCCCGCCGTAAGTCGAGAACATACCCCAGGTCCCCGCCGCAACTCGAGAAAAACCATGAGACTTCCCCCTAGAGGCGAGATGAGGCCCCATTCCCCTGCAGTGCATGCAGAGCTATTCCGTGATCCCATTCAAACAAGTCAGGAGCTTCGACTTGCTTAATGGATCTCGAGGCAGTCCCCAAGAACACTGTCACCAGTCTAGACGGACCCTGAAGTCACCCAGCAATGCAAAGCAGCTCCATGTGCCCCAAATCAACTCGAGATGAGGCCGGATTCCCCTGCATTGACTCCAGAGCCATTCCTTGTTCCCCATTCAACACGACCGGTGGCTCGACTTCTTTCAGGCAACTCCAGAGATGCCCCGAGAACACTGTCCCAAGTCTAGAGGACCACCAACTTCAGCACAGCAACTCGAGAAATGCTCTGTGTACCCCAAATCGTCTCGAGATGAGAGCTGATTCCCTGGCTTAGGCTCAAGACGTATGCCACCTTTCCAGAAGCACCTCAGGAGGAGGCTTCTCTCAGCAATAGGTATGTGGGAGGGACCCCGAGTTTGCTGCCTCAAGGGGAATATACAGCGAGAAGCCCTAACTTGAAAGGAGGCCGGATTTCCTTGCAGTGGCTTGAATACAGGCTCGTCTTTCATCTCACAACATGAAGGGATGTCTGAATCCCCTGTGGAGACCTTAGAGAAAGCCCTAGGTCCCTGCCTCATTTTGACGGAATCCTCATATCCCGCTGACACCTCGAGAGGCACGCGGAGTTCATTGCTTCAAAAGGTGACGATGCCTGACTCCTCTTGAATACTTATAGGAATCCCAAAATCCCTGTGGCTACTGGAAAGGGTCCTTGGGTGCCCTGGCTCACCTCGAGAAGCGTCCCTTTTGCCCTGCCAAGCCTCGAAGAGACTGCTGAGGTGTCCCTCGTTACTAGACAGGAGTCCTGACGTCACGGAAGAAACTCGTGTTTTGAAGGGCCATCCCCGCCGTAAGTCGAGAACATACCCCAGGTCCCCGCCGCAACTCGAGAAAAACCATGAGACTTCCCCCTAGAGGCGAGATGAGGCCCCATTCCCCTGCAGTGCATGCAGAGCTATTCCGTGATCCCATTCAAACAAGTCAGGAGCTTCGACTTGCTTAATGGATCTCGAGACAGTCCCCAAGAACACTGTCACCAGTCTAGACGGACCCTGAGGTCACCCCAGCAACGCAAAGCTGCTCCATGTGCCCCAAATCAACTCGAGATGAGGCCCGATTCCCCTGCATTGACTCCAGAGCCATTCCCCGTTCCCCATTCAACACGACCGGTGGCTCGACTTCCTTCAGGCAACTGCAGAGATGCCCCGAGAACACTGCCCCAAGTCTAGAGGAACACCAACTTCAGCACAGCAACTCGAGGAATGCTCCGTGTACCCCAAATCATCTCGAGATGAGAGCTGATTCTCTGGCTTAGGCTCAAGACGTATGCCAACTTTCCAGAAGCACCTCAGGAGGAGGCTTCTCTCAGCAATAGGTATGTGGGAGCGACCCCGAGTTTGCTGCCTCAAGGGGAATACACAGGGAGAAGCCCTAACGTGAACGGAGGCCAGATTTCCTTGCAGTGGGTTGAATAAAGGCTCGTCTTTGATCTGAAAACATGAAGGGATGTCTGAATTCCCTGTGGAGACCTTAGAGGAAGCCCTAGGTCCCTGCCTCATTTTGACGGAATACCTCACATCCCCCTGACACCTCGAGAGGCACGCAGAGTTCATTGCTTCAAAAGGTGACGATGCCTGACTCCTCTTGAATACTTATAGGAATCCCAAAATCCCTGTTGCTACTGGAAAGGGTCCTTGGGTGCCCTGGCTCACCTCGAGAAGCGTCCCTTTTGCCCTGCCAAGCCTCGAAGAAATTGCTGAGGTGTCCCTCGTTACTAGACAGGAGTCCTGACGTCACGGAAGAAACTCGTGTTTTGAAGGGCCATCCCCGCCGTAAGTCGAGAACATACCCCAGGTCCCCGCCGCAACTCGAGAAAAACCATGAGACTTCCCCCTAGAGGCGAGATGAGGCCCCATTCCCCTGCAGTGCATGCAGAGCTATTCCGTGATCCCATTCAAACAAGTCAGGAGCTTCGACTTGCTTAATGGATCTCGAGACAGTCCCCAAGAACACTGTCACCAGTCTAGACGGACCCTGAGGTCACCCCAGCAACGCAAAGCTGCTCCATGTGCCCCAAATCAACTCGAGATGAGGCCCGATTCCCCTGCATTGACTCCAGAGCCATTCCCCGTTCCCCATTCAACACGACCGGTGGCTCGACTTCCTTCAGGCAACTCCAGGGATGCCCCGAGAACACTGTCCCAAGTCTAGAGGAACACCAACTTCAGCACAGCAACTCGAGGAATGATCTGTGTACCCCAAATCGTCTCGAGATGAGAGCTGATTCCCTGGCTTAGGCTCAAGACGTATGCCAACTTTCCAGAAGCACCTCAGGAGGAGGCTTCTCAGCAATAGGTATGTGGGAGGGACTCCGAGTTTGCTGCCTCAAGGGGAATATACAGCGAGAAGCCCTAACTTGAAAGGAGGCCGGATTTCCTTGCAGTAGCTTGTATACAGGCTTGTCTTTCATCTCACAACATGAAGGGATGTCTGAATCCCCTGTGAAGACCTTAGAGAAAGCCCTAGGACCCTGCCTCATTTTGACGGAATGCCTCACATCCCGCTGACACCTCGAGAGGCACGCGGAGTTCATTGCTTCAAAAGGTGACGATGCCTGACTCCTCTTGAATACTGATAGGAATCCCAAAATCCCTGTGGCTACTGGAAAGGTTCCTTGGGTGCCCTGGCTCACCTCGAGAAGCGTCCCTTTTGCCCTGCCAAGCCTCGAAGAGATTCCTGAGGTGTCCCTCGTTACTAGACAGGAGTCCTGACGTCACTGAAGAAACTCGTGTTTTGAAGGGCCATCCCCGCCGTAAGTCGAGAACATACCCCAGGTCCCCGCCGCAACTCGAGAAAAACCATGAGACTTCCCCCTAGAGGCGAGATGAGGCCCCATTCCCCTGCAGTGCATGCAGAGCTATTCCGTGATCCCATTCAAACAAGTCAGGAGCTTCGACTTGCTTAATGGATCTCGAGACAGTCCCCAAGAACACTGTCACCAGTCTAGACGGACCCTGAGGTCACCCCAGCAACGCAAAGCTGCTCCATGTGCCCCAAATCAACTCGAGATGAGGCCCGATTCCCCTGCATTGACTCCAGAGCCATTCCCCGTTCCCCATTCAACACGACCGGTGGCTCGACTTCCTTCAGGCAACTGCAGAGATGCCCCGAGAACACTGCCCCAAGTCTAGAGGAACACCAACTTCAGCACAGCAACTCGAGGAATGCTCCGTGTACCCCAAATCATCTCGAGATGAGAGCTGATTCTCTGGCTTAGGCTCAAGACGTATGCCAACTTTCCAGAAGCACCTCAGGAGGAGGCTTCTCTCAGCAATAGGTATGTGGGAGCGACCCCGAGTTTGCTGCCTCAAGGGGAATACACAGGGAGAAGCCCTAACGTGAACGGAGGCCAGATTTCCTTGCAGTGGGTTGAATAAAGGCTCTTCTTCGATCTGAAAACATGAAGGGATGTCTGAATTCCCTGTGGAGACCTTAGAGGAAGCCCTAAGTCCCTGCCTCATTTTGACGGAATACCTCACATCCCCCTGACACCTCGAGAGGCACGCAGAGTTCATTGCTTCAAAAGGTGACGATGCCTGACTCCTCTTGAATACTTATAGGAATCCCAAAATCACTGTTGCTACTGGAAAGGGTCCTTGGGTGCCCTGGCTCACCTCGAGAAGCGTCCCTTTTGCCCTGCCAAGCCTCGAAGAAATTGCTGAGGTGTCCCTCGTTACTAGACAGGAGTCCTGACGTCACGGAAGAAACTCGTGTTTTGAAGGGCCATCCCCGCCGTAAGTCGAGAACATACCCCAGGTCCCCGCCGCAACTCGAGAAAAACCATGAGACTTCCCCCTAGAGGCGAGATGAGGCCCCATTCCCCTGCAGTGCATGCAGAGCTATTCCGTGATCCCATTCAAACAAGTCAGGAGCTTCGACTTGCTTAATGGATCTCGAGGCAGTCCCCAAGAACACTGTCACCAGTCTAGACGGACCCTGAAGTCACCCAGCAATGCAAAGCAGCTCCATGTGCCCCAAATCAACTCGAGATGAGGCCGGATTCCCCTGCATTGACTCCAGAGCCATTCCTTGTTCCCCATTCAACACGACCGGTGGCTCGACTTCTTTCAGGCAACTCCAGAGATGCCCCGAGAACACTGTCCCAAGTCTAGAGGACCACCAACTTCAGCACAGCAACTCGAGAAATGCTCTGTGTACCCCAAATCGTCTCGAGATGAGAGCTGATTCCCTGGCTTAGGCTCAAGACGTATGCCACCTTTCCAGAAGCACCTCAGGAGGAGGCTTCTCTCAGCAATAGGTATGTGGGAGGGACCCCGAGTTTGCTGCCTCAAGGGGAATATACAGCGAGAAGCCCTAACTTGAAAGGAGGCCGGATTTCCTTGCAGTGGCTTGAATACAGGCTCGTCTTTCATCTCACAACATGAAGGGATGTCTGAATCCCCTGTGGAGACCTTAGAGAAAGCCCTAGGTCCCTGCCTCATTTTGACGGAATCCTCATATCCCGCTGACACCTCGAGAGGCACGCGGAGTTCATTGCTTCAAAAGGTGACGATGCCTGACTCCTCTTGAATACTTATAGGAATCCCAAAATCCCTGTGGCTACTGGAAAGGGTCCTTGGGTGCCCTGGCTCACCTCGAGAAGCGTCCCTTTTGCCCTGCCAAGCCTCGAAGAGACTGCTGAGGTGTCCCTCGTTACTAGACAGGAGTCCTGACGTCACGGAAGAAACTCGTGTTTTGAAGGGCCATCCCCGCCGTAAGTCGAGAACATACCCCAGGTCCCCGCCGCAACTCGAGAAAAACCATGAGACTTCCCCCTAGAGGCGAGATGAGGCCCCATTCCCCTGCAGTGCATGCAGAGCTATTCCGTGATCCCATTCAAACAAGTCAGGAGCTTCGACTTGCTTAATGGATCTCGAGACAGTCCCCAAGAACACTGTCACCAGTCTAGACGGACCCTGAGGTCACCCCAGCAACGCAAAGCTGCTCCATGTGCCCCAAATCAACTCGAGATGAGGCCCGATTCCCCTGCATTGACTCCAGAGCCATTCCCCGTTCCCCATTCAACACGACCGGTGGCTCGACTTCCTTCAGGCAACTGCAGAGATGCCCCGAGAACACTGCCCCAAGTCTAGAGGAACACCAACTTCAGCACAGCAACTCGAGGAATGCTCCGTGTACCCCAAATCATCTCGAGATGAGAGCTGATTCTCTGGCTTAGGCTCAAGACGTATGCCAACTTTCCAGAAGCACCTCAGGAGGAGGCTTCTCTCAGCAATAGGTATGTGGGAGCGACCCCGAGTTTGCTGCCTCAAGGGGAATACACAGGGAGAAGCCCTAACGTGAACGGAGGCCAGATTTCCTTGCAGTGGGTTGAATAAAGGCTCGTCTTTGATCTGAAAACATGAAGGGATGTCTGAATTCCCTGTGGAGACCTTAGAGGAAGCCCTAGGTCCCTGCCTCATTTTGACGGAATACCTCACATCCCCCTGACACCTCGAGAGGCACGCAGAGTTCATTGCTTCAAAAGGTGACGATGCCTGACTCCTCTTGAATACTTATAGGAATCCCAAAATCCCTGTTGCTACTGGAAAGGGTCCTTGGGTGCCCTGGCTCACCTCGAGAAGCGTCCCTTTTGCCCTGCCAAGCCTCGAAGAAATTGCTGAGGTGTCCCTCGTTACTAGACAGGAGTCCTGACGTCACGGAAGAAACTCGTGTTTTGAAGGGCCATCCCCGCCGTAAGTCGAGAACATACCCCAGGTCCCCGCCGCAACTCGAGAAAAACCATGAGACTTCCCCCTAGAGGCGAGATGAGGCCCCATTCCCCTGCAGTGCATGCAGAGCTATTCCGTGATCCCATTCAAACAAGTCAGGAGCTTCGACTTGCTTAATGGATCTCGAGACAGTCCCCAAGAACACTGTCACCAGTCTAGACGGACCCTGAGGTCACCCCAGCAACGCAAAGCTGCTCCATGTGCCCCAAATCAACTCGAGATGAGGCCCGATTCCCCTGCATTGACTCCAGAGCCATTCCCCGTTCCCCATTCAACACGACCGGTGGCTCGACTTCCTTCAGGCAACTCCAGGGATGCCCCGAGAACACTGTCCCAAGTCTAGAGGAACACCAACTTCAGCACAGCAACTCGAGGAATGATCTGTGTACCCCAAATCGTCTCGAGATGAGAGCTGATTCCCTGGCTTAGGCTCAAGACGTATGCCAACTTTCCAGAAGCACCTCAGGAGGAGGCTTCTCAGCAATAGGTATGTGGGAGGGACTCCGAGTTTGCTGCCTCAAGGGGAATATACAGCGAGAAGCCCTAACTTGAAAGGAGGCCGGATTTCCTTGCAGTAGCTTGTATACAGGCTTGTCTTTCATCTCACAACATGAAGGGATGTCTGAATCCCCTGTGAAGACCTTAGAGAAAGCCCTAGGACCCTGCCTCATTTTGACGGAATGCCTCACATCCCGCTGACACCTCGAGAGGCACGCGGAGTTCATTGCTTCAAAAGGTGACGATGCCTGACTCCTCTTGAATACTGATAGGAATCCCAAAATCCCTGTGGCTACTGGAAAGGTTCCTTGGGTGCCCTGGCTCACCTCGAGAAGCGTCCCTTTTGCCCTGCCAAGCCTCGAAGAGATTCCTGAGGTGTCCCTCGTTACTAGACAGGAGTCCTGACGTCACTGAAGAAACTCGTGTTTTGAAGGGCCATCCCCGCCGTAAGTCGAGAACATACCCCAGGTCCCCGCCGCAACTCGAGAAAAACCATGAGACTTCCCCCTAGAGGCGAGATGAGGCCCCATTCCCCTGCAGTGCATGCAGAGCTATTCCGTGATCCCATTCAAACAAGTCAGGAGCTTCGACTTGCTTAATGGATCTCGAGACAGTCCCCAAGAACACTGTCACCAGTCTAGACGGACCCTGAGGTCACCCCAGCAACGCAAAGCTGCTCCATGTGCCCCAAATCAACTCGAGATGAGGCCCGATTCCCCTGCATTGACTCCAGAGCCATTCCCCGTTCCCCATTCAACACGACCGGTGGCTCGACTTCCTTCAGGCAACTGCAGAGATGCCCCGAGAACACTGCCCCAAGTCTAGAGGAACACCAACTTCAGCACAGCAACTCGAGGAATGCTCCGTGTACCCCAAATCATCTCGAGATGAGAGCTGATTCTCTGGCTTAGGCTCAAGACGTATGCCAACTTTCCAGAAGCACCTCAGGAGGAGGCTTCTCTCAGCAATAGGTATGTGGGAGCGACCCCGAGTTTGCTGCCTCAAGGGGAATACACAGGGAGAAGCCCTAACGTGAACGGAGGCCAGATTTCCTTGCAGTGGGTTGAATAAAGGCTCTTCTTCGATCTGAAAACATGAAGGGATGTCTGAATTCCCTGTGGAGACCTTAGAGGAAGCCCTAAGTCCCTGCCTCATTTTGACGGAATACCTCACATCCCCCTGACACCTCGAGAGGCACGCAGAGTTCATTGCTTCAAAAGGTGACGATGCCTGACTCCTCTTGAATACTTATAGGAATCCCAAAATCACTGTTGCTACTGGAAAGGGTCCTTGGGTGCCCTGGCTCACCTCGAGAAGCGTCCCTTTTGCCCTGCCAAGCCTCGAAGAAATTGCTGAGGTGTCCCTCGTTACTAGACAGGAGTCCTGACGTCACGGAAGAAACTCGTGTTTTGAAGGGCCATCCCCGCCGTAAGTCGAGAACATACCCCAGGTCCCCGCCGCAACTCGAGAAAAACCATGAGACTTCCCCCTAGAGGCGAGATGAGGCCCCATTCCCCTGCAGTGCATGCAGAGCTATTCCGTGATCCCATTCAAACAAGTCAGGAGCTTCGACTTGCTTAATGGATCTCGAGGCAGTCCCCAAGAACACTGTCACCAGTCTAGACGGACCCTGAAGTCACCCAGCAATGCAAAGCAGCTCCATGTGCCCCAAATCAACTCGAGATGAGGCCGGATTCCCCTGCATTGACTCCAGAGCCATTCCTTGTTCCCCATTCAACACGACCGGTGGCTCGACTTCTTTCAGGCAACTCCAGAGATGCCCCGAGAACACTGTCCCAAGTCTAGAGGACCACCAACTTCAGCACAGCAACTCGAGAAATGCTCTGTGTACCCCAAATCGTCTCGAGATGAGAGCTGATTCCCTGGCTTAGGCTCAAGACGTATGCCACCTTTCCAGAAGCACCTCAGGAGGAGGCTTCTCTCAGCAATAGGTATGTGGGAGGGACCCCGAGTTTGCTGCCTCAAGGGGAATATACAGCGAGAAGCCCTAACTTGAAAGGAGGCCGGATTTCCTTGCAGTGGCTTGAATACAGGCTCGTCTTTCATCTCACAACATGAAGGGATGTCTGAATCCCCTGTGGAGACCTTAGAGAAAGCCCTAGGTCCTTGCCTCATTTTGACGGAATCCTCATATCCCGCTGACACCTCGAGAGGCACGCGGAGTTCATTGCTTCAAAAGGTGACGATGCCTGACTCCTCTTGAATACTTATAGGAATCCCAAAATCCCTGTGGCTACTGGAAAGGGTCCTTGGGTGCCCTGCCTCACCTCGAGAAGCGTCCCTTTTGCCCTGCCAAGACTCGAAGAAATTGCTGAGGTGTCCCTCGTTACTAGACAGGAGTCCTGACGTCACGGAAGAAACTCGTGTTTTGAAGGGCCATCCCCGCCGTAAGTCGAGAACATAACCCAGGTCCCCGCCGCAACTCGAGAAAAACCATGAGACTTCCCCCTAGAGGCGAGATGAGGCCCCATTCCCCTGCAGTGCATGCAGAGCTATTCCGTGATCCCATTCAAACAAGTCAGGAGCTTCGACTTGCTTAATGGATCTCGAGACAGTCCCCAAGAACACTGTCACCAGTCTAGACGGACCCTGAGGTCACCAAAGCAACGCAAAGCAGATCCATGTGCCCCAAATCAACTCGAGATGAGGCCGGATTCCCCTGCATTGACTCCAGAGCAATTCCTTGTTCCCCATTCAACACGACCGGTGGCTCGACTTCCTTCAGGCAACTCCAGAGATGCCCCGAGAACACTGTCCCAAGTCTAGAGGAACACCAACTTCAGCACAGCAACTCGAGGAATGCTCTGTGTACCCCAAATCGTCTCGAGATGAGAGCTGATTCCCTGGCTTAGGCTCAAGACGTATGCCAACTTTCCAGAAGCACCTCAGGAGGAGGCTTCTCAGCAATAGGTATGTGGGAGGGACTCCGAGTTTGCTGCCTCAAGGGGAATATACAGCGAGAAGCCCTAACTTGAAAGGAGGCCGGATTTCTTTGCAGTGGCTTGAATACAGGCTCGTCTTTCATCTCACAACATGAAGGGATGTCTGAGTGCCCTGTGGAGACCTTAGAGAAAGCCCTAGGTCCCTGCCTCATTTTGACGGAATGCCTCACATCCCGCTGACACCTCGAGAGGCACGCGGAGTTCATGGCTTCAAAAGGTGACGATGCCTGACTCCTCTTGAATACTGATAGGAATCCCAAAATCCCTGTGGCTACTGGAAAGGGTCCTTGGGTGCCCTGCCTCACCTCGAGAAGCGTCCCTTTTGCCCTGCCAAGACTCGAAGAGATTCCTGAGGTGTCACTCATTACTAGGCAGGCGTCCTGACCTCACTGAAGAAAGTCGTGTTTTGAAGGGCCATCCCTGCCGTAAGTCGAGAACATACCCCAGGTCCCCGCCGCAACTCGAGAAAAACCATGAGACTTCCCCCTAGAGGCGAGATGAGGCCCCATTCCCCTGCAGTGCATGCAGAGCTATTCCGTGATCCCATTCAAACAAGTCAGGAGCTTCGACTTGCTTAATGGATCTCGAGACAGTCCCCAAGAACACTGTCACCAGTCTAGACGGACCCTGAGGTCACCCCAGCAACGCAAAGCTGCTCCATGTGCCCCAAATCAACTCGAGATGAGGCCCGATTCCCCTGCATTGACTCCAGAGCCATTCCCCGTTCCCCATTCAACACGACCGGTGGCTCGACTTCCTTCAGGCAACTCCAGGGATGCCCCGAGAACACTGTCCCAAGTCTAGAGGAACACCAACTTCAGCACAGCAACTCGAGGAATGCTCTGTGTACCACAAATCGTCTCGAGATGAGAGCTGATTCCCTGGCTTAGGCTCAAGACGTATGCCACCTTTCCAGAAGCACCTCAGGAGGAGGCTTCTCTCAGCAATAGGTATGTGGGAGGGACCCCGAGTTTGCTGCCTCAAGGGTAATATACCGCGAGAAGCCCTAACTTGAAAGGAGGCCGGATTTCCTTGCAGTGGCTTGAATACAGGCTCGTCTTTCATCTCACAACATGAAGGGATGTCTGAATCCCCTGTGGAGACCTTAGAGAAAGCCCTAGGTCCCTGCCTCATTTTGACGGAATGCCTCACATCCCGCTGACACCTCGAGAGGCACGCGGAGTTCATTGCTTCAAAAGGTGACGATGCCTGACTCCTCTTGAATACTGATAGGAATCCCAAAATCCCTGTGGCTACTGGAAAGGGTCCTTGGGTGCCCTGGCTCACCTCGAGAAGCGTCCCTTTTGCCCTGCCAAGCCTCGAAGAGATTGCTGAGGTGTCCCTCGTTACTAGACAGGAGTCCTGACGTCACTGAAGAAACTCGTGTTTTGAAGGGCCATCCCCGCCGTAAGTCGAGAACATACCCCAGGTCCCTGCCGCAACTCGAGAAAAACCATGAGACTTCCCCCTAGAGGCGAGATGAGGCCCCATTCCCCTGCAGTGCATGCAGAGCTATTCCGTGATCCCATTCAAACAAGTCAGGAGCTTCGACTTGCTTAATGGATCTCGAGACAGTCCCCAAGAACACTGTCACCAGTCTAGACGGACCCTGAGGTCACCCAGCAATGCAAAGCAGCTCCATGTGCCCCAAATCAACTCGAGATGAGGCCCGATTCCCCTGCATTGACTCCAGAGCCATTCCCCGTTCCCCATTCAACACGACCGGTGGCTCGACTTCCTTCAGGCAACTCCAGGGATGCCCCGAGAACACTGTCCCAAGTCTAGAGGAATACCAACTTCAGCACAGCAACTCGAGGAATGCTCTGTGTACCCCAAATCGTCTCGAGATGAGAGCTGATTCCCTGGCTTAGGCTCAAGACGTATGCCACCTTTCAAGAAGCACCTCAGGAGGAGGCTTCTCTCAGCAATAGGTATGTGGGAGGGACCCCGAGTTAGCTGCCTCAAGGGGAATATACAGCGAGAAGCCCTAACTTGAAAGGAGGCCGGATTTCCTTCCAGTGGCTTGAATACAGGCTCGTCTTTCATCTCACAACATGAAGGGATGTCTGAATCCCCTGTGGAGACCTTAGAGAAAGCCCTAGGTCCCTGCCTCATTTTGACGGAATCCTCACATCCCGCTGACACCTCGAGAGGCACGCGGAGTTCATTGCTTCAAAAGGTGACGATGCCTGACTCCTCTAGAATACTTATAGGAATCCCAAAATCCTTGTGGCTACTGGAAAGGGTCCTTGGGTGCCCTGGCTCACCTCGAGAAGCGTCCCTTTTGACCTGCCAAGCCTCGAAGAGATTCCTGAGGTGTCCCTCGTTACTAGACAGGAGTCCTGACGTCACTGAAGAAACTCGTGTTTTGAAGGGCCATCCCCGCCGTAAGTCGAGAACATAACCCAGGTCCCCGCCGCAACGCGAGAAAAACCATGAGACTTCCCCCTAGAGGCGAGATGAGGCCCCATTCCCCTGCAATGCATGCAGAGCTATTCCGTGATCCCATTCAAACAAGTCAGGAGCTTCGACTTGCTTAATGGATCTCGAGACAGTCCCCAAGAACACTGTCACCAGTCTAGACGGACCCTGAGGTCACCCCAGCAACGCAAAGCTGCTCCATGTGCCCCAAATCAACTCGAGATGAGGCCCGATTCCCCTGCATTGACTCCAGAGCCATTCCCCGTTCCCCATTCAACACGACCGGTGGCTCGACTTCCTTCAGGCAACTGCAGAGATGCCCCGAGAACACTGCCCCAAGTCTAGAGGAACACCAACTTCAGCACAGCAACTCGAGGAATGCTCCGTGTACCCCAAATCATCTTGAGATGAGAGCTGATTCTCTGGCTTAGGCTCAAGACGTATGCCAACTTTCCAGAAGCACCTCAGGAGGACGCTTCTCTCAGCAATAGGTATGTGGGAGCGACCCCGAGTTTGCTGCCTCAAGGGGAATACACAGGGAGAAGCCCTAACGTGAACGGAGGCCAGATTTCCTTGCAGTGGGTTGAATAAAGGCTCGTCTTCGATCTGAAAACATGAAGGGATGTCTGAATCCCCTGTGGAGACCTTAGAGGAAGCCCTAGGTCCCTGCCTCATTTTGACGGAATCCTCACATCCCGCTGACACCTCGAGAGGCACGCGGAGTTCATTGCTTCAAAAGGTGACGATGCCTGACTCCTCTTGAATACTTATAGGAATCCCAAAATCCCTGTGGCTACTGGAAAGGGTCCTTGGGTGCCCTGGCTCACCTCGAGAAGCGTCCCTTTTGCCCTGCCAAGCCTCGAAGAGATTGCTGAGGTGTCCCTCGTTACTAGACAGGAGTCCTGACGTCACTGAAGAAACTCGTGTTTTGAAGGGCCATCCCCGCCGTAAGTCGAGAACATACCCCAGGTCCGCGCCGCAACTCGAGAAAAACCATGAGACTTCCCCCTAGAGGCGAGATGAGGCCCCATTCCCCTGCAGTGCATGCAGAGCTATTCCGTGATCCCATTCAAACAAGTCAGGAGCTTCGACTTGCTTAATGGATCTCGAGACAGTCCCCAAGAACACTGTCACCAGTCTAGACGGACCCTGAGGTCACCCCAGCAATGCAAAGCAGCTCCATGTGCCCCAAATCAACTCGAGATGAGGCCCGATTCCCCTGCATTGACTCCAGAGCCATTCCCCGTTCCCCATTCAACACGACTGGTGGCTCGCTTTCCTTCAGGCAACTCCAGAGATGCCCCGAGAACACTGTCCCAAGTCTAGAGGAACACCAACTTCAGCACAGCAACTCGAGGAATGCTCTGTGTACCCCAAATCGTCTCGAGATGAGAGCTGATTCCCTGGCTTAGGCTCAAGACGTATGCCAACTTTCCAGAAGCACCTCAGGAGGAGGCTTCTCAGCAATAGGTATGTGGGAGGGACTCCGAGTTTGCTGCCTCGAGGGGAATATACAGCGAGAAGCCCTAACTTGAAAGGAGGCCGGATTTCCTTGCAGTAGCTTGAATACAGGCTTGTCTTTCATCTCACAACATGAAGGGATGTCTGAATCCCCTGTGAAGACCTTAGAGAAAGCCCTAGGACCCTGCCTCATTTTGACGGAATGCCTCACATCCCGCTGACAACTCGAGAGGCACGCGGAGTTCATTGCTTCAAAAGGTGACGATGCCTGACTCCTCTTGAATACTGATAGGAATCCCAAAATCCCTGTGGCTACTGGAAAGGTTCCTTGGGTGCCCTGGCTCACCTCGAAAAGCGTCCCTTTTGCCCTGCCAAGCCTCGAAGAGATTCCTGAGGTGTCCCTCGTTACTAGACAGGAGTCCTGACGTCACTGAAGAAACTCGTGTTTTGAAGGGCCATCCCCGCCGTAAGTCGAGAACATACCCCAGGTCCCCGACGCAACTCGAGAAAAACCATGAGACTTCCCCCTAGAGGCGAGATGAGGCCCCATTCCCCTGCAGTGCATGCAGAGCTATTCCGTGATCCCATTCAAACAACTCAGGAGCTTCGACTTGCTTAATGGATCTCGAGACAGTCCCCAAGAACACTGTCACCAGTCTAGACGGACCCTGAGGTCACCCCAGCAACGCAAAGCTGCTCTATGTGCCCAAAATCAACTCGAGATGAGGCCCGATTCCCCTGCATTGACTCCAGAGCCATTCCCCGTTCCCCATTCAACACGACCGGTGGCTCGACTTCCTTCAGGCAACTGCAGAGATGCCCCGAGAACACTGCCCCGTCTAGAGGAACACCAACTTCAGCACAGCAACTCGAGGAATGCTCCGTGTACACCAAATCATCTCGAGATGAGAGCTGATTCTCTGGCTTAGGCTCAAGACGTATGCCAACTTTCCAGAAGCACCTCAGGAGGAGGCTTCTCTCAGCAATAGGTATGTGGGAGCGACCCCGAGTATGATGCCTCAAGGGGAATACACAGGGAGAAGCCGTAACGTGAACAGAGGCCAGATTTCCTTGCAGTGGGTTGAATAAAGGCTCGTCTTCGATCTGAAAACATGAAGGGATGTCTGAATTCCCTGTGGAGACCTTAGAGGAAGCCCTAGGTCCCTGCCTCATTTTGACGGAATACCTCACATCCCCCTGACACCTCGAGAGGCACGCAGAGTTCATTGCTTCAAAAGGTGACGATGCCTGACTCCTCTTGAATACTTATAGGAATCCCAAAATCCCTGTAGCTACTGGAAAGGGTCCTTGGGTGCCCTGGCTCACCTCGAGAAGCGTCCCTTTTGCCCTGCCAAGCCTCGAAGAAATTGCTGAGGTGTCCCTCGTTACTAGACAGGAGTCCTGACGTCACGGAAGAAACTCGAGTTTTGAAGGGCCATCCCCGCCGTAAGTCGAGAACATGCCCCAGGTCCCCGCCGCAACTCGAGAAAAACCATGAGACTTCCCCCTAGAGGCGAGATGAGGCCCCATTCCCCTGCAGTGCATGCAGAGCTATTCCGTGATCCCATTCAAACAAGTCAGGAGCTTCGACTTGCTTAATGGATCTCGAGACAGTCCCCAAGAACACTGTCACCAGTCTAGACGGACCCTGAGGTCACCCCAGCAACGCAAAGCTGCTCCATGTGCCCCAAATCAACTCGAGATGAGGCCCGATTCCCCTGCATTGACTCCAGAGCCATTCCTTGTTCCCCATTCAACACGACCGGTGGCTTGACTTCCTTCAGGCAACTCCAGAGATGCCTCGAGAGCACTATCCCAAGTCTAGAGGACCACCAACTTCAGCAGAGCAACTCGAGGAATGCTCTGTGTACCCCAAATCGTCTCGAGATGAGAGCTGATTCCCTGGCTTAGGCTCAAGACGTATGCCACCTTTCCAGAAGCACCTCAGGAGGAGGCTTCTCTCAGCAATAGGTATGTGGGAGGGACCCCGAGTTTGCTGCCTCAAGGGGAATATACAGCGAGAAGCCCTAACTTGAAAGGAGGCCGGATTTCCTTGCAGTGGCTTGAATACAGGCTCGTCTTTCATCTCACAACATGAAGGGATGTCTGAATCCCCTGTGGAGACCTTAGAGAAAGCCCTAGGTCCCTGCCTCATTTTGACGGAATCCTCACATCCCGCTGACACCTCGAGAGGCACGCGGAGTTCATTGCTTCAAAAGGTGACGATGCCTGACTCCTCTAGAATACTTATAGGAATCCCAAAATCCCTGTGGCTACTGGAAAGGGTCCTTGGGTGCCCTGGCTCACCTCGAGAAGCGTCCCTTTTGACCTGCCAAGCCTGGAAGAGATTCCTGAGGTGTCCCTGGTTACTAGACAGGAGTCCTGACGTCACTGAAGAAACTCGTGTTTTGAAGGGCCATCCCCGCCGTAAGTCGAGAACATAACCCAGGTCCCCGCCGCAACGCGAGAAAAACCATGAGACTTCCCCCTAGAGGCGAGATGAGGCCCCATTCCCCTGCAGTGCATGCAGAGCTATTCCGTGATCCCATTCAAACAAGTCAGGAGCTTCGACTTGCTTAATGGATCTCGAGACAGTCCCCAAGAACACTGTCACCAGTCTAGACGGACCCTGAGGTCACCCCAGCAACGCAAAGCTGCTCCATGTGCCCCAAATCAACTCGAGATGAGGCCCGATTCCCCTGCATTGACTCCAGAGCCATTCCCCGTTCCCCATTCAACACGACCGGTGGCTCGACTTCCTTCAGGCAACTGAAGAGATGCCCCGAGAACACTGCCCCAAGTCTAGAGGAACACCAACTTCAGCACAGCAACTCGAGGAATGCTCCGTGTACCCCAAATCATCTCGAGATGAGAGCTGATTCTCTGGCTTAGGCTCAAGACGTATGCCAACTTTCCAGAAGCACCTCAGGAGGACGCTTCTCTCAGCAATAGGTATGTGGGAGCGACCCCGAGTTTGCTGCCTCAAGGGGAATACACAGGGAGAAGCCGTAACGTGAACAGAGGCCAGATTTCCTTGCAGTGGGTTGAATAAAGGCTCGTCTTCGATCTGAAAACATGAAGGGATGTCTGAATTCCCTGTGGAGACCTTAGAGGAAGCCCTAGGTCCCTGCCTCATTTTGACGGAATACCTCACATCCCCCTGACACCTCGAGAGGCACGCAGAGTTCATTGCTTCAAAAGGTGACGATGCCTGACTCCTCTTGAATACTTATAGGAATCCCAAAATCCCTGTAGCTACTGGAAAGGGTCCTTGGGTGCCCTGGCTCACCTCGAGAAGCGTCCCTTTTGCCCTGCCAAGCCTCGAAGAAATTGCTGAGGTGTCCCTCGTTACTAGACAGGAGTCCTGACGTCACGGAAGAAACTCGAGTTTTGAAGGGCCATCCCCGCCGTAAGTCGAGAACATACCCCAGGTCCCCGCCGCAACTCGAGAAAAACCATGAGACTTCCCCCTAGAGGCGAGATGAGGCCCCATTCCCCTGCAGTGCATGCAGAGCTATTCCGTGATCCCATTCAAACAAGTCAGGAGCTTCGACTTGCTTAATGGATCTCGAGACAGTCCCCAAGAACACTGTCACCAGTCTAGACGGACCCTGAGGTCACCCCAGCAACGCAAAGCTGCTCCATGTGCCCCAAATCAACTCGAGATGAGGCCCGATTCCCCTGCATTGACTCCAGAGCCATTCCTTGTTCCCCATTCAACACGACCGGTGGCTTGACTTCCTTCAGGCAACTCCAGAGATGCCTCGAGAGCACTATCCCAAGTCTAGAGGACCACCAACTTCAGCAGAGCAACTCGAGGAATGCTCTGTGTACCCCAAATCGTCTCGAGATGAGAGCTGATTCCCTGGCTTAGGCTCAAGACGTATGCCACCTTTCCAGAAGCACCTCAGGAGGAGGCTTCTCTCAGCAATAGGTATGTGGGAGGGACCCCGAGTTTGCTGCCTCAAGGGGAATATACAGCGAGAAGCCCTAACTTGAAAGGAGGCCGGATTTCCTTGCAGTGGCTTGAATACAGGCTCGTCTTTCATCTCACAACATGAAGGGATGTCTGAATCCCCTGTGGAGACCTTAGAGAAAGCCCTAGGTCCCTGCCTCATTTTGACGGAATCCTCACATCCCGCTGACACCTCGAGAGGCACGCGGAGTTCATTGCTTCAAAAGGTGACGATGCCTGACTCCTCTAGAATACTTATAGGAATCCCAAAATCCCTGTGGCTACTGGAAAGGGTCCTTGGGTGCCCTGGCTCACCTCGAGAAGCGTCCCTTTTGACCTGCCAAGCCTCGAAGAGATTCCTGAGGTGTCCCTGGTTACTAGACAGGAGTCCTGACGTCACTGAAGAAACTCGTGTTTTGAAGGGCCATCCCCGCCGTAAGTCGAGAACATAACCCAGGTCCCCGCCGCAACGCGAGAAAAACCATGAGACTTCCCCCTAGAGGCGAGATGAGGCCCCATTCCCCTGCAGTGCATGCAGAGCTATTCCGTGATCCCATTCAAACAAGTCAGGAGCTTCGACTTGCTTAATGGATCTCGAGACAGTCCCCAAGAACACTGTCACCAGTCTAGACGGACCCTGAGGTCACCCCAGCAACGCAAAGCTGCTCCATGTGCCCCAAATCAACTCGAGATGAGGCCCGATTCCCCTGCATTGACTCCAGAGCCATTCCCCGTTCCCCATTCAACACGACCGGTGGCTCGACTTCCTTCAGGCAACTGAAGAGATGCCCCGAGAACACTGCCCCAAGTCTAGAGGAACACCAACTTCAGCACAGCAACTCGAGGAATGCTCCGTGTACCCCAAATCATCTCGAGATGAGAGCTGATTCTCTGGCTTAGGCTCAAGACGTATGCCAACTTTCCAGAAGCACCTCAGGAGGACGCTTCTCTCAGCAATAGGTATGTGGGAGCGACCCCGAGTTTGCTGCCTCAAGGGGAATACACAGGGAGAAGCCGTAACGTGAACAGAGGCCAGATTTCCTTGCAGTGGGTTGAATAAAGGCTCGTCTTCGATCTGAAAACATGAAGGGATGTCTGAATTCCCTGTGGAGACCTTAGAGGAAGCCCTAGGTCCCTGCCTCATTTTGACGGAATACCTCACATCCCCCTGACACCTCGAGAGGCACGCAGAGTTCATTGCTTCAAAAGGTGACGATGCCTGACTCCTCTTGAATACTTATAGGAATCCCAAAATCCCTGTAGCTACTGGAAAGGGTCCTTGGGTGCCCTGGCTCACCTCGAGAAGCGTCCCTTTTGCCCTGCCAAGCCTCGAAGAAATTGCTGAGGTGTCCCTCGTTACTAGACAGGAGTCCTGACGTCACGGAAGAAACTCGAGTTTTGAAGGGCCATCCCCGCCGTAAGTCGAGAACATACCCCAGGTCCCCGCCGCAACTCGAGAAAAACCATGAGACTTCCCCCTAGAGGCGAGATGAGGCCCCATTCCCCTGCAGTGCATGCAGAGCTATTCCGTGATCCCATTCAAACAAGTCAGGAGCTTCGACTTGCTTAATGGATCTCGAGACAGTCCCCAAGAACACTGTCACCAGTCTAGACGGACCCTGAGGTCACCCCAGCAACGCAAAGCTGCTCCATGTGCCCCAAATCAACTCGAGATGAGGCCCGATTCCCCTGCATTGACTCCAGAGCCATTCCTTGTTCCCCATTCAACACGACCGGTGGCTTGACTTCCTTCAGGCAACTCCAGAGATGCCTCGAGAGCACTATCCCAAGTCTAGAGGACCACCAACTTCAGCAGAGCAACTCGAGGAATGCTCTGTGTACCCCAAATCGTCTCGAGATGAGAGCTGATTCCCTGGCTTAGGCTCAAGACGTATGCCACCTTTCCAGAAGCACCTCAGGAGGAGGCTTCTCTCAGCAATAGGTATGTGGGAGGGACCCCGAGTTTGCTGCCTCAAGGGGAATATACAGCGAGAAGCCCTAACTTGAAAGGAGGCCGGATTTCCTTGCAGTGGCTTGAATACAGGCTCGTCTTTCATCTCACAACATGAAGGGATGTCTGAATCCCCTGTGGAGACCTTAGAGAAAGCCCTAGGTCCCTGCCTCATTTTGACGGAATCCTCACATCCCGCTGACACCTCGAGAGGCACGCGGAGTTCATTGCTTCAAAAGGTGACGATGCCTGACTCCTCTAGAATACTTATAGGAATCCCAAAATCCCTGTGGCTACTGGAAAGGGTCCTTGGGTGCCCTGGCTCACCTCGAGAAGCGTCCCTTTTGACCTGCCAAGCCTCGAAGAGATTCCTGAGGTGTCCCTGGTTACTAGACAGGAGTCCTGACGTCACTGAAGAAACTCGTGTTTTGAAGGGCCATCCCCGCCGTAAGTCGAGAACATAAGCCAGGTCCCCGCCGCAACGCGAGAAAAACCATGAGACTTCCCCCTAGAGGCGAGATGAGGCCCCATTCCCCTGCAGTGCATGCAGAGCTATTCCGTGATCCCATTCAAACAAGTCAGGAGCTTCGACTTGCTTAATGGATCTCGAGACAGTCCCCAAGAACACTGTCACCAGTCTAGACGGACCCTGAGGTCACCCCAGCAACGCAAAGCTGCTCCATGTGCCCCAAATCAACTCGAGATGAGGCCCGATTCCCCTGCATTGACTCCAGAGCCATTCCCCGTTCCCCATTCAACACGACCGGTGGCTCGACTTCCTTCAGGCAACTGAAGAGATGCCCCGAGAACACTGCCCCAAGTCTAGAGGAACACCAACTTCAGCACAGCAACTCGAGGAATGCTCCGTGTACCCCAAATCATCTCGAGATGAGAGCTGATTCTCTGGCTTAGGCTCAAGACGTATGCCAACTTTCCAGAAGCACCTCAGGAGGACGCTTCTCTCAGCAATAGGTATGTGGGAGCGACCCCGAGTTTGCTGCCTCAAGGGGAATACACAGGGAGAAGCCGTAACGTGAACAGAGGCCAGATTTCCTTGCAGTGGGTTGAATAAAGGCTCGTCTTCGATCTGAAAACATGAAGGGATGTCTGAATTCCCTGTGGAGACCTTAGAGGAAGCCCTAGGTCCCTGCCTCATTTTGACGGAATACCTCACATCCCCCTGACACCTCGAGAGGCACGCAGAGTTCATTGCTTCAAAAGGTGACGATGCCTGACTCCTCTTGAATACTTATAGGAATCCCAAAATCCCTGTAGCTACTGGAAAGGGTCCTTGGGTGCCCTGGCTCACCTCGAGAAGCGTCCCTTTTGCCCTGCCAAGCCTCGAAGAAATTGCTGAGGTGTCCCTCGTTACTAGACAGGAGTCCTGACGTCACGGAAGAAACTCGAGTTTTGAAGGGCCATCCCCGCCGTAAGTCGAGAACATACCCCAGGTCCCCGCCGCAACTCGAGAAAAACCATGAGACTTCCCCCTAGAGGCGAGATGAGGCCCCATTCCCCTGCAGTGCATGCAGAGCTATTCCGTGATCCCATTCAAACAAGTCAGGAGCTTCGACTTGCTTAATGGATCTCGAGACAGTCCCCAAGAACACTGTCACCAGTCTAGACGGACCCTGAGGTCACCCCAGCAACGCAAAGCTGCTCCATGTGCCCCAAATCAACTCGAGATGAGGCCCGATTCCCCTGCATTGACTCCAGAGCCATTCCTTGTTCCCCATTCAACACGACCGGTGGCTTGACTTCCTTCAGGCAACTCCAGAGATGCCTCGAGAGCACTATCCCAAGTCTAGAGGACCACCAACTTCAGCAGAGCAACTCGAGGAATGCTCTGTGTACCCCAAATCGTCTCGAGATGAGAGCTGATTCCCTGGCTTAGGCTCAAGACGTATGCCACCTTTCCAGAAGCACCTCAGGAGGAGGCTTCTCTCAGCAATAGGTATGTGGGAGGGACCCCGAGTTTGCTGCCTCAAGGGGAATATACAGCGAGAAGCCCTAACTTGAAAGGAGGCCGGATTTCCTTGCAGTAGCTTGTATACAGGCTTGTCTTTCATCTCACAACATGAAGGGATGTCTGAATCCCCTGTGAAGACCTTAGAGAAAGCCCTAGGACCCTGCCTCATTTTGACGGAATGCCTCACATCCCGCTGACACCTCGAGAGGCACGCGGAGTTCATTGCTTCAAAAGGTGACGATGCCTGACTCCTCTTGAATACTGATAGGAATCCCAAAATCCCTGTGGCTACTGGAAAGGTTCCTTGGGTGCCCTGGCTCACCTCGAGAAGCGTCCCTTTTGCCCTGCCAAGCCTCGAAGAGATTCCTGAGGTGTCCCTCGTTACTAGACAGGAGTCCTGACGTCACTGAAGAAACTCGTGTTTTGAAGGGCCATCCCCGCCGTAAGTCGAGAACATACCCCAGGTCCCCGCCGCAACTCGAGAAAAACCATGAGACTTCCCCCTAGAGGCGAGATGAGGCCCCATTCCCCTGCAGTGCATGCAGAGCTATTCCGTGATCCCATTCAAACAAGTCAGGAGCTTCGACTTGCTTAATGGATCTCGAGACAGTCCCCAAGAACACTGTCACCAGTCTAGACGGACCCTGAGGTCACCCCAGCAACGCAAAGCTGCTCCATGTGCCCCAAATCAACTCGAGATGAGGCCCGATTCCCCTGCATTGACTCCAGAGCCATTCCCCGTTCCCCATTCAACACGACCGGTGGCTCGACTTCCTTCAGGCAACTGCAGAGATGCCCCGAGAACACTGCCCCAAGTCTAGAGGAACACCAACTTCAGCACAGCAACTCGAGGAATGCTCCGTGTACCCCAAATCATCTCGAGATGAGAGCTGATTCTCTGGCTTAGGCTCAAGACGTATGCCAACTTTCCAGAAGCACCTCAGGAGGAGGCTTCTCTCAGCAATAGGTATGTGGGAGCGACCCCGAGTTTGCTGCCTCAAGGGGAATACACAGGGAGAAGCCCTAACGTGAACGGAGGCCAGATTTCCTTGCAGTGGGTTGAATAAAGGCTCTTCTTCGATCTGAAAACATGAAGGGATGTCTGAATTCCCTGTGGAGACCTTAGAGGAAGCCCTAAGTCCCTGCCTCATTTTGACGGAATACCTCACATCCCCCTGACACCTCGAGAGGCACGCAGAGTTCATTGCTTCAAAAGGTGACGATGCCTGACTCCTCTTGAATACTTATAGGAATCCCAAAATCACTGTTGCTACTGGAAAGGGTCCTTGGGTGCCCTGGCTCACCTCGAGAAGCGTCCCTTTTGCCCTGCCAAGCCTCGAAGAAATTGCTGAGGTGTCCCTCGTTACTAGACAGGAGTCCTGACGTCACGGAAGAAACTCGTGTTTTGAAGGGCCATCCCCGCCGTAAGTCGAGAACATACCCCAGGTCCCCGCCGCAACTCGAGAAAAACCATGAGACTTCCCCCTAGAGGCGAGATGAGGCCCCATTCCCCTGCAGTGCATGCAGAGCTATTCCGTGATCCCATTCAAACAAGTCAGGAGCTTCGACTTGCTTAATGGATCTCGAGGCAGTCCCCAAGAACACTGTCACCAGTCTAGACGGACCCTGAAGTCACCCAGCAATGCAAAGCAGCTCCATGTGCCCCAAATCAACTCGAGATGAGGCCGGATTCCCCTGCATTGACTCCAGAGCCATTCCTTGTTCCCCATTCAACACGACCGGTGGCTCGACTTCTTTCAGGCAACTCCAGAGATGCCCCGAGAACACTGTCCCAAGTCTAGAGGACCACCAACTTCAGCACAGCAACTCGAGAAATGCTCTGTGTACCCCAAATCGTCTCGAGATGAGAGCTGATTCCCTGGCTTAGGCTCAAGACGTATGCCACCTTTCCAGAAGCACCTCAGGAGGAGGCTTCTCTCAGCAATAGGTATGTGGGAGGGACCCCGAGTTTGCTGCCTCAAGGGGAATATACAGCGAGAAGCCCTAACTTGAAAGGAGGCCGGATTTCCTTGCAGTGGCTTGAATACAGGCTCGTCTTTCATCTCACAACATGAAGGGATGTCTGAATCCCCTGTGGAGACCTTAGAGAAAGCCCTAGGTCCTTGCCTCATTTTGACGGAATCCTCATATCCCGCTGACACCTCGAGAGGCACGCGGAGTTCATTGCTTCAAAAGGTGACGATGCCTGACTCCTCTTGAATACTTATAGGAATCCCAAAATCCCTGTGGCTACTGGAAAGGGTCCTTGGGTGCCCTGCCTCACCTCGAGAAGCGTCCCTTTTGCCCTGCCAAGACTCGAAGAAATTGCTGAGGTGTCCCTCGTTACTAGACAGGAGTCCTGACGTCACGGAAGAAACTCGTGTTTTGAAGGGCCATCCCCGCCGTAAGTCGAGAACATAACCCAGGTCCCCGCCGCAACTCGAGAAAAACCATGAGACTTCCCCCTAGAGGCGAGATGAGGCCCCATTCCCCTGCAGTGCATGCAGAGCTATTCCGTGATCCCATTCAAACAAGTCAGGAGCTTCGACTTGCTTAATGGATCTCGAGACAGTCCCCAAGAACACTGTCACCAGTCTAGACGGACCCTGAGGTCACCAAAGCAACGCAAAGCAGATCCATGTGCCCCAAATCAACTCGAGATGAGGCCGGATTCCCCTGCATTGACTCCAGAGCAATTCCTTGTTCCCCATTCAACACGACCGGTGGCTCGACTTCCTTCAGGCAACTCCAGAGATGCCCCGAGAACACTGTCCCAAGTCTAGAGGAACACCAACTTCAGCACAGCAACTCGAGGAATGCTCTGTGTACCCCAAATCGTCTCGAGATGAGAGCTGATTCCCTGGCTTAGGCTCAAGACGTATGCCAACTTTCCAGAAGCACCTCAGGAGGAGGCTTCTCAGCAATAGGTATGTGGGAGGGACTCCGAGTTTGCTGCCTCAAGGGGAATATACAGCGAGAAGCCCTAACTTGAAAGGAGGCCGGATTTCTTTGCAGTGGCTTGAATACAGGCTCGTCTTTCATCTCACAACATGAAGGGATGTCTGAGTGCCCTGTGGAGACCTTAGAGAAAGCCCTAGGTCCCTGCCTCATTTTGACGGAATGCCTCACATCCCGCTGACACCTCGAGAGGCACGCGGAGTTCATGGCTTCAAAAGGTGACGATGCCTGACTCCTCTTGAATACTGATAGGAATCCCAAAATCCCTGTGGCTACTGGAAAGGGTCCTTGGGTGCCCTGCCTCACCTCGAGAAGCGTCCCTTTTGCCCTGCCAAGACTCGAAGAGATTCCTGAGGTGTCACTCATTACTAGGCAGGCGTCCTGACCTCACTGAAGAAAGTCGTGTTTTGAAGGGCCATCCCTGCCGTAAGTCGAGAACATACCCCAGGTCCCCGCCGCAACTCGAGAAAAACCATGAGACTTCCCCCTAGAGGCGAGATGAGGCCCCATTCCCCTGCAGTGCATGCAGAGCTATTCCGTGATCCCATTCAAACAAGTCAGGAGCTTCGACTTGCTTAATGGATCTCGAGACAGTCCCCAAGAACACTGTCACCAGTCTAGACGGACCCTGAGGTCACCCCAGCAACGCAAAGCTGCTCCATGTGCCCCAAATCAACTCGAGATGAGGCCCGATTCCCCTGCATTGACTCCAGAGCCATTCCCCGTTCCCCATTCAACACGACCGGTGGCTCGACTTCCTTCAGGCAACTCCAGGGATGCCCCGAGAACACTGTCCCAAGTCTAGAGGAACACCAACTTCAGCACAGCAACTCGAGGAATGCTCTGTGTACCACAAATCGTCTCGAGATGAGAGCTGATTCCCTGGCTTAGGCTCAAGACGTATGCCACCTTTCCAGAAGCACCTCAGGAGGAGGCTTCTCTCAGCAATAGGTATGTGGGAGGGACCCCGAGTTTGCTGCCTCAAGGGTAATATACCGCGAGAAGCCCTAACTTGAAAGGAGGCCGGATTTCCTTGCAGTGGCTTGAATACAGGCTCGTCTTTCATCTCACAACATGAAGGGATGTCTGAATCCCCTGTGGAGACCTTAGAGAAAGCCCTAGGTCCCTGCCTCATTTTGACGGAATGCCTCACATCCCGCTGACACCTCGAGAGGCACGCGGAGTTCATTGCTTCAAAAGGTGACGATGCCTGACTCCTCTTGAATACTGATAGGAATCCCAAAATCCCTGTGGCTACTGGAAAGGGTCCTTGGGTGCCCTGGCTCACCTCGAGAAGCGTCCCTTTTGCCCTGCCAAGCCTCGAAGAGATTGCTGAGGTGTCCCTCGTTACTAGACAGGAGTCCTGACGTCACTGAAGAAACTCGTGTTTTGAAGGGCCATCCCCGCCGTAAGTCGAGAACATACCCCAGGTCCCTGCCGCAACTCGAGAAAAACCATGAGACTTCCCCCTAGAGGCGAGATGAGGCCCCATTCCCCTGCAGTGCATGCAGAGCTATTCCGTGATCCCATTCAAACAAGTCAGGAGCTTCGACTTGCTTAATGGATCTCGAGACAGTCCCCAAGAACACTGTCACCAGTCTAGACGGACCCTGAGGTCACCCAGCAATGCAAAGCAGCTCCATGTGCCCCAAATCAACTCGAGATGAGGCCCGATTCCCCTGCATTGACTCCAGAGCCATTCCCCGTTCCCCATTCAACACGACCGGTGGCTCGACTTCCTTCAGGCAACTCCAGGGATGCCCCGAGAACACTGTCCCAAGTCTAGAGGAATACCAACTTCAGCACAGCAACTCGAGGAATGCTCTGTGTACCCCAAATCGTCTCGAGATGAGAGCTGATTCCCTGGCTTAGGCTCAAGACGTATGCCACCTTTCAAGAAGCACCTCAGGAGGAGGCTTCTCTCAGCAATAGGTATGTGGGAGGGACCCCGAGTTAGCTGCCTCAAGGGGAATATACAGCGAGAAGCCCTAACTTGAAAGGAGGCCGGATTTCCTTCCAGTGGCTTGAATACAGGCTCGTCTTTCATCTCACAACATGAAGGGATGTCTGAATCCCCTGTGGAGACCTTAGAGAAAGCCCTAGGTCCCTGCCTCATTTTGACGGAATCCTCACATCCCGCTGACACCTCGAGAGGCACGCGGAGTTCATTGCTTCAAAAGGTGACGATGCCTGACTCCTCTAGAATACTTATAGGAATCCCAAAATCCTTGTGGCTACTGGAAAGGGTCCTTGGGTGCCCTGGCTCACCTCGAGAAGCGTCCCTTTTGACCTGCCAAGCCTCGAAGAGATTCCTGAGGTGTCCCTCGTTACTAGACAGGAGTCCTGACGTCACTGAAGAAACTCGTGTTTTGAAGGGCCATCCCCGCCGTAAGTCGAGAACATAACCCAGGTCCCCGCCGCAACGCGAGAAAAACCATGAGACTTCCCCCTAGAGGCGAGATGAGGCCCCATTCCCCTGCAATGCATGCAGAGCTATTCCGTGATCCCATTCAAACAAGTCAGGAGCTTCGACTTGCTTAATGGATCTCGAGACAGTCCCCAAGAACACTGTCACCAGTCTAGACGGACCCTGAGGTCACCCCAGCAACGCAAAGCTGCTCCATGTGCCCCAAATCAACTCGAGATGAGGCCCGATTCCCCTGCATTGACTCCAGAGCCATTCCCCGTTCCCCATTCAACACGACCGGTGGCTCGACTTCCTTCAGGCAACTGCAGAGATGCCCCGAGAACACTGCCCCAAGTCTAGAGGAACACCAACTTCAGCACAGCAACTCGAGGAATGCTCCGTGTACCCCAAATCATCTTGAGATGAGAGCTGATTCTCTGGCTTAGGCTCAAGACGTATGCCAACTTTCCAGAAGCACCTCAGGAGGACGCTTCTCTCAGCAATAGGTATGTGGGAGCGACCCCGAGTTTGCTGCCTCAAGGGGAATACACAGGGAGAAGCCCTAACGTGAACGGAGGCCAGATTTCCTTGCAGTGGGTTGAATAAAGGCTCGTCTTCGATCTGAAAACATGAAGGGATGTCTGAATCCCCTGTGGAGACCTTAGAGGAAGCCCTAGGTCCCTGCCTCATTTTGACGGAATCCTCACATCCCGCTGACACCTCGAGAGGCACGCGGAGTTCATTGCTTCAAAAGGTGACGATGCCTGACTCCTCTTGAATACTTATAGGAATCCCAAAATCCCTGTGGCTACTGGAAAGGGTCCTTGGGTGCCCTGGCTCACCTCGAGAAGCGTCCCTTTTGCCCTGCCAAGCCTCGAAGAGATTGCTGAGGTGTCCCTCGTTACTAGACAGGAGTCCTGACGTCACTGAAGAAACTCGTGTTTTGAAGGGCCATCCCCGCCGTAAGTCGAGAACATACCCCAGGTCCGCGCCGCAACTCGAGAAAAACCATGAGACTTCCCCCTAGAGGCGAGATGAGGCCCCATTCCCCTGCAGTGCATGCAGAGCTATTCCGTGATCCCATTCAAACAAGTCAGGAGCTTCGACTTGCTTAATGGATCTCGAGACAGTCCCCAAGAACACTGTCACCAGTCTAGACGGACCCTGAGGTCACCCCAGCAATGCAAAGCAGCTCCATGTGCCCCAAATCAACTCGAGATGAGGCCCGATTCCCCTGCATTGACTCCAGAGCCATTCCCCGTTCCCCATTCAACACGACTGGTGGCTCGCTTTCCTTCAGGCAACTCCAGAGATGCCCCGAGAACACTGTCCCAAGTCTAGAGGAACACCAACTTCAGCACAGCAACTCGAGGAATGCTCTGTGTACCCCAAATCGTCTCGAGATGAGAGCTGATTCCCTGGCTTAGGCTCAAGACGTATGCCAACTTTCCAGAAGCACCTCAGGAGGAGGCTTCTCAGCAATAGGTATGTGGGAGGGACTCCGAGTTTGCTGCCTCGAGGGGAATATACAGCGAGAAGCCCTAACTTGAAAGGAGGCCGGATTTCCTTGCAGTAGCTTGAATACAGGCTTGTCTTTCATCTCACAACATGAAGGGATGTCTGAATCCCCTGTGAAGACCTTAGAGAAAGCCCTAGGACCCTGCCTCATTTTGACGGAATGCCTCACATCCCGCTGACAACTCGAGAGGCACGCGGAGTTCATTGCTTCAAAAGGTGACGATGCCTGACTCCTCTTGAATACTGATAGGAATCCCAAAATCCCTGTGGCTACTGGAAAGGTTCCTTGGGTGCCCTGGCTCACCTCGAAAAGCGTCCCTTTTGCCCTGCCAAGCCTCGAAGAGATTCCTGAGGTGTCCCTCGTTACTAGACAGGAGTCCTGACGTCACTGAAGAAACTCGTGTTTTGAAGGGCCATCCCCGCCGTAAGTCGAGAACATACCCCAGGTCCCCGACGCAACTCGAGAAAAACCATGAGACTTCCCCCTAGAGGCGAGATGAGGCCCCATTCCCCTGCAGTGCATGCAGAGCTATTCCGTGATCCCATTCAAACAACTCAGGAGCTTCGACTTGCTTAATGGATCTCGAGACAGTCCCCAAGAACACTGTCACCAGTCTAGACGGACCCTGAGGTCACCCCAGCAACGCAAAGCTGCTCTATGTGCCCAAAATCAACTCGAGATGAGGCCCGATTCCCCTGCATTGACTCCAGAGCCATTCCCCGTTCCCCATTCAACACGACCGGTGGCTCGACTTCCTTCAGGCAACTGCAGAGATGCCCCGAGAACACTGCCCCGTCTAGAGGAACACCAACTTCAGCACAGCAACTCGAGGAATGCTCCGTGTACACCAAATCATCTCGAGATGAGAGCTGATTCTCTGGCTTAGGCTCAAGACGTATGCCAACTTTCCAGAAGCACCTCAGGAGGAGGCTTCTCTCAGCAATAGGTATGTGGGAGCGACCCCGAGTATGATGCCTCAAGGGGAATACACAGGGAGAAGCCGTAACGTGAACAGAGGCCAGATTTCCTTGCAGTGGGTTGAATAAAGGCTCGTCTTCGATCTGAAAACATGAAGGGATGTCTGAATTCCCTGTGGAGACCTTAGAGGAAGCCCTAGGTCCCTGCCTCATTTTGACGGAATACCTCACATCCCCCTGACACCTCGAGAGGCACGCAGAGTTCATTGCTTCAAAAGGTGACGATGCCTGACTCCTCTTGAATACTTATAGGAATCCCAAAATCCCTGTAGCTACTGGAAAGGGTCCTTGGGTGCCCTGGCTCACCTCGAGAAGCGTCCCTTTTGCCCTGCCAAGCCTCGAAGAAATTGCTGAGGTGTCCCTCGTTACTAGACAGGAGTCCTGACGTCACGGAAGAAACTCGAGTTTTGAAGGGCCATCCCCGCCGTAAGTCGAGAACATGCCCCAGGTCCCCGCCGCAACTCGAGAAAAACCATGAGACTTCCCCCTAGAGGCGAGATGAGGCCCCATTCCCCTGCAGTGCATGCAGAGCTATTCCGTGATCCCATTCAAACAAGTCAGGAGCTTCGACTTGCTTAATGGATCTCGAGACAGTCCCCAAGAACACTGTCACCAGTCTAGACGGACCCTGAGGTCACCCCAGCAACGCAAAGCTGCTCCATGTGCCCCAAATCAACTCGAGATGAGGCCCGATTCCCCTGCATTGACTCCAGAGCCATTCCTTGTTCCCCATTCAACACGACCGGTGGCTTGACTTCCTTCAGGCAACTCCAGAGATGCCTCGAGAGCACTATCCCAAGTCTAGAGGACCACCAACTTCAGCAGAGCAACTCGAGGAATGCTCTGTGTACCCCAAATCGTCTCGAGATGAGAGCTGATTCCCTGGCTTAGGCTCAAGACGTATGCCACCTTTCCAGAAGCACCTCAGGAGGAGGCTTCTCTCAGCAATAGGTATGTGGGAGGGACCCCGAGTTTGCTGCCTCAAGGGGAATATACAGCGAGAAGCCCTAACTTGAAAGGAGGCCGGATTTCCTTGCAGTGGCTTGAATACAGGCTCGTCTTTCATCTCACAACATGAAGGGATGTCTGAATCCCCTGTGGAGACCTTAGAGAAAGCCCTAGGTCCCTGCCTCATTTTGACGGAATCCTCACATCCCGCTGACACCTCGAGAGGCACGCGGAGTTCATTGCTTCAAAAGGTGACGATGCCTGACTCCTCTAGAATACTTATAGGAATCCCAAAATCCCTGTGGCTACTGGAAAGGGTCCTTGGGTGCCCTGGCTCACCTCGAGAAGCGTCCCTTTTGACCTGCCAAGCCTGGAAGAGATTCCTGAGGTGTCCCTGGTTACTAGACAGGAGTCCTGACGTCACTGAAGAAACTCGTGTTTTGAAGGGCCATCCCCGCCGTAAGTCGAGAACATAACCCAGGTCCCCGCCGCAACGCGAGAAAAACCATGAGACTTCCCCCTAGAGGCGAGATGAGGCCCCATTCCCCTGCAGTGCATGCAGAGCTATTCCGTGATCCCATTCAAACAAGTCAGGAGCTTCGACTTGCTTAATGGATCTCGAGACAGTCCCCAAGAACACTGTCACCAGTCTAGACGGACCCTGAGGTCACCCCAGCAACGCAAAGCTGCTCCATGTGCCCCAAATCAACTCGAGATGAGGCCCGATTCCCCTGCATTGACTCCAGAGCCATTCCCCGTTCCCCATTCAACACGACCGGTGGCTCGACTTCCTTCAGGCAACTGAAGAGATGCCCCGAGAACACTGCCCCAAGTCTAGAGGAACACCAACTTCAGCACAGCAACTCGAGGAATGCTCCGTGTACCCCAAATCATCTCGAGATGAGAGCTGATTCTCTGGCTTAGGCTCAAGACGTATGCCAACTTTCCAGAAGCACCTCAGGAGGACGCTTCTCTCAGCAATAGGTATGTGGGAGCGACCCCGAGTTTGCTGCCTCAAGGGGAATACACAGGGAGAAGCCGTAACGTGAACAGAGGCCAGATTTCCTTGCAGTGGGTTGAATAAAGGCTCGTCTTCGATCTGAAAACATGAAGGGATGTCTGAATTCCCTGTGGAGACCTTAGAGGAAGCCCTAGGTCCCTGCCTCATTTTGACGGAATACCTCACATCCCCCTGACACCTCGAGAGGCACGCAGAGTTCATTGCTTCAAAAGGTGACGATGCCTGACTCCTCTTGAATACTTATAGGAATCCCAAAATCCCTGTAGCTACTGGAAAGGGTCCTTGGGTGCCCTGGCTCACCTCGAGAAGCGTCCCTTTTGCCCTGCCAAGCCTCGAAGAAATTGCTGAGGTGTCCCTCGTTACTAGACAGGAGTCCTGACGTCACGGAAGAAACTCGAGTTTTGAAGGGCCATCCCCGCCGTAAGTCGAGAACATACCCCAGGTCCCCGCCGCAACTCGAGAAAAACCATGAGACTTCCCCCTAGAGGCGAGATGAGGCCCCATTCCCCTGCAGTGCATGCAGAGCTATTCCGTGATCCCATTCAAACAAGTCAGGAGCTTCGACTTGCTTAATGGATCTCGAGACAGTCCCCAAGAACACTGTCACCAGTCTAGACGGACCCTGAGGTCACCCCAGCAACGCAAAGCTGCTCCATGTGCCCCAAATCAACTCGAGATGAGGCCCGATTCCCCTGCATTGACTCCAGAGCCATTCCTTGTTCCCCATTCAACACGACCGGTGGCTTGACTTCCTTCAGGCAACTCCAGAGATGCCTCGAGAGCACTATCCCAAGTCTAGAGGACCACCAACTTCAGCAGAGCAACTCGAGGAATGCTCTGTGTACCCCAAATCGTCTCGAGATGAGAGCTGATTCCCTGGCTTAGGCTCAAGACGTATGCCACCTTTCCAGAAGCACCTCAGGAGGAGGCTTCTCTCAGCAATAGGTATGTGGGAGGGACCCCGAGTTTGCTGCCTCAAGGGGAATATACAGCGAGAAGCCCTAACTTGAAAGGAGGCCGGATTTCCTTGCAGTGGCTTGAATACAGGCTCGTCTTTCATCTCACAACATGAAGGGATGTCTGAATCCCCTGTGGAGACCTTAGAGAAAGCCCTAGGTCCCTGCCTCATTTTGACGGAATCCTCACATCCCGCTGACACCTCGAGAGGCACGCGGAGTTCATTGCTTCAAAAGGTGACGATGCCTGACTCCTCTAGAATACTTATAGGAATCCCAAAATCCCTGTGGCTACTGGAAAGGGTCCTTGGGTGCCCTGGCTCACCTCGAGAAGCGTCCCTTTTGACCTGCCAAGCCTCGAAGAGATTCCTGAGGTGTCCCTGGTTACTAGACAGGAGTCCTGACGTCACTGAAGAAACTCGTGTTTTGAAGGGCCATCCCCGCCGTAAGTCGAGAACATAACCCAGGTCCCCGCCGCAACGCGAGAAAAACCATGAGACTTCCCCCTAGAGGCGAGATGAGGCCCCATTCCCCTGCAGTGCATGCAGAGCTATTCCGTGATCCCATTCAAACAAGTCAGGAGCTTCGACTTGCTTAATGGATCTCGAGACAGTCCCCAAGAACACTGTCACCAGTCTAGACGGACCCTGAGGTCACCCCAGCAACGCAAAGCTGCTCCATGTGCCCCAAATCAACTCGAGATGAGGCCCGATTCCCCTGCATTGACTCCAGAGCCATTCCCCGTTCCCCATTCAACACGACCGGTGGCTCGACTTCCTTCAGGCAACTGAAGAGATGCCCCGAGAACACTGCCCCAAGTCTAGAGGAACACCAACTTCAGCACAGCAACTCGAGGAATGCTCCGTGTACCCCAAATCATCTCGAGATGAGAGCTGATTCTCTGGCTTAGGCTCAAGACGTATGCCAACTTTCCAGAAGCACCTCAGGAGGACGCTTCTCTCAGCAATAGGTATGTGGGAGCGACCCCGAGTTTGCTGCCTCAAGGGGAATACACAGGGAGAAGCCGTAACGTGAACAGAGGCCAGATTTCCTTGCAGTGGGTTGAATAAAGGCTCGTCTTCGATCTGAAAACATGAAGGGATGTCTGAATTCCCTGTGGAGACCTTAGAGGAAGCCCTAGGTCCCTGCCTCATTTTGACGGAATACCTCACATCCCCCTGACACCTCGAGAGGCACGCAGAGTTCATTGCTTCAAAAGGTGACGATGCCTGACTCCTCTTGAATACTTATAGGAATCCCAAAATCCCTGTAGCTACTGGAAAGGGTCCTTGGGTGCCCTGGCTCACCTCGAGAAGCGTCCCTTTTGCCCTGCCAAGCCTCGAAGAAATTGCTGAGGTGTCCCTCGTTACTAGACAGGAGTCCTGACGTCACGGAAGAAACTCGAGTTTTGAAGGGCCATCCCCGCCGTAAGTCGAGAACATACCCCAGGTCCCCGCCGCAACTCGAGAAAAACCATGAGACTTCCCCCTAGAGGCGAGATGAGGCCCCATTCCCCTGCAGTGCATGCAGAGCTATTCCGTGATCCCATTCAAACAAGTCAGGAGCTTCGACTTGCTTAATGGATCTCGAGACAGTCCCCAAGAACACTGTCACCAGTCTAGACGGACCCTGAGGTCACCCCAGCAACGCAAAGCTGCTCCATGTGCCCCAAATCAACTCGAGATGAGGCCCGATTCCCCTGCATTGACTCCAGAGCCATTCCTTGTTCCCCATTCAACACGACCGGTGGCTTGACTTCCTTCAGGCAACTCCAGAGATGCCTCGAGAGCACTATCCCAAGTCTAGAGGACCACCAACTTCAGCAGAGCAACTCGAGGAATGCTCTGTGTACCCCAAATCGTCTCGAGATGAGAGCTGATTCCCTGGCTTAGGCTCAAGACGTATGCCACCTTTCCAGAAGCACCTCAGGAGGAGGCTTCTCTCAGCAATAGGTATGTGGGAGGGACCCCGAGTTTGCTGCCTCAAGGGGAATATACAGCGAGAAGCCCTAACTTGAAAGGAGGCCGGATTTCCTTGCAGTGGCTTGAATACAGGCTCGTCTTTCATCTCACAACATGAAGGGATGTCTGAATCCCCTGTGGAGACCTTAGAGAAAGCCCTAGGTCCCTGCCTCATTTTGACGGAATCCTCACATCCCGCTGACACCTCGAGAGGCACGCGGAGTTCATTGCTTCAAAAGGTGACGATGCCTGACTCCTCTAGAATACTTATAGGAATCCCAAAATCCCTGTGGCTACTGGAAAGGGTCCTTGGGTGCCCTGGCTCACCTCGAGAAGCGTCCCTTTTGACCTGCCAAGCCTCGAAGAGATTCCTGAGGTGTCCCTGGTTACTAGACAGGAGTCCTGACGTCACTGAAGAAACTCGTGTTTTGAAGGGCCATCCCCGCCGTAAGTCGAGAACATAAGCCAGGTCCCCGCCGCAACGCGAGAAAAACCATGAGACTTCCCCCTAGAGGCGAGATGAGGCCCCATTCCCCTGCAGTGCATGCAGAGCTATTCCGTGATCCCATTCAAACAAGTCAGGAGCTTCGACTTGCTTAATGGATCTCGAGACAGTCCCCAAGAACACTGTCACCAGTCTAGACGGACCCTGAGGTCACCCCAGCAACGCAAAGCTGCTCCATGTGCCCCAAATCAACTCGAGATGAGGCCCGATTCCCCTGCATTGACTCCAGAGCCATTCCCCGTTCCCCATTCAACACGACCGGTGGCTCGACTTCCTTCAGGCAACTGAAGAGATGCCCCGAGAACACTGCCCCAAGTCTAGAGGAACACCAACTTCAGCACAGCAACTCGAGGAATGCTCCGTGTACCCCAAATCATCTCGAGATGAGAGCTGATTCTCTGGCTTAGGCTCAAGACGTATGCCAACTTTCCAGAAGCACCTCAGGAGGACGCTTCTCTCAGCAATAGGTATGTGGGAGCGACCCCGAGTTTGCTGCCTCAAGGGGAATACACAGGGAGAAGCCGTAACGTGAACAGAGGCCAGATTTCCTTGCAGTGGGTTGAATAAAGGCTCGTCTTCGATCTGAAAACATGAAGGGATGTCTGAATTCCCTGTGGAGACCTTAGAGGAAGCCCTAGGTCCCTGCCTCATTTTGACGGAATACCTCACATCCCCCTGACACCTCGAGAGGCACGCAGAGTTCATTGCTTCAAAAGGTGACGATGCCTGACTCCTCTTGAATACTTATAGGAATCCCAAAATCCCTGTAGCTACTGGAAAGGGTCCTTGGGTGCCCTGGCTCACCTCGAGAAGCGTCCCTTTTGCCCTGCCAAGCCTCGAAGAAATTGCTGAGGTGTCCCTCGTTACTAGACAGGAGTCCTGACGTCACGGAAGAAACTCGAGTTTTGAAGGGCCATCCCCGCCGTAAGTCGAGAACATACCCCAGGTCCCCGCCGCAACTCGAGAAAAACCATGAGACTTCCCTCTAGAGGCGAGATGAGGCCCCATTCCCCTGCAGTGCATGCAGAGCTATTCCGTGATCCCATTCAAACAAGTCAGGAGCTTCGACTTGCTTAATGGATCTCGAGACAGTCCCCAAGAACACTGTCACCAGTCTAGACGGACCCTGAGGTCACCCCAGCAACGCAAAGCTGCTCCATGTGCCCCAAATCAACTCGAGATGAGGCCCGATTCCCCTGCATTGACTCCAGAGCCATTCCTTGTTCCCCATTCAACACGACCGGTGGCTTGACTTCCTTCAGGCAACTCCAGAGATGCCTCGAGAGCACTATCCCAAGTCTAGAGGACCACCAACTTCAGCAGAGCAACTCGAGGAATGCTCTGTGTACCCCAAATCGTCTCGAGATGAGAGCTGATTCCCTGGCTTAGGCTCAAGACGTATGCCACCTTTCCAGAAGCACCTCAGGAGGAGGCTTCTCTCAGCAATAGGTATGTGGGAGGGACCCCGAGTTTGCTGCCTCAAGGGGAATATACAGCGAGAAGCCCTAACTTGAAAGGAGGCCGGATTTCCTTGCAGTGGCTTGAATACAGGCTCGTCTTTCATCTCACAACATGAAGGGATGTCTGAATCCCCTGTGGAGACCTTAGAGAAAGCCCTAGGTCCCTGCCTCATTTTGACGGAATCCTCACATCCCGCTGACACCTCGAGAGGCACGCGGAGTTCATTGCTTCAAAAGGTGACGATGCCTGACTCCTCTAGAATACTTATAGGAATCCCAAAATCCCTGTGGCTACTGGAAAGGGTCCTTGGGTGCCCTGGCTCACCTCGAGAAGCGTCCCTTTTGACCTGCCAAGCCTCGAAGAGATTCCTGAGGTGTCCCTGGTTACTAGACAGGAGTCCTGACGTCACTGAAGAAACTCGTGTTTTGAAGGGCCATCCCCGCCGTAAGTCGAGAACATACCCCAGGTCCCCGCCGCAACGCGAGAAAAACCATGAGACTTCCCCCTAGAGGCGAGATGAGGCCCCATTCCCCTGCAGTGCATGCAGAGCTATTCCGTGATCCCATTCAAACAAGTCAGGAGCTTCGACTTGCTTAATGGATCTCGAGACAGTCCCCAAGAACACTGTCACCAGTCTAGACGGACCCTGAGGTCACCCCAGCAACGCAAAGCTGCTCCATGTGCCCCAAATCAACTTGAGATGAGGCCCGATTCCCCTGCATTGACTCCAGAGCCATTCCCCGTTCCCCATTCAACACGACCGGTGGCTCGACTTCCTTCAGGCAACTGAAGAGATGCCCCGAGAACACTGCCCCAAGTCTAGAGGAACACCAACTTCAGCACAGCAACTCGAGGAATGCTCCGTGTACCCCAAATCATCTCGAGATGAGAGCTGATTCTCTGGCTTAGGCTCAAGACGTATGCCAACTTTCCAGAAGCACCTCAGGAGGACGCTTCTCTCAGCAATAGGTATGTGGGAGCGACCCCGAGTTTGCTGCCTCAAGGGGAATACACAGGGAGAAGCCGTAACGTGAACAGAGGCCAGATTTCCTTGCAGTGGGTTGAATAAAGGCTCGTCTTCGATCTGAAAACATGAAGGGATGTCTGAATTCCCTGTGGAGACCTTAGAGGAAGCCCTAGGTCCCTGCCTCATTTTGACGGAATACCTCACATCCCCCTGACACCTCGAGAGGCACGCAGAGTTCATTGCTTCAAAAGGTGACGATGCCTGACTCCTCTTGAATACTTATAGGAATCCCAAAATCCCTGTAGCTACTGGAAAGGGTCCTTGGGTGCCCTGGCTCACCTCGAGAAGCGTCCCTTTTGCCCTGCCAAGCCTCGAAGAAATTGCTGAGGTGTCCCTCGTTACTAGACAGGAGTCCTGACGTCACGGAAGAAACTCGAGTTTTGAAGGGCCATCCCCGCCGTAAGTCGAGAACATACCCCAGGTCCCCGCCGCAACTCGAGAAAAACCATGAGACTTCCCCCTAGAGGCGAGATGAGGCCCCATTCCCCTGCAGTGCATGCAGAGCTATTCCGTGATCCCATTCAAACAAGTCAGGAGCTTCGACTTGCTTAATGGATCTCGAGACAGTCCCCAAGAACACTGTCACCAGTCTAGACGGACCCTGAGGTCACCCCAGCAACGCAAAGCTGCTCCATGTGCCCCAAATCAACTCGAGATGAGGCCCGATTCCCCTGCATTGACTCCAGAGCCATTCCTTGTTCCCCATTCAACACGACCGGTGGCTTGACTTCCTTCAGGCAACTCCAGAGATGCCTCGAGAGCACTATCCCAAGTCTAGAGGACCACCAACTTCAGCAGAGCAACTCGAGGAATGCTCTGTGTACCCCAAATCGTCTCGAGATGAGAGCTGATTCCCTGGCTTAGGCTCAAGACGTATGCCACCTTTCCAGAAGCACCTCAGGAGGAGGCTTCTCTCAGCAATAGGTATGTGGGAGGGACCCCGAGTTTGCTGCCTCAAGGGGAATATACAGCGAGAAGCCCTAACTTGAAAGGAGGCCGGATTTCCTTGCAGTGGCTTGAATACAGGCTCGTCTTTCATCTCACAACATGAAGGGATGTCTGAATCCCCTGTGGAGACCTTAGAGAAAGCCCTAGGTCCCTGCCTCATTTTGACGGAATCCTCACATCCCGCTGACACCTCGAGAGGCACGCGGAGTTCATTGCTTCAAAAGGTGACGATGCCTGACTCCTCTAGAATACTTATAGGAATCCCAAAATCCCTGTGGCTACTGGAAAGGGTCCTTGGGTGCCCTGGCTCACCTCGAGAAGCGTCCCTTTTGACCTGCCAAGCCTCGAAGAGATTCCTGAGGTGTCCCTGGTTACTAGACAGGAGTCCTGACGTCACTGAAGAAACTCGTGTTTTGAAGGGCCATCCCCGCCGTAAGTCGAGAACATAACCCAGGTCCCCGCCGCAACGCGAGAAAAACCATGAGACTTCCCCCTAGAGGCGAGATGAGGCCCCATTCCCCTGCAGTGCATGCAGAGCTATTCCGTGATCCCATTCAAACAAGTCAGGAGCTTCGACTTGCTTAATGGATCTCGAGACAGTCCCCAAGAACACTGTCACCAGTCTAGACGGACCCTGAGGTCACCCCAGCAACGCAAAGCTGCTCCATGTGCCCCAAATCAACTCGAGATGAGGCCCGATTCCCCTGCATTGACTCCAGAGCCATTCCCCGTTCCCCATTCAACACGACCGGTGGCTCGACTTCCTTCAGGCAACTGAAGAGATGCCCCGAGAACACTGCCCCAAGTCTAGAGGAACACCAACTTCAGCACAGCAACTCGAGGAATGCTCCGTGTACCCCAAATCATCTCGAGATGAGAGCTGATTCTCTGGCTTAGGCTCAAGACGTATGCCAACTTTCCAGAAGCACCTCAGGAGGACGCTTCTCTCAGCAATAGGTATGTGGGAGCGACCCCGAGTTTGCTGCCTCAAGGGGAATACACAGGGAGAAGCCGTAACGTGAACAGAGGCCAGATTTCCTTGCAGTGGGTTGAATAAAGGCTCGTCTTCGATCTGAAAACATGAAGGGATGTCTGAATTCCCTGTGGAGACCTTAGAGGAAGCCCTAGGTCCCTGCCTCATTTTGACGGAATACCTCACATCCCCCTGACACCTCGAGAGGCACGCAGAGTTCATTGCTTCAAAAGGTGACGATGCCTGACTCCTCTTGAATACTTATAGGAATCCCAAAATCCCTGTAGCTACTGGAAAGGGTCCTTGGGTGCCCTGGCTCACCTCGAGAAGCGTCCCTTTTGCCCTGCCAAGCCTCGAAGAAATTGCTGAGGTGTCCCTCGTTACTAGACAGGAGTCCTGACGTCACGGAAGAAACTCGAGTTTTGAAGGGCCATCCCCGCCGTAAGTCGAGAACATACCCCAGGTCCCCGCCGCAACTCGAGAAAAACCATGAGACTTCCCCCTAGAGGCGAGATGAGGCCCCATTCCCCTGCAGTGCATGCAGAGCTATTCCGTGATCCCATTCAAACAAGTCAGGAGCTTCGACTTGCTTAATGGATCTCGAGACAGTCCCCAAGAACACTGTCACCAGTCTAGACGGACCCTGAGGTCACCCCAGCAACGCAAAGCTGCTCCATGTGCCCCAAATCAACTCGAGATGAGGCCCGATTCCCCTGCATTGACTCCAGAGCCATTCCTTGTTCCCCATTCAACACGACCGGTGGCTTGACTTCCTTCAGGCAACTCCAGAGATGCCTCGAGAGCACTATCCCAAGTCTAGAGGACCACCAACTTCAGCAGAGCAACTCGAGGAATGCTCTGTGTACCCCAAATCGTCTCGAGATGAGAGCTGATTCCCTGGCTTAGGCTCAAGACGTATGCCACCTTTCCAGAAGCACCTCAGGAGGAGGCTTCTCTCAGCAATAGGTATGTGGGAGGGACCCCGAGTTTGCTGCCTCAAGGGGAATATACAGCGAGAAGCCCTAACTTGAAAGGAGGCCGGATTTCCTTGCAGTGGCTTGAATACAGGCTCGTCTTTCATCTCACAACATGAAGGGATGTCTGAATCCCCTGTGGAGACCTTAGAGAAAGCCCTAGGTCCCTGCCTCATTTTGACGGAATCCTCACATCCCGCTGACACCTCGAGAGGCACGCGGAGTTCATTGCTTCAAAAGGTGACGATGCCTGACTCCTCTAGAATACTTATAGGAATCCCAAAATCCCTGTGGCTACTGGAAAGGGTCCTTGGGTGCCCTGGCTCACCTCGAGAAGCGTCCCTTTTGACCTGCCAAGCCTCGAAGAGATTCCTGAGGTGTCCCTGGTTACTAGACAGGAGTCCTGACGTCACTGAAGAAACTCGTGTTTTGAAGGGCCATCCCCGCCGTAAGTCGAGAACATAAGCCAGGTCCCCGCCGCAACGCGAGAAAAACCATGAGACTTCCCCCTAGAGGCGAGATGAGGCCCCATTCCCCTGCAGTGCATGCAGAGCTATTCCGTGATCCCATTCAAACAAGTCAGGAGCTTCGACTTGCTTAATGGATCTCGAGACAGTCCCCAAGAACACTGTCACCAGTCTAGACGGACCCTGAGGTCACCCCAGCAACGCAAAGCTGCTCCATGTGCCCCAAATCAACTCGAGATGAGGCCCGATTCCCCTGCATTGACTCCAGAGCCATTCCCCGTTCCCCATTCAACACGACCGGTGGCTCGACTTCCTTCAGGCAACTGAAGAGATGCCCCGAGAACACTGCCCCAAGTCTAGAGGAACACCAACTTCAGCACAGCAACTCGAGGAATGCTCCGTGTACCCCAAATCATCTCGAGATGAGAGCTGATTCTCTGGCTTAGGCTCAAGACGTATGCCAACTTTCCAGAAGCACCTCAGGAGGACGCTTCTCTCAGCAATAGGTATGTGGGAGCGACCCCGAGTTTGCTGCCTCAAGGGGAATACACAGGGAGAAGCCGTAACGTGAACAGAGGCCAGATTTCCTTGCAGTGGGTTGAATAAAGGCTCGTCTTCGATCTGAAAACATGAAGGGATGTCTGAATTCCCTGTGGAGACCTTAGAGGAAGCCCTAGGTCCCTGCCTCATTTTGACGGAATACCTCACATCCCCCTGACACCTCGAGAGGCACGCAGAGTTCATTGCTTCAAAAGGTGACGATGCCTGACTCCTCTTGAATACTTATAGGAATCCCAAAATCCCTGTAGCTACTGGAAAGGGTCCTTGGGTGCCCTGGCTCACCTCGAGAAGCGTCCCTTTTGCCCTGCCAAGCCTCGAAGAAATTGCTGAGGTGTCCCTCGTTACTAGACAGGAGTCCTGACGTCACGGAAGAAACTCGAGTTTTGAAGGGCCATCCCCGCCGTAAGTCGAGAACATACCCCAGGTCCCCGCCGCAACTCGAGAAAAACCATGAGACTTCCCCCTAGAGGCGAGATGAGGCCCCATTCCCCTGCAGTGCATGCAGAGCTATTCCGTGATCCCATTCAAACAAGTCAGGAGCTTCGACTTGCTTAATGGATCTCGAGACAGTCCCCAAGAACACTGTCACCAGTCTAGACGGACCCTGAGGTCACCCCAGCAACGCAAAGCTGCTCCATGTGCCCCAAATCAACTCGAGATGAGGCCCGATTCCCCTGCATTGACTCCAGAGCCATTCCTTGTTCCCCATTCAACACGACCGGTGGCTTGACTTCCTTCAGGCAACTCCAGAGATGCCTCGAGAGCACTATCCCAAGTCTAGAGGACCACCAACTTCAGCAGAGCAACTCGAGGAATGCTCTGTGTACCCCAAATCGTCTCGAGATGAGAGCTGATTCCCTGGCTTAGGCTCAAGACGTATGCCACCTTTCCAGAAGCACCTCAGGAGGAGGCTTCTCTCAGCAATAGGTATGTGGGAGGGACCCCGAGTTTGCTGCCTCAAGGGGAATATACAGCGAGAAGCCCTAACTTGAAAGGAGGCCGGATTTCCTTGCAGTGGCTTGAATACAGGCTCGTCTTTCATCTCACAACATGAAGGGATGTCTGAATCCCCTGTGGAGACCTTAGAGAAAGCCCTAGGTCCCTGCCTCATTTTGACGGAATCCTCACATCCCGCTGACACCTCGAGAGGCACGCGGAGTTCATTGCTTCAAAAGGTGACGATGCCTGACTCCTCTAGAATACTTATAGGAATCCCAAAATCCCTGTGGCTACTGGAAAGGGTCCTTGGGTGCCCTGGCTCACCTCGAGAAGCGTCCCTTTTGACCTGCCAAGCCTCGAAGAGATTCCTGAGGTGTCCCTGGTTACTAGACAGGAGTCCTGACGTCACTGAAGAAACTCGTGTTTTGAAGGGCCATCCCCGCCGTAAGTCGAGAACATAACCCAGGTCCCCGCCGCAACGCGAGAAAAACCATGAGACTTCCCCCTAGAGGCGAGATGAGGCCCCATTCCCCTGCAGTGCATGCAGAGCTATTCCGTGATCCCATTCAAACAAGTCAGGAGCTTCGACTTGCTTAATGGATCTCGAGACAGTCCCCAAGAACACTGTCACCAGTCTAGACGGACCCTGAGGTCACCCCAGCAACGCAAAGCTGCTCCATGTGCCCCAAATCAACTTGAGATGAGGCCCGATTCCCCTGCATTGACTCCAGAGCCATTCCCCGTTCCCCATTCAACACGACCGGTGGCTCGACTTCCTTCAGGCAACTGAAGAGATGCCCCGAGAACACTGCCCCAAGTCTAGAGGAACACCAACTTCAGCACAGCAACTCGAGGAATGCTCCGTGTACCCCAAATCATCTCGAGATGAGAGCTGATTCTCTGGCTTAGGCTCAAGACGTATGCCAACTTTCCAGAAGCACCTCAGGAGGACGCTTCTCTCAGCAATAGGTATGTGGGAGCGACCCCGAGTTTGCTGCCTCAAGGGGAATACACAGGGAGAAGCCGTAACGTGAACAGAGGCCAGATTTCCTTGCAGTGGGTTGAATAAAGGCTCGTCTTCGATCTGAAAACATGAAGGGATGTCTGAATTCCCTGTGGAGACCTTAGAGGAAGCCCTAGGTCCCTGCCTCATTTTGACGGAATACCTCACATCCCCCTGACACCTCGAGAGGCACGCAGAGTTCATTGCTTCAAAAGGTGACGATGCCTGACTCCTCTTGAATACTTATAGGAATCCCAAAATCCCTGTAGCTACTGGAAAGGGTCCTTGGGTGCCCTGGCTCACCTCGAGAAGCGTCCCTTTTGCCCTGCCAAGCCTCGAAGAAATTGCTGAGGTGTCCCTCGTTACTAGACAGGAGTCCTGACGTCACGGAAGAAACTCGAGTTTTGAAGGGCCATCCCCGCCGTAAGTCGAGAACATACCCCAGGTCCCCGCCGCAACTCGAGAAAAACCATGAGACTTCCCCCTAGAGGCGAGATGAGGCCCCATTCCCCTGCAGTGCATGCAGAGCTATTCCGTGATCCCATTCAAACAAGTCAGGAGCTTCGACTTGCTTAATGGATCTCGAGACAGTCCCCAAGAACACTGTCACCAGTCTAGACGGACCCTGAGGTCACCCCAGCAACGCAAAGCTGCTCCATGTGCCCCAAATCAACTCGAGATGAGGCCCGATTCCCCTGCATTGACTCCAGAGCCATTCCTTGTTCCCCATTCAACACGACCGGTGGCTTGACTTCCTTCAGGCAACTCCAGAGATGCCTCGAGAGCACTATCCCAAGTCTAGAGGACCACCAACTTCAGCAGAGCAACTCGAGGAATGCTCTGTGTACCCCAAATCGTCTCGAGATGAGAGCTGATTCCCTGGCTTAGGCTCAAGACGTATGCCACCTTTCCAGAAGCACCTCAGGAGGAGGCTTCTCTCAGCAATAGGTATGTGGGAGGGACCCCGAGTTTGCTGCCTCAAGGGGAATATACAGCGAGAAGCCCTAACTTGAAAGGAGGCCGGATTTCCTTGCAGTGGCTTGAATACAGGCTCGTCTTTCATCTCACAACATGAAGGGATGTCTGAATCCCCTGTGGAGACCTTAGAGAAAGCCCTAGGTCCCTGCCTCATTTTGACGGAATCCTCACATCCCGCTGACACCTCGAGAGGCACGCGGAGTTCATTGCTTCAAAAGGTGACGATGCCTGACTCCTCTAGAATACTTATAGGAATCCCAAAATCCCTGTGGCTACTGGAAAGGGTCCTTGGGTGCCCTGGCTCACCTCGAGAAGCGTCCCTTTTGACCTGCCAAGCCTCGAAGAGATTCCTGAGGTGTCCCTGGTTACTAGACAGGAGTCCTGACGTCACTGAAGAAACTCGTGTTTTGAAGGGCCATCCCCGCCGTAAGTCGAGAACATAACCCAGGTCCCCGCCGCAACGCGAGAAAAACCATGAGACTTCCCCCTAGAGGCGAGATGAGGCCCCATTCCCCTGCAGTGCATGCAGAGCTATTCCGTGATCCCATTCAAACAAGTCAGGAGCTTCGACTTGCTTAATGGATCTCGAGACAGTCCCCAAGAACACTGTCACCAGTCTAGACGGACCCTGAGGTCACCCCAGCAACGCAAAGCTGCTCCATGTGCCCCAAATCAACTCGAGATGAGGCCCGATTCCCCTGCATTGACTCCAGAGCCATTCCCCGTTCCCCATTCAACACGACCGGTGGCTCGACTTCCTTCAGGCAACTGAAGAGATGCCCCGAGAACACTGCCCCAAGTCTAGAGGAACACCAACTTCAGCACAGCAACTCGAGGAATGCTCCGTGTACCCCAAATCATCTCGAGATGAGAGCTGATTCTCTGGCTTAGGCTCAAGACGTATGCCAACTTTCCAGAAGCACCTCAGGAGGACGCTTCTCTCAGCAATAGGTATGTGGGAGCGACCCCGAGTTTGCTGCCTCAAGGGGAATACACAGGGAGAAGCCGTAACGTGAACAGAGGCCAGATTTCCTTGCAGTGGGTTGAATAAAGGCTCGTCTTCGATCTGAAAACATGAAGGGATGTCTGAATTCCCTGTGGAGACCTTAGAGGAAGCCCTAGGTCCCTGCCTCATTTTGACGGAATACCTCACATCCCCCTGACACCTCGAGAGGCACGCAGAGTTCATTGCTTCAAAAGGTGACGATGCCTGACTCCTCTTGAATACTTATAGGAATCCCAAAATCCCTGTAGCTACTGGAAAGGGTCCTTGGGTGCCCTGGCTCACCTCGAGAAGCGTCCCTTTTGCCCTGCCAAGCCTCGAAGAAATTGCTGAGGTGTCCCTCGTTACTAGACAGGAGTCCTGACGTCACGGAAGAAACTCGAGTTTTGAAGGGCCATCCCCGCCGTAAGTCGAGAACATACCCCAGGTCCCCGCCGCAACTCGAGAAAAACCATGAGACTTCCCCCTAGAGGCGAGATGAGGCCCCATTCCCCTGCAGTGCATGCAGAGCTATTCCGTGATCCCATTCAAACAAGTCAGGAGCTTCGACTTGCTTAATGGATCTCGAGACAGTCCCCAAGAACACTGTCACCAGTCTAGACGGACCCTGAGGTCACCCCAGCAACGCAAAGCTGCTCCATGTGCCCCAAATCAACTCGAGATGAGGCCCGATTCCCCTGCATTGACTCCAGAGCCATTCCTTGTTCCCCATTCAACACGACCGGTGGCTTGACTTCCTTCAGGCAACTCCAGAGATGCCTCGAGAGCACTATCCCAAGTCTAGAGGACCACCAACTTCAGCAGAGCAACTCGAGGAATGCTCTGTGTACCCCAAATCGTCTCGAGATGAGAGCTGATTCCCTGGCTTAGGCTCAAGACGTATGCCACCTTTCCAGAAGCACCTCAGGAGGAGGCTTCTCTCAGCAATAGGTATGTGGGAGGGACCCCGAGTTTGCTGCCTCAAGGGGAATATACAGCGAGAAGCCCTAACTTGAAAGGAGGCCGGATTTCCTTGCAGTGGCTTGAATACAGGCTCGTCTTTCATCTCACAACATGAAGGGATGTCTGAATCCCCTGTGGAGACCTTAGAGAAAGCCCTAGGTCCCTGCCTCATTTTGACGGAATCCTCACATCCCGCTGACACGTCGAGAGGCACGCGGAGTTCATTGCTTCAAAAGGTGACGATGCCTGACTCCTCTAGAATACTTATAGGAATCCCAAAATCCCTGTGGCTACTGGAAAGGGTCCTTGGGTGCCCTGGCTCACCTCGAGAAGCGTCCCTTTTGACCTGCCAAGCCTCGAAGAGATTCCTGAGGTGTCCCTGGTTACTAGACAGGAGTCCTGACGTCACTGAAGAAACTCGTGTTTTGAAGGGCCATCCCCGCCGTAAGTCGAGAACATAACCCAGGTCCCCGCCGCAACGCGAGAAAAACCATGAGACTTCCCCCTAGAGGCGAGATGAGGCCCCATTCCCCTGCAGTGCATGCAGAGCTATTCCGTGATCCCATTCAAACAAGTCAGGAGCTTCGACTTGCTTAATGGATCTCGAGACAGTCCCCAAGAACACTGTCACCAGTCTAGACGGACCCTGAGGTCACCCCAGCAACGCAAAGCTGCTCCATGTGCCCCAAATCAACTCGAGATGAGGCCCGATTCCCCTGCATTGACTCCAGAGCCATTCCCCGTTCCCCATTCAACACGACCGGTGGCTCGACTTCCTTCAGGCAACTGAAGAGATGCCCCGAGAACACTGCCCCAAGTCTAGAGGAACACCAACTTCAGCACAGCAACTCGAGGAATGCTCCGTGTACCCCAAATCATCTCGAGATGAGAGCTGATTCTCTGGCTTAGGCTCAAGACGTATGCCAACTTTCCAGAAGCACCTCAGGAGGACGCTTCTCTCAGCAATAGGTATGTGGGAGCGACCCCGAGTTTGCTGCCTCAAGGGGAATACACAGGGAGAAGCCGTAACGTGAACAGAGGCCAGATTTCCTTGCAGTGGGTTGAATAAAGGCTCGTCTTCGATCTGAAAACATGAAGGGATGTCTGAATTCCCTGTGGAGACCTTAGAGGAAGCCCTAGGTCCCTGCCTCATTTTGACGGAATACCTCACATCCCCCTGACACCTCGAGAGGCACGCAGAGTTCATTGCTTCAAAAGGTGACGATGCCTGACTCCTCTTGAATACTTATAGGAATCCCAAAATCCCTGTAGCTACTGGAAAGGGTCCTTGGGTGCCCTGGCTCACCTCGAGAAGCGTCCCTTTTGCCCTGCCAAGCCTCGAAGAAATTGCTGAGGTGTCCCTCGTTACTAGACAGGAGTCCTGACGTCACGGAAGAAACTCGAGTTTTGAAGGGCCATCCCCGCCGTAAGTCGAGAACATACCCCAGGTCCCCGCCGCAACTCGAGAAAAACCATGAGACTTCCCCCTAGAGGCGAGATGAGGCCCCATTCCCCTGCAGTGCATGCAGAGCTATTCCGTGATCCCATTCAAACAAGTCAGGAGCTTCGACTTGCTTAATGGATCTCGAGACAGTCCCCAAGAACACTGTCACCAGTCTAGACGGACCCTGAGGTCACCCCAGCAACGCAAAGCTGCTCCATGTGCCCCAAATCAACTCGAGATGAGGCCCGATTCCCCTGCATTGACTCCAGAGCCATTCCTTGTTCCCCATTCAACACGACCGGTGGCTTGACTTCCTTCAGGCAACTCCAGAGATGCCTCGAGAGCACTATCCCAAGTCTAGAGGACCACCAACTTCAGCAGAGCAACTCGAGGAATGCTCTGTGTACCCCAAATCGTCTCGAGATGAGAGCTGATTCCCTGGCTTAGGCTCAAGACGTATGCCACCTTTCCAGAAGCACCTCAGGAGGAGGCTTCTCTCAGCAATAGGTATGTGGGAGGGACCCCGAGTTTGCTGCCTCAAGGGGAATATACAGCGAGAAGCCCTAACTTGAAAGGAGGCCGGATTTCCTTGCAGTGGCTTGAATACAGGCTCGTCTTTCATCTCACAACATGAAGGGATGTCTGAATCCCCTGTGGAGACCTTAGAGAAAGCCCTAGGTCCCTGCCTCATTTTGACGGAATCCTCACATCCCGCTGACACCTCGAGAGGCACGCGGAGTTCATTGCTTCAAAAGGTGACGATGCCTGACTCCTCTAGAATACTTATAGGAATCCCAAAATCCCTGTGGCTACTGGAAAGGGTCCTTGGGTGCCCTGGCTCACCTCGAGAAGCGTCCCTTTTGACCTGCCAAGCCTCGAAGAGATTCCTGAGGTGTCCCTGGTTACTAGACAGGAGTCCTGACGTCACTGAAGAAACTCGTGTTTTGAAGGGCCATCCCCGCCGTAAGTCGAGAACATAAGCCAGGTCCCCGCCGCAACGCGAGAAAAACCATGAGACTTCCCCCTAGAGGCGAGATGAGGCCCCATTCCCCTGCAGTGCATGCAGAGCTATTCCGTGATCCCATTCAAACAAGTCAGGAGCTTCGACTTGCTTAATGGATCTCGAGACAGTCCCCAAGAACACTGTCACCAGTCTAGACGGACCCTGAGGTCACCCCAGCAACGCAAAGCTGCTCCATGTGCCCCAAATCAACTCGAGATGAGGCCCGATTCCCCTGCATTGACTCCAGAGCCATTCCCCGTTCCCCATTCAACACGACCGGTGGCTCGACTTCCTTCAGGCAACTGAAGAGATGCCCCGAGAACACTGCCCCAAGTCTAGAGGAACACCAACTTCAGCACAGCAACTCGAGGAATGCTCCGTGTACCCCAAATCATCTCGAGATGAGAGCTGATTCTCTGGCTTAGGCTCAAGACGTATGCCACCTTTCCAGAAGCACCTCAGGAGGAGGCTTCTCTCAGCAATAGGTATGTGGGAGGGACCCTGAGTTTGCTGCCTCAAGGGGAATATACAGCGAGAAGCCCTAACTTGAAAGGAGGCCGGATTTCCTTGCAGTGGCTTGAATACAGGCTCGTCTTTCATCTCACAACATGAAGGGATGTCTGAATCCCCTGTGGAGACCTTAGAGAAAGCCCTAGGTCCCTGCCTCATTTTGACGGAATCCTCACATCCCGCTGACACCTCGAGAGGCACGCGGAGTTCATTGCTTCAAAAGGTGACGATGCCTGACTCCTCTTGAATACTGATAGGAATCCCAAAATCCCTGTGGCTACTGGAAAGGGTCCTTGGGTGCCCTGGCTCACCTCGAGAAGCGTCCCTTTTGCCCTGCCAAGCCTCGAAGAGATTCCTGAGGTGTCCCTCGTTACTAGGCAGGAGTCCTGACGTCACTGGAGAAACTCGTGTTTTGAAGGGCCATCCCCGCCGTAAGTCGAGAACATACCCCAGGGCCCTGCCGCAACTCGAGAAAAACCGTGAGACTTCCCCCTAGAGGCGAGATGAGGCCCCATTCCCCTGCAGTGCATGCAGAGCTATTCCGTGATCCCATTCAAACAAGTCAGGAGCTTCGACTTGCTTAATGGATCTCGAGACAGTCCCCAAGAACACTGTCACCAGTCTAGACGGACCCTGAGGTCACCCCAGCAACGCAAAGCTGCTCCATGTGCCCCAAATCAACTCGAGATGAGGCCCGATTCCCCTGCATTGACTCCAGAGCCATTCCCCGTTCCCCATTCAACATGACCGGTGGCTCGACTTCCTTCAGGCAACTCCAGAGATGCCTCGAGAGCACTATCCCAAGTCTAGAGGACCAACAACTTCAGCAGAGCAACTAGAGGAATGCTCTGTGTACCCCAAATCGTCTCGAGATGAGAGCTGATTCCCTGGCTTAGGCTCAAGACGTATGCCACCTTTCCAGAAGCACCTCAGGAGGAGGCTTCTCTCAGCAATAGGTATGTGGGAGGGACCCCGAGTTTGCTGCCTCAAGGGGAATATACAGCGAGAAGCCCTAACTTGAAAGGAGGCCGGATTTCCTTGCAGTGGCTTGAATACAGGCTCGTCTTTCATCTCACAACATGAAGGGATGTCTGAATCCCCTGTGGAGACCTTAGAGAAAGCCCTAGGTCCCTGCCTCATTTTGACGGAATCCTCACATCCCGCTGACACCTCGAGAGGCACGCGGAGTTCATTGCTTCAAAAGGTGACGATGCCTGACTCCTCTTGAATACTGATAGGAATCCCAAAATCCCTGTGGCTACTGGAAAGGGTCCTTGGGTGCCCTGGCTCACCTCGAGAAGCGTCCCTTTTGCCCTGCCAAGCCTCGAAGAGATTGCTGAGGTGTCCCTCGTTACTAGACAGGAGTCCTGACGTCACTGAAGAAACTCGTGTTTTGAAGGGCCATCCCCGCCGTAAGTCGAGAACATACCCCAGGTCCCTGCCGCAACTCGAGAAAAACCATGAGACTTCCCCCTAGAGGCGAGATGAGGCCCCATTCCCCTGCAGTGCATGCAGAGCTATTCCGTGATCCCATTCAAACAAGTCAGGAGCTTCGACTTGTTTAATGGATCTCGAGACAGTCCCCAAGAACACTGTCACCAGTCTAGACGGACCCTGAGGTCACCCAGCAATGCAAAGCAGCTCCATGTGCCCCAAATCAACTCGAGATGAGGCCGGATTCCCCTGCATTGACTCCAGAGCCATTCCTTGTTCCTCATTCAACACGACCGGTGGCTCGACTTCCTTCAGGCAACTCCAGAGATGCCCCGAGAACACTGTCCCAAGTCTAGAGGAACACCAACTTCAGCACAGCAACTCGAGGAATGCTCTGTGTACCCCAAATCGTCTCGAGATGAGAGCTGATTCCCTGGCTTAGGCTCAAGACGTATGCCACCTTTCCAGAAACACCTCAGGAGGAGGCTTCTCTCAGCAATAGGTATGTGGGAGGGACCCCGAGTTTGCTGCCTCAAGGGGAATATACAGCAAGAAGTCCTAACTTGAAAGGAGGCCGGATTTCCTTGCAGTGGCTTGAATACCGGCTCGTCTTTCATCTCACAACATGAAGGGATGTCTGAATCCCCTGTGGAGACCTTAGAGAAAGCCCTAGGTCCCTGCCTCATTTTGACGGAATCCTCACATCCCGCTGACACCTCGAGAGGCACGCGGAGTTCATTGCTTCAAAAGGTGACGATGCCTGACTCCTCTTGAATACTTATAGGAATCCCAAAATCCCTGTGGCTACTGGAAAGGGTCCTTGGGTGCCCTGGCTCACCTCGAGAAGCGTCCCTTTTGCCCTGCCAAGCCTCGAAGAGTTTGCTGAGGTGTCCCTCGTTACTAGACAGGAGTCCTGACGTCACTGAAGAAACTCGTGTTTTGAAGGGCCATCCCCGCCGTAAGTCGAGAACATACCCCAGGTCCCCGCCGCAACTCGAGAAAAACCATGAGACTTCCCCCTAGAGGCGAGATGAGGCCCCATTCCCCTGCAGTGCATGCAGAGCTATTCCGTGATCCCATTCAAACAAGTCAGGAGCTTCGACTTGCTTAATGGATCTCGAGACAGTCCCCAAGAACACTGTCACCAGTCTAGACGGACCCTGAGGTCACCCCAGCAATGCAAAGCAGCTCCATGTGCCCCAAATCAACTCGAGATGAGGCCCGATTCCCCTGCATTGACTCCAGAGCCATTCCCCGTTCCCCATTCAACACGACTGGTGGCTCGCTTTCCTTCAGGCAACTCCAGAGATGCCCCGAGAACACTGTCCCAAGTCTAGAGGAACACCAACTTCAACACAGCAACTCGAGGAATGCTCTGTGTACCCCAAATCGTCTCGAGATGAGAGCTGATTCCCTGGCTTAGGCTCAAGACGTATGCCAACTTTCCAGAAGCACCTCAGGAGGAGGCTTCTCAGCAATAGGTATGTGGGAGGGACTCCGAGTTTGCTGCCTCAAGGGGAATATACAGCGAGAAGCCCTAACTTGAAAGGAGGCCGGATTTCCTTGCAGTAGCTTGAATACAGGCTTGTCTTTCATCTCACAACATGAAGGGATGTCTGAATCCCCTGTGAAGACCTTAGAGAAAGCCCTAGGACCCTGCCTCATTTTGACGGAATGCCTCACATCCCGCTGACAACTCGAGAGGCACGCGGAGTTCATTGCTTCAAAAGGTGACGATGCCTGACTCCTCTTGAATACTGATAGGAATCCCAAAATCCCTGTGGCTACTGGAAAGGTTCCTTGGGTGCCCTGGCTCACCTCGAGAAGCGTCCCTTTTGCCCTGCCAAGCCTCGAAGAGATTGCTGAGGTGTCCCTCGTTACTAGACAAGAGTCCTGACGTCACTGAAGAAACTCGTGTTTTGAAGGGCCATCCCCGCCGTAAGTCGAGAACATACCCCAGGTCCCCGCCGCAACTCGAGAAAAACCATGAGACTTCCCCCTAGAGGCGAGATGAGGCCCCATTCCCCTGCAGTGCATGCAGAGCTATTCCGTGATCCCATTCAAACAAGTCAGGAGCTTCGACTTGCTTAATGGATCTCGAGACAGTCCCCAAGAACACTGTCACCAGTCTAGACGGACCCTGAGGTCACCCCAGCAACGCAAAGCTGCTCTATGTGCCCCAAATCAACTCGAGATGAGGCCCGATTCTCCTGCATTGACTCCAGAGCCATTCCCCGTTCCCCATTCAACACGACCGGTGGCTCGACTTCCTTCAGGCAACTGCAGAGATGCCCCGAGAACACTGCCCCAAGTCTAGAGGAACACCAACTTCAGCACAGCAACTCGAGGAATGCTCCGTGTACCCCAAATCATCTCGAGATGAGAGCTGATTCTCTGGCTTAGGCTCAAGACGTATGCCACCTTTCCAGAAGCACCTCAGGAGGAGGCTTCTCTCAGCAATAGGTATGTGGGAGCGACCCCGAGTTTGCTGCCTCAAGGGGAATACACAGGGAGAAGCCCTAACGTGAACGGAGGCCAGATTTCCTTGCAGTGGGTTGAATAAAGGCTCGTCTTCGGTCTGAAAACATGAAGGGATGTCTGAATCCCCTGTGGAGACCTTAGAGGAAGCCCTAGGTCCCTGCCTCATTTTGACGGAATACCTCACATCCCCCTGACACCTCGAGAGGCACGCAGAGTTCATTGCTTCAAAAGGTGACGATGCCTGACTCCTCTTGAATACTTATAGGAATCCCAAAATCCCTGTTGCTACTGGAAAGGGTCCTTGGGTGCCCTGGCTCACCTCGAGAAGCGTCCCTTTTGCCCTGCCAAGCCTCGAAGAAATTGCTGAGGTGTCCCTCGTTACTAGACAGGAATCCTGACGTCACCGAAGAAACTCGTGTTTTGAAGGGCCATCCCCACCGTAAGTCGAGAACATACCCCAGGTCCCCGCCGCAACTCGAGAAAAACCATGAGACTTCCCCCTAGAGGCGAGATGAGGCCACATTCCCCTGCAGTGCATGCAGAGCTATTCCGTGATCCCATTCAAACAAGTCAGGAGCTTCGACTTGCTTAATGGATCTCGAGACAGTCCCCAAGAACACTGTCACCAGTCTAGACGGACCCTGAGGTCACCACAGCAACGCAAAGCAGCTCCATGTGCCCCAAATCAACTCGAGATGAGGCCCGATTCCCCTGCATTGACCCCAGAGCCATTCCCCGTTCCCCGTTCAACATGAAGGGAGGCTCGCCTTCCTTCAGGCAACTCCAGAGATGCCCCGAGAACACTGTCCCAAGTCTAGAGGAACAACAACTTCAGCACAGCAACTCGAGGAATGCTCTGTGTACCCCAAATCGTCTCGAGATGAGAGCTGATTCCCTGGCTTAGGCTCAAGACGTATGCCACCTTTCCAGAAGCACCTCAGGAGGAGGCTTCTCTCAGCAATAGGTATGTGGGAGGGACCCCGAGTTTGCTGCCTCAAGGGGAATATACAGCGAGAAGCCCTAACTTGAAAGGAGGCCGGATTTCCTTGCAGTGGCTTGAATACAGGCTCGTCTTTCATCTCACAACATGAAGGGATGTCTGAATCCCCTGTGGAGACCTTAGAGAAAGCCCTAGGTCCCTGCCTCATTTTGACGGAATCCTCACATCCCGCTGACACCTCGAGAGGCACGCAGAGTTCATTGCTTCAAAAGGTGACGATGCCTGACTCCTCTTGAATACTGATAGGAATCCCAAAATCCCTGTGGCTACTGGAAAGGGTCCTTGGGTGCCCTGGCTCACCTCGAGAAGCGTCCCTTTTGCCCTGCCAAGCCTCGAAGAGATTCCTGAGGTGTCCCTCGTTACTAGGCAGGAGTCCTGACGTCACTGGAGAAACTCGTGTTTTGAAGGGCCATCCCCGCCGTAAGTCGAGAACATACCCCAGGGCCCTGCCGCAACTCGAGAAAAACCGTGAGACTTCCCCCTAGAGGCGAGATGAGGCCCCATTCCCCTGCAGTGCATGCAGAGCTATTCCGTGATCCCATTCAAACAAGTCAGGAGCTTCGACTTGCTTAATGGATCTCGAGACAGTCCCCAAGAACACTGTCACCAGTCTAGACGGACCCTGAGGTCACCCCAGCAACGCAAAGCTGCTCCATGTGCCCCAAATCAATTCGAGATGAGGCCCGATTCCCCTGCATTGACTCCAGAGCCATTCCCCGTTCCCCATTCAACATGACCGGTGGCTCGACTTCTTTCAGGCAACTCCAGAGATGCCTCGAGAGCACTATCCCAAGTCTAGAGGACCACCAACTTCAGCAGAGCAACTCGAGGAATGCTCTGTGTACCCCAAATCGTCTCGAGATGAGAGCTGATTCCCTGGCTTAGGCTCAAGACGTATGCCACCTTTCCAGAAGCACCTCAGGAGGAGGCTTCTCTCAGCAATAGGTATGTGGGAGGGACCCCGAATTTGCTGCCTCAAGGGGAATATACAGCGAGAAGCCCTAACTTAAAAGGAGGCCGGATTTCCTTGCAGTGGCTTGAATACAGGCTCGTCTTTCATCTCACAACATGAAGGGATGTCTGAATCCCCTGTGGAGACCTTAGAGAAAGCCCTAGGTCCCTGCCTCATTTTGACGGAATCCTCACATCCCGCTGACACCTCGAGAGGCACGCGGAGTTCATTGCTTCAAAAGGTGACGATGCCTGACTCCTCTTGAATACTTATAGGAATCCCAAAATCCCTGTGGCTACTGGAAAGGGTCCTTGGGTGCCCTGGCTCACCTCGAGAAGCGTCCCTTTTGCCCTGCCAAGCCTCGAAGAGATTGCTGACGTGTCCCTCGTTACTAGACAGGAGTCCTGACGTCACTGAAGAAACTCGTGTTTTGAAGGGCCATCCCCGCCGTAAGTCGAGAACATACCCCAGGTCCCCGCCGCAACTCGAGAAAAACCATGAGACTTCCCCCTAGAGGCGAGATGAGGCCCCATTCCCCTGCAGTGCATGCAGAGCTATTCCGTGATCCCATTCAAACAAGTCAGGAGCTTCGACTTGCTTAATGGATCTCGAGGCAGTCCCCAAGAACACTGTCACCAGTCTAGAGGGACCCTGAAGTCACCCAGCAATGCAAAGCAGCTCCATGTGCCCCAAATCAACTCGAGATGAGGCCGGATTCCCCTGCATTGACTCCAGAGCCATTCCTTGTTCCCCATTCAACACGACCGGTGGCTCGACTTCTTTCAGGCAACTCCAGAGATGCCCCGAGAACACTGTCCCAAGTCTAGAGGACCACCAACTTCAGCACAGCAACTCGAGAAATGCTCTGTGTACCCCAAATCGTCTCGAGATGAGAGCTGATTCCCTGGCTTAGGCTCAAGACGTATGCCACCTTTCCAGAAGCACCTCAGGAGGAGGCTTCTCTCAGCAATAGGTATGTGGGAGGGACCCCGAGTTTGCTGCCTCAAGGGGAATATACAGCGAGAAGCCCTAACTTGAAAGGAGGCCGGATTTCCTTGCAGTGGCTTGAATACAGGCTCGTCTTTCATCTCACAACATGAAGGGATGTCTGAATCCCCTGTGGAGACCTTAGAGAAAGCCCTAGGTCCCTGCCTCATTTTGACGGAATCCTCATATCCCGCTGACACCTCGAGAGGCACGCGGAGTTCATTGCTTCAAAAGGTGACGATGCCTGACTCCTCTTGAATACTTATAGGAATCCCAAAATCACTGTAGCTACTGGAAATGGTCCTTGGGTGCCCTGGCTCACCTCGAGAAGCGTCCCTTTTGCCCTGCCAAGCCTCGAAGAGATTGCTGAGGTGTCCCTCGTTACTAGACAGGAGTCCTGACGTCACGGAAGAAACTCGTGTTTTGAAGGGCCATCCCCGCCGTAAGTCGAGAACATACCCCAGGTCCCCGCCGCAACTCGAGAAAAACCATGAGACATCCCCCTAGAGGCGAGATGAGGCCCCATTCCCCTGCAGTGCATGCAGAGCTATTCCGTGATCCCATTCAAACAAGTCAGGAGCTTCGACTTGCTTAATGGATCTCGAGACAGTCCCCAAGAACACTGTCACCAGTCTAGACGGACCCTGAGGTCACCCAGCAATGCAAAGCAGCTCCATGTGCCCCAAATCAACTCCAGATGAGGCCGGATTCCCCTGCATTGAATCCAGAGCCATTCCTTGTTCCCTATTCAACACGACCGGTGGCTCGACTTACTTCAGGCAACTCCAGAGATGCCCCGAGAACACTGTCCCAAGTCTAGTGGAACACCAACTTCAGCACAGCAACTCGAGGAATGCTCTGTGTACCCCAAATCGTCTCGAGATGAGAGCTGATTCCCTGGCTTAGGCTCAAGACGTATGCCACCTTTCCAGAAACACCTCAGGAGGAGGCTTCTCTCAGCAATAGGTATGTGGGAGGGACCCCGAGTTTGCTGCCTCAAGGGGAATATACAGCGAGAAGTCCTAACTTGAAAGGAGGCCGGATTTCCTTGCAGTGGCTTGAATACCGGCTCGTCTTTCATCTCACAACATGAAGGGATGTCTGAATCCCCTGTGGAGACCTTAGAGAAAGCCTTAGGTCCCTGCCTCATTTTGACGGAATCCTCACATCCCGCTGACACCTCGAGAGGCACGCGGAGTTCATTGCTTCAAAAGGTGACGATGCCTGACTCCTCTTGAATACTTATAGGAATCCCAAAATCCCTGTGGCTACTGGAAAGGGTCCTTGGGTGCCCTGGCTCACCTCGAGAAGCGTCCCTTTTGCCCTGCCAAGCCTCGAAGAGTTTGCTGAGGTGTCCCTCGTTACTAGACAGGAGTCCTGACGTCACTGAAGAAACTCGTGTTTTGAAGGGCCATCCCCGCCGTAAGTCGAGAACATACCCCAGGTCCCCGCCGCAACTCGAGAAAAACCATGAGACTTCCCCCTAGAGGCGAGATGAGGCCCCATTCCCCTGCAGTGCATGCAGAGCTATTCCGTGATCCCATTCAAACAAGTCAGGAGCTTCGACTTGCTTAATGGATCTCGAGACAGTCCCCAAGAACACTGTCACCAATCTAGACGGACCCTGAGGTCACCCCAGCAATGCAAAGCAGCTCCATGTGCCCCAAATCAACTCGAGATGAGGCCCGATTCACCTGCATTGACTCCAGAGCCATTCCCCGTTCCCCATTCAACACGACTGGTGGCTCGCTTTCCTTCAGGCAACTCCAGAGATGCCCCGAGAACACTGTCCCAAGTCTAGAGGAACACCAACTTCAGCACAGCAACTCGAGGAATGCTCTGTGTACCCCAAATCGTCTCGAGATGAGAGCTGATTCCCTGGCTTAGGCTCAAGACGTATGCCAACTTTCCAGAAGCACCTCAGGAGGAGGCTTCTCAGCAATAGGTATGTGGGAGGGACTCCGAGTTTGCTGCCTCAAGGGGAATATACAGCGAGAAGCCCTAACTTGAAAGGAGGCCGGATTTCCTTGCAGTAGCTTGAATACAGGCTTGTCTTTCATCTCACAACATGAAGGGATGTCTGAATCCCCTGTGAAGACCGTAGAGAAAGCCCTAGGACCCTGCCTCATTTTGACGGAATGCCTCACATCCCGCTGACAACTCGAGAGGCACGCGGAGTTCATTGCTTCAAAAGGTGACGATGCCTGACTCCTCTTGAATACTGATAGGAATCCCAAAATCCCTGTGGCTACTGGAAAGGTTCCTTGGGTGCCCTGGCTCACCTCGAGAAGCGTCCCTTTTGCCCTGCCAAGCCTCGAAGAGATTCCTGAGGTGTCCCTCGTTACTAGACAGGAGTCCTGACGTCACTGAAGAAACTCGTGTTTTGAAGGGCCATCCCCGCCGTAAGTCGAGAACATACCCCTGGTCCCCGCCGCAACTCGAGAAAAACCATGAGACTTCCCCCTAGAGGCGAGATGAGGCCCCATTCCCCTGCAGTGCATGCAGAGCTATTCCGTGATCCCATTCAAACAAGTCAGGAGCTTCGACTTGCTTAATGGATCTCGAGACAGTCCCCAAGAACACTGTCACCAGTCTAGACGGACCCTGAGGTCACCCCAGCAACGCAAAGCTGCTCTATGTGCCCCAAATCAACTCGAGATGAGGCCCGATTCCCCTGCATTGACTCCAGAGCCATTCCCCGTTCCCCATTCAACACGACCGGTGGCTCGACTTCCTTCAGGCAACTGCAGAGATGCCCCGAGAACACTGCCCCAAGTCTAGAGGAACACCAACTTCAGCACAGCAACTCGAGGAATGCTCCGTGTACCCCAAATCATCTCGAGATGAGAGCTGATTCTCTGGCTTAGGCTCAAGACGTATGCCAACTTTCCAGAAGCACCTCAGGAGGAGGCTTCTCTCAGCAATAGGTATGTGGGAGCGACCCCGAGTTTGCTGCCTCAAGGGGAATACACAGGGAGAAGCCCTAACGTGAACGGAGGCCAGATTTCCTTGCAGTGGGTTGAATAAAGGCTCGTCTTCGATCTGAAAACATGAAGGGATGTCTGAATTCCCTGTGGAGACCTTAGAGGAAGCCCTAGGTCCCTGCCTCATTTTGACGGAATACCTCACATCCCCCTGACACCTCGAGAGGCACGCAGAGTTCATTGCTTCAAAAGGTGACGATGCCTGACTCCTCTTGAATACTTTTAGGAATCCCAAAATCCCTGTAGCTACTGGAAAGGGTCCTTGGGTGCCCTGGCTCACCTCGAGAAGCGTCCCTTTTGCCCTGCCAAGCCTCGAAGAAATTGCTGAGGTGTCCCTCGTTACTAGACAGGAGTCCTGACGTCACGGAAGAAACTCGAGTTTTGAAGGGCCATCCCCTCCGTAAGACGAGAACATACCCCAGGTCCCCGCCGCAACTCGAGAAAAACCATGAGACTTCCCCCTAGAGGCGAGATGAGGCCCCATTCCCCTGCAGTGCATGCAGAGCTATTCCGTGATCCCATTCAAACAAGTCAGGAGCTTCGACTTACTTAATGGATCTCGAGACAGTCCCCAAGAACACTGTCACCAGTCTAGACGGACCCTGAGGTCACCACAGCAACGCAAAGCAGCTCAATGTGCCCCAAATCAACTCGAGATGAGGCCCGATTCCCCTGCATTGACTCCAGAGCCATTCCCCGTTCCCCGTTCAACACGAACGGAGGCTCGCCTTCCTTCAGGCAACTCCAGAGATGCCCCGAGAACACTGTCCCAAGTCTAGAGGAACACCAACTTCAGCACAGCAACTCGAGGAATGCTCTGTGTACCCCAAATCGTCTCGAGATGAGAGCTGATTCCCTGGCTTAGGCTCAAGACGTATGCCAACTTTCCAGAAGCACCTCAGGAGGAGGCTTCTCAGCAATAGGTATGTGGGAGGGACTCCGAGTTTGCTGCCTCAAGGGGAATATACAGCGAGAAGCCCTAACTTGAAAGGAGGCCGGATTTCCCTGCAGTGGCTTGAATACAGGCTCGTCTTTCATCTCACAACATGAAGGGATGTCTGAATCCCCTGTGGAGACCTTAGAGAAAGCCCTAGGTCCCTGCCTCATTTTGACGGAATGCCTCACATCCCGCTGACACCTCGAGAGGCACGCGGAGTTCATTGCTTCAAAAGGTGACGATGCCTGACTCCTCTTGAATACTGATAGGAATCCCAAAATCATTGTGGCTACTGGAAAGGGTCCTTGGGTGCCCTGCCTCACCTCGAGAAGCGTCCCTTTTGCCCTGCCAAGCCTCGAAGAGATTGCTGAGGTGTCCCTCGTTACTAGACAGGAGTCCTGACGTCACTGAAGAAACTCGTGTTTTGAAGGGCCATCCCCGCCGTAAGTCGAGAACATACCCCAGGTCCCTGCCGCAACTCGAGAAAAACCATGAGACTTCCCCCTAGAGGCGAGATGAGGCCCCATTCCCCTGCAGTGCATGCAGAGCTATTCCGTGATCCCATTCAAACAAGTCAGGAGCTTCGACTTGCTTAATGGATCTCGAGACAGTCCCCAAGAACACTGTCACCAGTCTAGACGGACCCTGAGGTCACCCAGCAATGCAAAGCAGCTCCATGTGCCCCAAATCAACTCGAGATGAGGCCCGATTCCCCTGCATTGACTCCAGAGCCATTCCCCGTTTACCATTCAACACGACCTGTGGCTCGACTTCCTTCAGGCAACTCCAGGGATGCCCCGAGAACACTGTCCCAAGTCTAGAGGAACAACAACTTCAGCACAGCAACTCGAGGAATGCTCTGTGTACACCAAATCGTCTCGAGATGAGAGCTGATTCCCTGGCTTAGGCTCAAGACGTATGCCACCTTTCCAGAAGCACCTCAGGAGGAGGCTTCTCTCAGCAATAGGTATGTGGGAGGGACCCCGAGTTTGCTGCCTCAAGGGTAATATACAGCGAGAAGCCCTAACTTGAAAGGAGGCCGGATTTCCTTGCAGTGGCTTGAATACAGGCTCGTCTTTCATCTCACAACATGAAGGGATGTCTGAATCCCCTGTGGAGACCTTAGAGAAAGCCCTAGGTCCCTGCCTCATTTTGACGGAATCCTCACATCCCGCTGACACCTCGAGAGGCACGCGGAGTTCATTGCTTCAAAAGGTGACGATGCCTGACTCCTCTTGAATACTGATAGGAATCCCAAAATCCCTGTGGCTACTGGAAAGGGTCCTTGGGTGCCCTGGCTCACCTCGAGAAGCGTCCCTTTTGCCCTGCCAAGCCTCGAAGAGATTGCTGACGTGTCCCTCGTTACTAGACAGGAGTCCTGACGTCACGGAACAAACTCGTGTTTTGAAGGGCCATCCCCGCCGTAAGTCGAGAACATACCCCAGGTCCCCGCCGCAACTCGAGAAAAACCATGAGACTTCCCCGTAGAGGCGAGATGAGGCCCCATTCCCCTGCAGTGCATGCAGAGCTATTCCGTGATCCCATTCAAACAAGTCAGGAGCTTCGACTTGCTTAATGGATCTCGAGGCAGTCCCCAAGAACACTGTCACCAGTCTAGACGGACCCTGAGGTCACCCAGCAATGCAAAGCAGCTCCATGTGCCCCAAATCAACTCGAGATGAGGCCGGATTCCCCTGCATTGACTCCAGAGCCATTCCTTGTTCCCCATTCAACACGACCGGTGGCTCGACTTCTTTCAGGCAACTCCAGAGATGCCCCGAGAACACTGTCCCAAGTCTAGAGGAACACCAACTTCAGCACAGCAACTCGAGAAATGCTCTGTGTACCCCAAATCGTCTCGAGATGAGAGCTGATTCCCTGGCTTAGGCTCAAGACGTATGCCACCTTTCCAGAAGCACCTCAGGAGGAGGCTTCTCTCAGCAATAGGTATGTGGGAGGGACCCCGAGTTTGCTGCCTCAAGGGGAATATACAGCGAGAAGCCCTAACTTGAAAGGAGGCCGGATTTCCTTGCAGTGGCTTGAATACAGGCTCGTCTTTCATCTCACAACATGAAGGGATGTCTGAATCCCCTGTGGAGACCTTAGAGAAAGCCCTAGGTCCCTGCCTCATTTTGACGGAATCCTCATATCCCGCTGACACCTCGAGAGGCACGCGGAGTTCATTGCTTCAAAAGGTGACGATGCCTGACTCCTCTTGAATACTTATAGGAATCCCAAATCCCTGTAGCTACTGGAAAGGGTCCTTGGGTGCCCTTTCTCACCTCGAGAAGCGTCCCTTTTGCCCTGCCAAGCCTCGAAGAGATTGCTGAGGTGTCCCTCGTTACTAGACAGGAGTCCTGACATCACGGAAGAAACTCGTGTTTTGAAGGGCCATCCCCGCCGTAAGTCGAGAACATACCCCAGGTCCCCGCCGCAACTCGAGAAAAACCATGAGACTTCCCCCTAGAGGCGAGATGAGGCCCCATTCCCCTGCAGTGCATGCAGAGCTATTCCGTGATCCCATTCAAACAAGTCAGGAGCTTCGACTTGCTTAATGGATCTCGAGACAGTCCCCAAGAACACTGTCACCAGTCTAGACGGACCCTGAGGTCACCCAGCAATGCAAAGCAGCTCCATGTGCCCCAAATCAACTCGAGATGAGGCCGGATTCCCCTGCATTGACTCCAGAGCCATTCCTTGTTCCCCATTCAACACGACCGGTGGCTCGACGTCCTTCAGGCAACTCCAGAGATGCCCCGAGAACACTGTCCCAAGTCTAGAGGAACACCAACTTCAGCACAGCAACTCGAGGAATGCGCTGTGTACCCCAAATCGTCTCGAGATGAGAGCTGATTCCCTGGCTTAGGCTCAAGACGTATGCCACCTTTCCAGAAACACCTCAGGAGGAGGCATCTCTCAGCAATAGGTATGTGGGAGGGACCCCGAGTTTGCTGCCTCAAGGGGAATATACAGCGAGAAGTCCTAACTTGAAAGGAGGCCGGATTTCCTTGCAGTGGCTTGAATACCGGCTCGTCTTTCATCTCACAACATGAAGGGATGTCTGAATCCCCTGTGGAGACCTTAGAGAAAGCCCTAGGTCCCTGCCTCATTTTGACGGAATCCTCACATCCCGCTGACACCTCGAGAGGCACGCGGAGTTCATTGCTTCAAAATGTGACGATGCCTGACTCCTCTTGAATACTTATAGGAATCCCAAAATCCCTGTGGCTACTGGAAAGGGTCCTTGGGTGCCCTGGCTCACCTCGAGAAGCGTCCCTTTTGCCCTGCCAAGCCTCGAAGAGATTGCTGAGGTGTCCCTCGTTACTAGACAGGAGTCCTGACGTCACTGAAGAAACTCGTGTTTTGAAGGGCCATCCCTGCCGTAAGTCGAGAACATACCCCAGGTCCCCGCCGCAACTCGAGAAAAACCATGAGACTTCCCCCTAGAGGCGAGATGAGGCCCCATTCCCCTGCAGTGCATGCAGAGCTATTCCGTGATCCCATTCAAACAAGTCAGGAGCTTCGACTTGCTTAATGGATCTCGAGACAGTCCCCAAGAACACTGTCACCAGTCTAGACGGACCCTGAGGTCACCCCAGCAACGCAAGGGCTGCTCTATGTGCCCCAAATCAACTCGAGATGAGGCCCGATTCCCCTGCATTGACTCCAGAGCCATTCCCCGTTCCCCATTCAACACGACCGGTGGCTCGACTTCCTTCAGGCAACTGCAGAGATGCCCCGAGAACACTGCCCCAAGTCTAGAGGAACACCAACTTCAGCACAGCAACTCGAGGAATGCTCCGTGTACCCCAAATCATCTCGAGATGAGAGCTGATTCTCTGGCTTAGGCTCAAGACGTATGCCAACTTTCCAGAAGCACCTCAGGAGGAGGCTTCTCTCAGCAATAGGTATGTGGGAGCGACCCCGAGTTTGCTGCCTCAAGGGGAATACACAGGGAGAAGACCTAACGTGAACGGAGGCCAGATTACCTTGCAGTGGGTTGAATAAAGGCTCGTCTTCGATCTGAAAACATGAAGGGATGTCTGAATTCCCTGTGGAGACCTTAGAGGAAGCCCTAGGTCCCTGCCTCATTTTGACGGAATACCTCACATCCCCCAGACACCTCGAGAGGCACGCGGAGTTCATTGCTTCAAAAGGTGACGATGCCTGACTCCTCTTGAATACTGATAGGAATCCCAAAATCCCTGTTGCTACTGGAAAGGGTCCTTGGGTGCCCTTTCTCACCTCGAGAAGCGTCCCTTTTGCCCTGCCAAGCCTCGAAGAGATTGCTGAGGTGTCCCTCGTTACTAGACAGGAGTCCTGACATCACGGAAGAAACTCGTGTTTTGAAGGGCCATCCCCGCCGTAAGTCGAGAACATACCCCAGGTCCCCGCCGCAACTCGAGAAAAACCATGAGACTTCCCCCTAGAGGCGAGATGAGGCCCCATTCCCCTGCAGTGCATGCAGAGCTATTCCGTGATCCCATTCAAACAAGTCAGGAGCTTCGACTTGCTTAATGGATCTCGAGACAGTCCCCAAGAACACTGTCACCAGTCTAGACGGACCCTGAGGTCACCCAGCAATGCAAAGCAGCTCCATGTGCCCCAAATCAACTCGAGATGAGGCCGGATTCCCCTGCATTGACTCCAGAGCCATTCCTTGTTCCCCATTCAACACGACCGGTGGCTCGACGTCCTTCAGGCAACTCCAGAGATGCCCCGAGAACACTGTCCCAAGTCTAGAGGAACACCAACTTCAGCACAGCAACTCGAGGAATGCGCTGTGTACCCCAAATCGTCTCGAGATGAGAGCTGATTCCCTGGCTTAGGCTCAAGACGTATGCCACCTTTCCAGAAACACCTCAGGAGGAGGCTTCTCTCAGCAATAGGTATGTGGGAGGGACCCCGAGTTTGCTGCCTCAAGGGGAATATACAGCGAGAAGTCCTAACTTGAAAGGAGGCCGGATTTCCTTGCAGTGGCTTGAATACCGGCTCGTCTTTCATCTCACAACATGAAGGGATGTCTGAATCCCCTGTGGAGACCTTAGAGAAAGCCCTAGGTCCCTGCCTCATTTTGACGGAATCCTCACATCCCGCTGACACCTCGAGAGGCACGCGGAGTTCATTGCTTCAAAATGTGACGATGCCTGACTCCTCTTGAATACTTATAGGAATCCCAAAATCCCTGTGGCTACTGGAAAGGGTCCTTGGGTGCCCTGGCTCACCTCGAGAAGCGTCCCTTTTGCCCTGCCAAGCCTCGAAGAGATTGCTGAGGTGTCCCTCGTTACTAGACAGGAGTCCTGACGTCACTGAAGAAACTCGTGTTTTGAAGGGCCATCCCTGCCGTAAGTCGAGAACATACCCCAGGTCCCCGCCGCAACTCGAGAAAAACCATGAGACTTCCCCCTAGAGGCGAGATGAGGCCCCATTCCCCTGCAGTGCATGCAGAGCTATTCCGTGATCCCATTCAAACAAGTCAGGAGCTTCGACTTGCTTAATGGATCTCGAGACAGTCCCCAAGAACACTGTCACCAGTCTAGACGGACCCTGAGGTCACCCCAGCAACGCAAGGGCTGCTCTATGTGCCCCAAATCAACTCGAGATGAGGCCCGATTCCCCTGCATTGACTCCAGAGCCATTCCCCGTTCCCCATTCAACACGACCGGTGGCTCGACTTCCTTCAGGCAACTGCAGAGATGCCCCGAGAACACTGCCCCAAGTCTAGAGGAACACCAACTTCAGCACAGCAACTCGAGGAATGCTCCGTGTACCCCAAATCATCTCGAGATGAGAGCTGATTCTCTGGCTTAGGCTCAAGACGTATGCCAACTTTCCAGAAGCACCTCAGGAGGAGGCTTCTCTCAGCAATAGGTATGTGGGAGCGACCCCGAGTTTGCTGCCTCAAGGGGAATACACAGGGAGAAGACCTAACGTGAACGGAGGCCAGATTACCTTGCAGTGGGTTGAATAAAGGCTCGTCTTCGATCTGAAAACATGAAGGGATGTCTGAATTCCCTGTGGAGACCTTAGAGGAAGCCCTAGGTCCCTGCCTCATTTTGACGGAATACCTCACATCCCCCAGACACCTCGAGAGGCACGCGGAGTTCATTGCTTCAAAAGGTGACGATGCCTGACTCCTCTTGAATACTGATAGGAATCCCAAAATCCCTGTTGCTACTGGAAAGGGTCCTTGGGTGCCCTGGCTCACCTCGAGAAGCGTCCCTTTTGCCCTGCCAAGCCTCGAAGAAATTGCTGAGGTGTCCCTCGTTACTAGACAGGAGTCCTGACGTCACGGAAGAAACTCGAGTTTTGAAGGGCCATCCCCGCCGTAAGTCGAGAACATACCCCAGGTCCCCGCCGCAACTCGAGAAAAACCATGAGACTTCCCCCTAGAGGCGAGATGAGGCCCCATTCCCCTGCAGTGCATGCAGAGCTATTCCGTGATCCCATTCAAACAAGTCAGGAGCTTCGACTTGCTTAATGGATCTCGAGACAGTCCCCAAGAACACTGTCACCAGTCTAGACGGACCCTGAGGTCACCCCAGCAACGCAAAGCAGCTCCATGTGCCCCAAATCAACTCGAGATGAGGCCCGATTCCCCTGCATTGACTCCAGAGCCATTCCCCGTTCCCCGTTCAACACGAACGGAGGCTCGCCTTCCTTCAGGCAACTCCAGAGATGCCCCGAGAACACTGTCCCAAGTCTAGAGGAACACCAACTTCAGCACAGCAACTCGAGGAATGCTCTGTGTACCCCAAATCGTCTCGAGATGAGAGCTGATTCCCTGGCTTAGGCTCAAGACGTATGCCACCTTTCCAGACGCACCTCAGGAGCAGGCTTCTCTCAGCAATAGGTATGTGGGAGGGACCCCGAGTTTGCTGCCTCAAGGGGAATATACAGCGAGAAGCCCTAACTTGAAAGGAGGCCGGATTTCCTTGCAGTGGCTTGAATACCGGCTCGTCTTTCATCTCACAACATGAAGGGATGTCTGAATCCCCTGTGGAGACCTTAGAGAAAGCCCTAGGTCCCTGCCTCATTTTGACGGAATCCTCACATCCCGCTGACACCTCGAGAGGCACGCGGAGTTCATTGCTTCAAAAGGTGACGATGCCTGACTCCTCTTGAATACTGATAGGAATCCCAAAATCCCTGTGGCTACTGGAAAGGGTCCTTGGTTGCCCTGGCTCACCTCGAGAAGCATCCCTTTTGCCCTGCCAAGCCTCGAAGAGATTGCTGAGGTATCCCTCGTTTCTAGACAGGAGTCCTGACGTCACGGAAGAAACTCGTGTTTTGAAGGGCCATCCCCGCCGTAAGTCGAGAACATACCCCAGGTCCCCGCCGCAACGCGAGAAAAACCATGAGACTTCCCCCTAGAGGCGAGATGAGGCCCCATTCCCCTGCAGTGCATGCAGAGCTATTCCGTGATCCCATTCAAACAAGTCAGGAGCTTCGACTTGCTTAATGGATCTCGAGACAGTCCCGAAGAACACTGTCACCAGTCTAGACGGACCCTGAGGTCACCCCTGCAACGCAAAGCTGCTCCATGTGCCCCAAATCAACTCGAGATGAGGCCCGATTCCCCTGCATTGACTCCAGAGCCATTCCCCGTTCCGCATTCAACACGACCGGTGGCTCGACTTCCTTCAGGCAACTCCAGCGGTGCCCCGAGAACACTGTCCCAAGTCTAGAGGAGCACCAATTTCAGCACAGCAACCCGAGGAATGCTCCGTGTACCCCAAATCATCTCGAGATGAGAGCTGATTCCCTGGCTTAGGCTCAAGACGTATGCCAACTTTCCAGAAGCACCTCAGGAGGAGGCTTCTCTCAGCAATAGGTATGTGGGATGGACCCCGAGTTTGCTGCCTCAAGGGGAATACACAGGGAGAAGCCCTAATGTGAATGGAGGCCAGATTTCCTTGCAGTGGCTTGAATACAGGCTCGTCTTTGATCTGACAACATGAAGGTATTTCTGAATCCCCTGTGGAGAACTTAGAGGAAGCCCTAGGTCCCTGCCTCATTTTGACGGAATACCTCACATCCCCCTGACACCTCGAGAGGCACGCAGAGTTCATTGCTTCAAAAGGTGACGATGCCTGACTCCTCTTGAATACTTATAGGAATCCCAACATCCCTGTGGCTACTGGAAAGGGTCCTTGGGTGCCCTGGCTCACCTCGAGAAGCGTCCCTTTTGCCCTGCCATGCCTCGAAGAGATTGCTGAGGTGTCCCTCGTTACTAGACAGGAGTCCTGACGTCACTGAAGAAACTCGTGTTTTGAAGGGCCATCCCCGCCGTAAGTCGAGAACATACCCCAAGTCCCGGCCGCAACTCGAGAAAAACCATGAGACTTCCCCCTAGAGGTGAGATGAGGCCCCATTCCCCTGCAGTGCATGCAGAGCTATTCCGTGATCCCATTCAAACAAGTCAGGAGCTTCGACTTGCTTAATGGATCTCGAGACAGTCCCCAAGAACACTGTCACCAGTCTAGACGGACCCTGAGGTCACCCAGCAATGCAAAGCAGCTCCATGTGCCCCAAATCAACTCGAGATGAGGCCGGATTCCCCTGCATTGACTCCAGAGCCACTCCTTGTTCCCCATTCAACACGACCGTTGGCTCGATTTCCTTCAGGCAACTCCAGAGATGCCCCGAGAACACTGTCCCAAGTCTAGAGGACCACCAACTTCAGCACAGCAACTCGAGGAATACTCTGTGTACCCCAAATCGTCTCGAGATGAGAGCTGATTCCCTGGCTTAGGCTCAAGACGTATGCCACCTTTCCAGAAGCACCTCAGGAGGAGGCTTCTCTCAGCAATAGGTATGTGGGAGGGACCCCGAGTTTGCTGCCTCAAGGGGAATATACAGCGAGAAGCCCTAACTTGAAAGGAGGCCGGATTTCCTTGCAGTGGCTTGAATACAGGCTCGTCATTCATCTCACAACATGAAGGGATGTCTGAATCCCCTGTGGAGACCTTAGAGAAAGCCCTAGGTCCCTGCCTCATTTTGACGGAATCCTCACATCCCGCTGAAACCTCGAGAGGCACGCGGAGTTCATTGCTTCAAAAGGTGACGATGCCTGACTCCTCTTGAATACTTATAGGAATCCCAAAATCCCTGTGGCTACTGGAAAGGGTCCTTGGGTGCCCTGGCTCACCTCGAGAAGCGTCCCTTTTGCCCTGCCAAGCCTCGAAGAGCTTGCTGACGTGTCTCTCGTTACTAGACAGGAGTCCTGACGTCACGGAAGAAACTCGTGTTTTGAAGGGCCATCCCCGCCGTAAGTCGAGAACATACCCCAGGTCCCCGCCGCAACTCGAGAAAAACCATGAGACTTCCCCCTAGAGGCGAGATGAGGCCCCATTCCCCTGCAGTGCATGCAGAGCTATTCCGTGATCCCATTCAAACAAGTCAGGAGCTTCGACTTGCTTAATGGATCTCGAGACAGTCCCCAAGAACACTGTCACCAGTCTAGACGGACCGTGAGGTCACCCAGCAATGCAAAGCAGCTCCATGTGCCCCAAATCAACTCGAGATGAGGCCCGATTCCCCTGCATTGACTCCAGAGCCATTCCCCGTTCCCCATTCAACACGACCGGTGGCTCGACTTCCTTCAGGCAACTGCAGAGATGCCCCGAGAACACTGCCCCAAGTCTAGAGGAACACCAACTTCAGCACAGCAACTCGAGGAATGCTCTGTGTACCCCAAATCGTCTCGAGATGAGAGCTGAATCCCTGGCTTAGGCTCAAGACGTATGCCAACTTTCCAGAAGCACCTCAGGAGGAGGCTTCTCTCAGCAATAGGTATGTGGGAGGGACTCCGAGTTTGCTGCCTCAAGGGTAATATACAGCGAGAAGCCCTAACTTGAAAGGAGGCCGGATTTCCTTGCAGTGGCTTGAATACAGGCTCGTCTTTCATCTCACAACATGAAGGGATGTGGATGTCTGAATCCCCTGTGGAGACCTTAGAGAAAGCCCTAGGTCCCTGCCTCATTTTGACGGAATCCTCACATCCCGCTGACACCTCGAGAGGCACGCGGAGTTCATTGCTTCAAAAGGTGAGGATGCCTGACTCCTCTTGAATACTGATAGGAATCCCAAAATCCCTGTGGCTACTGGAAAGGGTCCTTGGGTGCCCTGGCTCACCTCGAGAAGCGTCCCTTTTGCCCTGCCAAGCCTCGAAGAGATTGCTGAGGTGTCCCTCGTTACTAGACAGGAGTCCTGACGTCACTGAAGAAACTCGTGTTTTGAAGGGCCATCCCCGCCGTAAGTCGAGAACATACCCCAGGTCCCCGCCGCAACTCGAGAAAAACCATGAGACTTCCCCCTAGAGGCGAGATGAGGCCCCATTCCCCTGCAGTGCATGCAGAGCTATTCCGTGATCCCATTCAAACAAGTCAGGAGCTTCGACTTGCTTAATGGATCTCGAGGCAGTCCCCAAGAACACTGTCACCAGTCTAGACGGACCCTGAGGTCACCCCAGCAACGCAAAGCTGCTCCATGTGCCCCAAATCAACTCGAGATGAGGCCCGATTCCCCTGCATTGACTCCAGAGCCATTCCCCGTTCCACATTCAACAAGACCGGTGGCTCGACTTCCTTCAGGCAACTCCAGAGATGCCCCGAGAACACTGTCCCAAGTCTAGAGGAGCACCAATTTCAGCACAGCAACCCGAGGAATGCTCCGTGTACCCCAAATCATCTCGAGATGAGAGCTGATTCCCTGGCTTAGGCTCAAGACGTATGCCAACTTTCCAGAAGCACCTCAGGAGGAGGCTTCTCTCAGCAATAGGTATGTGGGAGGGACCCCGAGTTTGCTGCCTCAAGGGGAATACACAGGGAGAAGCCCTAATGTGAATGGAGGCCAGATTTCCTTGCAGTGGCTTGAATACAGGCTCGTCTTTGATCTGACAACATGAAGGTATTTCTGAATCCCCTGTGGAGAACTTAGAGGAAGCCCTAGGTCCCTGCCTCATTTTGACGGAATACCTCACATCCCCCTGACACCTCGAGAGGCACGCAGAGTTCATTGCTTCAAAAGGTGACGATGCCTGACTCCTCTTGAATACTTATAGGAATCCCAAAATCCCTGTAGCTACTGGAAAGGGTCCTTGGGTGCCCTGGCTCACCTCGAGAAGCGTCCCTTTTGCCCTGCCAAGCCTCGAAGAGATTGCTGAGGTGTCCCTCGTTACTAGACAGGAGTCCTGACGTCACTGAAGAAACTCGTGTTTTGAAGGGCCATCCCCGCCGTAAGTCGAGAACATACCCCAGTTCCCCGCCGCAACTCGAGAAAAACCATGAGACTTCCCCCTAGAGGCGAGATGAGGCCCCATTCCCCTGCAGTGCATGCAGAGCTATTCCGTGATCCCATTCAAACAAGTCAGGAGCTTCGACTTGCTTAATGGATCTCGAGGCAGTCCCCAAGAACACTGTCACCAGTCTAGACGGACCCTGAGGTCACCCCAGCAACGCAAAGTAGCTCTAGGTGCCACAAATCAACTCGAGATGAGGCCCGATTCCCCTGCATTGACTCCAGAGCCATTCCCCGTTCCCCATTCAACACGACCGGTGGCTCGACTTCCTTCAGGCAACTCCAGAGATGCCCAGAGAACACTGTCCCAAGTCTAGAGGAACACCAACTTCAGCACAGCAACACGAGGAATGCTCTGTGTACCCCAAATCGTCTCGAGATGAGAGCTGAATCCCTGGCTTAGGCTCAAGACGTATGCCAACTTTCCAGAAGCACCTCAGGAGGAGGCTTCTCTCAGCAATAGGTATGTGGGAGGGACCCCGAGTTTGCTGCCTCAAGGGGAATATACAGCGAGAAGCCCTAACTTGAAAGGAGGCCGGATTTCCTTGCAGTGGCTTGAATACAGGCTCGTCTTTCATCTCACAACATGAAGGGATGTCTGAATCCCCTGTGGAGACCTTAGAGAAAGCCCTAGGTCCCTGCCTCATTTTGATGGAATCCTCACATCCCGCTGACACCTCGAGAGGCACGCGGAGTTCATTGCTTCAAAAGGTGACGATGCCTGACTCCTCTTGAATACTGATAGGAATCCCAACATCCCTGTGGCTACTGGAAAGGGTCCTTGGGTGCCCTGGCTCACCTCGAGAAGCGTCCCTTTTGCCCTGCCATGCCTCGAAGAGATTGCTGAGGTGTCCCTCGTTACTAGACAGGAGTCCTGACGTCACAGAAGAAACTCGTGTTTTGAAGGGCCATCCCCGCCGTAAGTCGAGAACATACCCCAGGTCCCCGCCGCAACTAGAGAAAAACCATGAGACTTCCCCCTAGAGGTGAGATGAGGCCCCATTCCCCTGCAGTGCATGCAGAGCTATTCCGTGATCCCATTCAAACAAGTCAGGAGCTTCGACTTGCTTAATGGATCTCGAGACAGTCCCCAAGAACACTGTCACCAGTCTAGACGGACCCTGAGGTCACCCAGCAATGCAAAGCAGCTCCATGTGCCCCAAATCAACTCGAGATGAGGCCGGATTCCCCTGCATTGACTCCAGAGCCACTCCTTGTTCCCCATTCAACACGACCGTTGGCTCGATTTCCTTCAGGCAACTCCAGAGATGCCCCGAGAACACTGTCCCAAGTCTAGAGGACCACCAACTTCAGCACAGCAACTCGAGGAATACTCTGTGTACCCCAAATCGTCTCGAGATGAGAGCTGATTCCCTGGCTTAGGCTCAAGACGTATGCCACCTTTCCAGAAGCACCTCAGGAGGAGGCTTCTCTCAGCAATAGGTATGTGGGAGGGACCCCGAGTTTGCTGCCTCAAGGGGAATATACAGCGAGAAGCCCTAACTTGAAAGGAGGCCGGATTTCCTTGCAGTGGCTTGAATACAGGCTCGTCATTCATCTCACAACATGAAGGGATGTCTGAATCCCCTGTGGAGACCTTAGAGAAAGCCCTAGGTCCCTGCCTCATTTTGACGGAATCCTCACATCCCGCTGAAACCTCGAGAGGCACGCGGAGTTCATTGCTTCAAAAGGTGACGATGCCTGACTCCTCTTGAATACTTATAGGAATCCCAAAATCCCTGTGGCTACTGGAAAGGGTCCTTGGGTGCCCTGGCTCACCTCGAGAAGCGTCCCTTTTGCCCTGCCAAGCCTCGAAGAGCTTGCTGACGTGTCTCTCGTTACTAGACAGGAGTCCTGACGTCACGGAAGAAACTCGTGTTTTGAAGGGCCATCCCCGCCGTAAGTCGAGAACATACCCCAGGTCCCCGCCGCAACTCGAGAAAAACCATGAGACTTCCCCCTAGAGGCGAGATGAGGCCCCATTCCCCTGCAGTGCATGCAGAGCTATTCCGTGATCCCATTCAAACAAGTCAGGAGCTTCGACTTGCTTAATGGATCTCGAGACAGTCCCCAAGAACACTGTCACCAGTCTAGACGGACCGTGAGGTCACCCAGCAATGCAAAGCAGCTCCATGTGCCCCAAATCAACTCGAGATGAGGCCGAATTCCCCTGAATTGACTCCAGAGCCACTCCTTGTTCCCCATTCAACACGACCGGTGGCTCGACTTCCTTCAGGCAACTCCAGAGATGCCCCGAGAACACTGTCCCAAGTCTAGAGGACCACCAACTTCAGCACAGCAACTCGAGGAATGCTCAGTGTACCCCAAATCGTCTCGAGATGAGAGCTGATTCCCTGGCTTAGGCTCAAGACGTATGCCACCTTTCCAGAAGCACCTCAGGAGGAGGCTTCTCTCAGCAATAGGTATGTGGGAGGGACCCCGAGTTTGCTGCCTCAAGGGGAATATACAGCAAGAAGCCCTAACTTGAAAGGAGGCCGGATTTCCTTGCAGTGGCTTGAATACAGGCTCGTCTTTCATCTCACAACATGAAGGGATGTCTGAATCCCCTGTGGATACCTTAGAGAAAGCCCTAGGTCCCTGCCTCATTTTGACGGAATCCTCACATCCCGCTGACACCTCGAGAGGCACGCGGAGTTCATTGCTTCAAAAGGTGACGATGCCTGACTCCTCTTGAATACTGATAGGAATCCCAAAATCCCTGTGGCTACTGGAAAGGGTCCTTGGGTGCCCTGGCTCACCTCGAGAAGCGTCCCTTTTGCCCTGCCAAGCCTCGAAGAGATTGCTGACGTGTCCCTCGTTACTAGACAGGAGTCCTGACGTCTCGGAAGAAACTCGTGTTTTGAAGGGCCATCCCCGCCGTAAGTCGAGAACATACCCCAGGTCCCCGCCGCAACTCGAGAAAAACCATGAGACTTCCCCCTAGAGGCGAGATGAGGCCCCATTCCCCTGCAGTGCATGCAGAGCTATTCCGTGATCCCATTCAAACAAGTCAGGAGCTTCGACTTGCTTAATGGATCTCGAGACAGTCCCCAAGAACACTGTCACCAGTCTAGACGGACCCTGAGGTCACCCCAGCAACGAAAAGCTGCTCCATGTGCCCCAAATCAACTCGAGATGAGGCCGGATTCCCCTGAATTGATTCCAGAGCCACTCCTTGTTCCCCATTCAACACGACCGGTGGCTCGACTTCCTTCAGGCAACTCCAGAGATGCCCCGAGAACACTGTCCCAAGTCTAGAGGACCACCAACTTCAGCACAGCAACTCGAGGAATGCTCTGTGTACCCCAAATCGTCTCGAGATGAGAGCTGATTCCCTGCTTAGGCTGAAGACGTATGCCACCTTTGCAGAAGCACCTCAGGAGGAGGCTTCTCTCAGCAATAGGTATGTGGGAGGGACCCCGAGTTTGCTGCCTCAAGGGGAATACACAGGGAGAAGCCCTAATGTGAACGGAGGCCAGATTTCCTTGCAGTGGCTTGAATACAGGCTCGTCTTTGATCTGACAACATGAAGGGATTTCTGAATCCCCTGTGGAGACCTTAGAGGAAGCCCTAGGTCCCTGCCTCATTTTGACGGAATACCTCACATCCCCCTGACACCTCGAGAGGCACGCAGAGTTCATTGCTTCAAAAGGTGACGATGCCTGACTCCTCTTGAATACTGATAGGAATCCCAAAATCCCTGTGGCTACTGGAAAGGGTCCTTGGGTGCCCTGGCTCACCTCGAGAAGCGTCCCTTTTGCCCTGCCAAGCCTCGAAGAGATTGCTGACGTGTCCCTCGTTACTAGACAGGAGTCCTGACGTCACTGAAGAAACTCGTGTTTTGAAGGGCCATCCCCGCCGTAAGTCGAGAACATACCCCAGGTCCCCGCCGAAACTCGAGAAAAACCATGAGACTTCCCCCTAGAGGCGAGATGAGGCCCCATTCCCCTGCAGTGCATGCAGAGCTATTCCGTGATCCCATTCAAACAAGTCAGGAGCTTCGACTTGCTTAATGGATCTCGAGGCAGTCCCCAAGAACACTGTCACCAGTCTAGACGGACCCTGAGGTCACCCCAGCAACGCAAAGCAGCTCCAGGTGCCACAAATCAACTCGAGATGAGGCCCGATTCCCCTGCATTGACTCCAGAGCCATTCCCCGTTCCCCATTCAACACGACCGGTGGCTCGACTTCCTTCAGGCAACTCCAGAGATGCCCAGTGAACACTGTCCCAAGTCTAGAGGAACACCAACTTCAGCACAGCAACTCGAGGAATGCTCTGTGTACCCCAAATCGTCTGGAGATGAGAGCTGAATCCCTGGCTTAGGCTCAAGACGTATGCCAACTTTCCAGAAGCACCTCAGGAGGAGGCTTCTCTCAGCAATAGGTATGTGGGAGGGACTCCGAGTTTGCTGCCTCAAGGGGAATATACAGCGAGAAGCCCTAACTTGAAAGGAGGCCGGATTTCCTTGCAGTGGCTTGAATACAGGCTCGTCTTTCATCTCACAACATGAAGGGATGTCTGAATCCCCTGTGGAGACCTTAGAGAAAGCCCTAGGTCCCTGCATCATTTTGACGGAATCCTCACATCCCGCTGACACCTCGAGAGGCACGCGGAGTTCATTGCTTCAAAAGGTGACGATGCCTGACTCCTCTTGAATACTTATAGGAATCCCAAAATCCCTGTGGCTACTGGAAAGGGTCCTTGGGTGCCCTGGCTCACCTCGAGAAGCATCCCTTTTGCCCTGCCAAGCCTCGAAGAGATTGCTGAGGTGTCCCTCGTTACTAGACAGGAGTCCTGACGTCACGGAGGAAACTCGTGTTTTGAAGGGCCTTCCCCGCCGTAAGTCGAGAACATACCCCAGGTCCCCGCCGCAACTCGAGAAAAACCATGAGACTTCCCCCTAGAGGCGAGATGAGGCCCCATTCCCCTGCAGTGCATGCAGAGCTATTCCGAGATCCCATTCAAACAAGTCAGGAGCTTCGACTTGCTTAATGGATCTCGAGGCAGTCCCCAAGAACACTGTCACCAGTCTAGACGGACCCTGAGGTCACCCCAGCAACGCAAAGCAGCTCCAGGTGCCACAAATCAACTCGAGATGAGGCCCGATTCCCCTGAATTGACTCCAGAGCCACTCCTTGTTCCCCATTCAACACGACCGGTTGCTCGACTTCCTTCAGGCAACTCCAGAGATGCCCCGAGAACACTGTCCCAAGTCTAGAGGACCACCAACTTCAGCACAGCAACTCGAGGAATGCTCTGTGTACCCCAAATCGTCTCGAGATGAGAGCTGATTCCCTGCTTAGGCTCAAGACGTATGCCACCTTTCCAGAAGCACCTCAGGAGGAGGCTTCTCTCAGCAATAGGTATGTGGGAGGGACCCCGAGTTTGCTGCCTCAAGGGGAATATACAGCGAGAAGCCCTAACTTGAAAGGAGGCCGGATTTCCTTGCAGTGGCTTGAATACAGGCTCGTCTTTCATCTCACAACATGAAGGGATGTCTGAATCCCCTTTGGAGCCCTCAGAGAAAGCCCTAGGTCCCTGCCTCATTTTGACGGAATCCTCACATCCCGCTGACACCTCGAGAGGCACCCAGAGTTCATTGCTTCAAAAGGTGACGAAGCCTGACTCCTCTTGAATACTTATAGGAATCCCAAAATCCCTGTGGCTACTGGAACGGGTCCTTGGGTGCCTTGGCTCACCTCGAGAAGCGTCCCTTTTGCCCTGCCAAGCCTCGAAGAGATTGCTGAGGTGTCCCTCGTTACTAGACAGGAGTCCTGACGTCACTGAAGAAACTCGTGTTTTGAAGGGCCATCCCCGCCGTAAGTCGAGAACATACCCCAGGTCCCCGCCACAACTCGAGAAAAACCATGAGACTTCCCCCTAGAGGCGAGATGAGGCCCCATTCCCCTGCAGTGCATGCAGAGCTATTCCGTGATCCAATTCAAACAAGTCAGGAGCTTCGACTTGCTTAATGGATCTCGAGACAGACCCCAAGAACACTGTCACCAGTCTAGACGGACCCTGAGGTCACCCCAGCAATGCAAAGCAGCTCCATGTGCCCCAAATCAACTCGAGATGAGGCCCCATTCCCCTGCATTGACTCCAGAGCTATACCCCTTCCCCATTCAACAGAACTGGTGGCTCACTTTCCTTCAGGCAACTCCAGAGATTCCCCGAGAACACTGTCCCAAGTCTAGAGGAACACCAACTTCAGCACAGCAACTCGAGGAATGCTCTGTGTACCCCAAATCGTCTCGAGATGAGAGCTGATTCCCTGGCTTAGGCTCAAGACGTATGCCACCTTTCCAGAAGCACTTCAGGAGGAGGCTTCTCTCAGCAATAGGTATGTGGGAGGGACTCCGAGTTTGCTGCCTCAAGGGGAATATACAGCGAGAAGCCCTAACTTGAAAGGAGGCCGGATTTCCTTGCAGTGGCTTGAATACAGGCTCGTCTTTCATCTCACAACATGAAGGGATGTCTGAATCCCCTGTGGAGACCTTAGAGAAAGCCCTAGGTCCCTGCCTCATTTTGACGGAATCCTCACATCCCGCTGACACCTCGAGAGGCACGCGGAGTTCATTGCTTCAAAAGGTGACGATGCCTGACTCCTCTTGAATACTGATAGGAATCCCAAAATCCCTGTGGCTACTGGAAAGGGTCCTTGGGTGCCCTGGCTCACCTCGAGAAGCGTCCCTTTTGCCCTGCCAAGCCTCGAAGAGATTGCTGAGGTGTCCCTCGTTACTAGACAGGAGTCCTGACGTCACTGAATAAACTCGTGTTTTGAAGGGCCATCCCCGCCGTAAGTCGAGAACATACCCCAGGTCCCCGCCGCAACTCGAGAAAAACCATGAGACTTCCCCCTAGAGGCGAGATGAGGCCCCATTCCCCTGCAGTGCATGCAGAGCTATTCCGTGATCCCATTCAAACAAGTCAGGAGCTTCGACATGCTTAATGGATCTCGAGACAGTCCCCAAGAACACTGTCACCAGTCTAGACTGACCGTGAGGTCACCCAGCAATGCAAAGCAGCTCCATGTGGCCCAAATCAACTCGAGATGAGGCCCGATTCCCCTGTATTGACTCCAGAGCCATTCCTTGTTCCCCATTCAACACGACCGGTGGCTCGACTTCCTTCAGGCAACTCCAGAGATGCCCCGAGAACACTGTCCCAAGTCTAGAGGAACACCAACTTCAGCACAGCAACTCGAGGAATGCTCTGTGTACCCCAAATCGTCTCGAGATGAGAGCTGATTCCCTGGCTTAGGCTCAAGACGTATGCCACCTTTCCAGAAGCACTTCAGGAGGAGGCTTCTCTCAGCAATAGGTATGTGGGAGGGACCCCGAGTTTGCTGCCTCAAGGGGAATATACAGCGAGAAGCCGTAACTTGAAAGGAGGCCGGATTTCCTTGCAGTGGCTTGAATACAGGCTCGTCTTTCATCTCACAACATGAAGGGATGTCTGAATCCCCTGTGGAGACCTTAGAGAATGCCCTAGGTCCCTGCCTCATTTTGACGGAATCCTCACATCCCGCTGACACCTCGAGAGGCACGCGGAGTTCATTGCTTCAAAAGGTGACGATGCCTGACTCCTCTTGAATACTTATAGGAATCCCAAAATCCCTGTGGCTACTGGAAAGGGTCCTTGGGTGCCCTGGCTCACCTCGAGAAGCGTCCCTTTTGCCCTGCCAAGCCTCGAAGAGATTGCTGAGGTGTCCCTCGTTACTAGACAGGAGTCCTGACGTCACTGAAGAAACTCGTGTTTTGAAGGGCCATCCCCGCCGTAAGTCGAGAACATACCCCAGGTCCCCGCCGCAACTCGAGAAAAACCATGAGACTTCCCCCTAGAGGCGAGATGAGGCCCCATTCCCCTGCAGTGCATGCAGAGCTATTCCGTGATCCCATTCAAACAAGTCAGGAGCTTCGACTTGCTTAATGGATCTCGAGACAGTCCCCAAGAACACTGTCACCAGTCCAGACGAACCCTGAGGTCACCAGCAGTGCAAAGCAGCTCCATGTGCCCCAAATCAACTCGAGATGAGGCCGGATTCCCCTGCATTGACTCCAGAGCCACGCCTTGTTCCCCATTCAACACGACCGGTGGCTCGACTTCCTTCAGGCAACTCCAGAGATGCCCCGAGAACACTGTCCCAAGTCTAGAGGACCACCAACTTCAGCACAGCAACTCGAGGAATGCTCTGTGTACCCCAAATCGTCTCGAGATGAGAGCTGATTCCCTGGCTTAGGCTCAAGACGTATGCCACCTTTCCAGAAGCACCTCAGGAGGAGGCTTCTCTCAGCAATAGGTATGTGGGAGGGACCCCGAGTTTGCTGCCTCAAGGGGAATATACAGCGAGAAGCCCTAACTTGAAAGGAGGCCGGATTTCCTTGCAGTAGCTTGAATACAGGCTCGTCTTTCATCTCACAACATGAAGGGATGTCTGAATACCCTGTGAAGACCTTAGAGAAAGCCCTAGGTCACTGCCTCATTTTGACGGAATGCCTCACATCCCGCTAACACCTCGAGAGGCACGCGGAGTTCATTGCTTCAAAAGGTGACGATGCCTGACTCCTCTTGAATACTGATAGGAATCCCAAAATCCCTGTGGCTACTGGAAAGGTTCCTTGGGTGCCCTGCCTCACTTCGAGAAGCGTCCCTTTTGCCCTGCCAAGCCTCGAAGAGATTCCTGAGGTGTCCCTCGTTACTAGACAGGAGTCCTGACGTCACTGAAGAAACTCGTGTTTTGAAGGGCCATCCCCGCCATAAGTCGAGAACATACCCCAGGTCCCCGCCGCAACTCGAGAAAAACCATGAGACTTCCCCCTAGAGGCGAGATGAGGCCCCATTCCCCTGCAGTGCATGCAGAGCTATTCCGTGATCCCATTCAAACAAGTCAGGAGCTTCGATTTGCTTAATGGATCTCGAGACAGTCCCCAAGAACACTGTCACCAGTCTAGACGGACCCTGAGGTCACCCCAGCAACGCAAAGCTGCTCCATGTGCCCCAAATCAACTCGAGATGAGGCCCGATTCCCCTGCATTGACTCCAGAGCCATTCCCCGTTCCCCATTCAACACGACCGGTGGCTCGACTTCCTTCAGGCAACTCCAGAGATGCCCCGAGAACACTGTCCCAAGACTAGAGGAGCACCAATTTCAGCACAGCAACCCGAGGAATGCTCCGTGTACCCCAAATCATCTCGAGATGAGAGCTGATTCCCTGGCTTAGGCTCAAGACGTATGCCAACTTTCCAGAAGCACCTCAGGAGGAGGCTTCTCTCAGCAATAGGTATGTGGGAGGGACCCCGAGTTTGCTGCCTCAAGGGGAATACACAGGGAGAAGCCCTAATGTGAACGGAGGCCAGATTTCCTTGCAGTGGCTTGAATACAGGCTCGTCTTTGATCTGACAACATGAAGGGATTTCTGAATCCCCTGTGGAGACCTTAGAGGAAGCCCTAGGTCCCTGCCTCATTTTGACGGAATACCTCACATCCCCCTGACACCTCGAGAGGCACGCAGAGTTCATTGCTTCAAAAGGTGACGATGCCTGACTCCTCTTGAATACTTATAGGAATCCCAAAATCCCTGTGGCTACTGGAAAGGGTCCTTGGGTGCCCTGGCTCACCTCGAGAAGCGTCCCTTTTGCCCTGCCAAGCCTCGAAGAGATTGCTGAGGTGTCCCTCATTACTAGACAGGAGTCCTGACGTCACTGAAGAAACTCGTGTTTTGAAGGGCCATCCCCGCCGTAAGTCGAGAACATACCCCAGGTCCCCGCCGCAACTCGAGAAAAACCATGAGATTTCCCCCTAGAGGCGAGATGAGGCCCCATTCCCCTGCAGTGCATGCAGAGCTATTCCATGATCCAATTCAAACAAGTCAGGAGCTTCAACTTGCTTAATGGATCTCGAGACAGTCCCGAAGAACACTGTCACCAGTCTACACGGACCCTGAGGTCACCCCAGCAACACAAAGCAGCTCCATGTGCCCCAAATCAACTCGAGATGAGGCCCGATTCCCCTGCATTGACTCCAGAGCCATTCCCCGTTCCAAGTTCAACACGAACGGTGGCTCGCCTTCGTTCAGGCAACTCCAGAGATGCCCAGAGAACACTGTCCCAAGTCTAGAGGAACACCAACTTCAGCACAGCAACTCGAGGAATGCTCTGTGTACCACAAATCGTCTCGAGATGAGAGGTGATTCCCTGGCTTAGGCTCAGGACGTATGCCAACATTCCAGAAGCACCTCAGGAGGAGGCTTCTCAGCAATAGGTATGTGGGAGGGACTCCGAGTTTGCTGCCTCAAGGGGAATATACAGCGAGAAGCCCTAACTTGAAAGGAGGCCGGATTTCCTTGCATTGCTTGAATACAGGCTCATCTTTCATCTCACAACATGAAGGGATGTCTGAATCCCTTGTGGAGACCTTAGAGAAAGCCCTAGGTCCCTGCCTCATTTTGACGGAATACCTCACATCCCCCTGACACCTCGAGAGGCACGCAGAGTTCATTGCTTCAAAAGGTGACGATGCCTGACTCCTCTTGAATACTTATAGGAATCCCAAAATCCCTGTGGCTACTGGAAAGGGTCCTTGGGTGCCCTGGCTCACTTCTAGAAGCGTCCCTTTTGCCCTGCCAAGCCTCGAAGAGATTGCTGACGTGTCCCTCGTTACTAGACAGGAGTCCTGACGTCACTGAAGAAACTCGTGTTTTGAAGGGCCATCCCCGCCGTAAGTCGAGAACATACCCCAGGTCCCCGCCGCAACTCGAGAAAAACCATGAGACTTCCCCCTAGAGGCGAGATGAGGCCCCATTCCCCTGCAGTGCATGCAGAGCTATTCCGAGATCCCATTCAAACAAGTCAGGAGCTTCGATTTGCTTAATGGATCTAGAGACAGTCCCCAAGAACACTGTCACCAGTCTAGACGGACCCTGAGGTCACCCCAGCAACGCAAAGCAGCTCCATGTGCCCCAAATCAACTCGAGATGAGGCCCCATTCCCCTGCATTGACTCCAGAGCCATTCCCCGTTCCCCATTCAACAGGACTGGTGACTCGCATTCCTTCAGGCAACTCCAGAGATGCCCTGAGAACACTGTCCCAAGTCTAGAGGAACACCAACTTCAGCACAGCAACTCGAGGAATGCTCTGTGTACCCCAAATCGTCTCGAGATGAGAGCTGATTCCCTGGCTTAGGCTCAAGACGTATGCCAACTTTCCAGAAGGACCTCAGGAGGAGGCTTCTCAGCAATAGGTATGTGGGAGGGACTCCGAGTTTGCTGCCTCAAGGGGAATATATAGCGAGAAGCCCTAACTTGAAAGGAGGCCGGATTTCCTTGCAGTAGCTTGAATACAGGCTTGTCTTTCATCTCACAACATGAAGGGATGTCTGAATCCCCTGTGAAGACCTTAGAGAAAGCCCTAGGTCCCAGCCTCATTTTGACGGAATGCCTCACATCCCGCTGACAACTCGAGAGGCAAGCGGAGTTCATTGCTTCAAAAGGTGACGATGCCTGACTCCTCTTGAATACTGATAGGAATCCCAAAATCCCTGTGGCTACTGGAAAGGTTCCTTGGGTGCCCTGCCTCACTTCGAGAAGCGTCCCTTTTGCCCTGCCAAGCCTCGAAGAGATTCCTGAGGTGTCCCTCGTTACTAGACAGGAGTCCTGACGTCACTGAAGAAACTCGTGTTTTGAAGGGCCATCCCCGCCGTAAGTCGAGAACATACCCCAGGTCCCCGCCGCAACTCGAGAAAAACCATGAGACTTCCCCCTAGAGGCGAGATGAGGCCCCATTCCCCTGCAGTGCATGCAGAGCTATTCCGTGATCCCATTCAAACAAGTCAGGAGCTTCGACTTGCTTAATGGATCTCGAGACAGTCCCCAAGAACACTGTCACCAGTCTAGACGGACCCTGAGGTCACCCCAGCAACGCAAAGCAGCTCCATGTGTCCCAAATCAACTCGAGATGAGGCCCGATTCCCCTGCATTGACTCCAGAGCCATTCCCCGTTCCGCATTCAACACGACTGGTGGCTCGACTTCCTTCAGGCAACTCCAGAGATGCCCCGAGAACACTGTCCCAAGTCTAGAAGAGCACCAGTTTCAGCACAGCAACCCGAGGAATGCTCCGTGTACCCCAAATCATCTCGAGATGAGAGCTGATTCCCTGGCTTAGGCTCAAGACGTATGCCAACTTTCCAGAAGCACCTCAGGAGGAGGCTTCTCTCAGCAATAGGTATGTGGGAGGGACCCCGAGTTTGCTGCCTCAAGGGGAATACACAGGGAGAAGCCCTAATGTGAACGGAGGCCAGATTTCCTTGCACTGCGTTGAATACAGGCTCGTCTTTGATCAGACAACATGAAGGGTTGTCTGAATCCCCTGTGGAGACCTTAGAGGAAGCCCTAGGTCCCTGCCTCATTTTGACGGAATACCTCACATCCCCCTGACACCTCGAGAGGCACGCAGAGTTCATTGCTTCAAAAGGTGACGATGCCTGACTCCTCTTGAATACTTATAGGAATCCCAAAATCCCTGTGGCTACTGGAAAGGGTCCTTGGGTGCCCTGGCTCACCTCGAGAAGCGTCCCTTTTGCCCTGCCAAGCCTCGAAGAGATTGCTGAGGTGTCCCTCATTACTAGACAGGAGTCCTGACGTCACTGAAGAAACTCGTGTTTTGAAGGGCCATCCCCGCCGTAAGTCGAGAACATACCCCAGGTCCCCGCCGCAACTCGAGAAAAACCATGAGATTTCCCCCTAGAGGCGAGATGAGGCCCCATTCCCCTGCAGTGCATGCAGAGCTATTCCATGATCCAATTCAAACAAGTCAGGAGCTTCAACTTGCTTAATGGATCTCGAGACAGTCCCGAAGAACACTGTCACCAGTCTACACGGACCCTGAGGTCACCCCAGCAACACAAAGCAGCTCCATGTGCCCCAAATCAACTCGAGATGAGGCCCGATTCCCCTGCATTGACTCCAGAGCCATTCCCCGTTCCAAGTTCAACACGAACGGAGGCTCGCCTTCCTTCAGGCAACTCCAGAGATGCCCAGAGAACACTGTCCCAAGTCTAGAGGAACACCAACTTCAGCACAGCAACTCGAGGAATGCTCTGTGTACCACAAATCGTCTCGAGATGAGAGGTGATTCCCTGGCTTAGGCTCAGGACGTATGCCAACTTTCCAGAAGCACCTCAGGAGGAGGCTTCTCAGCAATAGGTATGTGGGAGGGACTCCGAGTTTGCTGCCTCAAGGGGAATATACAGCGAGAAGCCCTAACTTGAAAGGAGGCCGGATTTCCTTGCAGTAGCTTGAATACAGGCTCATCTTTCATCTCACAACATGAAGGGATGTCTGAATCCCTTGTGGAGACCTTAGAGAAAGCCCTAGGTCCCTGCCTCATTTTGACGGAATACCTCACATCCCCCTGACACCTCGAGAGGCACGCAGAGTTCATTGCTTCAAAAGGTGACGATGCCTGACTCCTCTTGAATACTTATAGGAATCCCAAAATCCCTGTGGCTACTGGAAAGGGTCCTTGGGTGCCCTGGCTCACTTCTAGAAGCGTCCCTTTTGCCCTGCCAAGCCTAGAAGAGATTGCTGACGTGTCCCTCGTTACTAGACAGGAGTCCTGACGTCACTGAAGAAACTCGTGTTTTGAAGGGCCATCCCCGCCGTAAGTCGAGAACATACCCCAGGTCCCCGCCGCAACTCGAGAAAAACCATGAGACTTCCCCCTAGAGGCGAGATGAGGCCCCATTCCCCTGCAGTGCATGCAGAGCTATTCCGAGATCCCATTCAAACAAGTCAGGAGCTTCGATTTGCTTAATGGATCTAGAGACAGTCCCCAAGAACACTGTCACCAGTCTAGACGGACCCTGAGGTCACCCCAGCAACGCAAAGCAGCTCCATGTGCCCCAAATCAACTCGAGATGAGGCCCCATTCCCCTGCATTGACTCCAGAGCCATTCCCCGTTCCCCATTCAACAGGACTGGTGACTCGCATTCCTTCAGGCAACTCCAGAGATGCCCTGAGAACACTGTCCCAAGTCTAGAGGAACACCAACTTCAGCACAGCAACTCGAGGAATGCTCTGTGTACCCCAAATCGTCTCGAGATGAGAGCTGATTCCCTGGCTTAGGCTCAAGACGTATGCCAACTTTCCAGAAGGACCTCAGGAGGAGGCTTCTCAGCAATAGGTATGTGGGAGGGACTCCGAGTTTGCTGCCTCAAGGGGAATATATAGCGAGAAGCCCTAACTTGAAAGGAGGCCGGATTTCCTTGCAGTAGCTTGAATACAGGCTTGTCTTTCATCTCACAACATGAAGGGATGTCTGAATCCCCTGTGAAGACCTTAGAGAAAGCCCTAGGTCCCAGCCTCATTTTGACGGAATGCCTCACATCCCGCTGACAACTCGAGAGGCACGCGGAGTTCATTGCTTCAAAAGGTGACGATGCCTGACTCCTCTTGAATACTGATAGGAATCCCAAAATCCCTGTGGCTACTGGAAAGGTTCCTTGGGTGCCCTGCCTCACTTCGAGAAGCGTCCCTTTTGCCCTGCCAAGCCTCGAAGAGATTCCTGAGGTGTCCCTCGTTACTAGACAGGAGTCCTGACGTCACTGAAGAAACTCGTGTTTTGAAGGGCCATCCCCGCCGTAAGTCGAGAACATACCCCAGGTCCCCGCCGCAACTCGAGAAAAACCATGAGACTTCCCCCTAGAGGCGAGATGAGGCCCCATTCCCCTGCAGTGCATGCAGAGCTATTCCGTGATCCCATTCAAACAAGTCAGGAGCTTCGACTTGCTTAATGGATCTCGAGACAGTCCCCAAGAACACTGTCACCAGTCTAGACGGACCCTGAGGTCACCCCAGCAACGCAAAGCAGCTCCATGTGTCCCAAATCAACTCGAGATGAGGCCCGATTCCCCTGCATTGACTCCAGAGCCATTCCCCGTTCCCCATTCAACACGACCGGTGGCTCGACTTCCTTCAGGCAACTCCAGAGATGCCCCGAGAACACTGTCCCAAGTCTAGAAGAGCACCAGTTTCAGCACAGCAACCCGAGGAATGCTCCGTGTACCCCAAATCATCTCGAGATGAGAGCTGATTCCCTGGCTTAGGCTCAAGACGTATGCCAACTTTCCAGAAGCACCTGAGGAGGAGGCTTCTCTCAGCAATAGGTATGTGGGAGGGACCCCGAGTTTGCTGCCTCAAGGGGAATACACAGGGAGAAGCCCTAATGTGAACGGAGGCCAGATTTCCTTGCACTGCGTTGAATACAGGCTCGTCTTTGATCAGACAACATGAAGGGTTGTCTGAATCCCCTGTGGAGACCTTAGAGGGAGCCCTAGGTCCCTGCCTCATTTTGACGGAATACCTCACATCCCCCTGACACCTCGAGAGGCACGCAGAGTTCATTGCTTCAAAAGGTGGCGATGCCTGACTCCTCTTGAATACTTATAGGAATCCCAAAATCCCTGTGGCAACTGGAAAGGGTCTTGGGTGCCCTGGCTCACCTCGAGAAGCGTCCCTTTTGCCCTGCCAAGCCTCGAAGAGATTGCTGAGGTGTCCCTCATTACTAGACAGGAGTCCTGACGTCACTGAAGAAACTCGTGTTTTGAAGGGCCATCCCCGCCGTAAGTCGAGAACATACCACAGGTCCCCGCCGCAACTCGAGAAAAACCATGAGATTTCCCCCTTGAGGCGAGAAGAGGCCCCATTCCCCTGCAGTGCATGCATAGCTATTCCATGATCACATTCAAACAAGTCAGGAGCTTCGACTTGCTTAATGGATCTCGAGACAGTCCCCAAGAACACTGTCACCAGTCTAGACGGACCCTGAGGTCACACCAGCAACACAAAGCAGTTCCATGTGCCCCAAATCAACTCGAGATGAGGCCCGATTCCCCTGCATTGACTCCAGAGCCATTCCCCGTTCCAAGTTCAACACGAACGGTGGCTCGCCTTCCTTCAGGCAACTCCAGAGATGCCCCGAGAACACTGTCCCAAATCTAGAGGAACACCAACTTCAGCACAGCAACTCGAGGAATGCTCTGTGTACCCCAAATCGTCTCGAGATGAGAGCTGATTCCCTGGCTAAGGCTCAAGACGTATGCCAACTTTCCAGAAGCACCTCAGGAGGAGGCTTCTCAGCAATAGGTATGTGGGAGGGACTCCGAGTTTGCTGCCTCAAGGGGAATATACAGCGAGAAGCCCTAACTTGAAAGGAGGCCGGATTTCCTTGCAGTAGCTTGAAACAGGCTTGTTTTTCATCTCACAACATAAAGGGATGTCTGAATCCCCTGTGGAGACCTTAGAGAAAGCCCTAGGTCCCTGCCTCATTTTGACGGAATCCTCACATCCGGCTGACACCTCGAGAGGCACGCGGAGTTCATTGCTTCAAAAGGTGACGATGCCTGACTCCTCTTGAATACTGATAGGAATCCCAAAATCACTGTGGCTACTGGAAAGGTTCCTTGGGTGCCCTGCCTCACTTCGAGAAGCGTCCCTTTTGCCCTGCCAAGCCTCGAAGAGATTCCTGAGGTGTCCCTCGTTTCTAGACAGGAGTCCTGACGTCAATGAAGAAACTCGTGTTTTGAAGGGCCATTCCCGCCGTAAGTCGAGAACATACCCCAGGTCCCCGCCGCAACTCGAGAAAAACCATGAGACTTCCCCCTAGAGGCGAGATGAGGCCACATTCCCCTGCAGTGCATGCAGAGCTATTCCGTGATCCCATTCAAACAAGTCAGGAGCTTCGACTTGCTTAATGGATCTCGAGACAGTCCCCAAGAACACTGTCACCAGTCTAGACAGACCCTGAGGTCACCCCAGCAACGCAAAGCTGCTCCATGTGCCCCAAATCAACTCGAGATGAGGCCCGATTCCCCTGCATTGACTCCAGAGCCATTCCCCGTTCCCCATTCAACACGACCGGTGGCTCGACTTCCTTCAGGCAACTCCAGAGATGCCCCGAGAACACTGTCCCAAGTCTAGAGGAGCACCAATTTCAGCACAGCAACCCGAGGAATGCTCCGTGTACCCCAAATCATCTCGAGATGAGAGCTGATTCCCTGGCTTAGGCTCAAGACGTATGCCAACTTTCCAGAAGCACCTCAGGAGGAGGCTTCTCTCAGCAATAGGTATGTGGGAGGGACCCCGAGTTTGCTGCCTCAAGGGGAATACACAGGGAGAAGCCCTAATGTGAACGAAGGCCAGATTTCCTTGCAGTGGCTTGAATACAGGCTCGTCTTTGATCTGACAACATGAAGGGATGTCTGAATCCCCTGTGGAGACCTTAGAGGAAGCCCTAGGTCCCTGCCTCATCTTGATGGAATACCTCACATCCCCCTGACACCTCGAGAGGCACGCAGAGTTCATTGCTTCAAAAGGTGACGATGCCTGACTCCTCTTGAATACTTATAGGAATCCCCAAATCCCTGTGGATACTGGAAAGGGTCCTTGGGTGCCCTGGCTCACCTCGAGAAGCGTCCCTTTTGCCCTGCCAAGCCTCGAAGAGATTGCTGAGGTGTCCCTCGTTACTAGACAGGAGTCCTGACGTCACTGAAGAAACTCGTGTTTTGAAGGGCCATCCCCGCCGTAAGTCGAGAACATACCCCAGGTCCCCGCCGCAACTCGAGAAAAACCATGAGACTTCCCCCTAGAGGCGAGATGAGGCCCCATTCCCCTGCAGTGCATGCAGAGCTATTCCGAGATCCCATTCAAACAAGTCAGGAGCTTCGATTTGCTTAATGGATCTAGAGACAGTCCCCAAGAACACTGTCACCAGTCTAGACGGAACCTGAGGTCACCCCAGCAACGCAAAGCAGCTCCATGTGCCCCAAATCAACTCGAGATGAGGCCCCATTCCCCTGCATTGACTCCAGAGCCATTCCCCGTTCCCCATTCAACAGGACTGGTGACTCGCATTCCTTCAGGCAACTCCAGAGATGCCCTGAGAACACTGTCCCAAGTCTAGAGGAACACCAACTTCAGCACAGCAACTCGAGGAATGCTCTGTGTACCCCAAATCGTCTCGAGATGAGAGCTGATTCCCTGGCTTAGGCTCAAGACGTATGCCAACTTTCCAGAAGGACCTCAGGAGGAGGCTTCTCAGCAATAGGTATGTGGGAGGGACTCCGAGTTTGCTGCCTCAAGGGGAATATATAGCGAGAAGCCCTAACTTGAAAGGAGGCCGGATTTCCTTGCAGTAGCTTGAATACAGGCTTGTCTTTCATCTCACAACATGAAGGGATGTCTGAATCCCCTGTGAAGACCTTAGAGAAAGCCCTAGGTCCCAGCCTCATTTTGACGGAATGCCTCACATCCCGCTGACAACTCGAGAGGCACGCGGAGTTCATTGCTTCAAAAGGTGACGATGCCTGACTCCTCTTGAATACTGATAGGAATCCCAAAATCCCTGTGGCTACTGGAAAGGTTCCTTGGGTGCCCTGCCTCACTTCGAGAAGCGTCCCTTTTGCCCTGCCAAGCCTCGAAGAGATTCCTGAGGTGTCCCTCGTTACTAGACAGGAGTCCTGACGTCACTGAAGAAACTCGTGTTTTGAAGGGCCATCCCCGCCGTAAGTCGAGAACATACCCCAGGTCCCCGCCGCAACTCGAGAAAAACCATGAGACTTCCCCCTAGAGGCGAGATGAGGCCCCATTCCCCTGCAGTGCATGCAGAGCTATTCCGTGATCCCATTCAAACAAGTCAGGAGCTTCGACTTGCTTAATGGATCTCGAGACAGTCCCCAAGAACACTGTCACCAGTCTAGACGGACCCTGAGGTCACCCCAGCAACGCAAAGCAGCTCCATGTGTCCCAAATCAACTCGAGATGAGGCCCGATTCCCCTGCATTGACTCCAGAGCCATTCCCCGTTCCGCATTCAACACGACCGGTGGCTCGACTTCCTTCAGGCAACTCCAGAGATGCCCCGAGAACACTGTCCCAAGTCTAGAAGAGCACCAGTTTCAGCACAGCAACCCGAGGAATGCTCCGTGTACCCCAAATCATCTCGAGATGAGAGCTGATTCCCTGGCTTAGGCTCAAGACGTATGCCAACTTTCCAGAAGCACCTCAGGAGGAGGCTTCTCTCAGCAATAGGTATGTGGGAGGGACCCCGAGTTTGCTGCCTCAAGGGGAATACACAGGGAGAAGCCCTAATGTGAACGGAGGCCAGATTTCCTTGCACTGCGTTGAATACAGGCTCGTCTTTGATCAGACAACATGAAGGGTTGTCTGAATCCCCTGTGGAGACCTTAGAGGAAGCCCTAGGTCCCTGCCTCATTTTGACGGAATACCTCACATCCCCCTGACACCTCGAGAGGCACGCAGAGTTCATTGCTTCAAAAGGTGACGATGCCTGACTCCTCTTGAATACTTATAGGAATCCCAAAATCCCTGTGGCTACTGGAAAGGGTCCTTGGGTGCCCTGGCTCACTTCTAGAAGCGTCCCTTTTGCCCTGCCAAGCCTAGAAGAGATTGCTGACGTGTCCCTCGTTACTAGACAGGAGTCCTGACGTCACTGAAGAAACTCGTGTTTTGAAGGGCCATCCCCGCCGTAAGTCGAGAACATACCCCAGGTCCCCGCCGCAACTCGAGAAAAACCATGAGACTTCCCCCTAGAGGCGAGATGAGGCCCCATTCCCCTGCAGTGCATGCAGAGCTATTCCGAGATCCCATTCAAACAAGTCAGGAGCTTCGATTTGCTTAATGGATCTCGAGACAGTCCCCAAGAACACTGTCACCAGTCTAGACGGACCCTGAGGTCACCCCAGCAACGCAAAGCAGCTCCATGTGCCCCAAATCAACTCGAGATGAGGCCCCATTCCCCTGCATTGACTCCAGAGCCATTCCCCGTTCCCCATTCAACAGGACTGGTGACTCGCATTCCTTCAGGCAACTCCAGAGATGCCCTGAGAACACTGTCCCAAGTCTAGAGGAACACCAACTTCAGCACAGCAACTCGAGGAATGCTCTGTGTACCCCAAATCGTCTCGAGATGAGAGCTGATTCCCTGGCTTAGGCTCAAGACGTATGCCAACTTTCCAGAAGGACCTCAGGAGGAGGCTTCTCAGCAATAGGTATGTGGGAGGGACTCCGAGTTTGCTGCCTCAAGGGGAATATATAGCGAGAAGCCCTAACTTGAAAGGAGGCCGGATTTCCTTGCAGTAGCTTGAATACAGGCTTGTCTTTCATCTCACAACATGAAGGGATGTCTGAATCCCCTGTGAAGACCTTAGAGAAAGCCCTAGGTCCCAGCCTCATTTTGACGGAATGCCTCACATCCCGCTGACAACTCGAGAGGCACGCGGAGTTCATTGCTTCAAAAGGTGACGATGCCTGACTCCTCTTGAATACTGATAGGAATCCCAAAATCCCTGTGGCTACTGGAAAGGTTCCTTGGGTGCCCTGCCTCACTTCGAGAAGCGTCCCTTTTGCCCTGCCAAGCCTCGAAGAGATTCCTGAGGTGTCCCTCGTTACTAGACAGGAGTCCTGACGTCACTGAAGAAACTCGTGTTTTGAAGGGCCATCCCCGCCGTAAGTCGAGAACATACCCCAGGTCCCCGCCGCAACTCGAGAAAAACCATGAGACTTCCCCCTAGAGGCGAGATGAGGCCCCATTCCCCTGCAGTGCATGCAGAGCTATTCCGTGATCCCATTCAAACAAGTCAGGAGCTTCGACTTGCTTAATGGATCTCGAGACAGTCCCCAAGAACACTGTCACCAGTCTAGACGGACCCTGAGGTCACCCCAGCAACGCAAAGCAGCTCCATGTGTCCCAAATCAACTCGAGATGAGGCCCGATTCCCCTGCATTGACTCCAGAGCCATTCCCCGTTCCGCATTCAACACGACCGGTGGCTCGACTTCCTTCAGGCAACTCCAGAGATGCCCCGAGAACACTGTCCCAAGTCTAGAAGAGCACCAGTTTCAGCACAGCAACCCGAGGAATGCTCCGTGTACCCCAAATCATCTCGAGATGAGAGCTGATTCCCTGGCTTAGGCTCAAGACGTATGCCAACTTTCCAGAAGCACCTCAGGAGGAGGCTTCTCTCAGCAATAGGTATGTGGGAGGGACCCCGAGTTTGCTGCCTCAAGGGGAATACACAGGGAGAAGCCCTAATGTGAACGGAGGCCAGATTTCCTTGCACTGCGTTGAATACAGGCTCGTCTTTGATCAGACAACATGAAGGGTTGTCTGAATCCCCTGTGGAGACCTTAGAGGAAGCCCTAGGTCCCTGCCTCATTTTGACGGAATACCTCACATCCCCCTGACACCTCGAGAGGCACGCAGAGTTCATTGCTTCAAAAGGTGACGATGCCTGACTCCTCTTGAATACTTATAGGAATCCCAAAATCCCTGTGGCTACTGGAAAGGGTCCTTGGGTGCCCTGGCTCACTTCTAGAAGCGTCCCTTTTGCCCTGCCAAGCCTAGAAGAGATTGCTGACGTGTCCCTCGTTACTAGACAGGAGTCCTGACGTCACTGAAGAAACTCGTGTTTTGAAGGGCCATCCCCGCCGTAAGTCGAGAACATACCCCAGGTCCCCGCCGCAACTCGAGAAAAACCATGAGACTTCCCCCTAGAGGCGAGATGAGGCCCCATTCCCCTGCAGTGCATGCAGAGCTATTCCGAGATCCCATTCAAACAAGTCAGGAGCTTCGATTTGCTTAATGGATCTCGAGACAGTCCCCAAGAACACTGTCACCAGTCTAGACGGACCCTGAGGTCACCCCAGCAACGCAAAGCAGCTCCATGTGCCCCAAATCAACTCGAGATGAGGCCCCATTCCCCTGCATTGACTCCAGAGCCATTCCCCGTTCCCCATTCAACAGGACTGGTGACTCGCATTCCTTCAGGCAACTCCAGAGATGCCCTGAGAACACTGTCCCAAGTCTAGAGGAACACCAACTTCAGCACAGCAACTCGAGGAATGCTCTGTGTACCCCAAATCGTCTCGAGATGAGAGCTGATTCCCTGGCTTAGGCTCAAGACGTATGCCAACTTTCCAGAAGGACCTCAGGAGGAGGCTTCTCAGCAATAGGTATGTGGGAGGGACTCCGAGTTTGCTGCCTCAAGGGGAATATATAGCGAGAAGCCCTAACTTGAAAGGAGGCCGGATTTCCTTGCAGTAGCTTGAATACAGGCTTGTCTTTCATCTCACAACATGAAGGGATGTCTGAATCCCCTGTGAAGACCTTAGAGAAAGCCCTAGGTCCCAGCCTCATTTTGACGGAATGCCTCACATCCCGCTGACAACTCGAGAGGCACGCGGAGTTCATTGCTTCAAAAGGTGACGATGCCTGACTCCTCTTGAATACTGATAGGAATCCCAAAATCCCTGTGGCTACTGGAAAGGTTCCTTGGGTGCCCTGCCTCACTTCGAGAAGCGTCCCTTTTGCCCTGCCAAGCCTCGAAGAGATTCCTGAGGTGTCCCTCGTTACTAGACAGGAGTCCTGACGTCACTGAAGAAACTCGTGTTTTGAAGGGCCATCCCCGCCGTAAGTCGAGAACATACCCCAGGTCCCCGCCGCAACTCGAGAAAAACCATGAGACTTCCCCCTAGAGGCGAGATGAGGCCCCATTCCCCTGCAGTGCATGCAGAGCTATTCCGTGATCCCATTCAAACAAGTCAGGAGCTTCGACTTGCTTAATGGATCTCGAGGCAGTCCCCAAGAACACTGTCACCAGTCTAGACGGACCCTGAGGTCACCCCAGCAACGCAAAGCAGCTCCATGTGTCCCAAATCAACTCGAGATGAGGCCCGATTCCCCTGCATTGACTCCAGAGCCATTCCCCGTTCCGCATTCAACACGACCGGTCGCTCGACTTCCTTCAGGCAACTCCAGAGATGCCCCGAGAACACTGTCCCAAGTCTAGAAGAGCACCAGTTTCAGCACAGCAACCCGAGGAATGCTCCGTGTACCCCAAATCATCTCGAGATGAGAGCTGATTCCCTGGCTTAGGCTCAAGACGTATGCCAACTTTCCAGAAGCACCTCAGGAGGAGGCTTCTCTCAGCAATAGGTATGTGGGAGGGACCCCGAGTTTGCTGCCTCAAGGGGAATACACAGGGAGAAGCCCTAATGTGAACGGAGGCCAGATTTCCTTGCACTGCGTTGAATACAGGCTCGTCTTTGATCAGACAACATGAAGGGTTGTCTGAATCCCCTGTGGAGACCATAGAGGAAGCCCTAGGTCCCTGCCTCATTTTGACGGAATACCTCACATCCCCCTGACACCTCGAGAGGCACGCAGAGTTCATTGCTTCAAAAGGTGACGATGCCTGACTCCTCTTGAATACTTATAGGAATCCCAAAATCCCTGTGGCTACTGGAAAGGGTCCTTGGGTGCCCTGGCTCACCTCGAGAAGCGTCCCTTTTGCCCTGCCAAGCCTCGAAGAGATTGCTGAGGTGTCCCTCATTACTAGACAGGAGTCCTGACGTCACTGAAGAAACTCGTGTTTTGAAGGGCCATCCCCGCCGTAAGTCGAGAACATACCCCAGGTCCCCGCCGCAACTCGAGAAAAACCATGAGATTTCCCCCTAGAGGCGAGATGAGGCCCCATTCCCCTGCAGTGCATGCAGAGCTATTCCATGATCCAATTCAAACAAGTCAGGAGCTTCAACTTGCTTAATGGATCTCGAGACAGTCCCGAAGAACACTGTCACCAGTCTACACGGACCCTGAGGTCACCCCAGCAACACAAAGCAGCTCCATGTGCCCCAAATCAACTCGAGATGAGGCCCGATTCCCCTGCATTGACTCCAGAGCCATTCCCCGTTCCAAGTTCAACACGAACGGTGGCTCGCCTTCCTTCAGGCAACTCCAGAGATGCCCAGAGAACACTGTCCCAAGTCTAGAGGAACACCAACTTCAGCACAGCAACTCGAGGAATGCTCTGTGTACCACAAATCGTCTCGAGATGAGAGGTGATTCCCTGGCTTAGGCTCAGGACGTATGCCAACTTTCCAGAAGCACCTCAGGAGGAGGCTTCTCAGCAATAGGTATGTGGGAGGGACTCCGAGTTTGCTGCCTCAAGGGGAATATACAGCGAGAAGCCCTAACTTGAAAGGAGGCCGGATTTCCTTGCAGTAGCTTGAATACAGGCTCATCTTTCATCTCACAACATGAAGGGATGTCTGAATCCCTTGTGGAGACCTTAGAGAAAGCCCTAGGTCCCTGCCTCATTTTGACGGAATACCTCACATCCCCCTGACATATCGAGAGGCACGCAGAGTTCATTGCTTCAAAAGGTGACGATGCCTGACTCCTCTTGAATACTTATAGGAATCCCAAAATCCCTGTGGCTACTGGAAAGGGTCCTTGGGTGCCCTGGCTCACTTCTAGAAGCGTCCCTTTTGCCCTGCCAAGCCTAGAAGAGATTGCTGACGTGTCCCTCGTTACTAGACAGGAGTCCTGACGTCACGGAAGAAACTCGTGTTTTGAAGGGCCATCCCCGCCGTAAGTCGAGAACATACCCCAGGTCCCCGCCGCAACTCGAGAAAAACCATGAGACTTCCCCCTAGAGGCGAGATGAGGCCCCATTCCCCTGCAGTGCATGCAGAGCTATTCCGAGATCCCATTCAAACAAGTCAGGAGCTTCGATTTGCTTAATGGATCTAGAGACAGTCCCCAAGAACACTGTCACCAGTCTAGACGGACCCTGAGGTCACCCCAGCAACGCAAAGCAGCTCCATGTGCCCCAAATCAACTCGAGATGAGGCCCCATTCCCCTGCATTGACTCCAGAGCCATTCCCCGTTCCCCATTCAACAGGACTGGTGACTCGCATTCCTTCAGGCAACTCCAGAGATGCCCTGAGAACACTGTCCAAAGTCTAGAGGAACACCAACTTCAGCACAGCAACTCGAGGAATGCTCTGTGTACCCCAAATCGTCTCGAGATGAGAGCTGATTCCCTGGCTTAGGCTCAAGACGTATGCCAACTTTCCAGAAGGACCTCAGGAGGAGGCTTCTCAGCAATAGGTATGTGGGAGGGACTCCGAGTTTGCTGCCTCAAGGGGAATATATAGCGAGAAGCCCTAACTTGAAAGGAGGCCGGATTTCCTTGCAGTAGCTTGAATACAGGCTTGTCTTTCATCTCACAACATGAAGGGATGTCTGAATCCCCTGTGAAGACCTTAGAGAAAGCCCTAGGTCCCAGCCTCATTTTGACGGAATGCCTCACATCCCGCTGACAACTCGAGAGGCACGCGGAGTTCATTGCTTCAAAAGGTGACGATGCCTGACTCCTCTTGAATACTGATAGGAATCCCAAAATCCCTGTGGCTACTGGAAAGGTTCCTTGGGTGCCCTGCCTCACTTCGAGAAGCGTCCCTTTTGCCCTGCCAAGCCTCGAAGAGATTCCTGAGGTGTCCCTCGTTACTAGACAGGAGTCCTGACGTCACTGAAGAAACTCGTGTTTTGAAGGGCCATCCCCGCCGTAAGTCGAGAACATACCCCAGGTCCCCGCCGCAACTCGAGAAAAACCATGAGACTTCCCCCTAGAGGCGAGATGAGGCCCCATTCCCCTGCAGTGCATGCAGAGCTATTCCGTGATCCCATTCAAACAAGTCAGGAGCTTCGACTTGCTTAATGGATCTCGAGACAGTCCCCAAGAACACTGTCACCAGTCTAGACGGACCCTGAGGTCACCCCAGCAACGCAAAGCAGCTCCATGTGTCCCAAATCAACTCGAGATGAGGCCCGATTCCCCTGCATTGACTCCAGAGCCATTCCCCGTTCCCCATTCAACACGACCGGTGGCTCGACTTCCTTCAGGCAACTCCAGAGATGCCCCGAGAACACTGTCCCAAGTCTAGAAGAGCACCAGTTTCAGCACAGCAACCCGAGGAATGCTCCGTGTACCCCAAATCATATCGAGATGAGAGCTGATTCCCTGGCTTAGGCTCAAGACGTATGCCAACTTTCCAGAAGCACCTCAGGAGGAGGCTTCTCTCAGCAATAGGTATGTGGGAGGGACCCCGAGTTTGCTGCCTCAAGGGGAATACACAGGGAGAAGCCCTAATGTGAACGGAGGCCAGATTTCCTTGCACTGCGTTGAATACAGGCTCGTCTTTGATCAGACAACATGAAGGGTTGTCTGAATCCCCTGTGGAGACCTTAGAGGAAGCCCTAGGTCCCTGCCTCATTTTGACGGAATACCTCACATCCCCCTGACACCTCGAGAGGCACGCAGAGTTCATTGCTTCAAAAGGTGACGATGCCTGACTCCTCTTGAATACTTATAGGAATCCCAAAATCCCTGTGGCTACTGGAAAGGGTCCTTGGGTGCCCTGGCTCACCTCGAGAAGCGTCCCTTTTGCCCTGCCAAGCCTCGAAGAGATTGCTGAGGTGTCCCTCATTACTAGACAGGAGTCCTGACGTCACTGAAGAAACTCGTGTTTTGAAGGGCCATCCCCGCCGTAAGTCGAGAACATACCCCAGGTCCCCGCCGCAACTCGAGAAAAACCATGAGATTTCCCCCTAGAGGCGAGATGAGGCCCCATTCCCCTGCAGTGCATGCAGAGCTATTCCATGATCCAATTCAAACAAGTCAGGAGCTTCAACTTGCTTAATGGATCTCGAGACAGTCCCGAAGAACACTGTCACCAGTCTACACGGACCCTGAGGTCACCCCAGCAACACAAAGCAGCTCCATGTGCCCCAAATCAACTCGAGATGAGGCCCGATTCCCCTGCATTGACTCCAGAGCCATTCCCCGTTCCAAGTTCAACAGGACTGGTGACTCGCATTCCTTCAGGCAACTCCAGAGATGCCCTGAGAACACTGTCCCAAGTCTAGAGGAACACCAACTTCAGCACAGCAACTCGAGGAATGCTCTGTGTACCCCAAATCGTCTCGAGATGAGAGCTGATTCCCTGGCTTAGGCTCAAGACGTATGCCAACTTTCCAGAAGGACCTCAGGAGGAGGCTTCTCAGCAATAGGTATGTGGGAGGGACTCCGAGTTTGCTGCCTCAAGGGGAATATATAGCGAGAAGCCCTAACTTGAAAGGAGGCCAGATTTCCTTGCAGTAGCTTGAATACAGGCTTGTCTTTCATCTCACAACATGAAGGGATGTCTGAATCCCCTGTGAAGACCTTAGAGAAAGCCCTAGGTCCCAGCCTCATTTTGACGGAATGCCTCACATCCCGCTGACAACTCGAGAGGCACGCGGAGTTCATTGCTTCAAAAGGTGACGATGCCTGACTCCTCTTGAATACTGATAGGAATCCCAAAATCCCTGTGGCTACTGGAAAGGTTCCTTGGGTGCCCTGCCTCACTTCGAGAAGCGTCCCTTTTGCCCTGCCAAGCCTCGAAGAGATTCCTGAGGTGTCCCTCGTTACTAGACAGGAGTCCTGACGTCACTGAAGAAACTCGTGTTTTGAAGGGCCATCCCCGCCGTAAGTCGAGAACATACCCCAGGTCCCCGCCGCAACTCGAGAAAAACCATGAGACTTCCCCCTAGAGGCGAGATGAGGCCCCATTCCCCTGCAGTGCATGCAGAGCTATTCCGTGATCCCATTCAAACAAGTCAGGAGCTTCGACTTGCTTAATGGATCTCGAGACAGTCCCCAAGAACACTGTCACCAGTCTAGACGGACCCTGAGGTCACCCCAGCAACGCAAAGCAGCTCCATGTGTCCCAAATCAACTCGAGATGAGGCCCGATTCCCCTGCATTGACTCCAGAGCCATTCCCCGTTCCGCATTCAACACGACCGGTGGCTCGACTTCCTTCAGGCAACTCCAGAGATGCCCCGAGAACACTGTCCCAAGTCTAGAAGAGCACCAGTTTCAGCACAGCAACCCGAGGAATGCTCCGTGTACCCCAAATCATCTCGAGATGAGAGCTGATTCCCTGGCTTAGGCTCAAGACGTATGCCAACTTTCCAGAAGCACCTCAGGAGGAGGCTTCTCTCAGCAATAGGTATGTGGGAGGGACCCCGAGTTTGCTGCCTCAAGGGGAATACACAGGGAGAAGCCCTAATGTGAACGGAGGCCAGATTTCCTTGCACTGCGTTGAATACAGGCTCGTCTTTGATCAGACAACATGAAGGGTTGTCTGAATCCCCTGTGGAGACCTTAGAGGAAGCCCTAGGTCCCTGCCTCATTTTGACGGAATACCTCACATCTCCCTGACACCTCGAGAGGCACGCAGAGTTCATTGCTTCAAAAGGTGACGATGCCTGACTCCTCTTGAATACTTATAGGAATCCCAAAATCCCTGTGGCTACTGGAAAGGGTCCTTGGGTGCCCTGGCTCACCTCGAGAAGCGTCCCTTTTGCCCTGCCAAGCCTCGAAGAGATTGCTGAGGTGTCCCTCATTACTAGACAGGAGTCCTGACGTCACTGAAGAAACTCGTGTTTTGAAGGGCCATCCCCGCCGTAAGTCGAGAACATACCCCAGGTCCCCGCCGCAACTCGAGAAAAACCATGAGATTTCCCCCTAGAGGCGAGATGAGGCCCCATTCCCCTGCAGTGCATGCAGAGCTATTCCATGATCCAATTCAAACAAGTCAGGAGCTTCAACTTGCTTAATGGATCTCGAGACAGTCCCGAAGAACACTGTCACCAGTCTACACGGACCCTGAGGTCACCCCAGCAACACAAAGCAGCTCCATGTGCCCCAAATCAACTCGAGATGAGGCCCGATTCCCCTGCATTGACTCCAGAGCCATTCCCCGTTCCAAGTTCAACAGGACTGGTGACTCGCATTCCTTCAGGCAACTCCAGAGATGCCCTGAGAACACTGTCCCAAGTCTAGAGGAACACCAACTTCAGCAGAGCAACTCGAGGAATGCTCTGTGTACCCCAAATCGTCTCGAGATGAGAGCTGATTCCCTGGCTTAGGCTCAAGACGTATGCCAACTTTCCAGAAGGACCTCAGGAGGAGGCTTCTCAGCAATAGGTATGTGGGAGGGACTCCGAGTTTGCTGCCTCAAGGGGAATATATAGCGAGAAGCCCTAACTTGAAAGGAGGCCGGATTTCCTTGCAGTAGCTTGAATACAGGCTTGTCTTTCATCTCACAACATGAAGGGATGTCTGAATCCCCTGTGAAGACCTTAGAGAAAGCCCTAGGTCCCAGCCTCATTTTGACGGAATGCCTCACATCCCGCTGACAACTCGAGAGGCACGCGGAGTTCATTGCTTCAAAAGGTGACGATGCCTGACTCCTCTTGAATACTGATAGGAATCCCAAAATCCCTGTGGCTACTGGAAAGGTTCCTTGGGTGCCCTGCCTCACTTCGAGAAGCGTCCCTTTTGCCCTGCCAAGCCTCGAAGAGATTCCTGAGGTGTCCCTCGTTACTAGACAGGAGTCCTGACGTCACTGAAGAAACTCGTGTTTTGAAGGGCCATCCCCGCCGTAAGTCGAGAACATACCCCAGGTCCCCGCCGCAACTCGAGAAAAACCATGAGACTTCCCCCTAGAGGCGAGATGAGGCCCCATTCCCCTGCAGTGCATGCAGAGCTATTCCGTGATCCCATTCAAACAAGTCAGGAGCTTCGACTTGCTTAATGGATCTCGAGACAGTCCCCAAGAACACTGTCACCAGTCTAGACGGACCCTGAGGTCACCCCAGCAACGCAAAGCAGCTCCATGTGTCCCAAATCAACTCGAGATGAGGCCCGATTCCCCTGCATTGACTCCAGAGCCATTCCCCGTTCCGCATTCAACACGACCGGTGGCTCGACTTCCTTCAGGCAACTCCAGAGATGCCCCGAGAACACTGTCCCAAGTCTAGAAGAGCACCAGTTTCAGCACAGCAACCCGAGGAATGCTCCGTGTACCCCAAATCATCTCGAGATGAGAGCTGATTCCCTGGCTTAGGCTCAAGACGTATGCCAACTTTCCAGAAGCACCTCAGGAGGAGGCTTCTCTCAGCAATAGGTATGTGGGAGGGACCCCGAGTTTGCTGCCTCAAGGGGAATACACAGGGAGAAGCCCTAATGTGAACGGAGGCCAGATTTCCTTGCACTGCGTTGAATACAGGCTCGTCTTTGATCAGACAACATGAAGGGTTGTCTGAATCCCCTGTGGAGACCTTAGAGGAAGCCCTAGGTCCCTGCCTCATTTTGACGGAATACCTCACATCCCCCTGACACCTCGAGAGGCACGCAGAGTTCATTGCTTCAAAAGGTGACGATGCCTGACTCCTCTTGAATACTTATAGGAATCCCAAAATCCCTGTGGCTACTGGAAAGGGTCCTTGGGTGCCCTGGCTCACCTCGAGAAGCGTCCCTTTTGCCCTGCCAAGCCTCGAAGAGATTGCTGAGGTGTCCCTCATTACTAGACAGGAGTCCTGACGTCACTGAAGAAACTCGTGTTTTGAAGGGCCATCCCCGCCGTAAGTCGAGAACATACCCCAGGTCCCCGTCGCAACTCGAGAAAAACCATGAGATTTCCCCCTAGAGGCGAGATGAGGCCCCATTCCCCTGCAGTGCATGCAGAGCTATTCCATGATCCAATTCAAACAAGTCAGGAGCTTCAACTTGCTTAATGGATCTCGAGACAGTCCCGAAGAACACTGTCACCAGTCTACACGGACCCTGAGGTCACCCCAGCAACACAAAGCAGCTCCATGTGCCCCAAATCAACTCGAGATGAGGCCCGATTCCCCTGCATTGACTCCAGAGCCATTCCCCGTTCCAAGTTCAACACGAACGGAGGCTCGCCTTCCTTCAGGCAACTCCAGAGATGCCCAGAGAACACTGTCCCAAGTCTAGAGGAACACCAACTTCAGCACAGCAACTCGAGGAATGCTCTGTGTACCACAAATCGTCTCGAGATGAGAGGTGATTCCCTGGCTTAGGCTCAGGACGTATGCCAACTTTCCAGAAGCACCTCAGGAGGAGGCTTCTCAGCAATAGGTATGTGGGAGGGACTCCGAGTTTGCTGCCTCAAGGGGAATATACAGCGAGAAGCCCTAACTTGAAAGGAGGCCGGATTTCCTTGCAGTAGCTTGAATACAGGCTCATCTTTCATCTCACAACATGAAGGGATGTCTGAATCCCTTGTGGAGACCTTAGAGAAAGCCCTAGGTCCCTGCCTCATTTTGACGGAATACCTCACATCCCCCTGACACCTCGAGAGGCACGCAGAGTTCATTGCTTCAAAAGGTGACGATGCCTGACTCCTCTTGAATACTTATAGGAATCCCAAAATCCCTGTGGCTACTGGAAAGGGTCCTTGGGTGCCCTGGCTCACTTCTAGAAGCGTCCCTTTTGCCCTGCCAAGCCTAGAAGAGATTGCTGACGTGTCCCTCGTTACTAGACAGGAGTCCTGACGTCACTGAAGAAACTCGTGTTTTGAAGGGCCATCCCCGCCGTAAGTCGAGAACATACCCCAGGTCCCCGCCGCAACTCGAGAAAAACCATGAGACTTCCCCCTAGAGGCGAGATGAGGCCCCATTCCCCTGCAGTGCATGCAGAGCTATTCCATGATCCAATTCAAACAAGTCAGGAGCTTCGATTTGCTTAATGGATCTAGAGACAGTCCCCAAGAACACTGTCACCAGTCTAGACGGACCCTGAGGTCACCCCAGCAACGCAAAGCAGCTCCATGTGCCCCAAATCAACTCGAGATGAGGCCCCATTCCCCTGCATTGACTCCAGAGCCATTCCCCGTTCCCCATTCAACAGGACTGGTGACTCGCATTCCTTCAGGCAACTCCAGAGATGCCCTGAGAACACTGTCCCAAGTCTAGAGGAACACCAACTTCAGCACAGCAACTCGAGGAATGCTCTGTGTACCCCAAATCGTCTCGAGATGAGAGCTGATTCCCTGGCTTAGGCTCAAGACGTATGCCAACTTTCCAGAAGGACCTCAGGAGGAGGCTTCTCAGCAATAGGTATGTGGGAGGGACTCCGAGTTTGCTGCCTCAAGGGGAATATATAGCGAGAAGCCCTAACTTGAAAGGAGGCCGGATTTCCTTGCAGTAGCTTGAATACAGGCTTGTCTTTCATCTCACAACATGAAGGGATGTCTGAATCCCCTGTGAAGACCTTAGAGAAAGCCCTAGGTCCCAGCCTCATTTTGACGGAATGCCTCACATCCCGCTGACAACTCGAGAGGCACGCGGAGTTCATTGCTTCAAAAGGTGACGATGCCTGACTCCTCTTGAATACTGATAGGAATCCCAAAATCCCTGTGGCTACTGGAAAGGTTCCTTGGGTGCCCTGCCTCACTTCGAGAAGCGTCCCTTTTGCCCTGCCAAGCCTCGAAGAGATTCCTGAGGTGTCCCTCGTTACTAGACAGGAGTCCTGACGTCACTGAAGAAACTCGTGTTTTGAAGGGCCATCCCCGCCGTAAGTCGAGAACATACCCCAGGTCCCCGCCGCAACTCGAGAAAAACCATGAGACTTCCCCCTAGAGGCGAGATGAGGCCCCATTCCCCTGCAGTGCATGCAGAGCTATTCCGTGATCCCATTCAAACAAGTCAGGAGCTTCGACTTGCTTAATGGATCTCGAGACAGTCCCCAAGAACACTGTCACCAGTCTAGACGGACCCTGAGGTCACCCCAGCAACGCAAAGCAGCTCCATGTGTCCCAAATCAACTCGAGATGAGGCCCGATTCCCCTGCATTGACTCCAGAGCCATTCCCCGTTCCGCATTCAACACGACCGGTGGCTCGACTTCCTTCAGGCAACTCCAGAGATGCCCCGAGAACACTGTCCCAAGTCTAGAAGAGCACCAGTTTCAGCACAGCAACCCGAGGAATGCTCCGTGTACCCCAAATCATCTCGAGATGAGAGCTGATTCCCTGGCTTAGGCTCAAGACGTATGCCAACTTTCCAGAAGCACCTCAGGAGGAGGCTTCTCTCAGCAATAGGTATGTGGGAGGGACCCCGAGTTTGCTGCCTCAAGGGGAATACACAGGGAGAAGCCCTAATGTGAACGGAGGCCAGATTTCCTTGCACTGCGTTGAATACAGGCTCGTCTTTGATCAGACAACATGAAGGGTTGTCTGAATCCCCTGTGGAGACCTTAGAGGAAGCCCTAGGTCCCTGCCTCATTTTGACGGAATACCTCACATCCCCCTGACACCTCGAGAGGCACGCAGAGTTCATTGCTTCAAAAGGTGACGATGCCTGACTCCTCTTGAATACTTATAGGAATCCCAAAATCCCTGTGGCTACTGGAAAGGGTCCTTGGGTGCCCTGGCTCACCTCGAGAAGCGTCCCTTTTGCCCTGCCAAGCCTCGAAGAGATTGCTGAGGTGTCCCTCATTACTAGACAGGAGTCCTGACGTCACTGAAGAAACTCGTGTTTTGAAGGGCCATCCCCGCCGTAAGTCGAGAACATACCCCAGGTCCCCGTCGCAACTCGAGAAAAACCATGAGATTTCCCCCTAGAGGCGAGATGAGGCCCCATTCCCCTGCAGTGCATGCAGAGCTATTCCATGATCCAATTCAAACAAGTCAGGAGCTTCAACTTGCTTAATGGATCTCGAGACAGTCCCGAAGAACACTGTCACCAGTCTACACGGACCCTGAGGTCACCCCAGCAACACAAAGCAGCTCCATGTGCCCCAAATCAACTCGAGATGAGGCCCGATTCCCCTGCATTGACTCCAGAGCCATTCCCCGTTCCAAGTTCAACACGAACGGAGGCTCGCCTTCCTTCAGGCAACTCCAGAGATGCCCAGAGAACACTGTCCCAAGTCTAGAGGAACACCAACTTCAGCACAGCAACTCGAGGAATGCTCTGTGTACCACAAATCGTCTCGAGATGAGAGGTGATTCCCTGGCTTAGGCTCAGGACGTATGCCAACTTTCCAGAAGCACCTCAGGAGGAGGCTTCTCAGCAATAGGTATGTGGGAGGGACTCCGAGTTTGCTGCCTCAAGGGGAATATACAGCGAGAAGCCCTAACTTGAAAGGAGGCCGGATTTCCTTGCAGTAGCTTGAATACAGGCTCATCTTTCATCTCACAACATGAAGGGATGTCTGAATCCCTTGTGGAGACCTTAGAGAAAGCCCTAGGTCCCTGCCTCATTTTGACGGAATACCTCACATCCCCCTGACACCTCGAGAGGCACGCAGAGTTCATTGCTTCAAAAGGTGACGATGCCTGACTCCTCTTGAATACTTATAGGAATCCCAAAATCCCTGTGGCTACTGGAAAGGGTCCTTGGGTGCCCTGGCTCACTTCTAGAAGCGTCCCTTTTGCCCTGCCAAGCCTAGAAGAGATTGCTGACGTGTCCCTCGTTACTAGACAGGAGTCCTGACGTCACTGAAGAAACTCGTGTTTTGAAGGGCCATCCCCGCCGTAAGTCGAGAACATACCCCAGGTCCCCGCCGCAACTCGAGAAAAACCATGAGACTTCCCCCTAGAGGCGAGATGAGGCCCCATTCCCCTGCAGTGCATGCAGAGCTATTCCGAGATCCCATTCAAACAAGTCAGGAGCTTCGATTTGCTTAATGGATCTAGAGACAGTCCCCAAGAACACTGTCACCAGTCTAGACGGACCCTGAGGTCACCCCAGCAACGCAAAGCAGCTCCATGTGCCCCAAATCAACTCGAGATGAGGCCCCATTCCCCTGCATTGACTCCAGAGCCATTCCCCGTTCCCCATTCAACAGGACTGGTGACTCGCATTCCTTCAGGCAACTCCAGAGATGCCCTGAGAACACTGTCCCAAGTCTAGAGGAACACCAACTTCAGCACAGCAACTCGAGGAATGCTCTGTGTACCCCAAATCGTCTCGAGATGAGAGCTGATTCCCTGGCTTAGGCTCAAGACGTATGCCAACTTTCCAGAAGGACCTCAGGAGGAGGCTTCTCAGCAATAGGTATGTGGGAGGGACTCCGAGTTTGCTGCCTCAAGGGGAATATATAGCGAGAAGCCCTAACTTGAAAGGAGGCCGGATTTCCTTGCAGTAGCTTGAATACAGGCTTGTCTTTCATCTCACAACATGAAGGGATGTCTGAATCCCCTGTGAAGACCTTAGAGAAAGCCCTAGGTCCCAGCCTCATTTTGACGGAATGCCTCACATCCCGCTGACAACTCGAGAGGCACGCGGAGTTCATTGCTTCAAAAGGTGACGATGCCTGACTCCTCTTGAATACTGATAGGAATCCCAAAATCCCTGTGGCTACTGGAAAGGTTCCTTGGGTGCCCTGCCTCACTTCGAGAAGCGTCCCTTTTGCCCTGCCAAGCCTCGAAGAGATTCCTGAGGTGTCCCTCGTTACTAGACAGGAGTCCTGACGTCACTGAAGAAACTCGTGTTTTGAAGGGCCATCCCCGCCGTAAGTCGAGAACATACCCCAGGTCCCCGCCGCAACTCGAGAAAAACCATGAGACTTCCCCCTAGAGGCGAGATGAGGCCCCATTCCCCTGCAGTGCATGCAGAGCTATTCCGTGATCCCATTCAAACAAGTCAGGAGCTTCGACTTGCTTAATGGATCTCGAGGCAGTCCCCAAGAACACTGTCACCAGTCTAGACGGACCCTGAGGTCACCCCAGCAACGCTAAGCAGCTCCATGTGTCCCAAATCAACTCGAGATGAGGCCCGATTCCCCTGCATTGACTCCAGAGCCATTCCCCGTTCCGCATTCAACACGACCGGTGGCTCGACTTCCTTCAGGCAACTCCAGAGATGCCCCGAGAACACTGTCCCAAGTCTAGAAGAGCACCAGTTTCAGCACAGCAACCCGAGGAATGCTCCGTGTACCCCAAATCATCTCGAGATGAGAGCTGATTCCCTGGCTTAGGCTCAAGACGTATGCCAACTTTCCAGAAGCACCTCAGGAGGAGGCTTCTCTCAGTAATAGGTATGTGGGAGGGACCCCGAGTTTGCTGCCTCAAGGGGAATACACAGGGAGAAGCCCTAATGTGAACGGAGGCCAGATTTCCTTGCACTGCTTTGAATACAGGCTCGTCTTTGATCAGACAACATGAAGGGTTGTCTGAATCCCCTGTGGAGACCTTAGAGGAAGCCCTAGGTCCCTGCCTCATTTTGACGGAATACCTCACATCCCCCTGACACCTCGAGAGGCACGCAGAGTTCATTGCTTCAAAAGGTGACGATGCCTGACTCCTCTTGAATACTTATAGGAATCCCAAAATCCCTGTGGCTACTGGAAAGGGTCCTTGGGTGCCCTGGCTCACCTCGAGAAGCGTCCCTTTTGCCCTGCCAAGCCTCGAAGAGATTGCTGAGGTGTCCCTCATTACTAGACAGGAGTCCTGACGTCACTGAAGAAACTCGTGTTTTGAAGGGCCATCCCCGCCGTAAGTCGAGAACATACCCCAGGTCCCCGCCGCAACTCGAGAAAAACCATGAGATTTCCCCCTAGAGGCGAGATGAGGCCCCATTCCCCTGCAGTGCATGCAGAGCTATTCCATGATCCAATTCAAACAAGTCAGGAGCTTCAACTTGCTTAATGGATCTCGAGACAGTCCCGAAGAACACTGTCACCAGTCTACACGGACCCTGAGGTCACCCCAGCAACACAAAGCAGCTCCATGTGCCCCAAATCAACTCGAGATGAGGCCCGATTCCCCTGCATTGACTCCAGAGCCATTCCCCGTTCCAAGTTCAACACGAACGGTGGCTCGCCTTCCTTCAGGCAACTCCAGAGATGCCCAGAGAACACTGTCCCAAGTCTAGAGGAACACCAACTTCAGCACAGCAACTCGAGGAATGCTCTGTGTACCACAAATCGTCTCGAGATGAGAGGTGATTCCCTGGCTTAGGCTCAGGACGTATGCCAACTTTCCAGAAGCACCTCAGGAGGAGGCTTCTCAGCAATAGGTATGTGGGAGGGACTCCGAGTTTGCTGCCTCAAGGGGAATATACAGCGAGAAGCCCTAACTTGAAAGGAGGCCGGATTTCCTTGCAGTAGCTTGAATACAGGCTCATCTTTCATCTCACAACATGAAGGGATGTCTGAATCCCTTGTGGAGATCTTAGAGAAAGCCCTAGGTCCCTGCCTCATTTTGACGGAATACCTCACATCCCCCTGACATCTCGAGAGGCACGCAGAGTTCATTGCTTCAAAAGGTGACGATGCCTGACTCCTCTTGAATACTTATAGGAATCCCAAAATCCCTGTGGCTACTGGAAAGGGTCCTTGGGTGCCCTGGCTCACTTCTAGAAGCGTCCCTTTTGCCCTGCCAAGCCTAGAAGAGATTGCTGACGTGTCCCTCGTTACTAGACAGGAGTCCTGACGTCACGGAAGAAACTCGTGTTTTGAAGGGCCATCCCCGCCGTAAGTCGAGAACATACCCCAGGTCCCCGCCGCAACTCGAGAAAAACCATGAGACTTCCCCCTAGAGGTGAGATGAGGCCCCATTCCCCTGCAGTGCATGCAGAGCTATTCCGAGATCCCATTCAAACAAGTCAGGAGCTTCGATTTGCTTAATGGATCTAGAGACAGTCCCCAAGAACACTGTCACCAGTCTAGACGGACCCTGAGGTCACCCCAGCAACGCAAAGCAGCTCCATGTGCCCCAAATCAACTCGAGATGAGGCCCCATTCCCCTGCATTGACTCCAGAGCCATTCCCCGTTCCCCATTCAACAGGACTGGTGACTCGCATTCCTTCAGGCAACTCCAGAGATGCCCTGAGAACACTGTCCCAAGTCTAGAGGAACACCAACTTCAGCACAGCAACTCGAGGAATGCTCTGTGTACCCCAAATCGTCTCGAGATGAGAGCTGATTCCCTGGCTTAGGCTCAAGACGTATGCCAACTTTCCAGAAGGACCTCAGGAGGAGGCTTCTCAGCAATAGGTATGTGGGAGGGACTCCGAGTTTGCTGCCTCAAGGGGAATATATAGCGAGAAGCCCTAACTTGAAAGGAGGCCGGATTTCCTTGCAGTAGCTTGAATACAGGCTTGTCTTTCATCTCACAACATGAAGGGATGTCTGAATCCCCTGTGAAGACCTTAGAGAAAGCCCTAGGTCCCAGCCTCATTTTGACGGAATGCCTCACATCCCGCTGACAACTCGAGAGGCACGCGGAGTTCATTGCTTCAAAAGGTGACGATGCCTGACTCCTCTTGAATACTGATAGGAATCCCAAAATCCCTGTGGCTACTGGAAAGGTTCCTTGGGTGCCCTGCCTCACTTCGAGAAGCGTCCCTTTTGCCCTGCCAAGCCTCGAAGAGATTCCTGAGGTGTCCCTCGTTACTAGACAGGAGTCCTGACGTCACTGAAGAAACTCGTGTTTTGAAGGGCCATCCCCGCCGTAAGTCGAGAACATACCCCAGGTCCCCGCCGCAACTCGAGAAAAACCATGAGACTTCCCCCTAGAGGCGAGATGAGGCCCCATTCCCCTGCAGTGCATGCAGAGCTATTCCGTGATCCCATTCAAACAAGTCAGGAGCTTCGACTTGCTTAATGGATCTCGAGACAGTCCCCAAGAACACTGTCACCAGTCTAGACGGACCCTGAGGTCACCCCAGCAACGCAAAGCAGCTCCATGTGTCCCAAATCAACTCGAGATGAGGCCCGATTCCCCTGCATTGACTCCAGAGCCATTCCCCGTTCCCCATTCAACACGACCGGTGGCTCGACTTCCTTCAGGCAACTCCAGAGATGCCCCGAGAACACTGTCCCAAGTCTAGAAGAGCACCAGTTTCAGCACAGCAACTCGAGGAATGCTCCGTGTACCCCAAATCATCTCGAGATGAGAGCTGATTCCCTGGCTTAGGCTCAAGACGTATGCCAACTTTCCAGAAGCACCTCAGGAGGAGGCTTCTCTCAGCAATAGGTATGTGGGAGGGACCCCGAGTTTGCTGCCTCAAGGGGAATACACAGGGAGAAGCCCTAATGTGAACGGAGGCCAGATTTCCTTGCACTGCGTTGAATACAGGCTCGTCTTTGATCAGACAACATGAAGGGTTGTCTGAATCCCCTGTGGAGACCTTAGAGGAAGCCCTAGGTCCCTGCCTCATTTTGACGGAATACCTCACATCCCCCTGACACCTCGAGAGGCACGCAGAGTTCATTGCTTCAAAAGGTGACGATGCCTGACTCCTCTTGAATACTTATAGGAATCCCAAAATCCCTGTGGCTACTGGAAAGGGTCCTTGGGTGCCCTGGCTCACCTCGAGAAGCGTCCCTTTTGCCCTGCCAAGCCTCGAAGAGATTGCTGAGGTGTCCCTCATTACTAGACAGGAGTCCTGACGTCACTGAAGAAACTCGTGTTTTGAAGGGCCATCCCCGCCGTAAGTCGAGAACATACCCCAGGTCCCCGCCGCAACTCGAGAAAAACCATGAGATTTCCCCCTAGAGGCGAGATGAGGCCCCATTCCCCTGCAGTGCATGCAGAGCTATTCCATGATCCAATTCAAACAAGTCAGGAGCTTCAACTTGCTTAATGGATCTCGAGACAGTCCCGAAGAACACTGTCACCAGTCTACACGGACCCTGAGGTCACCCCAGCAACACAAAGCAGCTCCATGTGCCCCAAATCAACTCGAGATGAGGCCCGATTCCCCTGCATTGACTCCAGAGCCATTCCCCGTTCCAAGTTCAACACGAACGGTGGCTCGCCTTCCTTCAGGCAACTCCAGGGATGCCCAGAGAACACTGTCCCAAGCCTAGAGGAACACCAACTTCAGCACAGCAACTCGAGGAATGCTCTGTGTACCACAAATCGTCTCGAGATGAGAGGTGATTCCCTGGCTTAGGCTCAGGACGTATGCCAACTTTCCAGAAGCACCTCAGGAGGAGGCTTCTCAGCAATAGGTATGTGGGAGGGACTCCGAGTTTGCTGCCTCAAGGGGAATATACAGCGAGAAGCCCTAACTTGAAAGGAGGCCGGATTTCCTTGCAGTAGCTTGAATACAGGCTCGTCTTTCATCTCACAACATGAAGGGATGTCTGAATCCCTTGTGGAGACCTTAGAGAAAGCCCTAGGTCCCTGCCTCATTTTGACGGAATACCTCACATCCCCCTGACACCTCGAGAGGCACGCAGAGTTCATTGCTTCAAAAGGTGACGATGCCTGACTCCTCTTGAATACTTATAGGAATCCCAAAATCCCTGTGGCTACTGGAAAGGGTCCTTGGGTGCCCTGGCTCACTTCTAGAAGCGCCCCTTTTGCCCTGCCAAGCCTAGAAGAGATTGCTGACGTGTCCCTCGTTACTAGACAGGAGTCCTGACGTCACTGAAGAAACTCGTGTTTTGAAGGGCCATCCCCGCCGTAAGTCGAGAACATACCCCAGGTCCCCGCCGCAACTCGAGAAAAACCATGAGACTTCCCCCTAGAGGCGAGATGAGGCCCCATTCCCCTGCAGTGCATGCAGAGCTATTCCGAGATCCCATTCAAACAAGTCAGGAGCTTCGATTTGCTTAATGGATCTAGAGACAGTCCCCAAGAACACTGTCACCAGTCTAGACGGACCCTGAGGTCACCCCAGCAACGCAAAGCAGCTCCATGTGCCCCAAATCAACTCGAGATGAGGCCCCATTCCCCTGCATTGACTCCAGAGCCATTCCCCGTTCCCCATTCAACAGGACTGGTGACTCGCATTCCTTCAGGCAACTCCAGAGATGCCCTGAGAACACTGTCCCAAGTCTAGAGGAACACCAACTTCAGCACAGCAACTCGAGGAATGCTCTGTGTACCCCAAATCGTCTCGAGATGAGAGCTGATTCCCTGGCTTAGGCTCAAGACGTATGCCAACTTTCCAGAAGGACCTCAGGAGGAGGCTTCTCAGCAATAGGTATGTGGGAGGGACTCCGAGTTTGCTGCCTCAAGGGGAATATACAGGGAGAAGCCCTAACTTGAAAGGAGGCCGGATTTCCTTGCAGTAGCTTGAATACAGGCTTGTCTTTCATCTCACAACATGAAGGGATGTCTGAATCCCCTGTGAAGACCTTAGAGAAAGCCCTAGGTCCCAGCCTCATTTTGACGGAATGCCTCACATCCCGCTGACAACTCGAGAGGCACGCGGAGTTCATTGCTTCAAAAGGTGACGATGCCTGACTCCTCTTGAATACTGATAGGAATCCCAAAATCCCTGTGGCTACTGGAAAGGTTCCTTGGGTGCCCTGCCTCACTTCGAGAAGCGTCCCTTTTGCCCTGCCAAGCCTCGAAGAGATTCCTGAGGTGTCCCTCGTTACTAGACAGGAGTCCTGACGTCACTGAAGAAACTCGTGTTTTGAAGGGCCATCCCCGCCGTAAGTCGAGAACATACCCCAGGTCCCCGCCGCAACTCGAGAAAAACCATGAGACTTCCCCCTAGAGGCGAGATGAGGCCCCATTCCCCTGCAGTGCATGCAGAGCTATTCCGTGATCCCATTCAAACAAGTCAGGAGCTTCGACTTGCTTAATGGATCTCGAGACAGTCCCCAAGAACACTGTCACCAGTCTAGACGGACCCTGAGGTCACCCCAGCAACGCAAAGCAGCTCCATGTGTCCCAAATCAACTCGAGATGAGGCCCGATTCCCCTGCATTGACTCCAGAGCCATTCCCCGTTCCCCATTCAACACGACCGGTGGCTCGACTTCCTTCAGGCAACTCCAGAGATGCCCCGAGAACACTGTCCCAAGTCTAGAAGAGCACCAGTTTCAGCACAGCAACCCGAGGAATGCTCCGTGTACCCCAAATCATCTCGAGATGAGAGCTGATTCCCTGGCTTAGGCTCAAGACGTATGCCAACTTTCCAGAAGCACCTCAGGAGGAGGCTTCTCTCAGCAATAGGTATGTGGGAGGGACCCCGAGTTTGCTGCCTCAAGGGGAATACACAGGGAGAAGCCCTAATGTGAACGGAGGCCAGATTTCCTTGCACTGCGTTGAATACAGGCTCGTCTTTGATCAGACAACATGAAGGGTTGTCTGAATCCCCTGTGGAGACCTTAGAGGAAGCCCTAGGTCCCTGCCTCATTTTGACGGAATACCTCACATCCCCCTGACACCTCGAGAGGCACGCAGAGTTCATTGCTTCAAAAGGTGGCGATGCCTGACTCCTCTTGAATACTGATAGGAATCCCAAAATCCCTGTGGCAACTGGAAAGGGTCTTGGGTGCCCTGGCTCACCTCGAGAAGCGTCCCTTTTGCCCTGCCAAGCCTCGAAGAGATTGCTGAGGTGTCCCTCATTACTAGACAGGAGTCCTGACGTCACTGAAGAAACTCGTGTTTTGAAGGGCCATCCCCGCCGTAAGTCGAGAACATACCACAGGTCCCCGCCGCAACTCGAGAAAAACCATGAGATTTCCCCCTTGAGGCGAGAAGAGGCCCCATTCCCCTGCAGTGCATGCATAGCTATTCCATGATCACATTCAAACAAGTCAGGAGCTTCGACTTGCTTAATGGATCTCGAGACAGTCCCCAAGAACACTGTCACCAGTCTAGACGGACCCTGAGGTCACACCAGCAACACAAAGCAGTTCCATGTGCCCCAAATCAACTCGAGATGAGGCCCGATTCCCCTGCATTGACTCCAGAGCCATTCCCCGTTCCAAGTTCAACACGAACGGTGGCTCGCCTTCCTTCAGGCAACTCCAGAGATGCCCCGAGAACACTGTCCCAAATCTAGAGGAACACCAACTTCAGCACAGCAACTCGAGGAATGCTCTGTGTACCCCAAATCGTCTCGAGATGAGAGCTGATTCCCTGGCTAAGGCTCAAGACGTATGCCAACTTTCCAGAAGCACCTCAGGAGGAGGCTTCTCAGCAATAGGTATGTGGGAGGGACTCCGAGTTTGCTGCCTCAAGGGGAATATACAGCGAGAAGCCCTAACTTGAAAGGAGGCCGGATTTCCTTGCAGTAGCTTGAAACAGGCTTGTTTTTCATCTCACAACATAAAGGGATGTCTGAATCCCCTGTGGAGACCTTAGAGAAAGCCCTAGGTCCCTGCCTCATTTTGACGGAATCCTCACATCCGGCTGACACCTCGAGAGGCACGCGGAGTTCATTGCTTCAAAAGGTGACGATGCCTGACTCCTCTTGAATACTGATAGGAATCCCAAAATCACTGTGGCTACTGGAAAGGTTCCTTGGGTGCCCTGCCTCACTTCGAGAAGCGTCCCTTTTGCCCTGCCAAGCCTCGAAGAGATTCCTGAGGTGTCCCTCGTTTCTAGACAGGAGTCCTGACGTCAATGAAGAAACTCGTGTTTTGAAGGGCCATTCCCGCCGTAAGTCGAGAACATACCCCAGGTCCCCGCCGCAACTCGAGAAAAACCATGAGACTTCCCCCTAGAGGCGAGATGAGGCCACATTCCCCTGCAGTGCATGCAGAGCTATTCCGTGATCCCATTCAAACAAGTCAGGAGCTTCGACTTGCTTAATGGATCTCGAGACAGTCCCCAAGAACACTGTCACCAGTCTAGACGGACCCTGAGGTCACCCCAGCAACGCAAAGCTGCTCCATGTGCCCCAAATCAACTCAAGATGAGGCCCGATTCCCCTGCATTGACTCCAGAGCCATTCCCCGTTCCCCATTCAACACGACCGGTGGCTCGACTTCCTTCAGGCAACTCCAGAGATGCCCCGAGAACACTGTCCCAAGTCTAGAGGAGCACCAATTTCAGCACAGCAACCCGAGGAATGCTCCGTGTACCCCAAATCATCTCGAGATGAGAGCTGATTCCCTGGCTTAGGCTCAAGACGTATGCCAACTTTCCAGAAGCACCTCAGGAGGAGGCTTCTCTCAGCAATAGGTATGTGGGAGGGACCCCGAGTTTGCTGCCTCAAGGGGAATACACAGGGAGAAGCCCTAATGTGAACGAAGGCCAGATTTCCTTGCAGTGGCTTGAATACAGGCTCGTCTTTGATCTGACAACATGAAGGGATGTCTGAATCCCCTGTGGAGACCTTAGAGGAAGCCCTAGGTCCCTGCCTCATCTTGATGGAATACCTCACATCCCCCTGACACCTCGAGAGGCACGCAGAGTTCATTGCTTCAAAAGGTGACGATGCCTGACTCCTCTTGAATACTTATAGGAATCCCCAAATCCCTGTGGCTACTGGAAAGGGTCCTTGGGTGCCCTGGCTCACCTCGAGAAGCGTCCCTTTTGCCCTGCCAAGCCTCGAAGAGATTGCTGAGGTGTCCCTCGTTACTAGACAGGAGTCCTGACGTCACTGAAGAAACTCGTGTTTTGAAGGGCCATCCCCGCCGTAAGTCGAGAACATACCCCAGGTCCCCGCCGCAACTCGAGAAAAACCATGAGACTTCCCCCTAGAGGCGAGATGAGGCCCCATTCCCCTGCAGTGCATGCAGAGCTATTCCGAGATCCCATTCAAACAAGTCAGGAGCTTCGATTTGCTTAATGGATCTCGAGACAGTCCCCAAGAACACTGTCACCAGTCTAGACGGAACCTGAGGTCACCCCAGCAACGCAAAGCAGCTCCATGTGCCCCAAATCAACTCGAGATGAGGCCCCATTCCCCTGCATTGACTCCAGAGCCATTCCCCGTTCCCCATTCAACAGGACTGGTGACTCGCATTCCTTCAGGCAACTCCAGAGATGCCCTGAGAACACTGTCCCAAGTCTAGAGGAACACCAACTTCAGCACAGCAACTCGAGGAATGCTCTGTGTACCCCAAATCGTCTCGAGATGAGAGCTGATTCCCTGGCTTAGGCTCAAGACGTATGCCAACTTTCCAGAAGGACCTCAGGAGGAGGCTTCTCAGCAATAGGTATGTGGGAGGGACTCCGAGTTTGCTGCCTCAAGGGGAATATATAGCGAGAAGCCCTAACTTGAAAGGAGGCCGGATTTCCTTGCAGTAGCTTGAATACAGGCTTGTCTTTCATCTCACAACATGAAGGGATGTCTGAATCCCCTGTGAAGACCTTAGAGAAAGCCCTAGGTCCCAGCCTCATTTTGACGGAATGCCTCACATCCCGCTGACAACTCGAGAGGCACGCGGAGTTCATTGCTTCAAAAGGTGACGATGCCTGACTGCTCTTGAATACTGATAGGAATCCCAAAATCCCTGTGGCTACTGGAAAGGTTCCTTGGGTGCCCTGCCTCACTTCGAGAAGCGTCCCTTTTGCCCTGCCAAGCCTCGAAGAGATTCCTGAGGTGTCCCTCGTTACTAGACAGGAGTCCTGACGTCACTGAAGAAACTCGTGTTTTGAAGGGCCATCCCCGCCGTAAGTCGAGAACATACCCCAGGTCCCCGCCGCAACTCGAGAAAAACCATGAGACTTCCCCCTAGAGGCGAGATGAGGCCCCATTCCCCTGCAGTGCATGCAGAGCTATTCCGTGATCCCATTCAAACAAGTCAGGAGCTTCGACTTGCTTAATGGATCTCGAGACAGTCCCCAAGAACACTGTCACCAGTCTAGACGGACCCTGAGGTCACCCCAGCAACGCAAAGCAGCTCCATGTGTCCCAAATCAACTCGAGATGAGGCCCGATTCCCCTGCATTGACTCCAGAGCCATTCCCCGTTCCGCATTCAACACGACCGGTGGCTCGACTTCCTTCAGGCAACTCCAGAGATGCCCCGAGAACACTGTCCCAAGTCTAGAAGAGCACCAGTTTCAGCACAGCAACCCGAGGAATGCTCCGTGTACCCCAAATCATCTCGAGATGAGAGCTGATTCCCTGGCTTAGGCTCAAGACGTATGCCAACTTTCCAGAAGCACCTCAGGAGGAGGCTTCTCTCAGCAATAGGTATGTGGGAGGGACCCCGAGTTTGCTGCCTCAAGGGGAATACACAGGGAGAAGCCCTAATGTGAACGGAGGCCAGATTTCCTTGCACTGCGTTGAATACAGGCTCGTCTTTGATCAGACAACATGAAGGGTTGTCTGAATCCCCTGTGGAGACCTTAGAGGAAGCCCTAGGTCCCTGCCTCATTTTGACGGAATACCTCACATCCCCCTGACACCTCGAGAGGCACGCAGAGTTCATTGCTTCAAAAGGTGACGATGCCTGACTCCTCTTGAATACTTATAGGAATCCCAAAATCCCTGTGGCTACTGGAAAGGGTCCTTGGGTGCCCTGGCTCACTTCTAGAAGCGTCCCTTTTGCCCTGCCAAGCCTAGAAGAGATTGCTGACGTGTCCCTCGTTACTAGACAGGAGTCCTGACGTCACTGAAGAAACTCGTGTTTTGAAGGGCCATCCCCGCCGTAAGTCGAGAACATACCCCAGGTCCCCGCCGCAACTCGAGAAAAACCATGAGACTTCCCCCTAGAGGCGAGATGAGGCCCCATTCCCCTGCAGTGCATGCAGAGCTATTCCGAGATCCCATTCAAACAAGTCAGGAGCTTCGATTTGCTTAATGGATCTCGAGACAGTCCCCAAGAACACTGTCACCAGTCTAGACGGACCCTGAGGTCACCCCAGCAACGCAAAGCAGCTCCATGTGCCCCAAATCAACTCGAGATGAGGCCCCATTCCCCTGCATTGACTCCAGAGCCATTCCCCGTTCCCCATTCAACAGGACTGGTGACTCGCATTCCTTCAGGCAACTCCAGAGATGCCCTGAGAACACTGTCCCAAGTCTAGAGGAACACCAACTTCAGCACAGCAACTCGAGGAATGCTCTGTGTACCCCAAATCGTCTCGAGATGAGAGCTGATTCCCTGGCTTAGGCTCAAGACGTATGCCAACTTTCCAGAAGGACCTCAGGAGGAGGCTTCTCAGCAATAGGTATGTGGGAGGGACTCCGAGTTTGCTGCCTCAAGGGGAATATATAGCGAGAAGCCCTAACTTGAAAGGAGGCCGGATTTCCTTGCAGTAGCTTGAATACAGGCTTGTCTTTCATCTCACAACATGAAGGGATGTCTGAATCCCCTGTGAAGACCTTAGAGAAAGCCCTAGGTCCCAGCCTCATTTTGACGGAATGCCTCACATCCCGCTGACAACTCGAGAGGCACGCGGAGTTCATTGCTTCAAAAGGTGACGATGCCTGACTCCTCTTGAATACTGATAGGAATCCCAAAATCCCTGTGGCTACTGGAAAGGTTCCTTGGGTGCCCTGCCTCACTTCGAGAAGCGTCCCTTTTGCCCTGCCAAGCCTCGAAGAGATTCCTGAGGTGTCCCTCGTTACTAGACAGGAGTCCTGACGTCACTGAAGAAACTCGTGTTTTGAAGGGCCATCCCCGCCGTAAGTCGAGAACATACCCCAGGTCCCCGCCGCAACTCGAGAAAAACCATGAGACTTCCCCCTAGAGGCGAGATGAGGCCCCATTCCCCTGCAGTGCATGCAGAGCTATTCCGTGATCCCATTCAAACAAGTCAGGAGCTTCGACTTGCTTAATGGATCTCGAGGCAGTCCCCAAGAACACTGTCACCAGTCTAGACGGACCCTGAGGTCACCCCAGCAACGCAAAGCAGCTCCATGTGTCCCAAATCAACTCGAGATGAGGCCCGATTCCCCTGCATTGACTCCAGAGCCATTCCCCGTTCCGCATTCAACACGACCGGTGGCTCGACTTCCTTCAGGCAACTCCAGAGATGCCCCGAGAACACTGTCCCAAGTCTAGAAGAGCACCAGTTTCAGCACAGCAACCCGAGGAATGCTCCGTGTACCCCAAATCATCTCGAGATGAGAGCTGATTCCCTGGCTTAGGCTCAAGACGTATGCCAACTTTCCAGAAGCACCTCAGGAGGAGGCTTCTCTCAGCAATAGGTATGTGGGAGGGACCCCGAGTTTGCTGCCTCAAGGGGAATACACAGGGAGAAGCCCTAATGTGAACGGAGGCCAGATTTCCTTGCACTGCGTTGAATACAGGCTCGTCTTTGATCAGACAACATGAAGGGTTGTCTGAATCCCCTGTGGAGACCTTAGAGGAAGCCCTAGGTCCCTGCCTCATTTTGACGGAATACCTCACATCCCCCTGACACCTCGAGAGGCACGCAGAGTTCATTGCTTCAAAAGGTGACGATGCCTGACTCCTCTTGAATACTTATAGGAATCCCAAAATCCCTGTGGCTACTGGAAAGGGTCCTTGGGTGCCCTGGCTCACCTCGAGAAGCGTCCCTTTTGCCCTGCCAAGCCTCGAAGAGATTGCTGAGGTGTCCCTCATTACTAGACAGGAGTCCTGACGTCACTGAAGAAACTCGTGTTTTGAAGGGCCATCCCCGCCGTAAGTCGAGAACATACCCCAGGTCCCCGCCGCAACTCGAGAAAAACCATGAGATTTCCCCCTAGAGGCGAGATGAGGCCCCATTCCCCTGCAGTGCATGCAGAGCTATTCCATGATCCAATTCAAACAAGTCAGGAGCTTCAACTTGCTTAATGGATCTCGAGACAGTCCCGAAGAACACTGTCACCAGTCTACACGGACCCTGAGGTCACCCCAGCAACACAAAGCAGCTCCATGTGCCCCAAATCAACTCGAGATGAGGCCCGATTCCCCTGCATTGACTCCAGAGCCATTCCCCGTTCCAAGTTCAACACGAACGGTGGCTCGCCTTCCTTCAGGCAACTCCAGAGATGCCCAGAGAACACTGTCCCAAGTCTAGAGGAACACCAACTTCAGCACAGCAACTCGAGGAATGCTCTGTGTACCACAAATCGTCTCGAGATGAGAGGTGATTCCCTGGCTTAGGCTCAGGACGTATGCCAACTTTCCAGAAGCACCTCAGGAGGAGGCTTCTCAGCAATAGGTATGTGGGAGGGACTCCGAGTTTGCTGCCTCAAGGGGAATATACAGCGAGAAGCCCTAACTTGAAAGGAGGCCGGATTTCCTTGCAGTAGCTTGAATACAGGCTCATCTTTCATCTCACAACATGAAGGGATGTCTGAATCCCTTGTGGAGACCTTAGAGAAAGCCCTAGGTCCCTGCCTCATTTTGACGGAATACCTCACATCCCCTGACATCTCGAGAGGCACGCAGAGTTCATTGCTTCAAAAGGTGACGATGCCTGACTCCTCTTGAATACTTATAGGAATCCCAAAATCCCTGTGGCTACTGGAAAGGGTCCTTGGGTGCCCTGGCTCACTTCTAGAAGCGTCCCTTTTGCCCTGCCAAGCCTAGAAGAGATTGCTGACGTGTCCCTCGTTACTAGACAGGAGTCCTGACGTCACGGAAGAAACTCGTGTTTTGAAGGGCCATCCCCGCCGTAAGTCGAGAACATACCCCAGGTCCCCGCCGCAACTCGAGAAAAACCATGAGACTTCCCCCTAGAGGCGAGATGAGGCCCCATTCCCCTGCAGTGCATGCAGAGCTATTCCGAGATCCCATTTAAACAAGTCAGGAGCTTCGATTTGCTTAATGGATCTAGAGACAGTCCCCAAGAACACTGTCACCAGTCTAGACGGACCCTGAGGTCACCCCAGCAACGCAAAGCAGCTCCATGTGCCCCAAATCAACTCGAGATGAGGCCCCATTCCCCTGCATTGACTCCAGAGCCATTCCCCGTTCCCCATTCAACAGGACTGGTGACTCGCATTCCTTCAGGCAACTCCAGAGATGCCCTGAGAACACTGTCCAAAGTCTAGAGGAACACCAACTTCAGCACAGCAACTCGAGGAATGCTCTGTGTACCCCAAATCGTCTCGAGATGAGAGCTGATTCCCTGGCTTAGGCTCAAGACGTATGCCAACTTTCCAGAAGGACCTCAGGAGGAGGCTTCTCAGCAATAGGTATGTGGGAGGGACTCCGAGTTTGCTGCCTAAAGGGGAATATATAGCGAGAAGCCCTAACTTGAAAGGAGGCCGGATTTCCTTGCAGTAGCTTGAATACAGGCTTGTCTTTCATCTCACAACATGAAGGGATGTCTGAATCCCCTGTGAAGACCTTAGAGAAAGCCCTAGGTCCCAGCCTCATTTTGACGGAATGCCTCACATCCCGCTGACAACTCGAGAGGCACGCGGAGTTCATTGCTTCAAAAGGTGACGATGCCTGACTCCTCTTGAATACTGATAGGAATCCCAAAATCCCTGTGGCTACTGGAAAGGTTCCTTGGGTGCCCTGCCTCACTTCGAGAAGCGTCCCTTTTGCCCTGCCAAGCCTCGAAGAGATTCCTGAGGTGTCCCTCGTTACTAGACAGGAGTCCTGACGTCACTGAAGAAACTCGTGTTTTGAAGGGCCATCCCCGCCGTAAGTCGAGAACATACCCCAGGTCCCCGCCGCAACTCGAGAAAAACCATGAGACTTCCCCCTAGAGGCGAGATGAGGCCCCATTCCCCTGCAGTGCATGCAGAGCTATTCCGTGATCCCATTCAAACAAGTCAGGAGCTTCGACTTGCTTAATGGATCTCGAGACAGTCCCCAAGAACACTGTCACCAGTCTAGACGGACCCTGAGGTCACCCCAGCAACGCAAAGCAGCTCCATGTGTCCCAAATCAACTCGAGATGAGGCCCGATTCCCCTGCATTGACTCCAGAGCCATTCCCCGTTCCCCATTCAACACGACCGGTGGCTCGACTTCCTTCAGGCAACTCCAGAGATGCCCCGAGAACACTGTCCCAAGTCTAGAAGAGCACCAGTTTCAGCACAGCAACCCGAGGAATGCTCCGTGTACCCCAAATCATATCGAGATGAGAGCTGATTCCCTGGCTTAGGCTCAAGACGTATGCCAACTTTCCAGAAGCACCTCAGGAGGAGGCTTCTCTCAGCAATAGGTATGTGGGAGGGACCCCGAGTTTGCTGCCTCAAGGGGAATACACAGGGAGAAGCCCTAATGTGAACGGAGGCCAGATTTCCTTGCACTGCGTTGAATACAGGCTCGTCTTTGATCAGACAACATGAAGGGTTGTCTGAATCCCCTGTGGAGACCTTAGAGGAAGCCCTAGGTCCCTGCCTCATTTTGACGGAATACCTCACATCCCCCTGACACCTCGAGAGGCACGCAGAGTTCATTGCTTCAAAAGGTGACGATGCCTGACTCCTCTTGAATACTTATAGGAATCCCAAAATCCCTGTGGCTACTGGAAAGGGTCCTTGGGTGCCCTGGCTCACCTCGAGAAGCGTCCCTTTTGCCCTGCCAAGCCTCGAAGAGATTGCTGAGGTGTCCCTCATTACTAGACAGGAGTCCTGACGTCACTGAAGAAACTCGTGTTTTGAAGGGCCATCCCCGCCGTAAGTCGAGAACATACCCCAGGTCCCCGCCGCAACTCGAGAAAAACCATGAGATTTCCCCCTAGAGGCGAGATGAGGCCCCATTCCCCTGCAGTGCATGCAGAGCTATTCCATGATCCAATTCAAACAAGTCAGGAGCTTCAACTTGCTTAATGGATCTCGAGACAGTCCCGAAGAACACTGTCACCAGTCTACACGGACCCTGAGGTCACCCCAGCAACACAAAGCAGCTCCATGTGCCCCAAATCAACTCGAGATGAGGCCCGATTCCCCTGCATTGACTCCAGAGCCATTCCCCGTTCCAAGTTCAACAGGACTGGTGACTCGCATTCCTTCAGGCAACTCCAGAGATGCCCTGAGAACACTGTCCCAAGTCTAGAGGAACACCAACTTCAGCACAGCAACTCGAGGAATGCTCTGTGTACCCCAAATCGTCTCGAGATGAGAGCTGATTCCCTGGCTTAGGCTCAAGACGTATGCCAACTTTCCAGAAGGACCTCAGGAGGAGGCTTCTCAGCAATAGGTATGTGGGAGGGACTCCGAGTTTGCTGCCTCAAGGGGAATATATAGCGAGAAGCCCTAACTTGAAAGGAGGCCGGATTTCCTTGCAGTAGCTTGAATACAGGCTTGTCTTTCATCTCACAACATGAAGGGATGTCTGAATCCCCTGTGAAGACCTTAGAGAAAGCCCTAGGTCCCAGCCTCATTTTGACGGAATGCCTCACATCCCGCTGACAACTCGAGAGGCACGCGGAGTTCATTGCTTCAAAAGGTGACGATGCCTGACTCCTCTTGAATACTGATAGGAATCCCAAAATCCCTGTGGCTACTGGAAAGGTTCCTTGGGTGCCCTGCCTCACTTCGAGAAGCGTCCCTTTTGCCCTGCCAAGCCTCGAAGAGATTCCTGAGGTGTCCCTCGTTACTAGACAGGAGTCCTGACGTCACTGAAGAAACTCGTGTTTTGAAGGGCCATCCCCGCCGTAAGTCGAGAACATACCCCAGGTCCCCGCCGCAACTCGAGAAAAACCATGAGACTTCCCCCTAGAGGCGAGATGAGGCCCCATTCCCCTGCAGTGCATGCAGAGCTATTCCGTGATCCCATTCAAACAAGTCAGGAGCTTCGACTTGCTTAATGGATCTCGAGACAGTCCCCAAGAACACTGTCACCAGTCTAGACGGACCCTGAGGTCACCCCAGCAACGCAAAGCAGCTCCATGTGTCCCAAATCAACTCGAGATGAGGCCCGATTCCCCTGCATTGACTCCAGAGCCATTCCCCGTTCCGCATTCAACACGACCGGTGGCTCGACTTCCTTCAGGCAACTCCAGAGATGCCCCGAGAACACTGTCCCAAGTCTAGAAGAGCACCAGTTTCAGCACAGCAACCCGAGGAATGCTCCGTGTACCCCAAATCATCTCGAGATGAGAGCTGATTCCCTGGCTTAGGCTCAAGACGTATGCCAACTTTCCAGAAGCACCTCAGGAGGAGGCTTCTCTCAGCAATAGGTATGTGGGAGGGACCCCGAGTTTGCTGCCTCAAGGGGAATACACAGGGAGAAGCCCTAATGTGAACGGAGGCCAGATTTCCTTGCACTGCGTTGAATACAGGCTCGTCTTTGATCAGACAACATGAAGGGTTGTCTGAATCCCCTGTGGAGACCTTAGAGGAAGCCCTAGGTCACTGCCTCATTTTGACGGAATACCTCACATCCCCCTGACACCTCGAGAGGCACGCAGAGTTCATTGCTTCAAAAGGTGACGATGCCTGACTCCTCTTGAATACTTATAGGAATCCCAAAATCCCTGTGGCTACTGGAAAGGGTCCTTGGGTGCCCTGGCTCACCTCGAGAAGCGTCCCTTTTGCCCTGCCAAGCCTCGAAGAGATTGCTGAGGTGTCCCTCATTACTAGACAGGAGTCCTGACGTCACTGAAGAAACTCGTGTTTTGAAGGGCCATCCCCGCCGTAAGTCGAGAACATACCCCAGGTCCCCGCCGCAACTCGAGAAAAACCATGAGATTTCCCCCTAGAGGCGAGATGAGGCCCCATTCCCCTGCAGTGCATGCAGAGCTATTCCATGATCCAATTCAAACAAGTCAGGAGCTTCAACTTGCTTAATGGATCTCGAGACAGTCCCGAAGAACACTGTCACCAGTCTACACGGACCCTGAGGTCACCCCAGCAACACAAAGCAGCTCCATGTGCCCCAAATCAACTCGAGATGAGGCCCGATTCCCCTGCATTGACTCCAGAGCCATTCCCCGTTCCAAGTTCAACACGAACGGTGGCTCGCCTTCCTTCAGGCAACTCCAGAGATGCCCAGAGAACACTGTCCCAAGTCTAGAGGAACACCAACTTCAGCACAGCAACTCGAGGAATGCTCTGTGTACCACAAATCGTCTCGAGATGAGAGGTGATTCCCTGGCTTAGGCTCAGGACGTATGCCAACTTTCCAGAAGCACCTCAGGAGGAGGCTTCTCAGCAATAGGTATGTGGGAGGGACTCCGAGTTTGCTGCCTCAAGGGGAATATACAGCGAGAAGCCCTAACTTGAAAGGAGGCCGGATTTCCTTGCAGTAGCTTGAATACAGGCTCATCTTTCATCTCACAACATGAAGGGATGTCTGAATCCCTTGTGGAGACCTTAGAGAAAGCCCTAGGTCCCTGCCTCATTTTGACGGAATACCTCACATCCCCCTGACACCTCGAGAGGCACGCAGAGTTCATTGCATCAAAAGGTGACGATGCCTGACTCCTCTTGAATACTTATAGGAATCCCAAAATCCCTGTGGCTACTGGAAAGGGTCCTTGGGTGCCCTGGCTCACTTCTAGAAGCGCCCCTTTTGCCCTGCCAAGCCTAGAAGAGATTGCTGACGTGTCCCTCGTTACTAGACAGGAGTCCTGACGTCACTGAAGAAACTCGTGTTTTGAAGGGCCATCCCCGCCGTAAGTCGAGAACATACCCCAGGTCCCCGCCGCAACTCGAGAAAAACCATGAGACTTCCCCCTAGAGGCGAGATGAGGCCCCATTCCCCTGCAGTGCATGCAGAGCTATTCCGAGATCCCATTCAAACAAGTCAGGAGCTTCGATTTGCTTAATGGATCTAGAGACAGTCCCCAAGAACACTGTCACCAGTCTAGACGGACCCTGAGGTCACCCCAGCAACGCAAAGCAGCTCCATGTGCCCCAAATCAACTCGAGATGAGGCCCCATTCCCCTGCATTGACTCCAGAGCCATTCCCCGTTCCCCATTCAACAGGACTGGTGACTCGCATTCCTTCAGGCAACTCCAGAGATGCCCTGAGAACACTGTCCCAAGTCTAGAGGAACACCAACTTCAGCACAGCAACTCGAGGAATGCTCTGTGTACCCCAAATCGTCTCGAGATGAGAGCTGATTCCCTGGCTTAGGCTCAAGACGTATGCCAACTTTCCAGAAGGACCTCAGGAGGAGGCTTCTCAGCAATAGGTATGTGGGAGGGACTCCGAGTTTGCTGCCTCAAGGGGAATATATAGCGAGAAGCCCTAACTTGAAAGGAGGCCGGATTTCCTTGCAGTAGCTTGAATACAGGCTTGTCTTTCATCTCACAACATGAAGGGATGTCTGAATCCCCTGTGAAGACCTTAGAGAAAGCCCTAGGTCCCAGCCTCATTTTGACGGAATGCCTCACATCCCGCTGACAACTCGAGAGGCACGCGGAGTTCATTGCTTCAAAAGGTGACGATGCCTGACTCCTCTTGAATACTGATAGGAATCCCAAAATCCCTGTGGCTACTGGAAAGGTTCCTTGGGTGCCCTGCCTCACTTCGAGAAGCGTCCCTTTTGCCCTGCCAAGCCTCGAAGAGATTCCTGAGGTGTCCCTCGTTACTAGACAGGAGTCCTGACGTCACTGAAGAAACTCGTGTTTTGAAGGGCCATCCCCGCCGTAAGTCGAGAACATACCCCAGGTCCCCGCCGCAACTCGAGAAAAACCATGAGACTTCCCCCTAGAGGCGAGATGAGGCCCCATTCCCCTGCAGTGCATGCAGAGCTATTCCGTGATCCCATTCAAACAAGTCAGGAGCTTCGACTTGCTTAATGGATCTCGAGACAGTCCCCAAGAACACTGTCACCAGTCTAGACGGACCCTGAGGTCACCCCAGCAACGCAAAGCAGCTCCATGTGTCCCAAATCAACTCGAGATGAGGCCCGATTCCCCTGCATTGACTCCAGAGCCATTCCCCGTTCCGCATTCAACACGACCGGTGGCTCGACTTCCTTCAGGCAACTCCAGAGATGCCCCGAGAACACTGTCCCAAGTCTAGAAGAGCACCAGTTTCAGCACAGCAACCCGAGGAATGCTCCGTGTACCCCAAATCATCTCGAGATGAGAGCTGATTCCCTGGCTTAGGCTCAAGACGTATGCCAACTTTCCAGAAGCACCTCAGGAGGAGGCTTCTCTCAGCAATAGGTATGTGGGAGGGACCCCGAGTTTGCTGCCTCAAGGGGAATACACAGGGAGAAGCCCTAATGTGAACGGAGGCCAGATTTCCTTGCACTGCGTTGAATACAGGCTCGTCTTTGATCAGACAACATGAAGGGTTGTCTGAATCCCCTGTGGAGACCTTAGAGGAAGCCCTAGGTCCCTACCTCATTTTGACGGAATACCTCACATCCCCCTGACACCTCGAGAGGCACGCAGAGTTCATTGCTTCAAAAGGTGACGATGCCTGACTCCTCTTGAATACTTATAGGAATCCCAAAATCCCTGTGGCTACTGGAAAGGGTCCTTGGGTGCCCTGGCTCACTTCTAGAAGCGTCCCTTTTGCCCTGCCAAGCCTAGAAGAGATTGCTGACGTGTCCCTCGTTACTAGACAGGAGTCCTGACGTCACTGAAGAAACTCGTGTTTTGAAGGGCCATCCCCGCCGTAAGTCGAGAACATACCCCAGGTCCCCGCCGCAACTCGAGAAAAACCATGAGACTTCCCCCTAGAGGCGAGATGAGGCCCCATTCCCCTGCAGTGCATGCAGAGCTATTCCGAGATCCCATTCAAACAAGTCAGGAGCTTCGATTTGCTTAATGGATCTCGAGACAGTCCCCAAGAACACTGTCACCAGTCTAGACGGACCCTGAGGTCACCCCAGCAACGCAAAGCAGCTCCATGTGCCCCAAATCAACTCGAGATGAGGCCCCATTCCCCTGCATTGACTCCAGAGCCATTCCCCGTTCCCCATTCAACAGGACTGGTGACTCGCATTCCTTCAGGCAACTCCAGAGATGCCCTGAGAACACTGTCCCAAGTCTAGAGGAACACCAACTTCAGCACAGCAACTCGAGGAATGCTCTGTGTACCCCAAATCGTCTCGAGATGAGAGCTGATTCCCTGGCTTAGGCTCAAGACGTATGCCAACTTTCCAGAAGGACCTCAGGAGGAGGCTTCTCAGCAATAGGTATGTGGGAGGGACTCCGAGTTTGCTGCCTCAAGGGGAATATATAGCGAGAAGCCCTAACTTGAAAGGAGGCCGGATTTCCTTGCAGTAGCTTGAATACAGGCTTGTCTTTCATCTCACAACATGAAGGGATGTCTGAATCCCCTGTGAAGACCTTAGAGAAAGCCCTAGGTCCCAGCCTCATTTTGACGGAATGCCTCACATCCCGCTGACAACTCGAGAGGCACGCGGAGTTCATTGCTTCAAAAGGTGACGATGCCTGACTGCTCTTGAATACTGATAGGAATCCCAAAATCCCTGTGGCTACTGGAAAGGTTCCTTGGGTGCCCTGCCTCACTTCGAGAAGCGTCCCTTTTGCCCTGCCAAGCCTCGAAGAGATTCCTGAGGTGTCCCTCGTTACTAGACAGGAGTCCTGACGTCACTGAAGAAACTCGTGTTTTGAAGGGCCATCCCCGCCGTAAGTCGAGAACATACCCCAGGTCCCCGCCGCAACTCGAGAAAAACCATGAGACTTCCCCCTAGAGGCGAGATGAGGCCCCATTCCCCTGCAGTGCATGCAGAGCTATTCCGTGATCCCATTCAAACAAGTCAGGAGCTTCGACTTGCTTAATGGATCTCGAGACAGTCCCCAAGAACACTGTCACCAGTCTAGACGGACCCTGAGGTCACCCCAGCAACGCAAAGCAGCTCCATGTGTCCCAAATCAACTCGAGATGAGGCCCGATTCCCCTGCATTGACTCCAGAGCCATTCCCCGTTCCGCATTCAACACGACCGGTGGCTCGACTTCCTTCAGGCAACTCCAGAGATGCCCCGAGAACACTGTCCCAAGTCTAGAAGAGCACCAGTTTCAGCACAGCAACCCGAGGAATGCTCCGTGTACCCCAAATCATCTCGAGATGAGAGCTGATTCCCTGGCTTAGGCTCAAGAAGTATGCCAACTTTCCAGAAGCACCTCAGGAGGAGGCTTCTCTCAGCAATAGGTATGTGGGAGGGACCCCGAGTTTGCTGCCTCAAGGGGAATACACAGGGAGAAGCCCTAATGTGAACGGAGGCCAGATTTCCTTGCACTGCGTTGAATACAGGCTCGTCTTTGATCAGACAACATGAAGGGTTGTCTGAATCCCCTGTGGAGACCTTAGAGGAAGCCCTAGGTCCCTGCCTCATTTTGACGGAATACCTCACATCCCCCTGACACCTCGAGAGGCACGCAGAGTTCATTGCTTCAAAAGGTGACGATGCCTGACTCCTCTTGAATACTTATAGGAATCCCAAAATCCCTGTGGCTACTGGAAAGGGTCCTTGGGTGCCCTGGCTCACTTCTAGAAGCGTCCCTTTTGCCCTGCCAAGCCTAGAAGAGATTGTTGACGTGTCCCTCGTTACTAGACAGGAGTCCTGACGTCACTGAAGAAACTCGTGTTTTGAAGGGCCATCCCCGCCGTAAGTCGAGAACATACCCCAGGTCCCCGCCGCAACTCGAGAAAAACCATGAGACTTCCCCCTAGAGGCGAGATGAGGCCCCATTCCCCTGCAGTGCATGCAGAGCTATTCCGAGATCCCATTCAAACAAGTCAGGAGCTTCGATTTGCTTAATGGATCTAGAGACAGTCCCCAAGAACACTGTCACCAGTCTAGACGGACCCTGAGGTCACCCCAGCAACGCAAAGCAGCTCCATGTGCCCCAAATCAACTCGAGATGAGGCCCCATTCCCCTGCATTGACTCCAGAGCCATTCCCCGTTCCCCATTCAACAGGACTGGTGACTCGCATTCCTTCAGGCAACTCCAGAGATGCCCTGAGAACACTGTCCCAAGTCTAGAGGAACACCAACTTCAGCACAGCAACTCGAGGAATGCTCTGTGTACCCCAAATCGTCTCGAGATGAGAGCTGATTCCCTGGCTTAGGCTCAAGACGTATGCCAACTTTCCAGAAGGACCTCAGGAGGAGGCTTCTCAGCAATAGGTATGTGGGAGGGACTCCGAGTTTGCTGCCTCAAGGGGAATATATAGCGAGAAGCCCTAACTTGAAAGGAGGCCGGATTTCCTTGCAGTAGCTTGAATACAGGTTTGTCTTTCATCTCACAACATGAAGGGATGTCTGAATCCCCTGTGAAGACCTTAGAGAAAGCCCTAGGTCCCAGCCTCATTTTGACGGAATGCCTCACATCCCGCTGACAACTCGAGAGGCACGCGGAGTTCATTGCTTCAAAAGGTGACGATGCCTGACTGCTCTTGAATACTGATAGGAATCCCAAAATCCCTGTGGCTACTGGAAAGGTTCCTTGGGTGCCCTGCCTCACTTCGAGAAGCGTCCCTTTTGCCCTGCCAAGCCTCGAAGAGATTCCTGAGGTTTCCCTCGTTACTAGACAGGAGTCCTGACGTCACTGAAGAAACTCGTGTTTTGAAGGGCCATCCCCGCCGTAAGTCGAGAACATACCCCAGGTCCCCGCCGCAACTCGAGAAAAACCATGAGACTTCCCCCTAGAGGCGAGATGAGGCCCCATTCCCCTGCAGTGCATGCAGAGCTATTCCGTGATCCCATTCAAACAAGTCAGGAGCTTCGACTTGCTTAATGGATCTCGAGACAGTCCCCAAGAACACTGTCACCAGTCTAGACGGACCCTGAGGTCACCCCAGCAACGCAAAGCAGCTCCATGTGTCCCAAATCAACTCGAGATGAGGCCCGATTCCCCTGCATTGACTCCAGAGCCATTCCCCGTTCCGCATTCAACACGACCGGTGGCTCGACTTCCTTCAGGCAACTCCAGAGCTGCCCCGAGAACACTGTCCCAAGTCTAGAAGAGCACCAGTTTCAGCACAGCAACCCGAGGAATGCTCCGTGTACCCCAAATCATCTCGAGATGAGAGCTGATTCCCTGGCTTAGGCTCAAGACGTATGCCAACTTTCCAGAAGCACCTCAGGAGGAGGCTTCTCTCAGCAATAGGTATGTGGGAGGGACCCCGAGTTTGCTGCCTCAAGGGGAATACACAGGGAGAAGCCCTAATGTGAACGGAGGCCAGATTTCCTTGCACTGCGTTGAATACAGGCTCGTCTTTGATCAGACAACATGAAGGGTTGTCTGAATCCCCTGTGGAGACCTTAGAGGAAGCCCTAGGTCCCTGCCTCATTTTGACGGAATACCTCACATCCCCCTGACACCTCGAGAGGCACGCAGAGTTCATTGCTTCAAAAGGTGATGATGCCTGACTCCTCTTGAATACTTATAGGAATCCCAAAATCCCTGTGGCTACTGGAAAGGGTCCTTGGGTGCCCTGGCTCACTTCTAGAAGCGTCCCTTTTGCCCTGCCAAGCCTAGAAGAGATTGCTGACGTGTCCCTCGTTACTAGACAGGAGTCCTGACGTCACTGAAGAAACTCGTGTTTTGAAGGGCCATCCCCGCCGTAAGTCGAGAACATACCCCAGGTCCCCGCCGCAACTCGAGAAAAACCATGAGACTTCCCCCTAGAGGCGAGATGAGGCCCCATTCCCCTGCAGTGCATGCAGAGCTATTCCGAGATCCCATTCAAACAAGTCAGGAGCTTCGATTTGCTTAATGGATCTAGAGACAGTCCCCAAGAACACTGTCACCAGTCTAGACGGACCCTGAGGTCACCCCAGCAACGCAAAGCAGCTCCATGTGCCCCAAATCAACTCGAGATGAGGCCCCATTCCCCTGCATTGACTCCAGAGCCATTCCCCGTTCCCCATTCAACAGGACTGGTGACTCGCATTCCTTCAGGCAACTCCAGAGATGCCCTGAGAACACTGTCCCAAGTCTAGAGGAACACCAACTTCAGCACAGCAACTCGAGGAATGCTCTGTGTACCCCAAATCGTCTCGAGATGAGAGCTGATTCCCTGGCTTAGGCTCAAGACGTATGCCAACTTTCCAGAAGGACCTCAGGAGGAGGCTTCTCAGCAATAGGTATGTGGGAGGGACTCCGAGTTTGCTGCCTCAAGGGGAATATATAGCGAGAAGCCCTAACTTGAAAGGAGGCCGGATTTCCTTGCAGTAGCTTGAATACAGGCTTGTCTTTCATCTCACAACATGAAGGGATGTCTGAATCCCCTGTGAAGACCTTAGAGAAAGCCCTAGGTCCCAGCCTCATTTTGACGGAATGCCTCACATCCCGCTGACAACTCGAGAGGCACGCGGAGTTCATTGCTTCAAAAGGTGACGATGCCTGACTGCTCTTGAATACTGATAGGAATCCCAAAATCCCTGTGGCTACTGGAAAGGTTCCTTGGGTGCCCTGCCTCACTTCGAGAAGCGTCCCTTTTGCCCTGCCAAGCCTCGAAGAGATTCCTGAGGTGTCCCTCGTTACTAGACAGGAGTCCTGACGTCACTGAAGAAACTCGTGTTTTGAAGGGCCATCCCCGCCGTAAGTCGAGAACATACCCCAGGTCCCCGCCGCAACTCGAGGAAAACCATGAGACTTCCCCCTAGAGGAGAGATGAGGCCCCATTCCCCTGCAGTGCATGCAGAGCTATTCCGTGATCCCATTCAAACAAGTCAGGAGCTTCGACTTGCTTAATGGATCTCGAGACAGTCCCCAAGAACACTGTCACCAGTCTAGACGGACCCTGAGGTCACCCCAGCAACGCAAAGCAGCTCCATGTGTCCCAAATCAACTCGAGATGAGGCCCGATTCCCCTGCATTGACTCCAGAGCCATTCCCCGTTCCCCATTCAACACGACCGGTGGCTCGACTTCCTTCAGGCAACTCCAGAGATGCCCCGAGAACACTGTCCCAAGTCTAGAAGAGCACCAGTTTCAGCACAGCAACCCGAGGAATGCTCCGTGTACCCCAAATCATCTCGAGATGAGAGCTGATTCCCTGGCTTAGGCTCAAGACGTATGCCAACTTTCCAGAAGCACCTCAGGAGGAGGCTTCTCTCAGCAATAGGTATGTGGGAGGGACCCCGAGTTTGCTGCCTCAAGGGGAATACACAGGGAGAAGCCCTAATGTGAACGGAGGCCAGATTTCCTTGCACTGCGTTGAATACAGGCTCGTCTTTGATCAGACAACATGAAGGGTTGTCTGAATACCCTGTGGAGACCTTAGAGGAAGCCCTAGGTCCCTGCCTCATTTTGACGGAATACCTCACATCCCCCTGACACCTCGAGAGGCACGCAGAGTTCATTGCTTCAAAAGGTGGCGATGCCTGACTCCTCTTGAATACTTATAGGAATCCCAAAATCCCTGTGGCAACTGGAAAGGGTCTTGGGTGCCCTGGCTCACCTCGAGAAGCGTCCCTTTTGCCCTGCCAAGCCTCGAAGAGATTGATGAGGTGTCCCTCATTACTAGACAGGAGTCCTGACGTCACTGAAGAAACTCGTGTTTTGAAGGGCCATCCCCGCCGTAAGTCGAGAACATACCACAGGTCCCCGCCGCAACTCGAGAAAAACCATGAGATTTCCCCCTTGAGGCGAGAAGAGGCCCCATTCCCCTGCAGTGCATGCATAGCTATTCCATGATCACATTCAAACAAGTCAGGAGCTTCGACTTGCTTAATGGATCTCGAGACAGTCCCCAAGAACACTGTCACCAGTCTAGACGGACCCTGAGGTCACACCAGCAACACAAAGCAGTTCCATGTGCCCCAAATCAACTCGAGATGAGGCCCGATTCCCCTGCATTGACTCCAGAGCCATTCCCCGTTCCAAGTTCAACACGAACGGTGGCTCGCCTTCCTTCAAGCAACTCCAGAGATGCCCCGAGAACACTGTCCCAAATCTAGAGGAACACCAACTTCAGCACAGCAACTCGAGGAATGCTCTGTGTACCCCAAATCGTCTCGAGATGAGAGCTGATTCCCTGGCTAAGGCCCAAGACGTATGCCAACTTTCCAGAAGCACCTCAGGAGGAGGCTTCTCAGCAATAGGTATGTGGGAGGGACTCCGAGTTTGCTGCCTCAAGGGGAATATACAGCGAGAAGCCCTAACTTGAAAGGAGGCCGGATTTCCTTGCAGTAGCTTGAAACAGGCTTGTTTTTCATCTCACAACATGAAGGGATGTCTGAATCCCCTGTGGAGACCTTAGAGAAAGCCCTAGGTCCCTGCCTCATTTTGACGGAATCCTCACATCCGGCTGACACCTCGAGAGGCACGCGGAGTTCATTGCTTCAAAAGGTGACGATGCCTGACTCCTCTTGAATACTGATAGGAATCCCAAAATCACTGTGGCTACTGGAAAGGTTCCTTGGGTGCCCTGCCTCACTTCGAGAAGCGTCCCTTTTGCCCTGCCAAGCCTCGAAGAGATTCCTGAGGTGTCCCTCGTTTCTAGACAGGAGTCCTGACGTCACTGAAGAAACTCGTGTTTTGAAGGGCCATTCCCGCCGTAAGTCGAGAACATACCCCAGGTCCCCGCCGCAACTCGAGAAAAACCATGAGACTTCCCCCTAGAGGCGAGATGAGGCCACATTCCCCTGCAGTGCATGCAGAGCTATTCCGTGATCCCATTCAAACAAGTCAGGAGCTTCGACTTGCTTAATGGATCTCGAGACAGTCCCCAAGAACACTGTCACCAGTCTAGACAGACCCTGAGGTCACCCCAGCAACGCAAAGCTGCTCCATGTGCCCCAAATCAACTCGAGATGAGGCCCGATTCCCCTGCATTGACTCCAGAGCCATTCCCCGTTCCCCATTCAACACGACCGGTGGCTCGACTTCCTTCAGGCAACTCCAGAGATGCCCCGAGAACACTGTCCCAAGTCTAGAGGAGCACCAATTTCAGCACAGCAACCCGAGGAATGCTCCGTGTACCCCAAATCATCTCGAGATGAGAGCTGATTCCCTGGCTTAGGCTCAAGACGTATGCCAACTTTCCAGAAGCACCTCAGGAGGAGGCTTCTCTCAGCAATAGGTATGTGGGAGGGACCCCGAGTTTGCTGCCTCAAGGGGAATACACAGGGAGAAGCCCTAATGTGAACGAAGGCCAGATTTCCTTGCAGTGGCTTGAATACAGGCTCGTCTTTGATCTGACAACATGAAGGGATGTCTGAATCCCCTGTGGAGACCTTAGAGGAAGCCTTAGGTCCCTGCCTCATCTTGATGGAATACCTCACATCCCCCTGACACCTCGAGAGGCACGCAGAGTTCATTGCTTCAAAAGGTGACAATGCCTGACTCCTCTTGAATACTTATAGGAATCCCCAAATCCCTGTGGATACTGGAAAGGGTCCTTGGGTGCCCTGGCTCACCTCGAGAAGCGTCCCTTTTGCCCTGCCAAGCCTCGAAGAGATTGCTGAGGTGTCCCTCGTTACTAGACAGGAGTCCTGACGTCACGGAAGAAACTCGTGTTTTGAAGGGCCATCCCCGCCGTAAGTCGAGAACATACCCCAGGTCCCCGCCGCAACTCGAGAAAAACCATGAGACTTCCCCCTAGAGGCGAGATGAGGCCCCATTCCCCTGCAGTGCATGCAGAGCTATTCCGTGATCCCATTCAAACAAGTCAGGAGCTTCGACTTGCTTAATGGATCTCGAGGCAGTCCCCAAGAACACTGTCACCAGTCTAGACGGACCCTGGGGTCACCCAGCAATGCAAAGCAGCTCCATGTGCCCCAAATCAACTCGAGATGAGGCCGGATTCCCCTGCATTGACTCCAGAGCCATTCCTTGTTCCCCATTCAACACGACCGGTGGCTCGACTTCCTTCAGGCAACTCCAGAGATGCCCCGAGAACACTGTCCCAAGTCTAGAGGACCACCAACTTCAGCACAGCAACTCGAGGAATGCTCTGTGTACCCCTAATCGTCTCGAGATGAGAGCTGATTCCCTGGCTTAGGCTCAAGACGTATGCCACCTTTCCAGAAGCACCTCAGGAGGAGGCTTCTGTCAGCAATAGGTATGTGGGAGGGACCCCGAGTTTGCTGCCTCAAGGGGAATATACAGCGAGAAGTCCTAACTTGAAAGGAGGCCGGATTTCCTTGCAGTGGCTTGAATACAGGCTCGTCTTTCATCTCACAACATGAAGGGATGTCTGAATCCCCTGTGGAGACCTTAGAGAAAGCCCTAGGTCCCTGCCTCATTTTGACGGAATCCTCACATCCCGCTGACACCTCGAGAGGCACGCGGAGTTCATTGCTTCAAAAGGTGACGATGCCTGACTCCTCTTGAATACTTATAGGAATCCCAAAATCCCTGTGGCTACTGGAAAGGGTCCTTGGGTGCCCTGGCTCACCTCGAGAAGCGTCCCTTTTGCCCTGCCAAGCCTCGAAGAGATTGCTGACGTGTCCCTCGTTACTAGACAGGAGTCCTGACGTCACTGAAGAAACTCGTGTTTTGAAGGGCCATCCCCGCCGTAAGTCGAGAACATACCCCAGGTCCCCGCCGCAACTCGAGAAAAACCATGAGACTTCCCCCTAGAGGCGAGATGAGGCCCCATTCCCCTGCAGTGCATGCAGAGCTATTCCGTGATCCCATTCAAACAAGTCAGGAGCTTCGACTAGCTTAATGGATCTCGAGGCAGTCCCCAAGAACACTGTCACCAGTCTAGAGGGACCCTGAAATCACCCAGCAATGCAAAGCAGCTCCATGTGCCCCAAATCAACTCGAGATGAGGCCGGATTCCCCTGCATTGACTCCAGAGCCATTCCTTGTTCCCCATTCAACACGACCGGTGGCTCGACTTCTTTCAGGCAACTCCAGAGATGCCCCGAGAACACTGTCCCAAGTCTAGAGGACCACCAACTTCAGCACAGCAACTAGAGGAATGCTCTGTGTACCCCAAATCGTCTCGAGATGAGAGCTGGTTCCCTGGCTTAGGCTCAAGACGTATGCCACCTTTCCAGAAGCACCTCAGGAGGAGGCTTCTCTCAGCAATAGGTATGTGGGAGGGACCCCGAGTTTGCTGCCTCAAGGGAAATACACAGGGAGAAGCCCTAATGTGAACGGAGGCCAGATTTCCTTGCAGTGGCTTGAATACAGGCTCGTCTTTGATCTGACAACATGAAGGGATTTCTGAATCCGCTGTGGAGACCTTAGAGGAAGCCCTAGGTCCCTGCCTCATTTTGACGGAATACCTCACATCCCCCTGACACCTCGAGAGGCACGCAGAGTTCATTGCTTCAAAAGGTGACGATGCCTGACTCCTCTTGAATACTGATAGGAATCCCAAAATCCCTGTGGCTACTGGAAAGGGTCCTTGGGTACCCTGGCTCACCTCGAGAAGCGTCCCTTTTGCCCTGCCAAGCCTCGAAGAGATTGCTGAGGTGTCCCTCATTACTAGACAGGAGTCCTGACGTCACTGAAGAAACTCGTGTTTTGAAGGGCCATCCCCGCCGTAAGTCGAGAACATACCCCAGGTCCCCGCCGCAACTCGAGAAAAACCATGAGACTTCCCCCTAGAGGCGAGATGAGGCCCCATTCTCCTGCAGAGCATGCAGAGCTATTCCATGATCCAATTCAAACAAGTCAGGAGCTTCGACTTGCTTAATGGATCTCGAGACAGTCCCCAAGAACACTGTCACCAGTCTAGACGGACCCTGAGGTCACCCCAGCAACACAAAGCAGCTCCATGTGCCCCAAATCATCTCGAGATGAGGCCCGATTCCCCTGCATTGACTCCAGAGATATTCCCCGTTCCAAGTTCAACACGAACGGTGGCTCGCCTTCCTCAGGCAACTCCAGAGATGCCCCGAGAACACTGTCCCAAGTCTAGAGGAACACCAACTTCAGCACAGCAACTCGAGGAATGCTCTGTGTACCCCAAATCGTCTCGAGATGAGAGCTGATTCCCTGGCTTAGGCTCAAGACGTATGCCAACTTTCCAGAAGCACCTCAGGAGGAGGCTTCTCAGCAATAGGTATGTGGGAGGGACTCCGAGTTTGCTGCCTCAAGGGGAATATACAGCAAGAAGCCCTAACTTGAAAGGAGGCCGGATATCCTTGCAGTAGCTTGAAACAGGCTAGTTTTTCATCTCACAACATGAAGGGATGTCTGAATCCCCTGTGGAGACCTTAGAGAAAGCCCTAGGTCCCTGCCTCATTTTGACGGAATCCTCACATCCCGCTGACACCTCGAGAGGCACGCGGAGTTCATTGCTTCAAAAGGTGACGATGCCTGACTCCTCTTGAATACTGATAGGAATCCCAAAATCCCTGTGGCTACTGGAAAGGGTCCTTGGGTGCCCTGGCTCACCTCGAGAAGCGTCCCTTTTGCCCTGCCAAGCCTCGAAGAGATTCCTGAGGTGTCCCTCGTTACTAGGCAGGAGTCCTGACGTCACTGGAGAAACTCGTGTTTTGAAGGGCCATCCCCGCCGTAAGTCGAGAACATACCCCAGGGCCCTGCCACAACTCGAGAAAAACCGTGAGACTTCCCCCTAGAGGCGAGATGAGGCCCCATTCCCCTGCAGTGCATGCAGAGCTATTCCGTGATCCCATTCAAACAAGTCAGGAGCTTCGACTTGCTTAATGGATCTCGAGACAGTCCCCAAGAACACTGTCACCAGTCTAGACGGACCCTGAGGTCACCCAGCAATGCAAAGCAGCTCCATGTGCCCCAAATCAACTCGAGATGAGGCCGGATTCCCCTGCATTGACTCCAGAGCCATTCCTTGTTCCCCATTCAACATGACCGGTGGCTCGACTTCCTTCAGGCAACTCCAGAGATGCCTCGAGAGCACTATCCCAAGTCTAGAGGACCACCAACTTCAGCAGAGCAACTCGAGGAATGCTCTGTGTACCCCAAATCGTCTCGAGATGAGAGCTGATTCCCTGGCTTAGGCTCAAGACGTATGCCACCTTTCCAGAAGCACCTCAGGAGGAGGCTTCTCTCAGCAATAGGTATGTGGGAGGGACCCCGAGTTTGCTGCCTCAAGGGGAATATACAGCGAGAAGCCCTAACTTGAAAGGAGGCCGGATTTCCTTGCAGTGGCTTGAATACAGGCTCGTCTTTCATCTCACAACATGAAGGGATGTCTGAATCCCCTGTGGAGACCTTAGAGAAAGCCCTAGGTCCCTGCCTCATTTTGACGGAATCCTCACATCCCGCTGACACCTCGAGAGGCACGCGGAGTTCATTGCTTCAAAAGGTGACGATGCCTGACTCCTCTTGAATACATATAGGAATCCCAAAATCCCTGTGGCTACTGGAAAGGGTCCTTGGGTGCCCTGGCTCACCTCGAGAAGCGTCCCTTTTGCCCTGCCAAGCCTCGAAGAGATTGCTGACGTGTCCCTCGTTACTAGACAGGAGTCCTGACGTCACTGAAGAAACTCGTGTTTTGAAGGGCCATCCCCGCCGTAAGTCGAGAACATATCCCAGGTCCCCGCCGCAACTCGAGAAAAACCATGAGACTTCCCCCTAGAGGCGAGATGAGGCCCCATTCCCCTGCAGTGCATGCAGAGCTATTCCGTGATCCCATTCAAACAAGTCAGGAGCTTCGACTTGCTTAATGGATCTCGAGGCAGTCCCCAAGAACACTGTCACCAGTCTAGAGGGACCCTGAAGTCACCCAGCAATGCAAAGCAGCTCCATGTGCCCCAAATCAACTCGAGATGAGGCCGGATTCCCCTGCATTGACTCCAGAGCCATTCCTTGTTCCCCATTCAACACGACCGGTGGCTCGACTTCTTTCAGGCAACTCCAGAGATGCCCCGAGAACACTGTCCCAAGTCTAGAGGACCACCAACTTCAGCACAGCAACTCGAGAAATGCTCTGTGTACCCCAAATCGTCTCGAGATGAGAGCTGATTCCCTGGCTTAGGCTCAAGACGTATGCCACCTTTCCAGAAGCACCTCAGGAGGAGGCTTCTCTCAGCAATAGGTATGTGGGAGGGACCCCGAGTTTGCTGCCTCAAGGGGAATATACAGCGAGAAGCCCTAACTTGAAAGGAGGCCGGATTTCCTTGCAGTGGCTTGAATACAGGCTCGTCTTTCATCTCACAACATGAAGGGATGTCTGAATCCCCTGTGGAGACCTTAGAGAAAGCCCTAGGCCCTGCCTCATTTTGACGGAATCCTCACATCCCGCTGACACCTCGAGAGGCACGCGGAGTTCATTGCTTCAAAAGGTGACGATGCCTGACTCCTCTAGAATACTTATAGGAATCCCAAAATCCCTGTGGCTACTGGAAAGGGTCCTTGGGTGCCCTGGCTCACCTCGAGAAGCGTCCCTTTTGACCTGCCAAGCCTCGAAGAGATTCCTGAGGTGTCCCTGGTTACTAGACAGGAGTCCTGACGTCACTGAAGAAACTCGTGTTTTGAAGGGCCATCCCCGCCGTAAGTCGAGAACATAACCCAGGTCCCCGCCGCAACTCGAGAAAAACCATGAGACTTCCCCCTAGAGGCGAGATGAGGCCCCATTCCCCTGCAGTGCATGCAGAGCTATTCCGTGATCCCATTCAAACAAGTCAGGAGCTTCGACTTGCTTAATGGATCTCGAGACAGTCCCCAAGAACACTGTCACCAGTCTAGACGGACCCTGAGGTCACCCCAGCAACGCAAAGCTGCTCCATGTGCCCCAAATCAACTCGAGATGAGGCCCGATTCCCCTGCATTGACTCCAGAGCCATTCCCCGTTCCCCATTCAACACGACCGGTGGCTCGACTTCCTTCAGGCAACTGCAGAGATGCCCCGAGAACACTGCCCCAAGTCTAGAGGAACAACAACTTCAGCACAGCAACTCGAGGAATGCTCCGTGTACCCCAAATCATCTCGAGATGAGAGCTGATTCTCTGGCTTAGGCTCAAGACGTATGCCAACTTTCCAGAAGCACCTCAGGAGGACGCTTCTCTCAGCAATAGGTATGTGGGAGCGACCCCGAGTTTGCTGCCTCAAGGGGAATACACCGGGAGAAGCCCTAACGTGAACGGAGGCCAGATTTCCTTGCAGTGGGTTGAATAAAGGCTCGTCTTCGATCTGAAAACATGAAGGGATGTCTGAATCCCCTGTGGAGACCTTAGAGGAAGCCCTAGGTCCCTGCCTCATTTTGACGGAATACCTCACATCCCCCTGACACCTCGAGAGGCACGCAGAGTTCATTGCTTCAAAAGGTGACGATGCCTGACTCCTCTTGAATACTTATAGGAATCCCAAAATCCCTGTTGCTACTGGAAAGGGTCCTTGGGTGCCCTGCCTCACCTCGAGAAGCGTCCCTTTTGCCCTGCCAAGCCTCGAAGAAATTGCTGAGGTGTCCCTCGTTACTAGACAGGAGTCCTGACGTCACCGAAGAAACTCGTGTTTTGAAGGGCCATCCCCACCGTAAGTCGAGAACATAACCCAGGTCCCCGCCGCAACTCGAGAAAAACCATGAGACTTCCCCCTAGAGGCGAGATGAGGCCACATTCCCCTGCAGTGCATGCAGAGCTATTCCGTGATCCCATTCAAACAAGTCAGGAGCTTCGACTTGCTTAATGGATCTCGAGACAGTCCCCAAGAACACTGTCACCAGTCTAGACGGACCCTGAAGTCACCACAGCAACGCAAAGCAGCTCCATGTGCCCCAAATCAACTCGAGATGAGGCCCGATTCCCCTGCATTGACCCAAGAGCCATTCCCCGTTCCCCGTTCAACACGAAGGGAGGCTCGCCTTCCTTCAGGCAACTCCAGAGATGCCCCGAGAACACTGTCCCAAGTCTAGAGGAACACCAACTTCAGCACAGCAACTCGAGGAATGCTCTGTGTACCCCAAATCGTCTCGAGATGAGAGCTGATTCCCTGGCTTAGGCTCAAGACGTATGCCACCTTTCCAGAAGCACCTCAGGAGGAGGCTTCTCTCAGCAATAGGTATGTGGGAGGGACCCCGAGTTTGCTGCCTCAAGGGGAATATACAGCGAGAAGCCCTAACTTGAAAGGAGGCCGGATTTCCTTGCAGTGGCTTGAATACAGGCTCGTCTTTCATCTCACAACATGAAGGGATGTCTGAATCCCCTGTGGAGACCTTAGAGAAAGCCCTAGGTCCCTGCCTCATTTTGACGGAATCCTCACATCCCGCTGACACCTCGAGAGGCACGCGGAGTTCATTGCTTCAAAAGGTGACGATGCCTGACTCCTCTTGAATACTGATAGGAATCCTAAAATCCCTGTGGCTACTGGAAAGGGTCCTTGGGTGACCTGGCTCACCTCGAGAAGCGTCCCTTTTGCCCTGCCAAGCCTCGAAGAGATTCCTGAGGTGTCCCTCGTTACTAGGCAGGAGTCCTGACGTCACTGGAGAAACTCGTGTTTTGAAGGGCCATCCCCGCCGTAAGTCGAGAACATACCCCAGGGCCCTGCCGCAACTCGAGAAAAACCGTGAGACTTCCCCCTAGAGGCGAGATGAGGCCCCATTCCCCTGCAGTGCATGCAGAGCTATTCCGTGATCCCATTCAAACAAGTCAGGAGCTTCGACTTGCTTAATGGATCTCGAGGCAGTCCCCAAGAACACTGTCACCAGTCTAGACGGACCCTGAGGTCACCCCAGCAACGCAAAGCTGCTCCATGTGCCCCAAATCAACTCGAGATGAGGCCCGATTCCCCTGCATTGACTCCAGAGCCATTCCCCGTTCCCCATTCAACACGACCGGTGGCTCGACTTCCTTCAGGCAACTCCAGGGATGCCCCGAGAACACTGTCCGAAGTCTAGAGGAACACCAACTTCAGCACAGCAACTCGAGGAATGCTCTGTGTACCACAAATCGTCTAGAGATGAGAGCTGATTCCCTGGCTTAGGCTCAAGACGTATGCCACCTTTCCAGAAGCACCTCAGGAGGAGGCTTCTCTCAGCAATAGGTATGTGGGAGGGACCCCGAGTTTGCTGCCTGAAGGGTAATATACAGCGAGAAGCCCTAACTTGAAAGGAGGCCGGATTTCCTTGCAGTGGCTTGAATACAGGCTCGTCTTTCATCTCACAACATGAAGGGATGTCTGAATCCCCTGTGGAGACCTAAGATAAAGCCCTAGGTCCCTGCCTCATTTTGACGGAATCCTCACATCCCGCTGACACCTCGAGAGGCACGCGGAGTTCATTGCTTCAAAAGGTGACGATGCCTGACTCCTCTTGAATACTGATAGGAATCCCAAAATCCCTGTGGCTACTGGAAAGGGTCCTTGGGTGCCCTGGCTCACCTCGAGAAGCGTCCCTTTTGCCCTGCCAAGCCTCGAAGAGATTGCTGAGGTGTCCCTCGTTACTAGACAGGAGTCCTGACGTCACTGAAGAAACTCGTGTTTTGAAGGGCCATCCCCGCCGTAAGTCGAGAACATACCCCAGGTCCCTGCCGCAACTCGAGAAAAACCATGAGACTTCCCCCTAGAGGCGAGATGAGGCCCCATTCCCCTGCAGTGCATGCAGAGCTACTCCGTGATCCCATTCAAACAAGTCAGGAGCTGCGACTTGCTTAATGGATCTCGAGACAGTCCCCAAGAACACTGTCACCAGTCTAGACGGACCCTGAGGTCACCCAGCAATGCAAAGCAGCTCCATGTGCCCCAAATCAACTCGAGATGAGGCCCGATTCCCCTGCATTGACTCCAGAGCCATTCCCCGTTCCCCATTCAACACGACCGGTGGCTCGACTTCCTTCAGGCAACTCCAGGGATGCCCCGAGAACACTGTCCCAAGTCTAGAGGAACACCAACTTCAGCACAGCAACTCGAGGAATGCTCTGTGTACCCCAAATCGTCTGGAGATGAGAGCTGATTCCCTGGCTTAGGCTCAAGACGTATGCCACCTTTCCAGAAGCACCTCAGGAGGAGGCTTCTCTCAGCAATAGGTATGTGGGAGGGACCCCGAGTTTGCTGCCTCAAGGGGAATATACAGCGAGAAGCCCTAACTTGAAAGGAGGCCGGATTTCCTTGCAGTGGCTTGAATACAGGCTCGTCTTTCATCTCACAACATGAAGGGATGTCTGCATCCCCTGTGGAGACCTTAGAGAAAGCCCTAGGTCCCTGCCTCATTTTGACGGAATCCTCACATCCCGCTGACACCTCGAGAGGCACGCGGAGTTCATTGCTTCAAAAGGTGACGATGCCTGACTCCTCTTGAATACTGATAGGAATCCCAAAATCCCTGTGGCTACTGGAAAGGGTCCTTGGGTGCCCTGCCTCACCTCGAGAAGCGTCCCTTTTGCCCTGCCAAGCCTCGAAGAGATTCCTGAGGTGTCCCTCGTTACTAGGCAGGAGTCCTGACGTCACTGGAGAAACTCGTGTTTTGAAGGGCCATCCCCGCCGTAAGTCGAGAACATACCCCAGGGCCCTGCCGCAACTCGAGAAAAACCGTGAGACTTCCCCCTAGAGGCGAGATGAGGCCCCATTCCCCTGCAGTGCATGCAGAGCTATTCCGTGATCCCATTCAAACAAGTCAGGAGCTTCGACTTGCTTAATGGATCTCGAGGCAGTCCCCAAGAACACTGTCACCAGTCTAGAGGGACCGTGAAGTCACCCAGCAATGCAAAGCAGCTCCATGTGCCCCAAATCAACTCGAGATGAGGCCGGATTCCCCTGCATTGACTCCAGAGCCATTCCTTGTTCCCCATTCAACACGACCAGTGGCTCGACTTCTTTCAGGCAACTCCAGAGATGCCCCGAAAACACTGTCCCAAGTCTAGAGGACCACCAACTTCAGCACAGCAACTCGAGAAATGCTCTGTGTACCCCAAATCGTCTCGAGATGAGAGCTGATTCCCTGGCTTAGGCTCAAGACGTATGCCACCTTTCCAGAAGCACCTCAGGAGGAGGCTTCTCTCAGCAATAGGTATGTGGGAGGGACCCCGAGTTTGCTGCCTCAAGGGGAATATACAGCGAGAAGCCCTAACTTGAAAGGAGGCCGGATTTCCTTGCAGTGGCTTGAATACAGGCTCGTCTTTCATCTCACAACATGAAGGGATGTCTGAATCCCCTGTGGAGACCTTAGAGAAAGCCCTAGGTCCCTGCCTCATTTTGACGGAATCCTCATATCCCGCTGACACCTCGAGAGGCACGCGGAGTTCATTGCTTCAAAAGGTGACGATGCCTGACTCCTCTTGAATACTTATAGGAATCCCAAAATCCCTGTAGCTACTGGAAAGGGTCCTTGGGTGCCCTGGCTCACCTCGAGAAGCGTCCCTTTTGCCCTGCCAAGCCTCGAAGAGATTGCTGAGGTGTCCCTCGTTACTAGACAGGAGTCCTGACGTCACGGAAGAAACTCGTGTTTTGAAGGGCCATCCCCGCCGTAAGTCGAGAACATACCCCAGGTCCCCGCCGCAACTCGAGAAAAACCATGAGACTTCCCCCTAGAGGCGAGATGAGGCCCCATTCCCCTGCAGTGCATGCAGAGCTATTCCGTGATCCCATTCAAACAAGTCAGGAGCTTCGACTTGCTTAATGGATCTCGAGACAGTCCCCAAGAACACTGTCACCAGTCTAGACGGACCCTGAGGTCACCCAGCAATGCAAAGCAGCTCCATGTGCCCCAAATCAACTCGAGATGAGGCCGGATTCCCCTGCATTGACTCCAGAGCCATTCCTTGTTCCCCATTCAACACGACCGGTGGCTCGACTTCCTTCAGGCAACTCCAGAGATGCCCCGAGAACACTGTCCCAAGTCTAGTGGAACACCAACTTCAGCACAGCAACTCGAGGAATGCTCTGTGTACCCCAAATCGTCTCGAGATGAGAGCTGATTCCCTGGCTTAGGCTCAAGACGTATGCCACCTTTCGAGAAACACCTCAGGAGGAGGCTTCTCTCAGCAATAGGTATGTGGGAGGGACCCCGAGTTTGCTGCCTCAAGGGGAATATACAGCGAGAAGTCCTAACTTGAAAGGAGGCCGGATTTCCTTGCAGTGGCTTGAATACCGGCTCGTCTTTCATCTCACAACATGAAGGGATGTCTGAATCCCCTGTGGAGACCTTAGAGAAAGCCCTAGGTCCCTGCCTCATTTTGACGGAATCCTCACATCCCGCTGACACCTCGAGAGGCACGCGGAGTTCATTGCTTCAAAAGGTGACGATGCCTGACTCCTCTTGAATACTTATAGGAATCCCAAAATCCCTGTGGCTACTGGAAAGGGTCCTTGGGTGCCCTGGCTCACCTCGAGAAGCGTCCCTTTTGCCCTGCCAAGCCTCGAAGAGATTGCTGAGGTGTCCCTCGTTACTAGACAGGAGTCCTGACGTCACTGAAGAAACTCGTGTTTTGAAGGGCCATCCCCGCCGTAAGTCGAGAACATACCCCAGGTCCCCGCCGCAACTCGAGAAAAACCATGAGACTTCCCCCTAGAGGCGAGATGAGGCCCCATTCCCCTGCAGTGCATGCAGAGCTATTCCGTGATCCCATTCAAACAAGTCAGGAGCTTCGACTTGCTTAATGGATCTCGAGACAGTCCCCAAGAACACTGTCACCAGTCTAGACGGACCCTGAGGTCACCCCAGCAACGCAAAGCTGCACTATGTGCCCAAAATCAACTCGAGATGAGGCCCGATTCCCCTGCATTGACTCCAGAGCCATTCCCCGTTCCCCATTCAACACGACCGGTGGCTCGACTTCCTTCAGGCAACTGCAGAGATGCCCCGAGAACACTGCCCCAAGTCTAGAGGAACACCAACTTCAGCACAGCAACTCGAGGAATGCTCCGTGTACCCCAAATCATCTCGAGATGAGAGCTGATTCTCTGGCTTAGGCTCAAGACGTATGCCACCTTTCCAGAAGCACCTCAGGAGGAGGCTTCTCTCAGCAATAGGTATGTGGGAGCGACCCCGAGTATGCTGCCTCAAGGGGAATACACAGGGAGAAGCCGTAACGTGAACGGAGGCCAGATTTCCTTGCAGTGGGTTGAATAAAGGCTCGTCTTCGATCTGAAAACATGAAGGGATGTCTAAATTCCCTGTGGAGACCTTAGAGGAAGCCCTAGGTCCCTGCCTCATTTTGACGGAATACCTCACATCCCCCTGACACCTCGAGAGGCACGCAGAGTTCATTGCTTCAAAAGGTGACGATGCCTGACTCCTCTTGAATACTTATAGGAATCCCAAAATCCCTGTAGCTACTGGAAAGGGTCCTTGGGTGCCCTGGCTCACCTCGAGAAGCGTCCCTTTTGCCCTGCCAAGCCTCGAAGAAATTGCTGAGGTGTCCCTCGTTACTAGACAGGAGTCCTGACGTCACAGAAGAAACTCGAGTTTTGAAGGGCCATCCCCGCCGTAAGTCGAGAACATACCCCAGGTCCCCGCCGCAACTCGAGAAAAACCATGAGACTTCCCCCTAGAGGCGAGATGAGGCCCCATTCCCCTGCAGTGCATGCAGAGCTATTCCGTGATCCCATTCAAACAAGTCAGGAGCTTCGACTTGCTTAATGGATCTCGAGACAGTCCCCAAGAACACTGTCACCAGTCTAGACGGACCCTGAGGTCACCCCAGCAACGCAAAGCTGCTCCATGTGCCCCAAATCAACTCGAGATGAGGCCCGATTCCCCTGCATTGACTCCAGAGCCATTCCTTGTTCCCCATTCAACACGACCGGTGGCTTGACTTCCTTCAGGCAACTCCAGAGATGCCTCGAGAGCACTATCCCAAGTCTAGAGGACCACCAACTTCAGCAGAGCAACTCGAGGAATGCTCTGTGTACCCCAAATCGTCTCGAGATGAGAGCTGATTCCCTGGCTTAGGCTCAAGACGTATGCCACCTTTCCAGAAGCACCTCAGGAGGAGGCTTCTCTCAGCAATAGGTATGTGGGAGGGACCCCGAGTTTGCTGCCTCAAGGGGAATATACAGCGAGAAGCCCTAACTTGAAAGGAGGCCGGATTTCCTTGCAGTGGCTTGAATACAGGCTCGTCTTTCATCTCACAACATGAAGGGATGTCTGAATCCCCTGTGGAGACCTTAGAGAAAGCCCTAGGTCCCTGCCTCATTTTGACGGAATCCTCACATCCCGCTGACACCTCGAGAGGCACGCGGAGTTCATTGCTTCAAAAGGTGACGATGCCTGACTCCTCTAGAATACTTATAGGAATCCCAAAATCCCTGTGGCTACTGGAAAGGGTCCTTGGGTGCCCTGGCTCACCTCGAGAAGCGTCCCTTTTGACCTGCCAAGCCTCGAAGAGATTCCTGAGGTGTCCCTGGTTACTAGACAGGAGTCCTGACGTCACTGAAGAAACTCGTGTTTTGAAGGGCCATCCCCGCCGTAAGTCGAGAACATAACCCAGGTCCCCGCCGCAACTCGAGAAAAACCATGAGACTTCCCCCTAGAGGCGAGATGAGGCCCCATTCCCTTGCAGTGCATGCAGAGCTATTCCGTGATCCCAATCAAACAAGTCAGGAGCTTCGACTTGCTTAATGGATCTCGAGACAGTCCCCAAGAACACTGTCACCAGTCTAGACGGACCCTGAGGTCACCCCAGCAACGCAAAGCTGCTCCATGTGCCCCAAATCAACTCGAGATGAGGCCCGATTCCCCTGCATTGACTCCAGAGCCATTCCCCGTTCCCCATTCAACACGACCGGTGGCTCGACTTCCTTCAGGCAACTGCAGAGATGCCCCGAGAACACTGCCCCAAGTCTAGAGGAACACCAACTTCAGCACAGCAACTCGAGGAATGCTCCGTGTACCCCAAATCATCTCGAGATGAGAGCTGATTCTCTGGCTTAGGCTCAAGACGTATGCCAACTTTCCAGAAGCACCTGAGGAGGACGCTTCTCTCAGCAATAGGTATGTGGGAGCGACCCCGAGTTTGCTGCCTCAAGGGGAATACACAGGGAGAAGCCCTAACGTGAACGGAGGCCAGATTTCCTTGCAGTGGGTTGAATAAAGGCTCGTCTTCGATCTGAAAACATGAAGGGATGTCTGAATCCCCTGTGGAGACCTTAGAGGAAGCCCTAGGTCCCTGCCTCATTTTGACGGAATACCTCACATCCCCCTGACACCTCGAGAGGCACGCAGAGTTCATTGCTTCAAAAGGTGACGATGCCTGACTCCTCTTGAATACTTATAGGAATCCCAAAATCCCTGTTGCTACTGGAAAGGGTCCTTGGGTGCCCTGGCTCACCTCGAGAAGCGTCCCTTTTGCCCTGCCAAGCCTCGAAGAAATTGCTGAGGTGTCCCTCGTTACTAGACAGGAGTCCTGACGTCACCGAAGAAACTCGTGTTTTGAAGGGCCATCCCCACCGTAAGTCGAGAACATACCCCAGGTCCCCGCCGCAACTCGAGAAAAACCATGAGACTTCCCCCTAGAGGCGAGATGAGGCCACATTCCCCTGCAGTGCATGCAGAGCTATTCCGTGATCCCATTCAAACAAGTCAGGAGCTTCGACTTGCTTAATGGATCTCGAGACAGTCCCCAAGAACACTGTCACCAGTCTAGACGGACCCTGAGGTCACCACAGCAACGCAAAGCAGCTCCATGTGCCCCAAATCAACTCGAGATGAGGCCCGATTCCCCTGCATTGACCCCAGAGCCATTCCCCGTTCCCCGTTCAACACGAAGGGAGGCTCGCCTTCCTTCAGGCAACTCCAGAGATGCCCCGAGAACACTGTCCCAAGTCTAGAGGAACACCAACTTCAGCACAGCAACTCGAGGAATGCTCTGTGTACCCCAAATCGTCTCGAGATGAGAGCTGATTCCCTGGCTTAGGCTCAAGACGTATGCCACCTTTCCAGAAGCACCTCAGGAGGAGGCTTCTCTCAGCAATAGGTATGTGGGAGGGACCCTGAGTTTGCTGCCTCAAGGGGAATATACAGCGAGAAGCCCTAACTTGAAAGGAGGCCGGATTTCCTTGCAGTGGCTTGAATACAGGCTCGTCTTTCATCTCACAACATGAAGGGATGTCTGAATCCCCTGTGGAGACCTTAGAGAAAGCCCTAGGTCCCTGCCTCATTTTGACGGAATCCTCACATCCCGGTGACACCTCGAGAGGCACGCGGAGTTCATTGCTTCAAAAGGTGACGATGCCTGACTCCTCTTGAATACTGATAGGAATCCCAAAATCCCTGTGGCTACTGGAAAGGGTCCTTGGGTGCCCTGGCTCACCTCGAGAAGCGTCCCTTTTGCCCTGCCAAGCCTCGAAGAGATTCCTGAGGTGTCCCTCGTTACTAGGCAGGAGTCCTGACGTCACTGGAGAAACTCGTGTTTTGAAGGGCCATCCCCGCCGTAAGTCGAGAACATACCCCAGGGCCCTGCCGCAACTCGAGAAAAACCGTGAGACTTCCCCCTAGAGGCGAGTTGAGGCCCCATTCCCCTGCAGTGCATGCAGAGCTATTCCATGATCCCATTCAAACAAGTCAGGAGCTTCGACTTGCTTAATGGATCTCGAGACAGTCCCCAAGAACACTGTCACCAGTCTAGACGGACCCTGAGGTCACCCAGCAATGCAAAGCAGCTCCATGTGCCCCAAATCAACTCGAGATGAGGCCGGATTCCCCTGCATTGACTCCAGAGCCATTCCTTGTTCCCCATTCAACATGACCGGTGGCTCGACTTCCTTCAGGCAACTCCAGAGATGCCTCGAGAGCACTATCCCAAGTCTAGAGGACCACCAACTTCAGCAGAGCAACTCGAGGAATGCTCTGTGTACCCCAAATCGTCTCGAGATGAGAGCTGATTCCCTGGCTTAGGCTCAAGACGTATGCCACCTTTCCAGAAGCACCTCAGGAGGAGGCTTCTCTCAGCAATAGGTATGTGGGAGGGACCCCGAGTTTGCTGCCTCAAGGGGAATATACAGCGAGAAGCCCTAACTTGAAAGGAGGCCGGATTTCCTTGCAGTGGCTTGAATACAGGCTCGTCTTTCATCTCACACCATGAAGGGATGTCTGAATCCCCTGTGGAGACCTTAGAGAAAGCCCTAGGTCCCTGCCTCATTTTGACGGAATCCTCACATCCCGCTGACACCTCGAGAGGCACGCGGAGTTCATTGCTTCAAAAGGTGACGATGCCTGACTCCTCTTGAATACTTATAGGAATCCCAAAATCCCTATGGCTACTGGAAAGGGTCCTTGGGTGCCCTGGCTCACCTCGAGAAGCGTCCCTTTTGCCCTGCCAAGCCTCGAAGAGATTGCTGACGTGTCCCTCGTTACTAGACAGGAGTCCTGACGTCACTGAAGAAACTCGTGTTTTGAAGGGCCATCCCCGCCGTAAGTCGAGAACATACCCCAGGTCCCCGCCGCAACTCGAGAAAAACCATGAGACTTCCCCCTAGAGGCGAGATGAGGCCCCATTCCCCTGCAGTGCATGCAGAGCTATTCCGTGATCCCATTCAAACAAGTCAGGAGCTTCGACTTGCTTAATGGATCTCGAGGCAGTCCCCAAGAACACTGTCACCAGTCTAGAGGGACCCTGAAGTCACCCAGCAATGCAAAGCAGCTCCATGTGCCCCAAATCAACTCGAGATGAGGCCGGATTCCCCTGCATTGACTCCAGAGCCATTCCTTGTTCCCCATTCAACATGACCGGTGGCTCGACTTCTTTCAGGCAACTCCAGAGATGCCCCGAGAACACTGTCCCAAGTCTAGAGGACCACCAACTTCAGCACAGCAACTCGAGAAATGCTCTGTGTACCCCAAATCGTCTCGAGATGAGAGCTGATTCCCTGGCTTAGGCTCAAGACGTATGCCACCTTTCCAGAAGCACCTCAGGAGGAGGCTTCTCTCAGCAATAGGTATGTGGGAGGGACCCCGAGTTTGCTGCCTCAAGGGGAATATACAGCGAGAAGCCCTAACTTGAAAGGAGGCCGGATTTCCTTGCAGTGGCTTGAATACAGGCTCGTCTTTCATCTCACAACATGAAGGGATGTCTGAATCCCCTGTGGAGACCTTAGAGAAAGCCCTAGGTCCCTGCCTCATTTTGACGGAATCCTCATATCCCGCTGACACCTCGAGAGGCACGCGGAGTTCATTGCTTCAAAAGGTGACGATGCCTGACTCCTCTTGAATACTTATAGGAATCCCAAAATCCCTGTAGCTACTGGAAATGGTCCTTGGGTGCCCTGGCTCACCTCGAGAAGCGTCCCTTTTGCCCTGCCAAGCCTCGAAGAGATTGCTGAGGTGTCCCTCGTTACTAGACAGGAGTCCTGACGTCACGGAAGAAACTCGTGTTTTGAAGGGCCATCCCCGCCGTAAGTCGAGAACATACCCCAGGTCCCCGCCGCAACTCGAGAAAAACCATGAGACTTCCCCCTAGAGGCGAGATGAGGCCCCATTCCCCTGCAGTGCATGCAGAGCTATTCCGTGATCCCATTCAAACAAGTCAGGAGCTTCGACTTGCTTAATGGATCTCGAGACAGTCCCCAAGAACACTGTCACCAGTCTAGACGGACCCTGAGGTCACCCAGCAATGCAAAGCAGCTCCATGTGCCCCAAATCAACTCGAGATGAGGCCGGATTCCCCTGCATTGACTCCAGAGCCATTCCTTGTTCCCCATTCAACACGACCGGTGGCTCGACTTCCTTCAGGCAACTCCAGAGATGCCCCGAGAACACTGTCCCAAGTCTAGTGGAACACCAACTTCAGCACAGCAACTCGAGGAATGCTCTGTGTACCCCAAATCGTCTCGAGATGAGAGCTGATTCCCTGGCTTAGGCTCAAGACGTATGCCACCTTTCGAGAAACACCTCAGGAGGAGGCTTCTCTCAGCAATAGGTATGTGGGAGGGACCCCGAGTTTGCTGCCTCAAGGGGAATATACAGCGAGAAGTCCTAACTTGAAAGGAGGCCGGATTTCCTTGCAGTGGCTTGAATACCGGCTCGTCTTTCATCTCACAACATGAAGGGATGTCTGAATCCCCTGTGGAGACCTTAGAGAAAGCCCTAGGTCCCTGCCTCATTTTGACGGAATCCTCACATCCCGCTGACACCTCGAGAGGCACGCGGAGTTCATTGCTTCAAAAGGTGACGATGCCTGACTCCTCTTGAATACTTATAGGAATCCCAAAATCCCTGTGGCTACTGGAAAGGGTCCTTGGGTGCCCCGGCTCACCTCGAGAAGCGTCCCTTTTGCCCTGCCAAGCCTCGAAGAGATTGCTGAGGTGTCCCTCGTTACTAGACAGGAGTCCTGACGTCACTGAAGAAACTCGTGTTTTGAAGGGCCATCCCCGCCGTAAGTCGAGAACATACCCCAGGTCCCCGCCGCAACTCGAGAAAAACCATGAGACTTCCCCCTAGAGGCGAGATGAGGCCCCATTCCCCTGCAGTGCATGCAGAGCTATTCCGTGATCCCATTCAAACAAGTCAGGAGCTTCGACTTGCTTAATGGATCTCGAGACAGTCCCCAAGAACACTGTCACCAGTCTAGACGGACCCTGAGGTCACCCCAGCAACGCAAAGCTGCACTATGTGCCCAAAATCAACTCGAGATGAGGCCCGATTCCCCTGCATTGACTCCAGAGCCATTCCCCGTTCCCCATTCAACACGACCGGTGGCTCGACTTCCTTCAGGCAACTGCAGAGATGCCCCGAGAACACTGCCCCAAGTCTAGAGGAACACCAATTTCAGCACAGCAACTCGAGGAATGCTCCGTGTACCCCAAATCATCTCGAGATGAGAGCTGATTCTCTGGCTTAGGCTCAAGACGTATGCCAACTTTCCAGAAGCACCTCAGGAGGAGGCTTCTCTCAGCAATAGGTATGTGGGAGCGACCCCGAGTATGCTGCCTCAAGGGGAATACACAGGGAGAAGCCGTAACGTGAACGGAGGCCAGATTTCCTTGCAGTGGGTTGAATAAAGGCTCGTCTTCGATCTGAAAACATGAAGGGATGTCTGAATTCCCTGTGGAGACCTTAGAGGAAGCCCTAGGTCCCTGCCTCATTTTGACGGAATACCTCACATCCCCCTGACACCTCGAGAGGCACGCAGAGTTCATTGCTTCAAAAGGTGACGATGCCTGACTCCTCTTGAATACTTATAGGAATCCCAAAATCCCTGTAGCTACTGGAAAGGGTCCTTGGGTGCCCTGGCTCACCTCGAGAAGCGTCCCTTTTGCCCTGCCAAGCCTCGAAGAAATTGCTGAGGTGTCCCTCGTTACTAGACAGGAGTCCTGACGTCACGGAAGAAACTCGAGTTTTGAAGGGCCATCCCCGCCGTAAGTCGAGAACATACCCCAGGTCCCCGCCGCAACTCGAGAAAAACCATGAGACTTCCCCCTAGAGGCGAGATGAGGCCCCATTCCCCTGCAGTGCATGCAGAGCTATTCCGTGATCCCATTCAAACAAGTCAGGAGCTTCGACTTGCTTAATGGATCTCGAGACAGTCCCCAAGAACACTGTCACCAGTCTAGACGGACCCTGAGGTCACCCCAGCAACGCAAAGCTGCTCCATGTGCCCCAAATCAACTCGAGATGAGGCCCGATTCCCCTGCATTGACTCCAGAGCCATTCCTTGTTCCCCATTCAACACGACCGGTGGCTTGACTTCCTTCAGGCAACTCCAGAGATGCCTCGAGAGCACTATCCCAAGTCTAGAGGACCACCAACTTCAGCACAGCAACTCGAGGAATGCTCTGTGTACCCCAAATCGTCTCGAGATGAGAGCTGATTCCCTGGCTTAGGCTCAAGACGTATGCCACCTTTCCAGAAGCACCTCAGGAGGAGGCTTCTCTCAGCAATAGGTATGTGGGAGGGACCCCGAGTTTGCTGCCTCAAGGGGAATATACAGCGAGAAGCCCTAACTTGAAAGGAGGCCGGATTTCCTTGCAGTGGCTTGAATACAGGCTCGTCTTTCATCTCACAACATGAAGGGATGTCTGAATCCCCTGTGGAGACCTTAGAGAAAGCCCTAGGTCCCTGCCTCATTTTGACGGAATCCTCACATCCCGCTGACACCTCGAGAGGCACGCGGAGTTCATTGCTTCAAAAGGTGACGATGCCTGACTCCTCTAGAATACTTATAGGAATCCCAAAATCCCTGTGGCTACTGGAAAGGGTCCTTGGGTGCCCTGGCTCACCTCGAGAAGCGTCCCTTTTGACCTGCCAAGCCTCGAAGAGATTCCTGAGGTGTCCCTGGTTACTAGACAGGAGTCCTGACGTCACTGAAGAAACTCGTGTTTTGAAGGGCCATCCCCGCCGTAAGTCGAGAACATAACCCAGGTCCCCGCCGCAACTCGAGAAAAACCATGAGACTTCCCCCTAGAGGCGAGATGAGGCCCCATTCCCCTGCAGTGCATGCAGAGCTATTCCGTGATCCCATTCAAACAAGTCAGGAGCTTCGACTTGCTTAATGGATCTCGAGACAGTCCCCAAGAACACTGTCACCAGTCTAGACGGACCCTGAGGTCACCCCAGCAACGCAAAGCTGCTCCATGTGCCCCAAATCAACTCGAGATGAGGCCCGATTCCCCTGCATTGACTCCAGAGCCATTCCCCGTTCCCCATTCAACACGACCGGTGGCTCGACTTCCTTCAGGCAACTGCAGAGATGCCCCGAGAACACTGCCCCAAGTCTAGAGGAACACCAACTTCAGCACAGCAACTCGAGGAATGCTCCGTGTACCCCAAATCATCTCGAGATGAGAGCTGATTCTCTGGCTTAGGCTCAAGACGTATGCCAACTTTCCAGAAGCACCTCAGGAGGACGCTTCTCTCAGCAATAGGTATGTGGGAGCGACCCCGAGTTTGCTGCCTCAAGGGGAATACACAGGGAGAAGCCCTAACTTGAACGGAGGCCAGATTTCCTTGCAGTGGGTTGAATAAAGGCTCGTCTTCGATCTGAAAACATGAAGGGATGTCTGAATCCCCTGTGGAGACCTTAGAGGAAGCCCTAGGTCCCTGCCTCATTTTGACGGAATACCTCACATCCCCCTGACACCTCGAGAGGCACGCAGAGTTCATTGCTTCAAAAGGTGACGATGCCTGACTCCTCTTGAATACTTATAGGAATCCCAAAATCCCTGTTGCTACTGGAAAGGGTCCTTGGGTGCCCTGGCTCACCTCGAGAAGCGTCCCTTTTGCCCTGCCAAGCCTCGAAGAAATTGCTGAGGTGTCCCTCGTTACTAGACAGGAGTCCTGACGTCACCGAAGAAACTCGTGTTTTGAAGGGCCATCCCCACCGTAAGTCGAGAACATACCCCAGGTCCCCGCCGCAACTCGAGAAAAACCATGAGACTTCCCCCTAGAGGCGAGATGAGGCCACATTCCCCTGCAGTGCATGCAGAGCTATTCCGTGATCCCATTCAAACAAGTCAGGAGCTTCGACTTGCTTAATGGATCTCGAGACAGTCCCCAAGAACACTGTCACCAGTCTAGACGGACCCTGAGGTCACCACAGCAACGCAAAGCAGCTCCATGTGCCCCAAATCAACTCGAGATGAGGCCCGATTCCCCTGCATTGACCCCAGAGCCATTCCCCGTTCCCCGTTCAACACGAAGGGAGGCTCGCCTTCCTTCAGGCAACTCCAGAGATGCCCCGAGAACACTGTCCCAAGTCTAGAGGAACACCAACTTCAGCACAGCAACTCGAGGAATGCTCTGTGTACCCCAAATCGTCTCGAGATGAGAGCTGATTCCCTGGCTTAGGCTCAAGACGTATGCCACCTTTCCAGAAGCACCTCAGGAGGAGGCTTCTCTCAGCAATAGGTATGTGGGAGTGACCCTGAGTTTGCTGCCTCAAGGGGAATATACAGCGAGAAGCCCTAACTTGAAAGGAGGCCGGATTTCCTTGCAGTGGCTTGAATACATTCTCGTCTTTCATCTCACAACATGAAGGGATGTCTGAATCCCCTGTGGAGACCTTAGAGAAAGCCCTAGGTCCCTGCCTCATTTTGACGGAATCCTCACATCCCGCTGACACCTCGAGAGGCACGCGGAGTTCATTGCTTCAAAAGGTGACGATGCCTGACTCCTCTTGAATACTGATAGGAATCCCAAAATCCCTGTGGCTACTGGAAAGGGTCCTTGGGTGCCCTGGCTCACCTCGAGAAGCGTCCCTTTTGCCCTGCCAAGCCTCGAAGAGATTCCTGAGGTGTCCCTCGTTACTAGGCAGGAGTCCTGACGTCACTGGAGAAACTCGTGTTTTGAAGGACCATCCCCGCCGTAAGTCGAGAACATACCCCAGGGCCCTGCCGCAACTCGAGAAAAACCGTGAGACTTCCCCCTAGAGGCGAGATGAGGCCCCATTCCCCTGCAGTGCATGCAGAGCTATTCCGTGATCCCATTCAAACAAGTCAGGAGCTTCGACTTGCTTAATGGATCTCGAGACAGTCCCCAAGAACACTGTCACCAGTCTAGACGGACCCTGAGGTCACCCCAGCAACGCAAAGCTGCTCCATGTGCCCCAAATCAACTCGAGATGAGGCACGATTCCCCTGCATTGACTCCAGAGCCATTCCCCGTTCCCCATTCAACATGACCGGTGGCTCGACTTCCTTCAGGCAACTCCAGAGATGCCTCGAGAGCACTATCCCAAGTCTAGAGGACCACCAACTTCAGCAGAGCAACTCGAGGAATGCTCTGTGTACCCCAAATCGTCTCGAGATGAGAGCTGATTCCCTGGCTTAGGCTCAAGACGTATGCCACCTTTCCAGAAGCACCTCAGGAGGAGGCTTCTCTCAGCAATAGGTATGTGGGAGGGACCCCGAGTTTGCTGCCTCAAGGGGAATATACAGCGAGAAGCCCTAACTTGAAAGGAGGCCGGATTTCCTTGCAGTGGCTTGAATACAGGCTCGTCTTTCATCTCACAACATGAAGGGATGTCTGAATCCCCTGTGGAGACCTTAGAGAAAGCCCTAGGTCCCTGCCTCATTTTGACGGAATCCTCACATCCCGCTGACACCTCGAGAGGCACGCGGAGTTCATTGCTTCAAAAGGTGACGATGCCTGACTCCTCTTGAATACTGATAGGAATCCCAAAATCCCTGTGGCTACTGGAAAGGGTCCTTGGTTGCCCTGGCTCACCTCGAGAAGCGTCCCTTTTGCCCTGCCAAGCCTCGAAGAGATTGCTGAGGTGTCCCTCGTTACTAGACAGGAGTCCTGACGTCACTGAAGAAACTCGTGTTTTGAAGGGCCATCCCCGCCGTAAGTCGAGAACATACCCCAGGTCCCTGCCGCAACTCGAGAAAAACCATGAGACTTCCCCCTAGAGGCGAGATGAGGCCCCATTCCCCTGCAGTGCATGCAGAGCTATTCCGTGATCCCATTCAAACAAGTCAGGAGCTTCGACTTGCTTAATGGATCTCGAGACAGTCCCCAAGAACACTGTCACCAGTCTAGACGGACCCTGAGGTCACCCCAGCAACACAAAGCTGCTCTATGTGCCCCAAATCAACTCGAGATGAGGCCCGATTCTCCTGCATTGACTCCAGAGCCATTCCCCGTTCCCCATTCAACACGACCGGTGGCTCGACTTCCTTCAGGCAACTGCAGAGATGCCCCGAGAACACTGCCCCAAGTCTAGAGGAACACCAACTTAAGCACAGCAACTCGAGGAATGCTCCGTGTACCCCAAATCATCTCGAGATGAGAGCTGATTCTCTGGCTTAGGCTCAAGACGTATGCCAACTTTCCAGAAGCACCTCAGGAGGAGGCTTCTCTCAGCAATAGGTATGTGGGAGCGACCCCGAGTTTGCTGCCTCAAGGGGAATACACAGGGAGAAGCCCTAACGTGAACGGAGGCCAGATTTCCTTGCAGTGGGTTGAATAAAGGCTCGTCTTCGGTCTGAAAACATGAAGGGATGTCTGAATCCCCTGTGGAGACCTTAGAGGAAGCCCTAGGTCCCTGCCTCATTTTGACGGAATACCTCATATCCCCCTGACACCTCGAGAGGCACGCAGAGTTCATTGCTTCAAAAGGTGACGATGCCTGACTCCTCTTGAATACTTATAGGAATCCCAAAATCCCTGTTGCTACTGGAAAGGGTCCTTGGGTGCCCTGGCTCACCTCGAGAAGCGTCCCTTTTGCCCTGCCAAGCCTCGAAGAAATTGCTGAGGTGTCCCTCGTTACTAGACAGGAGTCCTGACGTCACCGAAGAAACTCGTGTTTTGAAGGGCCATCCCCACCGTAAGTCGAGAACATACCCCAGGTCCCCGCCGCAACTCGAGAAAAACCATGAGACTTCCCCCTAGAGGCGAGATGAGGCCACATTCCCCTGCAGTGCATGCAGAGCTATTCCGTGATCCCATTCAAACAAGTCAGGAGCTTCGACTTGCTTAATGGATCTCGAGACAGTCCCCAAGAACACTGTCACCAGTCTAGACGGACCCTGAGGTCACCACAGCAACGCAAAGCAGCTCCATGTGCCCCAAATCAACTCGAGATGAGGCCCGATTCCCCTGCATTGACCCCAGAGCCATTCCCCGTTCCCCGTTCAACATGAAGGGAGGCTCGCCTTCCTTCAGGCAACTCCAGAGATGCCCCGAGAACACTGTCCCAAGTCTAGAGGAACACCAACTTCAGCACAGCAACTCGAGGAATGCTCTGTGTACCCCAAATCGTCTCGAGATGAGAGCTGATTCCCTGGCTTAGGCTCAAGACGTATGCCACCTTTCCAGAAGCACCTCAGGAGGAGGCTTCTCTCAGCAATAGGTATGTGGGAGGGACCCCGAGTTTGCTGCCTCAAGGGGAATATACAGCGAGAAGCCCTAACTTGAAAGGAGGCCGGATTTCCTTGCAGTGGCTTGAATACAGGCTCGTCTTTCATCTCACAACATGAAGGGATGTCTGAATCCCCTGTGGAGACCTTAGAGAAAGCCCTAGGTCCCTGCCTCATTTTGACGGAATCCTCACATCCCGCTGACACCTCGAGAGGCACGCGGAGTTCATTGCTTCAAAAGGTGACGATGCCTGACTCCTCTTGAATACTGATAGGAATCCCAAAATCCCTGTGGCTACTGGAAAGGGTCCTTGGGTGCCCTGGCTCACCTCGAGAAGCGTCCCTTTTGCCCTGCCAAGCCTCGAAGAGATTCCTGAGGTGTCCCTCGTTACTAGGCAGGAGTCCTGACGTCACTGGAGAAACTCGTGTTTTGAAGGGCCATCCCCGCCGTAAGTCGAGAACATACCCCAGGGCCCTGCCGCAACTCGAGAAAAACCGTGAGACTTCCCCCTAGAGGCGAGATGAGGCCCCATTCCCCTGCAGTGCATGCAGAGCTATTCCGTGATCCCATTCAAACAAGTCAGGAGCTTCGACTTGCTTAATGGATCTCGAGACAGTCCCCAAGAACACTGTCACCAGTCTAGACGGACCCTGAGGTCACCCCAGCAACGCAAAGCTGCTCCATGTGCCCCAAATCAACTCGAGATGAGGCCCGATTCCCCTGCATTGACTCCAGAGCCATTCCCCGTTCCCCATTCAACATGACCGGTGGCTCGACTTCCTTCAGGCAACTCCAGAGATGCCTCGAGAGCACTATCCCAAGTCTAGAGGACCACCAACTTCAGCATAGCAACTCGAGGAATGCTCTGTGTACCCCAAATCGTCTCGAGATGAGAGCTGATTCCCTGGCTTAGGCTCAAGACGTATGCCACCTTTCCAGAAGCACCTCAGGAGGAGGCTTCTCTCAGCAATAGGTATGTGGGAGGGACCCCGAGTTTGCTGCCTCAAGGGGAATATACAGCGAGAAGCCCTAACTTGAAAGGAGGCCGGATTTCCTTGCAGTGGCTTGAATACAGGCTCGTCTTTCATCTCACAACATGAAGGGATGTCTGAATCCCCTGTGGAGACCTTAGAGAAAGCCCTAGGTCCCTGCCTCATTTTGACGGAATCCTCACATCCCGCTGACACCTCGAGAGGCACGCGGAGTTCATTGCTTCAAAAGGTGACGATGCCTGACTCCTCTTGAATACTTATAGGAATCCCAAAATCCCTGTGGCTACTGGAAAGGGTCCTTGGGTGCCCTGGCTCACCTCGAGAAGCGTCCCTTTTGCCCTGCCAAGCCTCGAAGAGATTGCTGAGGTGTCCCTCGTTACTAGACAGGAGTCCTGACGTCACTGAAGAAACTCGTGTTTTGAAGGGCCATCCCCGCCGTAAGTCGAGAACATACCCCAGGTCCCCGCCGCAACTCGAGAAAAACCATGAGACTTCCCCCTAGAGGCGAGATGAGGCCCCATTCCCCTGCAGTGCATGCAGAGCTATTCCGTGATCCCATTCAAACAAGTCAGGAGCTTCGACTTGCTTAATGGATCTCGAGGCAGTCCCCAAGAACACTGTCACCAGTCTAGAGGGACCCTGAAGTCACCCAGCAATGCAAAGCAGCTCCATGTGCCCCAAATCAACTCGAGATGAGGCCGGATTCCCCTGCATTGACTCCAGAGCCATTCCTTGTTCCCCATTCAACACGACCGGTGGCTCGACTTCTTTCAGGCAACTCCAGAGATGCCCCGAGAACACTGTCCCAAGTCTAGAGGACCACCAACTTCCTCACAGCAACTCGAGAAATGCTCTGTGTACCCCAAATCGTCTCGAGATGAGAGCTGATTCCCTGGCTTAGGCTCAAGACGTATGCCACCTTTCCAGAAGCACCTCAGGAGGAGGCTTCTCTCAGCAATAGGTATGTGGGAGGGACCCCGAGTTTGCTGCCTCAAGGGGAATATACAGCGAGAAGCCCTAACTTGAAAGGAGGCCGGATTTCCTTGCAGTGGCTTGAATACAGGCTCGTCTTTCATCTCACAACATGAAGGGATGTCTGAATCCCCTGTGGAGACCTTAGAGAAAGCCCTAGGTCCCTGCCTCATTTTGACGGAATCCTCATATCCCGCTGACACCTCGAGAGGCACGCGGAGTTCATTGCTTCAAAAGGTGACGATGCCTGACTCCTCTTAAATACTGATAGGAATCCCAAAATCACTGTAGCTACTGGAAAGGGTCCTTGGGTGCCCTGGCTCACCTCGAGAAGCGTCCCTTTTGCCCTGCCAAGCCTCGAAGAGATTGCTGAGGTGTCCCTCGTTACTAGACAGGAGTCCTGACGTCACGGAAGAAACTCGTGTTTTGAAGGGCCATCCCCGCCGTAAGTCGAGAACATACCCCAGGTCCCCGCCGCAACTCGAGAAAAACCATGAGACTTCCCCCTAGAGGCGAGATGAGGCCCCATTCCCCTGCAGTGCATGCAGAGCTATTCCGTGATCCCATTCAAACAAGTCAGGAGCTTCGACTTGCTTAATGGATCTCGAGACAGTCCCCAAGAACACTGTCACCAGTCTAGACGGACCCTGAGGTCACCCAGCAAAGCAAAGCAGCTCCATGTGCCCCAAATCAACTCGAGATGAGGCCGGATTCCCCTGCATTGACTCCAGAGCCATTCCTTGTTCCCCATTCAACACGACCGGTGGCTCGACTTCCTTCAGGCAACTCCAGAGATGCCCGAGAACACTGTCCCAAGTCTAGTGGAACACCAACTTCAGCACAGCAACTCGAGGAATGCTCTGTGTACCCCAAATCGTCTCGAGATGAGAGCTGATTCCCTGGCTTAGGCTCAAGACGTATGCCACCTTTCCAGAAACACCTGAGGAGGAGGCTTCTCTCAGCAATAGGTATGTGGGAGGGACCCCGAGTTTGCTGCCTCAAGGGGAATATACAGCGAGAAGTCCTAACTTGAAAGGAGGCCGGATTTCCTTGCAGTGGCTTGAATACCGGCTCGTCTTTCATCTCACAACATGAAGGGATGTCTGAATCCCCTGTGGAGACCTTAGAGAAAGCCCTAGGTCCCTGCCTCATTTTGACGGAATCCTCACATCCCGCTGACACCTCGAGAGGCACGCGGAGTTCATTGCTTCAAAAGGTGACGATGCCTGACTCCTCTTGAATACTTATAGGAATCCCAAAATCCCTGTGGCTACTGGAAAGGGTCCTTGGGTGCCCTGGCTCACCTCGAGAAGCGTCCCTTTTGCCCTGCCAAGCCTCGAAGAGTTTGCTGAGGTGTCCCTCGGTACTAGACAGGAGTCCTGACGTCACTGAAGAAACTCGTGTTTTGAAGGGCCATCCCCGCCGTAAGTCGAGAACATACCCCAGGTCCCCGCCGCAACTCGAGAAAAACCATGAGACTTCCCCCTAGAGGCGAGATGAGGCCCCATTCCCCTGCAGTGCATGCAGAGCTATTCCGTGATCCCATTCAAACAAGTCAGGAGCTTCGACTTGCTTAATGGATCTCGAGACAGTCCCCAAGAACACTGTCACCAATCTAGACGGACCCTGAGGTCACCCCAGCAATGCAAAGCAGCTCCATGTGCCCCAAATCAACTCGAGATGAGGCCCGATTCCCCTGCATTGACTCCAGAGCCATTCCCCGTTCCCCATTCAACACGACTGGTGGCTCGCTTTCCTTCAGGCAACTCCAGAGATGCCCCGAGAACACTGTCCCAAGTCTAGAGGAACACCAACTTCAGCACAGCAACTCGAGGAATGCTCTGTGTACCCCAAATCGTCTCGAGATGAGAGCTGATTCCCTGGCTTAGGCTCAAGACGTATGCCAACTTTCCAGAAGCACCTCAGGAGGAGGCTTCTCAGCAATAGGTATGTGGGAGGGACTCCGAGTTTGCTGCCTCAAGGGGAATATACAGCGAGAAGCCCTAACTTGAAAGGAGGCCGGATTTCCTTGCAGTAGCTTGAATACAGGCTTGTCTTTCATCTCACAACATGAAGGGATGTCTGAATCCCCTGTGAAGACCTTAGAGAAAGCCCTAGGACCCTGCCTCATTTTGACGGAATGCCTCACATCCCGCTGACAACTCGAGAGGCACGCGGAGTTCATTGCTTCAAAAGGTGACGATGCCTGACTCCTCTTGAATACTGATAGGAATCCCAAAATCCCTGTGGCTACTGGAAAGGTTCCTTGGGTGCCCTGGCTCACCTCGAGAAGCGTCCCTTTTGCCCTGCCAAGCCTCGAAGAGATTCCTGAGGTGTCCCTCGTTACTAGACAGGAGTCCTGACGTCACTGAAGAAACTCGTGTTTTGAAGGGCCATCCCCGCCGTAAGTCGAGAACATACCCCAGGTCCCCGCCGCAACTCGAGAAAAACCATGAGACTTCCCCCTAGAGGCGAGATGAGGCCCCATTCCCCTGCAGTGCATGCAGAGCTATTCCATGATCCCATTCAAACAAGTCAGGAGCTTCGACTTGCTTAATGGATCTCGAGACAGTCCCCAAGAACACTGTCACCAGTCTAGACGGACCCTGAGGTCACCCCAGCAACGCAAAGCTGCTCTATGTGCCCCAAATCAACTCGAGATGAGGCCCGATTCCCCTGCATTGACCCCAGAGCCATTCCCCGTTCCCCGTTCAACATGAAGGGAGGCTCGCCTTCCTTCAGGCAACTCCAGAGATGCCCCGAGAACACTGTCCCAAGTCTAGAGGAACACCAACTTCAGCACAGCAACTCGAGGAATGCTCTGTGTACCCCAAATCGTCTCGAGATGAGAGCTGATTCCCTGGCTTAGGCTCAAGACGTATGCCACCTTTCCAGAAGCACCTCAGGAGGAGGCTTCTCTCAGCAATAGGTATGTGGAAGGGACCCCGAGTTTGCTGCCTCAAGGGGAATATACAGCGAGAAGCCCTAACTTGAAAGGAGGCCGGATTTCCTTGCAGTGGCTTGAATACAGGCTCGTCTTTCATCTCACAACATGAAGGGATGTCTGAATCCCCTGTGGAGACCTTAGAGAAAGCCCTAGGTCCCTGCCTCCTTTTGACGGAATCCTCACATCCCGCTGACACCTCGAGAGGCACGCGGAGTTCATTGCTTCAAAAGGTGACGATGCCTGACTCCTCTTGAATACTGATAGGAATCCCAAAATCCCTGTGGCTACTGGAAAGGGTCCTTGGGTGCCCTGGCTCACCTCGAGAAGCGTCCCTTTTGCCCTGCCAAGCCTCGAAGAGATTCCTGAGGTGTCCCTCGTTACTAGGCAGGAGTCCTGACGTCACTGGAGAAACTCGTGTTTTGAAGGGCCATCCCCGCCGTAAGTCGAGAACATACCCAGGGCCCTGCCGCAACTCGAGAAAAAACGTGAGACTTCCCCCTAGAGGCGAGATGAGGCCCCATTCCCCTGCAGTGCATGCAGAGCTATTCCGTGATCCCATTCAAACAAGTCAGGAGCTTCGACTTGCTTAATGGATCTCGAGACAGTCCCCAAGAACACTGTCACCAGTCTAGACGGACCCTGAGGTCACCCCAGCAACGCAAAGCTGCTCCATGTGCCCCAAATCAACTCGAGATGAGGCCCGATTCCCCTGCATTGACTCCAGAGCCATTCCCCGTTCCCCATTCAACATGACCGGTGGCTCGACTTCCTTCAGGCAACTCCAGAGATGCCTCGAGAGCACTATCCCAAGTCTAGAGGACCACCAACTTCAGCAGAGCAACTCGAGGAATGCTCTGTGTACCCCAAATCGTCTCGAGATGAGAGCTGATTCCCTGGCTTAGGCTCAAGACGTATGCCACCTTTCCAGAAGCACCTCAGGAGGAGGCTTCTCTCAGCAATAGGTATGTGGGAGGGACCCCGAGTTTGCTGCCTCAAGGGGAATATACAGCGAGAAGCCCTAACTTGAAAGGAGGCCGGATTTCCTTGCAGTGGCTTGAATACAGGCTCGTCTTTCATCTCACAACATGAAGGGATGTCTGAATCCCCTGTGGAGACCTTAGAGAAAGCCCTAGGTCCCTGCCTCATTTTGACGGAATCCTCACATCCCGCTGACACCTCGAGAGGCACGCGGAGTTCATTGCTTCAAAAGGTGACGATGCCTGACTCCTCTTGAATACTTATAGGAATCCCAAAATCCCTGTGGCTACTGGAAAGGGTCCTTGGGTGCCCTGGCTCACCTCGAGAAGCGTCCCTTTTGCCCTGCCAAGCCTCGAAGAGATTGCTGACGTGTCCCTCGTTACTAGACAGGAGTCCTGACGTCACTGAAGAAACTCGTGTTTTGAAGGGCCATCCCCGCCGTAAGTCGAGAACATACCCCAGGTCCCCGCCGCAACTCGAGAAAAACCATGAGACTTCCCCCTAGAGGCGAGATGAGGCCCCATTCCCCTGCAGTGCATGCAGAGCTATTCCGTGATCCCATTCAAACAAGTCAGGAGCTTCGACTTGCTTAATGGATCTCGAGGCAGTCCCCAAGAACACTGTCACCAGTCTAGAGGGACCCTGAAGTCACCCAGCAATGCAAAGCAGCTCCATGTGCCCCAAATCAACTCGAGATGAGGCCGGATTCCCCTGCATTGACTCCAGAGCCATTCCTTGTTCCCCATTCAACACGACCGGTGGCTCGACTTCTTTCAGGCAACTCCAGAGATGCCCCGAGAACACTGTCCCAAGTCTAGAGGACCACCAACTTCCTCACAGCAACTCGAGAAATGCTCTGTGTACCCCAAATCGTCTCGAGATGAGAGCTGATTCCCTGGCTTAGGCTCAAGACGTATGCCACCTTTCCAGAAGCACCTCAGGAGGAGGCTTCTCTCAGCAATAGGTATGTGGGAGGGACCCCGAGTTTGCTGCCTCAAGGGGAATATACAGCGAGAAGCCCTAACTTGAAAGGAGGCCGGATTTCCTTACAGTGGCTTGAATACAGGCTCGTCTTTCATCTCACAACATGAAGGGATGTCTGAATCCCCTGTGGAGACCTTAGAGAAAGCCCTAGGTCCCTGCCTCATTTTGACGGAATCCTCATATCCCGCTGACACCTCGAGAGGCACGCGGAGTACATTGCTTCAAAAGGTGACGATGCCTGACTCCTCTTAAATACTGATAGGAATCCCAAAATCACTGTAGCTACTGGAAAGGGTCCTTGGGTGCCCTGGCTCACCTCGAGAAGCGTCCCTTTTGCCCTGCCAAGCCTCGAAGAGATTGCTGAGGTGTCCCTCGTTACTAGACAGGAGTCCTGACGTCACGGAAGAAACTCGTGTTTTGAAGGGCCATCCCCGCCGTAAGTCGAGAACATACCCCAGGTCCCCGCCGCAACTCGAGAAAAACCATGAGACTTCCCCCTAGAGGCGAGATGAGGCCCCATTCCCCTGCAGTGCATGCAGAGCTATTCCGTGATCCCATTCAAACAAGTCAGGAGCTTCGACTTGCTTAATGGATCTCGAGACAGTCCCCAAGAACACTGTCACCAGTCTAGACGGACCCTGAGGTCACCCAGCAATGCAAAGCAGCTCCATGTGCCCCAAATCAACTCGAGATGAGGCCGGATTCCCCTGCATTGACTCCAGAGCCATTCCTTTTTCCCCATTCAACACGACCGGTGGCTCGACTTCCTTCAGGCAACTCCAGAGATGCCCGAGAACACTGTCCCAAGTCTAGTGGAACACCAACTTCAGCACAGCAACTCGAGGAATGCTCTGTGTACCCCAAATCGTCTCGAGATGAGAGCTGATTCCCTGGCTTAGGCTCAAGACGTATGCCACCTTTCCAGAAACACCTGAGGAGGAGGCTTCTCTCAGCAATAGGTATGTGGGAGGGACCCCGAGTTTGCTGCCTCAAGGGGAATATACAGCGAGAAGTCCTAACTTGAAAGGAGGCCGGATTTCCTTGCAGTGGCTTGAATACCGGCTCGTCTTTCATCTCACAACATGAAGGGATGTCTGAATCCCCTGTGGAGACCTTAGAGAAAGCCCTAGGTCCCTGCCTCATTTTGACGGAATCCTCACATCCCGCTGACACCTCGAGAGGCACGCGGAGTTCATTGCTTCAAAAGGTGACGATGCCTGACTCCTCTTGAATACTTATAGGAATCCCAAAATCCCTGTGGCTACTGGAAAGGGTCCTTGGGTGCCCTGGCTCACCTCGAGAAGCGTCCCTTTTGCCCTGCCAAGCCTCGAAGAGTTTGCTGAGGTGTCCCTCGGTACTAGACAGGAGTCCTGACGTCACTGAAGAAACTCGTGTTTTGAAGGGCCATCCCCGCCGTAAGTCGAGAACATACCCCAGGTCCCCGCCGCAACTCGAGAAAAACCATGAGACTTCCCCCTAGAGGCGAGATGAGGCCCCATTCCCCTGCAGTGCATGCAGAGCTATTCCGTGATCCCATTCAAACAAGTCAGGAGCTTCGACTTGCTTAATGGATCTCGAGACAGTCCCCAAGAACACTGTCACCAATCTAGACGGACCCTGAGGTCACCCCTGCAATGCAAAGCAGCTCCATGTGCCCCAAATCAACTCGAGATGAGGCCCGATTCCCCTGCATTGACTCCAGAGCCATTCCCCGTTCCCCATTCAACACGACTGGTGGCTCGCTTTCCTTCAGGCAACTCCAGAGATGCCCCGAGAACACTGTCCCAAGTCTAGAGGAACACCAACTTCAGCACAGCAACTCGAGGAATGCTCTGTGTACCCCAAATCGTCTCGAGATGAGAGCTGATTCCCTGGCTTAGGCTCAAGACGTATGCCAACTTTCCAGAAGCACCTCAGGAGGAGGCTTCTCAGCAATAGGTATGTGGGAGGGACTCCGAGTTTGCTGCCTCAAGGGGAATATACAGCGAGAAGCCCTAACTTGAAAGGAGGCCGGATTTCCTTGCAGTAGCTTGAATACAGGCTTGTCTTTCATCTCACAACATGAAGGGATGTCTGAATCCCCTGTGAAGACCTTAGAGAAAGCCCTAGGACCCTGCCTCATTTTGACGGAATGCCTCACATCCCGCTGACAACTCGAGAGGCAAGCGGAGTTCATTGCTTCAAAAGGTGACGATGCCTGACTCCTCTTGAATACTGATAGGAATCCCAAAATCCCTGTGGCTACTGGAAAGGTTCCTTGGGTGCCCTGGCTCACCTCGAGAAGCGTCCCTTTTGCCCTGCCAAGCCTCGAAGAGATTCCTGAGGTGTCCCTCGTTACTAGACAGGAGTCCTGACGTCACTGAAGAAACTCGTGTTTTGAAGGGCCATCCCCGCCGTAAGTCGAGAACATACCCCAGGTCCCCGCCGCAACTCGAGAAAAACCATGAGACTTCCCCCTAGAGGCGAGATGAGGCCCCATTCCCCTGCAGTGCATGCAGAGCTATTCCGTGATCCCATTCAAACAAGTCAGGAGCTTCGACTTGCTTAATGGATCTCGAGACAGTCCCCAAGAACACTGTCACCAGTCTAGACGGACCCTGAGGTCACCCCAGCAACGCAAAGCTGCTCTATGTGCCCCAAATCAACTCGAGATGAGGCCCGATTCCCCTGCATTGACTCCAGAGCCATTCCCCGTTCCCCATTCAACACGACCGGTGGCTCGACTTCCTTCAGGCAACTGCAGGGATGCCCCGAGAACACTGCCCCAAGTCTAGAGGAACACCAACTTCAGCACAGCAACTCGAGGAATGCTCCGTGTACCCCAAATCATCTCGAGATGAGAGCTGATTCTCTGGCTTAGGCTCAAGACGTATGCCAACTTTCCAGAAGCACCTCAGGAGGAGGCTTCTCTCAGCAATAGGTATGTGGGAGCGACCCCGAGTTTGCTGCCTCAAGGGGAATACACAGGGAGAAGCCCTAACGTGAACGGAGGCCAGATTTCCTTGCAGTGGGTTGAATAAAGGCTCGTCTTCGATCTGAAAACATGAAGGGATGTCTGAATTCCCTGTGGACACCTTAGAGGAAGCCCTAGGTCCCTGCCTCATTTTGACGGAATACCTCACATCCCCCTGACACCTCGAGAGGCACGCAGAGTTCATTGCTTCAAAAGGTGACGATGCCTGACTCCTCTTGAATACTTATAGGAATCCCAAAATCCCTGTAGCTACTGGAAAGGGTCCTTGGGTGCCCTGGCTCACCTCGAGAAGCGTCCCTTTTGCCCTGCCAAGCCTCGAAGAAATTGCTGAGGTGTCCCTCGTTACTAGACAGGAGTCCTGACGTCACGGAAGAAACTCGAGTTTTGAAGGGCCATCCCCTCCGTAAGTCGAGAACATACCCCAGGTCCCCGCCGCAACTCGAGAAAAACCATGAGACTTCCCCCTAGAGGCGAGATGAGGCCCCATTCCCCTGCAGTGCATGCAGAGCTATTCCGTGATCCCATTCAAACAAGTCAGGAGCTTCGACTTACTTAATGGATCTCGAGACAGTCCCCAAGAACACTGTCACCAGTCTAGACGGACCCTGAGGTCACCACAGCAACGCAAAGTAGCTCCATGTGCCCCAAATCAACTCGAGATGAGGCCCGATTCCCCTGCATTGACTCCAGAGCCATTCCCCGTTCCCCGTTCAACACGAACGGAGGCTCGCCTTCCTTCAGGCAACTCCAGAGATGCCCCGAGAACACTGTCCCAAGTCTAGAGGAACACCAACTTCAGCACAGCAACTCGAGGAATGCTCTGTGTACCCCAAATCGTCTCGAGATGAGAGCTGATTCCCTGGCTTAGGCTCAAGACGTATGCCAACTTTCCAGAAGCACCTCAGGAGGAGGCTTCTCAGCAATAGGTATGTGGGAGGGACTCCGAGTTTGCTGCCTCAAGGGGAATATACAGCGAGAAGCCCTAACTTGAAAGGAGGCCGGATTTCCCTGCAGTGGCTTGAATACAGGCTCGTCTTTCATCTCACAACATGAAGGGATGTCTGAATCCCCTGTGGAGACCTTAGAGAAAGCCCTAGGTCACTGCCTCATTTTGACGGAATGCCTCACATCCCGCTGACACCTCGAGAGGCACGCGGAGTTCATTGCTTCAAAAGGTGACGATGCCTGACTCCTCTTGAATACTGATAGGAATCCCAAAATCATTGTGGCTACTGGAAAGGGTCCTTGGGTGCCCTGCCTCACCTCGAGAAGCGTCCCTTTTGCCCTGCCAAGCCTCGAAGAGATTGCTGAGGTGTCCCTCGTTACTAGACAGGAGTCCTGACGTCACTGAAGAAACTCGTGTTTTGAAGGGCCATCCCCGCCGTAAGTCGAGAACATACCCCAGGTCCCTGCCGCAACTCGAGAAAAACCATGAGACTTCCCCCTAGAGGCGAGATGAGGCCCCATTCCCCTGCAGTGCATGCAGAGCTATTCCGTGATCCCATTCAAACAAGTCAGGAGCTTCGACTTGCTTAATGGATCTCGAGACAGTCCCCAAGAACACTGTCACCAGTCTAGACGGACCCTGAGGTCACCCATCAATGCAAAGCAGCTCCATGTGCCCCAAATCAACTCGAGATGAGGCCCGATTCCCCTGCATTGACTCCAGAGCCATTCCCCGTTTACCATTCAACACGACCTGTGGCTCGACTTCCTTCAGGCAACTCCAGGGATGCCCCGAGAACACTGTCCCAAGTCTAGAGGAACACCAACTTCAGCACAGCAACTCGAGGAATGCTCTGTGTACCCCAAATCGTCTCGAGATGAGAGCTGATTCCCTGGCTTAGGCTCAAGACGTATGCCACCTTTCCAGAAGCACCTCAGGAGGAGGTTTCTCTCAGCAATAGGTATGTGGGAGGGACCCCGAGTTTGCTGCCTCAAGGGTAATATACAGCGAGAAGCCCTAACTTGAAAGGAGGCCGGATTTCCTTGCAGTGGCTTGAATACAGGCTCGTCTTTGATCTGACAACATGAAGGGATGTCTGAATCCCCTGTGGAGACCTTAGAGAAAGCCCTAGGTCCCTGCCTCATTTTGACGGAATGCCTCACATCCCGCTGACACCTCGAGAGGCACGCGGAGTTCATTGCTTCAAAAGGTGACGATGCCTGACTCCTCTTGAATACTGATAGGAATCCCAAAATCCCTGTGGCTACTGGAAAGGGTCCTTGGGTGCCCTGGCTCACCTCGAGAAGCGTCCCTTTTGCCCTGCCAAGCCTCGAAGAGATTCCTGAGGTGTCCCTCGTTACTAGGCAGGAGTCCTGACGTCACTGGAGAAACTCGTGTTTTGAAGGGCCATCCCCGCCGTAAGTCGAGAACATACCCCAGGGCCCTGCCGCAACTCGAGAAAAACCGTGAGACTTCCCCCTAGAGGCGAGATGAGGCCCCATTCCCCTGCAGTGCATGCAGAGCTATTCCGTGATCCCATTCAAACAAGTCAGGAGCTTCGACTTGCTTAATGGATCTCGAGACAGTCCCCAAGAACACTGTCACCAGTCTAGACGGACCCTGAGGTCACCCAGCAATGCAAAGCAGCTCCATGTGCCCCAAATCAACTCGAGATGAGGCCGGATTCCCCTGCATTGACTCCAGAGCCATTCCTTGTTCCCCATTCAACATGACCGGTGGCTCGACTTCCTTCAGGCAACTCCAGAGATGCCCCTAGAGCACTATCCCAAGTCTAGAGGACCACCAACTTCAGCAGAGCAACTCGAGGAATGCTCTGTGTACCCCAAATCGTCTCGAGATGAGAGCTGATTCCCTGGCTTAGGCTCAAGACGTATGCCACCTTTCCAGAAACACCTCAGGAGGAGGCTTCTCTCAGCAATAGGTATGTGGGAGGGACCCCGAGTTTGCTGCCTCAAGGGGAATATGCAGCGAGAAGCCCTAACTTGAAAGAAGGCCGGATTTCCTTGCAGTGGCTTGAATACAGGCTCGTCTTTCATCTCACAACATGAAGGGATGTCTGAATCCCCTGTGGAGACCTTAGAGAAAGCCCTAGGTCCCTGCCTCATTTTGACGGAATCCTCACATCCCGCTGACACCTCGAGAGGCACGCGGAGTTCATTGCTTCAAAAGGTAACGATGCCTGACTCCTCTTGAATACTGATAGGAATCCCAAAATCCCTGTGGCTACTGGAAAGGGTCCTTGGGTGCCCTGGCTCACCTCGAGAAGCGTCCCTTTTGCCCTGCCAAGCCTCGAAGAGATTGCTGACGTGTCCCTCGTTACTAGACAGGAGTCCTGACGTCACGGAAGAAACTCGTGTTTTGAAGGGCCATCCCCGCGGTAAGTCGAGAACATACCCCAGGTCCCCGCCGCAACGCGAGAAAAACCATGAGACTTCCCCCTAGAGGCGAGATGAGGCCCCATTCCCCTGCAGTGCATGCAGAGCTATTCCGTGATCCCATTCAAACAAGTCAGGAGCTTCGACTTGCTTAATGGATCTCGAGGCAGTCCCCAAGAACACTGTCACCAGTCTAGACGGACCCTGAGGTCACCCAGCATTGCAAAGCAGCTCCATGTGCCCCAAATCAACTCGAGATGAGGCCGGATTCCACTGCATTGACTCCAGAGCCATTCCTTGTTCCCCATTCAACACGACCGGTGGCTCGATTTCTTTCAGGCAACTCCAGAGATGCCCCGAGAACACTGTCCCAAGTCTAGAGGACCACCAACTTCAGCACAGCAACTCGAGAAATGCTCTGTGTACCCCAAATCGTCTCGAGATGAGAGCTGATTCCCTGGCTTAGGCTCAAGACGTATGCCACCTTTCCAGAAGCACCTCAGGAGGAGGCTTCTCTCAGCAATAGGTATGTGGGAGGGACCCCGAGTTTGCTGCCTCAAGGGGAATATACAGCGAGAAGCCCTAACTTGAAAGGAGGCCGGATTTCCTTGCAGTGGCTTGAATACAGGCTCGTCTTTCATCTCACAACATGAAGGGATGTCTGAATCCCCTGTGGAGACCTTAGAGAAAGCCCTAGGTCCCTGCCTCATTTTGACGGAATCCTCATATCCTGCTGAAACCTCGAGAGGCACGCGGAGTTCATTGCTTCAAAAGGTGACGATGCCTGACTCCTCTTGAATACTTATAGGAATCCCAAATCCCTGTAGCTACTGGAAAGGGTCCTTGGGTGCCCTGGCTCACCTCGAGAAGCGTCCCTTTTGCCCTGCCAAGCCTCGAAGAGATTGCTGAGGTGTCCCTCGTTACTAGACAGGAGTCCTGACGTCACGGAAGAAACTCGTGTTTTGAAGGGCCATCCCCGCCGTAAGTCGAGAACATACCCCAGGTCCCCGCCGCAACTCGAGAAAAACCATGAGACTTCCCCCTAGAGGCGAGATGAGGCCCCATTCCCCTGCAGTGCATGCAGAGCTATTCCGTGATCCCATTCAAACAAGTCAGGAGCTTCGACTTGCTTAATGGATCTCGAGACAGTCCCCAAGAACACTGTCACGAGTCTAGACGGACCCTGAGGTCACCCAGCAATGCAAAGCAGCTCCATGTGCCCCAAATCAACTCGAGATGAGGCCGGATTCCCCTGCATTGACTCCAGAGCCATTCCTTGTTCCCCATTCAACACGACCGGTGGCTCGACGTCCTTCAGGCAACTCCAGAGATGCCCCGAGAACACTGTCCCAAGTCTAGAGGAACACCAACTTCAGCACAGCAACTCGAGGAATGCTCTGTGTACCCCAAATCGTCTCGAGATGAGAGCTGATTCCCTGGCTTAGGCTCAAGACGTATGCCACCTTTCCAGAAACACCTCAGGAGGAGGCTTCTCTCAGCAATAGGTATGTGGGAGGGACCCCGAGTTTGCTGCCTCAAGGGGAATATACAGCGAGAAGTCCTAACTTGAAAGGAGGCCGGATTTCCTTGCAGTGGCTTGAATACCGGCTCGTCTTTCATCTCACAACATGAAGGGATGTCTGAATCCCCTGTGGAGACCTTAGAGAAAGCCCTAGGTCCCTGCCTCATTTTGACGGAATCCTCACATCCCGCTGACACCTCGAGAGGCACGCGGAGTTCATTGCTTCAAAATGTGACGATGCCTGACTCCTCTTGAATACTTATAGGAATCCCAAAATCCCTGTGGCTACTGGAAAGGGTCCTTGGGTGCCCTGGCTCACCTCGAGAAGCGTCCCTTTTGCCCTGCCAAGCCTCGAAGAGATTGCTGAGGTGTCCCTCGTTACTAGACAGGAGTCCTGACGTCACTGAAGAAACTCGTGTTTTGAAGGGCCATCCCTGCCGTAAGTCGAGAACATACCCCAGGTCCCCGCCGCAACTCGAGAAAAACCATGAGACTTCCCCCTAGAGGCGAGATGAGGCCCCATTCCCCTGCAGTGCATGCAGAGCTATTCCGTGATCCCATTCAAACAAGTCAGGAGCTTCGACTTGCTTAATGGATCTCGAGACAGTCCCCAAGAACACTGTCACCAGTCTAGACGGACCCTGAGGTCACCCCAGCAACGCAAAGCTGCTCTATGTGCCCCAAATCAACTCGAGATGAGGCCCGATTCCCCTGCATTGACTCCAGAGCCATTCCCCGTTCCCCATTCAACACGACCGGTGGCTCGACTTCCTTCAGGCAACTGCAGAGATGCCCCGAGAACACTGCCCCAAGTCTAGAGGAACACCAACTTCAGCACAGCAACTCGAGGAATGCTCCGTGTACCCCAAATCATCTCGAGATGAGAGCTGATTCTCTGGCTTAGGCTCAAGACGTATGCCAACTTTCCAGAAGCACCTCAGGAGGAGGCTTCTCTCAGCAATAGGTATGTGGGAGCGACCCCGAGTTTGCTGCCTCAAGGGGAATACACAGGGAGAAGCCCTAACGTGAACGGAGGCCAGATTACCTTGCAGTGGGTTGAATAAAGGCTCGTCTTCGATCTGAAAACATGAAGGGATGTCTGAATTCCCTGTGGAGACCTTAGAGGAAGCCCTAGGTCCCTGCCTCATTTTGACGGAATACCTCACATCCCCCTGACACCTCGAGAGGCACGCAGAGTTCATTGCTTCAAAAGGTGACGATGCCTGACTCCTCTTGAATACTGATAGGAATCCCAAAATCCCTGTTGCTACTGGAAAGGGTCCTTGGGTGCCCTGGCTCACCTCGAGAAGCGTCCCTTTGCCCTGCCAAGCCTCGAAGAAATTGCTGAGGTGTCCCTCGTTACTAGACAGGAGTCCTGACTTCACGGAAGAAACTCGAGTTTTGAAGGGCCATCCCCGCCGTAAGTCGAGAACATACCCCAGGTCCCCGCCGCAACTCGAGAAAAACCATGAGACTTCCCCCTAGAGGCGAGATGAGGCCCCATTCCCCTGCAGTGCATGCAGAGCTATTCCGTGATCCCATTCAAACAAGTCAGGAGCTTCGACTTGCTTAATGGATCTCGAGACAGTCCCCAAGAACACTGTCACCAGTCTAGACGGACCCTGAGGTCACCACAGCAACGCAAAGCAGCTCCATGTGCCCCAAATCAACTCGAGATGAGGCCCGATTCCCCTGCATTGACTCCAGAGCCATTCCCCGTTCCCCGTTCAACACGAACGGAGGCTCGCCTTCCTTCAGGCAACTCCAGAGATGCCCCGAGAACACTGTCCCAAGTCTAGAGGAACACCAACTTCAGCACAGCAACTCGAGGAATGCTCTGTGTACCCCAAATCGTCTCGAGATGAGAGCTGATTCCCTGGCTTAGGCTCATGACGTATGCCAACTTTCCAGAAGCACCTCAGGAGGAGGCTTCTCAGCAATAGGTATGTGGGAGGGACTCCGAGTTTGCTGCCTCAAGGGGAATACACAGGGAGAAGCCCTAATGTGAACGGAGGCCAGATTTCCTTGCAGTGGCTTGAATACAGGCTCGTCTTTCATCTCACAACATGAAGGGATGTCTGAATCCCCTGTGGAGACCTTAGAGAAAGCCCTAGGTCCCTGCCTCATTTTGACGGAATCCTCACATCCCGCTGACACCTCGAGAGGCACGCGCAGTTCATTGCTTCAAAAGGTGACGATGCCTGACTCCTCTTGAATACTGATAGGAATCCCAAAATCCCTGTGGCTACTGGAAAGGGTCCTTGGGTGCCCTGGCTCACCTCGAGAAGCGTCCCTTTTGCCCTGCCAAGCCTCGAAGAGATTGCTGAGGTGTCCCTCGTTTCTAGACAGGAGTCCTGACGTCACGGAAGAAACTCGTGTTTTGAAGGGCCATCCCCGCCGTAAGTCGAGAACATACCCCAGGTCCCCGCCGCAACGCGAGAAAAACCATGAGACTTCCCCCTAGAGGCGAGATGAGGCCCCATTCCCCTGCAGTGCATGCAGAGCTATTCCGTGATCCCATTCAAACAAGTCAGGAGCTTCGACTTGCTTAATGGATCTCGAGACAGTCCCCAAGAACACTGTCACCAGTCTAGACGGACCCTGAGGTCACCCAGCAATGCAAAGCAGCTCCATGTGCCCCAAATCAACTCGAGATGAGGCCGGATTCCCCTGCATTGACTCCAGAGACATTCCTTGTTCCCCATTCAACACGACCGGTGGCTCGACTTCCTTCAGGCAACTCCAGAGATGCCCCGAGAACATTGTCCCAAGTCTAGAGGACCACCAACTTCAGCACAGCAACTCGAGAAATGCTCTGTGTACCCCAAATTGTCTCGAGATGAGAGCTGATTCCCTGGCTTAGGCTCAAGACGTATGCCACCTTTCCAGACGCACCTCAGGAGGAGGCTTCTCTCAGCAATAGGTATGTGGGAGGGACCCCGAGTTTGCTGCCTCAAGGGGAATATACAGCGAGAAGCCCTAACTTGAAAGGAGGCCGGATTTCCTTGCAGTGGCTTGAATACCGGCTCGTCTTTCATCTCACAACATGAAGGGATGTCTGAATCCCCTGTGGAGACCTTAGAGAAAGCCCTAGGTCCCTGCCTCATTTTGACGGAATCCTCACATCCCGCTGACACCTCGAGAGGCACGCGGAGTTCATTGCTTCAAAAGGTGACGATGCCTGACTCCTCTTGAATACTGATAGGAATCCCAAAATCCCTGTGGCTACTGGAAAGGGTCCTTGGTTGCCCTGGCTCACCTCGAGAAGCGTCCCTTTTGCCCTGCCAAGCCTCGAAGAGATTGCTGAGGTGTCCCTCGTTACTAGACAGGAGTCCTGACGTCACGGAAGAAACTCGTGTTTTGAAGGGCCATCCCCGCCGTAAGTCGAGAACATACCCCAGGTCCCCGCCGCAACGCGAGAAAAACCATGAGACTTCCCCCTAGAGGCGAGATGAGGCCCCATTCCCCTGCAGTGCATGCAGAGCTATTCCGTGATCCCATTCAAACAAGTCAGGAGCTTCGACTTGCTTAATGGATCTCGAGACAGTCCCCAAGAACACTGTCACCAGTCTAGACGGACCCTGAGGTCACCCCAGCAACGCAAAGCTGCTCCATGTGCCCCAAATCAACTCGAGATGAGGCCCGATTCCCCTGCATTGACTCCAGAGCCATTCCCCGTTCCGCATTCAACACGACCGGTGGCTCGACTTCCTTCAGGCAACTCCAGCGGTGCCCCGAGAACACTGTCCCAAGTCTAGAGGAGCACCAATTTCAGCACAGCAACCCGAGGAATGCTCCGTGTACCCCAAATCATCTCGAGATGAGAGCTGATTCCCTGGCTTAGGCTCAAGACGTATGCCAACTTTCCAGAAGCACCTCAGGAGGAGGCTTCTCTCAGCAATAGGTATGTGGGATGGACCCCGAGTTTGCTGCCTCAAGGGGAATACACAGGGAGAAGCCCTAATGTGAATGGAGGCCAGATTTCCTTGAAATGGCTTGAATACAGGCTCGTCTTTGATCTGACAACATGAAGGTATTTCTGAATCCCCTGTGGAGAACTTAGAGGAAGCCCTAGGTCCCTGCCTCATTTTGACGGAATACCTCACATCCCCCTGACACCTCGAGAGGCACGCAGAGTTCATTGCTTCAAAAGGTGACGATGCCTGACTCCTCTTGAATACTTATAGGAATCCCAAAATCCCTGTAGCTACTGGAAAGGGTTCTTGGGTGCCCTGGCTCACCTCGAGAAGCGTCCCTTTTGCCCTGCCAAGCCTCGAAGAGATTGCTGACGTGTCCCTCGTTACTAGACAGGAGTCCTGACGTCACAGAAGAAACTCGTGTTTTGAAGGGCCATCCCCGCCGTAAGTCGAGAACATACCCCAGGTCCCCGCCGCAACTCGAGAAAAACCATGAGACTTCCCCCTAGAGGCGAGATGAGGCCCCATTCCCCTGCAGTGCATGCAGAGCTATTCCGTGATCCCATTCAAACAAGTCAGGAGCTTCGACTTGCTTAATGGATCTCGACACAGTCCCCAAGAACACTGTCACCAGTCTAGACGGACCCTGAAGTCACCCAGCAATGCAAAGCAGCTCCATGTGCCCCAAATCAACTCGAGATGATGCCGGATTCCCCTGCATTGACTCCAGAGCCACTCCTTGTTCCCCATTCAACACGACCGGTGGCTCGATTTCCTTCAGGCAACTCCAAAGATGCCCCGAGAACACTGTCCCAAGTCTAGAGGACCACCAACTTCAGCACAGCAACTCGAGGAATACTCTGTGTACCCCAAATCTTCTCGAGATGAGAGCTGATTCCCTGGCTTAGGCTCAAGACGTATGCCACCTTTCCAGAAGCACCTCAGGAGGAGGCTTCTCTCAGCAATAGGTATGTGGGAGGGACCCCGAGTTTGCTGCCTCAAGGGGAATATACAGCGAGAAGCCCTAACCTGAAAGGAGGCCGGATTTCCTTGCAGTGGCTTGAATACAGGCTCGTCTTTCATCTCACAACATGAAGGGATGTCTGAATCCCCTGTGGAGACCTTAGAGAAAGCCCTAGGTCCCTGCCTCATTTTGACGGAATCCTCACATCCCGCTGAAACCTCGAGAGGCACGCGGAGTTCATTGCTTCAAAAGGTGACGATGCCTGACTCCTCTTGAATACTTATAGGAATCCCAAAATCCCTGTGGCTACTGGAAAGGGTCCTTGGGTGCCCTGGCTCACCTCGAGAAGCGTCCCTTTTGCCCTGCCAAGCCTCGAAGAGATTGCTGAGGTGTCCCTCGTTACTAGACAGGAGTCATGACGTCACCGAAGAAACTCGTGTTTTGAAGGGCCATCCCCGCCGTAAGTCGAGAACATACCCCAGGTCCCCGCCGCAACTCGAGAAAAACCATGAGACTTCCCCCTAGAGGCGAGATGAGGCCCCATTCCCCTGCAGTGCATGCAGAGCTATTCCGTGATCCCATTCAAACAAGTCAGGAGCTTCGACTTGCTTAATGGATCTCGAGACAGTCCCCAAGAACACTGTCACCAGTCTAGGCGGACCCTGAGGTCACCCAGCAATGCAAAGCAGCTCCATGTGCCCCAAATCAACTCGAGATGAGGCCCGATTCCCCTGCATTGACTCCAGAGCCATTCCCCGTTCCACATTCAACACGACCGGTGGCTCGACTTCCTTCAGGCAACTGCAGAGATGCCCCGAGAACACTGCCCCAAGTCTAGAGGAACACCAACTTCAGCACAGCAACTCGAGGAATGCTCTGTGTACCCCAAATCGTCTCGAGATGAGAGCTGAATCCCTGGCTTAGGCTCAAGACGTATGCCAACTTTCCAGAAGCACCTCAGGGGGAGGCTTCTCTCAGCAATAGGTATGTGGGAGGGACTCCGAGTTTGCTGCCTCAAGGGTAATATACAGCGAGAAGCCCTAACTTGAAAGGAGGCCGGATTTCCTTGCAGTGGCTTGAATACAGGCTCGTCTTTCATCTCACAACATGAAGGGATGTCTGAATCCCCTGTGGAGACCTTAGAGAAAGCCCTAGGTCCCTGCCTCATTTTGACGGAATCCTCACATCCCGCTGACACCTCGAGAGGCACGCGGAGTTCATTGCTTCAAAAGGTGACGATGCCTGACTCCTCTTGAATACTGATAGGAATCCCAAAATCCCTGTGGCTACTGGAAAGGGTCCTTGGGTGCCCTGGCTCACCTCGAGAAGCGTCCCTTTTGCCCTGCCAAGCCTCGAAGAGATTGCTGAGGTGTCCCTCGTTACTAGACAGGAGTCCTGACGTCACTGAAGAAACTCGTGTTTTGAAGGGCCATCCCCGCCGTAAGTCGAGAACATACCCCAGGTCCCCGCCGCAACTCGAGAAAAACCATGAGACTTCCCCCTAGAGGCGAGATGAGGCCCCATTCCCCTGCAGTGCATGCAGAGCTATTCCGTGATCCCATTCAAACAAGTCAGGAGCTTTGACTTGCTTAATGGATCTCGAGGCAGTCCCCAAGAACACTGTCACCAGTCTAGACGGACCCTGAGGTCACCCCAGCAACGCAAAGCTGCTCCATGTGCCCCAAATCAACTCGAGATGAGGCCCGATTCCCCTGCATTGACTCCAGAGCCATTCCCCGTTCCACATTCAACAAGACCGGTGGCTCGACTTCCTTCAGGCAACTCCAGAGATGCCCCGAGAACACTGTCCCAAGTCTAGAGGAGCACCAATTTCAGCACAGCAACCCGAGGAATGCTCCGTGTACCCCAAATCATCTCGAGATGAGAGCTGATTCCCTGGCTTAGGCTCAAGACGTATGCCAACTTTCCAGAAGCACCTCAGGAGGAGGCTTCTCTCAGCAATAGGTATGTGGGAGGGACCCCGAGTTTGCTGCCTCAAGGGGAATACACAGGGAGAAGCCCTAATGTGAATGGAGGCCAGATTTCCTTGCAGTGGCTTGAATACACGCTCGTCTTTGATCTGACAACATGAAGGTATTTCTGAATCCCCTGTGGAGAACTTAGAGGAAGCCCTAGGTCCCTGCCTCATTTTGACGGAATACCTCACATCCCCCTGACACCTCGAGAGCACGCAGAGTTCATTGCTTCAAAAGGTGACGATGCCTGACTCCTCTTGAATACTTATAGGAATCCCAAAATCCCTGTAGCTACTGGAAAGGGTCCTTGGGTGCCCTGGCTCACCTCGAGAAGCGTCCCTTTTGCCCTGCCAAGCCTCGAAGAGATTGCTGAGGTGTCCCTCGTTACTAGACAGGAGTCCTGACGTCACTGAAGAAACTCGTGTTTTGAAGGGCCATCCCCGCCGTAAGTCGAGAACATACCCCAGATCCCCGCCGCAACTCGAGAAAAACCATGAGACTTCCCCCTAGAGGCGAGATGAGGCCCCATTCCCCTGCAGTGCATGCAGAGCTATTCCGTGATCCCATTCAAACAAGTCAGGAGCTTCGACTTGCTTAATGGATCTCGAGGCAGTCCCCAAGAACACTGTCACCAGTCTAGACGGACCCTGAGGTCACCCCAGCAACGCAAAGTAGCTCTAGGTGCCACAAATCAACTCGAGATGAGGCCCGATTCCCCTGCATTGACTCCAGAGCCATTCCCCGTTCCCCATTCAACACGACCGGTGGCTAGACTTCCTTCAGGCAACTCCAGAGATGCCCAGAGAACACTGTCCCAAGTCTAGAGGAACACCAACTTCAGCACAGCAACACGAGGAATGCTCTGTGTACCCCAAATCGTCTCGAGATGAGAGCTGAATCCCTGGCTTAGGCTCAAGACGTATGCCAACTTTCCAGAAGCACCTCAGGAGGAGGCTTCTCTCAGCAATAGGTATGTGGGAGGGACCCCGAGTTTGCTGCCTCAAGGGGAATATACAGCGAGAAGCCCTAACTTGAAAGGAGGCCGGATTTCCTTGCAGTGGCTTGAATACAGGCTCGTCTTTCATCTCACAACATGAAGGGATGTCTGAATCCCCTGTGGAGACCTTAGAGAAAGCCCTAGGTCCCTGCCTCATTTTGATGGAATCCTCACATCCCGCTGACACCTCGAGAGGCACGCGGAGTTCATTGCTTCAAAAGGTGACGATGCCTGACTCCTCTTGAATACTGATAGGAATCCCAACATCCCTGTGGCTACTGGAAAGGGTCCTTGGGTGCCCTGGCTCACCTCGAGAAGCGTCCCTTTTGCCCTGCCATGCCTCGAAGAGATTGCTGAGCTGTCCCTCATTACTAGACAGGAGTCCTGACGTCACAGAAGATACTCGTGTTTTGAAGGGCCATCCCCGCCATAAGTCGAGAACATACCCCAGGTCCCGGCCGCAACTCGAGAAAAACCATGAGACTTCCCCCTAGAGGTGAGATGAGGCCCCATTCCCCTGCAGTGCATGCAGAGCTATTCCGTGATCCCATTCAAACAAGTCAGGAGCTTCGACTTGCTTAATGGATCTCGAGACAGTCCCCAAGAACACTGTCACCAGTCTAGACGGACCCTGAGGTCACCCAGCAATGCAAAGCAGCTCCATGTGCCCCAAATCAACTCGAGATGAGGCCGGATTCCCCTGCATTGACTCCAGAGCCACTCCTTGTTCCCCATTCAACACGACCGTTGGCTCGATTTCCTTCAGGCAACTCCAGAGATGCCCCGAGAACACTGTCCCAAGTCTAGAGGACCACCAACTTCAGCACAGCAACTCGAGGAATACTCTGTGTACCCCAAATCGTCTCGAGATGAGAGCTGATTCCCTGGCTTAGGCTCAAGACGTATGCCACCTTTCCAGTAGCACCTCAGGAGGAGGCTTCTCTCAGCAATAGGTATGTGGGAGGGACCCCGAGTTTGCTGCCTCAAGGGGAATATACAGCGAGAAGCCCTAACTTGAAAGGAGGCCGGATTTCCTTGCAGTGGCTTGAATACAGGCTCGTCATTCATCTCACAACATGAAGGGATGTCTGAATCCCCTGTGGAGACCTTAGAGAAAGCCCTAGGTCCCTGCCTCATTTTGACGGATTCCTCTCATCCCGCTGAAACCTCGAGAGGCACGCGGAGTTCATTGCTTCAAAAGGTGACGATGCCTGACTCCTCTTGAATACTTATAGGAATCCCAAAATCCCTGTGGCTACTGGAAAGGGTCCTTGGGTGCCCTGGCTCACCTCGAGAAGCGTCCCTTTTGCCCTGCCAAGCCTCGAAGAGCTTGCTGACGTGTCTCTCGTTACTAGACAGGAGTCCTGACGTCACGGAAGAAACTCGTGTTTTGAAGGGCCATCCCCGCCGTAAGTCGAGAACATACCCCAGGTCCCCGCCGCAACTCGAGAAAAACCATGAGACTTCCCCCTAGAGGCGAGATGAGGCCCCATTCCCCTGCAGTGCATGCAGAGCTATTCCGTGATCCCATTCAAACAAGTCAGGAGCTTCGACTTGCTTAATGGATCTCGAGACAGTCCCCAAGAACACTGTCACCAGTCTAGACGGACCGTGAGGTCACCCAGCAATGCAAAGCAGCTCCATGTGCCCCAAATCAACTCGAGATGAGGCCGAATTCCCCTGAATTGACTCCAGAGCCACTCCTTGTTCCCCATTCAACACGACCGGTGGCTCGACTTCCTTCAGGAACTCCAGAGATGCCCCGAGAACACTGTCCCAAGTCTAGAGGACCACCAACTTCAGCACAGCAACTCGAGGAATGCTCAGTGTACCCCAAATCGTCTCGAGATGAGAGCTGATTCCCTGGCTTAGGCTCAAGACGTATGCCACCTTTCCAGAAGCACCTCAGGAGGAGGCTTCTCTCAGCAATAGGTATGTGGGAGGGACCCCGAGTTTGCTGCCTCAAGGGGAATATACAGCGAGAAGCCCTAACTTGAAAGGAGGCCGGATTTCCTTGCAGTGGCTTGAATACAGGCTCGTCTTTCATCTCACAACATGAAGGGATGTCTGAATCCCCTGTGGAGACCTTAGAGAAAGCCCTAGGTCCCTGCCTCATTTTGACGGAATCCTCACATCCCGCTGACACCTCGAGAGGCACGCGGAGTTCATTGCTTCAAAAGGTGACGATGCCTGACTCCTCTTGAATACTGATAGGAATCCCAAAATCCCTGTGGCTACTGGAAAGGGTCCTTGGGTGCCCTGGCTCACCTCGAGAAGCGTCCCTTTTGCCCTGCCAAGCCTCGAAGAGATTGCTGACGTGTCCCTCGTTACTAGACAGGAGTCCTGACGTCACGGAAGAAACTCGTGTTTTGAAGGGCCATCCCCGCCGTAAGTGGAGAACATACCCCAGGTCCCCGCCGCAACTCGAGAAAAACCATGAGACTTCCCCCTAGAGGCGAGATGAGGCCCCATTCCCCTGCAGTGCATGCAGAGCTATTCCGAGATCCCATTCAAACAAGTCAGGAGCTTCGACTTGCTTAATGGATCTCGAGACAGTCCCCAAGAACACTGTCACCAGTCTAGACGGACCCTGAGGTCACCCCAGCAACGCAAAGCTGCTCCATGTGCCCCAAATCAACTCGAGATGAGGCCCGATTCCCCTGCATTGACTCCAGAGCCATTCCCCGTTCCCCATTCAACACGACCGGTGGCTCGACTTCCTTCAGGCAACTCCAGAGATGCCCCGAGAACACTGTCCCAAGTTTAGAGGAGCACCAATTTCAGCACAGCAACCCGAGGAATGCTCCGTGTACCCCAAATCATCTCGAGATGAGAGCTGATTCCCTGGCTTAGGCTCAAGACGTATGCCAACTTTCCAGAAGCACCTCAGGAGGAGGCTTCTCTCAGCAATAGGTATGTGGGAGGGACCCCGTGTTTGCTGCCTCAAGGGGAATACACAGGGAGAAGCCCTAATGTGAACGGAGGCCAGATTTCCTTGCAGTGGCTTGAATACAGGCTCGTCTTTGATCTGACAACATGAAGGGATTTCTGAATCCCCTGTGGAGACCTTAGAGGAAGCCCTAGGTCCCTTCCTCATTTTGACGGAATACCTCACATCCCCCTGATACCTCGAGAGGCACGCAGAGTTCATTGCTTCAAAAGGTGACGATGCCTGACTCCTCTTGAATACTGATAGGAATCCCAAAATCCCTGTGGCTACTGGAAAGGGTCCTTGGGTGCCCTGGCTCACCTCGAGAAGCGTCCCTTTTGCCCTGCCAAGCCTCGAAGAGCTTGCTGACGTGTCTCTCGTTACTAGACAGGAGTCCTGACGTCACGGAAGAAACTCGTGTTTTCAAGGGCCATCCCCGCCGTAAGTCGAGAACATACCCCAGGTCCCCGCCGCAACTCGAGAAAAACCATGAGACTTCCCCCTAGAGGCGAGATGAGGCCCCATTCCCCTGCAGTGCATGCAGAGCTATTCCGTGATCCCATTCAAACAAGTCAGGAGCTTCGACTTGCTTAATGGATCTCGAGACAGTCCCCAAGAACACTGTCACCAGTCTAGACGGACCGTGAGGTCACCCAGCAATGCAAAGCAGCTCCATGTGCCCCAAATCAACTCGAGATGAGGCCGAATTCCCCTGAATTGACTCCAGAGCCACTCCTTGTTCCCCATTCAACACGACCGGTGGCTCGACTTCCTTCAGGCAACTCCAGAGATGCCCCGAGAACACTGTCCCAAGTCTAGAGGACCACCAACTTCAGCACAGCAACTCGAGGAATGCTCAGTGTACCCCAAATCGTCTCGAGATGAGAGCTGATTCCCTGGCTTAGGCTCAAGACGTATGCCACCTTTCCAGAAGCACCTCAGGAAAAGGCTTCTCTCAGCAATAGGTATGTGGGAGGGACCCCGAGTTTGCTGCCTCAAGGGGAATATACAGCGAGAAGCCCTAACTTGAAAGGAGGCCGGATTTCCTTGCAGTGGCTTGAATACAGGCTCGTCTTTCATCTCACAACATGAAGGGATGTCTGAATCCCCTGTGGAGACCTTAGAGAAAGCCCTAGGTCCCTGCCTCATTTTGACGGAATCCTCACATCCCGCTGACACCTCGAGAGGCACGCGGAGTTCATTGCTTCAAAAGGTGACGATGCCTGACTCCTCTTGAATACTGATAGGAATCCCAAAATCCCTGTGGCTACTGGAAAGGGTCCTTGGGTGCCCTGGCTCACCTCGAGAAGCGTCCCTTTTGCCCTGCCAAGCCTCGAAGAGATTGCTGACGTGTCCCTCGTTACTAGACAGGAGTCCTGACGTCACGGAAGAAACTCGTGTTTTGAAGGGCCATCCCCGCCGTAAGTCGAGAACATACCCCAGGTCCCCGCCGCAACTCGAGAAAAACCATGAGACTTCCCCCTAGAGGCGAGATGAGGCCCCATTCCCCTGCAGTGCATGCAGAGCTATTCCGAGATCCCATTCAAACAAGTCAGGAGCTTCGACTTGCTTAATGGATCTCGAGACAGTCCCCAAGAACACTGTCACCAGTCTAGACGGACCCTGAGGTCACCCCAGCAACGCAAAGCTGCTCCATGTGCCCCAAATCAACTCGAGATGAGGCCCGATTCCCCTGCATTGACTCCAGAGCCATTCCCCGTTCCCCATTCAACACGACCGGTGGCTCGACTTCCTTCAGGCAACTCCAGAGATGCCCCGAGAACACTGTCCCAAGTTTAGAGGAGCACCAATTTCAGCACAGCAACCCGAGGAATGCTCCGTGTACCCCAAATCATCTCGAGATGAGAGCTGATTCCCTGGCTTAGGCTCAAGACGTATGCCAACTTTCCAGAAGCACCTCAGGAGGAGGCTTCTCTCAGCAATAGGTATGTGGGAGGGACCCCGTGTTTGCTGCCTCAAGGGGAATACACAGGGAGAAGCCCTAATGTGAACGGAGGCCAGATTTCCTTGCAGTGGCTTGAATACAGGCTCGTCTTTGATCTGACAACATGAAGGGATTTCTGAATCCCCTGTGGAGACCTTAGAGGAAGCCCTAGGTCCCTTCCTCATTTTGACGGAATACCTCACATCCCCCTGATACCTCGAGAGGCACGCAGAGTTCATTGCTTCAAAAGGTGACGATGCCTGACTCCTCTTGAATACTGATAGGAATCCCAAAATCCCTGTGGCTACTGGAAAGGGTCCTTGGGTGCCCTGGCTCACCTCGAGAAGCGTCCCTTTTGCCCTGCCAAGCCTCGAAGAGATTGCTGACGTGTCCCTCGTTACTAGACAGGAGTCCTGACGTCACTGAAGAAACTCGTGTTTTGAAGGGCCATCCCCGCCGTAAGTCGAGAACATACCCCAGGTCCCCGCCGCAACTCGAGAAAAACCATGAGACTTCCCCCTAGAGGCGAGATGAGGCCCAATTCCCCTGCAGTGCATGCAGAGCTATTCCGTGATCCCATTCAAACAAGTCAGGAGCTTCGACTTGCTTAATGGATCTCGAGGCAGTCCCGAAGAACACTGTCACCAGTCTAGACGGACCCTGAGGTCACCCCAGCAACGCAAAGCAGCTCCAGGTGCCACAAATCAACTCGAGATGAGGCCCGATTCCCCTGCATTGACTCCAGAGCCATTCCCCGTTCCCCATTCAACACGACCGGTGGCTCGACTTCCTTCAGGCAACTCCAGAGATGCCCAGAGAACACTGTCCCAAGTCTAGAGGAACACCAACTTCAGCACAGCAACTCGAGGAATGCTCTGTGTACCCCAAATCGTCTCGAGATGAGAGCTGAATCCCTGGCTTAAGCGCAAGACGTATGCCAACTATCCAGAAGCACCTCAGGAGGAGGCTTCTCTCAGCAATAGGTATGTGGGAGGGACTCCGAGTTTGCTGCCTCAAGGGGAATATACAGCGAGAAGCCCTAACTTGAAAGGAGGCCGGATTTCCTTGCAGTGGCTTGAATACAGGCTCGTCTTTCATCTCACAACATGAAGGGATGTCTGAATCCCCTGTGGAGACCTTAGAGAAAGCCCTAGGTCCCTGCCTCATTTTGACGGAATCCTCAAATCCCGCTGACACCTCGAGAGGCACGCGGAGTTCATTGCTTCAAAAGGTGACGATGCCTGACTCCTCTTGAATACTGATAGGAATCCCAAAATCCCTGTGGCTACTGGAAAGGGTCCTTGGGTGCCCTGGCTCACCTCGAGAAGCGTCCCTTTTGCCCTGCCAAGCCTCGAAGAGATTGCTGAGGTGTCCCTCGTTACTAGACAGGAGTCCTGACGTCACTGAAGAAACTCGTGTTTTGAAGGGCCATCCCCGCCGTAAGTCGAGAACATACCCCAGGTCCCCGCCGCAACTCAAGAAAAACCATGAGACTTCCCCCTAGAGGCGAGATGAGGCCCCATTCCCCTGCAGTGCATGCAGAGCTATTCCGTGATCCCATTCAAACAAGTCAGGAGCTTCGACTTGCTTAATGGATCTCGAGACAGTCCCCAAGAACACTGTCACCAGTCTAGACGGACCGTGAGGTCACCCAGCAATGCAAAGCAGCTCCATGTGGCCCAAATCAACTCGAGATGAGGCCCGATTCCCCTGTATTGACTCCAGAGCCATTTCTTGTTCCCCATTCAACACGACCGGTGGCTCGACTTCCTTCAGGCAACTCCAGAGATGCCCCGAGAACACTGTCCCAAGTCTAGAGGACCACCAACTTCAGCACAGCAACTCGAGGAATGCTCTGTGTACCCCAAATCGTCTCGAGATGAGAGCTGATTCCCTGGCTTAGGCTCAAGACGTATGCCACCTTTCCAGAAGCACTTCAGGAGGAGGCTTCTCTCAGCAATAGGTATGTGGGAGGGACCCCGAGTTTGCTGCCTCAAGGGGAATATACAGCGAGAAGCCGTAACTTGAAAGGAGGCCGGATTTCCTTGCAGTGGCTTGAATACAGGCTCGTCTTTCATCTCACAACATGAAGGGATGTCTGAATCCCCTGTGGAGACCTTAGAGAAAGCCCTAGGTCCCTGCCTCATTTTGACGGAATCCTCACATCCCGCTGACACCTCGAGAGGCACGCGGAGTTCATTGCTTCAAAAGGTGACGATGCCTGACTCCTCTTGAATACTTATAGGAATCCCAAAATCCCTGTGGCTACTGGAAAGGGTCCTTGGGTGCCCTGGCTCACCTCGAGAAGCGTCCCTTTTGCCCTGCCAAGCCTCGAAGAGATTGCTGAGGTGTCCCTCGTTACTAGACAGGAGTCCTGACGTCACTGAAGAAACTCGTGTTTTGAAGGGCCATCCCCGCCGTAAGTCGAGAACATACCCCAGGTCCCCGCCGCAACTCGAGAAAAACCATGAGACTTCCCCCTAGAGGCGAGATGAGGCCCCATTCCCCTGCAGTGCATGCAGAGCTATTCCGTGATCCCATTCAAACAAGTCAGGAGCTTCGACTTGCTTAATGGATCTCGAGACAGTCCCCAAGAACACTGTCACCAGTCCAGACGAACCCTGAGGTCACCCAGCAGTGCCAAGCAGCTCCATGTGCCCCAAATCAACTCGAGATGAGGCCGGATTCCCCTGCATTGACTCCAGAGCCACTCCTTGTTCCCCATTCAACACGACCGGTGGCTCGACTTCCTTCAGGCAACTCCAGAGATGCCCCGAGAACACTGTCCCAAGTCTAGAGGACCACCAACTTCAGCACAGCAACTCGAGGAATGCTCTGTGTACCCCAAATCGTCTCGAGATGAGAGCTGATTCCCTGGCTTAGGCTCAAGACGTATGCCACCTTTCCAAAAGCACCTCAGGAGGAGGCTTCTCTCAGCAATAGGTATGTGGGAGGGACCCCGAGTTTGCTGCCTCAAGGGGAATATACAGCGAGAAGCCCTAACTTGAAAGGAGGCCAGATTTCCTTGCAGTGGCTTGAATACAGGCTCGTCTTTCATCTCACAACATGAAGGGAAGTCTGAATCCCCTGTGGAGACCTTAGAGAAAGCCCTAGGTCCCTGCCTCATTTTGACGGAATCCTCACATCCCGCTGACACCTCGAGAGGCACGCGGAGTTCATTGCTTCAAAAGGTGACGATGCCTGACTCCTCTTGAATACTTATAGGAATCCCAAAATCCCTGTGGATACTGGAAAGGGTCCTTTGGTGCCCTGGCTCAACTCGAGAAGCGTCCCTTTTGCCCTGCCAAGCCTCGAAGAGATTGCTGAGGTGTCCCTCGGTACTAGACAGGAGTCCTGACGTCACTGAAGAAACTCGTGTTTTGAAGGGCCATCCCCGCCGTAAGTGGAGAACGTACCCCAGGTCCCCAACGCAACTCGAGAAAAACCATGAGACTTCCCCCTAGAGGCGAGATGAGGCCCCATTCCCCTGCAGTGCATGCAGAGCTATTCCGTGATCCCATTCAAACAAGTCAGGAGCTTCGACTTGCTTAATGGATCTCGAGACAGTCCCCAAGAACACTGTCACCAGTCTAGACGGACCCTGACGTCACCCCAGAAACGCAAAGCAGCTCTATGTGCCCCAAATCAACTCGAGATGAGGCCCCATTCCCCTGCATTGACTCCAGAGCCATTCCCCGTTCCCCATTCAACAGGACTGGTGGCTCGCTTTCCTTCAGGCAACTCCAGGGATGCCTCGAGAACACTGTCCCAAGTCTAGAGGAACACCAACTTCAGCACAGCAACTCGAGGAATGCTCTGTGTACCCCAAATCGTCTCGAGATGAGAGCTGATTCCCTGGCTTAGGCTCAAGACGTATGCCAACTTTCCAGAAGCACCTCAGGAGGAGGCTTCTCAGCAATAGGTATGTGGGAGGGACTCCGAGTTTGCTGCCTCAAGGGGAATATACAGCGAGAAGCCCTAACTTGAAAGGAGGCCGGATTTCCTTGCAGTAGCTTGAATACAGGCTCGTCTTTCATCTCACAACATGAAGGGATGTCTGAATACCCTGTGAAGACCTTAGAGAAAGCCCTAGGTCCCTGCCTCATTTTGACGGAATGCCTCACATCCCGCTGACACCTCGAGAGGCACGCGGAGTTCATTGCTTCAAAAGGTGACGATGCCTGACTCCTCTTGAATACTGATAGGAATCCCAAAATCCCTGTGGCTACTGGAAAGGTTCCTTGGGTGCCCTGCCTCACTTCGAGAAGCGTCCCTTTTGCCCTGCCAAGCCTCGAAGAGATTCCTGAGGTGTCCCTCGTTACTAGACAGGAGTCCTGACGTCACTGAAGAAACTCGTGTTTTGAAGGGCCATCCCCGCCATAAGTCGAGAACATACCCCAGGTCCCCGCCGCAACTCGAGAAAAACCATGAGACTTCCCCCTAGAGGCGAGATGAGGCCCCATTCCCCTGCAGTGCATGCAGAGCTATTCCGTGATCCCATTCAAACAAGTCAGGAGCTTCGATTTGCTTAATGGATCTCGAGACAGTCCCCAAGAACACTGTCACCAGTCTAGACGGACCCTGAGGTCACCCCAGCAACGCAAAGCTGCTCCATGTGCCCCAAATCAACTCGAGATGAGGCCCGATTCCCCTGCATTGACTCCAGAGCCATTCCCCGTTCCCCATTCAACACGACCGGTGGCTCGACTTCCTTCAGGCATCTCCAGAGATGCCCCGAGAACACTGTCCCAAGACTAGAGGAGCACCAATTTCAGCACAGCAACCCGAGGAATGCTCCGTGTACCCCAAATCATCTCGAGATGAGAGCGGATTCCCTGGCTTAGGCTCAAGACGTATGCCAACTTTCCAGAAGCACCTCAGGAGGAGGCTTCTCTCAGCAATAGGTATGTGGGAGGGACCCCGAGTTTGCTGCCTCAAGGGGAATACACAGGGAGAAGCCCTAATGTGAACGGAGGCCAGATTTCCTTGCAGTGGCTTGAATACAGGCTCGTCTTTGATCTGACAACATGAAGGGATTTCTGAATCCCCTGTGGAGACCTTAGAGGAAGCCCTAGGTCCCTGCCTCATTTTGACGGAATACCTCACATCCCCCTGACACCTCGAGAGGCACGCAGAGTTCATTGCTTCAAAAGGTGACGATGCCTGACTCCTCTTGAATACTTATAGGAATCCCAAAATCCCTGTGGCTACTGGAAAGGGTCCTTGGGTGCCCTGGCTCACCTCGAGAAGCGTCCCTTTTGCCCTGCCAAGCCTCGAAGAGATTGCTGAGGTGTCCCTCATTACTAGACAGGAGTCCTGACGTCACTGAAGAAACTCGTGTTTTGAAGGGCCATCCCCGCCGTAAGTAGAGAACATACCCCAGGTCCCCGCCGCAACTCGAGAAAAACCATGAGATTTCCCCCTAGAGGCGAGATGAGGCCCCATTCCCCTGCAGTGCATGCAGAGCTATTCCATGATCCAATTCAAACAAGTCAGGAGCTTCAACTTGCTTAATGGATCTCGAGACAGTCCCGAAGAACACTGTCACCAGTCTACACGGACCCTGAGGTCACCCCAGCAACACAAAGCAGCTCCATGTGCCCCAAATCAACTCGAGATGAGGCCCGATTCCCCTGCATTGACTCCAGAGCCATTCCCCGTTCCAAGTTCAACACGAACGGTGGCTCGCCTTCTTTCAGGCAACTCCAGAGATGCCCAGAGAACACTGTCCCAAGTCTAGAGGAACACCAACTTCAGCACAGCAACTCGAGGAATGCTCTGTGTACCACAAATCGTCTCGAGATGAGAGGTGATTCCCTGGCTTAGGCTCAGGACGTATGCCAACTTTCCAGAAGCACCTCAGGAGGAGGCTTCTCAGCAATAGGTATGTGGGAGGGACTCCGAGTTTGCTGCCTAAAGGGGAATATACAGCGAGAAGCCCTAACTTGAAAGGAGGCCGGATTTCCTTGCAGTAGCTTGAATACAGGCTCATCTTTCATCTCACAACATGAAGGGATGTCTGAATCCCTTGTGGAGACCTTAGAGAAAGCCCTAGGTCCCTGCCTCATTTTGACGGAATACCTCACATCCCCCTGACACCTCGAGAGGCACGCAGAGTTCATTGCTTCAAAAGGTGACGATGCCTGACTCCTCTTGAATACTTATAGGAATCCCAAAATCCCTGTGGCTACTGGAAAGGGTCCTTGGGTGCCCTGGCTCACTTCTAGAAGCGTCCCTTTTGCCCTGCCAAGCCTCGAAGAGATTGCTGAGGTGTCCCTCGTTACTAGACAGGAGTCCTGACGTCACTGAAGAAACTCGTGTTTTGAAGGGCCATCCCCGCCGTAAGTCGAGAACATACCCCAGGTCCCCGCCGCAACTCGAGAAAAACCATGAGACTTCCCCCTAGAGGCGAGATGAGGCCCCATTCCCCTGCAGTGCATGCAGAGCTATTCCGAGATCCCATTCAAACAAGTCAGGAGCTTCGATTTGCTTAATGGATCTAGAGACAGTCCCCAAGAACACTGTCACCAGTCTAGACGGACCCTGAGGTCACCCCAGCAACGCAAAGCAGCTCCATGTGCCCCAAATCAACTCGAGATGAGGCCCCATTCCCCTGCATTGACTCCAGAGCCATTCCCCGTTCCCCATTCAACAGGACTGGTGACTCGCATTCCTTCAGGCAACTCCAGAGATGCCCTGAGAACGCTGTCCCAAGTCTAGAGGAACACCAACTTCAGCACAGCAACTCGAGGAATGCTCTGTGTACCCCAAATCGTCTCGAGATGAGAGCTGATTCCCTGGCTTAGGCTCAAGACGTATGCCAACTTTCCAGAAGGACCTCAGGAGGAGGCTTCTCAGCAATAGGTATGTGGGAGGGACCCCGAGTTTGCTGCCTCAAGGGGAATACACAGGGAGAAGCCCTAATGTGAACGGAGGCCAGATTTCCTTGCAGTGGCTTGAATACAGGCTCGTCTTTGATCTGACAACATGAAGGGATTTCTGAATCCCCTGTGGAGACCTTAGAGGAAGCCCTAGGTCCCTGCCTCATTTTGACGGAATACCTCACATCCCCCTGACACCTCGAGAGGCACGCAGAGTTCATTGCTTCAAAAGGTGACGATGCCTGACTCCTCTTGAATACTTATAGGAATCCCAAAATCCCTGTGGCTACTGGAAAGGGTCCTTGGGTGCCCTGGCTCACCTCGAGAAGCGTCCCTTTTGCCCTGCCAAGCCTCGAAGAGATTGCTGAGGTGTCCCTCATTACTAGACAGGAGTCCTGACGTCACTGAAGAAACTCGTGTTTTGAAGGGCCATCCCCGCCGTAAGTCAAGAACATACCCCAGGTCCCCGCCGCAACTCGAGAAAAACCATGAGATTTCCCCCTAGAGGCGAGATGAGGCCCCATTCCCCTGCAGTGCATGCAGAGCTATTCCATGATCCAATTCAAACAAGTCAGGAGCTTCAACTTGCTTAATGGATCTCGAGACAGTCCCGAAGAACACTGTCACCAGTCTACACGGACCCTGAGGTCACCCCAGCAACACAAAGCAGCTCCATGTGCCCCAAATCAACTCGAGATGAGGCCCGATTCCCCTGCATTGACTCCAGAGCCATTCCCCGTTCCAAGTTCAACACGAACGGTGGCTCGCCTTCCTTCAGGCAACTCCAGAGATGCCCAGAGAACACTGTCCCAAGTCTAGAGGAACACCAACTTCAGCACAGCAACTCGAGGAATGCTCTGTGTACCACAAATCGTCTCGAGATGAGAGGTGATTCCCTGGCTTAGGCTCAGGACGTATGCCAACTTTCCAGAAGCACCTCAGGAGGAGGCTTCTCAGCAATAGGTATGTGGGAGGGACTCCGAGTTTGCTGCCTAAAGGGGAATATACAGCGAGAAGCCCTAACTTGAAAGGAGGCCGGATTTCCTTGCAGTAGCTTGAATACAGGCTCATCTTTCATCTCACAACATGAAGGGATGTCTGAATCCCTTGTGGAGACCTTAGAGAAAGCCCTAGGTCCCTGCCTCATTTTGACGGAATACCTCACATCCCCCTGACACCTCGAGAGGCACGCAGAGTTCATTGCTTCAAAAGGTGACGATGCCTGACTCCTCTTGAATACTTATAGGAATCCCAAAATCCCTGTGGCTACTGGAATGGGTCCTTGGGTGCCCTGGCTCACTTCTAGAAGCGTCCCTTTTGCCCTGCCAAGCCTAGAAGAGATTGCTGACGTGTCCCTCGTTACTAGACAGGAGTCCTGACGTCACTGAAGAAACTCGTGTTTTGAAGGGCCATCCCCGCCGTAAGTCGAGAACATACCCCAGGTCCCCGCCGCAACTCGAGAAAAACCATGAGACTTCCCCCTAGAGGCGAGATGAGGCCCCATTCCCCTGCAGTGCATGCAGAGCTATTCCGAGATCCCATTCAAACAAGTCAGGAGCTTCGATTTGCTTAATGGATCTAGAGACAGTCCCCAAGAACACTGTCACCAGTCTAGACGGACCCTGAGGTCACCCCAGCAACGCAAAGCAGCTCCATGTGCCCCAAATCAACTCGAGATGAGGCCCCATTCCCCTGCATTGACTCCAGAGCCATTCCCCGTTCCCCATTCAACAGGACTGGTGACTCGCATTCCTTCAGGCAACTCCAGAGATGCCCTGAGAACACTGTCCCAAGTCTAGAGGAACACCAACTTCAGCACAGCAACTCGAGGAATGCTCTGTGTACCCCAAATCGTCTCGAGATGAGAGCTGATTCCCTGGCTTAGGCTCAAGACGTATGCCACCTTTCCAGAAGGACCTCAGGAGGAGGCTTCTCAGCAATAGGTATGTGGGAGGGACTCCGAGTTTGCTGCCTCAAGGGGAATATATAGCGAGAAGCCCTAACTTGAAAGGAGGCCGGATTTCCTTGCAGTAGCTTGAATACAGGCTTGTCTTTCATCTCACAACATGAAGGGATGTCTGAATCCCCTGTGAAGACCTTAGAGAAAGCCCTAGGTCCCAGCCTCATTTTGACGGAATGCCTCACATCCCGCTGACAACTCGAGAGGCACGCGGAGTTCATTGCTTCAAAAGGTGACGATGCCTGACTCCTCTTGAATACTGATAGGAATCCCAAAATCCCTGTGGCTACTGGAAAGGTTCCTTGGGTGCCCTGCCTCACTTCGAGAAGCGTCCCTTTTGCCCTGCCAAGCCTCGAAGAGATTCCTGAGGTGTCCCTCGTTACTAGACAGGAGTCCTGACGTCACTGAAGAAACTCGTGTTTTGAAGGGCCATCCCCGCCGTAAGTCGAGAACATACCCCAGGTCCCCGCCGCAACTCGAGAAAAACCATGAGACTTCCCCCTAGAGGCGAGATGAGGCCCCATTCCCCTGCAGTGCATGCAGAGCTATTCCATGATCCAATTCAAACAAGTCAGGAGCTTCGACTTGCTTAATGGATCTCGAGACAGTCCCCAAGAACACTGTCACCAGTCTAGACGGACCCTGAGGTCACCCCAGCAACGCAAAGCAGCTCCATGTGTCCCAAATCAACTCGAGATGAGGCCCGATTCCCCTGCATTGACTCCAGAGCCATTCCCCGTTCCGCATTCAACACGACCGGTGGCTCGACTTCCTTCAGGCAACTCCAGAGATGCCCCGAGAACACTGTCCCAAGTCTAGAAGAGCACCAGTTTCAGCACAGCAACCCGAGGAATGCTCCGTGTAACCTAAATCATCTCGAGATGAGAGCTGATTCCCTGGCTTAGGCTCAAGACGTATGCCAACTTTCCAGAAGCACCTCAGGAGGAGGCTTCTCTCAGCAATAGGTATGTGGGAGGGACCCCGATTTTGCTGCCTCAAGGGGAATACACAGGGAGAAGCCCTAATGTGAACGGAGGCCAGATTTCCTTGCACTGCGTTGAATACAGGCTCGTCTTTGATCAGACAACATGAAGGGTTGTCTGAATCCCCTGTGGAGACCTTAGAGGAAGCCCTAGGTCCCTGCCTCATTTTGACGGAATACCTCACATCCCCCTGACACCTCGAGAGGCACGCAGAGTTCATTGCTTCAAAAGGTGACGATGCCTGACTCCTCTTGAATACTTATAGGAATCCCAAAATCCCTGTGGCTACTGGAAAGGGTCCTTGGGTGCCCTGGCTCACCTCGAGAAGCGTCCCTTTTGCCCTGCCAAGCCTCGAAGAGATTGCTGAGGTGTCCCTCATTACTAGACAGGAGTCCTGACGTCACTGAAGAAACTCGTGTTTTGAAGGGCCATCCCCGCCGTAAGTCGAGAACATACCCCAGGTCCCCGCCGCAACTCGAGAAAAACCATGAGATTTCCCCCTAGAGGCGAGATGAGGCCCCATTCCCCTGCAGTGCATGCAGAGCTATTCCATGATCCAATTCAAACAAGTCAGGAGCTTCAACTTGCTTAATGGATCTCGAGACAGTCCCGAAGAACACTGTCACCAGTCTACACGGACCCTGAGGTCACCCCAGCAACACAAAGCAGCTCCATGTGCCCCAAATCAACTCGAGATGAGGCCCGATTCCCCTGCATTGACTCCAGAGCCATTCCCCGTTCCAAGTTCAACACGAACGGTGGCTCGCCTTCCTTCAGGCAACTCCAGAGATGCCCAGAGAACACTGTCCCAAGTCTAGAGGAACACCAACTTCAGCACAGCAACTCGAGGAATGCTCTGTGTACCACAAATCGTCTCGAGATGAGAGGTGATTCCCTGGCTTAGGCTCAGGACGTATGCCAACTTTCCAGAAGCACCTCAGGAGGAGGCTTCTCAGCAATAGGTATGTGGGAGGGACTCCGAGTTTGCTGTCTCAAGGGGAATATACAGCGAGAAGCCCTAACTTGAAAGGAGGCCGGATTTCCTTGCAGTAGCTTGAATACAGGCTCATCTTTCATCTCACAACATGAAGGGATGTCTGAATCCCTTGTGGAGACCTTAGAGAAAGCCCTAGGTCCCTGCCTCATTTTGACGGAATACCTCACATCCCCCTGACACCTCGAGAGGCACGCAGAGTTCATTGCTTCAAAAGGTGACGATGCCTGACTCCTCTTGAATACTTATAGGAATCCCAAAATCCCTGTGGCTACTGGAAAGGGTCCTTGGGTGCCCTGGCTCACTTCTAGAAGCGTCCCTTTTGCCCTGCCAAGCCTAGAAGAGATTGCTGACGTGTCCCTCGTTACTAGACAGGAGTCCTGACGTCACTGAAGAAACTCGTGTTTTGAAGGGCCATCCCCGCCGTAAGTCGAGAACATACCCCAGGTCCCCGCCGCAACTCGAGAAAAACCATGAGACTTCCCCCTAGAGGCGAGATGAGGCCCCATTCCCCTGCAGTGCATGCAGAGCTATTCCGAGATCCCATTCAAACAAGTCAGGAGCTTCGATTTGCTTAATGGATCTAGAGACAGTCCCCAAGAACACTGTCACCAGTCTAGACGGACCCTGAGGTCACCCCAGCAACGCAAAGCAGCTCCATGTGCCCCAAATCAACTCGAGATGAGGCCCCATTCCCCTGCATTGACTCCAGAGCCATTCCCCGTTCCCCATTCAACAGGACTGGTGACTCGCATTCCTTCAGGCAACTCCAGAGATGCCCTGAGAACACTGTCCCAAGTCTAGAGGAACACCAACTTCAGCACAGCAACTCGAGGAATGCTCTGTGTACCCCAAATCGTCTCGAGATGAGAGCTGATTCCCTGGCTTAGGCTCAAGACGTATGCCAACTTTCCAGAAGGACCTCAGGAGGAGGCTTCTCAGCAATAGGTATGTGGGAGGGACTCCGAGTTTGCTGCCTCAAGGGGAATATATAGCGAGAAGCCCTAACTTGAAAGGAGGCCGGATTTCCTTGCAGTAGCTTGAATACAGGCTTGTCTTTCATCTCACAACATGAAGGGATGTCTGAATCCCCTGTGAAGACCTTAGAGAAAGCCCTAGGTCCCAGCCTCATTTTGACGGAATGCCTCACATCCCGCTGACAACTCAAGAGGCACGCGGAGTTCATTGCTTCAAAAGGTGACGATGCCTGACTCCTCTTGAATACTGATAGGAATCCCAAAATCCCTGTGGCTACTGGAAAGGGTCCTTGGGTGCCCTGGCTCACCTCGAGAAGCGTCCCTTTTGCCCTGCCAAGCCTCGAAGAGATTGCTGACGTGTCCCTCGTTACTAGACAGGAGTCCTGACGTCACTGAAGAAAGTCGTGTTTTGAAGGGCCATCCCTGCCGTAAGTCGAGAACATACCCCAGGTCCCCGCCGCAACTCGAGAAAAACAATGAGACTTCCCCCTAGAGGCGAGATGAGGCCCCATTCCCCTGCAGTGCATGCAGAGCTATTCCGTGATCCCATTCAAACAAGTCAGGAGCTTCGACTTGCTTAATGGATCTCGAGACAGTCCCCAAGAACACTGTCACCAGTCTAGACGGACCCTGAGGTCACCCCAGCAACACAAAGCTGCTCCATGTGCCCCAAATCAACTCGAGATGAGGCCCGATTCCCCTGCATTGACTCCAGAGCCATTCCCCGTTCCCCATTCAACACGACCGGTGGCTCGACTTCCTTCAGGCAACTCCAGGGATGCCCCGAGAACACTGTCCCAAGTCTAGAGGAACACCAACTTCAGCACAGCAACTCGAGGAATGCTCTGTGTACCACAAATCGTCTCGAGATGAGAGCTGATTCCCTGGCTTAGGCTCAAGACGTATGCCACCTTTCCAGAAGCACCTCAGGAGGAGGCTTCTCTCAGCAATAGGTATGTGGGAGGGACCCCGAGTTTGCTGCCTCAAGGGTAATATACAGCGAGAAGCCCTAACTTGAAAGGAGGCCGGATTTCCTTCCAGTGGCTTGAATACAGGCTCGTCTTTCATCTCACAACATGAAGGGATGTCTGAAACCCCTGTGGAGACCTTAGAGAAAGCCCTAGGTCCCTGCCTCATTTTGACGGAATCCTCACATCCCGCTGACACGTCGAGAGGCACGCGGAGTTCATTGCTTCAAAAGGTGACGATGCCTGACTCCTCTTGAATACTGATAGGAATCCCAAAATCCCTGTGGCTACTGCAAAGGGTCCTTGGGTGCCCTGGCTCACCTCGAGAAGCGTCCCTTTTGCCCTGCCAAACCTCGAAGAGATTCCTGAGGTGTCCCTCGTTACTAGGCAGGAGTCCTGACCTCACTGAAGAAAGTCGTGTTTTGAAGGGCCATCCCTGCCGTAAGTCGAGAACATACCCCAGGTCCCCGCCGCAACTCGAGAAAAACCATGAGACTTCCCCCTAGAGGCGACATGAGGCCCCATTCCCCTGCAGTGCATGCAGAGCTATTCCGTGATCCCATTCAAACAAGTCAGGAGCTTCGACTTGCTTAATGGATCTCGAGACAGTCCCCAAGAACACTGTCACCAGTCTAGACGGACCCTGAGGTCACCCCAGCAACGCAAAGCTGCTCCATGTGCCCCAAATCAACTCGAGATGAGGCCCGATTCCCCTGCATTGACTCCAGAGCCATTCCCCGTTCCCCATTCAACACGACCGGTGGCTCGACTTCCTTCAGGCAACTCCAGGGATGCCCCGAGAACACTGTCCCAAGTCTAGAGGAACACCAACTTCAGCACAGCAACTCGAGGAATGCTCTGTGTACCACAAATCGTCTTGAGATGAGAGCTGATTCCCTGGCTTAGGCTCAAGACGTATGCCACCTTTCCAGAAGCACCTCAGGAGGAGGCTTCTCTCAGCAGTAGGTATGTGGGAGGGACCCCGAGTTTGCTGCCTGAAGGGTAATATACAGCGAGAAGCCCTAACTTGAAAGGAGGCCGGATTTCCTTGCAGTGGCTTGAATACAGGCTCGTCTTTCATCTCACAACATGAAGGGATGTCTGAATCCCCTGTGGAGACCTAAGATAAAGCCCTAGGTCCCTGCCTCATTTTGACGGAATCCTCACATCCCGCTGACACCTCGAGAGGCACGCGGAGTTCATTGCTTCAAAAGGTGACGATGCCTGACTCCTCTTGAATACTGATAGGAATCCCAAAATCCCTGTGGCTACTGGAAAGGGTCCTTGGGTGCCCTGGCTCACTTCGAGAAGCGTCCCTTTTGCCCTGCCAAGCCTCGAAGAAATTGCTGAGGTGTCCCTCGTTACTAGACAGGAGTCCTGACGTCACGGAAGAAACTCGTGTTTTGAAGGGCCATCCCCGCCGTAAGTCGAGAACATACCCCAGGTTCCCGCCGCAACTCGAGAAAAACCATGAGACTTCCCCCTAGAGGCGAGATGAGGCCCCATTCCCCTGCAGTGCATGCAGAGCTATTCCGTGATCCCATTCAAACAAGTCAGGAGCTTCGACTTGCTTAATGGATCTCGAGGCAGTCCCCAAGAACACTGTCACCAGTCTAGACGGACCCTGAGGTCACCCAGCAATGCAAAGCAGCTCCATGTGCCCCAATCAACTCGAGATGAGGCCGGATTCCCCTGCATTGAATCCAGAGCCATTCCTTGTTCCCCATTCAACACGACCGGTGGCTCGACTTCTTTCAGGCAACTCCAGAGATGCCCCGAGAACACTGTCCCAAGTCTAGAGGACCACCAACTTCAGCACAGCAACTCGAGAAATGCTCTGTGTACCCCAAATCGTCTCGAGATGAGAGCTGATTCCCTGGCTTAGGCTCAAGACGTATGCCACCTTTCCAGAAGCACCTCAGGAGGAGGCTTCTCTCAGCAATAGGTATGTGGGAGGGACCCCGAGTTTGATGCCTCAAGGGGAATATACAGCGAGAAGCCCTAACTTGAAAGGAGGCCGGATTTCCTTGCAGTGGCTTGAATACAGGCTCGTCTTTCATCTCACAACATGAAGGGATGTCTGAATCCCCTGTGGAGACCTTAGAGAAAGCCCTAGGTCCCTGCCTCATTTTGACGGAATCCTCACATCCCGCTGACACCTCGAGAGGCACGCGGAGTTCATTGCTTCAAAAGGTGACGATGCCTGACTCCTCTTGAATACTTATAGGAATCCCAAAATCCCTGTGGCTACTGGAAAGGGTCCTTGGGTGCCCTGGCTCACCTCGAGAAGCGTCCCTTTTGCCCTGCCAAGCCTCGAAGAGATTGCTGACGTGTCCCTCGTTACTAGACAGGAGTCCTGACGTCACTGAAGAAAGTCGTGTTTTGAAGGGCCATCCCTGCCGTAAGTCGAGAACATACCCCAGGTCCCCGCCGCAACTCGAGAAAAACCATGAGACTTCCCCCTAGAGGCGAGATGAGGCCCCATTCCCCTGCAGTGCATGCAGAGCTATTCCGTGATCCCATTCAAACAAGTCAGGAGCTTCGACTTGCTTAATGGATCTCGAGACAGTCCCCAAGAACACTGTCACCAGTCTAGACGGACCCTGAGGTCACCTCAGCAACGCAAAGCTGCTCCATGTGCCCCAAATCAACTCGAGATGAGGCCCGATTCCCCTGCATTGACTCCAGAGCCATTCCCCGTTCCCCATTCAACACGACCGGTGGCTCGACTTCCTTCAGGCAACTCCAGGGATGCCCCGAGAACACTGTCCCAAGTCTAGAGGAACACCAACTTCAGCACAGCAACTCGAGGAATGCTCTGTGTACCACAAATCGTCTCGAGATGAGAGCTGATTCCCTGGCTTAGGCTCAAGACGTATGCCACCTTTCCAGAAGCACCTCAGGAGGAGGCTTCTCTCAGCAATAGGTATGTGGGAGGGACCCCGAGTTTGCTGCCTCAAGGGTAATATACAGCGAGAAGCCCTAACTTGAAAGGAGGCCGGATTTCCTTCCAGTGGCTTGAATACAGGCTCGTCTTTCATCTCACAACATGAAGGGATGTCTGAATCCCCTGTGGAGACCTTAGAGAAAGCCCTAGGTCCCTGCCTCATTTTGACGGAATGCCTCACATCCCGCTGACACGTCGAGAGGCACGCGGAGTTCATTGCTTCAAAAGGTGACGATGCCTGACTCCTCTTGAATACTGATAGGAATCCCAAAATCCCTGTGGCTACTGCAAAGGGTCCTTGGGTGCCCTGGCTCACCTCGAGAAGCGTCCCTTTTGTCCTGCCAAACCTCGAAGAGATTCCTGAGGTGTCCCTCGTTACTAGGCAGGAGTCCTGACCTCACTGAAGAAAGTCGTGTTTTGAAGGGCCATCCCTGCCGTAAATCGAGAACATACCCCAGGTCGCCGCCGCAACTCGAGAAAAACCATGAGACTTCCCCCTAGAGGCGACATGAGGCCCCATTCCCCTGCAGTGCATGCAGAGCTATTCCGTGATCCCATTCAAACAAGTCAGGAGCTTCGACTTGCTTAATGGATCTCGAGACAGTCCCCAAGAACACTGTCACCAGTCTAGACGGACCCTGAGGTCACCCCAGCAACGCAAAGCTGCTCCATGTGCCCCAAATCAACTCGAGATGAGGCCCGATTCCCCTGCATTGACTCCAGAGCCATTCCCCGTTCCCCATTCAACACGACCGGTGGCTCGACTTCCTTCAGGCAACTCCAGGGATGCCCCGAGAACACTGTCCCAAGTCTAGAGGAACACCAACTTCAGCACAGCAACTCGAGGAATGCTCTGTGTACCACAAATCGTCTTGAGATGAGAGCTGATTCCCTGGCTTAGGCTCAAGACGTATGCCACCATTCCAGAAGCACGTCAGGAGGAGGCTTCTCTCAGCAATAGGTATGTGGGAGGGACCCCGAGTTTGCTGCCTGAAGGGTAATATACAGCGAGAAGCCCTAACTTGAAAGGAGGCCGGATTTCCTTGCAGTGGCTTGAATACAGGCTCGTCTTTCATCTCACAACATGAAGGGATGTCTGAATCCCCTGTGGAGACCTAAGATAAAGCCCTAGGTCCCTGCCTCATTTTGACGGCATCCTCACATCCCGCTGACACCTCGAGAGGCAAGCGGAGTTCATTGCTTCAAAAGGTGACGATGCCTGACTCCTCTTGAATACTGATAGGAATCCCAAAATCCCTGTGGCTACTGGAAAGGGTCCTTGGGTGCCCTGGCTCACCTCGAGAAGCGTCCCTTTTGCCCTGCCAAGCCTCGAAGAGATTGCTGAGGTGTCCCTCGTTACTAGACAGGAGTCCTGACGTCACTGAAGAAACTCGTGTTTTGAAGGGCCATCCCCGCCGTAAGTCGAGAACATACCCCAGGTCCCTGCCGCAACTCGAGAAAAACCATGAGACTTCCCCCTAGAGGCGAGATGAGGCCCCATTCCCCTGCAGTGCATGCAGAGCTACTCCGTGATCCCATTCAAACAAGTCAGGAGCTTCGACTTGCTTAATGGATCTCGAGACAGTCCCCAAGAACACTGTCACCAGTCTAGACGGACCCTGAGGTCACCCAGCAATGCAAAGCAGCTCCATGTGCCCCAAATCAACTCGAGATGAGGCCCGATTCCCCTGCATTGACTCCAGAGCCATTACCCGTTCCCCATTCAACACGACCGGTGGCTCGACTTCCTTCAGGCAACTCCAGGGATGCCCCGAGAACACTGTCCCAAGTCTAGAGGAACACCAACTTCAGCACAGCAACTCGAGGAATGCTCTGTGTACCCCAAATCGTCTCGAGATGAGAGCTGATTCCCTGGCTTAGGCTCAAGACGTATGCCACCTTTCCAGAAGCACCTCAGGAGGAGGCTTCTCTCAGCAATAGGTATGTGGGAGGGACCCCGAGTTTGCTGCCTCAAGGGGAATATACAGCGAGAAGCCCTAACTTGAAAGGAGGCCGGATTTCCTTCCAGTGGCTTGAATACAGGCTCGTCTTTCATCTCACAACATGAAGGGATGTCTGCATCCCCTGTGGAGACCTTAGAGAAAGCCCTAGGTCCCTGCCTCATTTTGACGGAATCCTCACATCCCGCTGACACCTCGAGAGGCACGCGGAGTTCATTGCTTCAAAAGGTGACGATGCCTGACTCCTCTTGAATACTGATAGGAATCCCAAAATCCCTGTGGCTACTGGAAAGGGTCCTTGGGTGCCCTGGCTCACCTCGAGAAGCGTCCCTTTTGCCCAGCCAAGCCTCGAAGAGATTCCTGAGGTGTCCCTCGTTACTAGGCAGGAGTCCTGACGTCACTGGAGAAACTCGTGTTTTGAAGGGCCATCCCCGCCGTAAGTCGAGAACATACCCCAGGGCCCTGCCACAACTCGAGAAAAACCGTGAGACTTCCCCCTAGAGGCGAGATGAGGCCCCATTCCCCTGCAGTGCATGCAGAGCTATTCCGTGATCCCATTCAAACAAGTCAGGAGCTTCGACTTGCTTAATGGATCTCGAGACAGTCCCCAAGAACACTGTCACCAGTCTAGACGGACCCTGAGGTCACCCAGCAATGCAAAGCAGCTCCATGTGCCCCAAATCAACTCGAGATGAGGCCGGATTCCCCTGCATTGACTCCAGAGCCATTCCTTGTTCCCCATTCAACATGACCGGTGGCTCGACTTCCTTCAGGCAACTCCAGAGATGCCTCGAGAGCACTATCCCAAGTCTAGAGGACCACCAACTTCAGCAGAGCAACTCGAGGAATGCTCTGTGTACCCCAAATCGTCTCGAGATGAGAGCTGATTCCCTGGCTTAGGCTCAAGACGTATGCCACCTTTCCAGAAGCACCTCAGGAGGAGGCTTCTCTCAGCAATAGGTATGTGGGAGGGACCCCGAGTTTGCTGCCTCAAGGGGAATATACAGCGAGAAGCCCTAACTTGAAAGGAGGCCGGATTTCCTTGCAGTGGCTTGAATACAGGCTCGTCTTTCATCTCACAACATGAAGGGATGTCTGAATCCCCTGTGGAGACCTTAGAGAAAGCCCTAGGTCCCTGCCTCATTTTGACGGAATCCTCACATCCCGCTGACACCTCGAGAGGCACGCGGAGTTCATTGCTTCAAAAGGTGACGATGCCTGACTCCTCTTGAATACATATAGGAATCCCAAAATCCCTGTGGCTACTGGAAAGGGTCCTTGGGTGCCCTGGCTCACCTCGAGAAGCGTCCCTTTTGCCCTGCCAAGCCTCGAAGAGATTGCTGACGTGTCCCTCGTTACTAGACAGGAGTCCTGACGTCACTGAAGAAACTCGTGTTTTGAAGGGCCATCCCCGCCGTAAGTCGAGAACATATCCCAGGTCCCCGCCGCAACTCGAGAAAAACCATGAGACTTCCCCCTAGAGGCGAGATGAGGCCCCATTCCCCTGCAGTGCATGCAGAGCTATTCCGTGATCCCATTCAAACAAGTCAGGAGCTTCGACTTGCTTAATGGATCTCGAGGCAGTCCCCAAGAACACTGTCACCAGTCTAGAGGGACCCTGAAGTCACCCAGCAATGCAAAGCAGCTCCATGTGCCCCAAATCAACTCGAGATGAGGCCGGATTCCCCTGCATTGACTCCAGAGCCATTCCTTGTTCCCCATTCAACACGACCGGTGGCTCGACTTCTTTCAGGCAACTCCAGAGATGCCCCGAGAACACTGTCCCAAGTCTAGAGGACCACCAACTTCAGCACAGCAACTCGAGAAATGCTCTGTGTACCCCAAATAGTCTCGAGATGAGAGCTGATTCCCTGGCTTAGGCTCAAGACGTATGCCACCTTTCCAGAAGCACCTCAGGAGGAGGCTTCTCTCAGCAATAGGTATGTGGGAGGGACCCCGAGTTTGCTGCCTCAAGGGGAATATACAGCGAGAAGCCCTAACTTGAAAGGAGGCCGGATTTCCTTGCAGTGGCTTGAATACAGGCTCGTCTTTCATCTCACAACATGAAGGGATGTCTGAATCCCCTGTGGAGACCTTAGAGAAAGCCCTAGGCCCTGCCTCATTTTGACGGAATCCTCACATCCCGCTGACACCTCGAGAGGCACGCGGAGTTCATTGCTTCAAAAGGTGACGATGCCTGACTCCTCTAGAATACTTATAGGAATCCCAAAATCCCTGTGGCTACTGGAAAGGGTCCTTGGGTGCCCTGGCTCACCTCGAGAAGCGTCCCTTTTGACCTGCCAAGCCTCGAAGAGATTCCTGAGGTGTCCCTGGTTACTAGACAGGAGTCCTGACGTCACTGAAGAAACTCGTGTTTTGAAGGGCCATCCCCGCCGTAAGTCGAGAACATAACCCAGGTCCCCGCCGCAACTCGAGAAAAACCATGAGACTTCCCCCTAGAGGCGAGATGAGGCCCCATTCCCCTGCAGTGCATGCAGAGCTATTCCGTGATCCCATTCAAACAAGTCAGGAGCTTCGACTTGCTTAATGGATCTCGAGACAGTCCCCAAGAACACTGTCACCAGTCTAGACGGACCCTGAGGTCACCCCAGCAACGCAAAGCTGCTCCATGTGCCCCAAATCAACTCGAGATGAGGCCCGATTCCCCTGCATTGACTCCAGAGCCATTCCCCGTTCCCCATTCAACACGACCGGTGGCTCGACTTCCTTCAGGCAACTGCAGAGATGCCCCGAGAACACTGCCCCAAGTCTAGAGGAACAACAACTTCAGCACAGCAACTCGAGGAATGCTCCGTGTACCCCAAATCATCTCGAGATGAGAGCTGATTCTCTGGCTTAGGCTCAAGACGTATGCCAACTTTCCAGAAGCACCTCAGGAGGACGCTTCTCTCAGCAATAGGTATGTGGGAGCGACCCCGAGTTTGCTGCCTCAAGGGGAATACACCGGGAGAAGCCCTAACGTGAACGGAGGCCAGATTTCCTTGCAGTGGGTTGAATAAAGGCTCGTCTTCGATCTGAAAACATGAAGGGATGTCTGAATCCCCTGTGGAGACCTTAGAGGAAGCCCTAGGTCCCTGCCTCATTTTGACGGAATACCTCACATCCCCCTGACACCTCGAGAGGCACGCAGAGTTCATTGCTTCAAAAGGTGACGATGCCTGACTCCTCTTGAATACTTATAGGAATCCCAAAATCCCTGTTGCTACTGGAAAGGGTCCTTGGGTGCCCTGCCTCACCTCGAGAAGCGTCCCTTTTGCCCTGCCAAGCCTCGAAGAAATTGCTGAGGTGTCCCTCGTTACTAGACAGGAGTCCTGACGTCACCGAAGAAACTCGTGTTTTGAAGGGCCATCCCCACCGTAAGTCGAGAACATAACCCAGGTCCCCGCCGCAACTCGAGAAAAACCATGAGACTTCCCCCTAGAGGCGAGATGAGGCCACATTCCCCTGCAGTGCATGCAGAGCTATTCCGTGATCCCATTCAAACAAGTCAGGAGCTTCGACTTGCTTAATGGATCTCGAGACAGTCCCCAAGAACACTGTCACCAGTCTAGACGGACCCTGAAGTCACCACAGCAACGCAAAGCAGCTCCATGTGCCCCAAATCAACTCGAGATGAGGCCCGATTCCCCTGCATTGACCCAAGAGCCATTCCCCGTTCCCCGTTCAACACGAAGGGAGGCTCGCCTTCCTTCAGGCAACTCCAGAGATGCCCCGAGAACACTGTCCCAAGTCTAGAGGAACACCAACTTCAGCACAGCAACTCGAGGAATGCTCTGTGTACCCCAAATCGTCTCGAGATGAGAGCTGATTCCCTGGCTTAGGCTCAAGACGTATGCCACCTTTCCAGAAGCACCTCAGGAGGAGGCTTCTCTCAGCAATAGGTATGTGGGAGGGACCCCGAGTTTGCTGCCTCAAGGGGAATATACAGCGAGAAGCCCTAACTTGAAAGGAGGCCGGATTTCCTTGCAGTGGCTTGAATACAGGCTCGTCTTTCATCTCACAACATGAAGGGATGTCTGAATCCCCTGTGGAGACCTTAGAGAAAGCCCTAGGTCACTGCCTCATTTTGACGGAATCCTCACATCCCGCTGACACCTCGAGAGGCACGCGGAGTTCATTGCTTCAAAAGGTGACGATGCCTGACTCCTCTTGAATACTGATAGGAATCCTAAAATCCCTGTGGCTACTGGAAAGGGTCCTTGGGTGACCTGGCTCACCTCGAGAAGCGTCCCTTTTGCCCTGCCAAGCCTCGAAGAGATTCCTGAGGTGTCCCTCGTTACTAGGCAGGAGTCCTGACGTCACTGGAGAAACTCGTGTTTTGAAGGGCCATCCCCGCCGTAAGTCGAGAACATACCCCAGGGCCCTGCCGCAACTCGAGAAAAACCGTGAGACTTCCCCCTAGAGGCGAGATGAGGCCCCATTCCCCTGCAGTGCATGCAGAGCTATTCCGTGATCCCATTCAAACAAGTCAGGAGCTTCGACTTGCTTAATGGATCTCGAGACAGTCCCCAAGAACACTGTCACCAGTCTAGACGGACCCTGAGGTCACCCCAGCAACGCAAAGCTGCTCCATGTGCCCCAAATCAACTCGAGATGAGGCCCGATTCCCCTGCATTGACTCCAGAGCCATTCCCCGTTCCCCATTCAACACGACCGGTGGCTCGACTTCCTTCAGGCAACTCCAGGGATGCCCCGAGAACACTGTCCGAAGTCTAGAGGAACACCAACTTCAGCACAGCAACTCGAGGAATGCTCTGTGTACCACAAATCGTCTAGAGATGAGAGCTGATTCCCTGGCTTAGGCTCAAGACGTATGCCACCTTTCCAGAAGCACCTCAGGAGGAGGCTTCTCTCAGCAATAGGTATGTGGGAGGGACCCCGAGTTTGCTGCCTGAAGGGTAATATACAGCGAGAAGCCCTAACTTGAAAGGAGGCCGGATTTCCTTGCAGTGGCTTGAATACAGGCTCGTCTTTCATCTCACAACATGAAGGGATGTCTGAATCCCCTGTGGAGACCTAAGATAAAGCCCTAGGTCCCTGCCTCATTTTGACGGAATCCTCACATCCCGCTGACACCTCGAGAGGCACGCGGAGTTCATTGCTTCAAAAGGTGACGATGCCTGACTCCTCTTGAATACTGATAGGAATCCCAAAATCCCTGTGGCTACTGGAAAGGGTCCTTGGGTGCCCTGGCTCACCTCGTGAAGCGTCCCTTTTGCCCTGCCAAGCCTCGAAGAGATTGCTGAGGTGTCCCTCGTTACTAGACAGGAGTCCTGACGTCACTGAAGAAACTCGTGTTTTGAAGGGCCATCCCCGCCGTAAGTCGAGAACATACCCCAGGTCCCTGCCGCAACTCGAGAAAAACCATGAGACTTCCCCCTAGAGGCGAGATGAGGCCCCATTCCCCTGCAGTGCATGCAGAGCTACTCCGTGATCCCATTCAAACAAGTCAGGAGCTGCGACTTGCTTAATGGATCTCGAGACAGTCCCCAAGAACACTGTCACCAGTCTAGACGGACCCTGAGGTCACCCAGCAATGCAAAGCAGCTCCATGTGCCCCAAATCAACTCGAGATGAGGCCCGATTCCCCTGCATTGACTCCAGAGCCATTCCCCGTTCCCCATTCAACACGACCGGTGGCTCGACTTCCTTCAGGCAACTCCAGGGATGCCCCGAGAACACTGTCCCAAGTCTAGAGGAACACCAACTTCAGCACAGCAACTCGAGGAATGCTCTGTGTACCCCAAATCGTCTGGAGATGAGAGCTGATTCCCTGGCTTAGGCTCAAGACGTATGCCACCTTTCCAGAAGCACCTCAGGAGGAGGCTTCTCTCAGCAATAGGTATGTGGGAGGGACCCCGAGTTTGCTGCCTCAAGGGGAATATACAGCGAGAAGCCCTAACTTGAAAGGAGGCCGGATTTCCTTGCAGTGGCTTGAATACAGGCTCGTCTTTCATCTCACAACATGAAGGGATGTCTGCATCCCCTGTGGAGACCTTAGAGAAAGCCCTAGGTCCCTGCCTCATTTTGACGGAATCCTCACATCCCGCTGACACCTCGAGAGGCACGCGGAGTTCATTGCTTCAAAAGGTGACGATGCCTGACTCCTCTTGAATACTGATAGGAATCCCAAAATCCCTGTGGCTACTGGAAAGGGTCCTTGGGTGCCCTGCCTCACCTCGAGAAGCGTCCCTTTTGCCCTGCCAAGCCTCGAAGAGATTCCTGAGGTGTCCCTCGTTACTAGGCAGGAGTCCTGACGTCACTGGAGAAACTCGTGTTTTGAAGGGCCATCCCCGCCGTAAGTCGAGAACATAACCCAGGGCCCTGCCGCAACTCGAGAAAAACCGTGAGACTTCCCCCTAGAGGCGAGATGAGGCCCCATTCCCCTGCAGTGCATGCAGAGCTATTCCGTGATCCCATTCAAACAAGTCAGGAGCTTCGACTTGCTTAATGGATCTCGAGGCAGTCCCCAAGAACACTGTCACCAGTCTAGAGGGACCGTGAAGTCACCCAGCAATGCAAAGCAGCTCCATGTGCCCCAAATCAACTCGAGATGAGGCCAGATTCCCCTGCATTGACTCCAGAGCCATTCCTTGTTCCCCATTCAACACGACCAGTGGCTCGACTTCTTTCAGGCAACTCCAGAGATGCCCCGAAAACACTGTCCCAAGTCTAGAGGACCACCAACTTCAGCACAGCAACTCGAGAAATGCTCTGTGTACCCCAAATCGTCTCGAGATGAGAGCTGATTCCCTGGCTTAGGCTCAAGACGTATGCCACCTTTCCAGAAGCACCTCAGGAGGAGGCTTCTCTCAGCAATAGGTATGTGGGAGGGACCCCGAGTTTGCTGCCTCAAGGGGAATATACAGCGAGAAGCCCTAACTTGAAAGGAGGCCGGATTTCCTTGCAGTGGCTTGAATACAGGCTCGTCTTTCATCTCACAACATGAAGGGATGTCTGAATCCCCTGTGGAGACCTTAGAGAAAGCCCTAGGTCCCTGCCTCATTTTGACGGAATCCTCATATCCCGCTGACACCTCGAGAGGCACGCGGAGTTCATTGCTTCAAAAGGTGACGATGCCTGACTCCTCTTGAATACTTATAGGAATCCCAAAATCCCTGTAGCTACTGGAAAGGGTCCTTGGGTGCCCTGGCTCACCTCGAGAAGCGTCCCTTTTGCCCTGCCAAGCCTCGAAGAGATTGCTGAGGTGTCCCTCGTTACTAGACAGGAGTCCTGACGTCACGGAAGAAACTCGTGTTTTGAAGGGCCATCCCCGCCGTAAGTCGAGAACATACCCCAGGTCCCCGCCGCAACTCGAGAAAAACCATGAGACTTCCCCCTAGAGGCGAGATGAGGCCCCATTCCCCTGCAGTGCATGCAGAGCTATTCCGTGATCCCATTCAAACAAGTCAGGAGCTTCGACTTGCTTAATGGATCTCGAGACAGTCCCCAAGAACACTGTCACCAGTCTAGACGGACCCTGAGGTCACCCAGCAATGCAAAGCAGCTCCATGTGCCCCAAATCAACTCGAGATGAGGCCGGATTCCCCTGCATTGACTCCAGAGCCATTCCTTGTTCCCCATTCAACACGACCGGTGGCTCGACTTCCTTCAGGCAACTCCAGAGATGCCCCGAGAACACTGTCCCAAGTCTAGTGGAACACCAACTTCAGCACAGCAACTCGAGGAATGCTCTGTGTACCCCAAATCGTCTCGAGATGAGAGCTGATTCCCTGGCTTAGGCTCAAGACGTATGCCACCTTTCGAGAAACACCTCAGGAGGAGGCTTCTCTCAGCAATAGGTATGTGGGAGGGACCCCGAGTTTGCTGCCTCAAGGGGAATATACAGCGAGAAGTCCTAACTTGAAAGGAGGCCGGATTTCCTTGCAGTGGCTTGAATACCGGCTCGTCTTTCATCTCACAACATGAAGGGATGTCTGAATCCCCTGTGGAGACCTTAGAGAAAGCCCTAGGTCCCTGCCTCATTTTGACGGAATCCTCACATCCCGCTGACACCTCGAGAGGCACGCGGAGTTCATTGCTTCAAAAGGTGACGATGCCTGACTCCTCTTGAATACTTATAGGAATCCCAAAATCCCTGTGGCTACTGGAAAGGGTCCTTGGGTGCCCTGGCTCACCTCGAGAAGCGTCCCTTTTGCCCTGCCAAGCCTCGAAGAGATTGCTGAGGTGTCCCTCGTTACTAGACAGGAGTCCTGACGTCACTGAAGAAACTCGTGTTTTGAAGGGCCATCCCCGCCGTAAGTCGAGAACATACCCCAGGTCCCCGCCGCAACTCGAGAAAAACCATGAGACTTCCCCCTAAAGGCGAGATGAGGCCCCATTCCCCTGCAGTGCATGCAGAGCTATTCCGTGATCCCATTCAAACAAGTCAGGAGCTTCGACTTGCTTAATGGATCTCGAGACAGTCCCCAAGAACACTGTCACCAGTCTAGACGGACCCTGAGGTCACCCCAGCAACGCAAAGCTGCACTATGTGCCCAAAATCAACTCGAGATGAGGCCCGATTCCCCTGCATTGACTCCAGAGCCATTCCCCGTTCCCCATTCAACACGACCGGTGGCTCGACTTCCTTCAGGCAACTGCAGAGATGCCCCGAGAACACTGCCCCAAGTCTAGAGGAACACCAACTTCAGCACAGCAACTCGAGGAATGCTCCGTGTACCCCAAATCATCTCGAGATGAGAGCTGATTCTCTGGCTTAGGCTCAAGACGTATGCCACCTTTCCAGAAGCACCTCAGGAGGAGGCTTCTCTCAGCAATAGGTATGTGGGAGCGACCCCGAGTATGCTGCCTCAAGGGGAATACACAGGGAGAAGCCGTAACGTGAACGGAGGCCAGATTTCCTTGCAGTGGGTTGAATAAAGGCTCGTCTTCGATCTGAAAACATGAAGGGATGTCTAAATTCCCTGTGGAGACCTTAGAGGAAGCCCTAGGTCCCTGCCTCATTTTGACGGAATACCTCACATCCCCCTGACACCTCGAGAGGCACGCAGAGTTCATTGCTTCAAAAGGTGACGATGCCTGACTCCTCTTGAATACTTATAGGAATCCCAAAATCCCTGTAGCTACTGGAAAGGGTCCTTGGGTGCCCTGGCTCACCTCGAGAAGCGTCCCTTTTGCCCTGCCAAGCCTCGAAGAAATTGCTGAGGTGTCCCTCGTTACTAGACAGGAGTCCTGACGTCACAGAAGAAACTCGAGTTTTGAAGGGCCATCCCCGCCGTAAGTCGAGAACATACCCCAGGTCCCCGCCGCAACTCGAGAAAAACCATGAGACTTCCCCCTAGAGGCGAGATGAGGCCCCATTCCCCTGCAGTGCATGCAGAGCTATTCCGTGATCCCATTCAAACAAGTCAGGAGCTTCGACTTGCTTAATGGATCTCGAGACAGTCCCCAAGAACACTGTCACCAGTCTAGACGGACCCTGAGGTCACCCCAGCAACGCAAAGCTGCTCCATGTGCCCCAAATCAACTCGAGATGAGGCCCGATTCCCCTGCATTGACTCCAGAGCCATTCCTTGTTCCCCATTCAACACGACCGGTGGCTTGACTTCCTTCAGGCAACTCCAGAGATGCCTCGAGAGCACTATCCCAAGTCTAGAGGACCACCAACTTCAGCAGAGCAACTCGAGGAATGCTCTGTGTACCCCAAATCGTCTCGAGATGAGAGCTGATTCCCTGGCTTAGGCTCAAGACGTATGCCACCTTTCCAGAAGCACCTCAGGAGGAGGCTTCTCTCAGCAATAGGTATGTGGGAGGGACCCCGAGTTTGCTGCCTCAAGGGGAATATACAGCGAGAAGCCCTAACTTGAAAGGAGGCCGGATTTCCTTGCAGTGGCTTGAATACAGGCTCGTCTTTCATCTCACAACATGAAGGGATGTCTGAATCCCCTGTGGAGACCTTAGAGAAAGCCCTAGGTCCCTGCCTCATTTTGACGGAATCCTCACATCCCGCTGACACCTCGAGAGGCACGCGGAGTTCATTGCTTCAAAAGGTGACGATGCCTGACTCCTCTAGAATACTTATAGGAATCCCAAAATCCCTGTGGCTACTGGAAAGGGTCCTTGGGTGCCCTGGCTCACCTCGAGAAGCGTCCCTTTTGACCTGCCAAGCCTCGAAGAGATTCCTGAGGTGTCCCTGGTTACTAGACAGGAGTCCTGACGTCACTGAAGAAACTCGTGTTTTGAAGGGCCATCCCCGCCGTAAGTCGAGAACATAACCCAGGTCCCCGCCGCAACTCGAGAAAAACCATGAGACTTCCCCCTAGAGGCGAGATGAGGCCCCATTCCCTTGCAGTGCATGCAGAGCTATTCCGTGATCCCAATCAAACAAGTCAGGAGCTTCGACTTGCTTAATGGATCTCGAGACAGTCCCCAAGAACACTGTCACCAGTCTAGACGGACCCTGAGGTCACCCCAGCAACGCAAAGCTGCTCCATGTGCCCCAAATCAACTCGAGATGAGGCCCGATTCCCCTGCATTGACTCCAGAGCCATTCCCCGTTCCCCATTCAACACGACCGGTGGCTCGACTTCCTTCAGGCAACTGCAGAGATGCCCCGAGAACACTGCCCCAAGTCTAGAGGAACACCAACTTCAGCACAGCAACTCGAGGAATGCTCCGTGTACCCCAAATCATCTCGAGATGAGAGCTGATTCTCTGGCTTAGGCTCAAGACGTATGCCAACTTTCCAGAAGCACCTGAGGAGGACGCTTCTCTCAGCAATAGGTATGTGGGAGCGACCCCGAGTTTGCTGCCTCAAGGGGAATACACAGGGAGAAGCCCTAACGTGAACGGAGGCCAGATTTCCTTGCAGTGGGTTGAATAAAGGCTCGTCTTCGATCTGAAAACATGAAGGGATGTCTGAATCCCCTGTGGAGACCTTAGAGGAAGCCCTAGGTCCCTGCCTCATTTTGACGGAATACCTCACATCCCCCTGACACCTCGAGAGGCACGCAGAGTTCATTGCTTCAAAAGGTGACGATGCCTGACTCCTCTTGAATACTTATAGGAATCCCAAAATCCCTGTTGCTACGGGAAAGGGTCCTTGGGTGCCCTGGCTCACCTCGAGAAGCGTCCCTTTTGCCCTGCCAAGCCTCGAAGACATTGCTGAGGTGTCCCTCGTTACTAGACAGGAGTCCTGACGTCACCGAAGAAACTCGTGTTTTGAAGGGCCATCCCCACCGTAAGTCGAGAACATACCCCAGGTCCCCGCCGCAACTCGAGAAAAACCATGAGACTTCCCCCTAGAGGCGAGATGAGGCCACATTCCCCTGCAGTGCATGCAGAGCTATTCCGTGATCCCATTCAAACAAGTCAGGAGCTTCGACTTGCTTAATGGATCTCGAGACAGTCCCCAAGAACACTGTCACCAGTCTAGACGGACCCTGAGGTCACCACAGCAACGCAAAGCAGCTCCATGTGCCCCAAATCAACTCGAGATGAGGCCCGATTCCCCTGCATTGACCCCAGAGCCATTCCCCGTTCCCCGTTCAACACGAAGGGAGGCTCGCCTTCCTTCAGGCAACTCCAGAGATGCCCCGAGAACACTGTCCCAAGTCTAGAGGAACACCAACTTCAGCACAGCAACTCGAGGAATGCTCTGTGTACCCCAAATCGTCTCGAGATGAGAGCTGATTCCCTGGCTTAGGCTCAAGACGTATGCCACCTTTCCAGAAGCACCTCAGGAGGAGGCTTCTCTCAGCAATAGGTATGTGGGAGGGACCCTGAGTTTGCTGCCTCAAGGGGAATATACAGCGAGAAGCCCTAACTTGAAAGGAGGCCGGATTTCCTTGCAGTGGCTTGAATACAGGCTCGTCTTTCATCTCACAACATGAAGGGATGTCTGAATCCCCTGTGGAGACCTTAGAGAAAGCCCTAGGTCCCTGCCTCATTTTGACGGAATCCTCACATCCCGGTGACACCTCGAGAGGCACGCGGAGTTCATTGCTTCAAAAGGTGACGATGCCTGACTCCTCTTGAATACTGATAGGAATCCCAAAATCCCTGTGGCTACTGGAAAGGGTCCTTGGGTGCCCTGGCTCACCTCGAGAAGCGTCCCTTTTGCCCTGCCAAGCCTCGAAGAGATTCCTGAGGTGTCCCTCGTTACTAGGCAGGAGTCCTGACGTCACTGGAGAAACTCGTGTTTTGAAGGGCCATCCCCGCCGTAAGTCGAGAACATACCCCAGGGCCCTGCCGCAACTCGAGAAAAACCGTGAGACTTCCCCCTAGAGGCGAGTTGAGGCCCCATTCCCCTGCAGTGCATGCAGAGCTATTCCATGATCCCATTCAAACAAGTCAGGAGCTTCGACTTGCTTAATGGATCTCGAGACAGTCCCCAAGAACACTGTCACCAGTCTAGACGGACCCTGAGGTCACCCAGCAATGCAAAGCAGCTCCATGTGCCCCAAATCAACTCGAGATGAGGCCGGATTCCCCTGCATTGACTCCAGAGCCATTCCTTGTTCCCCATTCAACATGACCGGTGGCTCGACTTCCTTCAGGCAACTCCAGAGATGCCTCGAGAGCACTATCCCAAGTCTAGAGGACCACCAACTTCAGCAGAGCAACTCGAGGAATGCTCTGTGTACCCCAAATCGTCTCGAGATGAGAGCTGATTCCCTGGCTTAGGCTCAAGACGTATGCCACCTTTCCAGAAGCACCTCAGGAGGAGGCTTCTCTCAGCAATAGGTATGTGGGAGGGACCCCGAGTTTGCTGCCTCAAGGGGAATATACAGCGAGAAGCCCTAACTTGAAAGGAGGCCGGATTTCCTTGCAGTGGCTTGAATACAGGCTCGTCTTTCATCTCACAACATGAAGGGATGTCTGAATCCCCTGTGGAGACCTTAGAGAAAGCCCTAGGTCCCTGCCTCATTTTGACGGAATCCTCACATCCCGCTGACACCTCGAGAGGCACGCGGAGTTCATTGCTTCAAAAGGTGACGATGCCTGACTCCTCTTGAATACTTATAGGAATCCCAAAATCCCTGTGGCTACTGGAAAGGGTCCTTGGGTGCCCTGGCTCACCTCGAGAAGCGTCCCTTTTGCCCTGCCAAGCCTCGAAGAGATTGCTGACGTGTCCCTCGTTACTAGACAGGAGTCCTGACGTCACTGAAGAAACTCGTGTTTTGAAGGGCCATCCCCGCCGTAAGTCGAGAACATACCCCAGGTCCCCGCCGCAACTCGAGAAAAACCATGAGACTTCCCCCTAGAGGCGAGATGAGGCCCCATTCCCCTGCAGTGCATGCAGAGCTATTCCGTGATCCCATTCAAACAAGTCAGGAGCTTCGACTTGCTTAATGGATCTCGAGGCAGTCCCCAAGAACACTGTCACCAGTCTAGAGGGACCCTGAAGTCACCCAGCAATGCAAAGCAGCTCCATGTGCCCCAAATCAACTCGAGATGAGGCCGGATTCCCCTGCATTGACTCCAGAGCCATTCCTTGTTCCCCATTCAACATGACCGGTGGCTCGACTTCTTTCAGGCAACTCCAGAGATGCCCCGAGAACACTGTCCCAAGTCTAGAGGACCACCAACTTCAGCACAGCAACTCGAGAAATGCTCTGTGTACCCCAAATCGTCTCGAGATGAGAGCTGATTCCCTGGCTTAGGCTCAAGACGTATGCCACCTTTCCAGAAGCACCTCAGGAGGAGGCTTCTCTCAGCAATAGGTATGTGGGAGGGACCCCGAGTTTGCTGCCTCAAGGGGAATATACAGCGAGAAGCCCTAACTTGAAAGGAGGCCGGATTTCCTTGCAGTGGCTTGAATACAGGCTCGTCTTTCATCTCACAACATGAAGGGATGTCTGAATCCCCTGTGGAGACCTTAGAGAAAGCCCTAGGTCCCTGCCTCATTTTGACGGAATCCTCATATCCCGCTGACACCTCGAGAGGCACGCGGAGTTCATTGCTTCAAAAGGTGACGATGCCTGACTCCTCTTGAATACTTATAGGAATCCCAAAATCCCTGTAGCTACTGGAAAGGGTCCTTGGGTGCCCTGGCTCACCTCGAGAAGCGTCCCTTTTGCCCTGCCAAGCCTCGAAGAGATTGCTGAGGTGTCCCTCGTTACTAGACAGGAGTCCTGACGTCACGGAAGAAACTCGTGTTTTGAAGGGCCATCCCCGCCGTAAGTCGAGAACATACCCCAGGTCCCCGCCGCAACTCGAGAAAAACCATGAGACTTCCCCCTAGAGGCGAGATGAGGCCCCATTCCCCTGCAGTGCATGCAGAGCTATTCCGTGATCCCATTCAAACAAGTCAGGAGCTTCGACTTGCTTAATGGATCTCGAGACAGTCCCCAAGAACACTGTCACCAGTCTAGACGGACCCTGAGGTCACCCAGCAATGCAAAGCAGCTCCATGTGCCCCAAATCAACTCGAGATGAGGCCGGATTCCCCTGCATTGACTCCAGAGCCATTCCTTGTTCCCCATTCAACACGACCGGTGGCTCGACTTCCTTCAGGCAACTCCAGAGATGCCCCGAGAACACTGTCCCAAGTCTAGTGGAACACCAACTTCAGCACAGCAACTCGAGGAATGCTCTGTGTACCCCAAATCGTCTCGAGATGAGAGCTGATTCCCTGGCTTAGGCTCAAGACGTATGCCACCTTTCGAGAAACACCTCAGGAGGAGGCTTCTCTCAGCAATAGGTATGTGGGAGGGACCCCGAGTTTGCTGCCTCAAGGGGAATATACAGCGAGAAGTCCTAACTTGAAAGGAGGCCGGATTTCCTTGCAGTGGCTTGAATAGCGGCTCGTCTTTCATCTCACAACATGAAGGGATGTCTGAATCCCCTGTGGAGACCTTAGAGAAAGCCCTAGGTCCCTGCCTCATTTTGACGGAATCCTCACATCCCGCTGACACCTCGAGAGGCACGCGGAGTTCATTGCTTCAAAAGGTGACGATGCCTGACTCCTCTTGAATACTTATAGGAATCCCAAAATCCCTGTGGCTACTGGAAAGGGTCCTTGGGTGCCCTGGCTCACCTCGAGAAGCGTCCCTTTTGCCCTGCCAAGCCTCGAAGAGATTGCTGAGGTGTCCCTCGTTACTAGACAGGAGTCCTGACGTCACTGAAGAAACTCGTGTTTTGAAGGGCCATCCCCGCCGTAAGTCGAGAACATACCCCAGGTCCCCGCCGCAACTCGAGAAAAACCATGAGACTTCCCCCTAGAGGCGAGATGAGGCCCCATTCCCCTGCAGTGCATGCAGAGCTATTCCGTGATCCCATTCAAACAAGTCAGGAGCTTCGACTTGCTTAATGGATCTCGAGACAGTCCCCAAGAACACTGTCACCAGTCTAGACGGACCCTGAGGTCACCCCAGCAACGCAAAGCTGCACTATGTGCCCAAAATCAACTCGAGATGAGGCCCGATTCCCCTGCATTGACTCCAGAGCCATTCCCCGTTCCCCATTCAACACGACCGGTGGCTCGACTTCCTTCAGGCAACTGCAGAGATGCCCCGAGAACACTGCCCCAAGTCTAGAGGAACACCAATTTCAGCACAGCAACTCGAGGAATGCTCCGTGTACCCCAAATCATCTCGAGATGAGAGCTGATTCTCTGGCTTAGGCTCAAGACGTATGCCAACTTTCCAGAAGCACCTCAGGAGGAGGCTTCTCTCAGCAATAGGTATGTGGGAGCGACCCCGAGTATGCTGCCTCAAGGGGAATACACAGGGAGAAGCCGTAACGTGAACGGAGGCCAGATTTCCTTGCAGTGGGTTGAATAAAGGCTCGTCTTCGATCTGAAAACATGAAGGGATGTCTGAATTCCCTGTGGAGACCTTAGAGGAAGCCCTAGGTCCCTGCCTCATTTTGACGGAATACCTCACATCCCCCTGACACCTCGAGAGGCACGCAGAGTTCATTGCTTCAAAAGGTGACGATGCCTGACTCCTCTTGAATACTTATAGGAATCCCAAAATCCCTGTAGCTACTGGAAAGGGTCCTTGGGTGCCCTGGCTCACCTCGAGAAGCGTCCCTTTTGCCCTGCCAAGCCTCGAAGAAATTGCTGAGGTGTCCCTCGTTACTAGACAGGAGTCCTGACGTCACGGAAGAAACTCGAGTTTTGAAGGGCCATCCCCGCCGTAAGTCGAGAACATACCCCAGGTCCCCGCCGCAACTCGAGAAAAACCATGAGACTTCCCCCTAGAGGCGAGATGAGGCCCCATTCCCCTGCAGTGCATGCAGAGCTATTCCGTGATCCCATTCAAACAAGTCAGGAGCTTCGACTTGCTTAATGGATCTCGAGACAGTCCCCAAGAACACTGTCACCAGTCTAGACGGACCCTGAGGTCACCCCAGCAACGCAAAGCTGCTCCATGTGCCCCAAATCAACTCGAGATGAGGCCCGATTCCCCTGCATTGACTCCAGAGCCATTCCTTGTTCCCCATTCAACACGACCGGTGGCTTGACTTCCTTCAGGCAACTCCAGAGATGCCTCGAGAGCACTATCCCAAGTCTAGAGGACCACCAACTTCAGCACAGCAACTCGAGGAATGCTCTGTGTACCCCAAATCGTCTCGAGATGAGAGCTGATTCCCTGGCTTAGGCTCAAGACGTATGCCACCTTTCCAGAAGCACCTCAGGAGGAGGCTTCTCTCAGCAATAGGTATGTGGGAGGGACCCCGAGTTTGCTGCCTCAAGGGGAATATACAGCGAGAAGCCCTAACTTGAAAGGAGGCCGGATTTCCTTGCAGTGGCTTGAATACAGGCTCGTCTTTCATCTCACAACATGAAGGGATGTCTGAATCCCCTGTGGAGACCTTAGAGAAAGCCCTAGGTCCCTGCCTCATTTTGACGGAATCCTCACATCCCGCTGACACCTCGAGAGGCACGCGGAGTTCATTGCTTCAAAAGGTGACGATGCCTGACTCCTCTAGAATACTTATAGGAATCCCAAAATCCCTGTGGCTACTGGAAAGGGTCCTTGGGTGCCCTGGCTCACCTCGAGAAGCGTCCCTTTTGACCTGCCAAGCCTCGAAGAGATTCCTGAGGTGTCCCTGGTTACTAGACAGGAGTCCTGACGTCACTGAAGAAACTCGTGTTTTGAAGGGCCATCCCCGCCGTAAGTCGAGAACATAACCCAGGTCCCCGCCGCAACTCGAGAAAAACCATGAGACTTCCCCCTAGAGGCGAGATGAGGCCCCATTCCCCTGCAGTGCATGCAGAGCTATTCCGTGATCCCATTCAAACAAGTCAGGAGCTTCGACTTGCTTAATGGATCTCGAGACAGTCCCCAAGAACACTGTCACCAGTCTAGACGGACCCTGAGGTCACCCCAGCAACGCAAAGCTGCTCCATGTGCCCCAAATCAACTCGAGATGAGGCCCGATTCCCCTGCATTGACTCCAGAGCCATTCCCCGTTCCCCATTCAACACGACCGGTGGCTCGACTTCCTTCAGGCAACTGCAGAGATGCCCCGAGAACACTGCCCCAAGTCTAGAGGAACACCAACTTCAGCACAGCAACTCGAGGAATGCTCCGTGTACCCCAAATCATCTCGAGATGAGAGCTGATTCTCTGGCTTAGGCTCAAGACGTATGCCAACTTTCCAGAAGCACCTCAGGAGGACGCTTCTCTCAGCAATAGGTATGTGGGAGCGACCCCGAGTTTGCTGCCTCAAGGGGAATACACAGGGAGAAGCCCTAACTTGAACGGAGGCCAGATTTCCTTGCAGTGGGTTGAATAAAGGCTCGTCTTCGATCTGAAAACATGAAGGGATGTCTGAATCCCCTGTGGAGACCTTAGAGGAAGCCCTAGGTCCCTGCCTCATTTTGACGGAATACCTCACATCCCCCTGACACCTCGAGAGGCACGCAGAGTTCATTGCTTCAAAAGGTGACGATGCCTGACTCCTCTTGAATACTTATAGGAATCCCAAAATCCCTGTTGCTACTGGAAAGGGTCCTTGGGTGCCCTGGCTCACCTCGAGAAGCGTCCCTTTTGCCCTGCCAAGCCTCGAAGAAATTGCTGAGGTGTCCCTCGTTACTAGACAGGAGTCCTGACGTCACCGAAGAAACTCGTGTTTTGAAGGGCCATCCCCACCGTAAGTCGAGAACATACCCCAGGTCCCCGCCGCAACTCGAGAAAAACCATGAGACTTCCCCCTAGAGGCGAGATGAGGCCACATTCCCCTGCAGTGCATGCAGAGCTATTCCGTGATCCCATTCAAACAAGTCAGGAGCTTCGACTTGCTTAATGGATCTCGAGACAGTCCCCAAGAACACTGTCACCAGTCTAGACGGACCCTGAGGTCACCACAGCAACGCAAAGCAGCTCCATGTGCCCCAAATCAACTCGAGATGAGGCCCGATTCCCCTGCATTGACCCCAGAGCCATTCCCCGTTCCCCGTTCAACACGAAGGGAGGCTCGCCTTCCTTCAGGCAACTCCAGAGATGCCCCGAGAACACTGTCCCAAGTCTAGAGGAACACCAACTTCAGCACAGCAACTCGAGGAATGCTCTGTGTACCCCAAATCGTCTCGAGATGAGAGCTGATTCCCTGGCTTAGGCTCAAGACGTATGCCACCTTTCCAGAAGCACCTCAGGAGGAGGCTTCTCTCAGCAATAGGTATGTGGGAGTGACCCTGAGTTTGCTGCCTCAAGGGGAATATACAGCGAGAAGCCCTAACTTGAAAGGAGGCCGGATTTCCTTGCAGTGGCTTGAATACATTCTCGTCTTTCATCTCACAACATGAAGGGATGTCTGAATCCCCTGTGGAGACCTTAGAGAAAGCCCTAGGTCCCTGCCTCATTTTGACGGAATCCTCACATCCCGCTGACACCTCGAGAGGCACGCGGAGTTCATTGCTTCAAAAGGTGACGATGCCTGACTCCTCTTGAATACTGATAGGAATCCCAAAATCCCTGTGGCTACTGGAAAGGGTCCTTGGGTGCCCTGGCTCACCTCGAGAAGCGTCCCTTTTGCCCTGCCAAGCCTCGAAGAGATTCCTGAGGTGTCCCTCGTTACTAGGCAGGAGTCCTGACGTCACTGGAGAAACTCGTGTTTTGAAGGGCCATCCCCGCCGTAAGTCGAGAACATACCCCAGGGCCCTGCCGCAACTCGAGAAAAACCGTGAGACTTCCCCCTAGAGGCGAGATGAGGCCCCATTCCCCTGCAGTGCATGCAGAGCTATTCCGTGATCCCATTCAAACAAGTCAGGAGCTTCGACTTGCTTAATGGATCTCGAGACAGTCCCCAAGAACACTGTCACCAGTCTGGACGGACCCTGAGGTCACCCCAGCAACGCAAAGCTGCTCCATGTGCCCCAAATCAACTCGAGATGAGGCACGATTCCCCTGCATTGACTCCAGAGCCATTCCCCGTTCCCCATTCAACATGACCGGTGGCTCGACTTCCTTCAGGCAACTCCAGAGATGCCTCGAGAGCACTATCCCAAGTCTAGAGGACCACCAACTTCAGCAGAGCAACTCGAGGAATGCTCTGTGTACCCCAAATCGTCTCGAGATGAGAGCTGATTCCCTGGCTTAGGCTCAAGACGTATGCCACCTTTCCAGAAGCACCTCAGGAGGAGGCTTCTCTCAGCAATAGGTATGTGGGAGGGACCCCGAGTTTGCTGCCTCAAGGGGAATATACAGCGAGAAGCCCTAACTTGAAAGGAGGCCGGATTTCCTTGCAGTGGCTTGAATACAGGCTCGTCTTTCATCTCACAACATGAAGGGATGTCTGAATCCCCTGTGGAGACCTTAGAGAAAGCCCTAGGTCCCTGCCTCATTTTGACGGAATCCTCACATCCCGCTGACACCTCGAGAGGCACGCGGAGTTCATTGCTTCAAAAGGTGACGATGCCTGACTCCTCTTGAATACTGATAGGAATCCCAAAATCCCTGTGGCTACTGGAAAGGGTCCTTGGTTGCCCTGGCTCACCTCGAGAAGCGTCCCTTTTGCCCTGCCAAGCCTCGAAGAGATTGCTGAGGTGTCCCTTGTTACTAGACAGGAGTCCTGACGTCACTGAAGAAACTCGTGTTTTGAAGGGCCATCCCCGCCGTAAGTCGAGAACATACCCCAGGTCCCTGCCGCAACTCGAGAAAAACCATGAGACTTCCCCCTAGAGGCGAGATGAGGCCCCATTCCCCTGCAGTGCATGCAGAGCTATTCCGTGATCCCATTCAAACAAGTCAGGAGCTTCGACTTGCTTAATGGATCTCGAGACAGTCCCCAAGAACACTGTCACCAGTCTAGACGGACCCTGAGGTCACCCCAGCAACACAAAGCTGCTCTATGTGCCCCAAATCAACTCGAGATGAGGCCCGATTCTCCTGCTTTGACTCCAGAGCCATTCCCCGTTCCCCATTCAACACGACCGGTGGCTCGACTTCCTTCAGGCAACTGCAGAGATGCCCCGAGAACACTGCCCCAAGTCTAGAGGAACACCAACTTAAGCACAGCAACTCGAGGAATGCTCCGTGTACCCCAAATCATCTCGAGATGAGAGCTGATTCTCTGGCTTAGGCTCAAGACGTATGCCAACTTTCCAGAAGCACCTCAGGAGGAGGCTTCTCTCAGCAATAGGTATGTGGGAGCGACCCCGAGTTTGCTGCCTCAAGGGGAATACACAGGGAGAAGCCCTAACGTGAACGGAGGCCAGATTTCCTTGCAGTGGGTTGAATAAAGGCTCGTCTTCGGTCTGAAAACATGAAGGGATGTCTGAATCCCCTGTGGAGACCTTAGAGGAAGCCCTAGGTCCCTGCCTCATTTTGACGGAATACCTCACATCCCCCTGACACCTCGAGAGGCACGCAGAGTTCATTGCTTCAAAAGGTGACGATGCCTGACTCCTCTTGAATACTTATAGGAATCCCAAAATCCCTGTTGCTACTGGAAAGGGTCCTTGGGTGCCCTGGCTCACCTCGAGAAGCGTCCCTTTTGCCCTGCCAAGCCTCGAAGAAATTGCTGAGGTGTCCCTCGTTACTAGACAGGAGTCCTGACGTCACCGAAGAAACTCGTGTTTTGAAGGGCCATCCCCACCGTAAGTCGAGAACATACCCCAGGTCCCCGCCGCAACTCGAGAAAAACCATGAGACTTCCCCCTAGAGGCGAGATGAGGCCACATTCCCCTGCAGTGCATGCAGAGCTATTCCGTGATCCCATTCAAACAAGTCAGGAGCTTCGACTTGCTTAATGGATCTCGAGACAGTCCCCAAGAACACTGTCACCAGTCTAGACGGACCCTGAGGTCACCACAGCAACGCAAAGCAGCTCCATGTGCCCCAAATCAACTCGAGATGAGGCCCGATTCCCCTGCATTGACCCCAGAGCCATTCCCCGTTCCCCGTTCAACATGAAGGGAGGCTCGCCTTCCTTCAGGCAACTCCAGAGATGCCCCGAGAACACTGTCCCAAGTCTAGAGGAACACCAACTTCAGCACAGCAACTCGAGGAATGCTCTGTGTACCCCAAATCGTCTCGAGATGAGAGCTGATTCCCTGGCTTAGGCTCAAGACGTATGCCACCTTTCCAGAAGCACCTCAGGAGGAGGCTTCTCTCAGCAATAGGTATGTGGGAGGGACCCCGAGTTTGCTGCCTCAAGGGGAATATACAGCGAGAAGCCCTAACTTGAAAGGAGGCCGGATTTCCTTGCAGTGGCTTGAATACAGGCTCGTCTTTCATCTCACAACATGAAGGGATGTCTGAATCCCCTGTGGAGACCTTAGAGAAAGCCCTAGGTCCCTGCCTCATTTTGACGGAATCCTCACATCCCGCTGACACCTCGAGAGGCACGCGGAGTTCATTGCTTCAAAAGGTGACGATGCCTGACTCCTCTTGAATACTGATAGGAATCCCAAAATCCCTGTGGCTACTGGAAAGGGTCCTTGGGTGCCCTGGCTCACCTCGAGAAGCGTCCCTTTTGCCCTGCCAAGCCTCGAAGAGATTCCTGAGGTGTCCCTCGTTACTAGGCAGGAGTCCTGACGTCACTGGAGAAACTCGTGTTTTGAAGGGCCATCCCCGCCGTAAGTCGAGAACATACCCCAGGGCCCTGCCGCAACTCGAGAAAAACCGTGAGACTTCCCCCTAGAGGCGAGATGAGGCCCCATTCCCCTGCAGTGCATGCAGAGCTATTCCGTGATCCCATTCAAACAAGTCAGGAGCTTCGACTTGCTTAATGGATCTCGAGACAGTCCCCAAGAACACTGTCACCAGTCTAGACGGACCCTGAGGTCACCCCAGCAACGCAAAGCTGCTCCATGTGCCCCAAATCAACTCGAGATGAGGCCCGATTCCCCTGCATTGACTCCAGAGCCATTCCCCGTTCCCCATTCAACATGACCGGTGGCTCGACTTCCTTCAGGCAACTCCAGAGATGCCTCGAGAGCACTATCCCAAGTCTAGAGGACCACCAACTTCAGCATAGCAACTCGAGGAATGCTCTGTGTACCCCAAATCGTCTCGAGATGAGAGCTGATTCCCTGGCTTAGGCTCAAGACGTATGCCACCTTTCCAGAAGCACCTCAGGAGGTGGCTTCTCTCAGCAATAGGTATGTGGGAGGGACCCCGAGTTTGCTGCCTCAAGGGGAATATACAGCGAGAAGCCCTAACTTGAAAGGAGGCCGGATTTCCTTGCAGTGGCTTGAATACAGGCTCGTCTTTCATCTCACAACATGAAGGGATGTCTGAATCCCCTGTGGAGACCTTAGAGAAAGCCCTAGGTCCCTGCCTCATTTTGACGGAATCCTCACATCCCGCTGACACCTCGAGAGGCACGCGGAGTTCATTGCTTCAAAAGGTGACGATGCCTGACTCCTCTTGAATACTTATAGGAATCCCAAAATCCCTGTGGCTACTGGAAAGGGTCCTTGGGTGCCCTGGCTCACCTCGAGAAGCGTCCCTTTTGCCCTGCCAAGCCTCGAAGAGATTGCTGACGTGTCCCTCGTTACTAGACAGGAGTCCTGACGTCACTGAAGAAACTCGTGTTTTGAAGGGCCATCCCCGCCGTAAGTCGAGAACATACCCCAGGTCCCCGCCGCAACTCGAGAAAAACCATGAGACTTCCCCCTAGAGGCGAGATGAGGCCCCATTCCCCTGCAGTGCATGCAGAGCTATTCCGTGATCCCATTCAAACAAGTCAGGAGCTTCGACTTGCTTAATGGATCTCGAGGCAGTCCCCAAGAACACTGTCACCAGTCTAGAGGGACCCTGAAGTCACCCAGCAATGCAAAGCAGCTCCATGTGCCCCAAATCAACTCGAGATGAGGCCGGATTCCCCTGCATTGACTCCAGAGCCATTCCTTGTTCCCCATTCAACACGACCGGTGGCTCGACTTCTTTCAGGCAACTCCAGAGATGCCCCGAGAACACTGTCCCAAGTCTAGAGGACCACCAACTTCCTCACAGCAACTCGAGAAATGCTCTGTGTACCCCAAATCGTCTCGAGATGAGAGCTGATTCCCTGGCTTAGGCTCAAGACGTATGCCACCTTTCCAGAAGCACCTCAGGAGGAGGCTTCTCTCAGCAATAGGTATGTGGGAGGGACCCCGAGTTTGCTGCCTCAAGGGGAATATACAGCGAGAAGCCCTAACTTGAAAGGAGGCCGGATTTCCTTGCAGTGGCTTGAATACAGGCTCGTCTTTCATCTCACAACATGAAGGGATGTCTGAATCCCCTGTGGAGACCTTAGAGAAAGCCCTAGGTCCCTGCCTCATTTTGACGGAATCCTCATATCCCGCTGACACCTCGAGAGGCACGCGGAGTTCATTGCTTCAAAAGGTGACGATGCCTGACTCCTCTTAAATACTGATAGGAATCCCAAAATCACTGTAGCTACTGGAAAGGGTCCTTGGGTGCCCTGGCTCACCTCGAGAAGCGTCCCTTTTGCCCTGCCAAGCCTCGAAGAGATTGCTGAGGTGTCCCTCGTTACTAGACAGGAGTCCTGACGTCACGGAAGAAACTCGTGTTTTGAAGGGCCATCCCCGCCGTAAGTCGAGAACATACCCCAGGTCCCCGCCGCAACTCGAGAAAAACCATGAGACTTCCCCCTAGAGGCGAGATGAGGCCCCATTCCCCTGCAGTGCATGCAGAGCTATTCCGTGATCCCATTCAAACAAGTCAGGAGCTTCGACTTGCTTAATGGATCTCGAGACAGTCCCCAAGAACACTGTCACCAGTCTAGACGGACCCTGAGGTCACCCAGCAAAGCAAAGCAGCTCCATGTGCCCCAAATCAACTCGAGATGAGGCCGGATTCCCCTGCATTGACTCCAGAGCCATTCCTTGTTCCCCATTCAACACGACCGGTGGCTCGACTTCCTTCAGGCAACTCCAGAGATGCCCGAGAACACTGTCCCAAGTCTAGTGGAACACCAACTTCAGCACAGCAACTCGAGGAATGCTCTGTGTACCCCAAATCGTCTCGAGATGAGAGCTGATTCCCTGGCTTAGGCTCAAGACGTATGCCACCTTTCCAGAAACACCTGAGGAGGAGGCTTCTCTCAGCAATAGGTATGTGGGAGGGACCCCGAGTTTGCTGCCTCAAGGGGAATATACAGCGAGAAGTCCTAACTTGAAAGGAGGCCGGATTTCCTTGCAGTGGCTTGAATACCGGCTCGTCTTTCATCTCACAACATGAAGGGATGTCTGAATCCCCTGTGGAGACCTTAGAGAAAGCCCTAGGTCCCTGCCTCATTTTGACGGAATCCTCACATCCCGCTGACACCTCGAGAGGCACGCGGAGTTCATTGCTTCAAAAGGTGACGATGCCTGACTCCTCTTGAATACTTATAGGAATCCCAAAATCCCTGTGGCTACTGGAAAGGGTCCTTGGGTGCCCTGGCTCACCTCGAGAAGCGTCCCTTTTGCCCTGCCAAGCCTCGAAGAGTTTGCTGAGGTGTCCCTCGGTACTAGACAGGAGTCCTGACGTCACTGAAGAAACTCGTGTTTTGAAGGGCCATCCCCGCCGTAAGTCGAGAACATACCCCAGGTCCCCGCCGCAACTCGAGAAAAACCATGAGACTTCCCCCTAGAGGCGAGATGAGGCCCCATTCCCCTGCAGTGCATGCAGAGCTATTCCGTGATCCCATTCAAACAAGTCAGGAGCTTCGACTTGCTTAATGGATCTCGAGACAGTCCCCAAGAACACTGTCACCAATCTAGACGGACCCTGAGGTCACCCCAGCAATGCAAAGCAGCTCCATGTGCCCCAAATCAACTCGAGATGAGGCCCGATTCCCCTGCATTGACTCCAGAGCCATTCCCCGTTCCCCATTCAACACGACTGGTGGCTCGCTTTCCTTCAGGCAACTCCAGAGATGCCCCGAGAACACTGTCCCAAGTCTAGAGGAACACCAACTTCAGCACAGCAACTCGAGGAATGCTCTGTGTACCCCAAATCGTCTCGAGATGAGAGCTGATTCCCTGGCTTAGGCTCAAGACGTATGCCAACTTTCCAGAAGCACCTCAGGAGGAGGCTTCTCAGCAATAGGTATGTGGGAGGGACTCCGAGTTTGCTGCCTCAAGGGGAATATACAGCGAGAAGCCCTAACTTGAAAGGAGGCCGGATTTCCTTGCAGTAGCTTGAATACAGGCTTGTCTTTCATCTCACAACATGAAGGGATGTCTGAATCCCCTGTGAAGACCTTAGAGAAAGCCCTAGGACCCTGCCTCATTTTGACGGAATGCCTCACATCCCGCTGACAACTCGAGAGGCACGCGGAGTTCATTGCTTCAAAAGGTGACGATGCCTGACTCCTCTTGAATACTGATAGGAATCCCAAAATCCCTGTGGCTACTGGAAAGGTTCCTTGGGTGCCCTGGCTCACCTCGAGAAGCGTCCCTTTTGCCCTGCCAAGCCTCGAAGAGATTCCTGAGGTGTCCCTCGTTACTAGACAGGAGTCCTGACGTCACTGAAGAAACTCGTGTTTTGAAGGGCCATCCCCGCCGTAAGTCGAGAACATACCCCAGGTCCCCGCCGCAACTCGAGAAAAACCATGAGACTTCCCCCTAGAGGCGAGATGAGGCCCCATTCCCCTGCAGTGCATGCAGAGCTATTCCATGATCCCATTCAAACAAGTCAGGAGCTTCGACTTGCTTAATGGATCTCGAGACAGTCCCCAAGAACACTGTCACCAGTCTAGACGGACCCTGAGGTCACCCCAGCAACGCAAAGCTGCTCTATGTGCCCCAAATCAACTCGAGATGAGGCCCGATTCCCCTGCATTGACCCCAGAGCCATTCCCCGTTCCCCGTTCAACATGAAGGGAGGCTCGCCTTCCTTCAGGCAACTCCAGAGATGCCCCGAGAACACTGTCCCAAGTCTAGAGGAACACCAACTTCAGCACAGCAACTCGAGGAATGCTCTGTGTACCCCAAATCGTCTCGAGATGAGAGCTGATTCCCTGGCTTAGGCTCAAGACGTATGCCACCTTTCCAGAAGCACCTCAGGAGGAGGCTTCTCTCAGCAATAGGTATGTGGGAGGGACCCCGAGTTTGCTGCCTCAAGGGGAATATACAGCGAGAAGCCCTAACTTGAAAGGAGGCCGGATTTCCTTGCAGTGGCTTGAATACAGGCTCGTCTTTCATCTCACAACATGAAGGGATGTCTGAATCCCCTGTGGAGACCTTAGAGAAAGCCCTAGGTCCCTGCCTCATTTTGACGGAATCCTCACATCCCGCTGACACCTCGAGAGGCACGCGGAGTTCATTGCTTCAAAAGGTGACGATGCCTGACTCCTCTTGAATACTGATAGGAATCCCAAAATCCCTGTGGCTACTGGAAAGGGTCCTTGGGTGCCCTGGCTCACCTCGAGAAGCGTCCCTTTTGCCCTGCCAAGCCTCGAAGAGATTCCTGAGGTGTCCCTCGTTACTAGGCAGGAGTCCTGACGTCACTGGAGAAACTCGTGTTTTGAAGGGCCATCCCCGCCGTAAGTCGAGAACATACCCAGGGCCCTGCCGCAACTCGAGAAAAACCGTGAGACTTCCCCCTAGAGGCGAGATGAGGCCCCATTCCCCTGCAGTGCATGCAGAGCTATTCCGTGATCCCATTCAAACACGTCAGGAGCTTCGACTTGCTTAATGGATCTCGAGACAGTCCCCAAGAACACTGTCACCAGTCTAGACGGACCCTGAGGTCACCCCAGCAACGCAAAGCTGCTCCATGTGCCCCAAATCAACTCGAGATGAGGCCCGATTCCCCTGCATTGACTCCAGAGCCATTCCCCGTTCCCCATTCAACATGACCGGTGGCTCGACTTCCTTCAGGCAACTCCAGAGATGCCTCGAGAGCACTATCCCAAGTCTAGAGGACCACCAACTTCAGCAGAGCAACTCGAGGAATGCTCTGTGTACCCCAAATCGTCTCGAGATGAGAGCTGATTCCCTGGCTTAGGCTCAAGACGTATGCCACCTTTCCAGAAGCACCTCAGGAGGAGGCTTCTCTCAGCAATAGGTATGTGGGAGGGACCCCGAGTTTGCTGCCTCAAGGGGAATATACAGCGAGAAGCCCTAACTTGAAAGGAGGCCGGATTTCCTTGCAGTGGCTTGAATACAGGCTCGTCTTTCATCTCACAACATGAAGGGATGTCTGAATCCCCTGTGGAGACCTTAGAGAAAGCCCTAGGTCCCTGCCTCATTTTGACGGAATCCTCACATCCCGCTGACACCTCGAGAGGCACGCGGAGTTCATTGCTTCAAAAGGTGACGATGCCTGACTCCTCTTGAATACTTATAGGAATCCCAAAATCCCTGTGGCTACTGGAAAGGGTCCTTGGGTGCCCTGGCTCACCTCGAGAAGCGTCCCTTTTGCCCTGGCAAGCCTCGAAGTGATTGCTGACGTGTCCCTCGTTACTAGACAGGAGTCCTGACGTCACTGAAGAAACTCGTGTTTTGAAGGGCCATCCCCGCCGTAAGTCGAGAACATACCCCAGGTCCCCGCCGCAACTCGAGAAAAACCATGAGACTTCCCCCTAGAGGCGAGATGAGGCCCCATTCCCCTGCAGTGCATGCAGAGCTATTCCGTGATCCCATTCAAACAAGTCAGGAGCTTCGACTTGCTTAATGGATCTCGAGGCAGTCCCCAAGAACACTGTCACCAGTCTAGAGGGACCCTGAAGTCACCCAGTAATGCAAAGCAGCTCCATGTGCCCCAAATCAACTCGAGATGAGGCCGGATTCCCCTGCATTGACTCCAGAGCCATTCCTTGTTCCCCATTCAACACGACCGGTGGCTCGACTTCTTTCAGGCAACTCCAGAGATGCCCCGAGAACACTGTCCCAAGTCTAGAGGACCACCAACTTCCTCACAGCAACTCGAGAAATGCTCTGTGTACCCCAAATCGTCTCGAGATGAGAGCTGATTCCCTGGCTTAGGCTCAAGACGTATGCCACCTTTCCAGAAGCACCTCAGGAGGAGGCTTCTCTCAGCAATAGGTATGTGGGAGGGACCCCGAGTTTGCTGCCTCAAGGGGAATATACAGCGAGAAGCCCTAACTTGAAAGGAGGCCGGATTTCCTTGCAGTGGCTTGAATACAGGCTCGTCTTTCATCTCACAACATGAAGGGATGTCTGAATCCCCTGTGGAGACCTTAGAGAAAGCCCTAGGTCCCTGCCTCATTTTGACGGAATCCTCATATCCCGCTGACACCTCGAGAGGCACGCGGAGTACATTGCTTCAAAAGGTGACGATGCCTGACTCCTCTTAAATACTGATAGGAATCCCAAAATCACTGTAGCTACTGGAAAGGGTCCTTGGGTGCCCTGGCTCACCTCGAGAAGCGTCCCTTTTGCCCTGCCAAGCCTCGAAGAGATTGCTGAGGTGTCCCTCGTTACTAGACAGGAGTCCTGACGTCACGGAAGAAACTCGTGTTTTGAAGGGCCATCCCCGCCGTAAGTCGAGAACATACCCCAGGTCCCCGCCGCAACTCGAGAAAAACCATGAGACTTCCCCCTAGAGGCGAGATGAGGCCCCATTCCCCTGCAGTGCATGCAGAGCTATTCCGTGATCCCATTCAAACAAGTCAGGAGCTTCGACTTGCTTAATGGATCTCGAGACAGTCCCCAAGAACACTGTCACCAGTCTAGACGGACCCTGAGGTCACCCAGCAATGCAAAGCAGCTCCATGTGCCCCAAATCAACTCGAGATGAGGCCGGATTCCCCTGCATTGACTCCAGAGCCATTCCTTGTTCCCCATTCAACACGACCGGTGGCTCGACTTCCTTCAGGCAACTCCAGAGATGCCCGAGAACACTGTCCCAAGTCTAGTGGAACACCAACTTCAGCACAGCAACTCGAGGAATGCTCTGTGTACCCCAAATCGTCTCGAGATGAGAGCTGATTCCCTGGCTTAGGCTCAAGACGTATGCCACCTTTCCAGAAACACCTGAGGAGGAGGCTTCTCTCAGCAATAGGTATGTGGGAGGGACCCCGAGTTTGCTGCCTCAAGGGGAATATACAGCGAGAAGTCCTAACTTGAAAGGAGGCCGGATTTCCTTGCAGTGGCTTGAATACCGGCTCGTCTTTCATCTCACAACATGAAGGGATGTCTGAATCCCCTGTGGAGACCTTAGAGAAAGCCCTAGGTCCCTGCCTCATTTTGACGGAATCCTCACATCCCGCTGACACCTCGAGAGGCACGCGGAGTTCATTGCTTCAAAAGGTGACGATGCCTGACTCCTCTTGAATACTTATAGGAATTCCAAAATCCCTGTGGCTACTGGAAAGGGTCCTTGGGTGCCCTGGCTCACCTCGAGAAGCGTCCCTTTTGCCCTGCCAAGCCTCGAAGAGTTTGCTGAGGTGTCCCTCGGTACTAGACAGGAGTCCTGACGTCACTGAAGAAACTCGTGTTTTGAAGGGCCATCCCCGCCGTAAGTCGAGAACATACCCCAGGTCCCCGCCGCAACTCGAGAAAAACCATGAGACTTCCCCCTAGAGGCGAGATGAGGCCCCATTCCCCTGCAGTGCATGCAGAGCTATTCCGTGATCCCATTCAAACAAGTCAGGAGCTTCGACTTGCTTAATGGATCTCGAGACAGTCCCCAAGAACACTGTCACCAATCTAGACGGACCCTGAGGTCACCCCAGCAATGCAAAGCAGCTCCATGTGCCCCAAATCAACTCGAGATGAGGCCCGATTCCCCTGCATTGACTCCAGAGCCATTCCCCGTTCCCCATTCAACACGACTGGTGGCTCGCTTTCCTTCAGGCAACTCCAGAGATGCCCCGAGAACACTGTCCCAAGTCTAGAGGAACACCAACTTCAGCACAGCAACTCGAGGAATGCTCTGTGTACCCCAAATCGTCTCGAGATGAGAGCTGATTCCCTGGCTTAGGCTCAAGACGTATGCCAACTTTCCAGAAGCACCTCAGGAGGAGGCTTCTCAGCAATAGGTATGTGGGAGGGACTCCGAGTTTGCTGCCTCAAGGGGAATATACAGCGAGAAGCCCTAACTTGAAAGGAGGCCGGATTTCCTTGCAGTAGCTTGAATACAGGCTTGTCTTTCATCTCACAACATGAAGGGATGTCTGAATCCCCTGTGAAGACCTTAGAGAAAGCCCTAGGACCCTGCCTCATTTTGACGGAATGCCTCACATCCCGCTGACAACTCGAGAGGCAAGCGGAGTTCATTGCTTCAAAAGGTGACGATGCCTGACTCCTCTTGAATACTGATAGGAATCCCAAAATCCCTGTGGCTACTGGAAAGGTTCCTTGGGTGCCCTGGCTCACCTCGAGAAGCGTCCCTTTTGCCCTGCCAAGCCTCGAAGAGATTCCTGAGGTGTCCCTCGTTACTAGACAGGAGTCCTGACGTCACTGAAGAAACTCGTGTTTTGAAGGGCCATCCCCGCCGTAAGTCGAGAACATACCCCAGGTCCCCGCCGCAACTCGAGAAAAACCATGAGACTTCCCCCTAGAGGCGAGATGAGGCCCCATTCCCCTGCAGTGCATGCAGAGCTATTCCGTGATCCCATTCAAACAAGTCAGGAGCTTCGACTTGCTTAATGGATCTCGAGACAGTCCCCAAGAACACTGTCACCAGTCTAGACGGACCCTGAGGTCACCCCAGCAACGCAAAGCTGCTCTATGTGCCCCAAATCAACTCGAGATGAGGCCCGATTCCCCTGCATTGACTCCAGAGCCATTCCCCGTTCCCCATTCAACACGACCGGTGGCTCGACTTCCTTCAGGCAACTGCAGGGATGCCCCGAGAACACTGCCCCAAGTCTAGAGGAACACCAACTTCAGCACAGCAACTCGAGGAATGCTCCGTGTACCCCAAATCATCTCGAGATGAGAGCTGATTCTCTGGCTTAGGCTCAAGACGTATGCCAACTTTCCAGAAGCACCTCAGGAGGAGGCTTCTCTCAGCAATAGGTATGTGGGAGCGACCCCGAGTTTGCTGCCTCAAGGGGAATACACAGGGAGAAGCCCTAACGTGAACGGAGGCCAGATTTCCTTGCAGTGGGTTGAATAAAGGATCGTCTTCGATCTGAAAACATGAAGGGATGTCTGAATTCCCTGTGGACACCTTAGAGGAAGCCCTAGGTCCCTGCCTCATTTTGACGGAATACCTCACATCCCCCTGACACCTCGAGAGGCACGCAGAGTTCATTGCTTCAAAAGGTGACGATGCCTGACTCCTCTTGAATACTTATAGGAATCCCAAAATCCCTGTAGCTACTGGAAAGGGTCCTTGGGTGCCCTGGCTCACCTCGAGAAGCGTCCCTTTTGCCCTGCCAAGCCTCGAAGAAATTGCTGAGGTGTCCCTCGTTACTAGACAGGAGTCCTGACGTCACGGAAGAAACTCGAGTTTTGAAGGGCCATCCCCTCCGTAAGTCGAGAACATACCCCAGGTCCCCGCCGCAACTCGAGAAAAACCATGAGACTTCCCCCTAGAGGCGAGATGAGGCCCCATTCCCCTGCAGTGCATGCAGAGCTATTCCGTGATCCCATTCAAACAAGTCAGGAGCTTCGACTTACTTAATGGATCTCGAGACAGTCCCCAAGAACACTGTCACCAGTCTAGACGGACCCTGAGGTCACCACAGCAACGCAAAGTAGCTCCATGTGCCCCAAATCAACTCGAGATGAGGCCCGATTCCCCTGCATTGACTCCAGAGCCATTCCCCGTTCCCCGTTCAACACGAACGGAGGCTCGCCTTCCTTCAGGCAACTCCAGAGATGCCCCGAGAACACTGTCCCAAGTCTAGAGGAACACCAACTTCAGCACAGCAACTCGAGGAATGCTCTGTGTACCCCAAATCGTCTCGAGATGAGAGCTGATTCCCTGGCTTAGGCTCAAGACGTATGCCAACTTTCCAGAAGCACCTCAGGAGGAGGCTTCTCAGCAATAGGTATGTGGGAGGGACTCCGAGTTTGCTGCCTCAAGGGGAATATACAGCGAGAAGCCCTAACTTGAAAGGAGGCCGGATTTCCCTGCAGTGGCTTGAATACAGGCTCGTCTTTCATCTCACAACATGAAGGGATGTCTGAATCCCCTGTGGAGACCTTAGAGAAAGCCCTAGGTCCCTGCCTCATTTTGACGGAATGCCTCACATCCCGCTGACACCTCGAGAGGCACGCGGAGTTCATTGCTTCAAAAGGTGACGATGCCTGACTCCTCTTGAATACTGATAGGAATCCCAAAATCATTGTGGCTACTGGAAAGGGTCCTTGGGTGCCCTGCCTCACCTCGAGAAGCGTCCCTTTTGCCCTGCCAAGCCTCGAAGAGATTGCTGAGGTGTCCCTCGTTACTAGACAGGAGTCCTGACGTCACTGAAGAAACTCGTGTTTTGAAGGGCCATCCCCGCCGTAAGTCGAGAACATACCCCAGGTCCCTGCCGCAACTCGAGAAAAACCATGAGACTTCCCCCTAGAGGCGAGATGAGGCCCCATTCCCCTGCAGTGCATGCAGAGCTATTCCGTGATCCCATTCAAACAAGTCAGGAGCTTCGACTTGCTTAATGGATCTCGAGACAGTCCCCAAGAACACTGTCACCAGTCTAGACGGACCCTGAGGTCACCCATCAATGCAAAGCAGCTCCATGTGCCCCAAATCAACTCGAGATGAGGCCCGATTCCCCTGCATTGACTCCAGAGCCATTCCCCGTTTACCATTCAACACGACCTGTGGCTCGACTTCCTTCAGGCAACTCCAGGGATGCCCCGAGAACACTGTCCCAAGTCTAGAGGAACACCAACTTCAGCACAGCAACTCGAGGAATGCTCTGTGTACCCCAAATCGTCTCGAGATGAGAGCTGATTCCCTGGCTTAGGCTCAAGACGTATGCCACCTTTCCAGAAGCACCTCAGGAGGAGGTTTCTCTCAGCAATAGGTATGTGGGAGGGACCCCGAGTTTGCTGCCTCAAGGGTAATATACAGCGAGAAGCCCTAACTTGAAAGGAGGCCGGATTTCCTTGCAGTGGCTTGAATACAGGCTCGTCTTTGATCTGACAACATGAAGGGATGTCTGAATCCCCTGTGGAGACCTTAGAGAAAGCCCTAGGTCCCTGCCTCATTTTGACGGAATGCCTCACATCCCGCTGACACCTCGAGAGGCACGCGGAGTTCATTGCTTCAAAAGGTGACGATGCCTGACTCCTCTTGAATACTGATAGGAATCCCAAAATCCCTGTGGCTACTGGAAAGGGTCCTTGGGTGCCCTGGCTCACCTCGAGAAGCTTCCCTTTTGCCCTGCCAAGCCTCGAAGAGATTCCTGAGGTGTCCCTCGTTACTAGGCAGGAGTCCTGACGTCACTGGAGAAACTCGTGTTTTGAAGGGCCATCCCCGCCGTAAGTCGAGAACATACCCCAGGGCCCTGCCGCAACTCGAGAAAAACCGTGAGACTTCCCCCTAGAGGCGAGATGAGGCCCCATTCCCCTGCAGTGCATGCAGAGCTATTCCGTGATCCCATTCAAACAAGTCAGGAGCTTCGACTTGCTTAATGGATCTCGAGACAGTCCCCAAGAACACTGTCACCAGTCTAGACGGACCCTGAGGTCACCCAGCAATGCAAAGCAGCTCCATGTGCCCCAAATCAACTCGAGATGAGGCCGGATTCCCCTGCATTGACTCCAGAGCCATTCCTTGTTCCCCATTCAACATGACCGGTGGCTCGACTTCCTTCAGGCAACTCCAGAGATGCCCCTAGAGCACTATCCCAAGTCTAGAGGACCACCAACTTCAGCAGAGCAACTCGAGGAATGCTCTGTGTACCCCAAATCGTCTCGAGATGAGAGCTGATTCCCTGGCTTAGGCTCAAGACGTATGCCACCTTTCCAGAAACACCTCAGGAGGAGGCTTCTCTCAGCAATAGGTATGTGGGAGGGACCCCGAGTTTGCTGCCTCAAGGGGAATATGCAGCGAGAAGCCCTAACTTGAAAGAAGGCCGGATTTCCTTGCAGTGGCTTGAATACAGGCTCGTCTTTCATCTCACAACATGAAGGGATGTCTGAATCCCCTGTGGAGACCTTAGAGAAAGCCCTAGGTCCCTGCCTCATTTTGACGGAATCCTCACATCCCGCTGACACCTCGAGAGGCACGCGGAGTTCATTGCTTCAAAAGGTAACGATGCCTGACTCCTCTTGAATACTGATAGGAATCCCAAAATCCCTGTGGCTACTGGAAAGGGTCCTTGGGTGCCCTGGCTCACCTCGAGAAGCGTCCCTTTTGCCCTGCCAAGCCTCGAAGAGATTGCTGACGTGTCCCTCGTTACTAGACAGGAGTCCTGACGTCACGGAAGAAACTCGTGTTTTGAAGGGCCATCCCCGCCGTAAGTCGAGAACATACCCCAGGTCCCCGCCGCAACGCGAGAAAAACCATGAGACTTCCCCCTAGAGGCGAGATGAGGCCCCATTCCCCTGCAGTGCATGCAGAGCTATTCCGTGATCCCATTCAAACAAGTCAGGAGCTTCGACTTGCTTAATGGATCTCGAGGCAGTCCCCAAGAACACTGTCACCAGTCTAGACGGACCCTGAGGTCACCCAGCATTGCAAAGCAGCTCCATGTGCCCCAAATCAACTCGAGATGAGGCCGGATTCCCCTGCATTGACTCCAGAGCCATTCCTTGTTCCCCATTCAACACGACCGGTGGCTCGATTTCTTTCAGGCAACTCCAGAGATGCCCCGAGAACACTGTCCCAAGTCTAGAGGACCACCAACTTCAGCACAGCAACTCGAGAAATGCTCTGTGTACCCCAAATCGTCTCGAGATGAGAGCTGATTCCCTGGCTTAGGCTCAAGACGTATGCCACCTTTCCAGAAGCACCTCAGGAGGAGGCTTCTCTCAGCAATAGGTATGTGGGAGGGACCCCGAGGTTGCTGCCTCAAGGGGAATATACAGCGAGAAGCCCTAACTTGAAAGGAGGCCGGATTTCCTTGCAGTGGCTTGAATACAGGCTCGTCTTTCATCTCACAACATGAAGGGATGTCTGAATCCCCTGTGGAGACCTTAGAGAAAGCCCTAGGTCCCTGCCTCATTTTGACGGAATCCTCATATCCTGCTGACACCTCGAGAGGCACGCGGAGTTCATTGCTTCAAAAGGTGACGATGCCTGACTCCTCTTGAATACTTATAGGAATCCCAAATCCCTGTAGCTACTGGAAAGGGTCCTTGGGTGCCCTGGCTCACCTCGAGAAGCGTCCCTTTTGCCCTGCCAAGCCTCGAAGAGATTGCTGAGGTGTCCCTCGTTACTAGACAGGAGTCCTGACGTCACGGAAGAAACTCGTGTTTTGAAGGGCCATCCCCGCCGTAAGTCGAGAACATACCCCAGGTCCCCGCCGCAACTCGAGAAAAACCATGAGACTTCCCCCTAGAGGCGAGATGAGGCCCCATTCCCCTGCAGTGCATGCAGAGCTATTCCGTGATCCCATTCAAACAAGTCAGGAGCTTCGACTTGCTTAATGGATCTCGAGACAGTCCCCAAGAACACTGTCACCAGTCTAGACGGACCCTGAGGTCACCCAGCAATGCAAAGCAGCTCCATGTGCCCCAAATCAACTCGAGATGAGGCCGGATTCCCCTGCATTGACTCCAGAGCCATTCCTTGTTCCCCATTCAACATGACCGGTGGCTCGACGTCCTTCAGGCAACTCCAGAGATGCCCCGAGAACACTGTCCCAAGTCTAGAGGAACACCAACTTCAGCACAGCAACTCGAGGAATGCTCTGTGTACCCCAAATCGTCTCGAGATGAGAGCTGATTCCCTGGCTTAGGCTCAAGACGTATGCCACCTTTCCAGAAACACCTCAGGAGGAGGCTTCTCTCAGCAATAGGTATGTGGGAGGGACCCCGAGTTTGCTGCCTCAAGGGGAATATACAGCGAGAAGTCCTAACTTGAAAGGAGGCCGGATTTCCTTGCAGTGGCTTGAATACCGGCTCGTCTTTCATCTCACAACATGAAGGGATGTCTGAATCCCCTGTGGAGACCTTAGAGAAAGCCCTAGGTCCCTGCCTCATTTTGACGGAATCCTCACATCCCGCTGACACCTCGAGAGGCACGCGGAGTTCATTGCTTCAAAATGTGACGATGCCTGACTCCTCTTGAATACTTATAGGAATCCCAAAATCCCTGTGGCTACTGGAAAGGGTCCTTGGGTGCCCTGGCTCACCTCGAGAAGCGTCCCTTTTGCCCTGCCAAGCCTCGAAGAGATTGCTGAGGTGTCCCTCGTTACTAGACAGGAGTCCTGACGTCACTGAAGAAACTCGTGTTTTGAAGGGCCATCCCTGCCGTAAGTCGAGAACATACCCCAGGTCCCCGCCGCAACTCGAGAAAAACCATGAGACTTCCCCCTAGAGGCGAGATGAGGCCCCATTCCCCTGCAGTGCATGCAGAGCTATTCCGTGATCCCATTCAAACAAGTCAGGAGCTTCGACTTGCTTAATGGATCTCGAGACAGTCCCCAAGAACACTGTCACCAGTCTAGACGGACCCTGAGGTCACCCCAGCAACGCAAAGCTGCTCTATGTGCCCCAAATCAACTCGAGATGAGGCCCGATTCCCCTGCATTGACTCCAGAGCCATTCCCCGTTCCCCATTCAACACGACCGGTGGCTCGACTTCCTTCAGGCAACTGCAGAGATGCCCCGAGAACACTGCCCCAAGTCTAGAGGAACACCAACTTCAGCACAGCAACTCGAGGAATGCTCCGTGTACCCCAAATCATCTCGAGATGAGAGCTGATTCTCTTTCTTAGGCTCAAGACGTATGCCAACTTTCCAGAAGCACCTCAGGAGGAGGCTTCTCTCAGCAATAGGTATGTGGGAGCGACCCCGAGTTTGCTGCCTCAAGGGGAATACACAGGGAGAAGCCCTAACGTGAACGGAGGCCAGATTACCTTGCAGTGGGTTGAATAAAGGCTCGTCTTCGATCTGAAAACATGAAGGGATGTCTGAATTCCCTGTGGAGACCTTAGAGGAAGCCCTAGGTCCCTGCCTCATTTTGACGGAATACCTCACATCCCCCTGACACCTCGAGAGGCACGCAGAGTTCATTGCTTCAAAAGGTGACGATGCCTGACTCCTCTTGAATACTGATAGGAATCCCAAAATCCCTGTTGCTACTGGAAAGGGTCCTTGGGTGCCCTGGCTCACCTCGAGAAGCGTCCCTTTGCCCTGCCAAGCCTCGAAGAAATTGCTGAGGTGTCCCTCGTTACTAGACAGGAGTCCTGACTTCACGGAAGAAACTCGAGTTTTGAAGGGCCATCCCCGCCGTAAGTCGAGAACATACCCCAGGTCCCCGCCGCAACTCGAGAAAAACCATGAGACTTCCCCCTAGAGGCGAGATGAGGCCCCATTCCCCTGCAGTGCATGCAGAGCTATTCCGTGATCCCATTCAAACAAGTCAGGAGCTTCGACTTGCTTAATGGATCTCGAGACAGTCCCCAAGAACACTGTCACCAGTCTAGACGGACCCTGAGGTCACCACAGCAATGCAAAGCAGCTCCATGTGCCCCAAATCAACTCGAGATGAGGCCCGATTCCCCTGCATTGACTCCAGAGCCATTCCCCGTTCCCCGTTCAACACGAACGGAGGCTCGCCTTCCTTCAGGCAACTCCAGAGATGCCCCGAGAACACTGTCCCAAGTCTAGAGGAACACCAACTTCAGCACAGCAACTCGAGGAATGCTCTGTGTACCCCAAATCGTCTCGAGATGAGAGCTGATTCCCTGGCTTAGGCTCAAGACGTATGCCAACTTTCCAGAAGCACCTCAGGAGGAGGCTTCTCTCAGCAATAGGTATGTGGGAGGGACTCCGAGTTTGCTGCCTCAAGGGTAATATACAGCGAGAAGCCCTAACTTGAAAGGAGGCCGGATTTCCTTGCAGTGGCTTGAATACAGGCTCGTCTTTCATCTCACAACATGAAGGGATGTCTGAATCCCCTGTGGAGACCTTAGAGAAAGCCCTAGGTCCCTGCCTCATTTTGACGGAATCCTCACATCCCGCTGACACCTCGAGAGGCACGCGGAGTTCATTGCTTCAAAAGGTGACGATGCCTGACTCCTCTTGAATACTGATAGGAATCCCAAAATCCCTGTGGCTACTGGAAAGGGTCCTTGGGTGCCCTGGCTCACCTCGAGAAGCGTCCCTTTTGCCCTGCCAAGCCTCGAAGAGATTGCTGAGGTGTCCCTCGTTACTAGACAGGAGTCCTGACGTCACTGAAGAAACTCGTGTTTTGAAGGGCCATCCCCGCCGTAAGTCGAGAACATACCCCAGGTCCCCGCCGCAACTCGAGAAAAACCATGAGACTTCCCCCTAGAGGCGAGATGAGGCCCCATTCCCCTGCAGTGCATGCAGAGCTATTCCGTGATCCCATTCAAACAAGTCAGGAGCTTTGACTTGCTTAATGGATCTCGAGGCAGTCCCCAAGAACACTGTCACCAGTCTAGACGGACCCTGAGGTCACCCCAGCAACGCAAAGCTGCTCCATGTGCCCCAAATCAACTCGAGATGAGGCCCGATTCCCCTGCATTGACTCCAGAGCCATTCCCCGTTCCACATTCAACAAGACCGGTGGCTCGACTTCCTTCAGGCAACTCCAGAGATGCCCCGAGAACACTGTCCCAAGTCTAGAGGAGCACCAATTTCAGCACAGCAACCCGAGGAATGCTCCGTGTACCCCAAATCATCTCGAGATGAGAGCTGATTCCCTGGCTTAGGCTCAAGACGTATGCCAACTTTCCAGAAGCACCTCAGGAGGAGGCTTCTCTCAGCAATAGGTATGTGGGAGGGACCCCGAGTTTGCTGCCTCAAGGGGAATACACAGGGAGAAGCCCTAATGTGAATGGAGGCCAGATTTCCTTGCAGTGGCTTGAATACACGCTCGTCTTTGATCTGACAACATGAAGGTATTTCTGAATCCCCTGTGGAGAACTTAGAGGAAGCCCTAGGTCCCTGCCTCATTTTGACGGAATACCTCACATCCCCCTGACACCTCGAGAGGCACGCAGAGTTCATTGCTTCAAAAGGTGACGATGCCTGACTCCTCTTGAATACTTATAGGAATCCCAAAATCCCTGTAGCTACTGGAAAGGGTCCTTGGGTGCCCTGGCTCACCTCGAGAAGCGTCCCTTTTGCCCTGCCAAGCCTCGAAGAGATTGCTGAGGTGTCCCTCGTTACTAGACAGGAGTCCTGACGTCACTGAAGAAACTCGTGTTTTGAAGGGCCATCCCCGCCGTAAGTCGAGAACATACCCCAGATCCCCGCCGCAACTCGAGAAAAACCATGAGACTTCCCCCTAGAGGCGAGATGAGGCCCCATTCCCCTGCAGTGCATGCAGAGCTATTCCGTGATCCCATTCAAACAAGTCAGGAGCTTCGACTTGCTTAATGGATCTCGAGGCAGTCCCCAAGAACACTGTCACCAGTCTAGACGGACCCTGAGGTCACCCCAGCAACGCAAAGTAGCTCTAGGTGCCACAAATCAACTCGAGATGAGGCCCGATTCCCCTGCATTGACTCCAGAGCCATTCCCCGTTCCCCATTCAACACGACCGGTGGCTAGACTTCCTTCAGGCAACTCCAGAGATGCCCAGAGAACACTGTCCCAAGTCTAGAGGAACACCAACTTCAGCACAGCAACACGAGGAATGCTCTGTGTACCCCAAATCGTCTCGAGATGAGAGCTGAATCCCTGGCTTAGGCTCAAGACGTATGCCAACTTTCCAGAAGCACCTCAGGAGGAGGCTTCTCTCAGCAATAGGTATGTGGGAGGGACCCCGAGTTTGCTGCCTCAAGGGGAATATACAGCGAGAAGCCCTAACTTGAAAGGAGGCCGGATTTCCTTGCAGTGGCTTGAATACAGGCTCGTCTTTCATCTCACAACATGAAGGGATGTCTGAATCCCCTGTGGAGACCTTAGAGAAAGCCCTAGGTCCCTGCCTCATTTTGATGGAATCCTCACATCCCGCTGACACCTCGAGAGGCACGCGGAGTTCATTGCTTCAAAAGGTGACGATGCCTGACTCCTCTTGAATACTGATAGGAATCCCAACATCCCTGTGGCTACTGGAAAGGGTCCTTGGGTGCCCTGGCTCACCTCGAGAAGCGTCCCTTTTGCCCTGCCATGCCTCGAAGAGATTGCTGAGCTGTCCCTCATTACTAGACAGGAGTCCTGACGTCACAGAAGATACTCGTGTTTTGAAGGGCCATCCCCGCCGTAAGTCGAGAACATACCCCAGGTCCCGGCCGCAACTCGAGAAAAACCATGAGACTTCCCCCTAGAGGTGAGATGAGGCCCCATTCCCCTGCAGTGCATGCAGAGCTATTCCGTGATCCCATTCAAACAAGTCAGGAGCTTCGACTTGCTTAATGGATCTCGAGACAGTCCCCAAGAACACTGTCACCAGTCTAGACGGACCCTGAGGTCACCCAGCAATGCAAAGCAGCTCCATGTGCCCCAAATCAACTCGAGATGAGGCCGGATTCCCCTGCATTGACTCCAGAGCCACTCCTTGTTCCCCATTCAACACGACCGTTGGCTCGATTTCCTTCAGGCAACTCCAGAGATGCCCCGAGAACACTGTCCCAAGTCTAGAGGACCACCAACTTCAGCACAGCAACTCGAGGAATACTCTGTGTACCCCAAATCGTCTCGAGATGAGAGCTGATTCCCTGGCTTAGGCTCAAGACGTATGCCACCTTTCCAGAAGCACCTCAGGAGGAGGCTTCTCTCAGCAATAGGTATGTGGGAGGGACCCCGAGTTTGCTGCCTCAAGGGGAATATACAGCGAGAAGCCCTAACTTGAAAGGAGGCCGGATTTCCTTGCAGTGGCTTGAATACAGGCTCGTCATTCATCTCACAACATGAAGGGATGTCTGAATCCCCTGTGGAGACCTTAGAGAAAGCCCTAGGTCCCTGCCTCATTTTGACGGAATCCTCTCATCCCGCTGAAACCTCGAGAGGCACGCGGAGTTCATTGCTTCAAAAGGTGACGATGCCTGACTCCTCTTGAATACTTATAGGAATCCCAAAATCCCTGTGGCTACTGGAAAGGGTCCTTGGGTGCCCTGGCTCACCTCGAGAAGCGTCCCTTTTGCCCTGCCAAGCCTCGAAGAGCTTGCTGACGTGTCTCTCGTTACTAGACAGGAGTCCTGACGTCACGGAAGAAACTCGTGTTTTGAAGGGCCATCCCCGCCGTAAGTCGAGAACATACCCCAGGTCCCCGCCGCAACTCGAGAAAAACCATGAGACTTCCCCCTAGAGGCGAGATGAGGCCCCATTCCCCTGCAGTGCATGCAGAGCTATTCCGTGATCCCATTCAAACAAGTCAGGAGCTTCGACTTGCTTAATGGATCTCGAGACAGTCCCCAAGAACACTGTCACCAGTCTAGACGGACCGTGAGGTCACCCAGCAATGCAAAGCAGCTCCATGTGCCCCAAATCAACTCGAGATGAGGCCGAATTCCCCTGAATTGACTCCAGAGCCACTCCTTGTTCCCCATTCAACACGACCGGTGGCTCGACTTCCTTCAGGCAACTCCAGAGATGCCCCGAGAACACTGTCCCAAGTCTAGAGGACCACCAACTTCAGCACAGCAACTCGAGGAATGCTCAGTGTACCCCAAATCGTCTCGAGATGAGAGCTGATTCCCTGGCTTAGGCTCAAGACGTATGCCACCTTTCCAGAAGCACCTCAGGAGGAGGCTTCTCTCAGCAATAGGTATGTGGGAGGGACCCCGAGTTTGCTGCCTCAAGGGGAATATACAGCGAGAAGCCCTAACTTGAAAGGAGGCCGGATTTCCTTGCAGTGGCTTGAATACAGGCTCGTCTTTCATCTCACAACATGAAGGGATGTCTGAATCCCCTGTGGAGACCTTAGAGAAAGCCCTAGGTCCCTGCCTCATTTTGACGGAATCCTCACATCCCGCTGACACCTCGAGAGGCACGCGGAGTTCATTGCTTCAAAAGGTGACGATGCCTGACTCCTCTTGAATACTGATAGGAATCCCAAAATCCCTGTGGCTACTGGAAAGGGTCCTTGGGTGCCCTGGCTCACCTCGAGAAGCGTCCCTTTTGCCCTGCCAAGCCTCGAAGAGCTTGCTGACGTGTCTCTCGTTACTAGACAGGAGTCCTGACGTCACGGAAGAAACTCGTGTTTTGAAGGGCCATCCCCGCCGTAAGTCGAGAACATACCCCAGGTCCCCGCCGCAACTCGAGAAAAACCATGAGACTTCCCCCTAGAGGCGAGATGAGGCCCCATTCCCCTGCAGTGCATGCAGAGCTATTCCGTGATCCCATTCAAACAAGTCAGGAGCTTCGACTTGCTTAATGGATCTCGAGACAGTCCCCAAGAACACTGTCACCAGTCTAGACGGACCGTGAGGTCACCCAGCAATGCAAAGCAGCTCCATGTGCCCCAAATCAACTCGAGATGAGGCCGAATTCCCCTGAATTGACTCCAGAGCCACTCCTTGTTCCCCATTCAACACGACCGGTGGCTCGACTTCCTTCAGGCAACTCCAGAGATGCCGCGAGAACACTGTCCCAAGTCTAGAGGACCACCAACTTCAGCACAGCAACTCGAGGAATGCTCAGTGTACCCCAAATCGTCTCGAGATGAGAGCTGATTCCCTGGCTTAGGCTCAAGACGTATGCCACCTTTCCAGAAGCACCTCAGGAAAAGGCTTCTCTCAGCAATAGGTATGTGGGAGGGACCCCGAGTTTGCTGCCTCAAGGGGAATATACAGCGAGAAGCCCTAACTTGAAAGGAGGCCGGATTTCCTTGCAGTGGCTTGAATACAGGCTCGTCTTTCATCTCACAACATGAAGGGATGTCTGAATCCCCTGTGGAGACCTTAGAGAAAGCCCTAGGTCCCTGCCTCATTTTGACGGAATCCTCACATCCCGCTGACACCTCGAGAGGCACGCGGAGTTCATTGCTTCAAAAGGTGACGATGCCTGACTCCTCTTGAATACTGATAGGAATCCCAAAATCCCTGTGGCTACTGGAAAGGGTCCTTGGGTGCCCTGGCTCACCTCGAGAAGCGTCCCTTTTGCCCTGCCAAGCCTCGAAGAGATTGCTGACGTGTCCCTCGTTACTAGACAGGAGTCCTGACGTCACGGAAGAAACTCGTGTTTTGAAGGGCCATCCCCGCCGTAAGTCGAGAACATACCCCAGGTCCCCGCCGCAACTCGAGAAAAACCATGAGACTTCCCCCTAGAGGCGAGATGAGGCCCCATTCCCCTGCAGTGCATGCAGAGCTATTCCGAGATCCCATTCAAACAAGTCAGGAGCTTCGACTTGCTTAATGGATCTCGAGACAGTCCCCAAGAACACTGTCACCAGTCTAGACGGACCCTGAGGTCACCCCAGCAACGCAAAGCTGCTCCATGTGCCCCAAATCAACTCGAGATGAGGCCCGATTCCCCTGCATTGACTCCAGAGCCATTCCCCGTTCCCCATTCAACACGACCGGTGGCTCGACTTCCTTCAGGCAACTCCAGAGATGCCCCGAGAACACTGTCCCAAGTTTAGAGGAGCACCAATTTCAGCACAGCAACCCGAGGAATGCTCCGTGTACCCCAAATCATCTCGAGATGAGAGCTGATTCCCTGGCTTAGGCTCAAGACGTATGCCAACTTTCCAGAAGCACCTCAGGAGGAGGCTTCTCTCAGCAATAGGTATGTGGGAGGGACCCCGTGTTTGCTGCCTCAAGGGGAATACACAGGGAGAAGCCCTAATGTGAACGGAGGCCAGATTTCCTTGCAGTGGCTTGAATACAGGCTCGTCTTTGATCTGACAACATGAAGGGATTTCTGAATCCCCTGTGGAGACCTTAGAGGAAGCCCTAGGTCCCTTCCTCATTTTGACGGAATACCTCACATCCCCCTGATACCTCGAGAGGCACGCAGAGTTCATTGCTTCAAAAGGTGACGATGCCTGACTCCTCTTGAATACTGATAGGAATCCCAAAATCCCTGTGGCTACTGGAAAGGGTCCTTGGGTGCCCTGGCTCACCTCGAGAAGCGTCCCTTTTGCCCTGCCAAGCCTCGAAGAGATTGCTGACGTGTCCCTCGTTACTAGACAGGAGTCCTGACGTCACTGAAGAAACTCGTGTTTTGAAGGGCCATCCCCGCCGTAAGTCGAGAACATACCCCAGGTCCCCGCCGCAACTCGAGAAAAACCATGAGACTTCCCCCTAGAGGCGAGATGAGGCCCAATTCCCCTGCAGTGCATGCAGAGCTATTCCGTGATCCCATTCAAACAAGTCAGGAGCTTCGACTTGCTTAATGGATCTCGAGGCAGTCCCGAAGAACACTGTCACCAGTCTAGACGGACCCTGAGGTCACCCCAGCAACGCAAAGCAGCTCCAGGTGCCAAAAATCAACTCGAGATGAGGCCCGATTCCCCTGCATTGACTCCAGAGCCATTCCCCGTTCCCCATTCAACACGACCGGTGGCTCGACTTCCTTCAGGCAACTCCAGAGATGCCCAGAGAACACTGTCCCAAGTCTAGAGGAACACCAACTTCAGCACAGCAACTCGAGGAATGCTCTGTGTACCCCAAATCGTCTCGAGATGAGAGCTGAATCCCTGGCTTAAGCGCAAGACGTATGCCAACTATCCAGAAGCACCTCAGGAGGAGGCTTCTCTCAGCAATAGGTATGTGGAGGGACTCCGAGTTTGCTGCCTCAAGGGGAATATACAGCGAGAAGCCCTAACTTGAAAGGAGGCCGGATTTCCTTGCAGTGGCTTGAATACAGGCTCGTCTTTCATCTCACAACATGAAGGGATGTCTGAATCCCCTGTGGAGACCTTAGAGAAAGCCCTAGGTCCCTGCCTCATTTTGACGGAATCCTCAAATCCCGCTGACACCTCGAGAGGCACGCGGAGTTCATTGCTTCAAAAGGTGACGATGCCTGACTCCTCTTGAATACTGATAGGAATCCCAAAATCCCTGTGGCTACTGGAAAGGGTCCTTGGGTGCCCTGGCTCACCTCGAGAAGCGTCCCTTTTGCCCTGCCAAGCCTCGAAGAGATTGCTGAGGTGTCCCTCGTTACTAGACAGGAGTCCTGACGTCACTGAAGAAACTCGTGTTTTGAAGGGCCATCCCCGCCGTAAGTCGAGAACATACCCCAGGTCCCCGCCGCAACTCAAGAAAAACCATGAGACTTCCCCCTAGAGGCGAGATGAGGCCCCATTCCCCTGCAGTGCATGCAGAGCTATTCCGTGATCCCATTCAAACAAGTCAGGAGCTTCGACTTGCTTAATGGATCTCGAGACAGTCCCCAAGAACACTGTCACCAGTCTAGACGGACCGTGAGGTCACCCAGCAATGCAAAGCAGCTCCATGTGGCCCAAATCAACTCGAGATGAGGCCCGATTCCCCTGTATTGACTCCAGAGCCATTTCTTGTTCCCCATTCAACACGACCGGTGGCTCGACTTCCTTCAGGCAACTCCAGAGATGCCCCGAGAACACTGTCCCAAGTCTAGAGGACCACCAACTTCAGCACAGCAACTCGAGGAATGCTCTGTGTACCCCAAATCGTCTCGAGATGAGAGCTGATTCCCTGGCTTAGGCTCAAGACGTATGCCACCTTTCCAGAAGCACTTCAGGAGGAGGCTTCTCTCAGCAATAGGTATGTGGGAGGGACCCCGAGTTTGCTGCCTCAAGGGGAATATACAGCGAGAAGCCGTAACTTGAAAGGAGGCCGGATTTCCTTGCAGTGGCTTGAATACAGGCTCGTCTTTCATCTCACAACATGAAGGGATGTCTGAATCCCCTGTGGAGACCTTAGAGAATGCCCTAGGTCCCTGCCTCATTTTGACGGAATCCTCACATCCCGCTGACACCTCGAGAGGCACGCGGAGTTCATTGCTTCAAAAGGTGACGATGCCTGACTCCTCTTGAATACTTATAGGAATCCCAAAATCCCTGTGGCTACTGGAAAGGGTCCTTGGGTGCCCTGGCTCACCTCGAGAAGCGTCCCTTTTGCCCTGCCAAGCCTCGAAGAGATTGCTGAGGTGTCCCTCGTTACTAGACAGGAGTCCTGACGTCACTGAAGAAACTCGTGTTTTGAAGGGCCATCCCCGCCGTAAGTCGAGAACATACCCCAGGTCCCCGCCGCAACTCGAGAAAAACCATGAGACTTCCCCCTAGAGGCGAGATGAGGCCCCATTCCCCTGCAGTGCATGCAGAGCTATTCCGTGATCCCATTCAAACAAGTCAGGAGCTTCGACTTGCTTAATGGATCTCGAGACAGTCCCCAAGAACACTGTCACCAGTCCAGACGAACCCTGAGGTCACCCAGCAGTGCCAAGCAGCTCCATGTGCCCCAAATCAACTCGAGATGAGGCCGGATTCCCCTGCATTGACTCCAGAGCCACTCCTTGTTCCCCATTCAACACGACCGGTGGCTCGACTTCCTTCAGGCAACTCCAGAGATGCCCCGAGAACACTGTCCCAAGTCTAGAGGACCACCAACTTCAGCACAGCAACTCGAGGAATGCTCTGTGTACCCCAAATCGTCTCGAGATGAGAGCTGATTCCCTGGCTTAGGCTCAAGACGTATGCCACCTTTCCAAAAGCACCTCAGGAGGAGGCTTCTCTCAGCAATAGGTATGTGGGAGGGACCCCGAGTTTGCTGCCTCAAGGGGAATATACAGCGAGAAGCCCTAACTTGAAAGGAGGCCAGATTTCCTTGCAGTGGCTTGAATACAGGCTCGTCTTTCATCTCACAACATGAAGGGAAGTCTGAATCCCCTGTGGAGACCTTAGAGAAAGCCCTAGGTCCCTGCCTCATTTTGACGGAATCCTCACATCCCGCTGACACCTCGAGAGGCACGCGGAGTTCATTGCTTCAAAAGGTGACGATGCCTGACTCCTCTTGAATACTTATAGGAATCCCAAAATCCCTGTGGATACTGGAAAGGGTCCTTTGGTGCCCTGGCTCAACTCGAGAAGCGTCCCTTTTGCACTGCCAAGCCTCGAAGAGATTGCTGAGGTGTCCCTCGGTACTAGACAGGAGTCCTGACGTCACTGAAGAAACTCGTGTTTTGAAGGGCCATCCCCGCCGTAAGTGGAGAACGTACCCCAGGTCCCCAACGCAACTCGAGAAAAACCATGAGACTTCCCCCTAGAGGCGAGATGAGGCCCCATTCCCCTGCAGTGCATGCAGAGCTATTCCGTGATCCCATTCAAACAAGTCAGGAGCTTCGACTTGCTTAATGGATCTCGAGACAGTCCCCAAGAACACTGTCACCAGTCTAGACGGACCCTGACGTCACCCCAGAAACGCAAAGCAGCTCTATGTGCCCCAAATCAACTCGAGATGAGGCCCCATTCCCCTGCATTGACTCCAGAGCCATTCCCCGTTCCCCATTCAACAGGACTGGTGGCTCGCTTTCCTTCAGGCAACTCCAGGGATGCCTCGAGAACACTGTCCCAAGTCTAGAGGAACACCAACTTCAGCACAGCAACTCGAGGAATGCTCTGTGTACCCCAAATCGTCTCGAGATGAGAGCTGATTCCCTGGCTTAGGCTCAAGACGTATGCCAACTTTCCAGAAGCACCTCAGGAGGAGGCTTCTCAGCAATAGGTATGTGGGAGGGACTCCGAGTTTGCTGCCTCAAGGGGAATATACAGCGAGAAGCCCTAACTTGAAAGGAGGCCGGATTTCCTTGCAGTAGCTTGAATACAGGCTCGTCTTTCATCTCACAACATGAAGGGATGTCTGAATACCCTGTGAAGACCTTAGAGAAAGCCCTAGGTCCCTGCCTCATTTTGACGGAATGCCTCACATCCCGCTGACACCTCGAGAGGCACGCGGAGTTCATTGCTTCAAAAGGTGACGATGCCTGACTCCTCTTGAATACTGATAGGAATCCCAAAATCCCTGTGGCTACTGGAAAGGTTCCTTGGGTGCCCTGCCTCACTTCGAGAAGCGTCCCTTTTGCCCTGCCAAGCCTCGAAGAGATTCCTGAGGTGTCCCTCGTTACTAGACAGGAGTCCTGACGTCACTGAAGAAACTCGTGTTTTGAAGGGCCATCCCCGCCATAAGTCGAGAACATACCCCAGGTCCCCGCCGCAACTCGAGAAAAACCATGAGACTTCCCCCTAGAGGCGAGATGAGGCCCCATTCCCCTGCAGTGCATGCAGAGCTATTCCGTGATCCCATTCAAACAAGTCAGGAGCTTCGATTTGCTTAATGGATCTCGAGACAGTCCCCAAGAACACTGTCACCAGTCTAGACGGACCCTGAGGTCACCCCAGCAACGCAAAGCTGCTCCATGTGCCCCAAATCAACTCGAGATGAGGCCCGATTCCCCTGCATTGACTCCAGAGCCATTCCCCGTTCCCCATTCAACACGACCGGTGGCTCGACTTCCTTCAGGCATCTCCAGAGATGCCCCGAGAACACTGTCCCAAGACTAGAGGAGCACCAATTTCAGCACAGCAACCCGAGGAATGCTCCGTGTACCCCAAATCATCTCGAGATGAGAGCGGATTCCCTGGCTTAGGCTCAAGACGTATGCCAACTTTCCAGAAGCACCTCAGGAGGAGGCTTCTCTCAGCAATAGGTATGTGGGAGGGACCCCGAGTTTGCTGCCTCAAGGGGAATACACAGGGAGAAGCCCTAATGTGAACGGAGGCCAGATTTCCTTGCAGTGGCTTGAATACAGGCTCGTCTTTGATCTGACAACATGAAGGGATTTCTGAATCCCCTGTGGAGACCTTAGAGGAAGCCCTAGGTCCCTGCCTCATTTTGACGGAATACCTCACATCCCCCTGACACCTCGAGAGGCACGCAGAGTTCATTGCTTCAAAAGGTGACGATGCCTGACTCCTCTTGAATACTTATAGGAATCCCAAAATCCCTGTGGCTACTGGAAAGGGTCCTTGGGTGCCCTGGCTCACCTCGAGAAGCGTCCCTTTTGCCCTGCCAAGCCTCGAAGAGATTGCTGAGGTGTCCCTCATTACTAGACAGGAGTCCTGACGTCACTGAAGAAACTCGTGTTTTGAAGGGCCATCCCCGCCGTAAGTCGAGAACATACCCCAGGTCCCCGCCGCAACTCGAGAAAAACCATGAGATTTCCCCCTAGAGGCGAGATGAGGCCCCATTCCCCTGCAGTGCATGCAGAGCTATTCCATGATCCAATTCAAACAAGTCAGGAGCTTCAACTTGCTTAATGGATCTCGAGACAGTCCCGAAGAACACTGTCACCAGTCTACACGGACCCTGAGGTCACCCCAGCAACACAAAGCAGCTCCATGTGCCCCAAATCAACTCGAGATGAGGCCCGATTCCCCTGCATTGACTCCAGAGCCATTCCCCGTTCCAAGTTCAACACGAACGGTGGCTCGCCTTCCTTCAGGCAACTCCAGAAATGCCCAGAGAACACTGCCCCAAGTCTAGAGGAACACCAACTTCAGCACAGCAACTCGAGGAATGCTCTGTGTACCACAAATCGTCTCGAGATGAGAGGTGATTCCCTGGCTTAGGCTCAGGACGTATGCCAACTTTCCAGAAGCACCTCAGGAGGAGGCTTCTCAGCAATAGGTATGTGGGAGGGACTCCGAGTTTGCTGCCTAAAGGGGAATATACAGCGAGAAGCCCTAACTTGAAAGGAGGCCGGATTTCCTTGCAGTAGCTTGAATACAGGCTCATCTTTCATCTCACAACATGAAGGGATGTCTGAATCCCTTGTGGAGACCTTAGAGAAAGCCCTAGGTCCCTGCCTCATTTTGACGGAATACCTCACATCCCCCTGACACCTCGAGAGGCACGCAGAGTTCATTGCTTCAAAAGGTGACGATGCCTGACTCCTCTTGAATACTTATAGGAATCCCAAAATCCCTGTGGCTACTGGAAAGGGTCCTTGGGTGCCCTGGCTCACTTCTAGAAGCGTCCCTTTTGCCCTGCCAAGCCTAGAAGAGATTGCTGACGTGTCCCTCGTTACTAGACAGGAGTCCTGACGTCACTGAAGAAACTCGTGTTTTGAAGGGCCATCCCCGCCGTAAGTCGAGAACATACCCCAGGTCCCCGCCGCAACTCAAGAAAAACCATGAGACTTCCCCCTAGAGGCGAGATGAGGCCCCATTCCCCTGCAGTGCATGCAGAGCTATTCCGAGATCCCATTCAAACAAGTCAGGAGCTTCGATTTGCTTAATGGATCTAGAGACAGTCCCCAAGAACACTGTCACCAGTCTAGACGGACCCTGAGGTCACCCCAGCAACGCAAAGCAGCTCCATGTGCCCCAAATCAACTCGAGATGAGGCCCCATTCCCCTGCATTGACTCCAGAGCCATTCCCCGTTCCCCATTCAACAGGACTGGTGACTCGCATTCCTTCAGGCAACTCCAGAGATGCCCTGAGAACGCTGTCCCAAGTCTAGAGGAACACCAACTTCAGCACAGCAACTCGAGGAATGCTCTGTGTACCCCAAATCGTCTCGAGATGAGAGCTGATTCCCTGGCTTAGGCTCAAGACGTATGCCAACTTTCCAGAAGGACCTCAGGAGGAGGCTTCTCAGCAATAGGTATGTGGGAGGGACCCCGAGTTTGCTGCCTCAAGGGGAATACACAGGGAGAAGCCCTAATGTGAACGGAGGCCAGATTTCCTTGCAGTGGCTTGAATACAGGCTCGTCTTTGATCTGACAACATGAAGGGATTTCTGAATCCCCTGTGGAGACCTTAGAGGAAGCCCTAGGTCCCTGCCTCATTTTGACGGAATACCTCACATCCCCCTGACACCTCGAGAGGCACGCAGAGTTCATTGCTTCAAAAGGTGACGATGCCTGACTCCTCTTGAATACTTATAGGAATCCCAAAATCCCTGTGGCTACTGGAAAGGGTCCTTGGGTGCCCTGGCTCACCTCGAGAAGCGTCCCTTTTGCCCTGCCAAGCCTCGAAGAGATTGCTGAGGTGTCCCTCATTACTAGACAGGAGTCCTGACGTCACTGAAGAAACTCGTGTTTTGAAGGGCCATCCCCGCCGTAAGTCAAGAACATACCCCAGGTCCCCGCCGCAACTCGAGAAAAACCATGAGATTTCCCCCTAGAGGCGAGATGAGGCCCCATTCCCCTGCAGTGCATGCAGAGCTATTCCATGATCCAATTCAAACAAGTCAGGAGCTTCAACTTGCTTAATGGATCTCGAGACAGTCCCGAAGAACACTGTCACCAGTCTACACGGACCCTGAGGTCACCCCAGCAACACAAAGCAGCTCCATGTGCCCCAAATCAACTCGAGATGAGGCCCGATTCCCCTGCATTGACTCCAGAGCCATTCCCCGTTCCAAGTTCAACACGAACGGTGGCTCGCCTTCCTTCAGGCAACTCCAGAGATGCCCAGAGAACACTGTCCCAAGTCTAGAGGAACACCAACTTCAGCACAGCAACTCGAGGAATGCTCTGTGTACCACAAATCGTCTCGAGATGAGAGGTGATTCCCTGGCTTAGGCTCAGGACGTATGCCAACTTTCCAGAAGCACCTCAGGAGGAGGCTTCTCAGCAATAGGTATGTGGGAGGGACTCCGAGTTTGCTGCCTAAAGGGGAATATACAGCGAGAAGCCCTAACTTGAAAGGAGGCCGGATTTCCTTGCAGTAGCTTGAATACAGGCTCATCTTTCATCTCACAACATGAAGGGATGTCTGAATCCCTTGTGGAGACCTTAGAGAAAGCCCTAGGTCCCTGCCTCATTTTGACGGAATACCTCACATCCCCCTGACACCTCGAGAGGCACGCAGAGTTCATTGCTTCAAAAGGTGACGATGCCTGACTCCTCTTGAATACTTATAGGAATCCCAAAATCCCTGTGGCTACTGGAAAGGGTCCTTGGGTGCCCTGGCTCACTTCTAGAAGCGTCCCTTTTGCCCTGCCAAGCCTAGAAGAGATTGCTGACGTGTCCCTCGTTACTAGACAGGAGTCCTGACGTCACTGAAGAAACTCGTGTTTTGAAGGGCCATCCCCGCCGTAAGTCGAGAACATACCCCAGGTCCCCGCCGCAACTCGAGAAAAACCATGAGACTTCCCCCTAGAGGCGAGATGAGGCCCCATTCCCCTGCAGTGCATGCAGAGCTATTCCGAGATCCCATTCAAACAAGTCAGGAGCTTCGATTTGCTTAATGGATCTAGAGACAGTCCCCAAGAACACTGTCACCAGTCTAGACGGACCCTGAGGTCACCCCAGCAACGCAAAGCAGCTCCATGTGCCCCAAATCAACTCGAGATGAGGCCCCATTCCCCTGCATTGACTCCAGAGCCATTCCCCGTTCCCCATTCAACAGGACTGGTGACTCGCATTCCTTCAGGCAACTCCAGAGATGCCCTGAGAACACTGTCCCAAGTCTAGAGGAACACCAACTTCAGCACAGCAACTCGAGGAATGCTCTGTGTACCCCAAATCGTCTCGAGATGAGAGCTGATTCCCTGGCTTAGGCTCAAGACGTATGCCACCTTTCCAGAAGGACCTCAGGAGGAGGCTTCTCAGCAATAGGTATGTGGGAGGGACTCCGAGTTTGCTGCCTCAAGGGGAATATATAGCGAGAAGCCCTAACTTGAAAGGAGGCCGGATTTCCTTGCAGTAGCTTGAATACAGGCTTGTCTTTCATCTCACAACATGAAGGGATGTCTGAATCCCCTGTGAAGACCTTAGAGAAAGCCCTAGGTCCCAGCCTCATTTTGACGGAATGCCTCACATCCCGCTGACAACTCGAGAGGCACGCGGAGTTCATTGCTTCAAAAGGTGACGATGCCTGACTCCTCTTGAATACTGATAGGAATCCCAAAATCCCTGTGGCTACTGGAAAGGTTCCTTGGGTGCCCTGCCTCACTTCGAGAAGCGTCCCTTTTGCCCTGCCAAGCCTCGAAGAGATTCCTGAGGTGTCCCTCGTTACTAGACAGGAGTCCTGACGTCACTGAAGAAACTCGTGTTTTGAAGGGCCATCCCCGCCGTAAGTCGAGAACATACCCCAGGTCCCCGCCGCAACTCGAGAAAACCCATGAGACTTCCCCCTAGAGGCGAGATGAGGCCCCATTCCCCTGCAGTGCATGCAGAGCTATTCCATGATCCAATTCAAACAAGTCAGGAGCTTCGACTTGCTTAATGGATCTCGAGACAGTCCCCAAGAACACTGTCACCAGTCTAGACGGACCCTGAGGTCACCCCAGCAACGCAAAGCAGCTCCATGTGTCCCAAATCAACTCGAGATGAGGCCCGATTCCCCTGCATTGACTCCAGAGCCATTCCCCGTTCCGCATTCAACACGACCGGTGGCTCGACTTCCTTCAGGCAACTCCAGAGATGCCCCGAGAACACTGTCCCAAGTCTAGAAGAGCACCAGTTTCAGCACAGCAACCCGAGGAATGCTCCGTGTAACCTAAATCATCTCGAGATGAGAGCTGATTCCCTGGCTTAGGCTCAAGACGTATGCCAACTTTCCAGAAGCACCTCAGGAGGAGGCTTCTCTCAGCAATAGGTATGTGGGAGGGACCCCGAGTTTGCTGCCTCAAGGGGAATACACAGGGAGAAGCCCTAATGTGAACGGAGGCCAGATTTCCTTGCACTGCGTTGAATACAGGCTCGTCTTTGATCAGACAACATGAAGGGTTGTCTGAATCCCCTGTGGAGACCTTAGAGGAAGCCCTAGGTCCCTGCCTCATTTTGACGGAATACCTCACATCCCCCTGACACCTCGAGAGGCACGCAGAGTTCATTGCTTCAAAAGGTGACGATGCCTGACTCCTCTTGAATACTTATAGGAATCCCAAAATCCCTGTGGCTACTGGAAAGGGTCCTTGGGTGCCCTGGCTCACTTCTAGAAGCGTCCCTTTTGCCCTGCCAAGCCTAGAAGAGATTGCTGACGTGTCCCTCGTTACTAGACAGGAGTCCTGACGTCACTGAAGAAACTCGTGTTTTGAAGGGCCATCCCCGCCGTAAGTCGAGAACATACCCCAGGTCCCCGCCGCAACTCGAGAAAAACCATGAGACTTCCCCCTAGAGGCGAGATGAGGCCCCATTCCCCTGCAGTGCATGCAGAGCTATTCCGAGATCCCATTCAAACAAGTCAGGAGCTTCGATTTGCTTAATGGATCTAGAGACAGTCCCCAAGAACACTGTCACCAGTCTAGACGGACCCTGAGGTCACCCCAGCAACGCAAAGCAGCTCCATGTGCCCCAAATCAACTCGAGATGAGGCCCCATTCCCCTGCATTGACTCCAGAGCCATTCCCCGTTCCCCATTCAACAGGACTGGTGACTCGCATTCCTTCAGGCAACTCCAGAGATGCCCTGAGAACACTGTCCCAAGTCTAGAGGAACACCAACTTCAGCACAGCAACTCGAGGAATGCTCTGTGTACCCCAAATCGTCTCGAGATGAGAGCTGATTCCCTGGCTTAGGCTCAAGACGTATGCCACCTTTCCAGAAGGACCTCAGGAGGAGGCTTCTCAGCAATAGGTATGTGGGAGGGACTCCGAGTTTGCTGCCTCAAGGGGAATATATAGCGAGAAGCCCTAACTTGAAAGGAGGCCGGATTTCCTTGCAGTAGCTTGAATACAGGCTTGTCTTTCATCTCACAACATGAAGGGATGTCTGAATCCCCTGTGAAGACCTTAGAGAAAGCCCTAGGTCCCAGCCTCATTTTGACGGAATGCCTCACATCCCGCTGACAACTCGAGAGGCACGCGGAGTTCATTGCTTCAAAAGGTGACGATGCCTGACTCCTCTTGAATACTGATAGAAATCCCAAAATCCCTGTGGCTACTGGAAAGGTTCCTTGGGTGCCCTGCCTCACTTCGAGAAGCGTCCCTTTTGCCCTGCCAAGCCTCGAAGAGATTCCTGAGGTGTCCCTCGTTACTAGACAGGAGTCCTGACGTCACTGAAGAAACTCGTGTTTTGAAGGGCCATCCCCGCCGTAAGTCGAGAACATACCCCAGGTCCCCGCCGCAACTCGAGAAAACCCATGAGACTTCCCCCTAGAGGCGAGATGAGGCCCCATTCCCCTGCAGTGCATGCAGAGCTATTCCATGATCCAATTCAAACAAGTCAGGAGCTTCGACTTGCTTAATGGATCTCGAGACAGTCCCCAAGAACACTGTCACCAGTCTAGACGGACCCTGAGGTCACCCCAGCAACGCAAAGCAGCTCCATGTGTCCCAAATCAACTCGAGATGAGGCCCGATTCCCCTGCATTGACTCCAGAGCCATTCCCCGTTCCGCATTCAACACGACCGGTGGCTCGACTTCCTTCAGGCAACTCCAGAGATGCCCCGAGAACACTGTCCCAAGTCTAGAAGAGCACCAGTTTCAGCACAGCAACCCGAGGAATGCTCCGTGTAACCTAAATCATCTCGAGATGAGAGCTGATTCCCTGGCTTAGGCTCAAGACGTATGCCAACTTTCCAGAAGCACCTCAGGAGGAGGCTTCTCTCAGCAATAGGTATGTGGGAGGGACCCCGAGTTTGCTGCCTCAAGGGGAATACACAGGGAGAAGCCCTAATGTGAACGGAGGCCAGATTTCCTTGCACTGCGTTGAATACAGGCTCGTCTTTGATCAGACAACATGAAGGGTTGTCTGAATCCCCTGTGGAGACCTTAGAGGAAGCCCTAGGTCCCTGCCTCATTTTGAAGGAATACCTCACATCCCCCTGACACCTCGAGAGGCACGCAGAGTTCATTGCTTCAAAAGGTGACGATGCCTGACTCCTCTTGAATACTTATAGGAATCCCAAAATCCCTGTGGCTACTGGAAAGGGTCCTTGGGTGCCCTGGCTCACCTCGAGAAGCGTCCCTTTTGCCCTGCCAAGCCTCGAAGAGATTGCTGAGGTGTCCCTCATTACTAGACAGGAGTCCTGACGTCACTGAAGAAACTCGTGTTTTGAAGGGCCATCCCCGCCGTAAGTCGAGAACATACCCCAGGTCCCCGCCGCAACTCGAGAAAAACCATGAGATTTCCCCCTAGAGGCGAGATGAGGCCCCATTCCCCTGCAGTGCATGCAGAGCTATTCCATGATCCAATTCAAACAAGTCAGGAGCTTCAACTTGCTTAATGGATCTCGAGACAGTCCCGAAGAACACTGTCACCAGTCTACACGGACCCTGAGGTCACCCCAGCAACACAAAGCAGCTCCATGTGCCCCAAATCAACTCGAGATGAGGCCCGATTCCCCTGCATTGACTCCAGAGCCATTCCCCGTTCCAAGTTCAACACGAACGGTGGCTCGCCTTCCTTCAGGCAACTCCAGAGATGCCCAGAGAACACTGTCCCAAGTCTAGAGGAACACCAACTTCAGCACAGCAACTCGAGGAATGCTCTGTGTACCACAAATCGTCTCGAGATGAGAGGTGATTCCCTGGCTTAGGCTCAGGACGTATGCCAACTTTCCAGAAGCACCTCAGGAGGAGGCTTCTCAGCAATAGGTATGTGGGAGGGACTCCGAGTTTGCTGCCTCAAGGGGAATATACAGCGAGAAGCCCTAACTTGAAAGGAGGCCGGATTTCCTTGCAGTAGCTTGAATACAGGCTCATCTTTCATCTCACAACATGAAGGGATGTCTGAATCCCTTGTGGAGACCTTAGAGAAAGCCCTAGGTCCCTGCCTCATTTTGACGGAATACCTCACATCCCCCTGACACCTCGAGAGGCACGCAGAGTTCATTGCTTCAAAAGGTGACGATGCCTGACTCCTCTTGAATACTTATAGGAATCCCAAAATCCCTGTGTCTACTGGAAAGGGTCCTTGGGTGCCCTGGCTCACTTCTAGAAGCGTCCCTTTTGCCCTGCCAAGCCTAGAAGAGATTGCTGACGTGTCCCTCGTTACTAGACAGGAGTCCTGACGTCACTGAAGAAACTCGTGTTTTGAAGGGCCATCCCCGCCGTAAGTCGAGAACATACCCCAGGTCCCCGCCGCAACTCGAGAAAAACCATGAGACTTCCCCCTAGAGGCGAGATGAGGCCCCATTCCCCTGCAGTGCATGCAGAGCTATTCCGAGATCCCATTCAAACAAGTCAGGAGCTTCGATTTGCTTAATGGATCTAGAGACAGTCCCCAAGAACACTGTCACCAGTCTAGACGGACCCTGAGGTCACCCCAGAACGCAAAGCAGCTCCATGTGCCCCAAATCAACTCGAGATGAGGCCCCATTCCCCTGCATTGACTCCAGAGCCATTCCCCGTTCCCCATTCAACAGGACTGGTGACTCGCATTCCTTCAGGCAACTCCAGAGATGCCCTGAGAACACTGTCCCAAGTCTAGAGGAACACCAACTTCAGCACAGCAACTCGAGGAATGCTCTGTGTACCCCAAATCGTCTCGAGATGAGAGCTGATTCCCTGGCTTAGGCTCAAGACGTATGCCAACTTTCCAGAAGGACCTCAGGAGGAGGCTTCTCAGCAATAGGTATGTGGGAGGGACTCCGAGTTTGCTGCCTCAAGGGGAATATATAGCGAGAAGCCCTAACTTGAAAGGAGGCCGGATTTCCTTGCAGTAGCTTGAATACAGGCTTGTCTTTCATCTCACAACATGAAGGGATGTCTGAATCCCCTGTGAAGACCTTAGAGAAAGCCCTAGGTCCCAGCCTCATTTTGACGGAATGCCTCACATCCCGCTGACAACTCAAGAGGCACGCGGAGTTCATTGCTTCAAAAGGTGACGATGCCTGACTCCTCTTGAATACTGATAGGAATCCCAAAATCCCTGTGGCTACTGGAAAGGTTCCTTGGGTGCCCTGCCTCACTTCGAGAAGCGTCCCTTTTGCCCTGCCAAGCCTCGAAGAGATTCCTGAGGTGTCCCTCGTTACTAGACAGGAGTCCTGACGTCACTGAAGAAACTCGTGTTTTGAAGGGCCATCCCCGCCGTAAGTCGAGAACATACCCCAGGTCCCCGCCGCAACTCGAGAAAAACCATGAGACTTCCCCCTAGAGGCGAGATGAGGCCCCATTCCCCTGCAGTGCATGCAGAGCTATTCCGTGATCCCATTCAAACAAGTCAGGAGCTTCGACTTGCTTAATGGATCTCGAGACAGTCCCCAAGAACACTGTCACCAGTCTAGACGGACCCTGAGGTCACCCCAGCAACGCAAAGCAGCTCCATGTGTCCCAAATCAACTCGAGATGAGGCCCGATTCCCCTGCATTGACTCCAGAGCCATTCCCCGTTCCGCATTCAACACGACCGGTGGCTCGACTTCCTTCAGGCAACTCCAGAGATGCCCCGAGAACACTGTCCCAAGTCTAGAAGAGCACCAGTTTCAGCACAGCAACCCGAGGAATGCTCCGTGTACCCCAAATCATCTCGAGATGAGAGCTGATTCCCTGGCTTAGGCTCAAGACGTATGCCAACTTTCCAGAAGCACCTCAGGAGGAGGCTTCTCTCAGCAATAGGTATGTGGGAGGGACCCCGAGTTTGCTGCCTCAAGGGGAATACACAGGGAGAAGCCCTAAGGTGAACGGAGGCCAGATTTCCTTGCACTGCGTTGAATACAGGCTCGTCTTTGATCAGACAACATGAAGGGTTGTCTGAATCCCCTGTGGAGACCTTAGAGGAAGCCCTAGGTCCCTGCCTCATTTTGACGGAATACCTCACATCCCCCTGACACCTCGAGAGGCACGCAGAGTTCATTGCTTCAAAAGGTGACGATGCCTGACTCCTCTTGAATACTTATAGGAATCCCAAAATCCCTGTGGCTACTGGAAAGGGTCCTTGGGTGCCCTGGCTCACCTCGAGAAGCGTCCCTTTTGCCCTGCCAAGCCTCGAAGAGATTGCTGAGGTGTCCCTCATTACTAGACAGGAGTCCTGACGTCACTGAAGAAACTCGTGTTTTGAAGGGCCATCCCCGCCGTAAGTCGAGAACATACCCCAGGTCCCCGCCGCAACTCGAGAAAAACCATGAGATTTCCCCCTAGAGGCGAGATGAGGCCCCATTCCCCTGCAGTGCATGCAGAGCTATTCCATGATCCAATTCAAACAAGTCAGGAGCTTCAACTTGCTTAATGGATCTCGAGACAGTCCCGAAGAACACTGTCACCAGTCTACACGGACCCTGAGGTCACCCCAGCAACACAAAGCAGCTCCATGTGCCCCAAATCAACTCGAGATGAGGCCCGATTCCCCTGCATTGACTCCAGAGCCATTCCCCGTTCCAAGTTCAACACGAACGGTGGCTCGCCTTCCTTCAGGCAACTCCAGAGATGCCCAGAGAACACTGTCCCAAGTCTAGAGGAACACCAACTTCAGCACAGCAACTCGAGGAATGCTCTGTGTACCACAAATCGTCTCGAGATGAGAGGTGATTCCCTGGCTTAGGCTCAGGACGTATGCCAACTTTCCAGAAGCACCTCAGGAGGAGGCTTCTCAGCAATAGGTATGTGGGAGGGACTCCGAGTTTGCTGCCTCAAGGGGAATATACAGCGAGAAGCCCTAACTTGAAAGGAGGCCGGATTTCCTTGCAGTAGCTTGAATACAGGCTCATCTTTCATCTCACAACATGAAGGGATGTCTGAATCCCTTGTGGAGACCTTAGAGAAAGCCCTAGGTCCCTGCCTCATTTTGACGGAATACCTCACATCCCCCTGACACCTCGAGAGGCACGCAGAGTTCATTGCTTCAAAAGGTGACGATGCCTGACTCCTCTTGAATACTTATAGGAATCCCAAAATCCCTGTGTCTACTGGAAAGGGTCCTTGGGTGCCCTGGCTCACTTCTAGAAGCGTCCCTTTTGCCCTGCCAAGCCTAGAAGAGATTGCTGACGTGTCCCTCGTTACTAGACAGGAGTCCTGACGTCACTGAAGAAACTCGTGTTTTGAAGGGCCATCCCCGCCGTAAGTCGAGAACATACCCCAGGTCCCCGCCGCAACTCGAGAAAAACCATGAGACTTCCCCCTAGAGGCGAGATGAGGCCCCATTCCCCTGCAGTGCATGCAGAGCTATTCCGAGATCCCATTCAAACAAGTCAGGAGCTTCGATTTGCTTAATGGATCTAGAGACAGTCCCCAAGAACACTGTCACCAGTCTAGACGGACCCTGAGGTCACCCCAGCAACGCAAAGCAGCTCCATGTGCCCCAAATCAACTCGAGATGAGGCCCCATTCCCCTGCATTGACTCCAGAGCCATTCCCCGTTCCCCATTCAACAGGACTGGTGACTCGCATTCCTTCAGGCAACTCCAGAGATGCCCTGAGAACACTGTCCCAAGTCTAGAGGAACACCAACTTCAGCACAGCAACTCGAGGAATGCTCTGTGTACCCCAAATCGTCTCGAGATGAGAGCTGATTCCCTGGCTTAGGCTCAAGACGTATGCCAACTTTCCAGAAGGACCTCAGGAGGAGGCTTCTCAGCAATAGGTATGTGGGAGGGACTCCGAGTTTGCTGCCTCAAGGGGAATATATAGCGAGAAGCCCTAACTTGAAAGGAGGCCGGTTTTCCTTGCAGTAGCTTGAATACAGGCTTGTCTTTCATCTCACAACATGAAGGGATGTCTGAATCCCCTGTGAAGACCTTAGAGAAAGCCCTAGGTCCCAGCCTCATTTTGACGGAATGCCTCACATCCCGCTGACAACTCGAGAGGCACGCGGAGTTCATTGCTTCAAAAGGTGACGATGCCTGACTCCTCTTGAATACTGATAGGAATCCCAAAATCCCTGTGGCTACTGGAAAGGTTCCTTGGGTGCCCTGCCTCACTTCGAGAAGCGTCCCTTTTGCCCTGCCAAGCCTCGAAGAGATTCCTGAGGTGTCCCTCGTTACTAGACAGGAGTCCTGACGTCACTGAAGAAACTCGTGTTTTGAAGGGCCATCCCCGCCGTAAGTCGAGAACATACCCCAGGTCCCCGCCGCAACTCGAGAAAAACCATGAGACTTCCCCCTAGAGGCGAGATGAGGCCCCATTCCCCTGCAGTGCATGCAGAGCTATTCCGTGATCCCATTCAAACAAGTCAGGAGCTTCGACTTGCTTAATGGATCTCGAGACAGTCCCCAAGAACACTGTCACCAGTCTAGACGGACCCTGAGGTCACCCCAGCAACGCAAAGCAGCTCCATGTGTCCCAAATCAACTCGAGATGAGGCCCGATTCCCCTGCATTGACTCCAGAGCCATTCCCCGTTCCGCATTCAACACGACCGGTGGCTCGACTTCCTTCAGGCAACTCCAGAGATGCCCCGAGAACACTGTCCCAAGTCTAGAAGAGCACCAGTTTCAGCACAGCAACCCGAGGAATGCTCCGTGTACCCCAAATCATCTCGAGATGAGAGCTGATTCCCTGGCTTAGGCTCAAGACGTATGCCAACTTTCCAGAAGCACCTCAGGAGGAGGCTTCTCTCAGCAATAGGTATGTGGGAGGGACCCCGAGTTTGCTGCCTCAAGGGGAATACACAGGGAGAAGCCCTAAGGTGAACGGAGGCCAGATTTCCTTGCACTGCGTTGAATACAGGCTCGTCTTTGATCAGACAACATGAAGGGTTGTCTGAATCCCCTGTGGAGACCTTAGAGGAAGCCCTAGGTCCCTGCCTCATTTTGACGGAATACCTCACATCCCCCTGACACCTCGAGAGGCACGCAGAGTTCATTGCTTCAAAAGGTGACGATGCCTGACTCCTCTTGAATACTTATAGGAATCCCAAAATCCCTGTGGCTACTGGAAAGGGTCCTTGGGTGCCCTGGCTCACCTCGAGAAGCGTCCCTTTTGCCCTGCCAAGCCTCGAAGAGATTGCTGAGGTGTCCCTCATTACTAGACAGGAGTCCTGACGTCACTGAAGAAACTCGTGTTTTGAAGGGCCATCCCCGCCGTAAGTCGAGAACATACCCCAGGTCCCCGCCGCAACTCGAGAAAAACCATGAGATTTCCCCCTAGAGGCGAGATGAGGCCCCATTCCCCTGCAGTGCATGCAGAGCTATTCCATGATCCAATTCAAACAAGTCAGGAGCTTCAACTTGCTTAATGGATCTCGAGACAGTCCCGAAGAACACTGTCACCAGTCTACACGGACCCTGAGGTCACCCCAGCAACACAAAGCAGCTCCATGTGCCCCAAATCAACTCGAGATGAGGCCCGATTCCCCTGCATTGACTCCAGAGCCATTCCCCGTTCCAAGTTCAACACGAACGGTGGCTCGCCTTCCTTCAGGCAACTCCAGAGATGCCCAGAGAACACTGTCCCAAGTCTAGAGGAACACCAACTTCAGCACAGCAACTCGAGGAATGCTCTGTGTACCACAAATCGTCTCGAGATGAGAGGTGATTCCCTGGCTTAGGCTCAGGACGTATGCCAACTTTCCAGAAGCACCTCAGGAGGAGGCTTCTCAGCAATAGGTATGTGGGAGGGACTCCGAGTTTGCTGCCTCAAGGGGAATATACAGCGAGAAGCCCTAACTTGAAAGGAGGCCGGATTTCCTTGCAGTAGCTTGAATACAGGCTCATCTTTCATCTCACAACATGAAGGGATGTCTGAATCCCTTGTGGAGACCTTAGAGAAAGCCCTAGGTCCCTGCCTCATTTTGACGGAATACCTCACATCCCCCTGACACCTCGAGAGGCACGCAGAGTTCATTGCTTCAAAAGGTGACGATGCCTGACTCCTCTTGAATACTTATAGGAATCCCAAAATCCCTGTGTCTACTGGAAAGGGTCCTTGGGTGCCCTGGCTCACTTCTAGAAGCGTCCCTTTTGCCCTGCCAAGCCTAGAAGAGATTGCTGACGTGTCCCTCGTTACTAGACAGGAGTCCTGACGTCACTGAAGAAACTCGTGTTTTGAAGGGCCATCCCCGCCTTAAGTCGAGAACATACCCCAGGTCCCCGCCGCAACTCGAGAAAAACCATGAGACTTCCCCCTAGAGGCGAGATGAGGCCCCATTCCCCTGCAGTGCATGCAGAGCTATTCCGAGATCCCATTCAAACAAGTCAGGAGCTTCGATTTGCTTAATGGATCTAGAGACAGTCCCCAAGAACACTGTCACCAGTCTAGACGGACCCTGAGGTCACCCCAGCAACGCAAAGCAGCTCCATGTGCCCCAAATCAACTCGAGATGAGGCCCCATTCCCCTGCATTGACTCCAGAGCCATTCCCCGTTCCCCATTCAACAGGACTGGTGACTCGCATTCCTTCAGGCAACTCCAGAGATGCCCTGAGAACACTGTCCCAAGTCTAGAGGAACACCAACTTCAGCACAGCAACTCGAGGAATGCTCTGTGTACCCCAAATCGTCTCGAGATGAGAGCTGATTCCCTGGCTTAGGCTCAAGACGTATGCCAACTTTCCAGAAGGACCTCAGGAGGAGGCTTCTCAGCAATAGGTATGTGGGAGGGACTCCGAGTTTGCTGCCTCAAGGGGAATATATAGCGAGAAGCCCTAACTTGAAAGGAGGCCGGATTTCCTTGCAGTAGCTTGAATACAGGCTTGTCTTTCATCTCACAACATGAAGGGATGTCTGAATCCCCTGTGAAGACCTTAGAGAAAGCCCTAGGTCCCAGCCTCATTTTGACGGAATGCCTCACATCCCGCTGACAACTCGAGAGGCACGCGGAGTTCATTGCTTCAAAAGGTGACGATGCCTGACTCCTCTTGAATACTGATAGGAATCCCAAAATCCCTGTGGCTACTGGAAAGGTTCCTTGGGTGCCCTGCCTCACTTCGAGAAGCGTCCCTTTTGCCCTGCCAAGCCTCGAAGAGATTCCTGAGGTGTCCCTCGTTACTAGACAGGAGTCCTGACGTCACTGAAGAAACTCGTGTTTTGAAGGGCCATCCCCGCCGTAAGTCGAGAACATACCCCAGGTCCCCGCCGCAACTCGAGAAAAACCATGAGACTTCCCCCTAGAGGCGAGATGAGGCCCCATTCCCCTGCAGTGCATGCAGAGCTATTCCGTGATCCCATTCAAACAAGTCAGGAGCTTCGACTTGCTTAATGGATCTCGAGACAGTCCCCAAGAACACTGTCACCAGTCTAGACGGACCCTGAGGTCACCCCAGCAACGCAAAGCAGCTCCATGTGTCCCAAATCAACTCGAGATGAGGCCCGATTCCCCTGCATTGACTCCAGAGCCATTCCCCGTTCCCCATTCAACACGACCGGTGGCTCGACTTCCTTCAGGCAACTCCAGAGATGCCCCGAGAACACTGTCCCAAGTCTAGAAGAGCACCAGTTTCAGCACAGCAACTCGAGGAATGCTCCGTGTACCCCAAATCATCTCGAGATGAGAGCTGATTCCCTGGCTTAGGCTCAAGACGTATGCCAACTTTCCAGAAGCACCTCAGGAGGAGGCTTCTCTCAGCAATAGGTATGTGGGAGGGACCCCGAGTTTGCTGCCTCAAGGGGAATACACAGTGAGAAGCCCTAAGGTGAACGGAGGCCAGATTTCCTTGCACTGCGTTGAATACAGGCTCGTCTTTGATCAGACAACATGAAGGGTTGTCTGAATCCCCTGTGGAGACCTTAGAGGAAGCCCTAGGTCCCTGCCTCATTTTGACGGAATACCTCACATCCCCCTGACACCTCGAGAGGCACGCAGAGTTCATTGCTTCAAAAGGTGACGATGCCTGACTCCTCTTGAATACTTATAGGAATCCCAAAATCCCTGTGGCTACTGGAAAGGGTCCTTGGGTGCCCTGGCTCACCTCGAGAAGCGTCCCTTTTGCCCTGCCAAGCCTCGAAGAGATTGCTGAGGTGTCCCTCATTACTAGACAGGAGTCCTGACGTCACTGAAGAAACTCGTGTTTTGAAGGGCCATCCCCGCCGTAAGTCGAGAACATACCCCAGGTCCCCGCGGCAACTCGAGAAAAACCATGAGATTTCCCCCTAGAGGCGAGATGAGGCCCCATTCCCCTGCAGTGCATGCAGAGCTATTCCATGATCCAATTCAAACAAGTCAGGAGCTTCAACTTGCTTAATGGATCTCGAGACAGTCCCGAAGAACACTGTCACCAGTCTACACGGACCCTGAGGTCACCCCAGGAACACAAAGCAGCTCCATGTGCCCCAAATCAACTCGAGATGAGGCCCGAATCCCCTGCATTGACTCCAGAGCCATTCCCCGTTCCAAGTTCAACACGAACGGTGGCTCGCCTTCCTTCAGGCAACTCCAGAGATGCCCAGAGAACACTGTCCCAAGTCTAGAGGAACACCAACTTCAGCACAGCAACTCGAGGAATGCTCTGTGTACCACAAATCGTCTCGAGATGAGAGGTGATTCCCTGGCTTAGGCTCAGGACGTATGCCAACTTTCCAGAAGCACCTCAGGAGGAGGTTTCTCAGCAATAGGTATGTGGGAGGGACTCCGAGTTTGCTGCCTCAAGGGGAATATACAGCGAGAAGCCCTAACTTGAAAGGAGGCCGGATTTCCTTGCAGTAGCTTGAATACAGGCTCATCTTTCATCTCACAACATGAAGGGATGTCTGAATCCCTTGTGGAGACCTTAGAGAAAGCCCTAGGTCCCTGCCTCATTTTGACGGAATACCTCACATCCCCCTGACACCTCGAGAGGCACGCAGAGTTCATTGCTTCAAAAGGTGACGATGCCTGACTCCTCTTGAATACTTATAGGAATCCCAAAATCCCTGTGGCTACTGGAAAGGGTCCTTGGGTGCCCTGGCTCACTTCTAGAAGCGTCCCTTTTGCCCTGCCAAGCCTAGAAGAGATTGCTGACGTGTCCCTCGTTACTAGACAGGAGTCCTGACGTCACTGAAGAAACTCGTGTTTTGAAGGGCCATCCCCGCCGTAAGTCGAGAACATACCCCAGGTCCCCGCCGCAACTCGAGAAAAACCATGAGACTTCCCCCTAGAGGCGAGATGAGGCCCCATTCCCCTGCAGTGCATGCAGAGCTATTCCGAGATCCCATTCAAACAAGTCAGGAGCTTCGATTTGCTTAATGGATCTAGAGACAGTCCCCAAGAACACTGTCACCAGTCTAGACGGACCCTGAGGTCACCCCAGCAACGCAAAGCAGCTCCATGTGCCCCAAATCAACTCGAGATGAGGCCCCATTCCCCTGCATTGACTCCAGAGCCATTCCCCGTTCCCCATTCAACAGGACTGGTGACTCGCATTCCTTCAGGCAACTCCAGAGATGCCCTGAGAACACTGTCCCAAGTCTAGAGGAACACCAACTTCAGCACAGCAACTCGAGGAATGCTCTGTGTACCCCAAATCGTCTCGAGATGAGAGCTGATTCCCTGGCTTAGGCTCAAGACGTATGCCAACTTTCCAGAAGGACCTCAGGAGGAGGCTTCTCAGCAATAGGTATGTGGGAGGGACTCCGAGTTTGCTGCCTCAAGGGGAATATATAGCGAGAAGCACTAACTTGAAAGGAGGCCGGATTTCCTTGCAGTAGCTTGAATACAGGCTTGTCTTTCATCTCACAACATGAAGGGATGTCTGAATCCCCTGTGAAGACCTTAGAGAAAGCCCTAGGTCCCAGCCTCATTTTGACGGAATGCCTCACATCCCGCTGACAACTCGAGAGGCACGCGGAGTTCATTGCTTCAAAAGGTGACGATGCCTGACTCCTCTTGAATACTGATAGGAATCCCAAAATCCCTGTGGCTACTGGAAAGGTTCCTTGGGTGCCCTGCCTCACTTCGAGAAGCGTCCCTTTTGCCCTGCCAAGCCTCGAAGAGATTCCTGAGGTGTCCCTCGTTACTAGACAGGAGTCCTGACGTCACTGAAGAAACTCGTGTTTTGAAGGGCCATCCCCGCCGTAAGTCGAGAACATACCCCAGGTCCCCGCCGCAACTCGAGAAAAACCATGAGACTTCCCCCTAGAGGCGAGATGAGGCCCCATTCCCCTGCAGTGCATGCAGAGCTATTCCGTGATCCCATTCAAACAAGTCAGGAGCTTCGACTTGCTTAATGGATCTCGAGACAGTCCCCAAGAACACTGTCACCAGTCTAGACGGACCCTGAGGTCACCCCAGCAACGCAAAGCAGCTCCATGTGTCCCAAATCAACTCGAGATGAGGCCCGATTCCCCTGCATTGACTCCAGAGCCATTCCCCGTTCCCCATTCAACACGACCGGTGGCTCGACTTCCTTCAGGCAACTCCAGAGATGCCCCGAGAACACTGTCCCAAGTCTAGAAGAGCACCAGTTTCAGCACAGCAACCCGAGGAATGCTCCGTGTACCCCAAATCATCTCGAGATGAGAGCTGATTCCCTGGCTTAGGCTCAAGACGTATGCCAACTTTCCAGAAGCACCTCAGGAGGAGGCTTCTCTCAGCAATAGGTATGTGGGAGGGACCCCGAGTTTGCTGCCTCAAGGGGAATACACAGGGAGAAGCCCTAAGGTGAACGGAGGCCAGATTTCCTTGCACTGCGTTGAATACAGGCTCGTCTTTGATCAGACAACATGAAGGGTTGTCTGAATCCCCTGTGGAGACCTTAGAGGAAGCCCTAGGTCCCTGCCTCATTTTGACGGAATACCTCACATCCCCCTGACACCTCGAGAGGCACGCAGAGTTCATTGCTTCAAAAGGTGACGATGCCTGACTCCTCTTGAATACTTATAGGAATCCCAAAATCCCTGTGGCTACTGGAAAGGGTCCTTGGGTGCCCTGGCTCACCTCGAGAAGCGTCCCTTTTGCCCTGCCAAGCCTCGAAGAGATTGCTGAGGTGTCCCTCATTACTAGACAGGAGTCCTGACGTCACTGAAGAAACTCGTGTTTTGAAGGGCCATCCCCGCCGTAAGTCGAGAACATACCCCAGGTCCCCGCCGCAACTCGAGAAAAACCATGAGATTTCCCCCTAGAGGCGAGATGAGGCCCCATTCCCCTGCAGTGCATGCAGAGCTATTCCATGATCCAATTCAAACAAGTCAGGAGCTTCAACTTGCTTAATGGATCTCGAGACAGTCCCGAAGAACACTGTCACCAGTCTACACGGACCCTGAGGTCACCCCAGCAACACAAAGCAGCTCCATGTGCCCCAAATCAACTCGAGATGAGGCCCGATTCCCCTGCATTGACTCCAGAGCCATTCCCCGTTCCAAGTTCAACAAGAACGGTGGCTCGCCTTCCTTCAGGCAACTCCAGAGATGCCCAGAGAACACTGTCCCAAGTCTAGAGGAACACCAACTTCAGCACAGCAACTCGAGGAATGCTCTGTGTACCACAAATCGTCTCGAGATGAGAGGTGATTCCCTGGCTTAGGCTCAGGACGTATGCCAACTTTCCAGAAGCACCTCAGGAGGAGGCTTCTCAGCAATAGGTATGTGGGAGGGACTCCGAGTTTGCTGCCTCAAGGGGAATATACAGCGAGAAGCCCTAACTTGAAAGGAGGCCGGATTTCCTTGCAGTAGCTTGAATACAGGCTCATCTTTCATCTCACAACATGAAGGGATGTCTGAATCCCTTGTGGAGACCTTAGAGAAAGCCCTAGGTTCCTGCCTCATTTTGACGGAATACCTCACATCCCCCTGACACCTCGAGAGGCACGCAGAGTTCATTGCTTCAAAAGGTGACGATGCCTGACTCCTCTTGAATACTTATAGGAATCCCAAAATCCCTGTGTCTACTGGAAAGGGTCCTTGGGTGCCCTGGCTCACTTCTAGAAGCGTCCCTTTTGCCCTGCCAAGCCTAGAAGAGATTGCTGACGTGTCCCTCGTTACTAGACAGGAGTCCTGACGTCACTGAAGAAACTCGTGTTTTGAAGGGCCATCCCCGCCGTAAGTCGAGAACATACCCCAGGTCCCCGCCGCAACTCGAGAAAAACCATGAGACTTCCCCCTAGAGGCGAGATGAGGCCCCATTCCCCTGCAGTGCATGCAGAGCTATTCCGAGATCCCATTCAAACAAGTCAGGAGCTTCGATTTGCTTAATGGATCTAAAGACAGTCCCCAAGAACACTGTCACCAGTCTAGACGGACCCTGAGGTCACCCCAGCAACGCAAAGCAGCTCCATGTGCCCCAAATCAACTCGAGATGAGGCCCCATTCCCCTGCATTGACTCCAGAGCCATTCCCCGTTCCCCATTCAACAGGACTGGTGACTCGCATTCCTTCAGGCAACTCCAGAGATGCCCTGAGAACACTGTCCCAAGTCTAGAGGAACACCAACTTCAGCACAGCAACTCGAGGAATGCTCTGTGTACCCCAAATCGTCTCGAGATGAGAGCTGATTCCCTGGCTTAGGCTCAAGACGTATGCCAACTTTCCAGAAGGACCTCAGGAGGAGGCTTCTCAGCAATAGGTATGTGGGAGGGACTCCGAGTTTGCTGCCTCAAGGGGAATATATAGCGAGAAGCCCTAACTTGAAAGGAGGCCGGATTTCCTTGCAGTAGCTTGAATACAGGCTTGTCTTTCATCTCACAACATGAAGGGATGTCTGAATCCCCTGTGAAGACCTTAGAGAAAGCCCTAGGTCCCAGCCTCATTTTGACGGAATGCCTCACATCCCGCTGACAACTCGAGAGGCACGCGGAGTTCATTGCTTCAAAAGGTGACGATGCCTGACTCCTCTTGAATACTGATAGGAATCCCAAAATCCCTGTGGCTACTGGAAAGGTTCCTTGGGTGCCCTGCCTCACTTCGAGAAGCGTCCCTTTTGCCCTGCCAAGCCTCGAAGAGATTCCTGAGGTGTCCCTCGTTACTAGACAGGAGTCCTGACGTCACTGAAGAAACTCGTGTTTTGAAGGGCCATCCCCGCCGTAAGTCGAGAACATACCCCAGGTCCCCGCCGCAACTCGAGAAAAACCATGAGACTTCCCCCTAGAGGCGAGATGAGGCCCCATTCCCCTGCAGTGCATGCAGAGCTATTCCGTGATCCCATTCAAACAAGTCAGGAGCTTCGACTTGCTTAATGGATCTCGAGACAGTCCCCAAGAACACTGTCACCAGTCTAGACGGACCCTGAGGTCACCCCAGCAACGCAAAGCAGCTCCATGTGTCCCAAATCAACTCGAGATGAGGCCCGATTCCCCTGCATTGACTCCAGAGCCATTCCCCGTTCCCCATTCAACACGACCGGTGGCTCGACTTCCTTCAGGCAACTCCAGAGATGCCCCGAGAACACTGTCCCAAGTCTAGAAGAGCACCAGTTTCAGCACAGCAACCCGAGGAATGCTCCGTGTACCCCAAATCATCTCGAGATGAGAGCTGATTCCCTGGCTTAGGCTCAAGACGTATGCCAACTTTCCAGAAGCACCTCAGGAGGAGGCTTCTCTCAGCAATAGGTATGTGGGAGGGACCCCGAGTTTGCTGCCTCAAGGGGAATACACAGGGAGAAGCCCTAAGGTGAACGGAGGCCAGATTTCCTTGCACTGCGTTGAATACAGGCTCGTCTTTGATCAGACAACATGAAGGGTTGTCTGAATCCCCTGTGGAGACCTTAGAGGAAGCCCTAGGTCCCTGCCTCATTTTGACGGAATACCTCACATCCCCCTGACACCTTGAGAGGCACGCAGAGTTCATTGCTTCAAAAGGTGACGATGCCTGACTCCTCTTGAATACTTATAGGAATCCCAAAATCCCTGTGGCTACTGGAAAGGGTCCTTGGGTGCCCTGGCTCACCTCGAGAAGCGTCCCTTTTGCCCTGCCAAGCCTCGAAGAGATTGCTGAGGTGTCCCTCATTACTAGACAGGAGTCCTGACGTCACTGAAGAAACTCGTGTTTTGAAGGGCCATCCCCGCCGTAAGTCGAGAACATACCCCAGGTCCCCGCCGCAACTCGAGAAAAACCATGAGATTTCCCCCTAGAGGCGAGATGAGGCCCCATTCCCCTGCAGTGCATGCAGAGCTATTCCATGATCCAATTCAAACAAGTCAGGAGCTTCAACTTGCTTAATGGATCTCGAGACAGTCCCGAAGAACACTGTCACCAGTCTACACGGACCCTGAGGTCACCCCAGCAACACAAAGCAGCTCCATGTGCCCCAAATCAACTCGAGATGAGGCCCGATTCCCCTGCATTGACTCCAGAGCCATTCCCCGTTCCAAGTTCAACACGAACGGTGGCTCGCCTTCCTTCAGGCAACTCCAGAGATGCCCAGAGAACACTGTCCCAAGTCTAGAGGAACACCAACTTCAGCACAGCAACTCGAGGAATGCTCTGTGTACAACAAATCGTCTCGAGATGAGAGGTGATTCCCTGGCTTAGGCTCAGGACGTATGCCAACTTTCCAGAAGCACCTCAGGAGGAGGCTTCTCAGCAATAGGTATGTGGGAGGGACTCCGAGTTTGCTGCCTCAAGGGGAATATACAGCGAGAAGCCCTAACTTGAAAGGAGGCCGGATTTCCTTGCAGTAGCTTGAATACAGGCTCATCTTTCATCTCACAACATGAAGGGATGTCTGAATCCCTTGTGGAGACCTTAGAGAAAGCCCTAGGTCCCTGCCTCATTTTGACGGAATACCTCACATCCCCCTGACACCTCGAGAGGCACGCAGAGTTCATTGCTTCAAAAGGTGACGATGCCTGACTCCTCTTGAATACTTATAGGAATCCCAAAATCCCTGTGGCTACTGGAAAGGGTCCTTGGGTGCCCTGGCTCACCTCGAGAAGCGTCCCTTTTTCCCTGCCAAGCCTCGAAGAGATTGCTGAGGTGTCCCTCATTACTAGACAGGAGTCCTGACGTCACTGAAGAAACTCGTGTTTTGAAGGGCCATCCCCGCCGTAAGTCGAGAACATACCCCAGGTCCCCGCCGCAACTCGAGAAAAACCATGAGATTTCCCCCTAGAGGCGAGATGAGGCCCCATTCCCCTGCAGTGCATGCAGAGCTATTCCATGATCCAATTCAAACAAGTCAGGAGCTTCAACTTGCTTAATGGATCTCGAGACAGTCCCGAAGAACACTGTCACCAGTCTACACGGACCCTGAGGTCACCCCAGCAACACAAAGCAGCTCCATGTGCCCCAAATCAACTCGAGATGAGGCCCGATTCCCCTGCATTGACTCCAGAGCCATTCCCCGTTCCAAGTTCAACACGAACGGTGGCTCGCCTTCCTTCAGGCAACTCCAGAGATGCCCAGAGAACACTGTCCCAAGTCTAGAGGAACACCAACTTCAGCACAGCAACTCGAGGAATGCTCTGTGTACCACAAATCGTCTCGAGATGAGAGGTGATTCCCTGGCTTAGGCTCAGGACGTATGCCAACTTTCCAGAAGCACCTCAGGAGGAGGCTTCTCAGCAATAGGTATGTGGGAGGGACTCCGAGTTTGCTGCCTCAAGGGGAATATACAGCGAGAAGCCCTAACTTGAAAGGAGGCCGGATTTCCTTGCAGTAGCTTGAATACAGGCTCATCTTTCATCTCACAACATGAAGGGATGTCTGAATCCCTTGTGGAGACCTTAGAGAAAGCCCTAGGTCCCTGCCTCATTTTGACGGAATACCTCACATCCCCCTGACACCTCGAGAGGCACGCAGAGTTCATTGCTTCAAAAGGTGACGATGCCTGACTCCTCTTGAATACTTATAGGAATCCCAAAATCCCTGTGTCTACTGGAAAGGGTCCTTGGGTGCCCTGGCTCACTTCTAGAAGCGTCCCTTTTGCCCTGCCAAGCCTAGAAGAGATTGCTGACGTGTCCCTCGTTACTAGACAGGAGTCCTGACGTCACTGAAGAAACTCGTGTTTTGAAGGGCCATCCCCGCCGTAAGTCGAGAACATAACCCAGGTCCCCGCCGCAACTCGAGAAAAACCATGAGACTTCCCCCTAGAGGCGAGATGAGGCCCCATTCCCCTGCAGTGCATGCAGAGCTATTCCGAGATCCCATTCAAACAAGTCAGGAGCTTCGATTTGCTTAATGGATCTAGAGACAGTCCCCAAGAACACTGTCACCAGTCTAGACGGACCCTGAGGTCACCCCAGCAACGCAAAGCAGCTCCATGTGCCCCAAATCAACTCGAGATGAGGCCCCATTCCCCTGCATTGACTCCAGAGCCATTCCCCGTTCCCCATTCAACAGGACTGGTGACTCGCATTCCTTCAGGCAACTCCAGAGATGCCCTGAGAACACTGTCCCAAGTCTAGAGGAACACCAACTTCAGCACAGCAACTCGAGGAATGCTCTGTGTACCCCAAATCGTCTCGAGATGAGAGCTGATTCCCTGGCTTAGGCTCAAGACGTATGCCAACTTTCCAGAAGGACCTCAGGAGGAGGCTTCTCAGCAATAGGTATGTGGGAGGGACTCCGAGTTTGCTGCCTCAAGGGGAATATATAGCGAGAAGCCCTAACTTGAAAGGAGGCCGGATTTCCTTGCAGTAGCTTGAATACAGGCTTGTCTTTCATCTCACAACATGAAGGGATGTCTGAATCCCCTGTGAAGACCTTAGAGAAAGCCCTAGGTCCCAGCCTCATTTTGACGGAATGCCTCACATCCCGCTGACAACTCGAGAGGCACGCGGAGTTCATTGCTTCAAAAGGTGACGATGCCTGACTCCTCTTGAATACTGATAGGAATCCCAAAATCCCTGTGGCTACTGGAAAGGTTCCTTGGGTGCCCTGCCTCACTTCGAGAAGCGTCCCTTTTGCCCTGCCAAGCCTCGAAGAGATTCCTGAGGTGTCCCTCGTTACTAGACAGGAGTCCTGACGTCACTGAAGAAACTCGTGTTTTGAAGGGCCATCCCCGCCGTAAGTCGAGAACATACCCCAGGTCCCCGCCGCAACTCGAGAAAAACCATGAGACTTCCCCCTAGAGGCGAGATGAGGCCCCATTCCCCTGCAGTGCATGCAGAGCTATTCCGTGATCCCATTCAAACAAGTCAGGAGCTTCGACTTGCTTAATGGATCTCGAGACAGTCCCCAAGAACACTGTCACCAGTCTAGACGGACCCTGAGGTCACCCCAGCAACGCAAAGCAGCTCCATGTGTCCCAAATCAACTCGAGATGAGGCCCGATTCCCCTGCATTGACTCCAGAGCCATTCCCCGTTCCCCATTCAACACGACCGGTGGCTCGACTTCCTTCAGGCAACTCCAGAGATGCCCCGAGAACACTGTCCCAAGTCTAGAAAAGCACCAGTTTCAGCACAGCAACCCGAGGAATGCTCCGTGTACCCCAAATCATCTCGAGATGAGAGCTGATTCCCTGGCTTAGGCTCAAGACGTATGCCAACTTTCCAGAAGCACCTCAGGAGGAGGCTTCTCTCAGCAATAGGTATGTGGGAGGGACCCCGAGTTTGCTGCCTCAAGGGGAATACACAGGGAGAAGCCCTAAGGTGAACGGAGGCCAGATTTCCTTGCACTGCGTTGAATACAGGCTCGTCTTTGATCAGACAACATGAAGGGTTGTCTGAATCCCCTGTGGAGACCTTAGAGGAAGCCCTAGGTCCCTGCCTCATTTTGACGGAATACCTCACATCCCCCTGACACCTCGAGAGGCACGCAGAGTTCATTGCTTCAAAAGGTGACGATGCCTGACTCCTCTTGAATACTTATAGGAATCCCAAAATCCCTGTGGCTACTGGAAAGGGTCCTTGGGTGCCCTGGCTCACCTCGAGAAGCGTCCCTTTTGCCCTGCCAAGCCTCGAAGAGATTGCTGAGGTGTCCCTCATTACTAGACAGGAGTCCTGACGTCACTGAAGAAACTCGTGTTTTGAAGGGCCATCCCCGCCGTAAGTCGAGAACATACCCCAGGTCCCCGCCGCAACTCGAGAAAAACCATGAGATTTCCCCCTAGAGGCGAGATGAGGCCCCATTCCCCTGCAGTGCATGCAGAGCTATTCCATGATCCAATTCAAACAAGTCAGGAGCTTCAACTTGCTTAATGGATCTCGAGACAGTCCCGAAGAACACTGTCACCAGTCTACACGGACCCTGAGGTCACCCCAGCAACACAAAGCAGCTCCATGTGCCCCAAATCAACTCGAGATGAGGCCCGATTCCCCTGCATTGACTCCAGAGCCATTCCCCGTTCCAAGTTCAACACGAACGGTGGCTCGCCTTCCTTCAGGCAACTCCAGAGATGCCCAGAGAACACTGTCCCAAGTCTAGAGGAACACCAACTTCAGCACAGCAACTCGAGGAATGCTCTGTGTACCACAAATCGTCTCGAGATGAGAGGTGATTCCCTGGCTTAGGCTCAGGACGTATGCCAACTTTCCAGAAGCACCTCAGGAGGAGGCTTCTCAGCAATAGGTATGTGGGAGGGACTCCGAGTTTGCTGCCTCAAGGGGAATATACAGCGAGAAGCCCTAACTTGAAAGGAGGCCGGATTTCCTTGCAGTAGCTTGAATACAGGCTCATCTTTCATCTCACAACATGAAGGGATGTCTGAATCCCTTGTGGAGACCTTAGAGAAAGCCCTAGGTTCCTGCCTCATTTTGACGGAATACCTCACATCCCCCTGACACCTCGAGAGGCACGCAGAGTTCATTGCTTCAAAAGGTGACGATGCCTGACTCCTCTTGAATACTTATAGGAATCCCAAAATCCCTGTGTCTACTGGAAAGGGTCCTTGGGTGCCCTGGCTCACTTCTAGAAGCGTCCCTTTTGCCCTGCCAAGCCTAGAAGAGATTGCTGACGTGTCCCTCGTTACTAGACAGGAGTCCTGACGTCACTGAAGAAACTCGTGTTTTGAAGGGCCATCCCCGCCGTAAGTCGAGAACATACCCCAGGTCCCCGCCGCAACTCGAGAAAAACCATGAGACTTCCCCCTAGAGGCGAGATGAGGCCCCATTCCCCTGCAGTGCATGCAGAGCTATTCCGAGATCCCATTCAAACAAGTCAGGAGCTTCGATTTGCTTAATGGATCTCGAGACAGTCCCCAAGAACACTGTCACCAGTCTAGACGGACCCTGAGGTCACCCCAGCAACGCAAAGCTGCTCCATGTGCCCCAAATCAACTCGAGATGAGGCCCCATTCCCCTGCATTGACTCCAGAGCCATTCCCCGTTCCCCATTCAACAGGACTGTTGACTCGCATTCCTTCAGGCAACTCCAGAGATGCCCTGAGAACACTGTCCCAAGTCTAGAGGAACACCAACTTCAGCACAGCAACTCGAGGAATGCTCTGTGTACCCCAAATCGTCTCGAGATGAGAGCTGATTCCCTGGCTTAGGCTCAAGACGTATGCCAACTTTCCAGAAGGACCTCAGGAGGAGGCTTCTCAGCAATAGGTATGTGGGAGGGACTCCGAGTTTGCTGCCTCAAGGGGAATATATAGCGAGAAGCCCTAACTTGAAAGGAGGCCGGATTTCCTTGCAGTAGCTTGAATACAGGCTTGTCTTTCATCTCACAACATGAAGGGATGTCTGAATCCCCTGTGAAGACCTTAGAGAAGGCCCTAGGTCCCAGCCTCATTTTGACGGAATGCCTCACATCCCGCTGACAACTCGAGAGGCACGCGGAGTTCATTGCTTCAAAAGGTGACGATGCCTGACTCCTCTTGAATACTGATAGGAATCCCAAAATCTCTGTGGCTACTGGAAAGGTTCCTTGGGTGCCCTGCCTCACTTCGAGAAGCGTCCCTTTTGCCCTGCCAAGCCTCGAAGAGATTCCTGAGGTGTCCCTCGTTACTAGACAGGAGTCCTGACGTCACTGAAGAAACTCGTGTTTTGAAGGGCCATCCCCGCCGTAAATCGAGAACATACCCCAGGTCCCCGCCGCAACTCGAGGAAAACCATGAGACTTCCCCCTAGAGGCGAGATGAGGCCCCATTCCCCTGCAGTGCATGCAGAGCTATTCCGTGATCCCATTCAAACAAGTCAGGAGCTTCGACTTGCTTAATGGATCTCGAGACAGTCCCCAAGAACACTGTCACCAGTCTAGACGGACCCTGAGGTCACCCCAGCAACGCAAAGCAGCTCCATGTGTCCCAAATCAACTCGAGATGAGGCCCGATTCCCCTGCATTGACTCCAGAGCCATTCCCCGTTCCCCATTCAACACGACCGGTGGCTCGACTTCCTTCAGGCAACTCCAGAGATGCCCCGAGAACACTGTCCCAAGTCTAGAAGAGCACCAGTTTCAGCACAGCAACCCGAGGAATGCTCCGTGTACCCCAAATCATCTCGAGATGAGAGCTGATTCCCTGGCTTAGGCTCAAGACGTATGCCAACTTTCCAGAAGCACCTCAGGAGGAGGCTTCTCTCAGCAATAGGTATGTGGGAGGGACCCCGAGTTTGCTGCCTCAAGGGGAATACACAGGGAGAAGCCCTAATGTGAACGGAGGCCAGATTTCCTTGCACTGCGTTGAATACAGGCTCGTCTTTGATCAGACAACATGAAGGGTTGTCTGAATACCCTGTGGAGACCTTAGAGGAAGCCCTAGGTCCCTGCCTCATTTTGACGGAATACCTCACATCCCCCTGACACCTCGAGAGGCACGCAGAGTTCATTGCTTCAAAAGGTGGCGATGCCTGACTCCTCTTGAATACTTATAGGAATCCCAAAATCCCTGTGGCAACTGGAAAGGTTCCTTGGGTGCCCTGGCTCACCTCGAGAAGCGTCCCTTTTGCCCTGCCAAGCCTCGAAGAGATTGCTGAGGTGTCCCTCATTACTAGACAGGAGTCCTGACGTCACTGAAGAAACTCGTGTTTTGAAGGGCCATCCCCGCCGTAAGTCGAGAACATACCACAGGTCCCCGCCGCAACTCGAGAAAAACCATGAGATTTCCCCCTAGACGCGAGAAGAGGCCCCATTCCCCTGCAGTGCAGGCAGAGCTATTCCATGATCACATTCAAACAAGTCAGGAGCTTCGACTTGCTTAATGGATCTCGAGACAGTCCCCAAGAACACTGTCACCAGTCTAGACGGACCCTGAGGTCACACCAGCAACACAAAGCAGTTCCATGTGCCCCAAATCAATTCGAGATGAGGCCCGATTCCCCTGCATTGACTCCAGAGCCATTCCCCGTTCCAAGTTCAACACGAACGGTGGCTCGCCTTCCTTCAGGCAACTCCAGAGATGCCCCGAGAACACTGTCCCAAATCTAGAGGAACACCAACTTCAGCACAGCAACTCGAGGAATGCTCTGTGTACCCCAAATCGTCTCGAGATGAGAGCTGATTCCCTGGCTAAGGCTCAAGACGTATGCCAACTATCCAGAAGCACCTCAGGAGGAGGCTTCTCAGCAATAGGTATGTGGGAGGGACTCCGAGTTTGCTGCCTCAAGGGGAATATACAGCGAGAAGCCCTAACTTGAAAGGAGGCCGGATTTCCTTGCAGTAGCTTGAAACAGGCTTGTTTTTCATCTCACAACATGAAGGGATGTCTGAATCCCCTGTGGAGACCTTAGAGAAAGCCCTAGGTCCCTGCCTCATTTTGACGGAATCCTCACATCCCGCTGACACCTCGAGAGGCACGCGGAGTTCATTGCTTCAAAAGGTGACGATGCCTGACTCCTCTTGAATACTGATAGGAATCCCAAAATCACTGTGGCTACTGGAAAGGTTCCTTGGGTGCCCTGCCTCACTTCGAGAAGCGTCCCTTTTGCCCTGCCAAGCCTCGAAGAGATTCCTGAGGTGTCCCTCGTTTCTAGACAGGAGTCCTGACGTCACTGAAGAAACTCGTGTTTTGAAGGGCCATTCCCGCCGTAAGTCGAGAACATACCCCAGGTCCCCGCCGCAACTCGAGAAAAACCATGAGACTTCCCCCTAGAGGCGAGATGAGGCCACATTCCCCTGCAGTGCATGCAGAGCTATTCCGTGATCCCATTCAAACAAGTCAGGAGCTTCGACTTGCTTAATGGATCTCGAGACAGTCCCCAAGAACACTGTCACCAGTCTAGACAGACCCTGAGGTCACCCCAGCAACGCAAAGCTGCTCCATGTGTCCCAAATCAACTCGAGATGAGGCCCGATTCCCCTGCATTGACTCCAGAGCCATTCCCCGTTCCCCATTCAACACGACCGGTGGCTCGACTTCCTTCAGGCAACTCCAGAGATGCCCCGAGAACACTGTCCCAAGTCTAGAGGAGCACCAATTTCAGCACAGCAACCCGAGGAATGCTCCGTGTACCGCAAATCATCTCGAGATGAGAGCTGATTCCCTGGCTTAGGCTCAAGACGTATGCCAACTTTCCAGAAGCAACTCAGGAGGAGGCTTCTCTCAGCAATAGGTATGTGGGAGGGACCCCGAGTTTGCTGCCTCAAGGGGAATACACAGGGAGAAACCCTAATGTGAACGAAGGCCAGATTTCCTTGCAGTGGCTTGAATACAGGCTCGTCTTTGATCTGACAACATGAAGGGATGTCTGAATCCCCTGTGGAGACCTTAGAGGAAGCCCTAGGTCCCTGCCTCATCTTGACGGAATACCTCACATCCCCCTGACACCTCGAGAGGCACGCAGAGTTCATTGCTTCAAAAGGTGACGATGCCTGACTCCTCTTGAATACTTATAGGAATCCCCAAATCCCTGTGGATACTGGAAAGGGTCCTTGGGTGCCCTGGCTCACCTCGAGAAGCGTCCCTTTTGCCCTGCCAAGCCTCGAAGAGATTGCTGAGGTGTCCCTCGTTACTAGACAGGAGTCCTGACGTCACTGAAGAAACTCGTGTTTTGAAGGGCCATCCCCGCCGTAAGTCGAGAACATACCCCAGGTCCCCGCCGCAACTCGAGAAAAACCATGAGACTTCCCCCTAGAGGCGAGATGAGGCCCCATTCCCCTGCAGTGCATGCAGAGCTATTCCGTGATCCCATTCAAACAAGTCAGGAGCTTCGACTTGCTTAATGGATCTCGAGGCAGTCCCCAAGAACACTGTCACCAGTCTAGACGGACCCTGAGGTCACCCAGCAATGCAAAGCAGCTCCATGTGCCCCAAATCAACTCGAGATGAGGCCGGATTCCCCTGCATTGACTCCAGAGCCATTCCTTGTTCCCCATTCAACACGACCGGTGGCTCGACTTCCTTCAGGCAACTCCAGAGATGCCCCGAGAACACTCTCACAAGTCTAGAGGACCACCAACTTCAGCACAGCAACTCGAGGAATGCTCTGTGTACCCCAAATCGTCTCGAGATGAGAGCTGATTCCCTGGCTTAGGCTCAAGACGTATGCCACCTTTCCAGAAGCACCTCAGGAGGAGGCTTCTGTCAGCAATAGGTATGTGGGAGGGACCCCGAGTTTGCTGCCTCAAGGGGAATATACAGCGAGAAGTCCTAACTTGAAAGGAGGCCGGATTTCCTTACAGTGGCTTGAATACAGGCTCGTCTTTCATCTCACAACATGAAGGGATGTCTGAATCCCCTGTGGAGACCTTAGAGAAAGCCCTAGGTCCCTGCCTCATTTTGACGGAATCCTCACATCCCGCTGACACCTCGAGACGCACGCGGAGTTCATTGCTTCAAAAGGTGACGATGCCTGACTCCTCTTGAATACTTATAGGAATCCCAAAATCCCTGTGGCTACTGGAAAGGGTCCTTGGGTGCCCTGGCTCACCTCGAGAAGCGTCCCTTTTGCCCTGCCAAGCCTCGAAGAGATTGCTGACGTGTCCCTCGTTACTAGACAGGAGTCCTGACGTCACTGAAGAAACTCGTGTTTTGAAGGGCCATCCCCGCCGTAAGTCGAGAACATACCCCAGGTCCCCGCCGCAACTCGAGAAAAACCATGAGACTTCCCCCTAGAGGCGAGATGAGGCCCCATTCCCCTGCAGTGCATGCAGAGCTATTCCGAGATCCCATTCAAACAAGTCAGGAGCTTCGACTTGCTTAATGGATCTAGAGACAGTCCCCAAGAACACTGTCACCAGTCTAGATGGACCCTGAGGTCACCCCAGCAACGCAAACCAGCTCCATGTGCCCCAAATCAACTCGAGATGAGGCCGGATTCCCCTGCATTGACTCCAGAGCCACTCCTTGTTCCCCATTCAACACGACCGGTGGCTCGACTTCCTTCAGGCAACTCCAGAGATGCCCCGAGAACACTGTCCCAAGTCTAGAGGACCACCAACTTCAGCACAGCAACTAGAGGAATGCTCTGTGTACCCCAAATCGTCTCGAGATGAGAGCTGGTTCCCTGGCTTAGGCTCAAGACGTATGCCACCTTTCCAGAAGCACCTTAGGAGGAGGCTTCTCTCAGCAATAGGTATGTGGGAGGGACCCCGAGTTTGCTGCCTCAAGGGAAATACACAGGGAGAAGCCCTAATGTGAACGGAGGCCAGATTTCCTTGCAGTGGCTTGAATACAGGCTCGTCTTTGATCTGACAACATGAAGGGATTTCTGAATCCGCTGTGGAGACCTTAGAGGAAGCCCTAGGTCCCTGCCTCATTTTGACGGAATACCTCACATCCCCCTGACACCTCGAGAGGCACGCAGAGTTCATTGCTTCAAAAGGTGACGATGCCTGACTCCTCTTGAATACTTATAGGAATCCCAAAATCCCTGTGGCTACTGGAAAGGGTCCTTGGGTACCCTGGCTCACCTCGAGAAGCGTCCCTTTTGCCCTGCCAAGCCTCGAAGAGATTGCTGAGGTGTCCCTCATTACTAGACAGGAGTCCTGACGTCACTGAAGAAACTCGTGTTTTGAAGGGCCATCCCCGCCGTAAGTCGAGAACATACCCCAGGTCCCCGCCGCAACTCGAGAAAAACCATGAGACTTCCCCCTAGAGGCGAGATGAGGCCCCATTCTCCTGCAGAGCATGCAGAGCTATTCCATGATCCAATTCAAACAAGTCAGGAGCTTCGACTTGCTTAATGGATCTCGAGACAGTCCCCAAGAACACTGTCACCAGTCTAGACGGACCCTGAGGTCACCCCAGCAACACAAAGCAGCTCCATGTGCCCCAAATCATCTCGAGATGAGGCCCGATTCCCCTGCATTGACTCCAGAGATATTCCCCGTTCCAAGTTCAACACGAACGGTGGCTCGCCTTCCTTCAGGCAACTCCAGAGATGCCCCGAGAACACTATCCCAAGTCTAGAGGAACACCAACTTCAGCACAGCAACTCGAGGAATGCTCTGTGTACCCCAAATCGTCTCGAGATGAGAGCTGATTCCCTGGCTTAGGCTCAAGACGTATGCCAACTTTCCAGAAGCACCTCAGGAGGAGGCTTCTCAGCAATAGGTATGTGGGAGGAACTCCGAGTTTGCTGCCTCAAGGGGAATATACAGCGAGAAGCCCTAACTTGAAAGGAGGCCGGATATCCTTGCAGTAGCTTGAAACAGGCTAGTTTTTCATCTCACAACATGAAGGGATGTCTGAATCCCCTGTGGAGACCTTAGAGAAAGCCCTAGGTCCCTGCCTCATTTTACGGGAATCCTCACATCCCGCTGACACCTCGAGAGGCACGCGGAGTTCATTGCTTCAAAAGGTGACGATGCCTGACTCCTCTTGAATACTTATAGGAATCCCAAAATCCCTGTGGCTACTGGAAAGGGTCCTTGGGTGCCCTGGCTCACCTCGAGAAGCGTCCCTTTTGCCCTGCCAAGCCTCGAAGAGATTGCTGACGTGTCCCTCGGTACTAGACAGGAGTCCTGACGTCACTGAAGAAACTCGTGTTTTGAAGGGCCATCCCCGCCGTAAGTCGAGAACATACCCCAGGTCCCCGCCGCAGCTCGAGAAAAACCATGAGACTACCCCCTAGAGGCGAGATGAGGCCCCATTCCCCTGCAGTGCATGCAGAGCTATTCCGTGATCCCATTCAAACAAGTCAGGAGCTTCGACTTGCTTAATGGATCTCGAGACAGTCCCCAAGAACACTGTCACCAGTCTAGACGGACCCTGAGGTCACCCAGCAATGCAAAGCAGCTCCATGTGCCCCAAATCAACTCGAGATGAGGCCGGATTCCCCTGCATTGACTCCAGAGCCACTCCTTGTTCCCCATTCAACACGACCGGTGGCTCGACTTCCTTCAGGCAACTCCAGAGATGCCCCGAGAACACTGTCCCAAGTCTAGAGGACCACCAACTTCAGCACAGCAACTCGAGGAATGCTCTGTGTACCCCAAATCGTCTGGAGATGAGAGCTGATTCCCTGGCTTAGGCTCAAGACGTATGCCACCTTTCCAGAAGCACCTCAGGAGGAGGCTTCTCTCAGCAATAGGTATGTGGGAGGGACCCCGAGTTTGCTGCCTGAAGGGGAATATACAGCGAGAAGCCCTAACTTGAAAGGAGGCCGGATTTCCTTGCAGTGGCTTGAATACAGGCTCGTCTTTCATCTCACAACATGAAGGGATGTCTGAATCCCCTGTGGAGACCTTAGAGAAAGCCCTAGGTCCCTGCCTCATTTTGACGGAATCCTCACATCCCGCTGACACCTCGAGAGGCACGCGGAGTTCATTTCTTCAAAAGGTGACGATGCCTGACTCCTCTTGAATACTTATAGTAATCCCAAAATCCCTGTGGCTACTGGAAAGGGTCCTTGCGTGCCCTGGCTCACCTCGAGAAGCGTCCCTTTTGCCCTGCCAAGCCTCGAAGAGATTGCTGAGGTGTCCCTCATTACTAGACAGGAGTCCTGACGTCACTGAAGAAACTCGTGTTTTGAAGGGATATCCCCGCCGTAAGTCGAGAACATACCCCAGGTCCCCGCCGCAACTCGAGAAAAACCATGAGATTTCCCCCTAGAGGCGAGATGAGGCCCCGTTCCCCTGCAGTGCATGCAGAGCTATTCCATGATCCAATTCAAACAAGTCAGGAGCTTCGACTTGCTTAATGGATCTCGAGACAGTCCCCAAGAACACTGTCACCAGTCTAGACGGACCCTGAGGTCACCCCAGCAACGCAAAGCAGCTCCATGTGCCCCAAATCAACTCGAGATGAGGCCGGATTCCCCTGCATTGACTCCAGAGCCACTCCTTGTTCCCCATTCAACACGACCGGTGGCTCGACTTCCTTCAGGCAACTCCAGAGATGCCCCGAGAACACTGTCCCAAGTCTAGAGGACCACCAACTTCAGCACAGCAACTAGAGGAATGCTCTGTGTACCCCAAATCGTCTCGAGATGAGAGCTGGTTCCCTGGCTTAGGCTCAAGACGTATGCCACCTTTCCAGAAGCACCTTAGGAGGAGGCTTCTCTCAGCAATAGGTATGTGGGAGGGACCCCGAGTTTGCTGCCTCAAGGGAAATACACAGGGAGAAGCCCTAATGTGAACGGAGGCCAGATTTCCTTGCAGTGGCTTGAATACAGGCTCGTCTTTGATCTGACAACATGAAGGGATTTCTGAATCCGCTGTGGAGACCTTAGAGGAAGCCCTAGGTCCCTGCCTCATTTTGACGGAATACCTCACATCCCCCTGACACCTCGAGAGGCACGCAGAGTTCATTGCTTCAAAAGGTGACGATGCCTGACTCCTCTTGAATACTTATAGGAATCCCAAAATCCCTGTGGCTACTGGAAAGGGTCCTTGGGTACCCTGGCTCACCTCGAGAAGCGTCCCTTTTGCCCTGCCAAGCCTCGAAGAGATTGCTGAGGTGTCCCTCATTACTAGACAGGAGTCCTGACGTCACTGAAGAAACTCGTGTTTTGAAGGGCCATCCCCGCCGTAAGTCGAGAACATACCCCAGGTCCCCGCCGCAACTCGAGAAAAACCATGAGACTTCCCCCTAGAGGCGAGATGAGGCCCCATTCCCCTGCAGTGCATGCAGAGCTATTCCATGATCCAATTCAAACAAGTCAGGAGCTTCGACTTGCTTAATGGATCTCGAGACAGTCCCCAAGAACACTGTCACCAGTCTAGACGGACCCTGAGGTCACCCCAGCAACACAAAGCAGCTCCATGTGCCCCAAATCATCTCGAGATGAGGCCCGATTCCCCTGCATTGACTCCAGAGATATTCCCCGTTCCAAGTTCAACACGAACGGTGGCTCGCCTTCCTTCAGGCAACTCCAGAGATGCCCCGAGAACACTGTCCCAAGTCTAGAGGAACACCAACTTCAGCACAGCAACTCGAGGAATGCTCTGTGTACCCCAAATCGTCTCGAGATGAGAGCTGATTCCCTGGCTTAGGCTCAAGACGTATGCCAACTTTCCAGAAGCACCTCAGGAGGAGGCTTGTCAGCAATAGGTATGTGGGAGGAACTCCGAGTTTGCTGCCTCAAGGGGAATATACAGCGAGAAGCCCTAACTTGAAAGGAGGCCGGATATCCTTGCAGTAGCTTGAAACAGGCTAGTTTTTCATCTCACAACATGAAGGGATGTCTGAATCCCCTGTGGAGACCTTAGAGAAAGCCCTAGGTCCCTGCCTCATTTTACGGGAATCCTCACATCCCGCTGACACCTCAAGAGGCACGCGGAGTTCATTGCTTCAAAAGGTGACGATGCCTGACTCCTCTTGAATACTGATAGGAATCCCAAAATCCCTGTGGCTACTGGAAAGGGTCCTTGGGTGCCCTGGCTCACCTCGAGAAGCGTCCCTTTTGCCCTGCCAAGCCTCGAAGAGATTGCTGAGGTGTCCCTCGGTACTAGACAGGAGTCCTGACGTCACTGAAGAAACTCGTGTTTTGAAGGGCCATCCCCGCCGTAAGTCGAGAACATACCCCAGGTCCCCGCCGCAACTCGAGAAAAACCATGAGACTACCCCCTAGAGGCGAGATGAGGCCCCATTCCCCTGCAGTGCATGCAGAGCTATTCCGTGATCCCATTCAAACAAGTCAGGAGCTTCGACTTGCTTAATGGATCTCGAGACAGTCCCCAAGAACACTGTCACCAGTCTAGACGGACCCTGAGGTCACCCAGCAATGCAAAGCAGCTCCATGTGCCCCAAATCAACTCGAGATGAGGCCGGATTCCCCTGCATTGACTCCAGAGCCACTCCTTGTTCCCCATTCAACACGACCGGTGGCTCGACTTCCTTCAGGCAACTCCAGAGATGCCCCGAGAACACTGTCCCAAGTCTAGAGGACCACCAACTTCAGCACAGCAACTCGAGGAATGCTCTGTGTACCCCAAATCGTCTCGAGATGAGAGCTGATTCCCTGGCTTAGGCTCAAGACGTATGCCACCTTTCCAGAAGCACCTCAGGAGGAGGCTTCTCTCAGCAATAGGTATGTGGGAGGGACCCCGAGTTTGCTGCCTGAAGGGGAATATACAGCGAGAAGCCCTAACTTGAAAGGAGGCCGGATTTCCTTGCAATAGCTTGAGACAGGCTTGTTTTTCATCTCACAACATGAAGGGATGTCTGAATCCCCTGTAGAGACCTTAGAGAAAGCCCTAGGTCCCTGCCTCATTTTGACAGAATCCTCACATCCCGCTGACACCTCGAGAGGCACGCAGAGTTCATTGCTTCAAAAGGTGACGATGCCTGACTCCTCTTGAATACTTATAGGAATCCCCAAATCCCTGTGGCTACTGGAAAGTGTCCTTGGGTGCCCTGGCTCACCTCGAGAAGCATCCCTTTTGCCCTGCCAAGCCTCGAAGAGATTGCTGAGGTGTCCCTCGTTACTAGACAGGAGTCCTGACGTCACTGAAGAAACTCGTGTTTTGAAGGGCCATCCCCGCCGTAAGTCGAGAACATACCCCAGGTCCCCGCCGCAACTCGAGAAAAACAATGAGACTTCCCCCTAGAGGCGAGATGAGGCCCCATTCCCCTGCAGTGCATGCAGAGCTATTCCGTGATCCCATTCAAACAAGTCAGGAGCTTCGACTTGCTTAATGGATCTCGAGACAGTCCCCAAGAACACTGTCACCAGTCTAGACGGACCCTGAGTCACCCAGCAATGCAAAGCAGCTCCATGTGCCCCAAATCAACTCGAGATGAGGCCGGATTCCCCTGCATTGACTCCAGAGCCACTCCTTGTTCCCCATTCAACACGACCGGTGGCTCGACTTCCTTCAGGCAACTCCAGAGATGCCCCGAGAACTCTGTGCCAAGTCTAGAGGACCACCAGCTTCAGCACAGCAACTCGAGGAATGCTCTGTGTACCCCAAATCGTCTCGAGATGAGAGCTGATTCCCTGGCTTAGGCTCAAGACGTATGTCAACTTTCCAGAAGCACCTCAGGAGGTGGCTTCTCTCAGCAATAGGTATGTGGGAGGGACCCCGAGTTTGCTGCCTCAAGGGGAATACACAGGGAGAAGCCCTAATGTGAACGGAGGCCAGATTTCCTTGCAGCGGGTTGAATACAGGCTCGTCTTTGATCAGACAACATGAAGGGATGTCTGAATCCCCTGTGGAGACCTTAGAGGAAGCCCTAGGTCCCTGCCTCATTTTGACGGAATACCTCACATCCCCCTGACACCTCGAGAGGCACGCAGAGTTCATTGCTTCAAAAGGTGACGATGCCTGACTCCTCTTGAATACTTATAGAAATCCCAAAATCCCTGTGGCTACTGGAAAGGGTCCTTGGGTGCCCTGGCTCACTTCGAGAAGCGTCCCTTTTGCCCTGCCAAGCCTCGAAGAGATTGCTGAGGTGTCCCTCATTACTAGACAGGAGTCCTGACGTCACTGAAGAAACTCGTGTTTTGAAGGGCCATCCCCGCCGTAAGTCGAGAACATACCCCAGGTCCCCGCCGCGACTCGAGAAAAACCATGAGATTTCCCCCTAGATGCGAGAAGAGGCCCCATTCCCCTGTAGTGCATGCAGAGCTATTCCATGATCCCATTCAAACAAGTCAGGAGCTTCGACTTGCTTAATGGATCTCGAGACAGTCCCCAAGAACACTGTCACCAGTCTAGTCGGACCCTGAGGTCACCCCAGCAACACAAAGCAGCTCCATGTGCCCCAAATCAACTCGAGATGAGGCCCGATTCCCCTGCATTGACTCCAGAGCCATTCCCCGTTCCAAGTTCAACACGAACGGTGGCTCGACTTCCTTCAGGCAACTCCAGAGATGCCCCGAGAACACTGTCCCAAATCTAGAGGAACACCAACTTCAGCACAGCAACTCGAGGAATGCTCTGTGTACCCCAAATGGTCTCGAGATGAGAGCTGATTCCCTGGCTTAGGCTCAAGACGTATGCCAACTTTCCAGAAGCACCTCAGGAGGAGGCTTCTCAGCAATAGGTATGTGGGAGGGACTCCGAGTTTGCTGCCTCAAGGGGAATATACAGCGAGAAGCCCTAACTTGAAAGGAGGCCGGATTTCCTTGCAGTAGCTTGAATACAGGCTTGTCTTTCATCTCACAACATGAAGGGATGTCTGAATCCCCTGTGAAGACCTTAGAGAAAGCCCTAGGTCCCTGCCTCATTTTGACGGAATGCCTCACATCCCGGTGACAACTCGAGAGGCACGCGGAGTTCATTGCTTCAAAAGGTGACGATGCCTGACTCCTCTTGAATACTGATAGGAATCCCCAAATCCCTGTGGCTACTGGAAAGGGTCCTTGCGTGCCCTGGCTCACCTCGAGAAGCGTCCCTTTTGCCCTGCCAAGCCTCGAAGAGGTTGCTGAGGTGTCCCTCATTACTAGACAGGAGTCCTGACGTCACTGAAGAAACTCGTGTTTTGAAGGGCCATCCCCGCCGTAAGTCGAGAACATACCCCAGGTCCCCGCCGCAACTCGAGAAAAACCATGAGATTTCCCCCTAGAGGCGAGATGAGGCCCCGTTCCCCTGCAGTGCATGCAGAGCTATTCCATGATCCAATTCAAACAAGTCAGGAGCTTCGGCTTGCTTAATGGATCTCGAGACAGTCCCCAAGAACACTGTCACCAGTCTAGATGGACTCTGAGGTCACCCCAGCAACACAAAGCAGCTCCATGTGCCCCAAATCAACTCGAGATGAAGCCCGATTCCCCTGCATTGACTCCAGAGCCATTCCCCGTTCCAAGTTCAACACGGACGGTGGCTCGCCTTCCTTCAGGCAACTCCAGAGATGCCCCGAGAACACTGTCCCAAGTCTAGAGGAACACCAACTTCATCACAGCAACTCGAGGAATGCTCTGTGTACCCCAAATCGTCTCGAGATGAGAGCTGATTCCCTGGCTTAGGCTCAAGACGTATGCCAACTTTCCAGAAGCACCTCAGGAGGAGGCTTCTCAGCAATAGGTATGTGGGAGGGACTCCGAGTTTGCTGCCTCAAGGGGAATATACAGCGAGAAGCCCTAACTTGAAAGGAGGCCGGATTTCCTTGCAGTAGCTTGAAACAGGCTTGTTTTTCATCTCACAACATGAAGGGATGTCTGAATCCCCTGTGGAGACCTTAGAGAAAGCCCTAGGTCCCTGCCTCATTTTGACGGAATCCTCACATCCCGCTGACACCTCGAGAGGCACGCGGAGTTCATTTCTTCAAAAGGTGACGATGCCTGACTCCTCTTGATACTGATAGGAATCCCAAAATCCCTGTGGCTACTGGAAAGGGTCCTTGGGTGCCCTGCCTCACCTCGAGAAGCGTCCGTTTTGCCCTGCCAAGCCTCGAAGAGATTGCTGAGGTGTCCCTCGTTACTAGACAGGAGTCCTGACGTCACTGAAGAAACTCGTGTTTTGAAAGGCCATCCCCGCCGTAAGTCGAGAACATACCCCAGGTCCCCGCCGCAACTCGAGAAAAACCATGAGACTTCCCCCTAGAGGCGAGATGAGGCCCCATTCCCCTGCAGTGCATGCAGAGCTATTCCGTGATCCCATTCAAACAAGTCAGGAGCTTCGACTTGCTTAATGGATCTCGAGACAGTCCCCAAGAACACTGTCACCAGTCTAGACGGAACCTGAGGTCACCCCAGCAATGCAAAGCAGCTCCATGTGCCCCAAATCAACTCGAGATGAGGTCCGATTCCCCTGCATTGACTCCAGAGCCATTCCCCGTTCCCCATTCAACACGACCGGTGGCTCGCCTTCCTTCAGGCAACTCCAGAGATGCCCCGAGAACACTGTCCCAAGTCTAGAAGAACACCAACTTCAGCACAGCAACTCGAGGAATGCTCTGTGTACCCCAAATCGTCTCGAGATGAGAGCTGATTCCCTGGCTTAGGCTCAAGACGTATGCCAACTTTCCAGAAGCACCTCAGGAGGAGGCTTCTCAGCAATAGGAAAGTGGGAGGGACTCCGAGTTTGCTGCCTCAAGGGGAATATACAGCGAGAAGGCCTAACTTGAAAGGAGGCCGGATTTCCTTGCAGTAGCTTGAATACAGTCTTGTCTTTCATCTCACAACATGAAGGGATGTCTGAATCCCCTGTGGAGACCTTAGAGAAAGCCCTAGGTCCCTGCCTCATTTTGACGGTATCCTCATATCCCGCTGACACCTCGAGAGGCACGCGGAGTTCATTGCTTCAAAAGGTGACGATGCCTGACTCCTCTTGTATACTATTAGGAATCCCAAAATCCCTTTGGCTGCTGGAAAGGGTCCTGGGTGCCCTGCCTCACCTCGAGAAGCGTCCCTTTTGCCCTGCCAAGCCTCGAAGAGATTCCCGAGGTGTCCCTCGTTATTAGACAGGAGTCCTGACGTCACTGAAGAAACTCGTGTTTTGAAGGGCCATCCCCGCCGTAAGTCGAGAACATACCCCAGGTCCCCGCCGCAACTCGAGAAAAACCATGAGACTTCCCCCTAGATGCGAGATGAGGCCCCATTCCCCTGCAATGCATGCAGAGCTATTCCGTGATCCCATTCAAACAAGTCAGGAGCTTCGACTTGCTTAATGGATATCGAGACAGTCCCCAAGAACACTGTCACCAGTCTAGACGGACCCTGAGGTCACCCCAGCAACGCAAAGCTGCTCCATGTGCCCCAAATCAACTCGAGATGAGGCCCGATTCCCCTGCATTGACTCCAGAGCCATTCCCCGTTCCCCATTCAACACGACCGGTGGCTCGACTTCCTTCAGGCAACTCCAGAGATGCCCCGAGAACACTGTCCCAAGTCTAGAGGAACACCAACTTCAGCAAAGCAACTCGAGGAATGCTCCGTGTACCCCATATCATGTCGAGATGAGAGCTGATACCCTGGCTTAGGCTCAAGACGTATGCCAACTTTCCAGAAGCACCTCAGGAGGAGGCTTCTCTCAGCAATAGGTATGTGGGAGGGACCCCGAGTTTGCTGCCTCAAGGGGAATATACAGCGAGAAGCCCTAACTTGAAAGGAGGCCGGATTTCCTTGCACTGGCTTGAATACAGGCTCGTCTTTGATCTGACAACATGAAGGGATGTCTGAATCCCCTGTGGAGACCTTAGAGAAAGCCCTAGGTCCCTGCCTCATTTTGACGGAATGCCTCACATCCCGCTGACACCTCGAGAGGCAAGCAGAGTTCATTGCTTCAAAAGGTGACGATGCCTGACTCCTCTTGAATACTGATAGGAATCCCAAAATCCCTGTGGCTACTGGAAAGGGTCCTTGGGTGCCCTGCCTCACCTCGAGAAGCGTCCCTTTTGCCCTGCCAAGCCTGGAAGAGATTCCTGAGGTGTCCCTCGTTACTAGGCAGGAGTCCTGACGTCACTGGAGAAACTCGTGTTTTGAAGGGCCATCCCCGCCGTAAGTCGAGAACATACCCCAGGTCCCCGCCTCAACTCGAGAAAAAACGTGAGCCTTCCCCCTAGAGGCGAGATGAGGCCCCATTCCCCTGCAGTGCATGCAGAGCTATTCCGTGATCCCATTCAAACAAGTCAGGAGCTTCGACTTGCTTAATGGATCTCGAGACAGTCCCCAAGAACACTGTCACCAGTCTAGACGGACCCTGAGGTCACCCAGCAATGCAAAGCAGCTCCTTGTGCCCCAAATCAACTCGAGATGAGGCCGGATTCCCCTGCCTTGACTCCAGAGCCATTCCCTGTTCCCCATTCAACACGACCGGTGGCTCGACTTCCTTCAGGCAACTCCAGAGATGCCCCGAGAACACTGTCCCAAGTCTAGAGGACCACCAACTTCAGCACAGCAACTCGAGGAATGCTCTGTGTACCCCAAATCGTCTCGAGATGAGAGCTGATTCCCTGGCTTAGGCTCAAGACGTATGCCAACTTTCCAGAAGCACCTCAGGAGGAGGCTTCTCAGCAATAGGAATGTGGGAGGGACTCCGAGTTTGCTGCCTCAAGGGGAATATACAGCGAGAAGGCCTAACTTGAAAGGAGGCCGGATTTCCTTGCAGTAGCTTGAATACAGTCTTGTCTTTCATCTCACAACATGAAGGGATGTCTGAATCCCCTGTGGAGACCTTAGAGAAAGCCCTAGGTCCCTGCCTCATTTTGACGGAATCCTCACATCCCGCTGACACCTCGAGAGGCACGCGGAGTTCATTGCTTCAAAAGGTGACGATGCCTGACTCCTCTTGAATACTATTAGGAATCCCAAAATCCCTTTGGCTGCTGGAAAGGGTCCTGGGTGCCCTGCCTCACCTCGAGAAGCGTCCCTTTTGCCTGCCAAGCCTCGAAGAGATTCCTGAGGTGTCCCTCGTTATTAGACAGGAGTCCTGACGTCACTGAAGAAACTCGTGTTTTGAAGGGCCATCCCCGCCGTAAGTCGAGAACATACCCCAGGTCCCCGCCGCAACTCGAGAAAAACCATGAGACTTCCCCCTAGAGGCGAGATGAGGCCCCATTCCACTGCAATGCATGCAGAGCTATTCCGTGATCCCATTCAAACAAGTCAGGAGCTTCGACTTGCTTAATGGATATCGAGACAGTCCCCAAGAACACTGTCACCAGTCTAGACGGACCCTGAGGTCACCCCAGCAACGCAAAGCTGCTTCATGTGCCCCAAATCAACTCGAGATGAGGCCCGATTCCCCTGCATTGACTCCAAAGCCATTCCCCGTTCCCCATTCAACACGACCGGTGGCTCGACTTCCTTCAGGCAACTCCAGAGATGCCCCGAGAACACTGTCCGAAGTCTAGAGGAACACCAACTTCAGCAAAGCAACTCGAGGAATGCTCCGTGTACCCCATATCATGTCGAGATGAGAGCTGATACCCTGGCTTAGGCTCAAGACGTATGCCAACTTTCCAGAAGCACGTCAGGAGGAGGCTTCTCTCAGCAATAGGTATGTGGGAGGGACCCCGTGTTTGCTGCCTCAAGGGGAATATACAGCGAGAAACCCTAACTTGAAAGGAGGCCGGATTTCCTTGCACTGGCTTGAATACAGGCTCGTCTTTGATCTGACAACATGAAGGGATGTCTGAATCCCCTGTGGAGACCTTAGAGAAAGCCCTAGGTCCCTGCCTCATTTTGACGGAATGCCTCACATCCCGCTGACACCTCGAGAGGCAAGCAGAGTTCATTGCTTCAAAAGGTGACGATGCCTGACTCCTCTTGAATACTGATAGGAATCCCAAAATCCCTGTGGCTACTGGAAAGGGTCCTTGGCTGCCCTGCCTCACCTCGAGAAGCGTCCCTTTTGCCCTGCCAAGCCTGGAAGAGATTCCTGAGGTGTCCCTCGTTACTAGGCAGGAGTCCTGACGTCACTGGAGAAACTCGTGTTTTGAAGGGCCATCCCCGCCGTAAGTCGAGAACATACCCCAGGTCCCCGCCGCAACTCGAGAAAAAACGTGAGCCTTCCCCCTAGAGGCGAGATGAGGCCCCATTCCCCTGCAGTGCATGCAGAGCTATTCCGTGATCCCATTCAAACAAGTCAGGAGCTTCGACTTGCTTAATGGATCTCGAGACAGTCCCCAAGAACACTGTCACCAGTCTAGACGGACCCTGAGGTCACCCAGCAATGCAAAGCAGCTCCATGTGCCCCAAATCAACTCGAGATGAGGCCGGATTCCCCTGCATTGACTCCAGAGCCATTCCCTGTTCCCCATTCAACACGACCGGTGGCTCGACTTCCTTCAGGCAACTCCAGAGATGCCCCGAGAACACTGTCCCAAGTCTAGAGGACCACCAACTTCAGCACAGCAACTCGAGGAATGCTCTGTGTACCCCAAATCGTCTCGAGATGAGAGCTGATTCCCTGGCTTAGGCTCAAGACGTATGCCAACTTTCCAGAAGCACCTCAGGAGGAGGCTTCTCTCAGCAATAGGTATGTGGGAGGGACCCCCAGTTTGCTGCCTCAAGGGGAATATACAGCGAGAAGCCCTAACTTGAAAGGAGGCCAGTTTTCCTTGCAGTGGCTTGAATACAGGCTCGTCTTTCATCTCACAACATGAAGGGATGTCTGAATACCCTGTGGAGACCTTAGAGAAAGCCCTAGGTCCCTGCCTCATTTTGACGGAATCCTCATATCCCGCTGACACCTCGAGAGGCACGCGGAGTTCATTGCTTCAAAAGGTGACGATGCCTGACTCCTCTTGATACTGATAGGAATCCCAAAATCCCTGTGGCTACTGGAAAGGGTCCTTGGGTGCCCTGGCTCACCTCGAGAAGCGTCCGTTTTGCCCTGCCAAGCCTCGAAGAGATTGCTGAGGTGTCCCTCGTTACTAGACAGGAGTCCTGACGTCACTGAAGAGACTCTTGTTTTGAAGGGCCATCCCCGCCGTAAGTCGAGAACATACCCCAGGTCCCCGCCGCAACTCGAGAAAAACCATGAGACTTCCCCCTAGAGGCGAGATGAGGCCCCATTCCCCTGCAGTGCATGCAGAGCTATTCCGTGATCCCATTCAAACAAGTCAGGAGCTTCGACTTGCTTAATGATCTCGAGACAGTCCCCAAGAACACTGTCACCAGTCTAGACGGACCCTGAGGTCACCGCAGCAACGCAAAGCAGCTCCATGTGCCCCAAATCAACTCGAGATGAGGCCCGATTCCCCTGCATTGATTCCAGAGCCATTCCCCGTTCCCCGTTCAACACGAACGGAGGCTCGCCTTCCTTCAGGCAACTCCAGAGATGCCCCGAGAACACTGTCCCAAGTCTAGAGGAACACCAACTTCAACACAGCAACTCGAGGAATGCTGTGTGTACCCCAAATCGTCTCGAGATGAGAGCTGATTCCCTGGCTTAGGCTCAAGTCGTATGCCAACTTTCCAGAAGCTCCTCAGGAGGAGGCTTCTCAGCAATAGGTATGTGGGAGGGACTCCGAGTTTGCTGCCTCAAGGGGAATATACAGCGAGAAGCCCTAACTTGAAAGGAGGCCGGATTTCCTTGCAGTAGCTTCAATACAGGCTTGTCTTTCATCTCACAACATGAAGGGATGTCTGAATCCCCTATGGAGACCTTAGAGAAAGCCCTAGGTCCCTGCCTCATTTTGACGGAATGCCTCACATCCCGCTGACACCTCGAGAGGCACGCGGAGTTCATTGCTTCAAAAGGTGACGATGCCTGACTCCTCTTGAATACTTATAGGAATCCCAAAATTCCTGTTGCTACTGGAAAGGGTCCTTGTGTGCCCTGGCTCACCTCGAGAAGCGTCCCTTTTGCCCTGCCAAGCCTCGAAGACATTGCTGAGGTGTCCCTCGTTACTAGGCAGGAGTCCTGACGTCACTGAAGAAACTCGTGTTTTGAAGGACCATCCCCGCCGTAAGTCGAGAACATACCCCAGGTCCCCGCCGCAACTCTAGAAAAACCATGAGACTTCCCCCTAGAGGCGAGATGAGGCCCCTTCCCCTGCAATGCATGCAGAGCTATTCCGTGATCCCATTCAAACAAGTCAGGAGCTTCGACTTGCTTAATGGATCTCGAGACAGTCCCCAAGAACACTGTCACCAGTCTAGACGGACCCTGAGGTCACCCAGCAATGCAAAGCAACTCCATGTGCCCCAAATCAACTCGAGATGAGGCCGGATTCCCCTGCATTGACTCCAGAGCCACTCCTTGTTCCCCATTCAACACGACCGGTGGCTCGACTTCCTTCAGGCAACTCCAGAGATACCCCGAGAACACTGTCCCAAGTCTAGAGGACCACCATCTTCAGCACAGCAACTCGAGGAATGCTCTGTGTACCCCAAATCGTCTCGAGATGAGAGCTGATTCCCTGGCTTAGGCTCAAGACGTATGCCACCTTTCCAAAGGCACCTCAGGAGGAGGCTTCTCTCAGCAATAGGTATGTGGGAGGGACCCCGAGTTTGCTGCCTCAAGGGGAATATACAGCGAGAAGCCCTAACTTGAAAGGAGGCCGGATTTCTTTGCAGTGGCTTGAATACAGGCTCGTCTTTCATCTCACAACATGAAGGGATGTCTGAATCCCCTGTGGAGACCTTAGAGGAAGCCCTAGGTCCCTGCCTCATTTTGACGGAATCCTCACATCCCGCTGACACCTCGAGAGGCACGCAGAGTTCATTGCTTCAAAAGGTGACGATGCCTGACTACTCTTGAATACTTATAGGAATCCCAAAATCCCTGTGGCTACTGGAAAGGGTCCTTGGGTGCCCTGGCTCACCTCGAGAAGCGTCCCTTTTGCCCTGCCAAGCCTCGAAGAGATTGCTGAGGTGTCCCTCGTTACTAGACAGGAGTCCTGACGTCACTGAAGAAACTCGTGTTTTGAAGGGCCATCCCCGCCGTAAGTCGAGAACATACCCCAGGTCCCCGCCGCAACTCGAGAAAAACCATGAGACTTCCCCCTAGAGGCGAGATGAGGCCCCATTCCCCTGCAGTGCATGCAGAGCTATTCCGTGATCCCATTCAAACAAGTCAGGAGCTTCGACTTGCTTAATGGATCTCGAGACAGTCCCCAAGAACACTGTCACCAGTCTAGACAGACCCTGAGGTCACCCCAGCAACGCAAAGCAGCTCCATGTGCCCCAAATCAACTCGAGATGAGGCCCCATTCGCCTGCATTGACTCCAGAGACATTTCCCGTTCCCCATTCCACACGACCGGTGGCTCGACTTCCTTCAGGCAACTCCAGAGATTCCCCGAGAACACTGTCCCAAGTCTAGAGGAACACCAACTTCAGCAAAGCAACTCGAGGAATGCTCCGTGTACCCCATATCATCTCGAGATGAGAGCTGATACCCTGGCTTAGGCTCAAGACGTATGCCAACTTTCCAGAAGCACCTCAGGAGGAGGCTTCTCTCAGCAATAGGTATGTGGGTGGGACCCCGAGTTTGCTGCCTCAAGGGGAATATACAGCGAGAAGCCCTAATTTGAAAGGAGGCCGGATGTCCTTGCAGTGGCTTGAATACAGGCTCGTCTTTGATCTGACAACATGAAGGGATGTCTGAATCCCCTGTGGAGACCTTAGAGAAAGCCCTAGGTCCCTGCCTCATTTTGACGGAATGCCTCACATCCCGCTGACACTTCGAGAGGCAAGCGGAGTTCATTGCTTCAAAAGGTGACGATGCCTGACTCCTCTTGAATACTGATAGGAATCCCAAAATCCCTGTGGCTACTGGAAAGGGTCCTTGGGTGCCCTGCCTCACCTCGAGAAGCGTCCCTTTTGCCCTGCCAAGCCTGGAAGAGATTCCTGAGGTGTCCCTCGTTATTAGGCAGGAGTCCTGACGTCACTGGAGAAACTCGTGTTTTGAAGGGCCATCCCCGCCGTAAGTCGAGAACATACCCCAGGTCCCCGCCGCAACTCGAGAAAAACCGTGAGCCTTCCCCCTAGAGGCGAGATGAGGCCCCATTCCCCTGCAGTGCATGCAGAGCTATTCCGTGATCCCATTCAAACAAGTCAGGAGCTTCGACTTGCTTAATGGATCTCGAGACAGTCCCCAAGAACACTGTCACCAGTCTAGACGGACCCTGAGGTCACCCCAGCAACGAAAAGCTGCTCCATGTGCCCCAAATCAACTCGTGATGAGGCCCGATTATCCTGCATTGACTCCAGAGCCATTCCCCGTTCCCCATTCAACACGAACGGTGGCTCGACTTCCTTCAGTCAACTCCAGAGATTCCCCGAGAACACTGTCTCAAGTCTAGAGGACCACCAACTTCAGCACAGCAACTCGAGGAATGCTCTGTGTACCCCAAATCGTCTCGAGATGAGAGCTGATTCCCTGGCTTAGGCTCAAGACGTATGCCACCTTTCCAGAAGCACCTCAGGAGGAGGCTTCTCTCAGCAATAGGTATGTGGGAGGGACCCCGAGTTTGCTGCCTCAAGGGGAATATACAGCGAGAAGCCCTAACTTGAAAGGAGGCCGGATTTCCATGCAGTGGCTTGAATAGAGGCTCATCTTTCATCTCACAACATGAAGGGATGTCTGAATCCCCTGTGGAGACCTTAGAGAAAGCCCTAGGTCCCTGCCTCATTTTGACGGAATCCTCACATCCCGCTGACACCTCGAGAGGCACGCGGAGTTCATTGCTTCAAAAGGTGACGATGCCTGACTCCTCTTGAATACTATTAGGAATCCCAAAATCCCTTTGGCTGCTGGAAAGGGTCCTGGGTGCCCTGCCTCACCTCGAGAAGCGTCCCTTTTGCCCTGCCAAGCCTCGAAGAGATTCCTGAGGTGTCCCTCGTTATTAGACAGGAGGGCTGACGTCACGGAAGAAACTCGTGTTTTGAAGAGCCATCCCCGCCGTAAGTCGAGAACATACCCCAGGTCCCCGCCGCAACTCGAGAAAAACCATGAGACTTCCCCTTAGAGGCGAGATGAGGCCCCATTCCCCTGCAGTGCATGCAGAGCTATTCCGTGATCCCATTCAAACAAGTCAGGAGCTTCGACTTGCTTAATGGATCTCGAGACAGTCCCCAAGAACACTGTGACCAGTCTAGACGGACCCTGAGGTCACCCCAGCAACGCAAAGCTGCTCCATGTGCCCCAAATCAACTCGAGATGAGGCCCGATTCCCCTGCATTGACTCCAGAGCCATTCCCCGTTCCCCATTCAACACGACCGGTGGCTCGACTTCCTTCAGGCAACTCCAGAGATGCCCCGAGAACACTGTCCCAAGTCTAGAGGAGCACCAATTTCAGCACAGCAACCCGAGGAATGCTCCGTGTACCCCAAATCATCTCGAGATGAGAGCTGATTCCCTGGCTTAGGCTCAAGACGTATGCCAACTTTCCAGAAGCACCTCAGGAGGAGGCTTCTCTCAGCAATATGTATGTGGGAGGGACCCCGAGTTTCCTGCCTCAAGGGGAATACACAGGGAGAAGCCCTAATGTGAACGGAGGCCAGATTTCCTTGCAGTGGCTTGAATACAGGCTCGTCTTTGATCTGAGAACATGAAGGTATTTCTGAATCCCCTGTGGAGACCTTAGAGGAAGCCCTAGGTCCCTGCCTCATTTTGACGGAATACCTCACATCCCCCTGACACCTCGAGAGGCACGCAGAGTTCATTGCTTCAAAAGGTGACGATGCCTGACTCCTCTTGAATACTGATAGGAATCCCAAAATCCCTGTGGCTACTGGAAAGGGTCCTTGGGTGCCTTGGCTCACCTCGAGAAGTGTCCCTTTTGCCCTGCCAAGCCTCGAAGAGATTGCTGACGTGTCCCTCGTTACTAGACAGGAGTCCTGACGTCACTGAAGAAACTCGTGTTTTGAAGGGCCATCCCCGCCGTAAGTCGAGAACATACCCCAGGTCCCCGCCGCAACTCGAGAAAAACCATGAGACTTCCCCCTAGAGGCGAGATGAGGCCCAATTCCCCTGCAGTGCATGCAGAGCTATTCCGTGATCCCATTCAAACAAGTCAGGAGCTTCGACTTGCTTAATGGATCTCGAGGCAGTCCCGAAGAAAACTGTCACCAGTCTAGACGGACCCTGAGGTCACCCCAGCAACGCAAAGCAGCTCCAGGTGCCACAAATCAACTCGAGATGAGGCCCGATTCCCCTGCATTGACTCCAGAGCCATTCCCCGTTCCCCATTCAACACGACCGGTGGCTCGACTTCCTTCAGGCAACTCCAGAGATGCCCAGAGAACACTGTCCCAAGTCTAGAGGAACACCAACTTCAGCACAGCAACTCGAGGAATGCTCTGTGTACCACAAATCGTCTCGAGATGAGAGCTGAATCCCTGGCTTAGGCTCAAGACGTATGCCAACTTTCCAGAAGCACCTCAGGAGGAGGCTTCTCTCAGCAATAGGTATGTGGGAGGGACCCCGAGTTTGCTGCCTCAATGGGAATATACAGCGAGAAGCCCTAACTTGAAAGGAGGCCGGATTTCCTTGCAGTGGCTTGAATACAGGCTCGTCTTTCATCTCACAACATGAAGGGATGTCTGAATCCCCTGTGGAGCCCTCAGAGAAAGCCCTAGGTCCCTGCCTCATTTTGACGGAATCCTCACATCCCGCTGACACCTCGAGAGGCACGGAGAGTTCATTGCTTCAAAAGGTGACGAAGACTGACTCCTCTTGAATACTTATAGGAATCCCAAAATCCCTGTGGCTACTGTAACGGGTCCTTGGGTGCCTTGGCTCACCTCGAGAAGCGTCCCTTTTGCCCTGCCAAGCCTCGAAGAGATTGCTGAGGTGTCCCTCGTTACTAGACAGGAGTCCTGACGTCACTGAAGAAACTCGTGTTTTGAAGGGCCATCCCCGCCGTAAGTCGAGAACATACCCCAGGTCCCCGCCGCAACTCGAGAAAAACCATGAGACTTCCCCCTAGAGGCGAGATGAGGCCCCATTCCCCTGCAGTGCATGCAGAGCTATGCCGTGATCCCATTCAAACAAGTCAGGAGCTTCGACTTGCTTAATGGATCTCGAGACAGACCCCAAGAACACTGTCACCAGTCTAGACGGACCCTGAGGTCACCCTAGCAACGCAAAGCAGCTCCATGTGCCCCAAATCAACTCGAGATGAGGCCCCATTCCCCTGCATTGACTCCAGAGCCATACCCCTTCCCCATTCAACAGGACTGGTGCCTCGCTTTCCTTCAGGCAACTCCAGAGATGCCCAGAGAACACTGTCCCAAGTCTAGAGGAACACCAACTTCAGCACAGCAACTCGAGGAATGCTCTGTGTACCCCAAATCGTCTCGAGATGAGAGCTGATTCCCTGGCTTAGGCTCAAGACGTATGCCACCTTTCCAGAAGCACTTCAGGAGGAGGCTTCTCTCAGCAATAGGTATGTGGGAGGGACTCCGAGTTTGCTGCCTCAAGGGGAATATACAGCGAGAAGCCCTAACTTGAAAGGAGGCCGGATTTCCTTGCAGTGGCTTGAATACAGGCTCGTCTTTCATCTCACAACATGAAGGGATGTCTGAATCCCCTGTGGAGACCTTAGAGAATGCCCTAGGTCCCTGCCTCATTTTGACGGAATCCTCAAATCCCGCTGACACCTCGAGAGGCACGCGGAGTTCATTGCTTCAAAAGGTGACGATGCCTGACTCCTCTTGAATACTGATAGGAATCCCAAAATCCCTGTGGCTACTGGAAAGGGTCCTTGGGTGCCTTGGCTCACCTCGAGAAGCGTCCCTTTTGCCCTGCCAAGCCTCGAAGAGATTGCTGAGGTGTCCCTCGTTACTAGACAGGAGTCCTGACGTCACTGAATAAACTCGTGTTTTGAAGGGCCATCCCCGCCGTAAGTCGAGAACATACCCCAGGTCCCCGCCGCAACTCGAGAAAAACCATGAGACTTCCCCCTAGAGGCGAGATGAGGCCCCATTCCCCTGCAGTGCATGCAGAGCTATTCCGTGATCCCATTCAAACAAGTCAGGAGCTTCGACTTGCTTAATGGATCTCGAGACAGTCCCCAAGAACACTGTCACCAGTCTAGACGGACCGTGAGGTCACCCAGCAATGCAAAGCAGCTCCATGTGGCCCAAATCAACTCGAGATGAGGCCGGATTCCCCTGTATTTACTCCAGAGCCATTCCTTGTTCCCCATTCAACACGACCGGTGGCTCGACTTCCTTCAGGTAACTCCAGAGATGCCCCGAGAACACTGTCCCAAGTCTAGAGGACCACCAACTTCAGCACAGCAACTCGAGGAATGCTCTGTGTACCCCAAATCGTCTCGAGATGAGAGCTGATTCCCTGGCTTAGGCTCAAGACGTATGCCACCTTTCCAGAAGCACTTCAGGAGGAGGCTTCTCTCAGCAATAGGTATGTGGGAGGGACCCCGAGTTTGCTGCCTCAAGGGGAATATACAGCGAGAAGCCGTAACTTGAAAGGAGGCCGGATTTCCTTGCAGTGGCTTGAATACAGGCTCGTCTTTCATCTCACAACATGAAGGGATGTCTGAATCCCCTGTGGAGACATTAGAGAATGCCCTAGGTCCCTGCCTCATTTTGACGGAATCCTCACATCCCGCTGACACCTCGAGAGGCACGCGGAGTTCATTGCTTCAAAAGGTGACGATGCCTGACTCCTCTTGAATACTTATAGGAATCCCAAAATCCCTGTGGCTACTGGAAAGTGTCCTTGGGTGCCCTGGCTCACCTCGAGAAGCGTCCCTTTTGCCCTGCCAAGCCTCGAAGAGATTGCTGAGGTGTCCCTCGTTACTAGACAGGAGTCCTGACGTCACGGAAGAAACTCGTGTTTTGAAGGGCCATCCCCGCCGTAAGTCGAGAACATACCCCAGCTCCCCGCCGCAACTCGAGAAAAACCATGAGACTTCCCCCTAGAGGCGAGATGAGGCCCCATTCCCCTGCAGTGCATGCAGAGCTATTCCGTGATCCCATTCAAACAAGTCAGGAGCTTCGACTTGCTTAATGGATCTCGAGACAGTCCCCAAGAACACTGTCACCAGTCTAGACAGACCCTGACGTCACCCCAGAAACGCAAAGCAGCTCTATGTGCCCCAAATCAACTCGAGATGAGGCCCCATTCCCCTGCATTGACTCCAGAGCCATTCCCCGTTCCCCATTCAACAGGACTGTTGGCTCGCTTTCCTTCAGGCAACTCCAGGGATGCCCCGAGAACACTGTCCCAAGTCTAGAGGAACACCAAATTCAGCACAGCAACTCGAGGAATGCTCTGTGTACCCCAAATCGTCTCGAGATGAGAGCTGATTCCCTGGCTTAGGCTCAAGACGTATGCCAACTTTCCAGAAGCACCTCAGGAGGAGGCTTCTCAGCAATAGGTATGTGGGAGGGACTCCGAGTTTGCTGCCTCAAGGGGAATATACAGCGAGAAGGCCTAACTTGAAAGGAGGCCGGATTTCCTTGCAGTGGCTTGAATACAGGCTCGTCTTTCATCTCACAACATGAAGGGATGTCTGAATCCCCTGTGGAGACCTTAGAGAAAGCCCTAGGTCCCTGCCTCATTTTGACGGAATCCTCACATCCCGCTGACACCTCGAGAGGCACGCGGAGTTCATTCCTTCAAAAGGTGACGATGCCTGACTCCTCTTGAATACTTATAGGAATCCCAAAATCCCTGTGGCTACTGGAAAGGGTCCTTGGGTGCCCTGCCTCACCTCGCGAAGCGTCCCTTTTGCCCTGCCAAGCCTGGAAGAGATTCCTGAGGTGTCCCTCGTTACTAGGCAGGAGTCCTGACGTCACTGGAGAAACTCGTGTTTTGAAGGGCCATCCCCGCCGTAAGTCGAGAACATACCCCAGGTCCCCGCCGCAACTCGAGAAAAACCGTGAGCCTTCCCCCTAGAGGCTAGATGAGGCCCCATTCCCCTGCAGTGCATGCAGAGCTATTCCGTGATCCCATTCAAACAAGTCAGGAGCTTCGACTTGCTTAATGGATCTCAAGACAGTCCCCAAGAACACTGTCACCAGTCTAGACGGACCCTGAGGTCACCCAGCAATGCAAAGCAGCTCCATGTGCCACAAATCAACTCGTGATGAGGCCCGATTCCCCTGCATTGACTCCAGAGCCATTCCCCGTTCCCCATTCAACACGACCGGTGGCTCTACTTCCTTCAGTCAACTCCAGAGATTCCCCGAGAACACTGTCTCAAGTCTAGAGGATCACCAACTTCAGCACAGCAACTCGAGGAATGCTCTGTGTACCCCAAATCGTCTCGAGATGAGAGCTGATTCCCTGGCTTAGGCTCAAGACGTATGCCACCTTTGCAGAAGCACCTCAGGAGGAGGCTTCTCTCAGCAATAGGTATGTGGGAGGGACCCCGAGTTTGCTGTCTCAAGGGGAATATACAGCGAGAAGCCCTAACTTGAAAGGAGGCCGGATTTCCTTGCAGTAGCTTGAATACAGGCTTGTCTTTCATCTCACAACATGAAGGGATGTCTGAATCCCCTATGGAGACCTTAGAGAAAGCCCTAGGTCCCTGCCTCATTTTGACGGAATGCCTCACATCCCGCTGAAACCTCGAGAGGCACGCGGAGTTCATTGCTTCAAAAGGTGACGATGCCTGACTACTCTTGAATACTTATAGGAATCCCAAAATTCCTGTTGCTACTGGAAAGGGTCCTTGGGTGCCCTGGCTCACCTCGAGAAGCGTCCCTTTTGCCCTGCCAAGCCTCGAAGACATTGCTGAAGTGTCCCTCGTTACTAGGCAGGAGTCCTGACGTCACTGAAGAAACTCGTGTTTTGAAGGGCCATCCCCGCCGTAAGTCGAGAACATACCCCAGGTCCCCGCCGCAACTCGAGAAAAACCATGAGACTTCCCCATATAGGCGAGATGAGGCCCCATTCCCCTGCAGTGCATGCAGAGCTATTCCGTGATCCCATTCAAACAAGTCAGGAGCTTCGACTTGCTTAATGGATCTCGAGACAGTCCCCAAGAACACTGTCACCAGTCTAGACGGACCCTGAGGTCACTGCAGCAACGCAAAGCAGCTCCATGTGCCCCAAATCAACTCGAGATGAGGCCCGATTCCCCTGCATTGATTCCAGAGACATTCCCCGTTCCCCGTTCAACACGAACGGAGGCTCGCCTTCCTTCAGGCAACTCCAGAGATGCCCCGAGAACACTGTCCCAAGTCTAGAGGAACACCAACTTCAACACAGCAACTCGAGGAATGCTGTGTGTACCCCAAATCGTCTCGAGATGAGAGCTGATTCCCTGGCTTAGGCTCAAGACGTATGCCAACTTTCCAGAAGCACCTCAGGAGGAGGCTTCTCAGCAATAGGTATGTGGGAGGGACCCCGAGTTTGCTGCCTCAAGGGGAATATACAGCGAGAAGCCCTAACTTGAAAGGAGGCCGGATTTCCTTGCAGTAGCTTGAATACAGGCTCGTCTTTCATCTCACAACATGAAGGGATGTCTGAATCCCCTGTGGAGACCTTAGAGAAAGCCCTAGGTCCCTGCCTCATTTTGACGGAATGCCTCACATCCCGCTGACACCTCGAGAGGCACGCGGAGTTCATTGCTTCAAAAGGTGACGATGCCTGACTCCTCTTGAATACTGATAGGAATCCCAAAATCCCTGTGGCTACTGGAAAGGGTCCTTGGGTGCCCTGCCTCACCTCGAGAAGCGTCCCTTTTGCCCTGCCAAGCCTCGAAGAGATTCCTGAGGTGTCCCTCGTTACTAGACAGGAGTCCTGACGTCACTGAAGAAACTCGTGTTTTGAAGGGCCATCCCCGCCGTAAGTCGAGAACATACCCCAGTTCCCCGCCGCAACTCGAGAAAAACCATGAGACCTCCCCCTAGAGGCGAGATGAGGCCCCATTCCCCTGCAGTGCATGCAGAGCTATTCCGTGATCCCATTCAAACAAGTCAGGAGCTTCGACTTGCTTAATGGATCTCGAGACAGTCCCCAAGAACACTGTCACCAGTCTAGACGGACCCTGAGGTCACCCTAGCAACGCAAAGCTGCTCCATGTGCCCCAAATCAACTCGAGATGAGGCTCGATTCCCCTGCATTGACTCCAGAGCCATTCCCCGTTCCCCATTCAACACAACCGGTGGCTCGACTTCCTTCAGGCAACTCCAGGGATGCCCCGAGAACACCGTCCCAAGTCTAGAGGAACAGCAACTTCAGCACAGCAACTCGAGGAATGCACCGTGTAACCTAAATCATCTAGAGATGAGAGCTGATTCCCTGGCTTAGGCTCAAGACGTATGCCAACTTTCCAGAAGCACCTCAGGAGGAGGCTTCTCTCAGCAATATGTATGTGGGAGGGACCCCGAGTTTGCTGCCTCAAGGGGAATATACAGCGAGAAGCCCTAACTTGAAAGGAGGCCGGATTTCCTTGCAGTGGCTTGAATACAGGCTCGTCTTTGATCTCACAACATGAAGGGATGTCTGAATCCCCTGTGGAGACCTTAGAGAAAGCCCTAGGTCCCTGCCTCATTTTGACGGAATGCCTCACATCCCGCTGACACCTCGAGAGGCACGCGGAGTTCATTGCTTCAAAAGGTGACGATGCCTGACTCCTCTTGAATACTGATAGGAATCCCAAAATCCCTGTGGCTACGGGAAAGGGTCCTTGGGTGCCCTGCCTCACCTCGAGAAGCATCCCTTTTGCCCTGCCAAGCCTGGAAGAGATTCCTGAGGTGTCCCTCGTTACTAGGCAGGAGTCCTGACGTCACTAGAGAAACTCGTGTTTTGAAGGGCCATCCCCGCCGTAAGTCGAGAACATACCCCAGGTCCCCGCCGCAACTCGAGAAAAAGAGTGAGCCTTCCCCCTAGAGGCGAGATGAGGCCCAATTCCCCTGCAGTGCATGCAGAGCTATTCCGTGATCCCATTCAAACAAGTCAGGAGCTTCGACTTGCTTAATGGATCTTGAGACAGTCCCCAAGAACACTGTCACCAGTCTAGATGGACCCTGAGGTCACCCAGCAATGCAAAGCAGCTCCTTGTGCCCCAAATCAACTCGAGATGAGGCCTGATTCCCCTGCACTGACTCCAGAGCCATTCCCTGTTCCCCATTCAACACGACCGGTGGCTCGACTTCCTTCAGGCAACTCCAGAGATGCCCCGAGAACACTGTCCCAAGTCTAGAGGACCACCAACTTCAGCACAGCAACTCGAGGAATGCTCCGTGTATGCCAAATCATCTCGAGATGAGAGCTGATTCCCTGGCTTAGGCTCAAGACGTATGCCAACTTTCCAGAAGCACCTCAGGAGGAGGCTTCTCTCAGCAATAGGTATGTGGGAGGTACCACGAGTTTGCTGCCTCAAGGGGAATACACAGGGAGAAGCCCTAATGTGAACGGAGGCCAGATTTCCTTGCAGTGGCTTGAATACAGGCTCGTCTTTCATCTCACAACATGAAGGGATGTCTGAATCCCCTGTGGAGACCTTAGAGAAAGCCCTAGGTCCCTGCCTCATTTTGACGGAATGCCTCACATCCCGCTGACACCTCGAGAGGCACGCGGAGTTCATTGCTTCAAAAGGTGACGATGCCTGACTCCTCTTGAATACTGATAGGAATCCCAAAATCCCTGTGGCTACTGGAAAGGGTCCTTGGGTGCCCTGCCTCACCTCGAGAAGCGTCCCTTTTGCCCTGCCAAGCCTCGAAGGGATTGCTGAGGTGTCCCTCATTACTAGGCAGGAGTCCTGACGTCACTGGAGAAACTCGTGTTTTGAAGGGCCATCCCCGCCGTAAGTCGAGAACATACCCCAGGTCCCCGCCGCAACTCGAGAAAAACCATGAGACTTCCCCCTAGAGGCGAGATGAGGCCCCATTCCCCTGCAGTGCATGCAGAGCTATTCCGTGATCCCATTCAAACAAGTCAGGAGCTTCGACTTGCTTAATGGATCTCGAGAGAGTCCCCAAGAACACTGTCACAGTCTAGACGGACCCTGAGGTCACACCAGCAATGCAAAGCTGCTCCATGTGCCCCAAATCAACTCGAGATGAGGCCCGATTTCTCTGCATTGACTCCAGAGCCATTCCCCGTTCCCCATTCAACACGACCGGTGGCTCGACTTCCTTCAGGCAACTCCAGAGATTCCCCGAGAACACTGTCTCAAGTCTAGAAGAACACCAACTTCAGCACAGCAACTCGAGGAATGCTCCGTGTACCCCAAATCATCTCGAGATGAGAGCTGATTCCCTGGCTTAGGCTCAAGACGTATGCCAACTTTCCAGAAGCACCTCAGGAGGAGGCTTCTCTCAGCAATAGGTATGTGGGAGGGACCCCGAGTTTGCTGCCTCAAGGGGAATATACAGCGAGAAGCCCTAACTTGAAAGGAGGCCGGATGTCCTTGCAGTGGCTTGAATACAGGCTCGTCTTTCATCTCACAACATGAAGGGTTATCCGAATCCCCTGTGGAGACGTTAGAGAAAGCCCTAGGTCCCTGCCTCATTTTGTCGGAATGCCTCACATCCCGCTGACACCTCGAGAGTCACGCGGAGTTCATTGCTTCAAAAGGTGACGATGCCTGACTCCTCTTGAATACTGATAGGAATCCCAAAATCCCTGTGGCTACTTGAAAGGGTCCTTGGGTGCCCTGCCTCACCTCGAGAAGCGTCCCTTTTGCCCTGCCAAGCCTCGAAGAGATTGCTGAGGTGTCCCTCGTTACTAGACAGGAGTCCTGACGTCACTGAAGAAACTCGTGTTTTGAAGGGCCATCCCCGCCGTAAGTCGAGAACATACCCCAGGTCCCCGCCGCAACTCGAGAAAAACCGTGAGCCTTCCCCCTAGAGGCGAGATGAGACCCCATTCCCCTGCAGTGCATGCAGAGCTATTCCGTGATCCCATTCAAACAAGTCAGGAGCTTCGACTTGCTTAATGGATCTCGAGACAGTCCCCAAGAACACTGTCACCAGTCTAGACGGACCCTGAGGTCACTGCAGCAACGCAAAGCTGCTCCATGTGCCCCAAATCAACTCGAGATGAGGCCCGATTCCCCTGCATTGACTCCAGAGCCATTCCCCGTTCCCCATTCAACACGACCGGTGGCTCGACTTCCTTCAGGCAACTCCAGAGATGCCCCGAGAACACTGTCCCAAGTCTAGAGGAACACCAACTTCAGCACAGCAACTCGAGGAATGCTCCGTGTACCCCAAATCATCTCGAGATGAGAGCTGATTCTCTGGCTTAGGATCAAGACGTATGCCAACTTTCCAGAAGCACCTCAGGAGGAGGCTTCTCTCAGCAATAGGTATGTGGGAGGGACCCCAAGTTTGCTGCCTCAAGGGGAATACACAGGGAGAAGCCCTAATGTGAACGGAGGCCAAATTTCCTTGCAGTGGGTTGAATACAGGATCGTCTTTGATCTGAAAACATGAAGGGATGTCTGAATCCCCTGTGGAGACCTTAGAGGAAGCCCTAGGACCCTGACTCATTTTGACGGAATACCTCACATCACCCTGACACCTCGAGAGGCACGCAGAGTTCATTGCTTCAAAAGGTGACGATGCCTGACTCCTCTTGAATACTTATAGGAATCCCAAAATTCCTGTTGCTACTGGAAAGGGTCCTTGGGTGCCCTGGCTCACCTCGAGAAGCGTCCCTTTTGCCCTGCCAAGCCTCGAAGACATTGCTGAGGTGTCCCACGTTACTAGGCAGGAGTCCTGACGTCACTGAAGAAACTCGTGTTTTGAAGGGCCATCCCCGCCGTAAGTCGAGAACATACCCCAGGTCCCCGCCGCAACTCGAGAAAAACCATGAGACTTCCCCCTAGAGGCGAGATGAGGCCCCATTCCCCTGCAGTGCATGCAGAGCTATTCCGTGATCCCATTCAAACAAGTCAGGAGCTTCGACTTGCTTAATGGATCTCGAGACAGTCCCCAAGAACACTGTCACCAGTCTAGACGGACCCTGAGGTCACCGCAGCAACGCAAAGCAGCTCCATGTGCCCCAAATCAACTCGAGATGAGGCCCGATTCCCCTGCATTGATTCCAGAGCCATTCCCCGTTCCCCGTTCAACACGAACGGAGGCTCGCCTTCCTTCAGGCAACTCCAGAGATGCCCCGAGAACACTGTCTCAAGTCTAGAGGAACACCAACTTCAACACAGCAACTCGAGGAATGCTGTGTGTACCCCAAATCGTCTCGAGATGAGAGCTGATTCCCTGGCTTAGGCTCAAGACGTATGCCAACTTTCCAGAAGCACCTCAGGAGGAGGCTTCTCAGCAATAGGTATGTGGGAGGGACTCCGAGTTTGCTGCCTCAAGGGGAATATACAGCGAGAAGCCCTAACTTGAAAGGAGGCCGGATTTCCTTGCAGTAGCTTGAATACAGGCTTGTCTTTCATCTCACAACATGAAGGGATGTCTGAATCCCCTGTGGAGACCTCAGAGAAAGCCCTAGGTCCCTGCCTCATTTTGACGGAATGCCTCACATCCCGCTGACACCTCGAGAGGCACGCAGAGTTCATTGCTTCAAAAGGTGACGATGCCTGACTCCTCTTGAATACTGATAGGAATCCCAAAATCCCTGTGGCTACTGGAAAGGGTCCTTGGGTGCCCTGCCTCACCTCGAGAAGCGTCTCTTTTGCCCTGCCAAGCCTCGAAGAGATTGCTGACGTGTCCCTCGTTACAAGGCAGGAGTCCTGACGTCACTGAAGAAACTCGTGTTTTGAAGGGCCATCCCCGCCGTAAGTCAAGAACATACCCCCAGGTCCCCGCCGCAACTCGAGAAAAACCATGAGACTTCCCCCTAGAGGCGAGATGAGGAACCATTCCCCTGCAATGCATGCAGAGCTATTCCGTGATCCCATTCAAACAAGTCAGGAGCTTCGACTTGCTTAATGGATCTCGAGACAGTCCCCAAGAACACTGTCACCAGACTAGACGGACACTGATTTCACCCCAGCAACGCAAAGCAGCTCCATGTGCCCCGAATCAACTTGAGATGAGGCTCGATTCCCCTGCATTGACTCCAGAGCCATTCCGCGTTCCCCATTCAACACGACCGGTGGCTCGACTTCCTTCAGGCAACTCCAGGGATGCCCCGAGAACACCGTCCCAAGTCTAGAGGAACAGCAACTTCAGCACAGCAACTCGAGGAATGCTCTGTGTACCCCAAATCGTCTCGAGATGAGAGCTGATTCCTTGGCTTAGGCTCAAGACGTATGCCACCTTTCCAGAAGCACCTCAGGAGGAGGCTTCTCTCAGCAATAGGTATGTGGGAGGGACCCCGAGTTTGCTGCCTCAAGGGGAATATACAGTTAGAAGCCCTAACTGGAAAGGAGGCCGGATTTCCTTGCAGTGGCTTGAATACAGGCTCGTCTTTGATCTGACAACATGAAGTGATGTCTGAATCCCCTGTGGAGACCTTAGAGAAAGCCCTAGGTCCCTGCCTCATTTTGACGGAATGCCTCTCATCCCGCTGACACCTCGAGAGGCACGCAGAGTTCATTGCTTCAAAAGGTGACGATGCCTGACTCCTCTTGAATACTGATAGGAATCCCAAAATCCCTGTGGCTACGGGAAAGGGTCCTTGGGTGCCCTGCCTCACCTCGAGAAGCGTCCCTTTTGCCCTGCCAAGCCTGGAAGAGATTCCTGAGGTGTCCCTCGTTACTAGTCAGGAGTCCTGACGTCACTGGAGAAACTCGTGTTTTGAAGGGCCATCCCCGCCGTAAGTCGAGAACATACCCCAGGTTCCCGCCGCAACTCGAGAAAAACCGTGAGCCTTCCCCCTAGAGGCGAGATGAGGCCCCATTCCCCTGCAGGGCATGCAGAGCTATTCCGTGATCCCATTCAAACAAGTCAGGAGCTTCGACTTGCTTAATGGATCTTGAGACAGTCCCCAAGAACACTGTCACCAGTCTAGACAGACCCTGAGGTCACCCAGCAATGCAAAGCAGCTCCATGTGCCCCAAATCAACTCGAGATGAGGCCGGATTCCCCTGCACTGACTCCAGAGCCATTCCCTGTTCCCCATTCAACACGACCGGTGGCTCGACTTCCTTCAGGCAACTCCAGAGATGCCCCGAGAACACTGTCCCAAGTCTAGAGGACCACCAACTTCAGCACAGCAACTCGAGGAATGCTCTGTGTACCCCAAATCGTCTCGAGATGATAGCTGATTCCCTGGCTTAGGCTCAAGATGTATGCCAACTTTCCAGAAGCACCTCAGGAGGAGGCTTCTCTCAGCAATAGGTATGTGGGAGGGACCCCGAGTTTGCTGCCTCAAGGGGAATATACAGCGAGAAGCCCTAACTTGAAAGGAGGCCGGTTTTCCTTGGAGTGGCTTGAATACAGGCTCGTCTTTCATCTCACAACATGAAGGGATGTCTGAATCCCCTGTGGAGACCTTAGAGAAAGCCCTAGGTCCCTGCCTCATTTTGACGGAATCCTCACATTCCGCTGACACCTCGAGAGGCACGCGGAGTTCATTGTTTCAAAAGGTGACGATGCCTGACTCCTCTTGAATACTGATAGGAATCCCAAAATCCCTGTGGCTACTTGAAAGGGTCCTTGGGTGCCCTGCCTCACCTCGAGAAGCGTCCCTTTTGCCCTGCCAAGCCTCGAAGAGATTGCTGAGGTGTCCCTCGTTACTAGACAGGAGTCCTGACGTCACTGAAGAAACTCGTGTTTTGAAGGGCCATCCCCGCCGTAAGTCGAGAACATACCCCAGGTCCCCGCCGCAACTCGAGAAAAACCGTGAGCCTTCCCCCTAGAGGCGAGATGAGGCCCCATTCCCCTGCAGTGCATGCAGAGCTATTCCGTGATCCCATTCAAACAAGTCAGGAGATTCGACTTGCTTAATGGATCTCGAGACAGTCCCCAAGAACACTGTCACCAGTCTAGACGGACCCTGACGTCACCCCAGAAACGCAAAGCAGCTCCATGTGCCCCAAATCAACTCGAGATGAGGCCCGATTCCCCTGCATTGACTCCAGAGCCATTCCCCGTTCCCCATTCAACACGACCGGTGGCTCGACTTCCTTCAGGCAACTCCAGAGATGCCCCGAGAACACTGTCCCAAGGCAAGAGGAACACCAACTTCAGCACAGCAACTCGAGCAATGCTCCTTGTACCCCAAATCGTCTCGAGATGAGAGCTGATTCCCTGGCTTAGGCACAAGACGTATGCCAACTTCCAGAAGCACCTCAGGAGGAGGCTTCTCTCAGCAATAGGTATGTGGGAGGGACCCCGTGTTTGCTGCCTCAAGGGGAATATACAGCGAGAAGCCCTAACTTGAAAGGAGGCCGGATTTCCTTGCAGTGGCTTGAATACAGGCTCGTCTTTCATCTCACAACATGAAGGGATGTCTGAATCCCCTGTGGAGACCTTAGAGAAAGCCCTAGGTCCCTGCCTCATTTTGACGGAATGCCTCAGATCCCGCTGACACCTCGAGAGGCACGCGGAGTTCATTGCTTCAAAAGGTGACGATGCCTGACTCCTCTTGAATACTGATAGGAATCCCAAAATCGCTGTGGCTACTGGAAAGGGTCCTTGGGTGCCCTGCCTCACCTCGAGAAGCGTCCCTTTTGCCCTGCCAAGCCTCGAAGAGATTCCTGAGGTGTCCCTCGTTACTAGACAGGAGTCCTGACGTCACTGAAGAAACTCGTGTTTTGAAGGGCCATCCCCGCCGTAAGTCGAGAACATACCCCAGTTCCCCGCCGCAACTCGAGAAAAACCATGAGACCTCCCCCTAGAGGCGAGATGAGGCCCCATTCCCCTGCAGTGCATGCAGAGCTATTCCGTGATCCCATTCAAACAAGTCAGGAGCTTCGACTTGCTTAATGGATCTCGAGACAGTCCCCAAGAACACTGTCACCAGTCTAGACGGACCCTGAGGTCACCCTAGCAACGCAAAGCTGCTCCATGTGCCCCAAATCAACTCGAGATGAGGCTCGATTCCCCTGCATTGACTCCAGAGCCATTCCCCGTTCCCCATTCAACACAACCGGTGGCTCGACTTCCTTCAGGCAACTCCAGGGATGCCCCGAGAACACCGTCCCAAGTCTAGAGGAACAGCAACTTCAGCACAGCAACTCGAGGAATGCACCGTGTAACCTAAATCATCTAGAGATGAGAGCTGATTCCCTGGCTTAGGCTCAAGACGTATGCCAACTTTCCAGAAGCACCTCAGGAGGAGGCTTCTCTCAGCAATATGTATGTGGGAGGGACCCCGAGTTTGCTGCCTCAAGGGGAATATACAGCGAGAAGCCCTAACTTGAAAGGAGGCCGGATTTCCTTGCAGTGGCTTGAATACAGGCTCGTCTTTGATCTGGCAACATGAAGGGATGTCTGAATCCCCTGTGGAGACCTTAGAGAAAGCCCTAGGTCCCTGCCTCATTTTGACGGAATGCCTCACATCCCGCTGACACCTCGAGAGGCACGCGGAGTTCATTGCTTCAAAAGGTGACGATGCCTGACTCCTCTTGAATACTGATAGGAATCCCAAAATCCCTGTGGCTACGGGAAAGGGTCCTTGGGTGCCCTGCCTCACCTCGAGAAGCATCCCTTTTGCCCTGCCAAGCCTGGAAGAGATTCCTGAGGTGTCCCTCGTTACTAGGCAGGAGTCCTGACGTCACTAGAGAAACTCGTGTTTTGAAGGGCCATCCCCGCCGTAAGTCGAGAACATACCCCAGGTCCCCGCCGCAACTCGAGAAAAAGAGTGAGCCTTCCCCCTAGAGGCGAGATGAGGCCCAATTCCCCTGCAGTGCATGCAGAGCTATTCCGTGATCCCATTCAAACAAGTCAGGAGCTTCGACTTGCTTAATGGATCTTGAGACAGTCCCCAAGAACACTGTCACCAGTCTAGATGGACCCTGAGGTCACCCAGCAATGCAAAGCAGCTCCTTGTGCCCCAAATCAACTCGAGATGAGGCCTGATTCCCCTGCACTGACTCCAGAGCCATTCCCTGTTCCCCATTCAACACGACCGGTGGCTCGACTTCCTTCAGGCAACTCCAGAGATGCCCCGAGAACACTGTCCCAAGTCTAGAGGACCACCAACTTCAGCACAGCAACTCGAGGAATGCTCCGTGTATGCCAAATCATCTCGAGATGAGAGCTGATTCCCTGGCTTAGGCTCAAGACGTATGCCAACTTTCCAGAAGCACCTCAGGAGGAGGCTTCTCTCAGCAATAGGTATGTGGGAGGTACCACGAGTTTGCTGCCTCAAGGGGAAT